GCCCTAAAACCCTAAAACCCTAAAACCCTAAAACCCTAAAACCCTAAGCCCTAAAACCCTAAGCCCTAAAGCCCTAATGTTCTACAACCTCCGAGTACTCAAACTTTTCGACGGAGGATGCGGCTTTGGTTCTCTACGATCCTGACACAAAAAGCCGATATCTTAGAGGTATCGATCTGTCGCGAATGTTAGAAATGATGGCAGCTAAAGGATTGATTACTACGGTAGTCCTCGACTGTTGCCACTCGGGCAGTGTCACGCGTCATGTTGATCAGGAAAGTGTAAGGGTCCGAGGAATCCAGTGGGACAGTGCGGTTGCTGCGGTAGATGCGCGACCAATAAATTTTGCTGGCAACGCTCGGAACGCCAATGTCAGCAGACATTGGCTACTAGATCCTAAAGGATATACTCTTCTGGCTGCGTGCGGTCCACATGAATTGGCGAGCGAGCACCGATTCGAGGATGGCAAGGTGCATGGTGTTCTCACATACTGGATGGTATACGCGCTTAGTACACTTATAAATGGTGGATCCGAGTTAACTTATCGATCCCTGCATGAGTTTATCCGCTCCAAGCTGCATGCCAAATGGCCACACCAGAACCCTATGCGTTTTGGAATGGGGGAGAGTCCCTTTCTTGGAGTCAAAAAACTAAAACAGATGAGCTTTGCTCATGTTACGGATTCCTTGGGTCATGGTCGTGTTCGTTTGAACGTCGGACGCGCACATGGAGTTTGCATTGATGACGAATACGCGGTGTATCCATTTAGCCCTGAAATGGATAAGGAGAACAGTGGCTCCGAAGAACCTCCAATAATCAAAATCGATACAGTGACCGCGCTCACCTCTACCGCCACAGCTATATCAGACATATCGACGAGCACGAATATTGAAGTAGGATGGCATGCGAAGCCACTTACGCATTTCTCTATGACCTCTGCTCTTGTGAAAGTCCCGGACGACTTCGGTATCGATGAGAATCTGAGAATTGGAATCCACAGGACGTGGTTGCGGCTGACCTCTGGATGTGCCAAAGATGAAACTGCTTCATTCATCATCGCAACGAATTCCGGAAATGAATATCAGGTCTTTGACGCTGCCAATCAACCTATCGAAAATGTACCGACGGTACCCAGCAGTAATGACAAAGCAAAACATCAGGTCCTTGCGATAGTAGAGCACCTCGCCAAATTCAAATTCGTTGAAGGTTTAGAGAATAGGAATCCTGTTCAGGGATTTGACAATTCATTCACGATAGAATTGAGCGAAGCCGGGTCTGGAACAATTGGAATCACTCAGATCAAGGATCAAGGTACTCTCTCACTCATCTTTAGGAACGTTGGTGACAAGGCATTGTATTTCTCGGTGTACAACCTCAAAGCGTCTTGGGCTATCGAAGGACTATTCTCTGATGCTGGGCAATTCCGGGTTGTGAAGCCTGGGGAATCATCACCTGTTCGGTTGATGATGTCTATACCGGATGAGTACAAGGCCAAAGGTCAAACCTCTATTGAAGATATACTCAAGGTTTTCATTACCGCCAAACCAACAACCTTCGAAGTGCTCGAGATGCCGGAAATCTCGCGCGACGAAAACATCGCATCGAAAACACTTCGTGGCGGCTCAGGTCGACTTTCCACATTCTTGGCAAGCTTGGCCATTCCGCAACGCGACGCTAGAGTGGTTAAAAATGACGAGGCATGGGCTACTCGGAACTTCTTGATACGCACCACTGCGGAGTAATAGATTGGTGTCTGGACTCCAAAGAGCGTTGAGGGGAAAGGGAAAATCCTCTCAGCTGATTAAAGGTTGAATAGTTGTCCCACACTGAAAGGTATGATTTACTTGCTCCTGAGATCCAACGGAATTGAATATGCGCTATTAGTTAAATCCGTTATTTCATTTTTAAGTAGTCTTCATTGGACATCCATCTCCTGAGAGATCATTACATCTTCATTCGTACGTAGTTCCACCTCGATTGCTGTCTCATGGACACGTAAATGCTCTATGAGCACAATCTGCAAGGTTAGCATGACAGCCATATAGAACAATCCAAAGCTGTTCCTGGATGCGTCGAACGCTGAGGAGATGCATCACCTTTAGATGGTACCATTACAATCGGAATGACACTCAGAGCGAAGTCCGGCCGGAGTGGTCGGGAAACCCGAACAAAAAACGTCGGTGCGGGAGGGGCGGGCCCCGGACGTTCTGCCGGAATCGCCTGGGGCGGTAGGCGGTCGGCGGAATCGGTCGGTCATTGGCCCCGACCACTTCCTAGGTGGGGCGTCTCGCGGAAACGGTCGGCTATTAGTCCTCAGGGCTCAGGCGCCCCACCGAGCGCGGGCCGCTCCCGCTGGCCCCCTACGACGATGTATAGACTCTATCCTCGACGAGCTCCGTCCGTCGTCGCGTATAGCGCTCTAAGCGAGGGGAGAAGATTTCCCCCCTAACCTCCCCCCCCCTAGATTAGAACCCTAGTTAGACGGACGCATAGGCTTAGACGCACCCGACGCCTCGCTCTAACTAGGGTTCTAATACGTATGCACTCTATACTCAACGCCTACGTCCAACCGGGGTTCTAATCTAGAGGGGAAAAGGGAGGGGGGAGGATGGCCGATCAGCCACACGCTGCGCCACGCGCTAGAGTTGACCCCTGAGTCCTTTAGCGGATTCCGATGTCACGACGATAGCGGGAGCTCCTCGACGACGACGATGGCTAGACCACCGCCATCTCGTGCTCTCTTCGAGTACGAAGCGAGTCACAACGCTATCGTCTACGGCCCCTATCGCATTAGGATCCCGGCCCGTCTAAAGGAGCGCCACCTCTATGAAACATATGGGATCCTCAACTCCGCCGAATGCCGGCGACACCTAGCAGCCATCCCGGACGGGACCGCCCCGCTCTACGACCACTCCGACTTTACACCCCTCCTAGACGGTTCCCAACCGTTGCCGTCGCTCGCGATCTACGATCTCTAGATATGCGACACGTGCGGATTCTAGTCCAAAAGTGACCGACTCGTTAAGAACCACAGCCAAGGGAATCACGACCACGATCCATCCCAAGCGCAGAAGCTAGGAATCCGTCGGGTCCAGGGCTAGCGTTGGCTTGCGCATTCCAAATTCTCTCGCTGGTAGACGACGTCTCCGCCCCGGCCCTAGCCCTAGGAAGTCCTAGCAATCCGGCCGTTGTCAATACCAGAGCAACCACCTGTGAGGGCAGCTGTACCATACCGTTATGCTACGACTATATGCCTGATTCTTAAGGCTATCGCTGCCTCACAACCGCGCACTGATCGCACGCATGATGTCGTGGATGAGCGGGGTAAATGCCTGTATATAAAAAGGCCTCGCTGGCACCTGAGTTTCAGGGGCCAGCGATCAGTCTTAGAATCATACTATGTCGCACCCAAGTCATACTGCGAGCCTCTATTGCCCGAATCCGTAAAACCTCCCTATCAGGTGTATCGTGAGACTACCCTGACAATTCTGATCGCTCACTACGAAGCGGATTTACCCGATAGCGGCCTCGCACGATGCCTCCTAAGATGACCACACGGTCGCAATCGACTAACCCTTCTACTCAAGATGATTCTGCTACTACCGACCCTACGAATAATCTTCGTACTCAAAGCGAAGAGCCTGAGACTACCGCCGACCTTAACGTCGATTAGCTTATCGTAGAAACGCAGGCTAAGGTAGAGGAAGCTAGGAAATTACAACAACTAAAGCAGCTGCAGAGGGAACTCGCAATTATCAGAGCCAGAGGAGAGGCTTCTAATAATCCTACGACCCTATCAACCCCCTCGTCTCGTAGCGAAGGCGAGACTAATGACGATAGTGAAATAGTTCAAGCAACAAGCTCGTAGCCAAAGGAACCCCCCTGTCTTCTAGGGGTCTCTACAGCCGCCGCTAAAGCTCGACATTTGTGCTTTTGATGCACAGAGCGCGTAGGAATACAATACTTTCATAAATCGACTAGAAACCTACTTTGAAACCTACGATCAGTGGTATGCCGATGAGAGTAAGAAAGTTAATACTACGTCAGCGAGCTTAACGGACCGTCGCCTTAATGATTAGCGGGCGTATAAAAACCAACTAGCTACGCCCCCTACTTAGGAGCATTTTGAGAAGTTCTGCTTACGACTTATGAACGACCTAGCGCATATATACCGCTAGGCCACGCACTTATTCTATCGCGCGAAGCAGTATAGTCACTAGAGTGTTCGAGATTATACGACTTAATTTAGAAACCTAGCATCGTAGGCTAAAGGAACCATTACCTGAACGACATCGTATAGAACACTTAGGTGCGACAATCCTACCTAAAATTAGCATAGAAAGCCTTCGTTACCCTAGGGTTTACGATGATGACCTTACCTACGATGCCTATATTTTACTACTACAAATAGCGGAAGAGGCAATTCCCTTATAAGCCCAAAGTATAGCGCATTCAAAGGGCCGATTTCAACGCACTAAACTAGATCCTCGCAAGGAAAGGGATTCATAAGGCAAAAACCTACGTGGAGGATTTTCTAGGCCGTCTAACTACGAAACTTTCTAGCGCAATCAACGTAGTAAACGAGGAGATTCTAAACCTAACTTCGCGCCTAAACGACGACGAAGCTCCCCTACCACGTAGGCAAAGAATGATAATGCTTGCTTTATATGCGGGAAAACAGGCCATTAGAGAGACGATTGCCCGAAGAGGGTCAAGGATGTTATTAATGACGATAAGAAGCTAAAAAACTAGTAGCACCTAAGCTATTCGCTACGATAGCTCTAGGGCTCGATGAGAAGTGGTAAAACCTAAATGCAATGGTTACCAACGCATACATTATGACGCCGTCTAGAATTGTCAACGCACACACTCTGATTGATTGTGGTGTAGAAATGAAAACTCCCTCAGATCTTAGTCGATTCGCTATTAAGCATCTTCAAGCTATCTTATAACGTCGGATTCTAGAGATTTAGCATTTCGGATAAGGCCCTTTGTCTATTCTTTGAAATAGTCCTAGTCCGTCTTAACGGTTCGCTAGCGATCTAGCTCTTGCTCCTTAACGTATCGGTACTATCTCTGTCTACATAGGTTGTCTATATGGCTAACTATAGCAAGGATCTTATTTTTGCCGCTTTTATGTTTAGACGGCGCTCCTTCAAAGAGATAATAAAGGTCAAAGAGCCATTCCTCACGCTTCTAGAGGTTATATAAGAGCGTGAACTAGGGAATGTCTTTGAACTTGATTTCTCCCTCTTGAGTAGGTGGCGTTATACTACCGTTACGGTCGCGTCTCGAGGGAGCTTTGTAGAGTAGTTCCGCGAGTTCATTTTCAAGTTCCTTCTAACGGCGACGAAGGGTAGTCAGTTTCTCTAGTCTAGCAATAGTATCTAGAACCTACTATTGCTCTATAGTAAGAGGGTCAATATCCGCAATGCCCACGGATTCAGATTCCTAGGTCAAGGGGTCTCTTAAGGAGGATTCAGGATTAACTAGTCGTCGTAGACTTATCGGGTCTAATTCAACGTCGTTTCTGCCTAGATTCTTTTAAGGCATTTCTAGGGTTGACGTTATCTGACTGCGAGTGTGGGGAGCCATCATTCCTTAGGTAACCAAAAAAGAAGAATCAGAAATGTAAAAGAACTACTTGTCAGGGTAGAAACCTGTGGTCAGGTGGGGAATGATATTCCGAAAAGGAAGCGATACGGTAGCGAAATGGTACCGAGATGGGAGTGATTCAGTGGAAACAAAGACACACTGATTCTTGCCAGAATCAGCTCAAAACCATGGTTTGTTTGAACTTATAAAACAAAAGCGGGGTAAGTGTATGTAAGCGGGTCACGTGATATCGATCCTGAATAACCTCAAAACTGGTCCAATCTGTAACATATGCAAAGGGGGTATCTATCGTGATAGGACCGTATTAGGGGTTATGAGTGCTTATAGTCCTACGGTGGTAGGCGCATAGCGGTAGGGCCAAGTAGCCATAAACGCCAAGACAGCCGAGCCATCACCCACAGCTAAGCTACTAGGCGTGATATTCGACTAGGAACTACGGTGGAAAGAACACGTCCAGCAAGCAATCAAACGCGCAAGGAAGGTCAGCATTGCCTTAGGCAGCCTGCGGCATCTACGCCCGGAACAGATGTGACAGCTCTACCGAGCATGCGTCACGCTGGTGGTAGACTATGCGTCAACGGTCTGGCACGACGCATTGCGAGACAAGGCCCACCTACGACACCTAACAGTCCAGAGGACCGCTAATCCGGATTCCGTAAGCGTTCAGGACGGTAGCCACCATAACCTTGGAAGTCGAAGCATATATTCTACCTACACACCTACGTCTCCGCCACCGAGTCCAGAACACCATCGCACGCCTCCACACTCTACCTCGAGAGCACCCTATTTGGTGTGCACTGTCGCGAGCTCAGAAACGTAGGAACAATATCTGGTCATATTCTCGCTTCCGACTGGCGGAAGCGCTGAAGACCATGAACCTACGGTCAGCATTGTCGATGGTGAATGTTCCGCCGGCACATCCATGGCCGGGCAGGTCTGGGGCCAGAATGTGGAAGGACATCAACATCTCCACCTGATCTTTTGACCTCCAAAGAGCCCATACCGACTGCGGGCGAACAGCAGCTAGTAGCTTATTTTAGCTCTACTGACAAGAGCGACCACGGCAAGGCCGATTCACCTTCCGCAAATGTTGACAACCTCGATCAAGAACATGTTTCAATGGCCCTGCCCGACATCAAATCTGCCTTCCCTAAATCTCTTTGTGAATGGCACACAGTGCTTGGACATCTGAATTACCGGGGTATACTCTATCTTACCAACCAGTCTGGCAGTTGAGTGAAGATCACAGGCGACAGGGCACAACCGCCCTGTCAGATATGCCTGCAATCAATTCATCAACCCGACTCGTACTGGCGAGAGGGATGTGGCAGCTGATGGCTTCCCGAAGCTGCTGGGTGTGGAAACAATCCAGAAGATCTAGGGACCAGATTGGGTTCTTCTGATTCGACAGATCGAAATGGCTGCGTTCTGGATTGGGATATTTGGCTTCTGTCCTTTTGCTTCCTGTGTCGGTTCGAGGGGGCTTGTTAGGATTCCTTCCCATTTGGGTTTAGCGCTCCGACGTAGTCATCTTTATATTAGGAGTTAGCCCCCCAATAGGAACGCGTCGTGCTCCCAACTCCGCTAGTAGTCGGGCCCTCACCGCTCGCTGGTGAGGGCCCGACTACTAGGGGGCGGGTCTTTTAACTGTTGCAGCTCATCACAGCTGCTGGCAGAATTCCTGTTCCAGTGAGCGGTCATGATGACACTCTGTTCCCCCTGTTACCACCATTCGCGCGCTCAGCTCGATAAGGGCCTGAAACCCGACTAGTAAAAATGCCGGTCACAAATGGTGGCGAAAATTATGCTTGTCGTTCTTGGCGGGAGGGAATGCGTGACAATCAATTCGTTGATCAAAACCCGGTTCCCCGCCAACCCTTTGAGGTCCGTGCATTTCCCAATACAAATATAAATATCCCAGTGACCCCCAGAAGGACATCACTCATAAATAGGTCTATATGACATGTACTTTACATTTTCAACGTTTTAAACGCTTGGTCCAAGCCCCTTTTCTCAAAAGCAAAACCACGATATCTGCACCATTATGACAGCATCAGATGTCCGCGACGATGACCAGACAAGTCTCGAGCCACCCGCACGGTCAAGAGAAGACTCTATATATGAATGCAGACCGGACCACAGCTACAACTTCGACATCCCTCCAGGCTGGAAGGAGAATAGGACAGCCATGTGCGCGATTACCTGGCCTTCCGAAACCCCTTTTACAGAGATATCTGAATGCTGTACCGGACCAGTCCAAGTATCCAATGCATGCTTTCACTACTGCCCGACCGACTTACCGAATTACTTATTTTTGAAGTGTGCGCACAAGCATATGGATGTTAAGCACATTGGTGTTAGGTGCAATACCCCTAGGTCGCCTCCTAGGTCGCCAAGCCATGGACAGACGATCCTAGCATGGATGAATGGATACAGTGTATATCTTATTGGTGCTGTATTTGCTATGCTTATGGCTTGTTTTGCTACCCAGTACATATCTACATCTGCGGGCGTGCGGAAGAGGATGTGGACTTCCTTTAGTATGTTCTTGGGCGTTTTAGTACTAATGGCTCTTTGCGTACGGGTATGGGCGATGGAGAGAGAGGAAGGAGGTTGATGTAGTGAGAGCGACTGGAGGTAAGGATTTGTACCTTCGTAATGTTACTACGAGCGCTGTAAAGGGCCAGTGTTAAATAGGGAAAAAATGGATTTCAATAAGAACCTGGAAGTTAAAAAAGGAAAACAAGAGAAACAGGAAAAAGGACCAAATACATGAACGCGTCAAGAATCATACCCCACCAGTTCCCTCACGAGAACACGGTCTAACCTAACAACCAACTCCCGCATTGCATAGAAGAACCCTATGTGGCCGCCCACCTAAACAACAGCGCGCGGCCAGGAAGATGACCGAGGCTTGCCGACCGCCCAAAAAGTTTTATCTAGGACCAACAGCTCCAGGGCCACCAGGTTTAGCTTTGTCCTTTGCCCAGTAAGCCTGCCCTATGCCACGGCATGTGCCAACAACGCAATACGTACCCCAGTTCTGGTCGTCATTAGGAGACTTCAAACTGCCTTTGGCCCTAACTGTTGATGTGCTCGTTCCACCACCGCAATTGATATAATCGACATTTTGCGCATTATACTCGGTAAAGCGAATTGTCTCCCAAACACATATAACCTCGCCTGCGTCTCCATCACACGAGTAAGAATTAGAAGTTGAGACTGATTTCCCGACACTAAAGCCTGCGCTAATCCATTCATTAAAACTAATAGTTGCATCAAACCCAATAGTGTAGATATCGCCATCAGAAGCGGACAGTGAACAGGTATGTTTTGGTTCGCAATGATGAGGGTGCTATTTCAGCGATTAGATAGAATTCGTACTATTGCGTCTTAGAATACACTCATACTCACAGTAAGTTGTTTTCCTAAGAAACGCTGCCATGGGTCCTTTTCCGCCTGCGGCTCGGTTGCGTAAGAAACAACGCATTGTCTGTCCACTAAGTCATTACTCCGCGAAGTTATAGCATTATGTTTCGGCTCTTTCATCCCGAAGTCAGCGTCATTTGCTGCGTACTTTGGGTCATTAACAAGAGCGGTGTTTAGCACGCGAATGCCTTTAGCTAATCTCTGAAAGCACGACACCTCGTTCGCAGATAGTGGGACTCCTTGGAAGCCGCTAGGTAGGGTCACCTGGCAGTCCAACTCCACCATTGCTTGATTGTACACTCTAGTACAGGTAGGGCCGTTCGAGTACTGAGAATTGGTATGGATCATATGCTCAGAGCCATCCACTGTAATGAAGCCTGCACCATTGTCCTTTGTAAGGTTGAAAGAGATAGGAGCAGTAGCGAAGCTGCCTGTATTAAGAACTTTACTGCAGGAGTGCCCAATCAGAGTGTCGAACTCTCCGAAAGCAGCAATTCCGTGCTCATTCGCTTCCTTCTCCCAGCGATAGAGAACTGTGATAATCTGGGTGTTGGTTGGCGCGCAGATGGCTAGTGGTAAGGCCATTATAATTGTAGCGAGTGCAAAACGCATCTTGAATGATATCTTGGGTGGTTGTGAAACTTTGAAAAGAAGCAGTTTCCTTGACAATCAAATCATACGCTGAGACCTTAGGAAGACACCCTTTTATAGCCATTTATAAGAGTTTTCTTATGTCTGATAGACCAAAGAAGTATATGACCATACTTTGCAGCAAAAAGACGAAAAATGAAGTCATTGTCATCGGAATATCTAACCGACTCGCCAGTCTGCGGTCTGTGTAGATTTCTTACTATCTAAAGAAGTTAGACCTCTTGCTTTGGCCCGCGAAAAAAGAGGGCGAACCGCTTTGGCCCGTAAAGAAAGAGGGTGAATTCATGCCCATATGCGTTAGCGGGAGTCTAGACTACGTCTTCCATGTCTAGCAGGCTCCTAGCACGGCCCATGGCTAAGCGTCAGAGACAAATCTTAGGCTGATTGGTCCGTGTACATTTCTTACTACACTGGATGCCAGTAACTAAGTGTGGAAACAGTCCCTGATTATGTAAAATCCACCCATTTTACCCTCCCTCCATTCCCTCTATTTTGCACTCATCGCTGCGACTGTTGGTTGATAAGTGATGCTTCGGTGTTCATATTATTGATGGGAGTTGATTTGTGTGTTGTTATGTTGTGTGTTAGATACAGAAAGGCAGGTAGCTAGTGCAGCCGGGCTGGCGCCTAGCGCCCACGTGACAGGTTTTGGCCTTACAGTTAGGGCATCGCGTTGGTTGGAGGGTGGAACTCCGGTAGTCTAGATTTTACCGCAAACAACACTCGTTATTCGATTGTAATAAGACGTCCGATTGCTTATTTATTCTATACGGTCGCGGCATTAGGCTCAGCGCCATCCAGAATTCCCTAGTTCTCCCGTCGGTCTGTCAGTACTGACCTGACGCGCCCCTGTGCAACACTTCCCGCTCTACTAAGCCCTACATCGTCTCCTAGAGTCAACGTACGTCTAAGCTGACAGCCGCAAATCGTGCTTTTTAAGGTCACGTAGTTGGAACGTTGAGCGGTAGAAGTATGTTGACCATGCAGCAATCCGTTAAGGTATGGGACTCATTATCCAAGATTCGTGTTTCCAAAATTTGTGCAACTCGCAGACCACCATCTTGGGCGAGTCGATTGCAGTAATTTAGGATCTTTTGCTCTCCACCACAAACTTCTCTTCGCCACCGGATAGCTTCCGACACCGTAAGAAAGGGAATGCTGTCAAATGTTCCACCAAATTCGAAGTTTGACTCAAATGAACTTTTACCTATCAAGTCGGGCTGCGGACTACCATGGCTAGCACGCGGGACGAATCCATGGCTGTTGGCAATGTGCTCCTAAGCATATGTTGATTTCGTTGAGGCACGTAGAATACCGCGCAGCTCCGTGGTGTAAACATCCATTTGTGGCAGTTACTGACGAAGAAATCCGGATCCAAGGCTGACAAGCTGAGTTCAATATGCCCAACACCATGAGCCGCATCAATGAGACTGAGGACGCCCTCAGAGCGGCAGATTTCTGTGAGCTCGTTAAATGGGAGGCGAAGGCCCGGATTGGAAGATACGGTGTCAAATATTGCGATGCGAGGTCTGAAACCTTCCTTGCGAGACGTCTGGATGGCGGTTTTAAATGTGGAAATGAGCTCGGCATCTTCCAGAGGGTGGTCAAATTGCACCTCTCTGGTGCGCACGCGATAATTGCTCGCTTCGCACACATAGCTGGTTGTTTTTCCACAGGCGCCGTATATGACGTCTAGTTGGATGATTTCGTCTTGGCCGTCGGCGTTCCAGACCATGTTGCGCAAGACAGTATTGACACCGGTGGTTGCGTTGGGGATGAAAACCACCGTCGACATGTGTACTCCGAGAATTCGCTCATCGCTGCTCGTGATTCGTCCAAAAGTTCGGGGAATCGGTACTTGATGAACGGGCACGGTGTGGCTTCACACTCATCACGTAAGGTATTTGCTCTACCTCGAATGGCTGTCGGGGAGGCGCCGAAAGAGTCTGTGCATGGTCAGTAAATGTCGGAGAGCAAATTGGACAGCAAAAATAGTCCTACCATGGTTCAAATTGCAATATCCTTGCTTGAATGAAAAGTGCCGCTTCATTTCATGGCCAAATGGGGTCGGTTCATACCGAACTTGTGGTGACATTGTCAAAACAATCCCAAATTCGAATCATTCATTCAAGCGAGGAGCCAGGATTCAAATAATAATAATAAATCGTTATTATTATTGGCGATCGCCAATTTATCAGTTGACTTTTCGACCCCACGCGGCGAGATTTTTCACTAACGAATGGAATCGAACGGGAACTTGATCCGAGATAATGTTGCAGCTAACCGGGTCTTTGCAACATACAGGTGTCCACTTGGGTCTTCTTTTGTCAAACATAATGGCCTACTATCGGCAGTCGGCAATTAGCCAAGAGAGCGCCACAGTCAGGGGACCGGACCCTTCCTCAACCCCACGCTATCGCATAGGCCTAGGGTCCGTGCATGGCCACGATCATGCGGGAGAACATACGTAGACTAAGTAGCCCGCATGGATTATTATTCTTCTTGTACCACCCACCATTTGAATCTAGTGTCAGCACCAACCCCTGTCTGTCAAAATCGAAGACAATCTCGAGGCCACAAGGCATGACAGCGTTCATCACGAGGATACGGAAAAAGGTAGAGTGGAAGAGCTCTCGAAATCAGAGCAGCAGCAGAAAAATGTGGGCAACTTGCAGCGCCGACTAAAATCTCGACATATTCAGTTCTTGGCTCTTTCTGGGGCTATTGGAACTGGTTTGTTTGTTGGCACCGGCCAGGTTCTGTCGCTGGCGGGACCGCTGTCCGCAGTGCTTGCCTATCTCATCACAGGCTTCAACCTCTACGCAGTTATCAACAGCATGGGAGAGATGGCAACGTGGTTGCCCTTACCAGGTGCTGTACCTGTATACGCTTCTCGGTTTGTTGATGAAGCGCTAGGTTTTACGCTCGGCTGGAATTATTGGTACCAGTTCGCCATTGGTGTTCCCATTGAGATCAGTGCAGCAGCTCTCGTTATTGACTATTGGCCCAATGCAGTATCCTCCGCAGTTTGGATTACTGTCCTATATGTTGTCATTTTTTTCGTCAATATCTTACCCGTTCGGGTCTATGGGGAACTGGAATTCTTCCTTGGTTCAATCAAGCTCATGACCATAGTTGGCCTAATGCTCCTCATGCTTATAATTACACTCGGCGGTACTTCCCACTCACGATCGTATCGGCTTTCGATACTGGGATAATCCGCGACCTATGCTGGAGTATCTCGAACCTGGCGCACTTGGACGTTTTTTGGCTTTCTGGAAAGTTTTCATTCAAGCCACCTTCAGCTAGGGAGGCAGTGAAATGGTCGTTGTCGCTGCTGGAGAGACAGAAAGCCCCCGCCGCAATGTCCCCAAGGCTGTACGTCGCGTTTTCTGGCGAATCGCTATCTTCTACGTCGGCAGTGTTTTCCTTATTGGACTCTGTGTCTCGTCTCGAGATCATCGCCTGCTAGATGCCATTAAAGCGAGTGCAAAATTGAGTTGGTGCCAGTCCCTTTGTGATCGCGATTGAGAACGGCGGTATTCACGTTTTACCGTCTATAATCAATGCGGTCGTCCTTACGTCCGCCGTGTCAGCAGACAATTCTTTCTTCTATGCTTCCACAAGAATTCTCTATTCAACCGCACTTGATGGAAAAGCACCGCGCTTCCTTCGTTACGAGAAATTCGGAGTTCCATATGCTTGTGTGGCTATTACCGGTGCCCTCAGCCTTCTCGTCTATCTCAATGTTTCAGCCAGCTCCGCCGAGGTTTTTTTTTGGATTAGCAACCTCAGTTCAGTTAGCACCCTGATTGTGTGGACATCAATTGCTGTGACATATATTAGGTTTTACCGTGGATTGCGGCACTATGGAATTTCCCGGGATACCTTACCGTTCAAGGCACCCTTCCAGCCCTACATGGCCTATTTTGCTGTGATTTTTCCCTCCACAGTGGCATTCTTTAATGGATTTGACGCTTTTTTTCCGGGCCATTTTAGTGCAAAGACATTCGTTCCCCCTTACATTGATATCCCGATTTTTGTGAGCCTTTTCTTGGGATACAAGGTGGTTAAAAAAACCAAACTGGTCGAATTGGACGATTTGGACCTATGGTCGGGCAAAGATGAAGCTGATCGACTGGAGTCTATATGGGAAGAGCCCAAACCACGGAATTTTATTGGTATGCAAGGCTATCCTATTCTTGTTTTCCAAACTAACACTCAGTAGAGCGAATCTGGTTCTGGATTGCTTGAGGCCCAGTGACCAATATGTGCGTGTCACATATTTGCCCGCTCCTGACCATATACCCCCGACTTTGCTCTTTTCAGTCGATCTTTTATTCTTAGTTATGCTGCGTTGGTCTTGTCTTTACCCATACTTGGATTCACATGTCTAAGGCCCATTTTCCTTTTGGCTTTGAGATTTGTGGAGAATGTTCTTGAAATCCTCCTCTTCTTATTTGAAAATGTTCATCATTAGTCACAGTGATTCCTAAATATTCAACTAGAAATTTGTTCCGAGTACACGCCATTCAAAACAGCAGGAACCATTATTCCGCTTGCATATCTACACGTTTATCATGTCTCTAATAGGTCTTACGACGAATGAATGTCATTTAGCGTGCTATTCGTACGTATGTGCAGTTCAAGTATCGTAATTTGTGAGTTAGCAGCTTACCTTGTGAATGAATATATGTCGATCACTTTCTTATTAAAGCAAATACCGTTGATGTATCCACAATGTTTTTCTCTGACCAATTGTACAAATACCTGGCATTTAGCTATATGTATTCATAGAGGACGCGCAAATGTGCAGCCCTTTTAGGATCAATCCTTGAATTCTAACCTCGGACAACTAATATCACCGAACACATGCCGAGACTTGTTGGCTGAAAACGGCAAGTTGGGATAAGAAATTTGGTATTTAGTATTGTATCTTAATAATTACAAGAAAGTAGCCCATCACAAGTATATACAGTACAGACAGATCTTCGTAAGTCCGACTACCGTACAACTACCCACCCGGGCCACGAGAGAGACAAAACCGTCGCACAACCGCCAACTAAAATAGCTGTCAGAACTCCAGCGGAAACTCGAACTCCTATAGTGCACTATTGCGGATACTCAACATTCGTGTGGTCGGTTTCGCCTGCGGTGCGATCACTGGCATTGTTCCACTCAACTTGCTATAATCGCACACTTGCTCGTTCTCTCCCGGGCACATTTCGCATTGCTTGCAAATTTGGTACAGCCAACGATGAGCAACCCGATACCTGATCTTCCACCGTAGTACACCAGCTTTTGGCCAAGGCTGTAATCGCCCTATTTCTTCATGGCCGCGAACTTCCACGTTGAGCTGAAGACACGGGATATTAGATGTATGTCGGTCGCACATATTCCGGTGTCTTCAATTTTGACCAACACTTCAGTGCCTGTTGGCTTAGAAACTTAGGGCTTTAACGCAGGTAACTCCACTTTGCTGGCACGCGAGGCAGTCTCGATCGGGTGGGATGCATTTACACCTGGCGCTACTCCGAGTTAGGGACTGCGGGTGGAGTCAGACATGCGATGCTCACCTTTCGAAGGCGGATACGCGGAAGCAAGCACCCGACCCGATGGGTTTCCCCTTCTCGCCTCGCGAATCAACAGTGACCTTTTTTCTCGGCAGGGAAGAAGAAGAATCCACTGGTCCGACATGTTGTCCCTAGAACCATCATGCCGAGTCCTTGATCGAGGGGCGCACATAGTTAACTAACACAGGTGACCCAAGTACATAATCATCAACGAATAATAGCTAGTTAACAGAGTCGAACATGAACCGATTCTGTCACCGGTCTCGGCCCGGGAACGGCCAGCCCCACGACTATAAGGCCGTCTTCCATGTCGAATCCTTCGCTTGTTCCACATTACATATTTCCCAACATGTCGTGCGAAGCGTGCCGTACCATCCCACCCGTCATCCCCCAGGGATACTCGCCCAAAGGCAACTACCAAACAATTGCCGGGCTCAAAACCTGTCCGCTTGCGACCTAGGCCCCTCATCCAGCATGTGACTGACCATCTCCGCAGATGTCACCGGCGACCCCAATGCGAGCATCGGTCTGGTAGACATTTATGATGTCTTTGGGCTGGCGAGCCAGACCCTCCAGGGTGCCGATCTCTTGGCAATGAGACTAAATGCCATCGTCTTGATCCCGGACTTCTTCGAGGGCGATGCGCTCAAACACGAATACATCCCCGCCGACACCGAGGAGAAGCAAAAGATCATCTCCGAGTTCCTGGCCCACAAGGCTAATTTGTCACGGAACGTTGGCGTTTTATTGGATGCGGTCCCCCAGTACAAAATGAATTTTCCGGCGGCCCGCAGCTGGGGTGCCTTTGGGTTGTGCTGGGGCGGAAAGGTTAGTATCGGAATGGGGCATGGGTTGCTCAACGTATGCGCTGACAGTAGTAGCTGACAGTTCTGTCATCGGGCCCGAACACCCCGTTCACAGCATCGGGACAGGTTCATCCCGGGTGTGTTGACCTGCCATCTGCTAGGACTTCAGGGACTAATGATGTGACAGGAGAATGGAAGCTGCGGATGCAAACTCACTGTCTATCCCTCACATTGTTCTGGCATCCAAGGACGAACCCGCGGATGCAGTGGCCGCTTACAGGGAGACAATTGCGAGCAACGGAAGGGGCGGACTTGTCGAAACATACGCTACCATGTGGCACGGCTGGATGGGTGCTCGGGCGAACTTGGACAATCAAGAGAGCCGAAACGAGTATACGCGCGGGTGAGTAGTCTGCGAATCAAGGGATTACGCTATCACGCTCATAAGTTGACATGTTGACAGGTATAGTCAGCTGGCAGACTTCTTCGAGAGGCACTTGCGCTAGGCCTCCAATGCCTCTGCTTTTGTCCCGGGTGCATGCCTACGCGGTGGTATCCCGCTGCTGTTTATCTAGAGAATTCAATAGCTTGCATCAATCATTTCGTCGTGATTTGCTGGCACAATTTTATGTGCATGAAACTTAATGTATTTGTAATTGTACACTTTCGTTGGCATCAATGGCACAGCATCACCAGCCATGGTCAACAGCAATGGCCAAATTGTCGTAGTCCAGACACCACCGCACTGCACTGCGTAGATCCTTTTACACCACAGAAACTGCCTCAAAGGGAACCAGAATCGGGTGAAGCGGGGTTAAGATTGCACCGACCACGCAAGCCATACCTTGTTGGGTAACTCGCTAGCCGGATAACACCTAGTTTACGAAATCTCCGGTGCCGGCCCGTTGACGGCATCGGAGCTGCAAACCCGGCTATCAATTCATGGGAATACAAGTAGCGAGGAAAGACAGCGGGGGTAGGTCTACAACTGGTGATATTCTGACAAACTCTTCGCAATGAGATCGGGGATCTCGGCAAATTGCCAGATTGACACTGTTGCACCGCAGACCGTCGACAATCTAGAACCAGCCGATCCAGCCAACAACGTCTCTTCGGACGCCTATCACATAGTGGATGCAGAGGGGGCCAAAAAGGATGCAGTAACACGCGATTCTGTGTCCACCAATGCCCCCTATAGCATCTTCCCAAAGGGCGAGAAACTCTTGGTCATCATCGGAGGCTCGTTGGCGGGTCTGATCTCCCCTCTTTCCAGCAGCATTTACTTGCCGGCTCTGAATTCCCTGGCGCAAGATATGCATGTTTCAGTGTCATTGATCAACTTGACCATTACCACCTATCTGGTAACGTGAGACAATCTATAAGGACGTTTTGCACTATCGTATTAATCACGCCCATAGATCTTTCAAGGATTGGCACCTTCGTTCGTCGGTAGCTTCTCGGATATCTATGGACGACGTCCGGCATACATAACTGCGTTGACTATTTATCTCGGAGCCAACATTGGTCTTGCGTTGCAGAACAACTATGCCTCTTTGCTGGTCTTGCGGTGCATGCAATCGTCCGGCAGCAGTGGAACCATCGCGCTAGGCAGTGCAGTGGTGACCGATCTGTCAACACGAGCTGAACGTGGCAAATACATTGGATATGCAGGCCTTGGAATCGCGTTGGGTCCAGCTCTTGGGCCAGTCATTGGAGGCCTATTAGACCATTTCCTCGGTTGGAGGTCCATTTTCTGGTTTTTGGTTATCCTGTCTAGCGTATGTTTTGGTCTCATATTGGTTGGATTTCCAGAGACTTGTCGGGCTGTTGTGGGCAATGGCTCAGTCATGCCCCCGAGGTGGAATCGTCCCGTATGGGCCATTGTGGCACGAAGCTCGCGATTCAATACAGCGCCAGAAGCACCCAACTACACCACCGTTCAGAGCTTGAAACGCCGTCCAAATCCAATTTCGTCTCTGAAAATTGCCACACAAAGAGAGGCAGGCCTTATTCTAATGTACGGAGCTCTCCTCTATGCAGGCTACATGGCAGTACTCAGCACTCTCTCCACACAGCTATCCAGCCGCTTTGGGTTTAATTCAATCGAAATCGGCCTTTGCTATCTTCCACTTGGTGTGGGGAGCATGAGCTCACGGTGGACGGTGGGCAGGCTATTGGATTGGAATTTCCGTCGCGAGGCACGTCGGCAGGGGTTACAGATTCAGAAAAATCGGCAACAAGAGATCCTTCATTTCAACGTCGAGCGCGCGCGGCTGTACATAACTCTACCAATGATCTACGTTTCCAGCCTTTGCATTCTTGCATATGGATGGGTTATGGAATATCGAACCGCCCTAGCTGGTCCTCTCGTGATGTTATTTTTTACTGGTCTTACCACCACTGGGGCATTCAACACTCTAAATACTTTGGTGGTAGATATCAATTACGAGACCCCAGCTACCGCTGCTGCCGCAAACAACCTTTTTCGTTGCCTATTGGGTGCCGGAACCACAGCCATTGTAGGTCCAGTAATCGATTCCATTGGAATTGGATGGACTGGGACTATAATTGCAGGTCTCTGGGTTCTTTTCAGTCCAAGCTTGTGGACAGTCCTGTATCTGGGTCATAGCTGGCGACAGAAAAAGGCCAGCAATCGGCAAGGTGGACCGTGAAATTCAGAGCACTGCCTCTCCTCTGCATTACGCAAATGAGAAAGTAAATTTTTCCAATGTATGTAGATAGAGTATATTACAAAAAGGATATTGATATTGCAGTTTCTTACCACTTAAGATAGACGTCGTCAGTACGTATATACGCTATAGATCTAACTACTAGGGAAAATTGATATTTATAAAACATAATGGATCCTGGTATTGCAGCTGCACAATTCTTTTTTTAAAAAATTGGTTTTGGCCAAATACTGAAAGACAACAGAATAAAGCAGTGGGACAGGATTCATCACGTCAAAAAATGGCATACACTGACTCCTTGTCAGAGATAGTCCTCAACACCGGCATCCATGTCAACTTTCCGGGGAGCAGAAGCCTTTAGATCGTCCATGTAATATGCCAAGTCGCCCGCCCCGTGCTTATCATGGACACTTTCTCCATTCCCAAGGAAACGGAATCGGTTCTTGGAACGATACTCGATGTTGAAATGCTCACCACCAATATTTTCGAGGCAATCTTTGTAGTGTAAGATGGAGCCCGGATACACGCCAGTGACATGCCCAGATCGCTTGCCGTTCTTATACCAGCTTCGGCAACCGTCAGACCACACCATGCGCTTTAGGAACTCCTGAGCATAGACATTGTAGTCATCCACAGCCTCGCGCTTGACATCGATTGATCTATCATATTTCGATAAGTTATTATTTCGCCAAGTCCGACAGAGACCAGCCCACTTACTTGATATCCTCGGTAGCAATCTTCTTGGTCCATTTCAAGATGTAGTCGCACGTCCACGATATCTCTGTCAACACTGAGCCATGGGAAATTGGACAGTTGGGTCCGTTGAAGATGAAGTAGTTGGGCATAGTGTCTACCTGGACAGTAAAGAAAGCTTCTGGGTTTGTTTTCCAGCGCTCATCCAGGACCGCACCATTTCGACCGACCAATTTCCAAGAGGGAATGAACGTTGTATCAAATCCGGTGGCACAGACAATCATGTCAAACTGTTGCTCATTGCCATTTTTGGTTTTGATTCCATGTTCTGTGATTCGTTCAATAGGATCAAAAGCCAAGACAGCGTTTGAGTTGGCAAATGCTTCCAAATATCCATCTCCAGGAGTGAGACGACGACAGCCAGGGTTGAATTCAAGGGAAAGCATTTTAGATACTACCTCAGAATTGCTAATGCCTTTCATACGCTCCGCCATCTGCTGCTTGCAAGCCACTGTCAATCCTAGCTGGAACGGGTGGTCCTTGTACATGCCGTAGAAAAATCCGTTCACGCTAGACAGTCCATCGGGTCAGTATTGAGAGTATATAGCGGAGTGTGAAGGTTATCACTTGCCTGGCCTCCAGTTCCCGTCTGTACTTAAAGTGAGCTTCAGCATCGTCGGCGAATTCCTTTTTCTGCTCCTCCGTGTACTTGAAATTGCTTCCATTGTGCGTTTTCTCGACGCAAAAGTTGACCGATACCCAGGTCGGATTGCGAACAAAATTAACGAGTTGCTTGACCTTAGGCTGCATGGCCGCTACACACTGAATACCGGATGAGCCATTCCCAATCACCGCGACGCGTTTGTTGGCCCAGTCAAAGTCGTGGTCCCTATAGCGAAAGTCACTATTACTGCAAAATCAATTTTATGCCGTTTGTATATCTTACCATTTGGACGTGTGGACCAACTTTCCCTTGAAATCCGACAGACCATCGATAACCGGCCAATTGGTCTTGCTATATTTCGGGTGTTGTCAGCATCGCTGCCATGGGAAATCGCAGGAGAATCCTACCTCAAAAACCCGGTAGCGTTCACCAGGATATCGGCCTCATCTTGTTTGAGCGCTCCAGCCTGATCAACTTGAATTTTCCATTTTCCTAGCTCATCATCCCAGACTGTTTCTCTGACGTGTGAATTAAATTGTATATCCCTGTCGAGATTCCACTTTTTCGCTGTGAGCTGGATGTACTGGTGGATCTCTGACCCGGAGGCGTAAAAGTGCGACCAGTTAGGATTGGGCTCGAACAGGAACGTATAGGCATCTGCATCAAGGTTAGGTAAAATTGAAGGAATTAAGTAAGATATTCGTACGAGCAGGAATGTCACTGCATTCAAGTTTTAGTTCCCTGATAGCTATGAAGAAGCAGTATGACTTACCAGGCGACTCCCGGGTACGTGTTCTCGAACCAAGTCCCGCCCACCTTGGAGTTCTTTTCGTAGATTACCAGTTCAATCACATCGTTGATTTTTAGCTCATGATAAATCTTGTGTGCTAACGTCAAGCCCGAATAACCGGCTCCAATACAGACCACCCGGAGCTTACGTCGTGCGTAGACAGGATGATCCGCGCAAGCGACCCAATTCTCGGGTGTCTCACCATTAGCCACTCGGTTGGCTGGGGTTTCAATTGGGGGATGGCCGTTTTGCAATCCGTTGGAAGCCATTCTAGGAGAAAGGTTTTGAAAATAAGGGACGACACTGAGGGAACGGAAAGGAATCGGTGATAGAACTGTGGGTACAAAAGAAGGATGGAAGCCCCCTTTAATATGCATTGTGCTAGTCAATGCGTTTTTCACCCCTATTACTTTAGTTCGGGGCCTAAGATTCCACGAGAAGAAACCACCAATCTCTCCGGGGATAGGTCCGCACCGTTACGATACATTAATAACAACAGCATCCTCCATGGGACCGTGAACACTTAGCAGAAAGCTCACTTAGCTAGTCTTCCTGGACTCCTGGACTGACTGAACAGACAAACTACCACAGATGAAACGATTATTATGTGGATATGCTCCTTTTTCTCGATAGAAACATCCTCCCCTGTGGCCTGAAACTGGTGAGACTCCATTTTTGTTGATCAAGTGATGCGAAATGACCGTTGTCTCTTGTACGTAACCAAAGCTGACAGTATCGCTCCCGCAGTCATTAATGGTCTGCTTGAAGCCTATCCAGATAAACGTTCCAACCGGATCCAACTGATTAGCACGGCTGTTGTGGATCTTGCTAGTTACTCAATGTGTCGACGTGCAGGTCAAATTGCTAAGTTATACTTACGGAGTACTCCGTATGGGGCGGACCACTTCGTTACTTTTTATGGTGGGGCCCAGGATTTTCTAAAGCAGCGTATGGAGTACATAGCTCCCTAAATGGTCGGCTTGTTCAAGAAGGCGGCGGACAGAGCAGGCGATCCGGGATGCCCCACACTCCAAAAGGGGGTTAAGGTTGGTATGACAGGCTCCTTGACAGCGGAAAGCGGGGCTGTTGAGTCTAGGAGCAAAACGTCAGTAACCACACGCGGAGGGAGCGGGAAGGGGAATAGTGACTGGTAGAAAAGTTAAACAGGAAATTCCGTTCGCTCGCCACAAATGTCTAGCGGTCTGCCTGTGAAACGGACTACGCTTAAACGAGCGCGGCCGGGAACGCTAACATTGTTCCCCGCTCCCTTAGTACCACGTAGACGAAGTTGAGAACTATCTTCCAAATGGTCCAGGATGCGTTGCTCGAAATCAGCTCCCCGGCTTCTTGCTGCAAGTGAAAACTTCCGGCCTGCCGTGTCACTACTATTTATGGTATGCTACATTATTCATTTTCATAAGTAGTTTCTGATGACGGTCGTGGCTCAGGGGGAGTCAGGAACCGGCATGGCCAAGACCTGGAATCGGGGATCACTAGGAAGAGCCGAAGAAGAAGCGGAGAGAGATGATAATGGTATTCCTAGATTCCCAGAAGGGAAGGTCTATCTACAACGGCGGTGGGCGCTGACACCTCAGGCACCCACTCACCTTCATCAGTTTCTTATCGATAACTACGGTAGGCCTTTCTCGCGCTAAGCAACCCGATTGCTATTAGCATGACAAAGAGGTTTTAAATGTACACAATAATGAGAGGTCTTTTTCTTCCTAGGGGTTTTAGCCGGCGGGCCCCAGGATTTCCATCAGAGTAACAGGACTTCTTGTTGTCGGTCAACTTCGAGAGCAGAATAGTAGCGCCTTTATGAGGGCATAGCTCAAGGCATTATTTCCCGGTGGCTGTGTAATGCCCCTAGTTATTGTCTCGTATTTCGAGATTGTCCCCAGCTGACTTCCACATCATGTTTGACCGTGATGTTACCCTCGGAATCTCCACGTTCTACATCGTGATCGTCACTAGCCGCGTCCTCTCTGACAGATCGTGACCCATTGATATCATTCATCAGCTGAACTTCATCGACGCACCCAAAGTCATTGATACTGAACAGTGAGTCCTTGGGTATCTTGTTTGATCGTGACTTTTGAAACCAATTCGCGGTACCCGGACGGCGATTTGCGCTCGGGTTGCTGCTAGGGCCGGGGCTTGATGATCGACCTGTCCTTACCGATGACCACCAGCGGCGGAAAAAAGGACCGAATGTTGGAAGGCAAGCACATATAATACCCACAAAGGGCTCGACGGATGACCAAATAAAGACCGGCGCCATTGTCCACGTGGCATCTGTGCCGTGAGTATTTGTCTGTAGTGCGAGGATTCGACAAATACTGGCGGCGCAAACACTATTCGTCACACAAAAAGTTAGTTAGTAATGCACAGTCCAGTAGAATTCACGAGTTCGGAATGCACATACAAACTGCCGAGAAGCAGGATACCCATCACCGCTATCTTCTGAGAAACCGGCATCTGCAATCCGTAGATAATGGGAATTGGCATGCAAAGAATGATCACATCAATGAGCATAGCACCAATCCCATTGCCGAAGAAGAATGTTGGAACATCAATACAAACACCTTTTGCAATTTCTGGATCCGTATATTCCAGCCAAAAGAAAGACAATGGTCGGCAAGCCACAGATATGGTCACTATAATAGTAATCCAGTATCCAATGACCAAAAACAGGCATATCCCTAGCATCCAGCGGAAGTTGAAGATTCGGCCATAAAACATCACGATAGAGGCCTTGGTACATGTGACGGCGGTTGCGTAGATCATCACGTACGCAAACAAAATCTACATTTTCTCTCATCAGTTCACCATCGTATATAGTAAGTAGGAGCGATTCATGCCTTCCAGACTGTGATGAACTCCTCCTTGGACAGAGATTGCAAATGATATCCATTGCCAAAAGGAATGCCTGATAGTCTTCAGTCAACGTCGTAATGAGAGAATATTTCAAGGGGCCGTACTGATAAAGCAAGATATTGCTGTTCCCCACGAGAAAAGCTTTGTAGTACGTCTATTAGTGATAGTGCAGGAGCATATAAAAGCGTGTCTCACCAAAGCGGCCAGAATCAAGTAGTCATCCACTGCAAGCTTGAGATCTTTGGATTTGGATCGTGCCACTAATCGTATGCCAACTGCCACTGTACCACAGGCAGCAACAGGAATAACTGCCCCAAGCAGTTTTCCATCCTGGTTCTGGCTCAAGTCAACACCTGGAGGTGCAGGTCCAAAAGCACCAGTTGCCGTAGTGCTTGGCATGTTGTTTGCCACTCGAAGAAATACAAAGTCTTGAAAAGCAGAATTAATGCCAACCACAATGGTTTTGGTCAAATGCCGCAAATGGAATCACACCTGCACCGGTAAGGAGCATTTGTAAGTGTTTCCAACCCACACCTAGAGGGTTTTGACAGGTCTATTTAATGAATCAGAGCTGAAACGACCTCGATGTATGCTAGTAGAACTTCAGAGGTCAAAAGGACCAAAAGTCTCAGGAACATGAGTATCGGCTGTTGACAGTTGCCTTGACAAGGGACTTGCCCACTTCCTTGGGCCCAAATGGCATTTACTCTGATACGTGAAAACTCCGAAAAAAGCCTCAATTGGTTAAAACAGGCGTTGCTGAAGGCTAGACTCGTGGGTGTAACTCACTTCCACCTGATCACCAGTGAGCAGCCCCAATCAACCACTTTGGAGGGGGGCAAAGCGCCGGGGCCCCACTTTCCGGTTCCTTGACAGTTGGTGACCCACCGGCTAGTCAACCCTCGGGCGCTGTCATGTTGGATTAACTTCATTTGACAGCGGCGATCCCATCCCCGGATACTGCCACTCGATTTTTATCGGCCAGACTAGGCCTATAAGTGTTGAAATTAGACGGCGGCACGGACTAAACCTCCCAATGGCGTGACAACGGATGTACTCTGAAGATCGGAGAGGTAAATAGGGGAATGAGCCGGTGATATCAGAGAAAAGATCAGCAATTGTAGCGGAAATGCAGCAGTGGCTGCCATGTCTCCCCCTAAAGCTACTCTATTCGAGATGTTCTTTGGGTAGGCTTGTGTCACGCTGGAATTCCTTTGGATATATAACTTATACGAAACCAATATGAAGTTCTGTTTTCGCCACGGTTCTGTCGAAGTCTACTCGTGCCAACCCTGGAATGGGCCCATACGTAATAAATTATTGCTTCCCGCGATACACAAATCTTTGATTTTTCATCTGCGCACGTCCACCTTTCCGAAACAAAACCAGCCAGAATTACACCGGTTAAATGAAGTGGATAGCTGTGTCATCTAAAATCCGAAAGTTGAATCAAGTCCGCCCAATCCCCCACTGTTGTCACTGCTATCACTATTCCCATGAGTCTTATTATCCCTGCCACTGCCCCCCAGACTTGATGCGAGGAATGCCGTGGTGCTACCGATAGCCCCCGTGACTCCGGTAATGGTCCCAGACCCGATTTTTAACATGTCATCAAATCCACTGTTGGTAATACCCGTAAGATCCTGTAGAGCCTGTTTTCCAGCGGCTGTAACCACCTGGCCACTCTCGTCCAAAGTGCCAAGCACGCTACCAGTCAAGGACAGAACCAAGGCGCCGGGAGGAACCAACAGCAAATTGGCCATATCACCAGCCAGTTGCGGAAATGTTTTGAATCCCTCGAAATTGCTGGATTTCGTCTCGTCCTGGCTGTATTTCACACGGGTCGAAGCGATTGCTACTTGTATGGGTGCTGGCTGGCTGTTGTCTCCAAGTTGAAATGCAATGGCACGACCAGAGGTCTGTTTTTAATGATTAGCCAAAGACGCAACGCTTAAAACACATGTGAACGAATAACTTACGGCATAAACCATCACGTAGAGCCTCTCTTTCAAGAAGATTTCAACGGAATCTTCGTCATCGGTGTCCAAAGTGGAATCCACCGCTTTAAAATAAGCCTTGAGATCGCTAAGTGTGAACTGTGCGCGGCATCGGAGACCGGATGCCTCCTGCTGAACACAATTCGAGCAGACCTCTCCGTTTTCATTTTCCCCCGGAGCGCTGAAGTTATAGATATCTCCAATTTGTTCGCTCCGTGGGTCTTTATTCTGGCCACGCCTGAGGTACAATTTGATGACATAGGGCTTTCCTCCAAACAGATATCTGGACTAGTGTGAGATGCCGGGTTGATTCACGTCTTCTTCCACTCACTTATTGTATTCAATGTTTACAACAACTTCCAAATCTCCCTTTTGGCTCGCTCCTTGCTTCAGTACTTGTTTCCGATAGGGAGAATACTTTTGGTTGATCTCTGTCCAGATGTCTTCTTTGATCTGAGCATCACTGCGGCCTCGGCGCTGCAACTGTGGATAAGTATAATTGAACTTGGCAATGTCTCGAACGTCATTGGAAGTAAGGCTACTCTCTTTAGTCTTTCGGAAAGGCGTCAATGGCGTATCCGGACCGCGCTCCCTGACGAGCGCATTCTCCTCTCCTTGATCCTCAGTCCAGACGTTCCCTTCCTTATTGACTGGCTGACCACTTGTATTTGCCACTTTTTCGGACCTTTTTTCAAACCAGCTAATTGAGTCTGCCTTGTCGTTGTGGAGGAATTGCCACATGGAAAAGAAACGTTCAATATTCCTGTGCCCATCATTACTAGTGGATCAAGCAATGTGCGTAAGATAGGTTTTACTTACGCATGATGTAGCCAGAAGAAAGGATCACTGTAAAAAGCCTCGGTTAGGATATGGCCCCGCTAGATAGTGGGGAAAACTACTCACAAGGAAGCAACGGGTACCTGGGACATATGGCCATTGTTGTCTCCACCAACCCACCAGTGGATGCTGTTGTGAATAGCCTCCAAGCTCTGATACCAATGCCCTTGCGGCAACTTATTGGAACCTGCAGTGGCTTCTCCAAGCCCACCAGCACTAGCAAAATTCTCATAGTTGGTTGAATATGTGAACATACGATACACATTCTCTGCTGCCCTGCTACCTCCGTTGAATTTGGCAAACTTCTCGTGGATCTCCTTGGATGCATCATCTGTCTCGCTAATATTGACCCATGGCAAGGCTTTGAAGTTGGCGTAAATTTGTTCGTTGTCAATTTCACCCTCCCGCCACTTCTTGTATTCTGCCGTATGAGCTTCCGTGCTAGTGTAATATTTGGCTTTCGGGCATCGGCTAAGACCAGTGCAGTTACCATACTGAGTGTTGTTAGCGAAAGGAAACAGGATGTCCGGGATATATCAACCAGCCAAGGCACTTACAAGCACCTTCTCATTTTCGTCGGCTTGAAGAAATGAAACACCATAATCTCCCATAGTTTTACCCTCCGGCATGGAAAATTTATAGAGAGGATTCGCAATTGGTCCTTCATGTCCTGGAATGAAGATAGGAACAACGGCCTCCCAGCTGTCAGGCGGGAGCCAGTCACGCTTGATTTTATCGGCGGCGGTCTTGTTTTTCGGCAGCTCCGGACTAGGCATGGCCCAGTCCCAATACGGAACGCGGAACTTTTCAATTTCCTTCTTCCACTTCACCTGCTCAGCGGATGGGATCTTGGGCAAGACCTCTTGCATCAAAACCTCTTGCAGTCGTTGCTATGACCAGGTAGGTGAGTATCGATGATCATTTTTGAATTTGGTGGCTCGTTCATACCTCATACATGACCAGGTACGGCCGATGCCAACTCGGGAACAAGACCGTCGTATGAGTGCAGTACCCGATTGTTTCATTGAGGCCGATTTTCTGGGTTTCCTCCTCATTCCATTGCTTGTATGGCATGCCATGGATACCTAGGAAATACGCTCAAAATAAATGCAAGAATTCTACTTGGTAAAGTAGTGAACATCAGACGTACCGGCAATTTGAAAATACGACAGGGGATGGTCGGCAGGTATATCATACCACTTTCTCAGACCGAGAAGGTACAACTGCCATTGGCCTTTGTCTTTATACAGATCATGTATCTCCTGCCGGGCGTAAATTTCTCCTTCAGCGCTCCTGCCACCCACTGCGCCTTTCACGAAGTAGTCAATCTTTGTCATAATGTAAGGTTCAAAGGAGCTCAATGCAATGGTCGAGTATATTTGTCAATGAATCAAAACTATACCACTCACTCGATTGTTAGGAGCCAGCCATGCTTTTATACAATCCCCTGAGGCCGGAAAGGCACCGCTTAGGTGGTACCGCCCATAACAAGTAACATTCAAAATCTATAGCGCATTTTAGTTCTTTCAATAATCTTTCTGTGCAAATGTGCTAGTACTGCAGCTCACCTGCATATCACTATAAACTAATCAGGCATGGTAATATAGTGTAAGACGGACCACTAGGGTTATTATAAAGCTACATTGATTGGAATATTATCCTTACATGCATTTATTGGTAATGATGAAATGGTTGTGAAACGATAACTAGTAGATCAGATATTCAATAATCAGGCATTTCTTTTGCCGATGCTTATCACTCCTCATTTGGCATCAAGAACCACACAGAATCACACGCCACGACTCCATTAAGAGGCAATGAATTTCATGCACCATAATTTATTACTAGATATTAACACCTCAAAACGGCATGCGAAATCAAGTCTCTAGTACTAAATGATCTAGGAGAGAGGGCATAACATATATATATATTGGTCCCTTAGTCCGAATCATGAGTGTCGCCATAGCTGTCGATTGAAAGTCATAGAAAAAAGGCGTCTAACGTAACTCAGCCGGATATAGAAATAATACAGATTGAGTTTCCCACTACGACGACAGGCGATGAACATGACACCATCTTCTCGCATGAATGCTTATCTTTGTTCATTTGCCTATTGATATGTTGCTTCCTACATTAGAATATTTCGTGCCAAAGACGACCAGAAGCACTGATAGATCAAAGTGAATGCTGGAGGATTATTGAGCATTAGTATTGCCAATCAAGTGTGGTGTGTCAAAGCATCCAAACCCTTTCACAACACTCATCTCGTCAATATCCGCGTGCTTCGTTTTGAATGTCCAGCCCGCAACAGAATTGCTAAGGAGTTTATATTGGCTACCGGGCGCGTCTGGTGCCTGCCACAAACACGATCCTAAAACACCAAGCTCGGAGATCACTTCTCCACCTTCAACTCCCGCCGGACTCATCAAAATATTCATCCCATGTGGAGAGTCGATGCGCTCCATCAACACATATGAAGACCACGTCGACTGGGGGATGGAGGCTAAAAACTCAGGAATTGCGCTGCCAAAAATGTTATGCCCCCCACCTTCCAAAGACGGCTTCAGAATATAACCTTTTGACCGGTCCGGATCAGTTGCCAGTTGTTGAGCATGATTGCCTGCTTCAGAATCATCGAGCGGAAAGATGGACACAAATGTTTCCCGAACCGCTGCGGCCTTGCCATCCGGCAGAAAACGCTCCAGTGTACCAGGAATGGTCAACGCTTGCTGCACCTTCTTGAAGGTAGACAGATGGGAGAGAAGCGAAGGACACTTGATGGCGGTTGATTTCTCCAGCTGCAGACGGGCTTCCCATCCGATCGCATTGTATTCGCGGGCTTCATAGCCCGCGCGCATGTATACCACGGAAATCTCCACTGGCGCCTGCAACCCCAACCAGGGTGGATGAAAGAGCAATTCACGCGACGCGGTCAGCCATGTGTGTTCCAGGACATCTGGGCCGAAGTCAAGGCGGTATGCCGGGACCGGCGTCTCTTGATCCCACAGCGCGTACTCGATCGGCCGCTCATCCGCGATGTTGAAGTTGTAGGGCTGCACCACGAAAAGGACAGCGGTATGCGACGCTTGCAGGCATTTGCGCGGTCCGTAGGCGGCATGAGCCGTTGCCAAGCAAGCGGCCAGCGATCGAATGTTCTTGTTCTGGGGCAGGGAGGCCAGATCGATGGAATCCGTGTCATACCCCTTCGCGTGATACGCCCCGGTCCGCGTCAGGTAGCGATGCATGTCCGCGACTTTGTTTGCATGGGCACCTCCGGAACACGAGAATGCATTGAACTCGACCTGTTTCAGGGTGATGGCTGAGTCCTGGCCCCGATGCAACATATAGTCCGAGCGAAAGATGCCCGCCGAGATGTGCTGGACGGGGCCGGCGGCTGCGGCTGCCTCATAAATGCCCCAAAGCGCGGCGGCCAGGGGCTCAACGGGAATGAGGTCCCTGATTGTGTCCCCGATCCATTGCGCATCCTCGGCGACGGCACAGTACAGTTCGTTGTAGGTCTGCTGCAGATCTAGGGCTTGCTGGAAGTGCGACCGGGGGAAGGCCGAGGGAAGTACGGCGACGCCGACTGGGTGAGCGATAGAGCTGTGTACAGATTCTCGGCGGATAAGCTTGAGCAGCGACCCGTGGTTAACCTGCCAGTCCTTGATCTGGGTGATCAGGGCTAGCACCTGCTCCTCGTCGAGCGCTTCCATGGTGGTGGTCACTAATAGTAGTCCGTGTTTCCTGGTCGGAGGAAGTGGATGACGTCAACAGTCACCAACCCCTAACTACTCACGGTCCCCTGCACGTCTACACCAGTATATCATGGTCCGATTTCCGCCCAGCACAATGCGTCGATGTGATATCATGCATCCATCGACATCATGCAAGATGGCCCTGAACTGCCATGCACTACTCTAGTGTCTGTATCTTCAGCGTGTTGCGTGTGATCGAGCTCAGGCACTATCAGACAAATAACCTCTCTTGTGAGTGATCCCACGGCAGCTCTCGCATCGCATGGGCACTAACGTCCTTCTCCTTTGTGCAGCCAGCAGTTAATTGACTCTGTTATGGACGATCCTCGAATTAGACATGGTCATCATCTGTGGCTCGCTGCTGCTGATGATACCGGTGCTTCAGTCTTGCACGTGGTGGATGCGAAAGAGTATTACCCAGTTAAGCAGCCGCTCACAATCCCAAAGCTCCGCCGGAGCAGTCAGAGGCACCCCGTCGCTCCAAGAATCCGGTGTGAGCCAGGTAGGACTCCCTGATTTTCCTTTCAGCGCCTCCCCCATGACAAGGCCCGACGAGGCAGAGGTATATGGCACTGCCCAAGAACGAGGACATCCGGCCCATCACACCATCTGGGTCGGAAGTCGGGTTCCACAGCCGGGTGGACTCTGCCATCCCCCAGCATCTACGAGGGCGTTGTATTGAGACCTTTTTCTTCCGTAGAGAAATACATAGATAGTAATGCCCGTAATCAGCCACATCACGCAACAGCCGGCCAAGTCGGCTTAGTTTGAATTTCTTTTTCTTTTTCCATCCCCACAAGTCACAATCATATCCTCTCCTATTGCTGGCCACGTGGCTTCAGCTCCGCCCGGCCTGTCCGCTGGCTACGTCCTTCACTAGGGCTACGCTACAGTGTCCTAGTATCTCCAGCTACGCTCTGCCGCCAGTCTATCCTCCAAACCCCTTTGCCAAGCGGCCACCATCGAAACGAGCAGTTGGCTTGGTTGCTACGTTACCCGCGAGAATGACATCTCCCTGATCGGAATAGGTCTGATTATCGGGGACGGGGGATGGTATTTCCATAACGCAGACATGGCAGTGCATCCGGGGCATCAGAAGAAGGACCTGGGAGACACCATCCTCAGGGCTTCACTAAAGACTTCTTCGTAATTCGTAGCCAATCCCCTGTCAACATGCATGGGAAGCGGATATGGCTACCAAATTTGAACGGTCGAAATATATATATATATAGTTGCTCAGCAAGGACTGTAATAATCTGAGCGAACAGTTGGATCATGTTTAGACTGCACTACCGCGAACAACCGTTTTCTCAACCATTTATTCATAATGGATTAATCTTATGTATAATCAACGCTGGAATAATTATGCGGCTCGACCCGGCTGGTTTCGTGTCGCAGACCTCCCGAGGCAAGGCCAAATAAGGAATAAGATCGGCGTCTTGCGTGTGCAGAAAGGGGCGCATCATCATCGCCTGGGAACTCCGTTGTAAGTTGTTTATAACTAACGGTTGGGGTCAGCTTGCAATCGATTCTCGATTTCTAGCAAGTGCTGAAGGTACCGTCAGCCATGCACTTTAACCTGCTAGGCACTATTTTGGCCGCTCTGTCCCTCCTAGCGCCCACCCACGCCATTAATATCATCTCCTCCAACGATGATGGCTGGGCCGAAGCCAATATCCGGGCTCTATTTCAGTCATTGACAGCAGCTGGACACTCAGTGGTGGTCTCGGCACCGGCTGAGAACCAAAGCGGAACAGGTCTGTCTATCCAAGTGCTCCCGGATGCTTCACTTGATACTCATCCCCTTTGGTCACAATAGGATCCTCCCAGAAGGCTCCCACCAAGCTTACCGAGCCCTGCGAATTCAACAGCTGCCCTGCTGGAAGTCCCGCAGTCGGATACAATGCCTCTCAACCTCGCTTAAACTATGTCAATTCGTACCCAGTCTCTGCCATGAAACATGGTATCAGTCACCGTTCGCCTCAGCTCTTCGGCGGTGCGCACCCGGATCTAGCCGTAGCGGGGCCCAATGTGGGTGTGTTGCCGTACCAACAAAGCTGTTGCTAAAAGCAATACTAATAGCTTGTTCAAGGGTATAACATTGGCCTTGAAGTCTTTTTTTCGGGGACAGTAGGGGCGGTCACTTACGCCGCCTACGACGCCGGTATTCCCGCTGTCGCCTTCTCCGGGTCAAGTGGAAGTCAGACGGCGTGGAATGCCTCTGCATCGCTACCGCACTACAGCGATGTCTATGCAGCGCTAGCAACCAACCTGACTGACCACTTGATTGCAGCAGGGAAACCCTATCTGCCGTCGGATGTATGGCTCAATGTCAATTTTCCTTCTGTGTCCGATTCACAATGCTCCAGACCCGAAGACATCGCCTTCGTCCTGTCGCGCATCCACATAGCTGTACCATTTATCACACCAGATGACGTGAGGACATGTGGCACTTCGCGATTGCCTAGTGAGATCGCCGTGTCACTGGCCTCTGGCTGCTATGCGAGCGTGTCGGTTGGAGTGGCTAGCACCAAAGAAGATGCCAATTCCACTGTACAGGCTGTTGCGCTCAAGAAACTCAGCAAGATTCTTACATGCTTGCCGACATAGTGATGGCTGCTTCTGGAGATTACCCGTAACGCTTAACGCTTTGGGTAGCGTGCAATATGCATCGGACATGTAGAAAACCACCAGCTCTTGAGTACGCTTGCTCTCATATGCATGTACAAATCAAACCCTAAGCAGATTTATCATTCAATATCTTCTCTCTCGCTTTGAAAGTATCTACCTCTCGGCATCAGAACGTCCCAAGGGGAGGTCGAAAACAAGTGTTTAAAAAGGGGAGTTCTCTTTCTACTGCTTCGCTCTGCCAAATCGCCTCAGGATGGAGACGCTTACTGCCCGTAGTCTCACGGGTTTCCCCATATGCGTTCAGCCAATTGCTTAACTAGCAACAGCTTCTCCCACATCCGCTCCATCGTGACCCCATACCCTCCGCCAGCACTCATGCTAGAAAATCCACATTGGGGACTGACACCTAGAGAGGTATCAATGACCTCTGCGGTGCTGCGACCTTGCCCTTGGCCAATTATGCGCGCTGCAGCATTCACTCTGGCAGTGAGCTCATCGATATCTTCCATGTCTGGTGACTTGGTTGACACGACGCCCAACACCACGTTCTTCCCGGTAGGTAAATGGCGAAGCGGTTCAAAATCACCAGCGCGGTCAGTATCGTACTCAAGATAAAAGGTGTCATAGTCGAGTTCCGTGAACATTTTTTTCGCGATCCTTTCGTATGATCCGCTCATTATATGTGTTGATCCCGCCATGTTACCACGACACAAATGCAGGCCGACATGCAGATCATCTGGCTTTCCCGTCAGACATTGGTTGTGGGCCCAGATGTATAGATCAAGCAATGCGTCTGGATCAACACCATCTGCCTCGCAGCCCGACCGGAACTCATCTGTTACGAAGAATAAAAGACATGGGTCATCTATCTGAATTGAACGCAACCCCGCATCATAAAGCACACGAAACTCGGCTGTGTACGCCGCTGCAAGATCGGCGAAGTATTCGCGGTCATCCTTATAGACCGATGCGCGATAGGCAGTGCCTTTAGCCATTTGCATCTAAGCTTCGTCAGTGAAGCATAGGGACAGAAGGAGATAGAATTGATCCTCAGCTTACATGACCATGGGTGACAGGTGGCATTGTCAGCTTGCATTCGCGCCACTGCTCCGGTGCAAGGAGGCTTCGGAGGGCATGCCACTCTGATAGGTAGGGGCTATGTGTGTGGCATATATGGTCCACAGCCACAATCGAATCCCGAGTAGAGATCTCAAGTTCCTGGAGGATCCTGACTGTGGGAAAGCTGGTCCGATAGCCCTCAGGAATCGGGATAGCTTTGATAACCTCGATCCCGGCGAGGTTCTCAAAGAAACCTGAGTAGAATACAACGCGTTCATATTCGCCCGACATGATTGGGCGAATGCCAAGTTCCAATTGTTTGGTCACGGCCGTACCGATTGCAGCCTTGGTTGGTTGATGAATTTCCTTGGGGATTTGCGAGTACGGGGCCGCCACGCCAGCCGCTTTCCGGACAGCCAAAAGTTCCGGGGGCCGCATGAGGGAGCCAATTTGCTCGGCACGAAAGATGGGGGTCATATTTGTGAAGGGAAAATAATCTTTAATCGAGGTATTCGGAGTAGGGGTGGCTTTTAGAAGTGTGGACGTGGGAAGGTGCAGACTGTATCCGGGATCGGGGATTCGGTCTCCGATGCCGTTGCTTTGCATGTGGGGGAATTGCGGATCCATTTGTGGGGAAGAGATTACGAGGTAATCAATCGCGCGGAACACCGTTTACCTAATCTAAATAGTTCTATCTTGATTCTTCTTCCAAGTCCGTTTCTGGCCCCAGTCGTTTTACTCGGATCGGGCACTCTTCGTCTTTTTGCTTCTCAATTTCATCATCAGGAAAACCAAGGCGTACGATGAAACGCAGAACAATGCTGTGATACCGGTCTGTTGATTAATGGGAGACATGGTCAGCATACCAGAAATTAAGCAGAAGCAGGTCTACTCACGTCTCGCCAAGAATAGTAATTTTCCTTGAGATTGAAGGTCTGGGCGTAGTCTGCGCCCTTGGAATACTGGCAGAACGAACAGGTTTCGGTGGAATTTCCATCCAGAAGGTAGCCGGATTGTGATACCAGAAATTCGGCCATGTATTCCCCGCACGTCTGACCGGAGGGGACATTGAAGCGCACATATTCTGATGGCTCACATTTCACAGGAACGTCCCATAATACCTCGCCAAGAAGACCGCCAACAAGGTAGGTAAACGGATCCAAGTAGTATATCCAGTATCTCCAGAAAGGTTGCATCTGGGCGTATGGGACGACCACGCCACAAAAGCTGACCAAGCCTGCCCCGATCAATACGGGGTTCATGACGGCAGCAAAGTATTCATTAGGCGCGTACGCTGCGATTGCCTGACCAATGGAAGTGTACAAGAACTCGTAAACTATTTCTGCAGTTAGATAGACGTGATAATTGACGCGATTTGTATGCGTAAAATCTTACAGATCATCTGGAGATAAACGTGACCGGATATGCTGGGCAAAGTTGGGAACCCTGCTGTGAAATACCAACACAGGAAGTATAGAGTGGCACAAATGATGAGGTATGGGATTTCGGTGACTGTCTGGGCTCCAATGAAGGCAAGCCAGTGATATGTCTTGGACTTCAAGGCAAATAGGTTGTTAGCACCATTGCTGCTATAATAATTATGAGCTAGATAGACGTACCTTCTTCTCGCGTGTCTCGAAAATGTCACGGTTGTGCAGAAAGAAGGGTTGCATCTGGTTGATACACCCTGGAGCGACGAAGATGAAGTTGAAAATGGCAAACAATCGCAGTTGGAGAGAGAAGGTACCATCTTCAATTTTCCAAAAAGTAAATCCACTGAAGAGCGCAGCAAAAATGTGCAGAATAATTTTGTTCCACATATAATCCTGGAAGATCTGTCAGTGGTTGTGCAAGAGCAAATTATTGTACACATACCGGAGAACGCCAAATCTGTACCGTAAGGCGCTTTGAGACTGTGACAAACTGAAACCAATGCGAAGTTGCATAGTCCGCCGTATCCTCCACATAACCTGGGTCCAATCTACTGGTTTGGTTTAGCGACTCAAGCTCCGCGAGCGCCATCTTGCGATCTTCCGATTGATTCCACGTTTCGATCCAGTCAACCTGTCCTGAAGCCTTGCCCTGGACCACATCGATAATGTGCTCGGCTGGATTGACATCATGTGGGCATGGGGCACCGTGACGGGCAAAATAATCCAATATCTTCTGTGAGTCTTTTCCAGCTAGAGGAATATTAGCTTGATAAAAAAGGACTTTGTCATCGTATACTTACTTTCTCCAAAATATGTCATATTCCCACCCTTGGCGAGGAGGAGAAGACCGTCAAACGCATTGAATAAGACTGCCGACGGCTGGTGAATTGTGCACTTCTGTCCGTTAGAATTCTGCAAGTTTATAAAACGAGCTACGATGTACTCACTAAAACAGCTTGACCTCCATTCACAAGCTTTCGCAGAAAGCGAACAATGTTGTAAGCAGACTGGCCATCTAAGCCAGATGTTGGCTCGTCCAAGAACAGCAAAGTTGGTTTAGCCGCAAGCTCAACCCCTAGGGTTACTCGCTTCCGTTGCTCGATGCTTAATCCTGCACCAGGCACTTTCTGGGGTCAATAGCCGGAAGATGCAGGGATTCAAGAAACTTACCTCCAATCAGCGCGTCACTGATACCACTCAGCTCCAGAAGCTCAATAATATGATCCACGTAGGAAATCTTTTCCTCATAGGAAATGGCAGACGGTTGTCGAAGAACGGCGGAAAAAACCAAAGCTTCTCTGACAGTTGCTGTGGCCTCGTGGACATCCATTTGCTCGCAATAGCCTGTTGTTCGTTGGAAGCTTATCCCTTGCGGTCGGCCGTCAATGAGAATTGAGCCATAAATCTCTCCGCTATCTTTCCGTTGGGCAAGGACGTCCAAAAGACTGTAGATGTATACTCAGCATTGATCAAGGGATGCCCATGGTTCGATTTCATCCGTACGTTGTTTTACCTGCTCCCGAAGCTCCCATCAACGCCACGAGGCTCCCTGGCTTCACGAAGCCAAACACTTTGTTCAACAACTGCTTCTTTTCACCATGGAATGGAACGAGATAGTCTAGATTACTCCATGTAAAAGTCGAATGTTTCACGGATCCCGACAGCGCCATTGGATCTCCTTTTTGCTGGGAGGACCGCTGGTTGCTTTCGTCGTGGTGGGCGCTTCTTTTGCTCCCGCGCTTGTAGAGTAGAACCGACGAACCACCCTGACTGTTTCGCATTTCAAAGCCAACGGCGGTCAAGAAAATGAAGAAAGCCCAGAATCCCACGATAATACCAAAACTCCTCCATATATGGTGAACAGAGTAGTTGTATTGCTCGCGGATGTATGCCGCTCCATCGATGACGCCGTTCTTATCGCTGCCCAGGACTGAGCATCCCCGATACGGAGATGCGTCACTTGAATATGAGCTCCCATATGGGATGTAATCCGGCTGAACACACTTCAGCTGGCGCCCGACGAACTCATTGGCCATTAGTGCTTCAAACGCGTAGGCACCTGGGTTAAGATAGAATATCCAACGGAACCAGACATGCATCTTGTGAAAAGGGATAAGATATCCTTGTAACCCATATTTCAGTACTAATTTTGTGAATGTTCTTTGAATTCACTCACCTCCGTACACAAAAAAAATGGTGGACAGCAACCCCGAGATTTTTGAGGCATTGCCAAACTTTTTGCACACCGCGCCGACGGAGCGGAATAGCTGTGTGAAGCACAGAGTCTGGGCAATAACGATGATCCAAAAAGTGAAAAAGCGACCGGCATCCATCTGGAGTGCAGCCAAAAAATATAAGATGAGAGAGAAACAGGTAACCTGAATCATCACCACGGGAATATCGGTAATGGCATTCGCGATGCAATAGGCCGTAGGACGGTAGAAGCCAAAGCGTTTCTGGCGAGAGAGAATCGGACGGCCCATAAACGATGCGGTAGTCTCGGACATGGACTCGAGGAGGAAATAAAGCACCGGGAAAAAAAGCACACCCGGGCGCATGAAAATAGAAGAGCTGTCTTCGGGGAGGTTATAGAAAAGGCTACCACACACCAGAGCTTGAATGGTCGCAGAGGAGACTTTAATCACCAGGGAAAATTTATCTCCCCACATGATCTGGAACTGCCGCAGAGTACAGGCCCCAATCTGGTCCCATATTGTGGCTGTGTAAACGCTTTGCTGGCGAGGAACATGCTGCTTCCGTTTCTCACTTGCCACCGCCATCATCATATCTTCCGCCTCGTAGCCCAATTTCTCGGGTGGCTTCATGGAGTTAAGTTGGACTTGAAATGTGGAGCTATTGACATATCGAGATTCAAACTCTTCCGGTGTGCTGGGGACTGTGTCTTCTCTTCCAGGCTGAATTATGCGTTCGGTGGTGACCGTGACCGAGGTAAGGAAATCGGCGATGTTGGCGCCTTGGGGACAAACAAACCCCAGGTCTTCAAAGTATTTCCGCGCAAGATCGCGAGCTCCATAGTATGTCACGCGACCTTCAGCCAGCACCATAATTTTGTCGAACTCGTCGTAGATACGGTTTCCCGCTTGATACATTGTCGCGATGATTGTTCTCTGGTTCTCATCCGCTTCACGTCGTAACGTTCGCGCAAATTCCACCGCAGATTTGGAGTCGAGACCACGGATCGGATTGTCCCACATCTGGACAGGACTCTGCGGGACGGTAGATCAGCCATTTGTTTCCAGTACGAAGTCTAAGATTTGAACAAATCATACCTGGCCCGCCATCACTTCGGCCAACGAGACTCTTTTTCGTTCTCCTCCGGATACCCCTCGAATAAATTCGTTTCCGACCAAAGTTTTCTTGGTGTGTTCGATACCCAAAGACTGCAGAATGCCAGTCCTCTTCTCCTGCAAAAAATCCTCCCGCCTTTTCATGTGCTCAGGGCGCTCATTAGGAATTTTGTTTCGAAGCGCAAACTTCATCGTACGGTTCACGGTTAAGGTTGGGAAATGTAAATCATCTGACATCAATCAGCAAACGCGATCCACATTGCCTGGTTGATTACCGAATACCCTCATTGTTGAACATGATCTGTTGGCGAAATCGCTGGGCCTCTTTATGGCCCATGCTTCCATATCTGACTTCACCCACAACTTCATCGAACGTGTCCCGGTCATTGGACAGGACACGTAGAAGCGATGTACAACCGGATCCAGGGCGGCCAAGAACTAACAGCTGTGCAATGAAGATGAGAGACTATTTTCATCTGGGCCATGGTAACCAGAACGTACCATTTCTCCAGGATTCACCTGGCCCGAGATATTATTCAAAATTGTCTAGCAGGATGTCAGTCCGCATTGCCAGAAAGCGTGATCTTCGTATTCTCACCCTTTTGGGCCTTTGGTTGCTTTTTAATAGTCCACTAAACCGGCGGGGATCAACCTCTGACCATAACGTGCTTCCCAACGCCGACTCGGGTGCCGTCACTCGGACGGAGAGATTGCGGAACGTAACCGTCAATCGCTTTTGAATATGGCCACGTCCATCCTCTATGTCGGCCGGCGTGGCCGTACCAGAAGACGGAGTTTGCATGGCTCACTGTAACTGTGACAGACTGTCGGACGTATGCCAGGCAATAGCTGAATGAAAATTTGCTCGACAGTGGTACTTGGATTTCGAGGAACTACAAATTCTTATAACTTCAAAAACTGCTATCGTTGTGATTTTTAGATCTAAACCCGTACTTCCGGTCCCAGTCGATCCATCAAATAACCCCACCAACCACAGCTTGCTATTAGACCCATCGTACCCACAGCGGAGCACGGAACGGATATAATCCGGACGCGCCTTTCCGGGCTCTCGCGGAAATACCTAAAAATCACTTGAGATGCTCGTCTGTATACTTCTCCCGTCGGTCACTCCCGGTCGTGCTTTCGATATCCGAATATCCGACTGATCACGTGCATGGGCACCCACGCGCAGCAAACGGACCAACGACGGACAGTGCTTCCTCTCTGTTCGACTCTCCTTCGGATATGGCTGGGACTTCCACGACAGCCCCATCGGCATGGCGAATCCCGAAGGCATGCCAGGAATGCCGCAAGCGTAAAATCCGCTGCAACGGCCTCAGTCCCTGCAAAACGTGTCAATTGCGTAGCACTCCGTGTGTCTATCGCGATTTCATTCGGCAACGCAGAAAGAGGAATGATGACAAGGCATCCCAGCAGCGTCTTGACTCCGGGGAAAGAGAGCCACGTTCACGTCCTGCCTCGCCCAGCTTGCCCCAGTCTGGGCGAAACGCGTCCCTCATGCACGATTTCCCCAACAGTGTGTCCGCAACACACATGGCATCGCCTTCCTGCCAGATGCAGCTGTACTATGGCCCAACATCGCACTTTTCCTTGATGCAGCATATCTATCGAGACCTGATCTCTAATCACCCTGCCCAGCTTCAAGCTCCCTCCGGCCAGGTCGAGGAAGCCGGAGCCGGCCTGGACCTCTTCAGTTTCCGCCGTATATTCTTCGGCACCCCGGATACTCATGAGGCGGGGAAGGGACTCAATGCTGGGGAGGTTTCCTTGACCTTTCTCCCATATGAGCTAGCCAAGTTATTTCTCTCCCGTTATTTGTCAACACTCTACCACCTCACGCCATATCGTCCCAAGAATGACTTCGAGCTTGCCTTGGATCAACTCTACAACCCTTCCCCCTCCATTCGTCCAGACACGCTCACCCAGGCTATTTTCTTGCTCGCTCTGGCATGTGGATCTCTTGGCACACAGTACTTTACTTGGGGAGACATACTCTTTGAACAAGTAAAAGCTTCAGTGGCCGCGTTCGATGATGTAGTCAACCATCAGACGGTCCAAATATCATTACTAATGATAAGTTCTGCCTATGTTAACGTGGGCTCGGTCCTCCGCTGACTTAATTCAATACGCCCATTTTCAGAGCGAACAAGGGCGCCCAAATTCGACCTTTTTGCATCTCGGGTGTGCTGCTCGCAAGGCCCTATCAGCTGGCCTGCATAAGGATGCACGCTATGATGACACACAGAGCCAGGAAAGTATAGATGAGAGACGAACGACCTTGTGGTCTCTCTATTTCTTTGAGACGTAAGCCGGTATCTTATTGAATTGCGAATTATTTGCCTGACCTTGGTGGATAGATGGTTTTGTTTTTCTCTCGGCCGACCAACATCTATGTCTGTGAGAGACATTGCGACAGAGTGTACGCAGGACCCTTTCATCCGGCTACTGGTGCATCTTTCTCAAACGATTTCCAAATCGGCCGACCAAATCTATGGGCAGCGGCACGAATCTCTGCTGCACATGTGGAAGGTTGCTCGGTCGATTGCGGAAGACCTGCGTAGCCACGAGAGGCAGCTAGAGCAAACTCTAGGGTTTGGATTATGCGCTGCCATACAAACAGGATCTCTTGGAGTCCGGCAAACAATTTTCACGACTTGTGAGTCCATTCTAGCTCTGCTTCAGAGGACAATACTGAGGACCTATAGTATACTACCATATTCTTCTCTTAACATTTCGCCCTTTTCTCATTTTTCGTGGACGCTGGCAGCGGGATATGAAAATGTCGCGGCATCAGTCCACGAATAGTGAAACAGATCGGCCCACTGAGACTCCCTCATGGTTGAATGAAGCCTGCACTCATGCACTCACTGCAGCGCAAAGAACAATCCACCACCTATGCGAAGCGTCCCATGTCAACGATCTTGTTAGGGTAATGCAGTCTGATTATGCTCTATAAGCATCGTTTTTCATGCTAACTAGGCGCTAGCAACTGCGTTATCATGGATATTTTATGGGCAGTGCCTGCTTCACATTGATATACAATTTTCTCCACGACTCAAATTCCGCCTCGGACCATTTGCCGTGGGTTTATGCTGCATTGCAGAATTTGTCGACAATGAGAGCCGGTGATCCCATAACCAGCACCATTTCGGCTATACAAACCGTATTGCGAAAGATCAACCCCTCATACGAGTGGTCACCCTATCCGAAGCAGGGCAGCAGACATGAGGTCAATTCGTTGGTATCTTCGACAAGAGCTCAAGATCCCACCCCTAGACATGGTCAGCGTTCGACAATGACTAGCCTCGCAAGTCCATCTCAGCAATCAGGGTCACATCCGGATCTATCAGCATTTCAACCAACCCTTCCTCAGGTAGAGATACCAGACACTGTTGGTTCCATTGGATCTGGTGAGGAATTGCTTGACTTCACACAATCCGACATGGGTTGGAACTTTGACTTTTCTACCATGGACCTGGAAGCATTCTTCTCGATCTACCAGTCGATGGATGCTCCCATCACCTAATTGATCCGCCCTTCCTTACCCTTGGCGCAACTCAATTGGTAACCTTGTAATAACTGTAAGTAAGAATTGCAGTTTATTTCTTTGGAGAGCTGTCGGACTCGAACTAATTGTCAAGGTATCTATCTTAACCTGGCTATGTACCAAAGAAATACTCTCCCGTATCACTTCTAGGCCCACTGACTCTTTCTCATGCTCCCTAGTTTTGGGAAACTCCGCAATCAATACCCGCGGGTGATATCGAGATTGAGCGGCCCTAGGCCGTCCTACATACGGCTGTGTGATTTAAGATCAATGGGCTCATTGCCATTGTTCCGGTCGCAGGCCACAAAATATCGCCTAACCTCGATAATCCACAACAGTTCTTGATGCTAAGATCCCTGGACCACATTCGCACATTACTTGCCAGAAAATTTTCTTGGGCCCCGCCGCCGTTGATTCCCTGGGATAAGACGCTGGGCGTATCATTTTCGCGAGCGAGGGTATCATCATCGGCTGGCTCGCTCTGGCTGGATTCTTTACATTGACTAGCTTCGCTGTGGTATATTATGGCGGCTTCTTTCAATGAATTATGTGCCATGTCTATTCCCCTAATAGAGCCCTAGTATGTGCTCTTGTCAGTATACTGACCCCAATCTGCATTCCGGTAGTAGTCTCTTCCCGGTATCGCCGAAACAAAAGGGTCAAAACGGTATTTAGTCCACGGGTCGAAGCGTACAAGGGACACGGTTCTTGGCCCTCGATCCGTCTCCGACCGGGCCCCCACGCTGGGCCCGTGCTTAAGAACACCACTTTGCCAAGCACCGGAGACCCTTTTCTTAACTTTCTCTACTAGGACTGCCGTCCAATGGCCAGTTCTGTATCCATCCCCGATGGATGCTCCCAGCCTCCCAACACCAATTCGGCCTTGCCAAGCGCCACCGGAATTCTGGCACGGCCTGTCCTTGGGCATATCTTAAGCGGAAGTTGGCCGACCCTTCCTTGGCCAAACTTTGCTAAGCTCGAGTCCGCATGGAAACAGCTAGACACTCTCTTGCGTACCAAGGCAAGGTATAGTGATTTGTACACGAAACTGTGCCCATCTGCTAGCTGTATTGGTATCATCAAGAACAAAAGGGATCTTCCTGCAAGTTCCCCCGCCTTTCGGTGATGCTATCGAATAACATGAGAAGCTATGTTACAGCCAAGATCTCTTGGCCCTGCTCCAGGCTTAACAGGTTCCTTCCGATGTGTTGCCGGATGGTCAGTCCTTGGAGGAGGGAGATGTCCTAGCAAGCTTCTTTACGCTTGTGCTGTTTGCCTGCCTCGTCTTGGTTCCCCGCATGGGCCTCTGATCGCCTTCATTCACGACTATAAAAGGCCATCTTCTCTTCTTTCCCCCCATCATCACTGCATTCTCGCATCCTTGTATATCTCCCACTTCCGCTCTTGATTCTGCGCAATTTCTCTCCACCATGGCAGGGGGAAGCAAAAAACCAGTCAACATCTTCCGCCTGAAGAATCTCGGTGAGCCACAGGAGGTGTTCAACTGGCGTCTGTGGTTTGCCGTGCTCTCATTCGGTCTAATGGGCGCTGCACGAGGTGTCGACGAGGGCTTGATCTCAGGCGCTTTCGACTCGACTGACTTCCAGCGGTACATCAACTACGAGTCTTACAGCAAGGTCGAACAGACCAACATCAAGGGTAATGTGTCTGCGATGGTGCAGATTGGATCGGTCGGAGGTGCTCTCTTGTGAGTCCAGCAAAAGTCTGCTCTGGCATGGTTGAGCTCTAATCCTGGGATCGTGTTTATATCTACAGTGCCTTCTTAGTCTGTGACCGCATCGGCCGAATCTGGGCCACACGCCAGCTGTGTCTATTGTGGATTCTGGGCATTGCCATCTTCATGGGCAACAACGGGAATCTGGGCGCTGTGTACGCCGGTCGTTTCGTGGCCGGACTAGGGGTTGGGCAGACGGTTGTTGTCGCGCCTATCTATCTGGCAGAGATTGTACGTCTGCACTGTCGGCTGTTAGAGCTTCACTGACCACCCTAGGCCCCCGCTTCTATCCGTGGTCTGTGTACCTGTGTCTTTACGGGCTTTGTCTATTGTGAGTTATATAAGTCAAAGATATGTATCAAAGGAAGAAATGCTAATCATTTGGGCAGTGGGAATTGTGCTGGCTTATTTCGCGAATTATGGTTGCGAGAAGGTATGATCCGCCTACCCTGCTAATGCTCCCAGCGCGGTTATTAACAAGTTTGATGTGCTCTAGAACATGGGAGACAACACACACAACCGATGGGTATGTCGAGGAGCATACGAAATTCTATGTCAGATACTGATGTGTTGATAGGAGGTCCCGACCAGTTTGCATATCATCTTTGCTGGCCTGGTATTCCTACTCTCTTTCCTCCAGGATGAGTCGCCCCGATATCTGGTCAAGAAAGGCAAGCTGGACAAGGCCATCGCCAATCTAGCTCGGATCCGCAATCTGCCTCCAGACCATGAGTATGTCGTCCGCGAAATCAATGCGATTCAGACATCGCATCAGATGGAGATGGAGGCCACAATGGGATCGGGTCCATGGGGCGTGATCAAGGAGGCGTTCCTGATTCCGTCTAATCTGTATCGCATCTATCTTGCTTCGATGACACAAATTTTGTCCCAGTGGTCGGGTGCAGGTAGCATTACCATCTACGCCCCGGACCTCTTCGATTTGCTCGGGATCACTGGGTCGAACGAGAACCTTCTGGTCACAGCCATCTTCGGTATCATCAAACTTCTCGCCGCCATTGCATGCGCCTTGTTTCTAGTGGATGTCATTGGTCGCAAGCGGGCACTGCTTCTCGGTATCGCATTGCAAGCAATCGCAATGATCTATGTCGCGAGCTTCCTATCAGCGGTGCCCGAAATCGGGGTCGTGAAGGATTTCAAGATTCCTGACAGTCAGAAAGGTGCCAGCAAAGGCGCGATAGCCATGATCTACATCTCGGGCTTCGGTTGGGCTCTCGGGTGGAACTCGATGCAGTATCTCCTCACAGCTGAGCTATTTCCTCTCCGGATTCGGGCGCTGGCCACGTCGCTCGCCATGACGCTGCACTTTGCAAACCAGTACGGCAATGCACGAGCAGTCCCTAACATGCTGCTCCCCATTTCCAGCGGCGGCATCACCCCCAAGGGCACCTTCTGGTTATTTTCAGTTGTCACTGTTATTGGGGGCTTGTGGGTGTGGTTCAGTGTCCCCGAAACGGCCGGTCGGTCCCTTGAGAGCATGGATCGGCTCTTCGCCCTGCCTTGGTTCCAGATCGGCCGCTATGGGAACCAAGATGCGGAGGTGCGCGACCAGGCCGTCGATGAGAAGATGGACATGATGGCAGAGAGCCGCGGAACCGCTCATCATGTCGAGAAGCAGGGTGTCACAGCGGATGTCTGACAGACAATTCTGGTGCTGCAATAGTAATAGCTTGACTCTATGAATATTCTAGGATCATTATGAACGAAATTTGTCAATAATATGTGCTTAATATTTCGGATCCATTCAAGCACCTCGAGTAACACCTATAGCGCCCGGCTCTTTCTTCATCTAATTGACCCTAAAGCCTCCATCTACTCTCCCTGTTGATTCGGAGCAGGCCAATGATATTTCCTCCTTCAGGGGAATAATCACAACCCTCGCCTTGAGTGCTGCTTTCTCTCGAGCCCGCTGGTCCCCGCAGATTGGTGGTCGGCTCGTCCCAACATCCATCTCGTCCATCTCGTCCAGAAACTCGTCGGGCAGATCGACGCGGATCAAGACACCTCGCGACTGGAAGAACGTCTCATTCCAACTGGCGATGTGGCGGGCCAGCCGGCGGCTGTCCATTCCCGCCATCGCCGCGACCAAGTTTCGCTGCTCCTGACGTCGACGAGCATGGCGCGCAATGAACAACGCTGGGATGGCGCCGAAGAACCCGAACATCAGGCCGCCCACGGCCAAGGTTCCCAAGCCCTTGCCGATGACAATCTTCCATTGCTGACGCGACAGCTTAGCTTCGTCACAGATCGTCTGGGTGAATTGGGCCCAGTGAGTAGCAGTAATTCCATGTGAAGCCAACTCCTCCGGGTAGTCAAAGCCGGACGAACAGGCATCAGAGCGAGAGGGTACCTGAAGACCCCGAGACAAGGCCGACGCGAGGGCAAACCCTGGTACCTCCGCATGAGGAAGCCAGACGGGCGGTTGGGTTTTCTCGTCTGCTTGGAAGTCCACTAGCGAGGAGGTGTAGGTCGGCGGAGGGTCGTGGGAGTTGTGGTCCATGGCGCGAGTCGGTGGTGCGTGCGAAAGTTTGGCAAACAGGCCAAGCAATAAATAATCAGTTGAAACGACGACCATTATTAAATATCCAGTCCCGCCCTCTCCGTCATCCAGTGCTGCCTATGCCTCGTTGATAATCATCGATCTCGTATAGATCGGACATCCATAGTTAGTCATGAGTCAGTCCGAACTCCGATCGAGGGACGTGCGCAGCCCACCGCGGTTCGCATCTCTTCCCTCAGTCAATACGTATTATTCTCCCCCCGGTGGCCATCATGACGTCTCGCTATCGTGTCGAATGTACGTTGAATCCTCTTAACCAATTAATCCACATGTCTTGGTCTAGTGCTAATCCTCCCGTAGATGCGCTCAAGGTAATATACGACCTATCGAACCAACGCACGCTAGACTTAGCCCCCTTCCAACTGCTCGCTGACTGCGCTAGACCCATCGTCGCGATCAACTGATTGAATGGATCAAAGTAAGTTACTCCCTCAGTCCCTGCGTGCACGGCTCAGCCCCCCTCCTAGGGCCTTCTGGCCGTGCCCTTTGTGCTGCATTCGCAGCCCACCACCATCTACCACGAAAATAGCGAGCGCCTCAAGACCGTCGCTGCCGACACCCACCAGCGCTATGCAGAGATCATGCGCGACGTCGAGAACCTGATCCTCGACCACAGTAAGTGATTCCGAACATTCAGCGGACCTGGTAAGCTCAGGTCTGTTCCTAGTCCACCACACCCGTCACAACGAGCCCGGCAAATCCAAACTCAAGCTGCTCGTGCCGTCTATCGGCACATTTTTTACTCGGCTGTATCTGGAAGATGCATTCAAGTACCAGGATGCACAGCGGTTCATCAGCCGGCGGCGATTTGTCGCTCCCTCTTTCAATGACATCCGTCTGATCCTGAACACAGCCCAAGTATTAGCTTTGGTCCGCTCCAGCGGAGTGAAATTGGTCACCTTTGACGGGGATGTGACGCTCTATGAGGACGGGGCTTGTCTGACGACCGATAACCCGGTCATCCAGCGAATCCTGCGTCTGCTGCAGCTAGGCTGCAAGGTTGGCATTGTCACCGCGGCCGGGTACAGTGATGCGCCCAAGTACTACGGAAGGCTGCAAGGTCTCTTGGATGCTGTGCACGACTCCCCCACTCTCACTCCCGAGCAACGGCAAGGTCTTGTTGTGATGGGAGGGGAGAGTAATTTCCTCTTTCGATTCGACCAAGCCTCGGAGGATCGGTTGGCCTATGTGCCACGCAGTGAGTGGCTGCTGGATGAGATGCGAGCCTGGCGCGACAGTGATATCACCGAGCTGCTGGATATTGCCGAGTCCGCTCTGCGTGCTTGTGCCGCCAATCTGCAGCTCCCGGCTGCGGTACTGCGCAAAGACCGCGCTGTCGGCGTCTACCCACTGGAAGGACAGAAAATGCATCGCGAGCAGCTGGAGGAGACGGTTCTGGTGGCCCATAACACCGTGGAACGATCAGCAGTCGGGTCGCGGCTGCCATTCTGCGCTTTCAACGGTACGGCTGGGAATTCTTTTCCTGGGTGAGGGATAGCTGACCCTTTCTCAGGTGGCAACGACGTCTTCGTCGATATTGGCGACAAATCCTGGGGCGTGCGCGCCTGCCAGCGGTACTTTGGCGGCATCTCCCCGTCTGAGACCTTGCACGTTGGCGATCAATTCCTGTCGGCTGGTGCGAACGACTTCAAGGTATGTGTGGTCCATCCCATCCCCATGCCAGAATGCTCCAACTCATGCTCTCTGTGATTAGGCCCGTCTTGCGTCCGCCACTGCGTGGATTGCCAGCCCAGCCGAGACCGTCGATCTGCTTGATGAGTTGGAGAAGGCCGCGTGATCTTCATGGCAATTGCTACTGCGTTCGTTGTATTAACGGATAAGAAAGGGGAGTTTTAGGGATCTCAGGTATTTTAGGACGGCATGTTGGTGTATTCTCGATAGATCTATCTATCTACGATGCATCCACAAGAGTCCTTGGAACCAATACTATGGGGGAAAACAATAAAGAAGAAAAGTGAAGTCTAATAACAATCATCAGAGGATTTCGAACATCATCATAGTCTTTCCGATCCACAAGCATCTGGAGTTTGGGCTGCGCCACGTCATACAAAGCATGATTGACATCCGCCTCCAGCAGAGGCTGTAAATTTTGGCACCGAACTCGATTGACGATGGGTCTACTTCAAGACATGGAACCCACTAGCGGTCATGCTTCCCAAGACAATATATAAATGATTGCACGGGTTCATGGAAGAAGGAAACGGTTCAAGGAGTATTAGGGAGCGAGGGAACAGAATAGAGCATAGCGATATCTGGACCACACTGAAAGGACCAGCGTTAACAGTCATGGAGATTGAGCGCAAGACTTAGGAGGTCACTGCTAGTCAAGTTTCTGAGGTCGTGACGTAGGATGGAAAGTGATGTGGATTGACGATAGAGGGAGAGACGATCAATCAATTACGTACTCTCATAGCAGGACCAGACCTCTTGGCTGCCAGACGCCGAGCGGCCCGAAAGGACGTTGACAACATCCTGGAGCTTGAGCCAGAACTCGGATTTGGGCCGGCGGCGCGCCCAATCAGTCTCGGTGGCCTCCAAGCCCGACTCACCACCCATCGGCGAAAATAACACCTGAGAGCCCTGGACGCCGATGACGGCGGCAGACAGGGGGTCCGCGTTGATCTCGTCCGCGGACTTGCCCGCATATGTCTCGATGTGCTGCATACACTTGATCGACATGCGCAGGGCACGGACGCGGTCCATGGGTGTCGGCTTGCCACCCTGCTGGAAATGTCCCGGAACCGCAGCGCGCGACTCAAAACGGCCCTTCGCCTCTTCCTTGATCATATCCGCGATCACCTGGGTGGTGTAGGTGCCGGATGCACATTCATTGCGGAGAATGATCTTGCCCGCACGGTTAGCACCTTTGTCACGGACAAAGTTGTCGCGCAAGAAGTCAATATCGCGTGATAGCATCTTGATGTTAATACCCTCCTCGGGGATGTAAACGGCGACGGCGCCCACAGACAGGCCGGCCATTGTTGCGATGTAGCCCGACTTGCCGCCCTGTGTCTCAATGACAAATACACGTCGGCGGGATGAGGAAGCGGACTGTCGGATGGCGTCGCAGAAATCGATCAGGGTGTTCAGGCAAGTATCGCTTCCGAGTGAGTACTCTGTACCAGGGACGTTGTTGGAGATTGTAGCTGGCAACGCAATAAGAGGAATTTTGAAGGCATCATACTTTTCCCGCGCCTTGCGGAGCTGGCTGACGGCCGTGAAAGCCTCGAAACCACCAACCACAAAGAGAGCATCAAACTTGTAGAGATCGAAGCACTTGGCTGTGGTCTCCATATCCTCTGCGGGCAAACTACGGTTCGTTCCAATGTCTGAACCACCTTCGTTGACCCAGCTGTCCGACTCTAGCCACTTGACCTCACGCACTGAACCCACTGGTTTGTCGGCATGATGACGGCACAGGCCAGGAAATCCATTGTGAATCGCCAAGGGCGTATGGCCTCGCGTCAGACAGTAGGCAACGGCGGCACGGGTGGCCTGGTTCATACCACCGGCAGGGGCGCCGACGTGGATGATGGCGATCCTCATTCTCTGGAAGTAGTCAGTACCTGCCATCTAGAATGGGCTGGGTGCACGTGCGTACCTTAGCCTCTGGGACAATTAGTTTGGGATGCTCCGGAGTTGCGGTATGGAGATAGGCCTGATGATATTCCTTGAATTCAGGATCCCGGAGGGTCATCGCGGCGGCAAAGTCCTTTGCACGGATCTTCGCCGTGACATTTTTGGTCGCTTGCACCGCTTCCATTAACGGTGTGCGCATGATCTTATTCTCACGGATCGTGATGACGGGAGACGGAGACTCGGGCGACATCTCCAGCACGGCCCGAACAGCCTCAACACCCTGTAGAGTCGACAGCCATCGATCGTATGCACATGCCGCACCTCCTCGCTGCGTGTGTCCCAGGACGGTCACCCGTGTGTCCAGACCCAGACGCTGGGTGAGAATATCTTTGACAGTCGCGCTCGAGATCTTGTTCAACTGACGATCCTGTGCTCCTTCGGCCACAATCACGATTGTGCGACGTTTGCCTCGTTCCTTGCGATTCTACCACGGCGAGTCAGCGCATTTGGTTTCTTCAGAAAATTTCAACACATACCTTGGTGATAATTGAGCACATGTCATCTTCCCAGTTGTCCCGCGGAGGGATCTCCGGAATGAACAACCAGTCGGCACCAGTACTTATAGCTGCCATTAGCGCCAGCCAACCACAGTGCCGGCCCATCACCTCAATGACGAAGCCCCGCTGGTGGGAGAAGGCGGTGTCGAACACGTCGTCTACTGCATCACAGATCCGGGTCAAGGACGAGTAGCAACCGATTGTCGCGTCGGTACCGGACATATCATTGTCGATAGAGCCCACGAGACCCACTATATTAAGCACCTTGTAGGGGTCGATCTGCTCCTGGGACAACTCGCCTGCCCCAACAAGGTCCGCCAGTAGGGATGGCCATTCTTCGCGGAAGACGTCGGCACCGGTCAAACTGCCATCACCACCACAGACCACCAGCGCATCAATGCCCCGCAGGATCATATTCTTGGCCGCCCGCAGGCGACCCGCGCGTTCCCGAAAGGCCATGCTCCGGGCAGAACCGATCAATGTGCCTCCGCGAGACAGCCAGCCGCGGACATCTTCCCAGTGCACCTGGCGGATCATATTGCCGCCGTTCACCAGACCCTCGTATCCCTCGAAGATCGCATAAGCTTCGCAGTCGCAATGGATCGCCATGCGGACGACCGCCCGCACCGCGCCATTCATGCCGGGGGCATCACCCCCGGAGGTGAGGACGCCAATGCGGCGTCGCTTGGGCGGCTGGACGGGGATCTTGGCGGTCTCCATCTCAATGAATTGGTTGGAAGGCCAGTCGGACACGTCGAAGCGAGGAGAGGAGGAAGGACCGAGTCGGGAAAGGATGGTAGGGAAAAGAAAGGAAGGAAGAAAGGAAGAGAAAAGATCTGAATGTTGCGATACAACAAAAAGAAATAGGCGGGGGTTCGAACCAATTCCGGTGAGAAAAAGCGGGAGTGGGTAGAGGGTACGTCACCGAGTCGCTGAGATGCTGTAATGCCCAGGTGGATGGAGATGATGATGAGACGCAGAGTCGTGCTGGAGCGGTGGAAGATTTTGGCAGAGCCCAGTCCGCGACAAAGCACAACCGCTGGTGAGTTAGTTGTGAACAAAGAAAAGCAAAAGGTACATGGTTTTCGGGTGAAGCCAGAGCTAAGGTGCTGATGTCATCGCCGGATCCCAGGGCGAGCAATGGATGCCTCAGGCGCGAAGGGCATCCAAAAACCGGGAAGGAATGGCGCCATGTTCCACCTGGATAACAAGACTAGAGGGATCAATAATAACAAATTGAATCCTGTCTCTGGTACCTACGTCCCGAACCATCAGCCTCACAGGAGCCATCTCGTCACGTGACTCTTTCACCGCGACTCCCGCGACACGACCTCCCCATTATTCAGTTCGATCGCCGAGCGCCCCAAAGACGACCGATGCAGCGGAGGGGATTGGCGCTCCACCCCGACCATGGCCAATTCCTTTACTCTCCCTTTGCGCCCATTGCTCGAGACGCACGATCGGTCAGACTCCTTGTCCGCTGAGATCGCCCAGATCAACAACCAGTGGGGTTCCTTTCGAGAGGTAAATGAAGAGATCTTGCGAACCCGCATTGCCAAGGAGAAGGAGCAGGATGGCACCCACGACGATGAGGAGGGAGCAGAGGCCGACACGACCGAACGCCTGGAGCAGCTATACAAACGGCGAGCGGAAATCACGCAGTTTGCCATGTCAGTAGTCAATGGAGCTTGGGCGACTCGAGGCTGATAGTATCCAGGCAAGCGCACATGGAAACCATGTTTGCACTTGATTTCGTGTCCCTTGTCCTTTCCAAACACTCCCCGCGCCAGGCTGAGACGTCCATGTCCGCCTTCCTGAAACAGGTCGCACCCCTCGGTTCCCTGAATTCCGAGGTCGTCGCGCCTCCTCCCAGACCCGATGCCGCAAAGAAAGATATCTCGGTCATATCACGCGGGTGGAGAATCCAGAACTTCAATTCGGCTGCTAACAAGCTCCTGAGCGCCGCCTCCCGACTCGGGACGGAAGTCATCTCGGAGACACGATACTGGAATGAGGTGCTGGAGGTAAAGAACAGAGGATGGAAGATATGCCGTCTACCAAGGGAAAGGCAGTCGCTAGGCGTGCAATATGGCTTCTTGGAAGGTAATTCTTCTCGATCTGTTCATGGCGCCCCTCGCTAATTCGCCGTTCCAGCTACTCCGAGCTTCCGCGACCGTGGACTGGCTTGCCTACGACGAGCCGACGACGGAGGATTGGTACTGGACAAAGGATTAGTTCCGTCTAAAGCTCGGTTGGTCCGCGTTCAAGTCAAGCGGCATGATCAAATCGTTGGCTGTTCTACGTTGCTGCGCCCTATATCGAATGATCCTGAGTCGATTGAGCATCGCATTCTGCAAGCGCGTGACACTGTGTTTGAGGAGGAGCTGTTCCACGAACTAGTCCGAGAAGCTCGGTCCATGGCCACGCACGGCGTGACGACACGTCAGGACCTCATTCGAATCCCCGCCTCGGAGGACCATGAAATTCTGATCGATCTAGTGGATGCCAATGACGATCGTCGTCAGTCCAACCTCTATCATTCTCAACAAGGCCTTCTCCTTGCGGACGCCCTATCCCTCTCCGTCCGTATTCTGCTGTCCTACGCCCATCGTCAGAATCTCCGACGTCGGACCCAGGCCCCGCCGCCGCTGACTCCGAAGCGACGACCTTTCCCAGAATATCATCTTTTACGGCCGGCTATCGCTTATTTTCAGCACATGTCGCATGTCCGATGGCTCGAGTCATTCTTCAAGAACATTTTTGGCGTCTTGCAAACAGCTGGTCTCCATTCTGCCCGATACACTGCCGATTTTGCTTCTACATGGAAGCCAGCGCATGTCTCTCATGCTGAATCACCCGTTGAGGCATTCGTCGAGAAGTTTCTCACGCCCTTGGAATCTACATTTAGCGGGAATCTACTCACGCCCGGGGGAACTTTTATCGTCACCATCCGAACCAATCTTGCTGCGCCACCATTCGGCACCAACTTCGACGTGTCTTTCAATATGCCGAAATACGCCGACCTCAAATCACCCGGTCGCATTGCCTTAAAGGACGAGGTCGAGTCTGCCATCACCCATCTCCTCATGCTCGATGTCGTCTTCACTATTGCTTCCCATGGACAGCCAACATCGGAGCCTGTGCAAGACACGAAAGAGCTAGAAACATGGGATGTGGTGTATCCGCATCTGGGTGAGTTGTTAATGCCATCCTCCAACCCCGAAAGGCACACAAAGATGAAGGTCGCGCTGTCCCGTTCCGAACTTTCTCTCGAAGCCTACACTGTGCGCAGCATTGATGGTATCGGTCGAGGAAGGTGGGAACTCCGTTCGGAAGGCTCAAAATCTCGGACCTGGAAATCCAGTGTATCGATGGATCAGCCTTCGCTGATGGACTTTGTTGCTGCCGAGTCGTCTGGCGGTCAATGAGATTTACGCAAGCATTTGGAGACTATAGTCAAAGTCATGTTTTTGCCATCTAGACTCGTAGAGGAGCATATGGCGCAAATCTCACAAAAGCACTGGAAGTTGTGTTACGATTCTTATCCCACTCATGTATGAATGCATTGGAGCGCTTTGATACCCTTACTTACAGCATCACATATGGAATCAAATTTACACTCGGGCAGCCTAAGATATGGAGTTTTTCTTTCGTGGTGTCCCAGCCGAACGGCCCTAGTTACAACTTTGCCTTCAACGCATTTACCGCTTCCCGGACCGTCAGTGTCTCCCGCAACCGCCTCTCGCCCAGGCCATATGCTTCCGGCAGCCAGTCGTCTACGTTTTCACCCAAAATCATCCGCGCTAGCGCCTCGCCACACATCAGACAATTGGCCATGCCATAGCCATTGAACGCAGCAGCTATCCACTCTCCGGTGCCACTTCTCCCCGTCAGCGCCGAGGAAAGTCGCCCAACCAAAGGCAGACCATCCGACGAGAATCCCATGACTCCACTCCACGAAGCCACTTGGTGCCATGAAGCAGAGCCGTTTTGACCAAAGAATTGCGGCAGCACCGTTCGGAGACGGGACACTGAGTGTTCAGCCACGGAACTGTCGTCGGCGGAAACGGATTCATCGACTCGTGTATTCTCGCCGCCAAAGTAGAAATAGCCCGTTTTAGCGCTCTGTGCTAGATAATACAGTCCATAACCATGTCGCTTGGACACGGAGTCGTACGACGGGGGATAATGGAACCCCCACGAGATCGAACTACCTTGATCGGGTACTGATTTCTTGGGGTCTTGGACTGTCATCGTGCCTTTAAAAGGATGGACCCGGCCTCGCAGTCGGGGCAGGAGATGCCCGCAGTACCCATTGGTGCAATGGACAACCGATTTTGCGCGCAGTGGTCCTCGAGGTGTTCGAAGCGTATACGGATAAACAGTAGTCGTGGGAGATGTAACGTTTGGATTGTATTCCACAGACTCCACAGGTGTGTTCGTCTCAATAGTTAACCGGTCTGGATACTTCTTCAGCAAAGCTGCAAAGACCCTTGTCACCAGACGATATGGCCAGACCGTCCCAGCAGGGAGTATCGCTGCACCGGCTGCTCCGTGAACACCGTATACCTGGAAATCAAGTCAACCAAAGGATACAGTACATGTTTTTAAGACAGAATGGCGAACCTGTAATGCCGTAGCTGCATCAATAATTGTATAGATGCCTTTCATGGACGGATGGTCTCCCTCCAGACGTGCAATGCTCTCCCTGAAATCCCGAAACTTCTCATCAGTCAAGAAAACTCTCAGCTTCTTCAGCTGCTGCATCTCGCTCACTTCCACTACGCCTTGTCCTTCAATCAGCTCTCGCATCTTTTCTAGAGTGCGAAATGTAAACTTCACAATTTTCCCTGCCTCTTGCGGACCATAGCTCTGTGCAAGATGGGAATACTCTTCTCCAGCATTGGCAGCCATTTGGCCACCATTGCGACCTGTGGCCCCAGAGCACAGAGTGCGGGATTCCAGAATAGTTACTTTGGCGGATGGATCACGCTCCAGCAGGTTCTTGGCAACTGTAAGGCCTGTGATTCCAGATCCAATAATGGCATGGTCTGTATCGGTTGGGAGAGTTGAGGATTGAGTGTTTGCCAGGGCATGGGGTGGATGCTGCCAGTAAGACTGAGTCGGCTTTGGTCGAGGAAGACCTGGGTCGGCCATGACAAGGTCGAAAACTAGCTTCCGTCAGTCTTTCATGGCCCATGCGGGTTGGTTGAGGACAGCTGTTTGAAGTGTGTTTCTTTCTTCCCCCAAGGAACGAGCACCACTGGTACTTACTGAGCTTTTCGTCCGACGCCATGTTGTTATTCAATCTCTAAAAAGAAGCTAGTGGCACTGTCTACCAAGATTCCAACAAGAGATGCAGGTGAAGCCCAGACAAGTCAATCGATGTTCTGAATGGATCAGAACTCGTGTGCGGGGTTTATCTTATCGCAGGGACAAGTCGATTTGGGAGAATGGAAACACCGGAAGGAGTAGGCTACACGGACTTCTACAAACTCCCGATTCTATCTCAAGGCTGTCCTACGGCGAACCGATTTTGCTGGCTTTATGGCCTTCCTTCCCCTATCATCGTACGATATGCCCAACATCGTTGAACAGCACCAGATGTGAATGGAAACCGGCGGTCTAGATCCCAGGAGGATTCTTTGGCTGTTGGGCTTTTCAGTGTCATTTTCAAGTATTTCAGTCAGTCATTAATTCACCAAATCTAGGCTAGGTCTAGGTACATATCTACATGTTGCGGTATGTATGTATCTATGTATGTCGTAACTACATGCCTGGCCACATTCCACTCAATAATAAAGATTCGCGGCTAGCGATGGAATGTGGTTTCGTTTTAATAAGATATTTAATATCCTTAATCATTTATTCTTTCCTCCCCCTTTTGTACTTTTACACTCCAGCTTTCTGCGTTTTTTCTTCAGACGTCTCCAGATGAAGCTCTCGTCTGTTCTCCTCGCCCTTTTTACTCTTGCCTCTACGGGGTTGGCAAAAACAACATGCACTCCAAGCTTTGATTATTGTGCAGACGTGTTGACAAAGTCCAAGGGTTGGTATACCTGCGCTATGCTTATGTTTTGCTAATTTGTGTAGGTTTCACGGACAAGGACCTCCAAGATGTCCTTAAAGGAACCGACCTCGCCGATGAGCCCCTTCAAAATGTTTTGTTTCATTGCACGAACCCAGGAATTGTGGGACATCCCAAACTTTGTCAGAGTGGCTGCAAAGATCCAGAACAGGAAGGTAGCCACTCCTGCTCGGCGTAAGTTTATGCGGAAGTTACATCATAGTAATGGCTCTCAGACTAAAAACCCAGCAGATGATTTGCTATGTGCAGGATTCTGAGATACGGCTACTTGATCAGAAGAAATTCAGCATCACTTTCTAGTGTATTTAATTTACTATCATCAGACCTAGTTCAAATTCAGAGACTTCTTGTCTCAATCTCTGTCTTACTATAGCCACCCGTGACTATCAAGATCACATTGGAATCACCTTCCCATCATACAGATTAGGCCCATCCGCCTTTTCCCATCCTTGGACACGAATGTTGGGAAGTTTCTGCTCTGATATGGAGAGACTTTTTGTATAATGTCTATCACCTGTTCAGCACCGATCTCCGCTGGTATGTCCGTATAGGGACTCCGGAGTTCTCTACGCAACCAATATTTAAGTTAGCCAGACAGGGTGTTTTTCCTCTTTTTTTTTTTTTTTTTTTTTTTTTTTTTTTTGAACCAAAATAAGAAAAGGCCTGTGAGATATACTAACGCCAGGGGTGACAGCAAGGACAATAAAACCTTCGTTGGCATACTGTTGGGCATACTGCGTTGGTGGTACTTTGAAATATGGACGGGTCGGTGTCCGACTCCTTCCGACCAAAAATATATATCATTGGCAACAACTACCCTCCCAAGCTACTCTTCCCAGTCGAAATTAACCACTATCCGACCTGCTACCTGGCTCCGGCGCAGCTTTTCAACAGCCTCTGGCAGCCGATTAATTGGATACACGGCGCTAATCTGCTTGAGCATTCCTCGACGAGCAAAATCCAGCGCACCCGCCGTGTCCCTTCGACTGCCCACGAGCGTCCCCTTGATAGTCAAGTTCTTGAAGATGAACTCACACGGATCAGTGCCAAGCACCATTGTTTTGGCCGGCGGCAAGCCAATACACATTATGATAGAACCAATGCGGTTGCCAATGTAAGAAACGGCTGACTTGTACGCAGCTGGAGCTGTTACGACCACTCCGTGCGCGCCGATGCCATCCGCAATCTGAATCACAGCCTTGGCAGGCTCTGCTTCTTGAAAGTCTACGAATGCCTCTGCACCCATCTCCATTGCCAAGGCTCGTTTCGAGTCCCCGTTGTCCACCACGATAGGCCGCATCCCCATCGCTCGAGCTAGCTGGACCCCTTGAATACCTACACCACCGGCGCCTCCTGGAAAGACAACCCACGCTCCGGCTTGCAGGTTGGACTCTGTGAGAGAACGGTAGATTGTGCTCGCGCTGCACATGATGGGCGCCGCGATCTCGTCAGGGATCCCGTCAGGGATAGGCGACGCGTACCGTGCCGGCGACACAATGTACTGTTGATACGTCCCTGGTGTGGTCAGCACATCCCGCACCTACAAAACTGCGTGCTCGAACATCAGACTGACCAGTGGCCATTAGACCGGTGTGAACTGCCTCTTTGCAGTATGTCTCTTTGTCATGCCAGCATAGTTCACAGGCGCCACACGTGTCGAGAATCGGCTTGATCCCAGCTCTATCACCGGGTTTAAAATTCTTAACATTGAGACCGACCTTCACCACCACTCCAGCACCCTCATGGCCAGGGGACCGTACACCCCAATTTGACATCGGGGGGGTCCCCAGATCACCCTGCATGAGATGGATGTCAGAGGCACAAAGCCCAGTGAAGTTGAGGCGGATCAAAACATCGTCGGGGCCTTAGTAGAGTCAGTTTTCATTCCCAAAAGGATGAACTAGAAAACAGAAAATACCTGGCTCGGGAACAGGAACCATTTGCACCTCCATATGAAAGTCCGGCCCTTCGTTGACCACCACTCCCGCTTTGCAGTGGGTGGGGATATCGAACTGAGGGGTATCTGTGAGGGATCCCATTCTGAATACAGTTGGTAGTAGATGGACAGGAATATAATGCTACACTTCTTGTGCGATGGACCAGTCTAAGAACTGTCGAGCATAGCCAGCTTAATAACGCCCTTCCGAGGCACAGGACGAGATTTAACCGCGGTTGTTTGAACCCCTCTTCATAACATCATGGCAGCAACTTTGAGGTGGGTTCTTCTCCGGAAGGCCCCCTCCTTGACTTTGGGGAAATGTGGGGTAGCTTTAACTATAACCGGATCTCCGCCTCATATCCTACGGACATTAGGCCGATTGGCGCTTTTCCGACAGCGGATGCACAGAAAAATCACGAAGCTTAGCCTGGAAAATAGGCTGGCGAAAAGAAATGAAGCCCAAGGATACTCTAGTGCTAACCAAATTGACACAAGAAGCTTCAACGCCGCATTGCCATTTCGAATATATATTATACCTGCGGCTATTCACACCAAAAAATCTAGACGCCGCCCCTAAACAGAAAAATATAACAACCAACGCCTTGGCAAATCAAAACATCAAAAAGAAACAGCTTACGTATCCCAGATCAGAAACCCAGTGGAACTGGCAATACCAACCATCATCAAAGCCGTGAGAATACCCGCGCCAGCCTTATCAGCTGTGGTAATAGGCATTGTGATGACGTGCGGCCGAGGGTCTGGAGGCGTGGCGCCTGCGTTCGGGTTTCCTTTACTTGTGCCACCACTGTCACCAGTAACCGGTGCTGCGACTTTACTGATCAGGTTGGCCTGAATAACTTCCAGGGCAGCCATTTGCTGACCAAAGTCCCTACTGTTGTCCCATTTCTCCTCCGTCCATTTCAGACCGCAGGTCGTGTGCTGGTCGCCACCGGTGCAAGTTTTGGCAGCGGCTGAAGCCGAGGCCCTCAGCTTCGGCATCAGCAGATCATAGGTGAACGGGGCGATTTGAGTTGTTGCAGCCATCCACCTCGCGAGATAGCCCTTGAATGATCGCTGGTCGACCATACAGGTGTTGACAGTCTCACAGGCACGCTCATACATGACGTCTGGCGGAGTTTCCGTGAAGAAAACACCGGAGGCCTCGATGATCTTCTGGATGCGGTCCTTCCACTTTGGATCCTCAGTCTGTTTGAAGATTTGTCAGCTTGCCGTCCGGCATACGAAGGAAGTGCAACGTACAATATTATACATGTTGGCTGCCCCGAGCAAGAACGTCCCGGAGTTGTAGGTCCATTCAATCTGGTTCATCTGGGTGCAATTGTTGACATCGCTGGCACCATCCCAAAAGTGATAGTCGGGGGTCATAAACCCCACAGCTGAGGTCCAGTCCCAAGCCTTCTCCGCCCAGTTCAAATAGGTCTCGTTCTTAGTATATCGGGCTAGGCGAGCAGCCATATTAAAGAATCCACCCGTGGATATTGTGTTTTTGTAGTCATAGCCGCGGTTCCAGTCGAAGATTTGCCAGCGTAGGCCTCCACCACAGGTGGACATGTCCCATCGTGCAGCCTGTGTGTTGAAAACAGCTTGTACCATTTCAAGCCACTGCGGCTGGTCACTCGGAGGATTGGGAAAGTTTCGTTCTGCGGCAGACATGGCAGCAAATCCCCAAAAGGCTTGGTCATCGTTGCCCTCGGTCATGGTTTGGTTGGCCGGCATGAATGTACCGGTATTGCCAGCCTGCCAAATCATACCCTGCATAGTGATGTTGTTCCAGGTTTCATCGCGTGTGTAGAACCAATAGTCAATCAAAGCGTTGAACATTGCCCCGGCTTCCCACCAATAGTACGGAGTAGGCAGGTTTCCAGGATTATCGCCCGGGTTCATGCCGGTGTAGTAGGTCATCATGTTGGTCGCGATTTGTTTTGCGGCGCTCTTGATGGAATCTGGAGTCGATAGTTAGTAGTAGCACACCATCAGTCTTCATTTCGTTCCTCCTACCATCATCGTCAACGTCGAGTTCTACAGCCTGTACTTTCCAAGCACCCAGTAATGCTGTGATGAATAGGCCGGTCCACGACAGCCGCGATGAAGGACGATCGACACGCATAGCTGACTGAGAAGTTCGCCGTAGCAATGATGATCTTCAATGAATTGCAGAGTTCGTTCAGCAGTTTCGAACTTGGATTAAACAGGAGTGCGTTGTAAGTCTTTCGGCCTGTCGTCGTTGATCAACCTACCTCAGAGATTATGGAGAGGAAGAAAAGAGGAAAAGACAGTGAAGGCAACTTCAGAACTCAGAAAGCACAGGAGAAGAGGCTTGGACTGTGGATCGGACGACTACATTCCAACAACACCCAAGGCACGCTGGCATGGTAACAAGGCACCCAGCCCTTTCGAACAACTACGCAGCGAATTGGAAGAGTCACTGGTCGCACTGAAGCGACCTTGCTATCATAATGGTAGTATATTGTAGCCGGAATTAGTCTAACTCTAGTTGAGGTTGCAATCATAAATTGTCATTGTACTTTGCCTTCCACGGTTCCTGAGTCGGAGCCCCATGAGGGATCGGCGCAGAATTCCTAGCGGGGACCTGTCATCGAGGAGACATGGACGAATTGGACAAATGATAACCTGGACTGGAACTTCAGAGGTCAGGATGAGATCAGAAAACAGTGGTTTGTGGCCGCAAACGACAGCCAGCGGCCGCATTCCGATGTTGCAACATCGGGCCCCTTGCGGAAAGCCGACCATGCCACGTCCCTGGATGACACATCCAATCAGTGCTAAAATTTTACTGGCTAACGGAAGTGCAAAAGGCAGGAACAATACGGTTGTTCTGGATTGTAGCCAAGTTCGAGGGGCGAGAATAGCGGGGCCGAAAGAGTACCAGGTACATAGGCGATAACGTGGCTCGGTTTCGGGGAGATCCAGGAATACCCGAACCAGTTTCTAGAATTTATCTTGAATCTGTTTTGGGGATAGAGGGGGGAGGGGGGCGGTTTCAACCCATTTCAACTGTTGCTCTCAACTAGTCCATGATATTATTGATATTGCGGAGGCATATTATTTCCGATTTCGGCTAACGGAGTGGTCGGGGGTCCGACTTGGGGGCGGGTAGAGTAGGTAAATAACAATACTGGATGGGTCCTGTCAGTTCATCAAATCTTGGCTCTAGAGCGAATTCTCTACAATGACTGGGTAATAAGTATATTACATAGTGACTCCGCACTGTCCAAGGTTTGCTTGCTGAAGCGATTTTCCCGTCTCGTATCTGCAACTAATCCCCATTCATCGTCGGCCGGACCCCTATTGGGCCGGACAGCTCTACCAGCCTTGACCCGGTCGGGAATGTGCTCTGGTTCACCTCTCGCTCAACCGGGGAAAGTCACAGGTTTGCCGACCAGATCTCCGACTCCGCTAACACAAGCCAAACAGGTCTCTGAACAATGCAGAAGAATAATGTGCCACTGTTGGCAAACTGTCGTCGATCGGTTTCACACGATGCAACTGTGTTGTGGGATATAATCCAGCCCCTCGCTCGCATCCTTCGAAACCCGCACCAAAAAATATACTCTCACTTCGACACGAAGGATTCTAGACAAACTCGATGCGCTTCTTACCTGGGCTGGGAGCCCTGCTTGTTACAGTACTCGGTGCTGGCCCAGCACTCAGTGTTATCACAGCGCGAGCCGACGCGTCTCTTCTTGTTTCCGCCTCTGGTGACACAGCGATTATTCCAGGATGGAATCTCCAATCAATCACCAAAGTCTCGGACGATATGCCCACCCTTTCGCAACCGGGAGTAGATGTGTCGTCCTGGTACCGCGTCGGCGCCCGCGGCACTGTCATGGCTGGCCTTATTGAGAACGGCGTGTATAATGAGACCGAGCTCTGGTTCTCAGATAACATGGAGTCAGAGACTGACCGCTCCCTTTTTGAGGCCCCCTGGTATTATCGCGAAGAATTTTCAGCGAGCCCGTCTGCCCAACACTTCTTTCTGCTGAAAACCAACGGAATTACGTCCAAGGCAGACATATACATGAATGGGCTGAAGGTTGCTTCCAGTGATCAACAGCAAGGCTCCTACGGGGGCCATCAATACAACGTGACTGAGTACATTCGTGAAGGTACCAATTGCGTATTGATCCGTGCTTATCCTACGAACTATCTGCGTGACTTTGCTATGGGGTTCGTGGACTGGAACCCTTATCCGTATGACAATGGCACCGGCATCTGGCGCCATGTGGAATTATCTCAGACCGGCCCGGTCTCCATGTCCCCCATCCGGGTGCTAACCAACTTTATCAAACCCGGGGACCCTCATGAGCAGGTGATAGTAACTATCAGGACAGACTTACACAACTGGTCAGCCAAAGAGGTCCGCGTTGTGGTGAACAGCACTATTACCGCAGATGATGACTCTTCAATCCCCTTTTCGGGTTCGCTTGTTCTGCAACCTCATTCGCATCGCACCTTTGCTCTTGCAGCTCCAATCAAGAAACCAAAGATTTGGTGGCCCGCTGAATGGGGCAGTCAGCCCCTATATACAGTCACTGCGACTACTTATGTCCAGGAGGGTGGGCTAGCAGTGTCTGATCGCTCTGGCCCCCAAAAATTTGGCATTCGCCATGTGACTTCTGATCTTAATAAGTTCAATGACACGGCATTCAGTGTTAATGGGGCACCTTTCCAAGTTAGGGGAGCTGGTCTTGGAACGGATATGTTTATGCGATTCGACGAGCAGCGCGTCCGGCGTATTTTTCAGTATATGTTGGACATGGGCCTTAACACTGTACGTCTTGAAGGCAAGCAAGAACAGCCAGAGATGTATAACCTTGCTGATCGCATGGGTATGATGATTCTGGCTGGGTGGGAATGCTGCGACAAGTGGGAGGGCTGGAAGGTACCGAAAACATGATCTTCCCTCTTAAAGCTGTTGCTAATCATCTTTTTTAGTATAACGACGAGGCCGACGGTGTCAAATGGGACAGTAAAGACTATCCGATTGCGAAAACACAAATGCTGCACGAGGCAGAGATGATGCAAGCGCATCCGAGCATGCTAGGATTCCTGGTAGGATCCGATTACTGGCCAGATGACCGTGCTACCAAAGTCTATCTGGAGGCGCTGGAGCAGATGGACTGGCCTAACCCCATCATTGCATCAGCTGCCAAGCGCGGATACCCGGAAGCTCTAGGACCGTCCGGCATGAAAATGAACGGACCATATGATTGGGTGCCTCCCAATTACTGGTATGGGACCAAGGAAGGGGCCGCATTTGGGTTCGGGTCTGAGCTCGGTGCTGGAGTCGGTACGCCCGAGCTGCAAAGCCTCAAGAGATTCTTGTCCAATGAAGACTTGCATATGCTTTGGAGTGAGCCAGATGCAGGCTTGTATCATATGTCCAGCAATGTCTCGCAATTTTACCACCGGACTATCTACAACAAGGCACTTTACTCTCGCTATGGTAAACCGTCCAGTTTGGAGGACTACTTGATGAAATCACAAATGGCGGACTATGAAGCCACCAGAGCTGAATATGAAGCGTACTCGGCAAACCAAAACGCAACACGCCCAGCGACGGGGTTAATATATTGGATGCTTAATGGAGCATGGCCCAATCTACACTGGCAGCTGTTCGACTACTACCTCAGCCCGATGGGCGCTTATTTCGGGACAAAAATTGGGGCCCGCATGGAGCACGTTGCCTACAATTATCAGGACCATACAATTTCACTGATCAACCACTCCTTGAAACAGACGGGAAAGCGAGTGATCATGGTCGAGCTGATTGATATCAATGGAAAGAAAATCTCCGGAGCACGGATGACGGCGAACACCTCCCCGACCTCATCGAAGTCTATTGGAACTGTGACTGGTATCGGTAAGATTAAAGGTGTCGCATTCTTACGTCTAATCCTTCGTGATCCGAAGGTAAGGCATGATTTGAGTCGTAATGTCTACTGGCTATCTCCTTCTACAGACGTGCTTGCTTGGTCTAAATCAAACTGGTACTATACTCCAGTCACGGACTATGCAGACTACACTACATTGGATACCTTGATACCAGTCACTGTGAAAGCTTCTCTGGTTGCTACCAACTCAAAACCGAAGGATGGAATGACCCACGCCGAGATTCAGCTGGAAAACAAGGCCAAGGTTCCGGCTGTCTTCGTTAGAGCCAATGCTATGGATTCATCTACTGGAGCTGAAGTTGCACCGGTATATTGGTCAGACAACTACGTGACACTCTGGCCAAAAGAGAAGCTACGTCTAACGGTTGCCTTTGAAGGCGAGTTGAAGAACACCGTGTTTGAGGTTACGGGCAAGAACGTGAAGAAAGTGGCTGTGAAGAGCACTGGCTCAAAGTGATAAGCGGAATGCGACTGATTTTTAGTTGCTATATGATTGCATGTCTTGTGGTTCCCATCGTTGTTGGGGGATTAGGGATAGTTTAGCAGCTAATGAGCGATTTGTAGTGCCCACTCATTCAAATGGAAAATATGCTGAGATCAATATGATAAGTTGATAAAGTCAAGACAGGACTAAGTAATACGCATCCATACAAAAAGGAGCCAGCCAAACCACTGCTGTTTGGTCTAAAAATGATCATCCAGTACACTTGCTGGTGGTTTGTAACAGTCTTAATATCTGCGGCATCTTGGGCCCTGAATACTCCACTCCCAGCACAGTTGGGCTCTGGGAGGTTTCCGAATAGAACATATGGAGATGTTGTTCTGGCAAATTACACAAATCAGGCACCCTCCGAAGGTCTGGAAACGCCAATAGCTCCTTGGACGGTGTACTGGACCAGAGGTAATATAGAGAGATGCTCTGCAAATGTAAAAGCTCCTCACCAAGCGCCTGAATAATAGAGGCCCAGCTGTCGTCCGGCGATAGAGAAACATGATACAAGGTGAGGGTACTGAGGCTCCCTTGGACCTTGCCAAGGAGTTTTTTGACGTCTGGCCCGTGCATTGAAGTCCGAAATAGAGCCAGCTCACATAGTTGAGATAGTGTGCCCATTTCGGCTAATTCGTGGATAAATTCACAAGACAAATCGTGGGACCCCAAATTAAGTAAAAGTGTTTCAAGATTCGGGGCACTGAGTACCAGCTCTAGCAAGAAACCAAAGTTCTCTAGAGTAAGATACTGCTCCAGAGACAGTTTCTTGAGATTCAACCACGCATTTTGAAACTCTGGTTGGCGGTATAGCAGCTTCGGTAGGCGGCGCATATCCATTATCAGAGTGCGGGAGTACTTATTTGCATATATTAGATGGAAGGAATGGAGCTTTATACCTTCCAAGAGTGCAAAAGATACTCGCACCGCGTCCGTGATGGTAACCCGACCCAGATCCGGCTGGCCTTCAGGATATCGACAGAAAATGAAAAATGAGCGGCAGTTGGTCAGACCATGAAGGAGGTTATTGTGTAAAGTTCGAATGGCCTCGATTTTCAGTGGCGCACACAAGGGTCCCCATCGATAGCGCTCCCATTCTATGCCATGGCCTACGCCTTTCTGGAGTATGAAAGCTAAGCCTTGAACATAGGGTCGTATAATCTGATGTTGCGAGAGGGCATTTATGCGACGGAGACTGTCGCTAGATAGATCTGTCTTGACGGATGAGAAGAAACGGCGCGCGTAGTAGTGAATAGTTTTTCTCTGGAGCTCTCGGCACACCAAACGCAGCTGCAAGATACTGTCCCCGTCGCAGGAGCTGCAATAGAATGTGAGTATGCAAAAGGTGTACCTCGACGAGAACAGCTTACTCTGCGATCAACTCGATGAGCTCGACAACCAACTCAGACAGGCAAGGAGGGCCGGTCGGCTTCATCACTGCTATTCTTCTGTGGAGAGATGATGCAAGCGGGGATTCCCCGGATTTGCAGAGTTGATTAATCATGCAACCCCTCACTGTTTCACTTTGGATGAATAACCAAGTCTTAGGAAATATTTACTCGACCGAAAATAAAGCTCTATATACACGGAATGACACGGCCCTTAATCAGTGTTCCATGCTACCTGCCAGGTTCAGCCACAGCTTACAACGATCCAGCTGTGACAGAGGAATTGCCTCCATCTCCGTCGAATTCGTCTGAAGCTTCATCCGCTGTCCGGACCCTGAACCCCAAGGTTTCCACGCAGGGGCCTTCGCGTTTTTGAAGTAGTTAGGATTCTGCATTTTGACGAAACTAATGTAGTAGTCCATGGTGGTGTTTATAATGTCCTTGTTAATGTTGGCGTACGATAAGGTCGGTTCATTTGTTTCCCCAATTCCGAAGATCGCAGGCAAATCAAAGACATGCGGTGTACCCATACCATTCGCAATCTCGGTGGGATCCCGGACATTGTATCGGGAGTTCCAGACCTTGTCAGGGCCGAAGTTGCGTGCCATGGCTGCCGCCATCATGTTTCCAGGGCAGGTAAAACTAAAATATCTCATGGTTAGCTTCTCACAACTTAAAAAGCGAGTGTATGGTTTCATACGTCGACTCCCCGTAGGCGGCACTTGCCGATGGGAAATATGCTGCGTGTTTGGGAAGAGGGTCCACGAGGGGATACAATTTGTTGATTTGGTCCAGCTGCTCTTGGGTGAGCTTGGGATAGTTGTTTTTCATGAACTGGGCCACCTCGGCTTGGTCTGTAGCATTGTATGCAAAGTCGGTGCCTTCATCCGTGTCATCGCTGACCACGAGTGGAACCCTAACAAATTCGCCTCTCGAAAACGAATCATACAAGCTACTGGTGACCAGGATTCCGTCAACGACAGGGAGAAAGTACCACAGTGGTGTCGGGTTGGTGCTCCCGCCCGGAAATGGCTTATCGACATTTGCCATTTGAATGGTTTGGATGTCGGCAGCGCGAAGACAGGCAAGAGTGTCGTCTGCTTTGTGACAGTTGACATCTTCCACGAATCTTTCGTACTGAAACTCCATCCCGGCGACAGTCCGTTGCGTGGGCCAGAAGGAAGACTCTGCGATGGCCCCAGAAAACATGTTATTAGATGTCCCGTTGTAAGCCGCGAGATGGTGTGCAACTGATCCAGCACCTGCCGAATCACCGTGGATGACGACTTGCCTGGAAACAGGTCAGATGAAGCCAAGCGTGCTTTGGGGTATAGGAGAGACATCGTTACGTTTGACTTCCACCAAATTTCTGGATATTCTCCTGTACCCATTCCAAGACCTTTCTTTGATCAAGGAGGCCAGAGTTGAGATCACCGTTCTTTCGAACTTTCTCACTGGCTAAAAACCCCAATGCACCAACGCGATAGTTGAAATTCACGAATACTAGTTATATCGAGATTAGTTTTCAGTGCTCACTGGGACAACAGGCGAACCACGGATTGCAACTTACTGATATCACGCCCCGAGCGCTCCACCACCTCACTGCCATTATAGTTACCGTTAGCATTATTGGCGTAACCTCCGCCTTGGATGAATAGCCAAGTTGGCAGCCAAGAGCTCGAATTGGCCCCTGAAGGTCTCCAGACATTAACAAACAGGCAGTCTTCCGCGAAATCGTCATTCACTTCTTGCCCAACGCCAACGCATTGAGGACCAAACTTTTCCCGTCAGCGATGCAGGGGATAATAAAAGTGCTTCAAGTCTTACCTTAGATGCATCCTGAACGGAATCAGCCGTTAGAGGGTCTTGCGGCCCGCGAAAACGCAAGTCCTTGATCGGCGGCGCTGAATACCGCATCCCCAGATACTGATCGACGCCATTCGGGAGCGACACGCCTTTGTACTGCGAATAACCCAGGTCAATGACCGGCGCACCCGGCAAAGCCGAAGACGCCGTAACAAAGCTGATAAGGACCTTGACGAGAAATGCTATCATCTCGTATATATTTTAACGAGCGTATCATCGCAGCAGCCACAGTGCAGAGCTCTCAGGCGAGGGTTTCTCTTGGCGGAGATATGAACCGGGAGGTGTCAACCTCATTATTAATAGCCGCCGCGCCAGACGTGGGGATGATCAGTATGATCGGCAATTTGGCCCACTTTTAACGGTCGATTTTCGCGCCGGACTAGTTAGGGAGAAGGAACTAGCTACATAACAAGCTACTGCTAGTTAGCAGATTATTATCAAAATTTTGGAATCTGAAACAGCGGATGTCTTTGCCCCAAACGATTTAATCTTACACTCCTATTTCACTTTCCGACCGAACCAGTCGCACCAGTTGCAAAACCCTTTTATACATACATGCATAACTACATAAGAAGTGATTTATAGGATGAAATACAATAGCCAGCGAAATTCCAACTGCACGCCTCCCTCAAATAGCACCAGGGCAATCTTGTTCAGGCATTGTCGACATAAAAATAACTAAGCTTAGTATGCACGATGATGCCCCCTGAGGCCATCGGTGCCATGCATGCGACGGGTCCCAGCAGCCTAAATATGTACTAGGTCAGTCGAAATTTCCAGATTGAGTCTCCTCTAGGGAGAGATTTACTTTGACTGCAGGACGATTGGTCAGGCTGCCCTTCAACTTAAGCATAGCCCCCGATACTTTATCGCCAAATGTCACCCTGCGGCGACGTTGCTGCGTCGTAGGTCTGCCCCATTTGCGACCCTTGGATGGTCGGCCCTCATGGCGCGTTGTAGTGGTCTTAGTCTTCACTGTTTGGGTTCGAGCATTGCGGCCCTTGAGGCGAGTCATGAAGGTTGGCTTCGTAGTGCGCGTTGTAGTGGTGGTCGGACGATGACGGTGGAACATTGTGATGCTTATCGAAGTTCTTTGTTGGGCATTCAATTTGGATTCAGGACACTCGACTATGGGGGCTACTGGAGACTCTTTATTCTGGCTTATTTATACAATCTGAAAACAGTACTGAAGCATGTCTAACCCTCGAATTAATCTAATGGGAGGCAAATCAACGTATGCCGAGGCCATACGACATTCTCGAAAGCGCCTGACAGCTGTTGAGTGGACGAGAAACCGCCCGGCACGTCATCCGACGAAGGATCGTCGGCGATCTCAGTGAAAAACAGGAAACACCCAAGTCGAAATATACGTGATAGGGGGTTTTCGATTGACCACATAAACAATAATCTTCGTTCCTTGTTTCTCTTCTTAGATCAGTAGCTGACTTACAACTGGTCTTCTATTTTGGCCTGATGTGCCGTGGCGATGCAAGCCCATGACGTCATCGGAGCTACACATAGTCCATGTTCCGCTAGCCTGACCACCATGTCATTTTCCATATGTAGTTATCAGCAGAATTGAGGTTATATTGGCGCAAAAGAACCTGCCTGAATAATATACCGTGACGTTATGGAATGATGAACACGGTCAGCCCCTCTAATGTGTGCGACCAAACATTCCTAGATAGAGATTCTTGGCAATATCTATGAGCTTCCCTTTGAGACTCGCCAAAAGTTGACTCCATTTGCAAAGATGCCGCTCTTATCTGCACAGGTCTTGATTCCAGAAAGAAACGCGTCTCCACCACTTGCAAGTCCCACTCCTCACGACCTTGGAGGTCCACAACATTAAGCTTGCGAACTTGCCCTGCGAACTTAAATATTGTTTTTGTGATTGCTTCAACGCTCCGTTCCATATGGGGTTTTCAAGCTGGCGGCACGTAAATGTCCCTCTGCGCGGCATGAACTGAGCCCTCGCCATCCGTAGCAGCGGTCGGAAAGGTCGAGACAGAATCCGGACCCTCGTTAGAACTCAAATTGATGTCCCAGGCCACGTGGACATGACGATGGAAATGTGAGAGGTGGCGGCTGCGAACTTCGAGCAAGCGAGATGGTTGTCAGACTGAACTGGGTGGGTTGCTGCCAATGAGGATCAGGGCGTTGGGAGTGAGCAATGGAGAGATTGGGTGTTCGGGGGTGCCAAGGGTATCTAGTGCTGGAAGGAAGCGGTTATATCGGGTGATGCGATTTGAGGGATGGACTCGTAAGAGCCATGATGCATGGAGACGGGTCATTCCATATGTTCAGCACATTTGGATAGGTCATGTTGCGCCACGGGATTAAACGTGAGTGAAAAATCGCGATCTCTAGTGGTTTGGTTTTTCCTAAACCCCGAATATGTGTAATGCCGACGTTGGCCTGCAACCGACGTTACATCATGAATATCATTAAATTATATTCTATTTTTGGCGACTATACATGGTGTATCAACTGATGTAGGCCAGTACATGCTTGTGAGGGTATACGTATACACAGCACATCTTCGGTGCACTAGGTGGTGGTATGTCGTGTTAGGGTGAGCGACGCACTGTTGACCTTGATGAATGGATGCCAAAGGCAAGGTCATGGCGTCTGTGTGCTATCGACTGACAGAGGGGATAAACGCATCCTTCGCTCAGGGATGGGTAAGCTTTCCACCGACATGGAATTCCAGGTGGAAATGTCTGGCGGCGATCGGGGTTCCTGCGGAGCGGCATGGGTGATGTCGGAAGTGAACTGAGTCGGATCGACGAAGACCGGGTATTGATCCGGCTCTGCAGACGTGGGCTGTGAACGATGTGTTTGCACGAGTGCAACCAGCTTTCCAAGAACACCAAACTCGAGCTTGAGTTTGATGCTATAGACCATTGGCTTCATGGTGGTTTGCAGGCTGTAGTATCCGAGGTACTCCACCACCAGCAGTGCGATATCCAGGATAATGATCACAAAATTGATGGCGAGCAACTCATACATGATCTTAGTTCTCCGTCGGCCTTTCTCTGGCATCAGCCTGAGCAGCTTGACCGTCTCAAAAATGTAGATTCCCGATATGACGAACTCTTGCGCACAAAACCAAGCCAGCTGCATGCGCTCCATCACATTATACCCTCGTATTATGGACGGGGTTCCGACATATGCCGTAGAGAACGTCAGCACTGTGGTGGGAATCAGAAGGATGATTGCGTCGACGATAATGAGGCCGAGAACGAAGCGGAGGACTTTCCGACTCTGGACCACGAGATGCAGACGGGAATACAGCACCATGGACTGACCGGGAACCATTACATAGAATCCGATGGTCGACATGACCAGAGTCAGCCATAAGGGGGCCAGAGCGAAGAATTCCAGCAGATAGGCGATGGCGTGAGGGATGACGCCAAGAACGACGGAGGCCAGCAGGGTCCAAAAGTACAGCCCTCGGTAGTGAGTGAAGGTCAAAAAGATTAATATGAACAGTTCGACGGCATTGTACAGGGCAATCGACGTGAAGACAATCATCAAGATCCGGATGGTCAGGGAGCCGTGGTACCCGCCATGGATGCCGTCCGGCGCTTGCGACAAGTCGTTGGGCATTGGAGCGGTAGTGCGCTCGACCACAGATCTGAAATATCGGGTCTGCCGATGCAGTTGCGATGTTGTGAACTTATATCCTCGGTGTCAAGGGTGTCGTTGCGTAGATAGTCTGCTGGGGCAAAATCCCGATCGTGCACTCTCCCAGGGCGATGATCCTCGCGCCATGATAGCTGAAACTAGAGTCGGTTGGGCATCTGCGTGTTTCGAGCGTTTGACTGAACCGAGAATACTGCAGTTATTGTCGTTGTCGGAAAGAGCTCGATGAACTCCGAGTTCTCCGTGACGGTCGGCGACCCCGGATGTAACACTCGCCAGCGTCGTCCAGACCGGCGATGCAGGATGAGCAGGAAAGAAATGCCCCACACGAAGCCTGAATAGAGATCGATCCCTGATAAATGAATCGCCTGCAGTCCAGGTAAAGGAGGCAAGGGAGATGGAAATTTCCAGCACGAAAAAAGAGTTCTACGGGCTTGTCCAGGGTCCCCACAGTGGCCATCCATACAGCGAGCGAAGGAGGCAAAAAGCGCGCGTCGGTTCCGCCTTTTCATCGTCACCAATAAGACGAAGAGAGGGGATCGATCAATAGTCATCGCCGACCGCCAATGCACAGGGGCACTCCACCATGCCATGAAGATATCTAGTTGCTACAGCACATGTATTTTTATGGAGTAGAGCTTTGCCAAGGATGGAATGTCTGTCCTAGTGCATCCCTTGGCAGGGTCTTTCACATCCCCGAGTGCAGCGCAGGGGTGATTCACATGTGGTTTAATAACTCGTAGCGACGGCGTATCCATGCTTGAGAGATTGCCAGTCGAGGAGACAATGTTATTACCCAGGCCGTATAGCCTAGACCGGGTTGGCAAAGTTAAGGCAGCAATCACCCAGATCGGATCCACGTAAATTGTTTCCATTTGATCGGGTAAATCATGGCGCGAGGCACGAAAGGCATGCAAAGACCCATGCTTCCGACCACGGATCTCAAGGGGCCTTTTTGCAAAGGAGTGGGGAGATACCTGCCCCTTGTGCTGGATGCCTTTCACCAAGCAAGCTTTGAACAAACCTTGGAGCATAATCATTTAAACCGGAAAACCCGTTGTTGTTCGATCCGAAATGCCTCAACCGTCCATGTGACCATCAAGCCTGCATCTAGAACTATCAGCAGCTCATGGATTTTGTAAGCATCCTGCGTTTGTTTAAGACCCAGTCTTCGCCGCGTCTTCCCCGTCGTCTGAATCATACGAGGACATCAGGGAATTCTGGAAGAATAACCTCTCCACGAGCTGGCATATGACGGGTACTGCGAAGATGGGAAAGCAACGCGATTTGATGCAGCTGTCGATAACCGATTTCGTGTCTTTGGCATTGAGAATCTCGGCGTTGCTGACATGAGTGTGGTTCTTGTTCTTGCCAACAGCCACACGCAGGCCACAGCTTACATCACAGGGTCTACTTGAGCAGATGTGCTCACTCGACAATATTCACTGGATATCCTGTTGTGTATATTGTGGAATACTAATTCTATAGAATTCTTGCTATGCTGTATTGGACATACCTCTTCCTTCACTTAAACAGATATCACAGTCTAGTAGATGTAACGAAAACCCATGTTCTCATTGTCGGTCTTGTCGTCAAATGCGTGAACAAGGTTTGGGTCGGCAGCATCTAGTCCAGCCGCGTTCACCATCTCATTTTTCTTTCTGTTCTCCCGGATAAGGTAGAAGCGCAGGAAAACAATTGCGCCAACCATGCAGGAGTAGCAGGCCAGATGCACACTAAACGCAGTATAATAGTGCGGTTTTTCCCTGTTAAGGAATACCTGAGGTCCTGGAACACATGTCAGTTCGGCCAAAAACTGCCTCACAGTAAGATATCTCACCAATCGCATTTCCAACAGCCCACGAGACAAATGTGGATGCCACCACTGTAGACTTCTTGGTCTGACCAGCAACATTCCGAGACACCATTGAAAGGCAAAGTGTCTGCGCGGACCAGAAAGAAAGTGTGATATAATATGCAATCAAGAGACCAACTTTCGTAGCTAAATTTGTGTTATTCACGGTCATCAGAACAATAGTTCCGATGAAGGAGCTATGTCGAAGTCAGCCTAGGGGTTTGTACTTGCAGGCAGACATAACATACGGAATGAGAAACCCAAGCATGACTAAAAGGTTCTGACCAGACTTATTCACCAGCCAGGCTGACGAGAGTAGAATGACAATAATGTAGGCCCCCAGGACCATAGCCAGAAGCTGGCTCTGAAGTGTGGTGAACTTCAAGCCTGTCATGATAATACCAGCGAATGAACCTAGTCCACTCGTCGGGAGCGTGGTGAACATCTGAATCGCACAGTAGCACCAGGTCTGGGGGTCTCGGAATGCCTCCCACATCTGGTATTGGCGGAATTTCTTGTTCTGGAGACCAGTCTGGTTGGAGCGCAGGCGCTCAACCATTAGATGCTTGTCTTCTTCGCTGAAGCATTTAGCACGCATGGGAGAGTCGGGCATCCACCACATCACGAACAAGCCCCAGAGCACTGAAAAACAGCCGTAGCTGAGGAACAGCGCCTGCCAGGAATACAGAACACGGTCGTGTCCAATTAACGTGAAGCAATAGGCTAACAGCCCACCCACAATCTGCTGTCCGCCGTTCATCATATACCTAGACAGGGTTAGGGAGTCACTCTGAGGCCAGTACCGAGATTATTTACCAATAGGTCACGGTCGCCGCCTGCTCATCTCGCTTGTACCATATAGACGACAACAGCACAAATATAGGCTGGCAGCAAGCCTCGAAGACCCCCAGCAAGGTCCGCACTGTCACCAGTCCAGCAAAGTTGTGGCAAGCGGCGTGCAGGGCCAGAATGGTTCCCCAGATACAAATATTGGCACCAAGGTACTTGGCGACAGGCACACGCTGGATAATCCAATTGGTCGGGTACTCGACCACCAGAACCGCAAGGTATATACAGGTGGTCAGCCAGGAGTACTAGAGTGATTGAGCATGTCAGCAGCGGCATCGTTCAAGTACCAAAGTAGGGACGGCAATACGCACCTCTTGGCCTTTCAGGTTCGCATCCTGTTCAATTCCCATGATGGATGAGAAGGACACCGTGCCCTTGTCTAGGGCTTGCAGGAAATAGGTGATAATCATCACCACCAAGACACGTTTGTCAATCATGCGTCGCAGTCGCTTGTTTGTTGCCTCATCGACCTCGATCATCCCGCGACCGGCGTATTGCTGGATTTCTTTGTCAACTCGAGTAACGTCCATGTCATCCTTCTCTAGGGTTTCCGATGATGACAAGACCCTCTCGACGTGTGAGATGTCCTGTTTTGCCTGAGAGTCATCCATTCCAGGTGGATGACTGTGCGCAGGCTCTATCTCAATGCCCTGATTCGGCTGCGACTCGTCCTGGGCCATGACGAATAGAATTCGAGAGGGCGTGGATAATGAATGCACTGTCCTCTTGAGGGAGCGGTTCGGTCTTATAACTTGAGCCCAGTTTGGGGCATACACCACGAGCCAACCACGACGTAGCTGTTGTCCCCACGCTCTCGTCTCTTCCCCACGGAGTTGCAATTTGTACTACATATCCCGGGGCAGCAACCCCCCGACAAGAGTCCAGTGGATGTGATCGCCATCACTAAACTAGCGTCTGGTCCCGCCTGTCGGGCTGATTTACCCCGAGCCGACGTGGGGGCGTTCCTCTTTATTAACCAGCCCCAAGCTGCCAGAACGGATGCATGCCACAACAGATCCCACCATGGAAAGACGATCCTCTGCCCCCGAAGTCCACAAAGCCGTCAACTTGCTGATTGGCAACCTGGTCAACATTAAAGACGAGACCGGCAAGTTCCTCCTGCACCTACCCGACGGTCGCATCATCGACACTAAATCCTGGAATGGCTGGGAGTGGACCCACGGCATTGGCCTGTATGGTGTGTGGCAGTACTACGAGATGACCGGAGATCCGAAGCTGTTGCGCATTATGGAGGATTGGTTTGCTGCCCGGTTCGCCGAGGGCGGCACCACGAAGAACATCAACACCATGGCCGTCTTCCTAACGCTGGCATATTTGTACGAGAAAACCGGAAACATAACCTACTTGCCATGGTTGGACGCCTGGGCTGAGTGGGCGATGTATGAGCTGCCTCGCACTCGGTATGGCGGCATGCAGCACATGACCTACATCACCGAAAACTACCAGCAGCTATGGGACGATACCTTGATGATGACCGTGGTGCCTCTTGCCAAGATTGGAAAGCTTCTCAACCGCCCCGAATACATCGATGAGGCCAAGAAGCAATTCCTAACTCACATAAAGTACCTGTTCGATACCCGCACAGGTCTGTTCTTCCACGGTTGGACCTTCGAAGACGGCGGGCATAACTTTGCGAACGCCCGGTGGGCTCGCGGCAACAGCTGGGTCACTATCGTGATCCCTGAGTTTATCGACCTACTAGATCTGAAGCCGAATGACCCGATCCGGCTGCACCTCATTGACACACTGGAGGCACAGTGTCAGGCGCTTAAGCGTTTTCAGGCAGAGTCGGGCGCTTGGCACACTCTTCTCGATCACCCCGATTCCTACTTGGAGGCATCTGCTACGGCTGGATTTGCATATGGTATTCTCAAGGCTGTGCGCAAAAGGTATATCGGTGCTCAGTATCGGCCTGTTGCCGAGAAGGCTATCGCGTCCGTGCTAAAGGACGTGGATGAGAAAGGCGAACTGCGCAATACCAGCTTCGGAACTGGGATGGGCGACTCGCTCGAGTTCTACAAGCAGATCCCGTTGACGGCGATGCCGTACGGGCAAGCGATGGCTATCATGGCACTGGGAGAGTACTTGCGGACATACTTGTAGATAATTGTTGCTGGGCGCTTGCCAGCGGCGTTATAGTAAGGGTATCATGGTAAAATGATATTTTACAAGTATTTGAATAACCATCATGTAATGTCTAAGCCACTCATGCATGTCTCTGACGCCTCGTCTATCACACTGCGGTGGAATACTAAAAAAGGCCGGAGCCTTCTATCAATCAAACTGTCATAGATAATTACGTAAAGGCTGCGGCTGGTATCTAGGGGATTTTGTTTTGCCCCTCGGGATCGTCGTGCCTCGGCGGTCTCCGCGTCGATTATAGCTGGCTAGAGCGGAGACATGGGAACTCTCGAGCATTTAATTACTCTGGATATCCTCTCTGGAAGCGATTTGAATTATATGAGATTAAAAGAGAGACATTTGATGGACCCACCACGAAACAGACCTTGAATATTTCATCGACATCACGACAAAGAGATCCATCATGCTCTATATTAACGCCACTATAGTCACCGTCGATACTTCGCGCCGCATGATCAGTGATGGAGCGTTGCGAGTCGTCGGGAACACGATCGCCGATATTGGCAAGACCGCAGCTTTGAAGGAAATATATGCTGATGACGAAGTGGTCGACCTTACGGGACGTATTATCATTCCAGGACTTATTTCCACGCATATGCACACAGCGCAGACACTTCTTCGAGGCACGGCCGATGATTTGGAGCTGGTATCATGGCTATGTGAGAGGATCTGGGTCCTGCAAGGCAATTTTACAGAGGCCGACGGCTATGCGGCTGCCAGACTGAGCATTGGTGAGATGCTCAAGTCTGGCACAACTTGTTTCTTGGAGAGCATGGTGAGTTTAATGTAACCTTTTCGTGAGATATGGTGTTGAAATATGAAGTTTGCCGATCGATATGGGTTTGATGGACTCGCTCGCGCCGTCGAAGAGAGCGGCATCCGGGGATGTTTGGGTAAGATTGTAATGGACATCGCGAAGTATGCAAAGGACGACGCATGGGCGATGCATCCAGGTCTTGTTGAAAACCGCCAGACTTCACTTCTGGGGACACTGAAAATGTGGGAGAAATGGAACGGTGCGGCAAATGATCGGATCAGAGTCTGGTTTGGTGCCAGGACCCCGGGAGGGTAGGATTTCCTGAATATGTGCTATAGTAGACGCTTACACTCGCCAGAGTCTCTGATGCACTGTATAAAGAGATGACTGCTCTTTCACGAGAGAAGGGCATCCCGGTTACCATGCACTGCGCAGAGGTAAAGGCAGATCGCGACTTTTTTGAATCTGTGTCCCACACGCCAATGACTTACTGTGACTCAGTTGGGCTACTCAACCCAAAAACAGTCCTAGTGCACATGGTTCACCTGGATGACTCTGATATCAAGCTTCTATCAGCGTCGGGCACTCATGTTGCGCACTGCCCAACTTCCAACGCCAAGCTGGCGTCGGGGATCTGCCGAGTCCCCGATTTGCAGAATGCCGGCGTAAATGTCGGCCTTGGAACCGATGGCGCCCCTTGCAACAACACAAACGATCTCTTGCAAGAAATGAAATTGGCGGCCATCATTCATAAAAGTATATCGTTTGATCCAACCGCGGTTCCGGCAGAGAGGGTTCTTGAGTTGGCTACCATCAACGGTGCCAAAGCACTGGGGTTGGACGACAGCATTGGCAGCTTGGAAGTAGGCAAGAAGGCAGATTTTGTGGCTATCGATGTGCGAGGAATCCACTCCCAGCCTTGGTTTAACCCCGTTAGTGCTGTGGTTTATACGGCTACTGGACGCGACGTGGATGTCGTTGTGGTGGATGGGAAGATTCTGGTTAAAGGAGGCGAGTTGCTGACAATGAACGAGAATGAGATTGTACAAGAGGCGAAGAAGCGCAGCCATGAGGTCGTTCAGAGGGCAGGTTTGGGATCTAAGGTGAAGGGCCGTTGGCCGATGGAATAAGTCAGGGCCTACGGATGTATAAACAGATGGGACCAGAATTTTGCAATACCAATATATAACAAACTGAACAACCGTGTGACTAAAAGCTCTTCTTCAGCCACAAGTTTTGCGATTACAGCAATCAGTTAGGCCGTTGAGGCCTTATTCTGTTCAGTACCGCTCTGCTCATGTCCTCCAATGGGGCATGCGTGACGGTCATGACACACAGGCGCCAGTAGTGGCCCAAGACACTATGTCGGAGATGCGCTTATTGCGAACGAACTTTTTTTTCTTGGGACGGGGGGGAATCTGTTATATATGTAATGGTCCTTTCCATCCCCATCTTTGATCAGTGCCGGGCACCGAACCGAGCTCTTATAACGTCAGACATCTAGCGGCCTATACGAGGTCTGGCACTGCCCGCAGAACCGTGAATGGGCTAACTATTGAATGGCTTGCTTTTTTGGTAGGCATCACGGAAGCCAGCCTGACCATTTGTAACTTCCGTTTGCTGTTTATGGAGTTTATTGGGTGTAGGGATCAACTCATTCGCGGGAATTCTGCGGGGTCCGTGAGCAAGTTTGCGATCGCCCGTTTATTGGGCTGGACATAATTATTGGCTATCTGAACTGCTGGACTCGATCGATGGTTTTCGTTGAACGCGTCCTGCAAGTCGGCCCGGTAGACCGATTACGGACCAAGGCACTGCCGGCGCCTTGATTGATAAAGTGGCATGAGTAGAGAGTGCGATTTTTTTAGGGGTCATCGCCTTTAAAACGATCCGTGCGGTCGCTTTTTGGAGTAGTTGGAAGAGATCTATCCCCACCGCGGAAGAGATGCCGTCAATTTCCTGGGTCGCGTTATGGGGCTTGCACTGATCGAGAGAGGTGTTATCAGACAATGCGGAACAAGGTGACTATCGGGGTCAAGTCCGGCCTGACACCGATTCTCCATCAACGATTCTCAAGCACCTTCTTCCCTCTAAGTGGATTATTCATCAGCAAAAATGCAGCCCCTGCAAGGACAGACAGAAATCATTCAAAAGGTCCGCGAGGCCCTCGACAAGCATGAAGCCAGCCTGGCCGATATCAACCGCAAGGTGCGTGAGATTGATTAAATGATTCAATGCGACACTACTAACAGCCTTGCCCTTTTTAAGATTTGGTCAAAGCCCGAGCTGTCATTCAAAGAGTATAGTGCGCATGACAATATATGTGCACTCTTCGAGTCTCTCGAGGCATATCAGGTCCGAAAGCATGCCTATGGAATAGATACTGCCTTGGAGGTCGAGTACAAACACGGGAGTGGAGGTCGCGTGGTGGCTTTTAACGCAGAATACGATGCCCTCCCAGGGATTGGGCACGCCTGTGGGCACAACCTCATTGCGACCAGCTCGATTGCAGCGTTCATGGCAACTTGCGAAGCAATGAAATCATTGGACCTGGGCGATGGAGGGTATACTGTGCGTCTGCTCGGAACTCCGGCCGAAGAGGGCGGTGGTGGTAAGCTGCTGCTCATCAATGCTGGCGCATACAAAGATGTGGATGCCTGTTTCATGGTCCATCCATTCCCAGTACTTTCTGGAAATCCAGGCCTTTTAAGTTCTAGTTGCTGCACGGGACAGTATTTGGCAAATGACAAGGTTGACGTTACCTTCACTGGTAAGCCTGCACATGCGTCGGCCGCCCCTTGGGAAGGTGTCAATGCACTGGACGCCGTGGTATCCGCATACGTCAACATATCGATGCTCCGCCAGCAAATTCTGCCTACGCAGAAGATCCACGGCGTTGTTCTCAGGGGCGGCGATCGCCCTAATGTGATCCCTGCGTCCACCACGGTCGAATATTATATTCGTTCGGACACCGTGAAGACTCTCAAGCCATTGACCGAAAAAGTGCTGAAATGTTTTGAAGCTGCTGCTACCGCTACCGGGTGCACCGTGAAGTATGAATGGTAAGCAGTAGTCCTGGCAATCGGCACACCCAACTACTAACAGACGTATACAGGGAGCCAGCATATAAAGACATGAAGGACAACAAGCCCATCTGCAAGAACTATACTTCCGCTATGAATGCTATGGGCTACAAGTGCATTTTTGACGCCACAGGACAAGAAGGTGGACTTAGTGGTGGCTCTACTGATATGGGTAAGAAATTCCACTATCAGGGATAGAACGACAGTCTAATAATTCTATTCAGGAAATGTATCGTACGTCGTCCCTGGCTTCCACGGTGGATTTTATATCCAAGCCGAAGGAGTCAACCACACACCTGAATTTACCACCGGAGCAGGCTCTCCAGAAGGATTTAAGCGGAGTTTGTATAGCGCTGCGGGAATGGGAGTCGTGGCGTGCCAAATGTTGATCGATGACGAATTTGCTGCGTCAGTAAAGTCAGACTTTGACAAAGAGACTGCTTTGTGATAGCAGAAATTCAATTGTTTAAATAATATGTGGAAGCAAAATTCAACGCATTTAGAGGAGCATTTAGAGACTTCTGGCCAAACGCTTCATCCCCGCCTGGAAACTTCGCGGAAAGACCGGGCGTTACGCCGCACTTGCAAACTTTTTCATTAGCAACAAAATAAACATCGGGGTCGGCCGGTCAGCCGAATGCAGTAGGTCGATCCATAGCCACTCCTCATCTGCCGTGATTGCCTTCCGTCCCTAAACGGGGCACCCAGCTTCCCCAGAGTGGAGTCTCCATGTTACCCCAGTCGGAGAAACTGTGCCATTGAACTATCCCAAGCCTCCGCTTCTGCTGTTATCGTATATTCACGCGGTTCAACCCGCACAGAATGTTTCTATTAGCAGATATAAAAGTAAGTTATATTCATTCATTGGTGGATGCGCCTAAGCTTGCTCCTTCATTAAGAGGCGAGGCCCACAGCGGAACAACGCCGACCATGTAAATTAGGCCCAAATGCCAACAACCTGGCACTAGAACTCCGTCATCCTGAATTGACGATGCTTTCTGGCCAACTTTATTAGGTGGATGTCAGAACGGCGATATTCCCCCCTGCATTCCGCGAATTCCTAGATAAAGATGTCAATGGCCCTTCGGAGCTCCTTCAATATCATAATCTTGCTTTGCGTCTCAGTTAATCGGACTGAAGGACAGTTTTCATAATGGAGCAGCAACACGAGTCCAACATGCCCTATGAAAAGGTCTTGAATAACACGGTCGAGGCCCCCGGAGTTGATCTTGGGCAGATTCTTGCTGCCACATCCATGCCCGAGGAAGAGCAAAGAGTACTCCGGAAGCTCGATTTTATGTGAGTATGAGGGAAATTAAGCTTATAGCCAGTGATTGATGCGTGGAAGTCTGGTCCCATTGATGGGATGCGCCTACTTCCTCCAATTTCTCTACAAACTGGCGCTCAGTCAGACAACACTGTTCAACCTTCGACAAGACTTGGTATGGGCCCTTCCAGTGATCGACTTGAAGGTAAGCTCATAAATTGTCTAATCAGGGTACGCATGGCTCGCAGTACTCGTGGAGCTCCGCAATATTTTATTTGGGCGCTAATACATTCTTTAGATGGGCATTGAAGCAGCCATGTCGGGGTTGTTTTTGAGTATTTTCTTCTTAATCCTGCTGTACGCTTACTATGCAGGGAGAACCGCCCCAGGGATAGGCTCTATGGGCACCCGGAAGAGAACATTGTTGGGCAGGAGCTGCCAGATGAGCTCTCAAACAAAACAGATCGCCAGCTTGATAGCTTCCGTTATATTCTATAAGGATGGGAAACTGGGTGTTTAGGTGGTAGCATGCACATTTCTGTCTACGTCGAGCTAAATAGCGAGGACATATCAAGCAATATCATAATTCACTGCGTCACTTTGAAAGGTCCACATCAGGGCAAGCGCAGGAACAGCTCCTTCATCTTCGGGTAGTTTGGCGTTCCCAAACCGGAGGCCGGATCCCAACTGCAGGGTGTCAACAATAATTTCACGTAGGGTTTGGAGGGGTCACACTTACCCAGGAATAGCACTAAATCCATATGTACCGCACCCAGCATTTGTCCCATTTGTTATATCATTCAAAATTTCGGGGTGAGCATACAGAACGGGATTCACAAATCCAACAGGCTTCTTGCCCATCTCCAGACGCTCTTCGTTGATCTGCATGACCGTACACCGTTAGAGATGAAAAACACTCCCTATAGGGCTTATTCCACGCTTACCATATTGAGAACCGATGCAAACAGGGGCGATGCCAAACTCGATCCGTAGAAGTGGTAGAGCTTGCCACCCATGTACGCGCGGTATTGGGCACCGTTGGCAGAGACATCAGGGTATGCCCGACCAATACGATTGTAGCGTCCCTTGGTAGTGTTGACATCAACTCCAAACTCAGAGTAGTAGGGATAGGTCAAGTCAGCCGTCTTGAAATACTTCTCCACGGCCTTCTTTTGGTATTCGGGCTGGGGGAAGTAGTTCGAGAATCCGCCAGCTGTACTGAAGTTAGAGGCTGTGCCACCAAGATTGACGTGCATGACACTCTCAGCATCCTCGACCGTTTGATCACCGTAGATCATGGTGCCACCAACTGAGGTAACGTAAGGACAGTTGGATGGGTATTGCGGATTGAAGACCAATCCATCCGGACCCAAACATCCGCTCTCGGACCCGCCATCACCAGCCGCCGAGGCAACGCCGTAGTCGCCGGAGGCAAAGAGAATGGAATGGCCCTGAAGACCGAGTTTCATGAACTCATTACACTGACGCTTCGTGTAGCCCATGGGGAGGTCTGCCTCAGCCTGTCCATACGAGGCGCTGATGACGTTCGTGGGTTTGTAAACACCGCACTGGAGCTTTCCTGCCAATGAATGAGAATTTGTAAGAACTTCAACAAAACATAAATCCCACCTTTGTAGCCACCTGGGCGCCGGTCAGGAAACGTGGGGTCGATTTTCGGATCATCGCCAGTCTCGCCGTAAGCACGATAGGAGCAATATGACTGGGAAAGTTAATGTGCTGAATCGACGGGAGGAATGGATCATACGTACACCATCGAGGGCATCCAGGAAGGTATTGAACAAGTTGGTAGTGGCAACCTCCACGGGCTCATACAATTGATCGTCCACCTGATACAGAGTCACGGATTGAGGGTAAATGAGTGAGTAGCTTGGGAGTTCGTCAGTGATCGAAATGAGATTGGGACTATTGTTTCCACATACACCATGTCAATATCAATGTCCGATTCACCCGTGTTCAGTGAGCTGTACGCAGGCACCGAGAAATTGGCACCATCGATGAGATTTGGAATAGGATAGGTGCCCTGGGGGACCCATGGAGCATAGGCCTTGTAAAACAGGTCAATGTCCGACTTGGCGAAGTAGTCACCCTGCTCGTAGAGGCCGAGAGAGTTGCCCTTGAGTGCCTTGGTGGCATCCGGGATGTTATACAGCGCCTTGATGCACACTGGGGTCATATTAAAACCACAGCCCCGCAGGTCCTCGTGTAGAGACATGGCTTTGGCTGGGATAGACGGGTCTTCATGAAGGCGAAGAACATGACGGTCTGGCTTACTATGTGCCAAATGAGAAGTGCGCTTGACCTTCTTATTCTTCTTAACCACCGGGGTGAGTTTAACACCAGGCGTGATATAGTCAACATGGTCCCGAATCGATGCCGGGACATGATACCTGGATTTATCAGCTTTACGGCTCACATCAGACACGTAACAGGGCTCACTCGTCACATCCGACTCTCATTCCGCCAGTACTCGAATGAGTGTGCTCATGAAACTCGGTCATCATAAGCTTCTCGGCTTCGTGGGCGTACGCGTCAAATGCCAGCCACCCTTTATTGTCCGAGTGGACGATACGTGAGGGATGGATCCCAGCCGAGACGAGCCAGTCTCGAACGGAGTCAACAGCGTCTTGTGAAGGCGAAAAAGCATCATGCACCTCATCTGCGGACCAGTACTGGCCGTACCTCGGGGACTCGGGGTGTGACCTGGGCCATTTCAGCAAATGGACTATCCGCGACAAAACACCCATACTTACACCTCCATGAGATAGTCATAGCCCTTATCCAGATTGCTCTGGCTGAGGCCAATACGCATTGGCAGTACCGAATCAGGCTCGACCCGAGCACCCTTCACCCAGTCGGTGGAGGGTCGGTCCCGCTTTTCGTGTAAGGCATGCTTGATAGACGCCGGTGAGGCATCGGAGAGGGCCACAATGGCCAGCGCGACAGCAGCCTGACGCAGCCACATGATGAGGACTTATGGACTGCTGAATGCATGGCGAGAGGGGGACTGGGGGATGCGTCTAATAAATACATATTGCAGGTACAACAAGCCTGGGTGGATGGAGGCTGGCACGGACCGGAAGGATTATGCCGTAGAGCTAGCACCGTCGCATCGGGGGTAAGCCCCCAGAATCAATTGAGGCCAATGATTGGCGTTTGCACCACGGTCCCTGAGATCAAACCCACGCGGTGTCGTGCCTAGCGTGTTTACCGGCGGGGTTGGCTTCGGCAACACCGTCGATGTATCGCCACGAGAGTCAAGCACCGCCCGCACGGTGGTCCGGTCTTGCTGGCGCATCGCTTGATTTATTTAGCGCTTCATCAGGCTCGCAATGCTGTGCGATTGGTGGTCTGTGCTCGCTAAGTAGTGCTCCATTATGCTGATAAGCGGAGCTCCGACGGTGCAAGTGTTGATCACACCCTGTCGTGGGTAAAGAGAAGATGAAACCGATGGGGATTATTGCCTATGTACCGTACCCTGTCCTTCTCTTGCCTCTTAAGGACATCTTCATGGGTAGCGTAACTACTTCGTCTACAGATTTACATTCGAGAGTATTGTTAGATAAGAATTTCCATTTGTTAAAGAGAACAACAAAAGCGCAGGCGGGAATCCAGCGACGGCTTCGTCCGCAATTGTCGTGTCATCCTCATGGTCCCTTACATGTTCTGTAAGACTTGGGGGGAGAAGATGATGGCGTATTGCGGAAGTAAAGAGCCTTTATCCGCGAGATATCGCGACTGCAAACATTGCCAACTCGAAGTCGGTGATAATGCAAAACCATTTGTCCAGCGCCTCTCGATATGCATTCGGGATATCTTCATGGGACGTATGGAGCCAGTCCCCTATGATGTTCAGGGCGCGGATGAACTGCACAGCGTCATCCGTTGTATCATCTCGCGTACTTTCGGCGCCGACCGAGACGGCACGTAGAAACCCGAGAGGGCGTCTTGTAACGACGAACCGGCTAGGCCTACAGCGGTGTTAACAGGTTCGGGAGCGTCGGCAACGCTGTAGAAATGTCCATGATAGTGGTGTCGTGGAGAGGAGTGTCTACCTAGCACATCGTACAGCTTCAGCACCCAGGCCCCGAATTGCATGGCGTCTTCCAGACGGGTCCATCAATAGTTTTGCAGCAACGATTGATAACTCGCCGGACTAAATCGGTGTTATCAAGTGCATCACTAACCATAGCTAGCACCTCCGGTCGAAGCTGCACTACATTTGCGTTAGGGGCCACATTCCACGAGCGGCACACGATCTTCTGAGTTTCTGGGCCGAAATCCAAGGCGGCGCACAGGTCATCTCGCTCCTTTGGCGAATGATTGGTAATTGGACCATCCGGATGATCAGGCCACACATAGTTTGCGGATATCCCAAGAAACTCTTCACTGGGAGCAGCTCCCTTGCGGTCAACTTTTGCGTCCGAGCCCACGATGCGTCAGCGTCAACCTCTGCACTGCGGTGCAGGCGCTCTAGGTGGTTGACGCTGTGCAGCAAGGGCTTGCGAACTGAATCATTAGCGTATGAGGAGCTCTTTGCGTAGGCCGTGATCGGTGAACCGTTCAGATTCCCTGCAGGGTCAGGATTCACGAGACTCTCGATGAGGCGCCTCGCCTCAGCGCTCAGATGCGGCGTGACGACCTGGGTCGTTTGCTGTTGAGTAGAAGATTGGATTTCGCCGCTCCACACGTTCTTGCTGGTCACCTTCCAGCTGATGTGCAGGCTGTTGGGGGTATGAGCGGACAATCCTGGGTACTGCTGTGACAGTGAGTTAAACGCGGACACTATGTTACGCTTCTGTGCCCATTCTAGGGAGCCCACATGGAGTAAATGAGAGAAAGGTACACCGGTACGAGCTTGGGGGGTGTAGGGGAAGGCAGACGTTGGGGTGAGGGAAACAGGGACGAGGAAGGTGCGTTGCGTGGTCTCGTCTCCAAATGGCACATCACATTCCAAGCTGGCAGGCGCTCTTCAGTCAGTTCCCAACGACTGGCCTCTCTTTCTCGGCTTGGAAACAAATATAAAGAGCCTTCGTATATCGACTTTTCCAGGAAAACAGAGCAAACGCTTAATGATATTTTCCAAGTACGGTGGTCTTAATTTACTCCTTCCTGTGGCCTCCCTTGGCCTGGCCGCGTTTCGACCGCCGGACGGGCTCTTCCGACTTGGGTTCTTCGGCTGCTTGCTCCGACTGGGCGTCCTGAAGCTCCGCATCCGAGCCCTGGGGGTCAGCCTGGTCATCCTCACTAGCAGCAACCATCACACCATCATCCGTGGCGTCAGAGGACTCGGCGTGGGACACGGGCTCCCAAGTTCCCTCTCCCGGCGCGATCTGGTCGCGGAGCGTCGTGAGGATCTGGTTCGTCTCGCTCTCGACCCCGTTCCAAGCTCCGCAGCTGCCGCACCGCCAGCGACCAAGCTCTTCGGGCGTCTTGATGCCCGGCGGTGCCTGGCCGTTTACCAGTCGACATGTGTTGCAGATCATCGCCATGCGGTTGCGAGGCTGGGTCTCGTCTTCGCCCAGCAACACATCTAGCAGGCGGTCATACCAGTGTGGTTGTTCGATATACTGGCCAGAATTCGGGAAGGCATTTGGCGCGAAGCCTGGTTGGTCAGTGGCCGGTTGCGAGGCAGAGGGATCGGTAGAGTGAGCGGCGGGAAAGGGTTGCGGCTGACCCTGGGCAGCGGAGGAAGGCAGGGATGGGGCGTGCGGTACTTCCTGTGTGGATGGAAGATCTTGCATGGGAGAAGGACGTCGAATATTCGCGGTAGGTGGCGGAGGGAGTCCAGTTCGGGCAACGGGCGCTGGTTGTGGTGCCTTGACGGACTTGCGCTTCTCGTCCCCGCCCTTGGGACTCTGTTGTGGAGATTCTCCGCCATATTTCTCAAGCAACTGCTGCGTCGAATTGTATCTCGTGGCCACCTTGAGCTTCTCGATGGTCTCATCACGCTGTTTCTGGAGATCGTCGAGTCGGGTTTGGGTTCGGGAGACACGATAGTTAAAAAACCTGGAAGCCACAGCTCGTACGGCATAGATCCTAGTGAAAGGCAAGCGTCAGAAAATCGTTCACAACAATGCGAAAGGAAAAGATCTCGTACAGGACTGGCCCACCCCCGATGGCGGCATATTCTTTGACCCCCCAGCTCTCCCATCCCAGCACCAGTGCAAGAACGATCGAGTAAAATAAGTAGGCTAAAGTCGAATAAAGGGTCCACAGAGCCTTGAATCGGCGGGTGGTTTGGCGCTGCTGGTCGAGACGAGCGGTTGCCTGAGCGATCTTGGTCGACAACGTGGACAGGGTCTTCTCAAAGGAAGCCGGGGAGTTGTCCTCGCCCTGAACGAGAGTGAGCAGGGGGCACTGTGGATCGGGGGGACTGCAATGTAACTACACGTACCTTCCAGGGCCACAGAGACACCATGATCGCGGAGACACAGAGAGGCCAGAACAATGAATGAACGCGGGTTGGATTCGCCCTTGGCGGGCACAGACCATATAGTTCCTGGCCTGAGGCAGCCACGTCGAGTTAGGGCTACCTCTCGGCCTCTTACCATCGATATAGTTACTCTGCATAGCATCCATCCACATTCTTAGGAGTGAATTTGATCCAACGGTCACAGACTTTATGCCTCGGGTCCAGGCCCAGTCTCGCTTTTCAATGGGACGCCATGAGCGATAAGACGTGGCCAACGCTCGAGTTTCTTTGTTCACCCCTGCAGCGCTCTCCCTCCCACTCCTGCCATGAAAGGCCTCACGACCAATGATTGTCCCCAGAGTTACACTGGTATCGGCGTTTAACTTAAAGCAGTGAGCGTTTCCGTGCTCTTTTGGGGCTCTGGCGATAAACCGAGTCCAAAGACGATGCTCCCCGTGCACGGGATGTGAAATTCATCAAAGGGACCCAACAGACCCCGCCCCACCAATCCGAGAGTCCTGACTTGTCTAATGCTTCTTCGTCTCTGGGCGCAAAGACGGGCTGACGCTGTGACTCGAGCACCGCGTGGCGACCACGAGCTGTGATGCCAACCTTCTCCAACCAAGACCGGTAGGGCTTGGATGATCACCCTCGGTCGGGCTAATCGGGGAGTTCATCCCGCAAATGTCAGTGGCGCAAGTCCCAGCTTTTCCATTCTTTTATTTTGGGGGGGGTTGCAAGCAAGCCCTTTATCCTAGCATTTCTGCCCAGGCCTGTGCCGCCGCTCTTATAACACCATAGGACCACCTGGGGGAGACCTCACCACACCAAAACGAGGGGGCATACACAACAACACGCCATGGACACCTTCCTGAGCAGCCTGCCCCCGCAGGTGGGTGAAGTCTTGATGGAAAACTTTACTATCATCGAGATCATCGCCATGTTCTCCATTGGTTGCTTCAACGCCGTTGAGGTCGCCCTCTCCACGTTCGAAACCTTCAAGCGGTACCGTGGCCTCTACTTCTGGAGCATGCAAGTAGCATCATGGGGGATAGTAGTGCATGCTGTTCCAGCGCAAATCCGCTACGTCTCGGTGGCTCCGGGCTTGCCTATGTGTATCCCCTTCATTATCGGCTGGTACGCCATGGTGACGGGTCAGGCGGTTGTGTTGTATTCCCGCCTGCATCTGGTCGTCCAGGACATCCATCATGTGCGATGGGTACTCGCCATGATCATCACCAACTTCTTCATTCTCCACGTACCCATGACGGTGCTATTCTTCGGCTTAAACCTGGGCGACATGCGCTTTGAGAAGCCCGCCCAGATCTACGATCGAATCCAGTTGACTGGGTTTTGCATCCAAGACTTTGTCATTTGCGGCATCTACATCCGTGAGGCCCTGCGTGCCCTTAGACCAGTTCTAGAGGTCAAGGGTCGCGAGGGTCGCAAGGTTATCTACCACCTGATCTGGGTAAACGTCATCGTCGTCGTCTTGAACATCACCCTCCTTCTCGCCGAGTACAAGGCCCACTACATCGAAGTCAGCTTCAAGGCTGTCATCTACAGTATCAAGCTCAAGCTCGAGTTCTACGTCCTCAATCGCCTGCGTGAGCTCACCCGCATCAATCCATGCATGTGTCAACGCAACCAAGCCAACCCCCGTCCGTCCATCGATATCAACGTCTTCGACCTCGTCACCATCCACCAGCCCCAGGTGCCAGATGTAGAGACCACACCAGCACTTGCTGGCGGTGATTTGAGCCTTCCTCGCCTACGTTTTTCACCAAACAGCACGAATGACTTCCACGACGCCCTACGGGAGGCTGCATCATCAAACGAGACCTCCTTCTCCAAATCCAGTACGTGTGTCTATCCTCCGGCTGCGGTCTCAGCAGATCGTCTGTCTGGTAGAGGGCCGCGGATGAACATGTCGGATGACCGTTCTACGATTGAGATGGCTCTGCTTGAATCACCAAACCCGGGTTGGCTGTAACGAGATGGCAGCGAACACCCCGCGAGTAGCTGCTATGGCTGTGCAGCATCCTTCTTCTGTCTTTATACCCTAGTTTTGTCTGGCGTCTCATTTGTTTCCATTCTTGGGGCTATCGGCACGCCCATTTTCTGACATCGCTGGTGGAGTAGGAGTACGCGTCTCGGGCGGGGGATCTTAAGGAATATTCTACCTGATTGCTTCTTTTCTTATGATACACCAATTATATATTCAAGTATCTGGTGCCAAATCAGATGGTATCAAGTGTGACATAGCCACCAGCATAAAGTACAGCCCATAAAAGCAGATGACCATGAGACAGGAGAGTGCGTATATGTAGATGTAGGCTGGCTCCAGTTAAAAAAAAAAAAAAAAAAAAAGGACAAAAACTATCCCAAGCAGTCGTTTCCCGTGTACACGCCGGCGATGTAAATAGAGAAGACATTCGTATATGCGCGGCAAAAAGATGAGGTAAATAATCAACAAATACCCTCTCAAAGTGGGAGCGGTTATATAGTACTCACAAATGGGAAAAGGGGGAGAGGGGGGACGTGTATAGCAAAGGCGGACATAGGTCGCGTTGAAGATAGGGAGGAGTTGGTAAGAAACGGCAGACTAGTTAGCACACTCAACGCTGATCAAACCACCCACCATTCTCCCATTCACCAGGCCTGTATGTCGCGCTCTTGCGGGCCTCCATGTCAACCAGCCCACTCAAAATAATGTTGAGTCGTTCGAAATTAATTGGCTTCATGACCCAGCCATCGAATCCGGTATCTATATAGGTCTGCTTCTCCCTCTCTAAAAGCGACGCTGATACGGCAAAGATAGGCACCCGGTTGTTCTGCTTCGCTTTTTCGGAGAGCGGATTTATCGGAGCCTTGGCTTCGAACTCCCGAATCATCCTCGTAGCGGCCATGCCATCCATGATGGGCATCTACAGAAGGTGTTAGCTAGGAGTTCTAGTACATGAAAATAGCGCGCAGTGGACTTGCCTGAATGTCCATAAGCACGACGTCGAATGATCTGCTCGCGGAAGAAAATAGATTGGCACATGCCTCACCGTTGCCAGTAAGCTGAACAGTATGGCCGAGCTTGGTAAGGCGTTTGTGGAGGATTTTGCTATTGATCGGATCGTCTTCAGCAACAAGGACGTTCAGAAGACGCGAATCTGTGGATAGAGCGGTGGTGGGGGCGGGGGAAGACTGGACAGTGGTTGAGGGAGTCTCTGACAAGGCGGCACTGGTTGCAGGCATCGACGAGAGATAGGACTGCGGTTGAATCGTCTGCACCTGTGCAGAGGGCCATTTGACGTCTCGCTCTGAAACTCGAGAGTCATCCATTGAAATACCATGATCTGGTATGTTCTCGACACCCGGTCCCGGGGGCGTCACCATTGCTTGCCGTGAGAGCGGTGGCGTATGCGTGACAGCGGCGAGGCTGGTCCGAGGACCTTGTGTGGTAGACAGCTCTTGTAGGTCCAAGGAGGGCGGCCGCATTGTCAACGGTTCGTTGCTGACAATGCCAGGACTTGTGAGAGGTTCCGTCCGCGAATCCTCACTGGGGCTTCGCTCCAGCGGAGATTCTTGTATGGCGCTGATGAGCCGATCCGCCTGGCTCTTTCCGCTGTGAGAACTGCCACCGCTGCGTACGCTCACGGAGCTTCGCCGCCGCTCCTCATGGTCGTCGTAAACACCGCCGACCAGCGTAAACTCCTTATCAGAATTCAATGGTGTCGGAGGCACGCTGGCGTGAGCAGGAAGAACAGCCTCTGCGGGAGTAGATGCGGATCCTTCGTCTGGGAGTCGGAAATGGAGAAGGATTTTGAACTGACTGCCTTTGCCCTCTTCAGATTTGACACTAAGTTGCCCATGCATACTGTGAGCAATGCGGGCGACCAGAGCCAGGCCGAGACCCAAAACCCGTTTCGGCCGCGGCTTCTCGGCAGCCGACTGCTCGTCTTCCTCAATCTCGTTCTCAAAATAGTGGTTATCATCAGATGAGATCTGTTCAAGCTCCTGGGATAGTGTTTCCAGTGTCTCCTTCGCCATGCCCACACCCGTATCAACAGCTATCATCTCGACCGCCACATGGTCAGCCAAGCTCTGTGTGCTAGAAGGCAATATATCGACCGTGACTGCGCCAGAGGTCGTATATTGAAAAGCGTTGGATATGATATTCGAGAAAACTTGCCGCACACGTCGCTGATCACCCAATACCGCGGGTGGTAGCCCACTGTGCGCCGTCACAGTATACGAGATTTTCTTGCGTTTGGCTTCACCAGCCAACATATCCGCGGCTTCATCGAAAGTCGCCTTCAGGTCAAAAGGCTCGGCCTTGATGAGTTCCTGGCCCTGCTCAGTGTTGGTCAAGTCCAGTAAATCGTTGATGACATAGATGAGTGATTTAGAAGCAGAGTGAGACTTGGTCAGACTCTCACGGGTTTCATTGTCTAACGCTCCTTCCAACGCAATCTCAAGATAATTGATAATAGCGTTCAACGGGGTGCGAAATTCGTGCGCGGAGTTCGCCAACAGCAGACGGGTCAATTGCGAGTTCTGCATAGCGGCTTCCTTTTGTCGCCACACCTTGATGAACTTGCCGTACACCAGGCACAGCACTGCTGCAGTTTCGACATCAGACTCGGACCACTCGCGTGACTGGCTCAGAACGGTCTCGCGCCATGCGGCAAAACTCTGGCGGGGTTCCAAATACCCGGCTGTCTCCTTGCGCTTGCCAATTTCGTATGGGTTGCCAGCCCATTTAATCTCGGTCAAATGACCCTTGCGGAAGAAGGCAATAAAATCTCTACCGCTCGTAGACAAAGGTACATAAAGCAGGCCGGAGATGGCTTTGAAACCCGGAGCGTAATGTAGATCGGGGAAATCCTTAGTGATGTCATGCGAAGCGAGCACCGAATTCATCTTGCGCACGCGAAGAAACTCTAACAGAGCAAGGATTTCCTGAGAATGAGTGTTGTCCCCCAAAATCTTCGTTTCATCTCGAATCGATAGAGCTCCATAATCCGCATCAAACAGTTGCAGTAGATCATCCGAGGAGGCGATAATGTAGCCAGAAGGGTTGGCCTCCGTGGGGGCCGTGTTGATTAGCTTCCGTGCCTGAAGTCGGGACGCATAGGACAGGCGTTCGATATTTCGTGATACGGTGTCACCAAGGAGGCGGCACATCTTCCGAATGGGAAACGAAACACGCATCCCAGAAGACCCGTATGAATGACAAGAGATCAACCCCCACAAGTCGTTGAAGGCATTGACACTGATCGACATCGATGACCGTACTTTCATGTGCGCCAGGTACTTGATGTGAATTGGCGACATGGCGCGTAAGTAGGCGTGGGTCATATCCAAGGGCGTTTCCAGGTCCTCCAATGTGCGACACACCAGACGGGAGGTGAGCTGATCGCGATCATAAAGAAGACGAACCTTGTTGATTTTGTACAGTTCCCGAGCTTGGGCAGGAATATCGGAGGCTGGGAAATGTAGGCCCTTATACAGGTCAATCGAGGCGTCAGGGTCGACCAGCTCTGACACAACCATGCCATTCCAGCTGCTATCGAATTGATAGATCAACACCCGGTGGAACCCGGTTAACTCCTTCACCAGCCCGGAAGTGGTGTTCAGTAATGTGTCAAGGTCCTGTGCACGGCCTAGTTGCTCCTGGATTTGAGTTAGAAGGCTGAATACTTCCATCGCAGCGGCCTCGCCTCTTCTCCGCCGTGCATTGCGAAGAACTCTGAGGGGCTGGCTGATGTTCATCGTACTAGCAGCAAGTTGCTCGGTGGTCGGGGTGACCCCCAACGTATCCGACGGGAGTGCAGGAGTGGAGCGCCCAGCGACATTCAGAGGATTAACCTCGTCATCCTCCAACTCGAATTCGCAGATAATAATATCCTTGTTGGCTTGGCTGACATGGACAGCGCACCAAAACCGGCGAGTTTCCCCGGATGGGGTTGGGATGGACAGGATGAAAACCTCCGGCCCGTCCACACTGGGATCATACGCATCGTCTCGGACAAAATCGATATGATCCAGAAGAACATCTGCTTGGTCATCTTTGAGAATATCACAAAAATTCTCCAGCTCAAATAACTGTTTGGGGGAGTATCCCATGAATTGCTCCGAGTTCTCACTGGCCACATGCACCACCAGCTGATTTGGTGATTCCTCCCGCATCGCAATCATGACTCCAAAGCTCTGAATCGCACCCGGAATACGAATCGGCTCATCCTCACAGTACTGAAACTTGGCGCCGTCTCTTCCGGTGATCACGGCGTGACCACTCTCGGTCATCACATGCTTGAATCGCGAAGTCATATGGCTGTAGGGCTGATCGGAGGCCGGGGGTGGGGTTTGCGATGCGGACCGGCCATCACTGTCCACGGGCTTCGCATAGCGTTCCGGATGATGGGCAACTACCGATGCCATGGAGTGGGTGGCCAGTTCGGTTTTGTCGTTGACGGGATGGGTCTCGTGACGAGGAACATCACTCGGTACCGCTGGCTGAGGATTGTGTAGTTTCTGAGAACGTAATTTTTGCCATGTCTCGGAATCGATGATCGAGTATTGCCGGGCACCTTCGCGAGTGGGAGATGCAGCACTCCGCGCCTGCGCGGAAGCGGCCTGGCTGGCCGTGGGATCGACCGACACAACGGAACGGATGGGGAACACAAGGTCGGCGCCATCAAAACCTTTACTTGGTGGTCGCTGGCCTTCATTCCGGGTGACTGATTGAGACCGGTCCTTGCTTCCTGGCCGGGCCTCTGGTGTCGGACAAGGACCCGGTCTGGGCGGATTGGCTGCGCTCTCTGATCGCTTTCGGGGGCTTCCCATTCCTGGATCCTCAGGGTTTCGCGACGCCATTCTGGCCGCGGAGCCGATCGGACCAGGGACGACGGGACTATGACTCTGAGAGGAGAAGTCTCGCGAGATTCAGATGTGGTAATTCGGACAGGTTGAACAGCACAAATTTGTGCAGAGGTTGAAGCGGGTTTCGATGTCGGCGGAGCAGAGATAGGTCGAGCAGAGAGACTGACATGGAGTCGCATTATTCTTCTCTTTTTATGTCACACACAATGGCGAGAGCTAGCCCCGTTGGACGCGATCAATGGGGCGCGGGCAATGCAAGACACTGGAACTGAGCGTGAAGACCGTGCGACCATTGCAGATCGATCTATGTAAGCACAGGCGAGTATGTAAGGCTTGTCGATCAGCCCGGGGAAGAGACAGCCGCAGGCATGAGTGGACGAGTGCCTGGGGAGAAGGGCCCAAGAGAGTGGATTGGGTGAAGATCAAACGACAAGGGACGTGGGGTTGATTTTCGGTACCGGTACTTGGCCCAGAGTGGCAATTTCGCGGGGCGGGCTGGTACCGGTACATGATTGACCTGACAGGCCTCAATGACATCATTTGCTCGAGCCGAGTCTTCGAGAAGGATACATTGCAGGGCGATGTCATCGCTGCAGCGGTGGAGGCTGTGGCGCCCATTGCCTTGGTGGGTGACAATGTCATTGAACCAGATGGCTTACTCTACTACGTGGCACTCGGTCGGAGAAAAAACTACTAAGAAACGTCGGATTCGTGGAAGTCAAGAGGCCTGGGACTAATTAAAACAGAAAACACCAGCGCAAGCTGAAAAGAGAAACAGTCTCGGATCGCGCCACACACCCCATTAGGAACGGTCAAGGAAGAACAGGATATCGGGAAATCGGGGAGACACCAAGGAGAAAGCCAGGGCTGCAGGGCCGAAACGAGGGTATCGAATAACGATCAAGGCAAAAACCCCGGCGGTCAAGCCATGGGGAGTCCATGGGTCTCGTTCTTGACGTCCCCGTCGCCCTGGTTGTCGTCGCCGCGCAGGCGCTTGTTCGGCTGGAAGTTGTTGCCCATGAAGCTGGTCTCGTCCGGGTGCTTGCGCATGCCGAGACCGGCCACGGCAATCCGGTTCAGCGAGTTCATGTCATCGTTTGGGGCCGCGCCAAGGTGCTGGCCCTGTGGCGGGGCCGTGGCGGACGCAGAGGCACCTCCGAGATAATTCTCGCGTGCCTGGGTCAGATCGATGTTCGGAGGGAGCTCGGGAACTTCACCCTGTGCTTCCAGGAGGCGTGACTGCAGGTTGATCACGTATTCCCGCAGCTGATAGTTCTCACCAGCCAAGGAATTTGCCTTCTCTCTGAGGTTATCGAGTGTCTTGACTTCTTCCTCCAATTTGCGGATATAGTTTTCCTTGCGCTGACGGAACGCTCGCTGAGGGAGGGGAATGGTTAGAGCAGTCACCCTCAAGTCCTGTGAATGTAGACATACCTGAGCAGCACGGTTCTGAGCGGCGCGCTTGGACGTCGACAGCTCTCGCTTGCCGTACGATTTCGGGGTATTGTCTTCCGGGGAAGAGTGCTGGTGCTGAGCTGGAGGGGGAGTCTGTGGAGGCCCGCCGAGCACGCCCGAGATCGCCGGGTCAATGTTGGTCTGGTCGCGCGGGCTGGCCGTGTTGGGCTGCAGGTGCTGCTGCGGACCGGGCGCAGGGCGCCCGCCCTGAAGGTGGTGCTGAGCAGCTAGGAGCTGGTCATGGAGCACTAGATGCGGATGGTTAGTATCAAGTCGCGTCGAAGGCGGGTCGCCACTGAGCGGGAGGACAGGTTTGCAATGCCCCCAGTCTCCGTCGGCGCAAAAGCCAGTGTGAAATTGCGATTGGCTTCACGTACCCTGGTCTGCATGGTCCTATAGCGATATCATGTTAGCCTTCGCATTGCAAGTTCAGGGCACGACGACGGGGAGCGGAAGAGGCGGCTAGAGGCGCGGGGCGGTTTCGCACGGCTGCAAACAGCGCGACCGATCCCCTCGTCCTGGAGCGCATCTCCCATCGCCGTCAACCAGCGTGCGACGCGGGCCATCGATGATCTTGATGACAAACGCGTGTTCGATGGGCTGCTTACCTGAGCAGAAGTCTGCATGCTTGGATGCGGCGCCGGAGCCAAAGCAGGCTGCATCGATGGGCCGGATGGGTTTTCAAGGGGTACGAGAGGGATGAGGACGGTGTTAGACGCGTCCAATTCCCTACCAGTGAGTGACGACAAATCGTTCAGACGAGGCAGTTGAGCGCCAGTCGATGAAGTGTAGATGCGAATGAGGTAAGCGATGATGCTGTAAGCAGGATGAAAGCGAGGCGGAGGAGAAGAGCTTATTAAGGATTGGGGGGAAGGCGAGGCCGGGGGCGGTGAGTGGAAACGGCCGGGTGGTGCTGAGTCATCACCCGCGACGGGCGGATCGAGTGACTCCTGTGATTACGTGTTGACCTCAAGATTGTAGTGTACCAAGGGGCTGTTGCTCAACCGTCTGACACGTACCATCGGCACGAATGATGGAAGCCTACTGCCCTCTCACAACGCACTTTCAACACAACTCCGGCACCCATACTCCCGTCCGGAGCTACTTTTCTTCCGTTTAATGACTCAGCACCGTGTCATGGGCTCCGTTTTTGGGCATAATCATTATTACTGCAAGTATAGTATACTAGGTAGACAAGGACGAGAACACCAATCGTTAATCCAAGAGAACCCTCTCCGACGTCTATTGCTCCTTCTTAATGCCCTCCTTGGCGGGCGGCGCCTGAATCATGCCAGCCCCAACCTTGGCCGACTCCATCCAGCCATGCTGGCGCATCCAGAACCGCTCCGCCGGATCGGACCCGTGCAACGAGGCCCGTCGCGCATCCTCTTCCAGGGCGGCGCGAGACGTCTCCGGTGACAGCGTGTCAACATCATCCTCGCCCTGGACCTCGTCCGTCTCCGCGCGGAGCGTCGATTCCAAGTACCGCTTGCGCATGAGATAACGCTCGGCGCGCTCCTTGCGAGCGTTTGGCGGCTCGAGTTTGGTCATGGCCATTTGCACGGCATAGCGTACAATCAAGTAAAGATGCTCCGAGAAAAATATGGTCAGCAGGAGAGCCCAGCCCGTGATATCAGTCGGCTCGCCATTAGGACCGTGCTGCGAGTTTCCGCTGAACATATACACTAGTGCAGCACTGGTGATGCTTCCAACCCACGAGAGGAATGCCAGACTGTCCAGCCAGGGTCCGATGGTGTCCGAGCGCATGGGAGTCGGCCGTTGAAATTCCATGCAGATCTTAAAGAAGTCTGACCGCAGCTCGATCCAGTTATTGACAAAGAACGAGAGCGGCACAAGCGGCCACACAGGTGAGAAGAGTGCCAGGTATCCGAATTGGATGCACATCTCGCGGAGATCGTCCGTTGTATCGTACTCGGGCAGCTCGGCCTCGTTGCGAACCCGCTTCAAGAACTGCACTTCTTCGGCGGGATCGTCGTAAGTGATAGCAGGCTGTCTCTCGGGGGACTCTTTGTCACCGTTGCCTTTACCCGGCGTCGATTTGCTGTTTTTCCTTTTGCTAAAGTTCTTGTATTCTCGAAGGGCGTGCTGCTTCAGGTAGGGAACGATCGTCTCCATGGCAAAGCCGACAATCTGGGCGGTCACTGTAAAGTAGATGACCTGGTTCCGCAGGCGTGCTGGGTCAATTTGAAAATGCGACTTGGTTGCGTTCGCGCTCTCCTTGGACACGAACGGCCGCACCGTCAACCGGAAGACGTCTAGGTAGGGCACGATCAAGCTGGCAAATGGAACATAGACAAACGCAGTCAGGATGATCGGAAGATAGGATGTCATGAAATTAATGACAAAGATCTTCTGAGTCAGGGCCACATCGTACGCATCATCTGTCTCGTGGTTCTCGTAGTCGTTGAGTTTGGTTGCAATGGTCGTCAGAACAGCACTCATGGTTGGGACCAGGGCCGAAACGAGAATCGTTGGAATGAAGACCTTGAATAGCGATCGTGAGTGACATGCACTACCCATCAGAGGAGGAACATACCAAATAGGATTTGAAAGGACCGTTGTACAGCTCCGAGATGAAGATCTCAATCGCAAAACAAGTGGCGATAATGGCGCCCAGCGCGATAGCAGCTAGCAACGCGAACGGGGCTTGGAGGAGCTGGCGCTGTATACGCTTGGTGGTGGGAAACACGCCCCGCACCTCGCCGGTGCTGTCATCGCGCACTTCCTTGTCTGGCCTGAACTTTCGTCGCTTGGTCTGCACGGCGGATACCCCCTTGGTCTGCCACCGGCAGCCCAGATCGACTTCCTGACGCTTCCAGTATTCCACGAAGATAATGCACCATAGACCATTCACCAGGGCGTAGACAATTGAGTAGCCGCCCAATAAAAACCAACAAGAAAACCCAAACACGGCAGGGAAGATCAGAAACCGGAAGTACGACTGCAGGAATGAAAAGTAGAAACCAACCTAGAGCCGGCATCAGTTAGTGGAGGAAATCCAATGAGTTGTCATGCACATACGCTCTCCCCAAATTTGTTCCGAATGTCATCTAAGTCCTCGTCGGAGAGAAAGGTCTTCTGGCTCCAGTCGCGCATCCATTTCTTGTTGGTCTCCCTGTCGTGCAGAGCAAAGATGGCCGTGACATTCTTCCATTCGCCGTGGTTCGGGGTGATTTCGGCGCCGCCCTCTTCCTTGGGGTGCGTGATCATGTGGCTAATCACGCGAAGTCGCTCGGCCTCCGTCTGGGCCTCGACTGAGCTGGCGGGCTCGGGTTCAGCGTTGCGAATGCCATAGAGCCAGTCGCGAACCCTGGATTTCAACATTAGCAGCAATAGAGAGAGCCCGGATACGGGTAATCACTCACCGCGAGCGGTATATCGCCCGCTGCAGCCGCTTGTTGGACGCGCGTACAAAGACCAGCAGGGACGATTCGTCCCCTTGCCGGACCTCCGTCTGTAGGCCAACCTGTGAGAGGGTGCGAAGCAGCTTCTCGAGCTGTGCAACCGCTTGCGACTGGTCTGGGGAGCTGGGGGTTAGGGGTGCTTGACCGACAGGGGAGCTCGAGCACTCACCGACATCGCTGAAGCTGTACCGAATGACATAGTCGACGTGAAGGTTGCACTCGAGCGCATTTGACTCCGTCGCAGTGGCCATCGTCAGGGTTGAGCGGGAGAGTAGCTCCTAGAGAGCAGCAATGAAGAAGGTGAGAATGGAAAAAGAGACGGAAACAAGAAGAGACGGTGTGCGCGGGTCACGACGTCACCGCGGAAGCTTGACTGGGGCAGACCTGAGAGAGCATCATCCATGTTCAACTATACAGAAATGAAAATAGGAATTCCAATTGGAAATGTATATTATCTGTATATATATACTTATATATCTCTCTCGCCATCTCCGCTCTCTCGCTCTCTCTATGTATATCACGAATCTACGATCTCCGATCTACACCTCCGCAGCCAACCGATCCAAGGCCTCGCCTTCGACCATCATCTTCATCCACTCCTCCATGCCCTTCGCCCCAACCCGCTCGTAGAAATCAATTGATGGCTTGTTCCATCGTAGCACACTACATCTGTTAGATCTGCAGTGAGAGGAGGATGCGACCGTGCACTTACCTCCACTCCAGCCGCCGCCCGCGCACCTCGACCACCTTCTGCGCCAGATACTTGAGGAGCTTGAACCCGTACCCGTGGCCGCGCGCGCTTGGCTGCACGTAGAGATCTTCCAGGTAGATGCCTGGGGCGGCCCGCCAGGTCGAGTAGTTGTAGAAGAAGAGCGCCATGCCCACGGGGATCGGCGAAGGTTGGTCCGCGCTGGGGGGCGGGGTGATCAGGGCCGTGTACACGGTGCCGCGCTTAGGGGGCGTGTCGGGGAAGGAAAGCGTCGCCAGGAGCGATTCCTCGGTGGCCTCGACTTCATGGAGGGCTTTTTCGTAGTCGGCCAGCTCGCGGATGAATTGGAGGATCAGCGGTACGTCTGGGTGTGGAAGGTTAATGTGCGGACAGAACCAGGAGAGAAGAAGGAAGACTTGCCCTCGGCCGTGGCCAGGCGAATGGTGGGTGAGTCGGTCATTATGGCCAGGAAACAAGGAAGAGGGAGTGGGTAGGTAGAAGGAAGTTTTGGAGGGAAAAGCCGTGGATTTGGAGCTAAAGGCTAGCATTATTAGGGCGTTGGACCCACTACGTATATGGATTCGGGATCGTAGTTACACTGCAAAGAACTATTATAGCGAATATATGGATTATACAGAAGAACCGGTCATCACTTGGACATGATGACCGACATGAGCTTTTGTTCGTCCGCCCTGGAGCATGGATCAGTAAGTAGAGCAAGAAAAGAAGGGGGAAAGAGACTCACCGGTCGAAATGGAGCAGCATCCCCAGCACCGGAATCAGCTGTTTCTGATAGTTCTTGTCCTTCTGCTCCAGGAACTGCAGAAGAACATTCTTCAGATACATGTAGTCGATCTGCGCAGTCGTGCCCGTCGTGGGAGGAGTCTCGCTGCGCTGGGCAGAGACACTGCGGTCCTGGCCAGACGGAGATGCCACTCCTCGCGAGTCCATCGACGATCGCGAGGACTGGCGGCCGGTCTCGAGGCTGCGAAGGCGAACATCCTCACCCAGAGTCTTGTGCGATCGACGCAACCGCTCCAGGCGGCTGTTGGTTTCCTCAACCGAGCGACGCAGCTCAGCCCGTTCTTTCTCCAGGTCGCGCACTTGTTTCTCGCGTTCATCGAGCGCTTCACGGAGGCCCGCCATAGCCTGCCGGATTTCGCTTACTTCCTGCGCGGACCTTTCGGAGAGCGACTCCAGCTCATCTCGGCGGCGGCGCCAGTCCTTCTGGGAGTATTCCAACTCCTCTTTGTCCTGTTCCACGGTGCGCAGAGCTCGTTCCGCTTCACGGATCTTGCCCTTCAACTCCTCGATCTCGCGTGCTCGGCGCCGGCCATGCGTGCTGGCCTCATCTTCGGCTCGGTCTCGTTCCTCGATGGCCTGCTCCAGGCGCTCCTTGGAATCGCGGACCTTGGCCTCCGCACGACTTTCAATATCATTCAGCAGACGGCGCATGGTCTCGCCCTCGCGGGTTCGCTCGCTCAACAAGCGATGGGCATCCGCCAATTCCTCTTCCAAGCTGTCACACCGCTCCCGAGCTTCTTTCATCTGCATCGCCATCTCGGCAGTCTGGTCGCGCATGCTGTTCATCAGACTCTGGGCGCTGGAGTGTTGTGCCGTCTTCAGCTCAATCTCTTCTCGAAGACCCTCTAGGTCTTTGTTCAGCTGAGACATTTGTTCTTCCATCTCTTGGATCTTGGCGCGAGAGCCCTTCAGTCCATCCTGGGCTTTGGATAGATCGGTGGCCGTCTTCTCCTTCGCGTTGATGGCCTCTTGTTTCTTCGACTCGGCAGACCGTAGATTCGATCGGGCAACTGTGAGATTCTCCTCCGCTTTCAGGCGGCTGTCTGTCTCTTGCCGTACCTTCTTATTCAGCGTTTTCACCTCGGACTCGCGCTCCGTGATCTTCGACTTGGCATTCTTCAGCTCGATCTGAAGATCCTCATGCTTGCCCTCGAGCGCTTTCAGCTCTGAGTTGTTGCTGCTCAGCGTTTCCTTCATGGCCTTCAACTCTGACGACTCGGCGCGCAGATTCCGCAACTCGGGCTGGATCTTCTGAAGCGTCTCACGCAGATCTGTCAGGTCCTTGAAACGAGTGGCTGCTAGCTGCTGCGCCGCAGAAAGATCCGTCTCCAGCGTGGCTGCCTGGACTTTGAGGCGCTCGAATTCGTCTTTCAAATCACCGTGCACCTTCGCTGAGTCGGCAGTGTTCGATGCGCTGTTGGTTCGCAGATCAACGAGTTCTTTTTCCAGTCTGCTGATTGTTTCTTCGAGGGCAGATTTTTCTGCCGAAAGTTCCTTGATCTTGTCCTTCGCCTCAACATGCTCCTGGCCGACGTTCACCAGGTCATCGCGCAAGGACTCGATCTCCTCCTTCAGGTCATCTTCTCCCTTCAACTTCGAGCTGAGGCGTTCAATTGCAGATTCCTTCTCAGCCAATTGCTGCGTAAGGGTTTCAATCGTTTGCTTAAGTTCGACCAAGTCGGACGAACCCGAAGTTGCACTCGAGGGTTGTTCTACAAGAGTGGCGGTAGTAGCTGGTTTGGGTGATTCATCGGTAGCCTTGCCACCCTTCTTCTTTTTCTTATTCTTCTTCTTGCCAGCACCAGCACCAGCATTGGCGGCCGCGGTAGATTGGGTCTGGGAGTCGATTTCAGCTTCAGGAGTAGTGGGAGTGGCCTCCGTTGTCGCAGGCGCCAGGCTCTTGCGGACCTCCTCAAAGTCGGCTGTCTGGCCTGCAGAGACTTTCTCTTTAGCGGAGGTCCAGGAGGCATGATCCTTCAAGTTGACGTCCACCCAGTCGACAATATTTTGGAGTTTAGTGGAACTTTCCGACTTTTCGTTGATCTCTGCTTTCAAATCGGACACGCTCGATTCCGTATCTCTAAGTTGGGATCGAAGGCTATCCACCAGGCCTTGGAGGACACCGAGACGCTTCTCGCTAGCCTCCTTCTCTTCCTTGGCCTTCTCCAGTTGCGCGGCAAGTTCCGGATCAGCCGCAGCCGCTGTCGCCTTCCCCGACTGAGAGGCCTGAACCTGGAGCTTTTCAAGTTCATCGGCCTTGCCTTGCAGTTGCGTCTTCAGCTTGTCCAGTTCAGCAGTGACCTGTCCGATGGAGGATTCGGCGGTACCGAGCTTGGCTTTGAGGTCGTCCACATCCGTCTGCTTGGAAGTCTTCAGGTCATCAATCTCGGCATCTAGTCGATCCTTGGTATCACGCAACTCGACCAGCTCGCGAGTCGCCGATTCCAAGTTCTGCACCATGCCTTCCGTAGACTCCTGTGCGACTGACAGGTCACGTTTGAGGTTTTCCACCTGCGACTTCAGCTCGTCAACCTCTTCTTGCCGTTCCTTTAATTCTCCTTCCAGCCGAGGGATTTCGTTCTCGAACGAAAAGAACTCTTCACTCGTCTCCTGACCTTCGTCGGTAGGTTTTGTCTGCTCGTCCTCTGGCTTATCCTTTTTAAGACGAACCACCTCCTCCCGAAGCTCCTTGGCGGAGTTCTCAGCTTCGTCCAGTTTCTTTTTGTAATCGTCCTTTTCGGTTGATACCCGCTTCAGCTCTTCCATCACCATATCACTCTTGAGAGTGGACTGGTTCAGATACTCCGTAAGTGCCTTCGGCTCGGCGATCGATGAGAGAGGCGTATTCTCGCGCAGGGCGGCTTCGAAGGGTTCGATGGAGAGGACTCGTGCATGAGCAACACGATACGCCTTGAGAAGCTCTGTAGAAAGGAGACGGTGTCACACAATGGTCAACAGCTGGGGAGGGTGTCTGCCTACCATGGTATCGTGGCTCCAGCTTCTCTAGTCTCCGGAGCTTCGCCCTCACCTCTGTTGGCAACTCCGGTGCTGCTTCATCATTGGACACGGCGTCTGGAGCTGTCGCATCCTCTGCTGCAGACGACTCTGCCGGCGCTTTACTTTCTTGTTCCTCTGCCTCGGCGCTTTCATTGAGCGTTGTTACCTCCGCGTCCGGCTTCAAGGTCTCCGGCTGAGGCGTAGCGGGTCCACTGGATTCGTCATCTCCGATAGCAAACTCGGGCTCGAATTCCTTTGGGTCAGGGCCTCGGGTGGGGGTACTGGTGGTCCGCCTGGGACGTTGTGGCCGACGACCAGGAGAGAGGTTGCGGGATGTAGCTGCACGGCGGCCCGAAACGGATCGAGAGACGTTATCCTGGGCCGTCTTCTGGCGGGCCTGTTCCTCTGCTATACGAGAGTCGATCGCGTCGCGGAGGCGCTGGGGGGTGACGAGTGAGCCGGGGGTGGCTAGAGAGACAAAGGGGATCAGGGCAGAGAGAGGGAGACTAAATGCATACCTGAAACATCGCCGCGACGGAAGGGTGGAAGAGAGGAAAAGGATGTTGGAGAGGACCTGTGTTGAATGCGTGACCAAGTGAGAGACGGAGAAGGAGAGATCAGTCAGCCCCGAAGCCAAGACCAAGAAGACCCCGGGAGCTAGTCGAGACATGCGTTTACGAGTAGTGAACTATTGATGCACTAAAATCGAAGAAGATTGCGATCAAGAATAATGGAGTTAGGCTGATGGCAAAGACTAGTATTCATCTATCTGGTGGTCACGACTCTGTCCTATCACACCGAGTCTACGGTGCTCGATATACTTCTCGGTAGACACGGGCAACCACGCGATCGATCACGGGTCCCTTTCAGCAATCCTTCTGTCTTCTCTTCTGGCCCTGCCCTTCCCTCTTCACCACCCCTTTCCTCAGGATGAATTCTTCGTGAATCCTACCTACCACCTGCCGACGAAACTAGTTGCCAACGATCTACAACCAACGACCACCGCCTGCCTCGGTCGGGCATCCCTCATGCACCACGGGCTGTCCTGACCACTCACACGACTCCGTTCTCGACCTCCCTTTCCTCCATCCACCGGCGACTGTGCCCGCACGTTTCCGAGGGGCTCGAACATGGTGGTGCTAGCCTTGTCCTGATCGCTCAGCTTTGAGTTAGCCGACTAGGCTCCCTTGGTCCATTCCGAGCGGAGTCATGGCTGGCAACCACAATGGCCTGGCCCCGTCCCTCAGCCTAACGGCTGCCATCTCCGCCAGCATCCCGCCGTCCCCCTCCAACCTGCTTTCCTCCCTCCCAAGCGCTGTACCCGCGTCCATTTCCACACGTCCCTCACCCCCACCTTTCCCTCCGCCAACTCCCTCAACCATGGCGGGGTGGATCGGATGGGTCTTTACCTTCACCTTTCAGGTGATTCCCAGCGTCTTATACTGGGTCATTACCTTTTCCACCATCACTTTGCCCACATGGCTCTTCACGCTCTTCTCCATGAGCTTGACGTTCACCATGAACTTCACCACCCTGTAGGTGCTCCCGCCTCGACCGAGTCACTTGGGACATTTGTTTACTGATTCGAACGATAGCATGTTGATCGCCCTCGTTCTGGTTTCGACCGTCAGCTGGTTCATTCGGTACCGATTCTTGAACATGTACAGCCGCCTCCCCCGGAGCCCCAGCGCAAGGAAGCCCAGATCGACCTATTTCCCGATATCCAGGAAGGTGACTCGAAGCCAGGACTCGCCAATTATCTCGATGAGTTTCTGAGTGCCATCAAGGTTTTTGGGTACCTCGAACGCCCGGTGTTCCACGAGTTGACCCGGACCATGCAAACGAGAAAGCTCATTGCAGGAGAAACGTTGATGTTGGAGGAAGAGAAAGGATTTTGTTTGGTTGTAGATGGGCTGGTCCAGATCTTCGTCAAGTCGATGCGCGAGAGCAAGCCTGGGGCGGAAGAACCTCTGTGCATGGACGATTGCTCGGATGAGGAGGATCACCATGCCCATGGTCGGCAAGGCTACCAATTGCTGACCGAGGTCAAGAACGGCGCCTCCATGTCATCCTTGTTTTCCATCCTATCGCTTTTCACCGAGGATATTCAACTGCGGACTTCTCGCAGCGGCTCCAGTGCATCCAGTGTGGCCCATGCGCCTACTCGTGTGCCTGATTCCTTCCCTGCCAGTCCTGGTGCTGGGATAGTGGAAAGTCCGCCAGCCACGGCAAGAGATCACAGTGACACCAATACACACGACAACAGCAATGGTGACATCTTGCCGGCGGTGCCTCCGTTGCACCTGGGGGAGAGTCATACCATGCCTCCCCGTACACCTCAATTGGAAGATCACCAAAAACCCCAAACGAGGCGTCGGAAGTCGGTTCATCCAGACATCGTGGCGCGAGCGATGGTTGATACTACCATTGCCATCATCCCCGCTAGCGCATTCCGCCGGCTGACTCGCGTCTACCCAAGAGCTACGGCACATATTGTGCAAGTCATTCTCACACGTCTTCAACGAGTGACATTTGCAACGGCTCATTCCTACCTGGGACTGACAACAGAGGTGCTTGGGATTGACAGGCAGATTTCAAGGTTTACGTCCTGGGACTTGCCCAACGATCTACGCGGGGGAGCGCTAGATCGCCTCAAAGATAAGTTTATGCGGGAAAGAGATAGACTGCGACCCGAAGAAGTTGGCAAAGGCATTGCGCTTCACAATCCCTTTGTTGGACGCAGACGCCGGTCTAGCAGCTCCCTCAGAAAAGAAGCCGTATTGCAAGCACGGGTGACCAACGCCAGCGAGCAACGTCCAGCTGCTCCTGCGGCCCTGACTCCTCTAAGGCAACCAACTGTCCTTCTCGAACGGGACTCAACAGGCGTCAGCCCCGGCGATCTATTGTCCACGATCCAACTCTCCCGGTTTGGGCCACGATACGAACAATGGGCGCCGCGGGTGCAGAGCCCGCTGGTGGAGAGAGAACGCACCTTTTATCGGCCCTCTGCCGCTATGGATAGCCGCCCATCGCCTTTCCAGCGGCAGGAGTCACTCGATGAAGACACTATCTTTCGGGTGTCAATTCTCGACTGTATCATGAGGGGAATGGGGTTAACAGAAAGCACCAATGATTCTTTGCGTAAAACCAGCCCAAACTCTGGTGAGTTGTCACCAAAGCTTCTCTCCTATGATTCTCGGCGCCAGAAAGCAGTCTTTTCCAATGCGTTCGGGTTCATCGACCCCTATGAAGGCTCCGGTGATGGCGAAAGTGAATCTATGATGTCAATGTCCGTGACAAGCGCAGGAGGGACATCACCCGTTGTCAACCTTCGGGAGGAGCTGTGCCACGACATTGAAATTGTCTATTTCCCTCAGGGCTCGGTGCTTGTTGAGCAAGGCGAGCGGCACCCAGGCCTTTACTACGTCATTGACGGGTTTCTCGATGTTGGTATCCCGGATAATGAGCGCGGTGACGATCTCGTTGGATCTTCCCGAGGGTCAGTTTCATTGGCGCAGGAAGATCTCTTCCCCAAGCTGAGGCGGACCACCACGGGATCCTCGCAGACTGGAGGTGATGGGCGCCGAAAATACCAATCTCGCAAGTCACTCTATCTGATCAAACCCGGGGGTATACAAGGGTATATCGGTGCTCTCGCATCCTATCGGTCGTACACAGATGTTGTTGCCAAGACGGACGTGTACGTTGGTTTCCTTCCTCGAGCCTCCCTCGAAAGGATCGCTGAAAGGTATCCCATTGCCTTGTTGACATTGGCGAAACGACTTACGAACCTCCTTCCGCGCCTACTACTACACATTGATTTTGCCCTTGAGTGGGCTCAGGTCAGCGCAGGACAAGTGATCTACCACCAGGGAGATGAGAGCGATGCAATCTATTTGGTCTTGAACGGACGACTCCGATCCATTTTGGAAGGACCGAACGGGAAAATGACGGTCACCAATGAATACGGCCAGGGAGAGAGTGTTGGCGAGTTGGAAGTCATGACGGAGTCCACTCGACCAGCTACGCTGCATGCCATCCGAGATACCGAATTGGCCAAATTCCCTCGATCCTTGTTTAACAGCTTGGCCCAGGAACATCCGGGAATCACCATTCAAGTCTCCAAACTCATCGCCCAACGAATGCGCGATTTAGTGGAGCATCCCTTGTCGGAGAAGGCCATTGAACAAGGCCACGCTGCCAGTGTTCAAACTGCCACATCCACCATCAACCTTCGCACGGTGGCGATTCTTCCCGTCACCGCAGGCGTTCCTGTGGTGGAATTTGGGCATCGGCTTCTCCATGCGCTGCATCAGATCGGGGTGGCCCGAGGGGTTACGTCGCTCAACCAGGCCGCCATTCTAAACCACCTGGGTCGCCATGCCTTCAGCAAGATGGGGAAGCTCAAATTATCCCAGTATTTGGCTGACCTTGAAGAGAAGTATGGCATGGTGCTGTACATTGCGGACACAAACGTGAACGCGCCTTGGACCCAAACCTGCATTTCACAGGCGGACTCTATCCTCCTGGTGGGCCTCGCAGAGTCCTCGCCAAATATTGGCGAATACGAGCGGTTCCTGCTAGGCATGAAGACTACCGCCCGCAAGGAACTGGTCCTTTTGCACGCTGAAAGATACTGCTCGCCAGGATTGACACGCCGGTGGCTCAAGGACCGGTTATGGATCAACGGTGGACACCATCATATCCAGATGCCGTTCCGTCTGACTACCGAACCTGCCAATCCACAAATCAAGAAGTTTGGCACCGTCCTCAAGCAGCGCGTGCAGGTCCTACAAGCGGAAATTCAAAAGTACACCTCGCGACGTATTCGACAGACTCCTTTGTATTCGGCGCAAACACCTTTCAAAGGTGATTTCCATCGTCTAGCCCGGCGCCTTTGCGGTAAATCTGTCGGTCTGGTTCTTGGAGGTGGGGGCGCCCGAGGAATTTCTCAGGTTGGTGTGATCAAAGCCCTGGAGGAGGCTGGAATTCCCATTGATATCATCGGTGGCACTTCGATTGGTTCCTTTATCGGTGCTCTCTATGCGCGTGACGCCGATGTTGTCCCGATGTACGGCAGAGCAAAGAAGTTCTCCGGCCGCATGGGAAGTATGTGGAGGTTTGCGCTGGACCTGACCTACCCCACAGTTTCGTACACGACGGGCCACGAGTTCAACCGAGGAATCTTCAAGACATTCGGGGACAGCCAGATCGAGGACTTTTGGCTTGAGTTTTACTGCAATACGACGAACATCAGCCGGTCCCGCGCGGAGTATCACTCGTCAGGATACGTTTGGCGCTATGTTCGAGCGTCCATGTCTCTTGCCGGGCTGATCCCACCAATCTGCGATGAAGGGAGTATGCTCCTGGACGGTGGCTATATCGACAACCTTACCGTGGCACACATGAAGGCTCTTGGGGCAGATGTAATCTTCGCTGTTGATGTTGGCTCTATTGATGATACCACGCCGCAAGGATATGGAGACTCGCTATCTGGGTTCTGGTCAATAATCAACCGGTGGAACCCGTTCTCCTCATGTCCGAATCCGCCGACACTCTCTGAAATCCAGGCCCGACTGGCATATGTCTCGTCAATTGACAACCTCGAGCGGGCCAAGAACACTACGGGATGTCTGTACATGCGTCCTCCAATCGACCCGTACGGAACCCTGGACTTCGGCAAATTCGACGAGATCTACCAAGTGGGCTATGCTTATGGCAGGGAGTTCTTGGACCGGCTCAAAAACGAAGGTTCTCTTCCCATCCCCGAAGAGACGGAGGAAAAGCGCAAGCTACAGCGGACTATGGCTCCTCGACGAGCCAGTATTTAAAGGCAGTTCATCTTTCAGCCATGGCCTAGCCCAACTGGGTCGTGTGGACGACGGGACGACGTGTGAAGTATGCGGCATTCAACACTGCAGACACTTTTTTTCGATTCTACTTTGGTGTTGGCGCTAAGCGTGAGACTTGATTGTATAAGATACACCGATCTGCTATCTGGCTTCCTGTGTGAACGTTGCTCGTCACCTCATGGTGGCTACATTGTACATAGCCCTAGAGCAATTCAATAAGACGACGGTCACAAGAACCATTGGGTCATCGTCAGATTAGAAGTAATTGGTATTAAAGTAGATGGACACGCGGTCACCTTCTCATCTCATCACAAACAGCACCTAGCGCTTGAGCTTATCCCAAACTCACTCCACAAGTCATCGACAACTATAATAGACACGCTATCCACAGGCATCCGCTGTGGACAGAGAGAGAGTATTGTATTTTACACCGTGCCCGCAGGTGCCGGGTTAGAAACAGGCGCATCCATGGGCGGACGAGCAGAGCCGCCGTTCTTCTCGTGCGGCGGCTGTTGCGAGTTCTCCTTCGCGTAGGCCCAGAGGGCGGCAACCTCAAGGAACGCGCCGATGAATGTGAAGATGCTGGATGGCGGTCAGTCTTGTCTTGTCTTGTAAAAGGTCGAGGGAGACATACAAAGCAAGGAACATAAAGGCCTCGTTTGCCCTCTTGCGGGAACAGCCTAGTCCGGGCGGGGCGCGGAAGTAGCACACATTACTGCTATAGTCCTGAGCGGCGAAGATGAAGGCAGTCAACCACCTATGAGAGTTAGTCGGTTTGTAAAAAGAGCGGCAAGGACAGGACATACAGATACGAGAAGACTATATCGATGGCCAGTACAAACCTGCTCAGCGCGGCGGGCATGAAAGGCGAGAGGAAAGCTGGCAGGAAGAAGACCACTGATAGCACAGCCTGGATTCGTCGGTATATGATGATCTAAGGACGGGATGACAACATACAATGACTACCTGGTAGATGAGATGCTGGCCCTTGGGACCACGATGGAGGAGAAACGCCGTCAGGCTCATGACGATGACGGCACTGGTCCACTGCACTATGCGAGTGAGCAGCTGCAGGGGCCGCGCGATAGTAGTTGAGAGGAGCATAGTGACAGGTGAGATGAGGTGAGGTATATAGTATAGTACAGTATAGATGCCGATGTACCGCTATAGTAGTGGGATGGTTGTATACAACTAGAGCTCTCACCACCAAGAGGTTAGGGAGTGATAATGTCAGAGGCGAGGATATCAGCGCAGAAACAAAAGTAGAAAAGCTTGCCAACCAGCCAGCAGGCGAACGAGGACTAGCTAGGTCTTTATATGGACAAACGTTGGCAATGGGGTCACCACCACCTCACTCGCACATTCGAAACGTCTGGACCGGAATCACCAAAGTCAAACCCCGGTCAGGGCCAGGGCGATAAGCGACCCAAGTCAAGATCCCCAGATGCGTCATGATGGCCTCTGCATGAAGTAAGAGCGCGAAAACCTGGGCAGGCCCGGATTCCAATTGTCGGGTGGTGAAGGAGGAATAAAGACCAGCAAAGTACTTGGATAATGTTATTGCTTTGCTACTGTTTGGTCGTTGGCCTATTCCTTCACCGTAGGTAGTTTTGCCCTCTCGTGCGGTGCGCAAAGAGTGGCGAACGGGCAAAACGGCCAGTCGGCATGCGGCGGAAGTTGGGACAAGCTCGACTGCTCTGCTCCTCGACCGTGGAGTACACCGGGCAGTCGTCATCCAATAGTATCCGGCTCCCTCCCTGCATAGACATGGATCGTGATCGACGGTGGCTTCTAGTCGCTCAGTGTCAGCCCTAACGCCGTCACGACTGACTATTCGACCGTGCCACAGACAATCTTTTTTTTTTCAACACTATGCACTGTGCCACATGGCAGTCGTGTCTGATTGCTTGAGAGAAGTTGGAATAGGGGCCACAACCAGCAGCAAATTAATATGCGAGGCCGAGGACAATCAATGTGGCCGAGGGTCGAGAATTCAATCAAATCAAACTACTTCGGACTTCGCGCCTTACAGTGGTGGTCCCTGATAGAGTGAACACCAATGGCAGCATAGGACACCCCCAAGGGGTCAGTAAATTCCCCTTGCGACGACAGGCCGTGTCTAGATGCAGGAACAAGACGAAGCGTCTGCAGTCGACCAGTGTGCATTCAGGCTCAAAGGTAACCGCAGTCTACAGAAAACAAAATATTCCAAGCCCCATGCTCCCTCCCAAGATACCGGTGTGACTGACTCCTTATACGCCCGAGCGGGGTTTTTTTTCCCTCCTTTACCACGTAACGTTCCCCAAATCGTGCTCCTGGTAGAAACATGTCAGTAGATGATAAGAATAAGACTTAATCCAGCGGGAACATACCTTAATATACTCGCTGCCCTTTTCCAAATAGTCCTGTCGCGTAACAGACGACTGACCCAAATCGACGCCAGCGGCCCATTGCGCAGCACCTCTCCACGCATCCAGGATGGGATCCGACGCCTTGCGCACTCTCAACTCGCTGTCAATCGGCAAGTACGCGCGCACCTCGTTGCGGAAGCGTTCATCAAACCCGGTGAAGAGGGTGTTACCGCCCGTCAGGAACACATCTCTGAGCAGGCGGGAACGGTCCTCCGTGCTGGAGAAGCGCTGATTGATAATATCGGCGGCGATCTCGATCAAACCAGCCTGGTCAACTCCCGCGATGGATGGCTTGAACACCACCTCCGGCACGCGAATCCGTTCGACATTCAGGTGGAGCTGATGCGCCTCGCGGTGGCTCTCCCCGTCGAAGGGCCAGGGTCCACGCAGGAAAGCATGTACCAGGCTCTTGGTCCAGTCGGTCTGTGCCGCTAGAGTATGGTTCTCGGTGAACTCGGGGTCGTACTCGAGAAGCTCCCGCTCGACGTTATTGAGCATGCCGCCGAGGTCTTCCTCTTCCTCTTCGTCGCTCTGCTCATCCTTGGCCACGGTGCGGTACACGCCCCAGTCTTCGTCATTGGCGCCGAAATCGTCGTCATCACCTCCACGCCGGCGCTTCTTGGGGCCATCCGAGGCGAGGTTGGCGAGCGTCTTCATCCGCATCTGGCTGGCCAGGGATTTGCGGTTGCCAAGATCCGCCTTCATGCGATCTCGCTCTTTGATCCTTTGCATGATAGTCTAGGAGAACATGAGCACCTAAGAGTCAATGGTGCTTCAGGTGAAAACGTACCTCACGATTGGCTCTCCGTTCCGAGATCCAGCTCTCAAAATCATTCTCACGTTTCTCGCGATCAAGACGTTCTTCTTCCTCCTGCCGGGCTTTCTCTCGTTCCTTCTCTGCTTTGGCCCGTTGCCGGGCATCGACGTTGGACTTCATGAGCCGCTGGTGTCGCTTTTCTTTCAATCCGGCCTCATCGAGTTCTTCGTCGGGGATATCAAGCAAGGGGAAGGTCATTTCCTCCGGCTGCTCCTCTGTCTCCTCGATTCCCAGATCCTTGTTGCGTGAGCGTTTGATCGACTTCTCTAGTTCCCTGATCATTCGCTCCAGTTGAGCCTCGTCTTTGAGATCCTCCGCTTCCAAGATCCGACGGGTTTCCTTCTTGGTTTCAGAGGCAAGGTTGCGCTGAAGGTCTTTCCAATACTCAAGCTCTTGCTCCTTCTTCACGAGCTTCTCGAGCCGCATCTTGGCTGCTTGCTCTTGAAGGCGGCGGCCGCTCTCCTTCTTGCGCTCCGCAATCCGGGCGAGCTCCTCTTCCGTTTTCTCGATTACAACGGGCTCCGTAAATGGGTACTGGATGACATGATCGCGATCCTCCAAGCCGGTCCAGTCCAGATATCCACTCAGCTCACGGTCGTAGTCCTGAGAAACATAGCAGTGTTTGTGGACTAGGTCTTCCATCTGATGATCCGCCATGCGTGCGGGGAACGTGGGATACTTGAGCTTGATCAGCTTTTGCAGGTAATCGGCATTGTGCATTCCACCCCAATTGAGTCGCGAGCAGTTCGAGAGAAGTGGCTTCGAGTTCAGGACGGGAATGACATGCGTCGAGGTGTGTGAGGACGACACGACCAAACCATCTGTCCCCTTGTTGTAGCGGTAGGCGAAGAGGGAGTCAATACCGTAGGCCACGGATGGCACAGAATAGCACTCGAACATAATTTCGTTCATCACTAGAGGTGGGTTAGCCGTTGCCGTCAATTGCCACCCAGAGGCCTCAACTTACTCCGCCTGGGATATGCCAGATTCGCAATCGGCTCTGTCATCACAATGGGCCGGTCAACCCCCCCGTTGGCGCCGTCCACGCCGAGCTTGAGGAAGAGGTAGTCCAGCACGCCCTCCATCACATCCCAGTTCCCAACAACGCTGCTGCCCGGGTCAAAGGCATATCGGAGCTGGCCCCGGGTGGTCGCATCGGCGTACGCATCGTATCCAATGAAATTGCACTGCTTGTTGAGTTTGCGATCGCGGTAGCGGCTCATGGTGGGAGGCAGGACGAAGCGCGGGTTCTGGTCGAAGGACCACCCAGCCTTCATGGTACTGGAGCCTGGATGAGGAGAAACGCTGTCAGTATCCTGCGCTGAGAAGGTGCGGTTAGGCGGAACGTACCATTGTCGATGACGATGGCGCTGGTGTCGGGATGGGAGCGGCTCTGCTCATATCCCTCGGGCTGCGGAGGAGTGTAGCCCTTGAAGGGGAAGTCGGCAACGCCATAGATCTGTGGCGGCGGTTTCGCAGCTCTCTTCTCGATCGCATTGCTCTCGAAGCGACCCGGGAGGGTCTGCACCGAGGAGATGGTCATGGCAACTGTGCTGGCTGGTGATTGGGGGAAACCAGGAGCTGGAGATGATCAGAGAAGATGCGGTGAATGAAGTTCACCACATGGCCAGGGTAGGTGGATGGGGCGAGGGAGAAGAGAAGAAGAGACAAGAAGACTGGGTCGTCAATAAATATACGCGCAAGGGAATGATGAATGGATGAATGACCGAGAGTTGACTGGACCGGCAGAAAAGTGACCCAGTTGGATGCCAAGACCCGCTGCATCTATGAAGACAAGCTACGACGAGACAACTTCACTACCGGGATACTTCATTAGTAGGATGGATTCATGGAGTAATCATTCATTTATTCATCTATTCATCATTATCCTCCCTGCGCTTACGACGGCTCCTGGAGGTTCTCGGTTGCTGCGTGGTCTCAGCATCCATCGCATCCACGAAGCAGAGAGAACTTACCTTCCAGATGGAAAAGCACATTGGACTGGTAGTTCTTGAACATCTGCGCCACCAGTTCCACGTTCATGTTCTGGATGTTGACCTCCTGTCGCGTCGTCAGTCAGTTCATCAAACATCACCACCACCATGACGAAACAAACCTGAAGGCTCTTGTTCATGATCATGATGGCTTCATTGAGTTTTTCCTGGTCGTCTAATTAGCCCAGGTGCCTCTTATTCCCGGCGGGAGGGCAGTAGCACCTACCACATTGGTGATAATACGCGACAGCAGCACCGTCTGCTGGTGCTCGTGGGGACTCTCCTAGAAAAGAGTGAGTGACACCACTGTTGTCAAAAGAAAGAAAAACATACCATGATTGAGGCTGGCTGGGTCGTAGGAGTACGAGTGGGAGAAAGGAAAGGCATAATCCATGTTATGTTTGTTTGTTCCGGCCGGGCGGGTGCACGTGACCCTATACAAAGAATCCCTTGGGCCAACTCGGTCTCTTTCGTTCTCTCACTCCCCTTCCACCTACCACAGGAACACTCCTGCTATCGACCCTACTATTCATATCCATCACACACGGCCATTTCTTCATCCTCGACGCAACCCACTGTACCCACCATGGCTCCTGCCACTCCAGCGAACGACGAAGCGCACCAGCGGCTCCTGAACAGTCTCGACATTGCCCAAGTCCCACGCCCGTTCCGCAACCCGCATTGGAAGCCGTCGCAGCGGCGCAACAAGAACCTCAAGCAGATCATTTCCGAGACCACCCGGAAAGAGGCGTCGGTCATGGCAACGCAGGCAAACTCCGGTGCAACCACGCCCTTCCCTGCCCCCTCGGGGATCACAACCAGCGGCACGCAAACGCCGGCTGAGGGCGCTGGACGGGCCCCTAACCTGGCACAAGCCGCACAGAACCTTTCCACGCTGGTGCTGGAGAAGAATGCTCGGGCCATGTTCCCGACCGGACCAACCGTCACCTACACGAATATCGAGTCGGCCCCGTCGTTAAACCCGGCCTACCAGCGCCACTACTGCGACATCACGGGGCTGCCAGCACCGTATACCGATCCCAAGACCCGACTGCGGTACCACAACAAGGAGATTTTTGGGGTGATTCGGACCTTGGCTCAGGGCGTACCGGACAGCTATCTGGAAGCTCGGGGTGCGCACACCATTTTGAAGTGAGGAGCATGCTCTACGATCAAAGGCTCTGCCATGCAACGCGCATGGCTCCCAAGCATCAACTACACAGAACAGCGAAATTGCTACGAATGTACGGCCAACACAGTCAAGCCCTTTCCACCCACCGTGCCCCTCTCGAGACAGGTTCAAGAAAACGCTCCGGCTTATTCGTGACCGTTTCTGATCTTCGCCTTGTGCAAGTGCACTCGACTAGTACCGCCGCCCCAGGGACGGGAGCGGCAGTTACAGTATTCGAGATACTGTCGTCGCGGCGTGGTATGGAGAGCCCCAGTGGGACAGAGGGTTAATGAATTGAGATGCCAGTATCGGGGCAATAATGTGTGTAATGTTCTAGATTAAAACACCATCCAATGCAATCATCAATGCTGGAAATGGTCTTGTTGGTAGCAGTGGTAAAGAAACAGAAAGAAAAAGGGACTGGAAAGCGTTTGGTGTGGCCGGCTCGACCGCCTTCTGGATGTGATTCGCCGTGGCAGAACCCGATTTTCTTCCTGCGTGTTTACTCCAGAGAATCATTGCTGGCCTTGGAATCGAATCCTCCTGTCCCCTTTCTGCCAAGACCCCGGACTCACTCTGCGCTCCCTCTACCTCCGATCCTCCCGCTGCCTCGACTCCTTTCCGTTCCTCGAATAAGCAATCCTCCCAGTGCCAGCAACCCGAAGAAACAGGTGTCTCGTTGCGCATATCGACCACGAAACCCATTGTCGCTAGTACCATCTGATCACTCGCGCGTTTAGCGGTATTGAAAATGCCAAGCATGTGGTTATCCGAGCACCAGAGTCAGTTGCGCTTCCTTTCGCGGCCGTGGCATTCAACTGCGTGTACTGTACTAACGCATGCCAACAGAGATCGGTGTGGTCTTCTGCTCAGCCGGTACGAGTTCCTGTCCAGAGGATATCTGCGCAAAGTACTAACGACATTGTGTAGGCGGCTTGTTTCTGTTTGGAGGAGTGATCATGTTCTTTGATCGGTCAATGTATGAGATCCTTGGTCTTCTTTCGAGTTCAGATAAATGCTCACCATTTCCGTGTCCTCTAGGCTTGCCATGGGCAATGTACGCTGCGTTCAACCCTCCACCCGTCGGATTCCATACTAACCGCAGTCCAGATCCTCTTCCTCATCGGCCTGACCCTCATCATCGGTTTCCAGAAGACCATGGTCTTCTTCTCGCGTCCCCAGAAACTCAAGGGTACCGCCGCGTTTACCGCGGGTATTATCTTGATCCTGCTCCGCTGGCCTCTGACAGGCTTCCTGATCGAGCTGTACGGCCTGTTCATCCTCTTCGGCGATTTCCTCGTCACCATCGGTCAATTCGCGGGCAACATCCCGGTCGTGGGACCTTATATTCAGCGCGGACTCGAGATTCTGGCGGGTGGGAGGAGCAACGCCGAGCTGCCGGTATGATGCATGGGCAGGATGGTCTTGTGTATGAATATGCGGCTCGCGCTTGACCCAGATGGGATGACACGATATATCTGCCAACACCCATTTTACGGTTCCCATATGGGCCACGCATCGATGTAATTACTAATGACTCTTTCGGCTGCTTGTCAGTATCGAACAATAATAGAGATTCCGAATAACTAGACGAGCAATGGCATGATCCCTACAGATTTATACTCTGGCTAATTGAGTAGACCCTCCCTCTGGTATCTACTTGCATAGTCTGCCGTGGTTCGGGATGAAAAGAAGAAGGATAAATCAGGAATAGATATCATAATTCCTCCATCGTCACAATAGGACATAAAGAAGTAAGTAGAAGCTCACGGCCGAGCGAGACCAGAAAGACAGAAAAAATAAATCAAGCAATGCTCCTTTATTTCCTTCCTATTCTTCACACACGCCCCTTTCCTCCTCCCCATTTCCGGATTTCCGCCTGCCCCCCTTTACCGGGGGTTGTTGATGTAGTCAACCAGGTTCTCAACGACGGTGGCGGCGTTGGTGGTCTGGACGGACTCGCCGTGGTGGGCGATGATGGTGCACGAGGTAGCACGGACGACGATGGCGCCCTCCTTACCCTGCATCGGATCAAAACACTGCATCAGCCACTGCTATATACGGGACGTCGATAGCACTGAGGGGGGAAGTCTCGGGGGACGCACCTTCTTGCCGTATAGACTGCGCTCGTCCGCCTTGATGGTCACGAATTTCTCACCGCCAATGGAGAAGCCGTTGGCGAAAGCATTGTCGCTGGAGCTGAAGGCCGCAGCCAGGGTGTTGATGTCGTCCTGGGTGAGCTAGCGCACCCGGACCGTTTGCGTTAACATTCCACAGCCCCGCATCCCGAATGAGAGGGGTTCACGCATACCTGAAAGCCCGGCGAGGAGGCCTCGAGGCCGGAAAAGTCGGCAGCGAGGATACCGGCCTTGTCGAATTGGCCCGAGCCCATCAGGCTGGAGGGTGGGGGTTAGTATGGTGTTGAATGTAAAGGGGGGAGAATCAGGGATTGTCGGGGATTTCGGGGGAGGGACGAGAGATGGAGTAGATACCTGGAGTCGACATAGCCTGATGAAGAGAGTGTGTTAGCGGCCTGATGGAGATTTTGGTGGGCGATGTCGTTCGGAGTGATTCATACCCTGCCAAATTGCCGAGTGCTGGCCCATGATGTAAACACGAGGGTTCTGACGGAGGAAGCTGCAGGCGGCGGAGGGGTGAGTCCGGGCAGAGCAGAATTAGTGGGGAGCATACCGAAAGCAAGGAAAGTGTGAGGGATAGGAGAAAAGAAGAGAAGCGGATGAAGAAGAAGAAGAAAAGAAGAAGAAGAAGGTGGGGGGAGACTGTCTGTGTTGGCGGTAAAGTACATCACCAAAAGACCCCGCCAGCCAACCGAACGGATGCGTCGATCACGACGAACTCATCGTGGCCGGAGAAATAACGTGGTCTTGTATTGTGCACTCACGATTATGGTAGCATCATGACTTGGGGATGATGCTGAGAGACAGGATGGACGATAAATATATTCCTCTGAGGATGTGCTATATTATTGCTGTAGCGTATAGTTCTCGCTGCGACACTGCACCCTCTCTTGTTTCCTTAGTTAACTACACCCACCACCTCCACTTACTCATCCTCTTCAGGTCCATCATCTTTTTGGCTCAACGGAAATCTGAAATCCTTCGTGATTTTTATTCCCTGTCGGACACGTGCCCAGATCGATGCCTCGACACCTGACTGCCTGGGCGCACTGACCTGTAATCCGATCATCCTGGACTGACTGAGCTGCAGCTACAGAAGGACCTCTTCCTCGGCCGTTAGTGATTCCTCCGATCACCCGGTTGATCGACGATGACCACATCTTCAATCCGTGCGCGGAGCCGACCGCCCTTTGCATTCCGGCTGCCGACCGACTGGGCCTGCCAGGGTCTCCTGAGTCAAGGATAAAAAGCCCATGTCTCAGCTTCAGGGCTGGTGAAACACGCCTCCTGCGGGTGTGGGCGAGTGCGGACCCCCGCGAACGTGGTAGCGACCTAATCAATTCGCGACGGGCCACGCTCATTCGCCCAGTGCAAAATAAGCATCGCACGCGAGTCCATTAACGGCCCTCCAACCAACGCTCTGTTCGCCCCTATTGCCGTTGCATTCACTAGTGGTGCGAGTAGTGAGCACTTGCTGGCTGTGCGACCGTCCAGGATTCATTTACTTCTTGGCTCGTGTTGGTCGAGGAGTCCAGCCCTGGCCCGGATGTGGCCCTGGCGCTGCAGATGATGGCCGAACAGTCGCCTGTTTCGCGCTTGATTTGTCTGGATCTTCTGGGCGCACGGCCGAGACGTCTACTTGTCTCATCTACAGAGATCCTCGTAATTGGATCTCCACCGAGGGGTCTAGCTTGGCTGGCCCTGGGACACTAAATAAATACATCGGGGTGCCCGGCGCCCGCCACGCTGGTCCCTCCCATTTCTGCTTTCTGTTTACACTGCGGCCTTCTGGAAGGCTGTCCATTCCTTCTCGTCCATTTTTCCATTCTCGAATACGCTCTTTTAGTGCAACCCGGTATCTCGGCTGGATTCCCGGATACCAAGAAAACATGGCGAAAGGATTCACACGCACGCAACATGCGACAGACAATATTTCATTCCCCGTACTAACATATACCGACGCTTTGCCGCGAAAAGACCTTTACGAACTGGATGATGGGACTTCTTACAAGCGACCGGACCCGGCCACACTCGGACAATGGGACTTTCACCGACCCAGCACCGCGGATGGATATAGAAAGCCCCCACCCGGTCAGAGCGCCATGTTTGACTTTCGAGTGACAGCACCGCCGGATGAAGCCGTCCCCACAAGATCGAGGCCGTATCGTGGTCCGAAAGAGCAGGAATCAATAGGAATTGCTTTGGGAAGCCCTGGGATGCTCCACAGCCAGGGACAATTCCAGCCTCCCATATCGATCTTTGCGGCGGGGCGTACGGGAGAGAAATCCGGACCTCAGAAATCAAGCAAGTGGAAGAAGATTGGAGGGTTCTTTAGGGCGAAGAGTGCCCTTGCGTCAACGTCAAACCTTGCACAGGCAGATCCTGGCTTACGGACAACACGAAAAGAGAAGTCCAGTGAGAAACCACGCAAAACAAAGCAAAGGAACGACTCGAAAGAAGAGTGGCCTTCTCTCAAAATTGACCCCAAGCCGGAGCTAAATGCCAGCGGCAAAATCCGCGAATCCAAGAGGAATCGAAACCGTTCTCAGACGGCCCCCCAAGGACCCGAAGGGAAGTCAGCCAGCACAGAACCTATGCTGCAAGTGAACATCCCGGACATTGAGATGGAGCGGTACAGTGTTATGTTCAGCAACTTCATCCAGAAGAGGGAAAGACCATCATTGCTGGCGCGGAGAGACAAAACGCTTGACAATCTGCAAGTCCCAGATGCGCATGTGAGTTTTCTGTTGTGTATCTGCCGTGACTCGGACCGATGTGCTAACCTGAGCTAGAACTTCCTCAAGGCAAAGGGGTCTCCAGTGATTCAACGACGAGCAACCTCGCCTGCAAGAACGAGCTTCACATTATTCCCAACCTCCCAACCCACCAAAGCCGCCCAGGTGCTTGGTGCCCTCGGTACCGGTCCCACCCCGAACTTTTCGCGCGGGCCCAGGGTGAGAGCATCGACCCTCCCTGCTGAAAGTCCGTTGAAAGCACCCGAGGAGCAACCAAAAGACTCTGCCAACGTGCACATCCTCACTGCGTTCGAGTCACCGGTGATCCCAAGAGTATTCATGGAGCGTCGATCTTCTACACCGCGATCATCCACAAGCACTCCCCGAAACGAGGACAAACCGCTACCTGCCATCAAACCGGAATCAAAACCTGCTCGGACGCATCAGCATACTTCCCTAAAGAACGGTGATGCGATAACATCCAAGATATATGCTCCCAAACAAGATACCCCCAGGAAAGATACTCCCAAGAAGAACACCCCCAAGAAAGGCACTCCGAAGGACACTCCCCAGAAGCACACCCCCAAAAACCAGTCCCGCATTCCAGTAAAGACGGAGAAAAGGCCTTCTCCTCCAGCCAAGGATAAAACCCTGTCGACATCTATCACCACGGAGAAAGTCGGCCGCATCATCGTTTCGACCATGCCTATATCGGGCCCGGACTGTGGGTCTTCTCCGGAGGATTCAACACGGAGGATGCCTCTGGCCGATGAAGATACCAGCCCTCTCCCCTATATCTCCCCAGCAGTGGAGGTTTCGACCGCGAAATCCGTGTCTGTTTCCCAGGGACGGCGGCAACTGCTAGTCCCAATCGGCGCCCGAGTTGACCACCTAGAACCCCATGAGCGCTTGGTGGACCGACAGACTCTGATACCGAGTGTTCAATCCGGTCACAAACATGCGGTTTCACAGGAACTACGAATTGAATCGTTGTGATGCTTTTCTTTTTTTGATTGTGGCATTGTCTGCCCTGCCATTTCGAGCCTACTATTTGCTCTCTCTTTTATACCCTGTGGGCATTTTGCATTGTACTTTCTGATAGTCTCCAATTTAATTGCAGTTGACCTGCCTGATGACCTTGGCCTTGATCCTATACTTTGTCCTTATGATATCTCCCATGGGATATCCCTGTCTATGACTTTCCCCAAAGCAGTAAGCTGCCTCGTCGCGAGCTCGCGGATCCTTCTGCCCCACCGCGCTTATGCTTCGCAGCCAGCGAATAACACCCCATCCATGGATATGGTGTTGGTGGGGAACTGTGGGGAGACAAACAACGGATGATAAAAGGACAACCAAGAATGGTCTTTTGACGCCTGATTTTCCACCTTGAAGCAAACATTAATTGACACTCCCCGAAATGCCGGAGATCTACCCCATCGCCATCATCGGCGGAGGCCCCGTCGGCCTGGTATCTTCTATTCTGCTCTCGCAGCAGAAGATTCCGCATATACTATTCGAGCGGTACCCATCGACTTCAATTCACCCGAAAGCAGTTGGTAGTAGACAAGCCTCAATAGATTTTACTGTGTAACTACGATCCCGAATCCATGTATGTAGCGGGAGTGGATCGTACGTCCCCGTGTAGCTAAGGCCCAGGTGGGTGTTGGGCGTTAATTATAAAGAATCACTGTCAGCATCTCACACAGCTTATGTGACTCTGACCACTGAATGACACTCACTCACGACGACGACACTCTCACGTCTTGCACCTTCCTCTCTCTGTCCAACATGACCACATTCCAGGAAAAGTGGAAGGAGCGTCCGTTGGTAGAGGCCCCTGTTTTGTGTAAGTGTCCCTCGCCCCATCCCATGCCTTTGTGCACCACGTCAAGATGTCCGCCGCTGATGAAGCCAAGTCATGCCCCCCCTCGCCTTCGCCGGTCCGCAGAACGTGATCGTCACATCAATCACCCGCTGAAGACACGCCCTCGCACCGTCGCACCACGCCACCCAGTGCCGGGCGACGCAGCGCAGCCTCTCTTGCCCCTCCATCACGCGCACCTTCGTCAACAGCGAACACTCCCAAGTCAAGCACATTTTCCACTCTGATGAAAGAGCGAGTCCACGCGGAGGCCAACGGCAGGTGTTGGGCCTGTAACTCGTTTCCTACTGAAGTCTGCCATGTGATTAGCAGGCGGGATCCACAAGTAAGCTATACTGCGTTGCTTGCTAGATCTTGATAACTGATTTTATGCTCAGACCCTCTTGTGGCATCAGCAGGGACTCCTCAACTTCAACCTCAGGTCACAGTCGAATGCTGTCGCGCTGTGCCCGAACTGCCACGTCCACTACGACCAGACCGAAGATCCTGGTTTCGTCTTTCTACCGACGGATCTGGACTATTTCATCGAGTTTGAGATGCTCGATCAGCAGGAGCGGAAGTCCAGCAGCCGCACGTGGCGCCGCGTACCGACGGCAGAGCTATACCGACAACACCTCATTGAGAAAGGAGACGTGCGAGCCGACGCAGTGAGTGGACTGTATGCTCGTGTATTCCTCCAGGATTACGCCACCGCCCCCGACACCTCCCCTAAGTCCTGGGTGGGCTCGCCGCTCGCAACCCTTCGGCGCGCCTTCCTCGTGCTTGGAGGTGGACGGATCAAGGGTTTCGATCGTGCTACACGGGAGAAGTTAAAGACATTGAGAGATCTCTACTTTTTAACCGATGAAGAACTCACCGCACCCCCCCTCGAAGATACCAACTCGGGGAGTGATACTCAGGTCCAAAAGAAACGAAACGCAGACGACTACGAACGAAGCGAACACCCAAAGAGGGTGCGGAACGACATGCCTACGTCTGTCGCAGAGCGCGACAGGCAGGGTCCATTCTACCCATCGGATGCATTTGTCAGTTTGACGCAGTGGAAATTCGGGCCGGACCTGACGAGCAATGACGCGGTACAACGCTGGACCCAATGATGGGTGCGTCGTGTCTAGTAGCTTCCTGCATTACGCGAATACATCATTATCTTCCTTCACGTCTTACGTAGCATGTCCGGGTTCGACAGCGACACCGCAGTAACGTCAAGGTACTGCAAGGGTACTGACAGGAGGATTCCCCAGAAGGAAACGCCCGCCGCGAAGCTGTGAGAAAGGCTCAAGTCATTTTGGACGATGAGTTCCATGCAATCGGCGCTGAGATCGGATGGTTCTATCCGGGCACTCAACCAGAGGGCGAGGATATTCCTTCTGATCATGAAGGTCATGTTCTGCGGTCCGGTGAAATGGATTGTCTGAATTACCACCCGACTACTCTCCTTGGACACAATCTCCCCATGCATGGCTGGACAAAGACGGCGTGACTCGGTCCACACGCGATTTTATATCCGCCGACTCTTTCCTGCTGTTGAGCTCGGTGCCATACGACAAGGACACTCTCGGTGACGGGTTTGTTCGAGTGGAGTGTATTGGAGACAAGGGCTGGAAAGATACTAACGGAATGTGGGCCAATCTCACAAGCACGAAGAGAGTGGCCGGCGTGCTTGTCAGACCGGACGGGATTATTGCCTGTCGCCAAGATGAAGGATGAGCAGTGGCTAAGCGGGATGTTTCATCGGATCTTGCGACTTTCTGCGTAAGAAGTATAGATAGCTGTTCTGAATTGAAGCTGAAGCATCTATTTGGAAAATGTTCTATATTGATCGAAGATACAGGAAAAGAAGTTTCGTCGTTCGACGGAGAGCTTTTCAACCATGACAGAAACCATTAGTCTTTAAGAGGAGCACTGGGCTCTGATACCATCTGGGTCTCCTTGCCGTGATCCAGATTGACCTCTACATTCGACAAGATCCACTGCATCCCAATGTACGCGTCGGAAATGATCTTGACATTCACCCGGGTGGTACCCACAGCTTCGTCGGGGAACTTGACCGAAGAGCGAACCGTTAGCGAACCACTGCTGTTCTTGCCCTTCTGGTTCGATGTGTTGCGGCTAGAACCAGTTCCGGGCGTCTTCTTATCATTGCTGCCGCCATTTCGATTGGACGGCCAGGATACTCGCTTCAGTCCAAGGAGTTCGCCGTCACTGCCATCTGGCATGGCACTGCAGACAACCAGGAAGAAACCTTCTGTTTGCGGCTTGGGGAACCGAGGTGCATAGATCCTGTACTCTGGATTTAAGCCTGGGTTTCGTCGTACGACAGACACGGTTACACCGCGAGAAGAAATCCCAGCAATTGAAACAGAGAGCTCTGGTAGCTGGGAAGTAGCCCGAGTGAACTGATGTGGAAGAGAGAGCTTGTTAACCAAGGAGGAGACCGAAGCTGCAGGCTGACATGAGAGCGCAACAAGCGAATCAGGAAGTCCCCGAGGTGGCTTCTCAGTGGCGACACCAGGAAGGATCGATAATGGGTGGTCCTCGGGCCACCTAGCCGATTTGATAGACTGAAGCAAAGCCATCAACGTCTGACACGCAGGAAGGTAGCCTAGTTCCGCCATGACATCAATGGAGGCCTGGATGATACGGATACCTTGATCCAAGACTGACGTTTGATCACCGACGTAATCAGAGATGGGAAGGTCAATTCGCGACATGTAAGCCTGCAGCAACAAAAAGGCCTTGACATGAGGGTCCCACATCGGAAGATCGCCCATTGATTCGATGGAAAGCGGTAGGTTCTGGGCCAGCTCGGCATTGATCAAGTCTTCATTGTGACGGACAGGCAACTCATCGAATTCGGTGGCGGAGCACATCCAACTGAGAACATCCTGGAAAGTCGGATCGCGTTTGGCATGAGACATGAGGTAAAGGATAGTCTTGTGAGACAGATAGTAGTAACTCATAATCTTACCAAAGGGCGTAGAATCGACTCCCCCGTGGCAGAGTCAATGAGAACACAGGAGGATTCAGCCAGGTCGTCAAGGGATTTGTCGACCAGATCAATCATGAAATCCTGCGCGATGCTCTGTGCGGACATTGTGTTTTGTTCTTCTGCCGAAATTTCGAGTCCATAGTACGATGGGTTCTTGTGCAGACGACGGAAGAAAAACGTCCAGGTCAGGTAATCCAAGGCATCCTGCTTCGTAGTGATTGTTCCAGCGGACACTTCGGCACCAAGATGGTTATCAAGGACCTTGTGCAATGTTGATTCTACCGGGAAACCAGTATGCAGGAAATGCTTGTAGAAAGCTTTTTTGGAATCTTGAGTGAAGATGCGAGCGATGCCTGAAGTGTCGAACTGCGGACGTCCGGCACGACCGAGCATTTGCAGAACATCAGTCAAGTCCATGTCGCGATACCCTTCGATCTTGGCGTCGAAGAACTGGGTGCCTTTGACGACGACCAGATGGGCGGGGAGGTTGACACCCCACGCAAGTGTGCTTGTCGCAACGAGGATTTGGATCTTGTTGTTTGCAAAGAGCTCTTCGGCCAATTGTCGATCAGACTCGACCAGACCAGCATGGTGCAAGCCAATGCCGAAGTTGAGGGCCTCCCTCAAAGCGTCGTCCTTGACTCGTGCCAAATTTACTTCCAGATCATCCTCAGACATTCGGACAAACCGACGAGGATTATCCTCCATTCCACAATAATTGATCAGATCCTTGGCAGTCAGACGAGTCTGTCTTCGAGAAGCCACAAAGACGATCACCGGTTTCTCAGGCGAGTGATTCTTGATGGCAAGGAAGGTCGGGCGGTTCATCGACTGCATAAGCGGGCAGAAACCACGCTGCTCAGGGAAACCATCAATGAAAATCTCAAGAGGCACCGGGCGAACGGAGTGCCGGAAATTGAACAAGCCTTCCTTGACTCCAAGCCAATTCGCGAGGTCCGTGGCATTGGCGCAGGCAGTTGACATGCCCATGAGTCGAACCGAGCCCTTGGATTGAGAAGCGATGTAGTTCATACGAGAGACAATGATCTCCAGAATCGGGCCTCGATCGCCGCCCAACAGATGAATTTCGTCGATAATTACCAGGCTCACCTTCCGCACGTAATCTCTGGTCTGCCAGCTACGAGAGATGCCGTCCCACTTCTCAGGCGTCGTGATAATGATATCGGCGTCTCGGATAGTCCGGGTGTCAGGGGTGTTATCACCAGTAAGCTCGACTAGCTTCAATCCCATAAGCGCTGTCAGACGTTTGCGCCAGTCTTGCACGCGTTCTCGCACGAGGGCCTTCATAGGTGCAATGTACACAACTTTTGAGCCAGGCTTCTCGCGGAAGGCCCACCACATCGCCAGTTCGGCAGCCACGGTCTTGCCACTACCAGTTGGTGAGCCAAGGAGGACATTAGCCGATGTATGATACAGCAGGTGGAAGATCTGTGTTTGCATCGGATTGAAAAAGGGGAAGCGTTGCCCGTAAATCTCCTCCAATATGGGATTTTTCAGAGCGCTGATTGGAAGCGGCTGGAGATTGAGAAGATCAGTGTAGACGCTCTCCGTGTCTGGTCGAATCAAATGTTGGAAGGAGATCGGGCTCACAGTCTCTGCGCCTAGCCAGCGATCGGAGATCACACGAACGTAGATCTGGCTTGGCAGCGGATCAGAAAGAGGAATGGTGAAGTTGAGTTCATGGTCATCGTAAAGCTTCTTCCGGCTGAGAATGAAATACTCATGATGATAGATCTCGGATGTCTCAGAATTCTCGACCCAAACCCAGAATGACTCCGATGAACCATGATGACGATCGTTCCAAGTGAATTCAGGATAGATGGAAAGGCGAATGCGCAGAACGTCGCGGTTGAGCGGTGCGATTTCAGCTTCGATGCTAATTGTAGGGAAGTCATCGAGCAGCTTCGAAAGTGTCTTTCCCATCTTCTGATTGTGGACTAGCTGTCCAATCTCAGCAGGCTCCATTTCCCTCATGGACTCGACGGAAGATGATGGGAGCTTCTCGTCCAGGTTTCTGAGAACTGGCTGGGGCAGGTCGAATTGGTGAAACGGATGGTCAAAGGGCCAGATTTGCTTCTCAATTGACTTGCAAAGCGACAGAAGGACCTGGCACTGATAGCCCCATCGACGGTTCAGTGCAATCATGAAGATAGCACGGCAAATACGAGCGGCATTCTGGGCAACATAACCTGTGTCCGAAACGAGAGCGAAATCCTCGATCTTTGCACGTGAGATGTAGGATTGCAGCAGGATGTTAGTCTTCGCATGCGGCGAATCATTGCCCCCATCGACCTCAGTCTGCGCGACTTCATCTCGAAGACGTTGCAATTCCTTGGACTCGCTTTCTCGGGCCTGGATATTGTCAAATTCTCCGCTCATACTGATCATTTTCAACACGTCTGCTTCGCTAGCTTGGGGACGCATCATTTCGTTGAAAATCTCGATACTGGTCTGGAGGACGTAGAACTGGCTAGCGATGCGGCCCACATCTTTGGCCCTCAGGTCTTCGGTCTTCTCGTTGAAGATGATCATTTGACTCTTCTGTAAAACCCGTGCTGCTTGGATGATCAATTGACGACGTCTTTGAACCAGCATTGGGTCATCGCGCAACTCGGCAAATTCGATTCCATAGTTTCGTGGCTCACGTCTCATGCGCACGAAAAGATAGGAATAGCCTAGCCACTGCACAGCCTCTGGGACGGACGTGACTGTACCCAGCGAAATCTCGGCGTTCAAGTTATCCACGAGCCGACTAGAAAAACGCGACTCAATGGGCTGCTGCGCCGTAACTGCGGAAAGGTAATGATGAAGCTTGTCATGAGTAGTGCAGATGAAACCGATACCAGTATCTTGGAATTGAGGACGACCAGCACGACCGAAAATTTGCATTACGTCGAGAATGCTCAGGTCGATGAATTTACCCTCCTGTGGGTTGTACAGCTGAGTTCCTTTGATGAGAACAGCAGCAGCCGGAAGATTGACACCCCATGCAAGGGTGGCTGTACAGCAGAGCACCTTGATCAACCCTTCAGAAAACATCCGCTCCATCAGATTCCGGTCACTTCGACTCATGCCAGCATGATGCGTTCCGAGACCACCCGCAAACAGATCTCGCAACTCGCGAGCTCGCGCATGCTTCATATCCCGAAGAGCAGAAGAGTAATTTTCGTGCTCATGGCAGCTGAACAAATCGTCACAGCCGTTTTCAACAGCCATCTGCTTCAACATCCGGGCCGTCATGACGGTGTCCTTCCGAGAATGTACAAAGACCATGATCTGATGGCCTCGTTCGAGCATATCGCGAACTTTTTCAAAGGCAACTTCGTCGAGATTATCGCGAGACTGCTTTGAGCCAGGCTTGCCTTTCACACCGATGAAATGCTGCGCCAGAGGAACAGGACGGAATGATGAGTCAAAGAAGAATAGACCAGCCATCTTGTTGACTTTCAAGAAGTCTGCGACATCGACATAGTTGGGAAGTGTCGCTGACAGGCCGACAATACGAATCAAAGATTGTGTACTCTCCACTTGACGTTGAGTACGGGCGACCAAGGATTCAATAACAGCTCCGCGCTCATCGTGCAGCATGTGGACTTCATCGATGATGAGCAGACGCACCTTCTGAACCAATTCGGTGTCTCCGGTGCTTTTCCGGGTCACCACATCCCATTTCTCGGGGGTGGTGACGATGATCTGCGTTTCCACAATTTCCCGCTTGGTCAGTTGCATGTCTCCAGTCAGTTCGCGGACCTTGATCCCTAGCCATGCCAAGCGCTTGCCCAGTTTCTCTGTCACTTCAGCGGCCAAAGCCTTCATCGGTGCCACGTAAACAACCTTGAAGTCGTCAACCTGAACGGCAAAATCGGTTGCATCGGGGTATTCCAATGGATTGGGGACAGTGTTCTTCCCGACAGCGTTGAGAACCGTCAACATGGCAGCGTCCGTTTTACCAGCACCGGTGGGGGCGCAGATCAGCATATTTTCGTTGGTTTTGTACGCGACTTCGTAAAGGAGACTCTGCATGCGATTCAGAGTTTTGTAGCCTTTGAAAGTACCCCGGCACAACCCATCAAGGCTGGCGATCTCCACCAGTTTCTGACCTCGTCCCAGGGTACCGACCTTCGAGGCTGGGATCTCGAATTCCGTATATTTGGGCTCATCGGTCTGCTTACTGCCAACGGGTAAACCGTACTTCTTTCCCCCAGCGGCGAGAAGATTTCTGGAATCGTGCATCTTGAACACATGAGGATACGCCGGCTCGGATCGAGTCTGAGCGGCCATCAAGGATGCATGTTTGTGTTCAAAGTCTTGGTGCCGCAAGGCCTGTTCCCTCTCTGCTCGCGTCTGCAGTCGTCCAGCCAGCCCATCCGTCTGTGCCTCTAATTTTGGTGGCTTGTCCGACAGGATTGCCTCGCGATGCGCAATCAACTCAATCACCAGATCCAGGTCGTCGAATCCCACGATCTCCGCGAGAGACATCTGCAGTTCTTCATCGTTGCTGTCGGCAGCCAACACGGCGAGAATTTGCTGTGCCAGCTCTGACGCATCCATGCCCGAATTTCGAGTAGCCACGCCTTGGCATTTGTCTTCCAACCATAGTCGGTCGTAGAGAGACGGGGTATGCGTGGGAATCAGACCATCCAAATCCTCCAAGTCGTCCGTCGTTTCATCATCCGAGCTGATAATGTCCCATACATCGTCGACGGTTGCCGGAGAAGAATAGGCTTCGTCGATATCCAAGTCCAGATCGCTGCCATAGCCTGTGGAATCGGGGGGGATCTCCTTGGGAAGCTTGAGATCGGCGATAGCCTGGCGCATGGCGGCCAGCTGGGCCAGCCACTGCGATTCGGCTGCGGCGGTGGCCATGATGTGCAGTGAAGTACGGGAGTCCACCTACTGTAGTAATCAACAAATCCACACACACACAATACATGGACTCATGGAATCATGAAAGCGGTGAGCCATGGCTGCCTCAGGCCTTCATGTGGAGAGCTGCAGCGTCACTTCCCGCTTTATCTTCAGGAGTTCAGGCAGCTTCGGTCCTTCTCTGCTTTGCCACCCACCCTACACCACACGAAACACACTGTCAGACTGTGCGCCTGACTGAATCTTGTTTGGTTGCTCAACACTCGCCCCCGACACCTCCTTTACATCCTCCCTTTGCCATTCTCGGTACTCTGGGTCTGCCCCGCTACCTGTCCTATTCGCCGTCATGAAGATCTTCTATATGGGCGTAGGTTTCTTGTCCTTCTTGTCGTGCTGATCGCAGCTCTGTGGTCCTCTGGAGATGATGCTGATTGTCTTGACGCCTCTCAGGTTCTTCGGAACGACACGAAACCCGCCCTGCAACTATGTGGGGAGAAGGAGCTCAGCAGGTGCGTGTGGTGATCCTGTTCGTCCAGGAGGATATGAGACTGACATCCACTAGCTTCTCCCGCTTCACTCGGCAAAAGTAGGTCTACCTCTACCGATCAGCTACATCCTCTTGTCGATATTAACCACGGACGGTCGGGAACAGCTACGAGGAGTTCCTGATGCTTTTCTGCCGCACGGTTGCCGAGCGCACAAACCCAGGACAACGCCAGGATGTCGAAGAGAAGTCCTATACATTCCACGCATACGGTCGGACGGAAGGCGTGGCCGGTGTGATCGTGACGGATGGAGAGTACCCCGCGCTGGTGGCCCACCAGCTTCTTTCGAAGATTCTCGACGAGTTCCTCATCAAGAACCCGCGCACGGCATTCTCGGACCCGAACCTACGTGAAAATGCCTGCTCCTTCCCCCAGCTCAAGGAATATATCATCAAGTACCAGGATCCCAGCCAGGCAGACAGCATCATGAAGATTCAACAGGAGCTGGACGAGACCAAGATTGTCCTTCACAAGACGGTATGCTCTACCCTTTCCGGTTATACCCTATTGAGGTATTCTAATTCGCCATAGATCGAGAGTGTGTTGGAGCGCGGTGAGAAGATAGATTCTCTGGTTGCCAAGAGCGACGGTCTGTCGGCCCAGAGTAAGATGTTCTATACCCAGGTATGGCAACCCATTTCACAATCCCTTTAGACAATGCGTTGACATGATTATGTTACAGGCCAAGAAACAAAACTCTTGCTGTGTTGTGATGTAGGAGGCGCCCCTGTTGTGCGGCTCTGGATTCGGCGGTGACTTCCTTTTAATCGCGACTTTTCTACACATGTAATCGCATGTCCGTCCTGTTCTGAACCTTGAATTTATGACAGCTTATGTCTCCTAGACCATTGCGCTCTTTAAGTTTGAATTTTTAATCCTGGCTGTGGACTGTGAACAGCTTGTCCTCGCTGGAATTTAGATGCCTAGAGACCTCGCTGAAACAAGCTGCAAGGCAGACAGCTACTGCTTCCTGTTAGTTTCGTGGGCAGAATGAGATCTATATAATGGTTCGCCAGTGGATGCTGAGAAGCCCGGATGCCCGACTGACCCTACGACATACCCCTCGGATTCAAAGTGTCTGTGTTGCAACGTGGCCGTGCATTTTCATCATTTTCGTCATTTTCATCATTTTCATCATTGAAATTGAAATTGAAATTCGATGTCACCTCATCCATAGAGATGATATGGGTTCGATACTCCGAGTAGCCTTGCTCGGCAACGTCTTGTAGCAGACGCCGGTATCTGAATTTGCAGAACGACGGTTTTCTCTTACGCAACAACATCTGAATTCCTCCCCCAATAAGAGGGGGATTTCACAGATCCGTCCTAGCTGAGAGTGTAGCTGAGCTTTTTGCTATATTTGGCCAGTCAGAATTCATATCACTCGGCCTAAAAAGTCAGATATATGCATACATAAACTTGAGAGTAGCTGCTGTAAGTGGTATAATCTGCAAATTCAGTCGGGTTTAGGTCGGAAGCTTTCCCCGAATCCATTCCATGTCACGACGCAATGAGGCGGTCCGGTGAATAACCTGGATAAACTGAGCACTACGACCACATGATAAATTGTTTCTACCCAAGCCCAAGCCATCATCCTGCTCCCTATACTCCTGCGTCCAGATTTACATGGGAACTGGATAGATAAACAAGATGTGAGAGATACTTGAAATGCCTATTTGTTTGATATTTATGTTTCCACTATCCTCTCAAATACAATGTGTTTAACTGTTCAAGCATTTTCTGAAGCACATTCCGCATAATTGCCTGGAGGGCGCTGATCAACAACGTTTTTCTCCATAATCACATCGCTTGCCCAATGCTTAAATGCTCTGGTTGGCAACCGCAAGGCGAACATGCGATCTATCTCCATCGGGGATCGACCTTTCATCTCCGGGATGAAGAGCCACACTCCGACCACACCAAGTAACGCAAACCCGGCCATCACAAACCCTGTCTTTGCCTTGAGGTCCCCTTGATCTGCGTTGTAGAAGTAGGGCAATATAATTGAAAACACCCCGCTGGTGATTCCGCTGACAAACCAACCGATTCCCTGCGTCTTCGCGCGCAATCGTAAGGAGGAGGCTTCGGCCGCGACAACATGCGACGCAGGCCAGATTCCCAAGCCGCAGACAATTGTAACTATCATCATTGTCACAGCAGTATACCTATAGTATAGTCAGAGAGAGATTGTATGTATGTGTGCGTTTCGCGCTTTATACCAGAGGGCACATACCAGATAGTCACGATCGAAGCAAAACAGCCTGCTATACCCATGGCAAACCATAGGACTGTGGCTGTTGTCATGGTCGTAAACGACAAAAACCTTCGACCAAAAGCATTCAACGCCCACAGACTGACGATATTTGCAACCAGCCCCAGCGCAATTCCCAGAATGAGAAAGGTCAAGGCGTTAGTCGATGACATGCCCACTTGCTCAGCGAAGTACGAGGCGTTAGCCAACAATTGCAGTCCGAAAAACTGCGGCAATGCACTGGCAAAGGCCACAATGAGTGTCCTCCGCGCGTGAATTCCCCGGAAACAATCCATATACGTGTAAGACCCTCCTTCCTCCTCCTCTGCGAGAATGGAGAGTTTGATCTCCTCGACGATGGCCTCCGAGTTGATCCCAGCAGTATCAAGCCTTTGTTGAGCCTTTAACGCCTTTTCCATGCGGCCTTTTCGAACCAACCAAGTTGGGCTCTCAGGTAGCACAGCCGCTAGTACAAAAGGTACGGCGGAAAATGGCCATTGCGAGCCGAAGCAAACACGATAACTCTCAGAGCCCGGGTACTTTAGAGAGGTGTACACCACGACTGCACCAACGAGTTGACCGAGAAGTGTAAAGACGGGGAGAAATGCAATAATCGGTCCTCGAAGGAGGACTGGCAAAACCTCGGACATGTAGGTTTGCACAACACAGAGAAGCATGCCGATACAAACTCCCTGGAAGAGCTTGCCTGCGAAGAAAACACCGCGGCGGGATTCAATAGCATCTGGAAGATCCGACACGAAGCAGATTGCCACGGCAACAGCTGAGAAGAAGCTTCCTAGTGCAAGCGCGCGACGACGACCGGCGCGATCTTGGAAGTAGCCTCCAAGGATAGCCCCGACCATCCAACCGATGGGACTAGCAGCATTCCAAAGAGCAAGCCAAGTCGCGGGGATTATGAATTGTCCGTCGAGCTCCTTGCCATATTTATGTCTTTCCTGGTGTTAGTTGTGATCTCAGTGACAAGGATCGAGGAACGTACTGAAATGCCGGCATAGCAGAGACAGTGCCCACGATGACAAAGTCATAGCCATACAGTAGAATGGCCGAGCTCAGAGCAAGATTGTAGGCGACTATTTTGGGCCATTTCTTCAGCGATTGCCACAGTGGCACATATTTGGGTTGTGAGCTGTTTCCTGAATCTCCCATAGTAAAAGAAGTGTGCGCCGAAGCAACAGACAGGGAATGGAAAAAGGGAAACAAGATAAAACAATCAGAGCGCGTGATATAGGCTACGAAACGATCAAGCGGGGCGGAAAGCACCGAGGCATCTTTTGAGATGCAACCAGCCTCGACGCGAATACGCCTTGGCTCTGATGGAACATCATCAAATCAAAATCCAGTGAATGCAAGCGAAGGCCGTTGTTCGCGCCAACTGTCGCAGGCTGTGCCGATCCCCCCAATCACACGCCTAGCCCCGCACGGAGGTGCCAAGTGCATTGACGAGGGGGATTCGAAGCGAGATATCAAACATGGTGCAAACTCATTCTGTGTGGTTAGTTGTCCGGGTAGACGAATAATGGAACTGCCTTTCTCTAGCTTTCCGACTATACTTGGGTCGTGCTCATCCATTTTCCAGCTTGGCTGGCGGGCCGCATTGTTGATGCGGAGTTCATTTTGCGTAGATCGTAGATCGGAGGTCTTACTGTTCTGGGGTAAATTGTGCTCCACAGGCTCCACACCAAAAAAGAAACGGAGTAAATCCGGGGGACTTGCAACAAAAAGAATTGGCTAATCAGATTGACACTCCTGTCTTCTTCCCGCAGGATCACTCTTACTCTACATTGTCATGCTGCGGCAACATAGGCGCAGCTCTCTCCGGCTGCGAACGCGCATCCCTCCTTCTCTGCAAATCTCCTAGATGCGCCTTCACCTTATCGATTTCAATTTCTAGCTCCTTCGTAGTGGCAAGTCGGTATTTCAGTGTCAGAATCGCAGCTGAAAGAACAAGGAGCCCGATAGAAACCAGATAAGCCCACTGGCCAACCTGTTGGGGATGTTCCTGCGATGGACCGTCGTTGTAGATGCACCATTCAATCCATGCGACAAATGCGATCACGGTGAACGGACTGACAATCATACTGAAAAGGATTCCAAAGAGAATCATCATGTCGGTTAGAACATGTAGGAATGCGTTCCAGAACCGGACGGTCAGGAGCGGTCGTATGCGCTGCCAGGCCGAACGCTTCCGCTGTGGCTGACCATTCTCTTCTCTCTTGGGGGAATCTAGCGCCTGTTGTTCGGTGGTCGCTTCGCGAAGCTCCTCTTTGAAGCTGTTCCAGATGCTCTTCCTCTCTCTCCAGATAATAACGATATGGGAGGACGGGATCCGGGATCGAAAAGGCAGGAACTTGAACGTGAGGAGCAGGCAGTTGAGAATGACGCAGAGAATGATTAAGCTGTAGATGTATCGCTTTGAATAGATGACCTTGTTCCAGAAAAGGTGTGGGTTGGAGACTTCATAGCTGGTCGTTCCAACCCAAACATGCAACGATTCCTGCTCGCGTAGAATTTGACTGGAATTCATGCATGGGTTAAAGCAGGTATCGCCGAGCTGGCTCCAGAGCGTGATATTTGAGAAAATTTCCCGAACACTGGTGTTCCACGTCGAAGTCCGCCAGGAGTCATGCCATCCATCACTTGAGGTCTCTCCCAGCGGTGGCAGGTCTGGATAGCAGAACATGTACTGAGTCGGAGTTTTGCTCAGTTTCGGTGCGTAGACCAAAGCGCAGATAGAGCCAGCCAGCATGAGAATGTTCCAGATGTAGAAAAGAACATTTCGGGCTCGCTGATGAGACAGGATACGCGACCAGCATTGTAAAGGGAGAAAGACCAGGTAACCCGTGACAACGATTGCCAAAACAGCATCCGAATCTAGTTCCAGAGCACCAGGCTGGACCATGACCTGGTTTGTCTCCGTCACCAGTTGAGGAAAAGCAGACCACAGGCTTGAGCTATTCGAGACACGAGGGATAGTGACAGGTCCTGGGTCCTGGGGTTTAGAGGGACTGGCGACCAAGATGAACGTCTGGATTGCCGCAACCCCGGCGTACGTCGCTGCCGTTCCGAGGAAGACGTCGGTAAGCCAGCCAGTCCATCTCGTCACGCAGCTGGCCAGGAGGAGCGCGTAGAAGAGGTACCGAGGACAGGAGTTATAGAGGGTGCTTATCGGGTAGAAGCATATCGCTTCTTGCGCGACGAATAAGGGATCACGATGTGAGTGATCCATTACGAGGGGTCGATAATAGCGGTGGAGGAGAGAATTGCATGATGGAGTTTTGGGAGTTTTCAATGTTTGTGTGGGAAGACAAAATTCGTTTGGTGCTACGCCGGGCAGGCTGCTCTTTTTCCTTTCTTCCCTCAGTGGAGACCCTCCCCTTTGGGTTTGACGTCATACATTTACAACCAACACACTGCGGGATGGAACAATGCAAGTATTTCGAGGATATTGGACAACGACTAGCGATGGATGTGGGATTGTACCCTACAGGGCTGGTCTCAACTCGAGTTGGAAACCAGTCCAGTCCAAGGAACTTACAAAACCTCATAGACATCAATGGTGACATGGCTCAGAGTCTGCGGGCGATGAAGATCCCCAATGAATACCGTCCGGTTCAGCCAGTCGTGCACTCCATGCTGCACCTCAAAGCGTGGGTTGGTCCTGGCATACCACTCTGTCTCTTCCCTTTTGCCCGATTCCGCTGACGGATCTTTTTGGAACTTTCTCACGAACCCTTCATTGATAACATCGATAAGAACACCATCGGCTGTCTGGATGGCATATTTGGCGAGCACATGTCCCATCCCGTCGTCGCGGAGGGTGTTCCAGTCCCCTCCGCCAGGCAGAATGGTTGCTTTCAGTTTTGGGCCATCAACATGCCCACCAATAATGGGTATAAAGCGCTGATGACCGGTGACGGTGTTCCCAAAATCTAGGGCAGGTGATAGATCAACATGCAGTGTGAAAGCATGCTGGAGACTTGGAGACATGACTTCTCTGCGAAAACGCACAAATAAAGGATAATGGAGACTGACGCAAGGAATATGTCCTGAATAGGATTTCACGGACACAGAGGAAAGAGGTGAGACATGCATGTGAGATGAGGGGCTCGGGAAGTGGCCCGCTAGTAACAAGACCTCCAAGAGATACGCAGTGGGGGTCAAGAAAAACGCATCGTGGGTGAGGTGCGGCGCTAGTATAGCAATTGGCCTCACGTGGAATAGGGCCAAATATCGTCGTTTTGGGTTTGGATCCTAAGTGGCCTCTTTGATGCGCGGATCGGTCCGTAATACATGGGGATTTACCAAAGTGACGGTTAGATGTGATTGTGCAGGAGCGATCGATTCCATTTTGGCCTTCGATCCTTACAATAGATCGTACACCATTGGACCTTCTCGATTGTAGGTGATGGAAAAGAGGCTTAAGTCGTCTAATATGTACTTGGGCAGCAAGGATACTAGACAGTATTACTCTGTTGTACTTAAGGCACAATTATTGATTAAACCAAGCATATTCTGTTCGTACATGTTCAATAGAAATTGCAAAGAGAACGCTCAATCATCCCCTGTCAAATCCACAAACTCCAGTTCGGAAGCTTTCCTCTTCACGCCCGCAATTCGCTGTGAGCTGAAGTTACCTCTATTAAGTAGGGCACCCAGCGGGGGTGGTTGTTGAGGAAATGCAGGCCGTTGTCGTTGAATTGTGGGCTGTGCCACCCCAACTCCAGCTGAAGATTGACCTGAATTGACTCCGAGACCCTCCATGCGTGTGATTTTCTTGTATTCTCTTGCCAACAAGAGAAAGAGTTTGTCTTGGTCGAAAGACTGTATCTGCCGCATGGCTTCGGCCTTCCTGGCTTGCCATTCTTCCCGAGCCCGCTTGATCCGAGTGAAAGTCTTGGTAACGATCAGTTTAAAAGGCGCTGGGTAGGTCCGTTCGGTTTCATGGGTGCAATCAACCCGAGCGTCGTCAAGGGTTCTGTGTATATGGTGTCTGCGCTCCTTGCCCAGAGGAAACCTACCGACTGTTCGGACAGGGTCTTGGAGGAAATTGTTGAGACCATGGCAGTCCATGCAGCCACATGGTACGGGTTGTCGAGCCAGATTTCTGTCGTCTTTGCCAGGCTCTCGACCGACGTAGTTGTCGAGGTAAGCTCTCATAATGGAGATAAAGATCTGTCGGTAATATTGCGTGGAGAAAGGAATTGAATTCGACTCCATGACTGGGATGATACCGTGTAGGAAAGGGAGCCATAACGTGTGGAACGCCAACTTCTTGACCTTTGGGGCGTCATCAACGAATTTCAGGGAGAGATCCCTTATCAGAGAATCATCGTTAAGGCCGATGAGCGTACTAACGAACTTTGTCAAGTGTTTGGCTGTAACTGGTGCAGTCTTCCGTTTTGGTGCAGATTCGAGGGGCGGCTTGTAAGGAAATGGCAGTGCCTTCGCTGGAGGCTCATCATCATCACAGACGGTGGAAATGTCGAGTTCACGAATCAGCGATTTAGCTATTTGGCTGCACAGTCCCATGCCTTCTTCAGTAGGAAAGGCGCCTTCTGTGGTGCGCTGATGTAGTCGAGATAGGAAAGAAAGGGCAAAGGACGAAGCTCGAAGCTTGTTCTCCATGGAGGGAAGCACACTAGGCGGGCATCAGCACCGTAATCGAGATACGAATAACAGTGGAGAAACGCACAGCCTCACTAGGTAGTCCAAGTTATGATGTTCTGCGACCATGTCGACCACAGCGTGTCCATCCCGCTGATCCAAAGATTCCTGTGAACGTAACATACTTAGGGTTTCATTATGGAGCTTGTCTACCCATTTTCGGACATCATCCGGCATTGGTTCAGCTAGAGGAACAAGGCGCGAGACTGCTTCATGTCGCTGCCAAATCGTAGGGAAGGCTAGGATGGCACGGAACATACTGTCATAATTAGCATGAAAACTAAAAAGGTCAGAAGACTAAGACCATACCTATCTTCAATGCTGTCGAAAGTGACCTCTCCAGCTGCAATTTGACCTCTAGCCCACTTGAAAAAGTCAAATGACAGTGTTCCCTCGTGATTTCTGGCGGCCTCTTTCAAAAAGTCATAATCCTGCAACCGAATAGCGGCTTGGAGGACCTTAGCAATGACGTCGTCAGGGAGAATTGTCTTCGAAAGACTCTCCTCATCTTCGCTCCAGATTTTCCGGCAGAGTTTCTTCAAGGTCCTGAACGAAGACTGGTGGTCAGATGAGTTCAATGAGGAGCCGGCAAAGTAATCAATGATGGTCTTGTCATTCTCCCGGATTTCGGCCGAGTAGTATGAGCCTGTCTTTGGAGATTCCATAAGAAAAGAAGTAGTTGAATCCCGAGGCACTACGGCCACAGCCTACCGCATGTCAGATTAACCCTTCTCGTCGCCCAGGCTGCAAACCTACCGTGACCCGGTACCAATGCGTTGCTTCGGGACCCTATAATCAGTCAGCATCATTCTTCTTGTTAACACGAACCAACTCAGACGTACCCAGTTTCCCTGGTATCCCAAATACGACTCCTCTGGATGAATGTCATCGAAACAATCTTTCTGAAGAACCTTGGTCTGGTCCAGCAGCAGCCCTTTCACTACCTGACGACCATCCAAGTCGACCAATGTCTTGATCGAGTATTCAGTGTTGCAAACTTCGTCGATAGGATGGTAGTCGTCTTCATCCGGTCCCCGAGGTGAATATCCGTACTTCGGACCCCACCTCGATGCGTAGTACTCATCATTTTCACAGGTACCCATTTCTTTCTTTTCCAGCACAGCGAGGAAAATATCTACCGGCAGCTCAGATGCGATTCCTCTCAGAGCCTGGACGCGGACCAGGTCGTGGCTTTTAAGGGTATTGAGGGAGATGCTGGCTTCAGTGTACTCGTGATCGAGCTTGTAGTAGACATGGTTCAGATCCCGGTCATCCTTTTCCTTCAGAAGCCACTGCTTGATAATCTCACGTGCCGCACGCGTTTCTGCACTCTGAAGGCCGGCTGATGGACGCGGCTCCGAAGGATCCAGAACAAGATTGTAGGTGAGAACCCAACGATATCCCGAAGTGACAGGAAGAATTTCGTGGGAAACGTCTGAATACCAAGAGACAAAGGAAGGTTGAGCCTCCGATGTCTTGAAGATCTTCTTCTCCCCACCATGCTTCACAACCACGTCACCTCCTTCATGGGGCGACGGCAGGCAGACCACAGCTGTGGCAAACATGCCAGGAACTTTTTCAGTGCTATAAAAGGCTTGTGAACGATTATTCAAGTGATATTCTGAGCAAGGACTTACTCGGTGTGAGCTTTGAACATAGCACCCTTCTCATAGAGCAGCATCTTGTACAGTTCCGCAGAAACTGGTACATCGACACCCAATTCTCGAGCTGCGCGGTTACAGACAAGCTCGATATAGGCACTCCAACCCGGACTCTTCAACTCGAATTGCTCGGGGTCCAGCTCCCAAGTGTTTCGCACGGACGTGTCAACAAGGGTTTCATTACCCTTTCCATATGGTGCCTGGCGCGCCTTCTCGATCAACCGTCGGGCTTGTGGCTCGTCCAAGGGCAGAGTGATTGCACCGACATCGTGTACGTAGGCCTCCGGGTCGAGGGATACACATCGACCGTACGATGCAAAGGTCCCGGGGGACTGGATAGCATCGAGGGCCTTACGAAGATCACATTCGAAATTCGTGTAGTAGTTGTTGGTGCTCAACTCACTCCCTGCATCGCTGCTCTCTCCGTCTACCATGATTTGCGTGGTTTCGAGGAAGCTCTTGATTTAACTTCGCTTGATTAACTTTCCTGTCGTGACGCGTCGGACGCGTCGGTTGATTGCCGTACGTATCGATAATCAAATCTTTATTGGTTATTGCCAGTGCGGCAGCGATAACGAGTTTTGGACGGAGAATGCGAAATTGGTCATGAAGAGAGGAAGACAGGAACTAAAAATTCTAGACAACAAAACACGAAGAAAAGGGGAAACTTGAAAGAAAGGAGGTCGAACCTATCAACCGTGCAGGCTTCCAGAGCAAACAAAAGTAACCAATTATGCTATGCGCGCATGGGGTCCGTTAGGTATCCGTGAGGTATTCGTATGGAGAATGTATTATCTGTCTACTGCTCGAGATGCAATGGAAGCGAATTCATTTAATCCACCACCATAACGAGATGGGTTAGACAGCGCTTCTATCCCTTCTTATCTATCTTACGTCGTCTCCGCCTATCCTCAAAGAGAATAAGCCCATTATCTCCTCTACGCAAGCGAGTGCTCACTCTCGAAACTACAGCTACTGCCCAATGCCAGATACAGAGCTTGCTTCTCACAAAACTCGCCATCGTCCTACGGGCGGTTACCGGGAGACTACAAGGCGTATAGTGCCGCGCTAAAGGCGAGCGAGACCACGGTCTCATTGATTAAGTGTTTACAAGAGTGGGAGCCATGGAATTACAATCCAATGCCGTTGCTCGTGACATGTCCACAGGTGTAGGTTGCAGCACTGCTTATGTACTATTGATTAAAGGAAGCTATTCACAATATCCCCCTATACATGGTGAGTGTTCCTTCGCTAGGTCTGTACATATTGTGTGCGTAGGGTATAAATTATTTACTGCACCTCGTCGGGCATCGGCTTCCTCGCCCAGACTCTCCGGCTTTAGTGATTATTAGCAAGAACCTCAGTCAACAATCAGGGGCGGCACCTACGATCGGTGATAGGGATGGCAGCGTGGATCCTTGAGCTCGTTCCGCAACTTCGCCACATACACCTGGACTTCCTCCTTGGTCCAGGCATGCGGCGATCCAAAGTTGGTCAGCAACCACATCCCCCAACCCTCCAAGCCTCGGGACCAGTGCTCATAGTTGACCATACCCGCTTCCTTGAGCTGCTTGTCTCTGGGCCACGGCCCAATCGGTCGCTTGTAATTCCGCTCATGGACATCGACGAACCCAGTCTTCTGAATAGCCGCAGCCATGGTGTTCATTGTGTCACAAGCTCGGCCAGCTTTGGTGCCACAACTGATCATGTTGTCACCCCAAGTCTTCAGCTGGCTGTCGGGTTTGATGCTTTCATCATCTGCCTCGATGTGAGGGCTCGATTCTAGTTGCTCAATCCACCCACCGGGTTTCAGGCCACTGGTGGAAAGATTAGTCTTCTGAAACAAATTGGGGCAACTGCCCACCTACTTATAGCATCTCTTGTAGACGATCTCCCAGTCATGCTCGCTGAATGACCCAACCATATTGCGCAGGTGGATGAGATCAAACTTTTCCGTCCAGGTCCATTCCTGGAGCACATCGTCTACCTCTAGGGTACAGTTCGGTGGCATCCAAGTGACCGGAGGCGGGTACAGATCGACTCCACGGACCGAAGCTGCTATCTGTTAGTTCTGGGAAGATAGAAGTCGGTCAACAATCGTACTTTCTGGGAACATATCGGCGACATCGCTGGACGATCAAATTAGCGTGCGAAAGAGGTGATATCCGGGGATTATACATAGCCCAGCTCCCCTTGCCGGTTCCAATATCCAGAATATTCTGGAGTGAGTCCACGATTGGGGCACGGAAGAAGGGATTTTCCCTATCCAGATCGAGCATGAGGGTTACGAGGTGCCTGGAGTTGAGTTAGAGAAACTCCCCGCACGGCGGACCCGGAGACGTACCCTGCCTCGTAGCTCTCGAACTGCTGCTCATCGGATGGGATACTAAATGCAATAGATGAGAAAGCTTCGATGATTACATCAATATCGAAGTGGCTCACATATAATCCTTGGCACTCAGCGCTTGGTACCTGTCATCCCTGTTAGCCACGTTCCTCTGCCCTTTTCCAGCAGATCCCTGTTGAGTTACATACCGGCGCCCGTTTGCCAGGATACCCCGGTGAATCGAGGAGCCGATCGAGGTAGTTTCCCTGTGGTCAAGTCAGCGACGGTCCGTCGAAAATGGTCGTTCAGCATCTGTGCCACAACACGTACGACTGGCCGTCCTCGAGGCTGGCATCCTTGGGGAGAAACACATCTGGATCCTAAAAACGGTCAACCCAAGTTTGTCCATCACACCACAATACTGACCACGGCGATCGGTTTGTCGTCCATGGTGAATTCAATAGTTGGTTGATTTAGAGAACAAGTCGGGGGAACGGAAGAGGGGCTTTTGTGCTGGGTGGATCCGGTGGAACAACAATGCCCTTGTGAACAGGCATAAAAGGACTGTTCTTACAAATCATACATACATCACGTCAACGGTTCCTCCGACACCCTTTTTCTCTCTTCCTACAACTGTTTACCCAACTTATGATCACTATGAAGGAAGCTGTGGTTGACAAGACCGTCACGGTCACTATCCGCGACACCCCAATCCCCACTCCCGGGCCGGCCCAGGTGTTGATCCACGTCGTGGTATCCGGCACTAACCCAAAGGACTGGAAGGTCCCCAAGTGGACGGATAGCACCATCAACCAGGGAGACGACATCGCCGGATATGTGTCCGCCGTCGGGGATGGAGTCCAGAATTTCAGAAAGGGCGACAGGGTGGCCGCCTTTCATCAAATGATGTCTCCCAACGGCAGTTATGCCGAGTATGCCATTGCGTGGGAGCACACCACCTTTCATCTCCCGGAGAAAACTAGTTTCGAAGGTATGTTATTCTATATAGTACTACAGATGCACTAACCCAGTCACACCAGAGGCTGCCACAATTCCCCTGGCGGCCATGACGGCCGCCCTGGGGTTGTATCAGCGGCTGCGTCTGCCGTTGCCGTGGAACCCGACGGACCAGCCTCAGCCGCTAGTCGTGTACGGCGGTGCAACCGCGGTCGGGGCATTTGCGATTAAATTTGCGAAGCTCTCCAACATTCACCCCATCATTGCGGTGGCGGGCAAGGGGATCCCGTTTGTGGAAAATTTGCTCGGCAAAGGAAAAGGCGACACAGTCATCGACTACCGCGAGGGCGACGAGGCTGTCCGTGCCAAGATCAAGGCCGCAGCCGGAGGGCAACCCATCCATTGTGCCTTTGATGCTGTCTCCGAGAAGGGAAGTTTTCACAACATCAGCGCAGCCCTGACGGCGCCTGCGAAGATTACTACGGTGCTGCCCCATCAGGATACTGATACTTTCCCGGCTGGCGTTGAGATTGACCGCACGATGGTTGGATCGGTCCACAATCCCCCAGGCGAGGGAAAGACCATTGAGGACAAGGAGTTTGGGGCTGCCTTCTTCCCGTTTATCGGTCGTGGTCTGGCACAGGGATGGTTCTCGGGCCATCCGTTTGAGGTGCGACAGGGCGGCCTGAATGGTCTTGAAGGAGCTTTGAAGGATCTCGAAGGTGGCAAAGCATCTGCGGTAAAGTATGTAGTGCGAATTGCGGATACAGAGGGTGTGCAGCAGTAAGTCACTGTCTGTTTCCTCATGGTACAATAAATGATTCAGCTTGTCGCAATGCCAACCTAGATCATTCAGTGCAAGTGCCAGCTCGGGAAAGCATAGGGTCCGTCTATAACACTATACTTATCGGTTAGTCGATGCTGTTCTTTTCTTTGCTGGTCATATATAACTATGATCATTCCAGATCGGGTAGGCTGTATAGATCGGATAGCGATTAGGTTGGATGACATCACCGCGATATAGCTGTCATGTCTTGGTCGAAGAGTCGACCGTACTCCGTAGAGACACGCCCCAAATCCCAATACCATGGCAAAACGGACGTTGGATGCCTTCTTCCAGCGGGTAACAGGCCCAGCACAGAAACGGAGCAAACCCAGCGAGATCAACAACCCGCACGACGACCAAGGCTCTCCCAGCCAACATCCAACGTATCCATCTCCAATTGCGCAGCTGCCATCGCACATAGAAGTCGGACTCGTGCACGCAATACCTGCCAGCACAGCGCGCACCATCAACAACCAGCCACATTTAGACTTGCTGTACTTCCAGCCCTACATCGCACGCACCACCGCCAACGAGCTCTTCAAGTTCCTGCGGCGTGAACTCCCTTTCTACCGCGTGCAATACAACATCCGACGCGGCGACACAGAAACACAAATCACCACTCCGCGTTTCACGACCGTCTTCGGCGTGGACGAGACATCCAAATTTGTGCCGCGGTCCAGTGCCAACACCAACACCGACAGGCCCCAAAGCAACACATCAACGCCCGACGATGAGGACCATCCCGCAAGCTTAATCCTGGTTGACTCCAGCACTACCGAGCCAATCCCGGCATCCAAAAAGTACCAATCGGCTCCGCGGCCGATTCCCACGTGTCTGGATCTGCTGCGGAAGCAAGTCGAAGATATTTCCGAAACGACGTATAATGTCTGCCTGGTCAACTACTACGCCAGCGGCGAGGACAGCATCGCCTTCCACTCGGACGACGAGCGGTTCCTGGGATCCAACCCGACCATCGCGTCGCTGTCCCTCGGCGCCGAGCGGGAGTTTCTCATGAAACACAAGCCGGTGGTGCCCCCGGAGACTGGAACCCGCACCCCGGCCGCGGGTCCTCCCCCACGTTCGCAATCAAATTCCGCGTCTAATTTTAACTCTGGCGGGCCATATTCCTCCCCGCCCCTGAAACTGGGGCTTGCGTCGGGCGACATGGTCATCATGCGCGGAGCGACGCAGTCGAATTGGCTGCATAGTATCCCCAAGCGGAAGGGGAGGGCAGCGGAGAGAAGCAGTCAGGGGAGAATCAATATCACGTTTCGCAAGGCGGTGGTGCCGGGGGGCACGAATAACTACTATCGCTATAATGTCGGCGACGGAGGGGCGTTTCGATGGGATGAGACACAGCGCCGGATGATTCAGTCCGATTGATAGATAGCATACAAGTGTATGTACAAAGTTCCATTGCCACTGCAGGTCCCCTGGTAGCTACAAAACAAAACTCCAGCCCAGTAGTTGAACACGGCAAACCGCACATAATAAACCGACGAAGCAAAGAAAACATCATGTGCAATTGCAATTAGCGCATATAATCGTCGCTCTTGGTATCTATTTCACCGGACAGCAAATCTAGCATGGGGCTAGAGCCTGCCGATGGGAGGAAAAGGGTACAGGAGAAAGACGGGACAGAAAAACTAGAAAATCAGCTCTTCGCCGTAGACATCCGCGTAGCACTGGAACACGTTTGGACAGCTACGAAGCACGTTAGCAACGAGGGATTCCGACAGGCAGATACGCCAAACTTACTAGACCGGTTCCTGGCCGAAAATGATATGCCAACTGTACTCCATAATGGTGGCGACGGTTTGATCGGGCAATTCCGTGTTCAACACCCAATCGTACATCCGCTGGTACTCACTCAAGGAGCGCTTCAGCACCTGGTCGCGCGACACGGCAAACTGCGAGCAGCAGGCGGCGCCAATCTTTTCGGGAACATCGGTGTTGTTGAACAGCTCCTCCCACGCCTGCGCATAGTATTTCTCGGCCTCGTTGCCAGACCGGGCTTGTTTGCGGAAGGGCTGGAGCTCGACCGGACAGCCGGGGGTTTGTTGGCAGCGCAGGTTTGCGAACCCGTTCTCTTGAATGAATGATGTCTGTAAGGCCCGCACCGAGTCGACGTTGTTGTAGTCCATGGTATCCGTGTGCCAGGCGGCGGGCCAGCCGTCGCGGTGAGGGTGGAGGAAAACCATCGTTTCGGGGAGGTCTTCGTAGTGGTCGACAATGTACTGGAGATAGGGGAGGCTCTCGCGGCCTTTATTCTTGGGGGTGTGGAGAGGGGCGAAGGGGTCATCAACGGTGTAAATGATATTGCGCCATCTGCGGGAGGCTCGCGTCAGTCGAAGGCAGAAGACAAAAAGACGCGAGGAAAAGGGGAGGGGACGAAATGCGATCAAAGCAAATGCAATCAGAGAAATGCCGTTAGAGCAAATGTAGTCAGAGCAGACGCAATTAGAGCACACGCAATCAAAGCAAATGCAGTCCGAGGAAAAGGAATCACACGTACTCGGCCAATTCTGCTGACACCCAGGCCGTGTCCTCCGACTTGAGCTTCCCCATGATGATGGACCCGATGTTGGGCACATCAATGGGCCGGGTCTGGTAGGTTAATTGGGCCTTGGTGTTGGTGCCTATATTCCATTTCCGGTGGCTGCTGGGTTTCTCAATTCTCAACAAAGACCGGGCGTGGTCACCGTGTCCACTGGAATAGATCAGGATGAGGGCGACGCAGATTAGCGCCGCCGCCGACCCGATTCTTACTGATGACCGCATGGCATGCCTTGCCGATTGGGGAATGTGTCGTGGGAAAAGGTGGCGGAAGAGGAGGGTGGTGAGTTACTCGCCAAAAGTCGGACGGGGCACTCACGACCGCATGTGGGAGTGGTCGGAGAAAGAGCGATCAGATAGGGGAGAACTAGGGATGAATGACGACACGGAGTGTGGGAGAGGGATCAACAACAACAACAACAACAACAACAAGAAGGAGGAGGAAAAGATAGGTGAGGCAGACGAAGAAGCAGCAACCGTCCAAAGTAAGCACGAATTGGCAGGAACACGTCTCGGATTGGATGGAGCGTCGGCTGATACACCACTCGTTCAGTGGGTGGATCCCCCGGGACTTCCCTACCATTGCCCTCTGCGAAAGGTCCTTCAGCCCCGTTTTGCTCCCGTATCGGTTGAATTAACCGCCCCCCCTAATCCTTCGTATTTCCCTAACGGGGGCTGGTTGAGCCCGAAGAAGTCAAATCCCGCCACCACGCAAAAATAACCATCTCAAACGGTAATCCCAGGGATCGACACCACACGATTGTCTAGCGTGGCAACGCTACGACGTAGTCCTGGCACGGCGACTCCCTTGCGCACATCCTATCCCCGCCGGGGTTTCTCATCGTGGGCCAGACGCAGGGGCAAAATGCTACATTGGCAGACAATTCTACACGAGATGACGACGCCCATCCAATAAAAGCAGGAGCCCTCCTGCGAGGGAATCCCCGCTAGATAGTCGATCTGATGCTGCTCCGACGGTACAAGCAATCCTCATACTCCCGCGCCAATAATAATCCTCGCGCCGAGACCGGGTATCGCCCAAAGGATTCAAGCATACTTACAAAGGCGGAATGTTGATGTCAAAATCCTCCCTGGCCGTCGCCACCCGCCCAACGACACAGCGCGTGCGATCGAGCAGCGCCGTTCGACCAGCATCGAGGTCCCGGTGCTCGGCCGCCAAGTGTGCCAGGAACACCTCCAAGGGCCCGAATGTCGGCGCGGGCGTTTTATGCGCCACGCTGCAGAAGATGCAACCAAATGTCCCCCAGGTGCCGTTCGGCACATCGAGAGACGCATTGCGCTTGCAGCTGACATGCCATTTGGCCAGAAACACCACGCGATAGCGGATACCCGTCGACCGGTCCCAGCGCAGCGCATCGTGAAAGCGGGGTGCGTGGGCACTGCTCCCGGGGGCGACAGGCGCTTCATAGTAGCACTTGGAGCAGCGCAGCCACGACATCTGCGTATAATACCCGGCGCCGGGCTCCTTGTGTACTCGGAAGGCTTCTCGAAGGCCCGAGTGCAGCTTCCACGCGCCCTTGCAGAACCCGGCATATTGATTATCCGCATTGGGGAGCCATAGGTACTCAACGGGCGGGCTCACACTCACACTGCAAGGAGATGAAGGATTCGAGTTGGCTGAGTCGCTCGACAGCACGGAGGGCGGCGGGTTTGCGGCGAGAGTTAGCATGGGACGAGAGACTGTCCCGTCGTCCCACGGGTTGAATCCGAGTTCTACATCAAGAATCCCCTGGGCCACCGACATCTCGGTCGGTTGTACCACTGTAGAATCCGGATCCGAGTCTGGTGTGTGGTCATCGATCAATGAGGCTGTCTCAGGATTCGCCAAGCGGGCCGGGAATTCCGCGAAAGACTGCAAGGCCGGCAATAACGCCTGGGGATCGCGCCTCTGCAAACGAGAGCTGAAGATTCCGCTGAGTCCGGAAGTAAACGACGCTCGCTTGCCGCGCGATGTTGAGCCCTGCATATTTCCCTCTGGTACTATATCCCCGTCGCTAGAGCGGGGCCCCCACGTTCGGTCCCGGGGCCACAGTGTGTCCAGAGAACGTGCGAGGCGATAGGTCTGATCCTGCATGTGATTCATCGGTATCGGGATGGGGCCTGCCTGGGCCAGTCGTTGGTACAGGTCGTGCAGCACCTGGATGGTTCGAATCCGACTGACATCGGAGGTATCCTGCAAGAACGCAATATCGACCGTGACATTTCGCTTGACCGCATCGCCCAGATGGGCCAGCAGGACGCCCTGCAGATGGATAATGATATCCTTCATCTGCTCGCGAGCCGTTTCATCGCCTTGTTGGTACTGGGTCCCGAAGTGGGCGACGTTGAGATTGTAGTGGTTCTGGACTTCTCGCTCGCCGCGGTCGAGGGAGCGTTCCAGCTCGCTGAGGCGGCGCTTGCGGTTCTGCCATTTCTTTTTGATGGTGCTGGCCATCTTGCTGCCGTCGTGGTAGGCGGAGACGACTGTGATACTTGTTCAGTTTGAAGCTGCTATCGGGGGACTCCGATGCATAGTTACCTGCTGCCACACACGCCACGACGGCCATCACCTCCGCCCCAGACATAACTATCGCGTAGACTGACGAATCTTCAGGTTCAAGTGGAGAATGGGTGGGTAGCTAGACAGAGCTTGGGCAAAATGAAGAAAATGCCCAGAAACTAAATACCCCCGGGAAGCAGGCAGGCACCTTAGTTCTACTCTTATCGCCTCCAACCAAGAGGGGGCAGCGCAAGTGAGGCTGTGGCCGTGAGCTCTGGTCCAATAATACCCCAGTCATAGCTTTGCCGGGGTGCGATCTTGGCTGGGCAGCACACGGCTATTTCGTATCTACTGAGGGTGACAGATCTTATTTGTAAGCTCATCGAGTAACTAACTTCTCGAGACATACTCCTAATACCCTAGTTGAAGATGCACGTTACAGTATCCTTGGCGAGGGAATTTGTTATAAAGGGAAATAACCTGGATCTGTGGCTTGCACTCGTAGTGCGCTAGGAAGACCAACAGGGTCGTTACACTTACGGCAAACCTCTTAGTCCTATTGCTTTGTGCTCTTTCTCTTTAGCGCTAAAAGGCTCTCAAGGAACTAGGCGATGCTAGCCTAGTTACAAGCCACAGTGTAATGGAGGAGAGGAAGGTATGGTAGATAAGAAACACTTAGTGCGCGAGAAACCCGCACTAGCGCGAGCGAGAGGTGAAGGAGAAGAAGAGAAGACGGTGGCGAACGAGAAGCCCGCACAGCGCGAGGGAGAGCTGAAGGAGAGAGAAGAGGGTGGAGGGTAGTAGGGTGGCAAACGCTACGACTTAGTACTGGCACGGCTACTCCCTTGCACATATAACTATCCCCGGCGAGGTAATCATCGTGGCCAGACGCAGGGGTAAAATGCTACTAAGTCAAGGCTGAGCAGCAGCAGCTTGGAAAGGATGTACATCTCTAGGTAGATGCTATTGCGAAAATACGTGTGGCAGGTACAATCTTGGAAGTGTTGTTGGCGGTAGAAATGATGGTGAAGATGATCGCATTATCCGGTTTATGTCTCCATAAGAAGCAAGCCACCGAAAGAGCCGCTTAATTGATTTGATTGTTCCCTTCCGGGATTGCTGTGTTTGCTGCCTAGGAAGAATCCTACATCTATTGGGCACCGGAGATATCAAGAAGATAGAGCATATAGTCAGTAACGTGTATAATCAGTCAAATGCAGCCTCCAAATAAATCATCCAACATATCCTCCCAAGAAAATAACAAAAGCGCAAAAAAAAGAAAACGCCACACCAGCTGTAAATGCAATGGACATCACGCCTTTAACAACACCTGCCTCGCTTGCGCGCCGTCTGGAGCATCTCAACTTCTTCTCCATCGCCCACTGTAGGCGTCGCCAGTCCCAGCCAGCTACGCCGCTTGTCCGGCTGACCGAGCCGAACGCTGCCTGCGCCATCCATGCTGCCAGGGGTAAAGGGGCCAGCCGGGCCGCTCTCGCCGATAGGTGTGCCTGCTGCCGAAAGACCCAGGTCCGCGTCGCGACGATTACGCTGCTCGACCAGTTTGCGGGTGATCACTCGGAACACCTCGTCGATGCCTTCGCCGTCCTTGGCGCTGATCTCATGGCAGCAGTCCCAGCCGATCTCCTGGCCCCAGAAGGCACTGCTCCGCTTACTATCTGGGCTCTGCAGGGCCCCGGAGGATACATTCGCGGCACTGATACCAGATCCGCTACCGCCAGACCCTAGCACGCCCGATCCAAAGGCCATCCCCATCCCCGCAGTGGGTGGCGGTGTCGACGCGCGCGAGGGATAGAGTTGCTCTGCAACATAAGCGATAGTGCGCTCAAAGGGCACACGTCGAGAGGCAGGATCAACAGCCACGATATCAGATTTGGTGCCAACGACATGGATAACCAGTGGGTCAGCGTCATGATCTGCATCGCCGCCCCCGCCCAGGTTGCGGCGCAGTTCGCGCAACCAGCCCGCCATCTCCTGGAAGCTCTGCTCGTCAGTGATGTCGTAGCAGAGCAGACAAGCGTGCGCGCCGCGATAATATAATCGCGAGATGCTGCGGAAGCGCTCCTGGCCGGCTGTATCCCAGATTTGCAGCCGGACGATCGTGTCGGAGGTGCTGTCGAGCACGCGCTTGGTCACGAACGACGCGCCGACCGTAGAGGTGGTCGCGGCCGGGTTGAACGCGTTTTTCACATAGCGCTGGACGAGCGACGTCTTGCCGACGCCTATGGGGGTGAAATGAGCGGTGAGTTTGACAGTCAAGGGGGGGTGAGGGGAGCAGCATACCTTGGGCGCCCAGCACGACGATCTTGGCCTCGAGAGAGGAGCTCATGACGCGGGGTCAAGGAGGCCGACCGTGGGCTGGATGGGCATGATCTATCAGGATCAGAAGAGTTGAATGTCAAAGAAGACGACGAGAAGAGGTTGAGGCGCAGGAGAGGGAAAGGAAAACAAAGGAACGATTTAAGGGACCGAGGCGGGATCAGCCGATGATGATTTGTTTGAGACGAATGTGATGCGGTCAGTTGATCGGCATGATCACTACCACTTGGAGTATAGATGAACCATCAATCATAAATTCTATAAACTATGCACTTGAGGGTATACGCGAAAACAATATTTTGTCATGATGTGACCACGGTCAGGTTTAAACCTTCTCCTCCGACGAGAACTGGGGGTACTCTCCAGGAGTATCCTTCTCTTGGGGAGAAATGTTGTTGGTGAAGCCATTTTGGACAGTATCCTTCTCTTGGGGAGAAATATTGTTGGTGAAGCCATACTCGACAGCCTTGGCCTCAATCTCATCGTCCGAGAGCTTGGGCAGCTCATGAGAAGCTCGGACATAGCTCATGTTCTCACAGTAGCCCTTGGCGAAGATGAGATCGATCTCCTCCAGGCTGCGGCCCGCGGTCTCCGGGTAGAAGAAGTACATGGGCGGGATGAAGAGGGCGTTCATGCAGGCGAAGAACAAGTAGGTGCCCCACGAGATGTGCTGGATCATGACCGGAGTGATCATGACGACAGTGAAGTTGAAAAGCCAGTTGCTGCAGGTAGAGACGGCGTTGGCCTTGGCTCGAGTACGGATGGGCGAGAGCTCGGCAGGATACAGCCAGGGCAGCGGCAGCATCGCAGCACCGAAGAAGGCCATGTATAGGAACAAGCCGAACACGGCGCCCTTGGCCGGGCCCTTGCCTCCGGGGATCAAACAGGCAAACACGATGATCATAGCCACCATCTGACCACTCATACCACCGATGAACAGCTTGCGGCGGCCAATCTTCTCGATGAAGAACCAGGAAAACGTGGCGAAGATGGCGTAGACGATCATGTTGACACCACCGATCAGCATGGACATGAATTCATCCTGCTTCAGGGACGACTTCAACAGCACGGGCAGATAGTAGATGACAGCGTTGCACCCAGACAACTGCTGGGCGATCTGGGAGGAAGAGCCGATAATCATGCGGCGGAAGTGCTGCGTCTTGCCCCCTGTCAACAGGTCCGAGTAGCCCGCGCCACTGGCAACCCCAGCAGCCTCGATCGACTCAATAACCAGCTGCTTTTGAACCTGGGTATGGTGGTCGTCGATCTCACGGCCAGCCAGGGCTGCCAGCACGTACTCGCCGTCATGGACTTTGCCCTTGGAGATGAGATAACGGGGAGAGTCGGGCAAGAACGCCATGCCAACGATGATGATGACGCCAAAGACGATCTGGAAGGCAATGGGGAAACGCCACACCAGCGGCGCCGGGCCGTAGGAGGCACCAAAATCAATCCAATACGCGATCGCCGTCCCGATGGCAATGATACCTCCTTCGATACAGATCAACAGACCACGGTTGCTGGTGCGGGAACACTCGGCCTGGTAGGTCGGGATGGTGGAGGTGTTCATGCCGTTGCCGATGCCGGTGATGACCCGGCCGAAGAAGAATTGGAGCAGGGGAATGTGGTCGATAAAGGAGGTAACCTGAATAATCACACCGATGATCATGATCGTGGCACCGGAGATGATCATCCAGCGGCGGCCAAGCCGGTCACCGGTGAACAGAGCGAACATGGCGCCGAACAGACAGCCCAGCTCGTAGACGGCAGTCACCAAGGCCTGCATGGTGGGGTCGCCCTCGGTGGCAGTGAAGACGCTATCGAAAGCCTTGGAACTAATAATCCCTGACATTACACCCTCTGTGGAACGGGGTTAGTACTGAACGAGAGTGGTGATCAAGAGGGACTAACGATCATAACCGAACAGCAGAAAGCCCATGGTGGCAATGGTCGAAATGGTCAACGACAGGGGTCTGCCGGACATGCCAGCGTACTTGGGCGCCATCGTGACAAGGGGTGAGAGAACAACAATGAAGCCGAGGCTAGTTGATAAGAAAATTAGGCTCGGACTACCCCCGGGTTATGGCACGTGTACAGGAGAAAAGCAAAAGGAATCAAGATTGACCGCGGAGGAGAATGGCCTGGGGCAAAGGACTGGTATTTGAATGCATCGTTGGAAAAGAGTGGCGAGCCAATTCACCTCCGTCCATATACTCCGAGCCGATCCTGGTTCCGCTCGGACTGGGTCCGGTGGAGCCAAGCGATCCCGAATGCATCAAATAATGGGTAGCTAAGCATTGTCTTTGCGCCGATCCGGTTTGCGTCCCTGATGACATCAGTCTCGAATATCAACGGGCCGACTGCGAAATTTTAAGAGGGTCGCCACGATGCTGGTTGGGTTGGATGATTTGGCAATGCCTCGCTCGAGTGGACTCGCTTGCATCGTCGTCTACTCCGTCGACACGGGCGGGACAGCATCATGGTCCACCGCGCATAGCAATAGACCCTCGGTGCTTGTTGTGGTATGTTGATGTTCCTTCAGCCGAATTGCAACGGAGGCAGCCGGTGAGCTTCGCTACCACTCTCGCAGCCCAACAGGCAAGCGGAAGGCCAACTCTGGGATCGTTGCCACGGTCGTTGTACTATGTCGGACTCGGCTGACACGACCTGATACCTATAGGGTTGGCCCCTTACATGGTCGCACAAAGCATCGGCGGTGGGTTTCGGGAAGCCGTCAATGTAGTTGGTCCCGAAGAGCAATGATGAAAGAATGCAAAACTAGTGGCTGATCAGTGGGTCGACCCGGGTCGACCCACTATCGATACCAGAATGTCTGCCGGTCGCGTTACCTTCCTTCATGGCAAACGGTAGCAAATGATAGTATGGAGGAGGTGTGTCAGCCATGAGATATGGAATGGAATAGTACTGTCTCTCTGTCTCACGCACGCGCTCTCTCTCTCTCTCTCTCTCTCTCTCTCTCTCTCTCTCTCCACATTGCCCCTGGTAAGGCAAATCCCCACTGCAACAATCAACCCACATCATGATCTCACCGCAAGCAAAACGTGGAAACCCGAACGTCAGGCTCCGCTGGTGATGTAGCTGCGAACCACCACTCGGGCCTTTCAGATTTTTTTTTTCAAAGACTTATGATGCCCGAGTTAGTTCATTCGCCCGAACCAATATGGAAGAAGTCTTTACCACACACTCAAAACCTTTGCACGAGCATTGCAAGTGACGGGTTCATCCACCATTCCAGGCGCCAGATCGCAGCTTTCGGGCGCACTTCGGATGATAGTCATACTAGCAGCCCGAACATCAGGTAGATGTCACTTCGCATACTTCCCGCCCCGCGGTGCCGAACGCAGAAACGTCATAACCAAAGCAAACCAAACATACCACCGAGGCCCGACCTGTGGAAAATCCCCCATGGTTCATGCCATAGTGCCTGATAGGCCCACCAGACTAAGCACACACACTCTCTGACTCGCGGTGGCAATTGGAAACCGGCCTTCCAGTGGCATCGTGAATCATGCACGGAATAGGATTTGCCCCTCATTTGCCCCTCGTCCGACTGCATTCTGCCAGCCGAAAGCTGGGGAGCAGAGGAGATGCGGAGTGGCGCTAATAATTCGGAGCAGGCGGAATCGAAATGTAGGGACAAAAGACAATGCGATGATCGGCAGTGGCGCCGCGAGGTAAGATTTGCTCAAAATGAGGTTAATCTGGCATGGCATCTAGCTGGATTGGAATGGAGAGTTGGGACCAGTTCATGCAGATGAACTAATTGCCTGGATGATTGACAGCAGAGACTGTTACTATGCACTTACTATTCCACTTCCATACTCCCTTGCGGACTAACACGCTATGTGCCCTGCCTACGAGCGATGACCTATCTAGGGGAACCAGTAGTCTTGACTGATCCACTCGGAGCTTCCTCAAATGGTCGATCGCATCACCAGGACTCGCCTAGAGCCGAGTCTCTAGGGAAATACTAATGGCAGAATCGCAAAGAGGCGATACTTCGAGCTTGGGTTTGAACTATATAGCTGCGCCATATCAGCCACAGCTCAGAAATTTTGTCAGTTGGGCTCATGGGAATGATCTTGATTCTCGAATTATTGGTTCTTCATGTAGTAGATGGTGAGGAGACATCACGGAAAACATTGCAGTTTCAGTACCCAGGCAATACGTTTTGTGGATTAGCTGATATTCTGTTCAAATTAAATATAATCGGATGGTGCGTCGTATGGAAGTCCGCAGGACGTCTGCGTAAAGAAATGCTCGACGCTATGCAAGTATATACCAAGAAGAGAAAGGAGAGGTGGCGCGGAATCATAGCTCAATCACCTGCGGTGGATTCCGTAGTCGCCCGCTGTCCCGATACATGCAGGCCGCATTCACCATCCACCCACCGCCACGGCTCTCGCCGCCCCAGACTTGCGCCCAGATCACACCGAGCACGCCGTAGACCACCACCCGGGCCGCATCGACCAAGCCCGGGAGATCAAATAGATCGCGCAAGAACCCAGCTAGGGAGCTAAAGCGGCCAAATTGTGCGCGGGGTCTGCGGTTGGCACACAGTCGTTCCCATGCGCGCTGGGCATCATCCCAGAATACAGGTTCGCGGCCGGCTGATTCGTGGACATGTCCGAAGACATGCAATGCAGGGCGAATACGCCAGGACTCGGCAAGGAGATTCGGACAACCGGTGGAGTAGATGGGAGACAGGTCTAGATGCGACTGGGGCGGGGTGTGAGTGATGAGGATGTCTGTTTCGGGAGGCACCGTTCGCGACCACGCATCGTTGTGTGGAGGATATGTAAAGGCATGCTCCGGACCAAAGGGTACTATAGCTGGGATTTGGGGTGCGCCATAGATATTCAGTGAGCGAGGTTGGGAGCTCACCAGAGCAGTGGAGGAGGATGTCGAGGGGGAAGGCGGGAAAGAGAGAGTGACGGCCGAATGTTGGAGGTAATGGATATCGCCCCAGTCGATACGGGAAGCAGCGGTCAAGTCGTCAAGAGAACGAATCGAGGCGGTGGACGAGATGGCGGCGAACGATGCCCCATCCTCATCGCGGTCCTCCTCGCAACGGGAACGCACATCAAAGTAGCTGTCATGGTTGCCGCAGATCACGACTTTGTGGGGATGGGGGAGGGTTTTGAGCCAGTCGACCGCCGCCTGGATCTCACGCACCGAGCCATCGTTGCAGAGATCGCCGGCATGGATGAGCAGGTCGCCATCCGGCACATCGGGCCATTCGAGCGTGTGGGTGTCGGAGATGCAGACCACACGTATGGGGCGAGCATCAGGCGGGGGCAGACGGGGAGGGCCGCGAAGATGGAGGAGCAACTGGTGGAGAGGATAGAGCAGGGCGACCAGAGGAGATGTGATCAGGTAGTCGGGCACGGAGCGACGGTGGAAGGGGCTGGTCATGGTGTGTTGCCGTATGGATGGGGGAGTATGTATGGGAGTATGTATGTAGTGTGGAGATGGCCGAGTACTTACTTCCCTGTGGCTGTTTGCGGAACAAGAGTGTGGCCGCTCACTGTGACGGATCGACCATCTCCTGGCCCAACCTTGACCTGTTTTTTCTCCTTCGTCTCTCCATCTGCCTCCTTTCCTTTTCTCCCTTCCCTGTTCCTTTTTCTCCTTTTTTTTTATTTCCCCCGGGGCTCAGCTCAGTTCAGCTCCACGCCCATCCACCGCCTCGCCCGGGCTGCCAGAACGAACTTGCCGACCGTGTCTGCCCCGCCACGCTCAGCTTTCCCAAACCACCTCAACCTCAAAATCAACCAACCATGGAAGGCGTTGATCTCACCAAGGCGATGCTGAACAAGGGCAAGCAGATGGCCAACGTTGCGGCGTCAGCTGCCAATGGCAACGGCGGCAAGAAGAGGCGCAAGGGCACTGATCTGAAGCCGATCGTCACGAACGAAGCTGGCGCGCCTGGGTCAGATCCCGCCACCGAATCGTAGGTCCTGCCTATCTACCAACCCCCATGTCTAATTCTCATCTCGGTCGCAGTGGTGCTGCAGCCACCAACCCGAAACCGGCCGGAGCCTCGTCGTCGCGATCGCCATCGTCGTCGTCCGCAGACGAGCTGGAGACCACCGCTGAAGAGGAAGATTCGGAGGACTACTGTAAGGGCGGGTACCACCCGGTCGCTGTCGGGGAAACATACAACAACGGCCGTTACGTCGTCGTGCGCAAGCTAGGATGGGGCCATTTCTCCACGGTCTGGCTGTCGCGGGATACAACCACGGGGAAGCACGTCGCGCTCAAGGTCGTCCGCTCGGCCGCTCACTACACCGAGACCGCCATCGATGAGATCAAACTCCTCAGCCGGATCGTCCAGGCAAAACCCTCGCATCCGGGCAGGAAACATGTCGTCAGTCTGCTCGACTCGTTCGAGCACAAGGGGCCGAACGGTGTGCATGTCTGCATGGTGTTCGAGGTGCTAGGCGAGAATCTCCTGGGACTGATCAAGCGTTGGAACCACCGTGGCATTCCGATGCCGCTGGTGAAGCAGATCACCAAGCAAGTACTGCTGGGGTTGGACTACCTCCACCGCGAGTGCGGCATCATCCACACAGACCTCAAACCAGAGAACGTGTTGATCGAGATCGGTGATGTGGAGCAAATCGTCAAGGCCAATGTGAAGGAGGAGACCAAAACCGAAGACAAAGACAAAGAGGACAATCGCAATGGGCGGAGAAGGCGACGGACGTTGATCACGGGGAGTCAGCCACTGCCCAGTCCGTTGAATACCAGCTTCAGCAGCTTCGACTTTAAACACAGCTCCCAAAACTCTCACAGCAGTCTCAGCCAGATGGTGAACGAGTCATCGGGTAGGTCGTTTCTCCACAGGCAATGGCCGTTGGCTAATATTTGTAGTCTCTTCAACAGATAAGCCGTCGATGAAGGAGACACTGGGTGTCAAGGATGAGGACGAGCAACAGCAGACAAGGGAGAAGACAGCGTATGCTCCCATTGACCATTTTGAGAGTTCCCAAACTGACACACTTTCGCAGTGATCTCATAGAGAGAGAAGTGTCTGGAATCTCTCTAGACAAAGGCTCGTCACCCAAAGAGCCAGAAGATGACTTTGACGCCAATATCATCTCCGTCAAGATCGCAGATCTGGGCAACGCGTGCTGGGTGGGTCACCATTTCACCAACGACATCCAGACGCGGCAATATCGGTCACCAGAAGTCATCATGGGGGCCAAGTGGGGAGCCAGTACCGACGTCTGGAGCATGGCCTGCATGGTAAGGGATGTCTCTTAGGTTTTGTGGCGTGTTGCTAACCATTCTAAGGTCTTTGAACTCATTACTGGAGACTATCTATTTGATCCACAATCGGGAACCAAGTACGGGAAAGACGACGATCATATCGCACAGATCATCGAACTGCTCGGCCCGTTCCCCAAGTCCCTCTCTTTGTCCGGGAAATGGTCCCAGGAGATCTTTAAGCGCAATGGCGAACTGCGCAATATACACCGACTCCGCCACTGGGCCTTGCCGGACGTCCTGCGTGAAAAATACCATTACTCGATGGAAGATAGTATGCGCATTGGCGAATTCCTCCTCCCGATGCTCGAGCTCTCTCCAGATAAGCGCGCCAATGCGGGTGGCATGGCATCGCACGAGTGGATGAAAGAGACGCCGGGGATGGACGGCATTGATTTAGGTATTCCTCCCGGGACTCGTGGGGAGGGTATTGAAGGATGGGCCACCGAAGTCAAGCGGCGGTGAGAATTTGTACTGAGAAGAGCAAGTTCTACGATAGGTCATGTCGCGATGACCAATGTGGGTTAACGATCTTTCTTTTTATTTCCTTTCCTATTTCCGCTTATGACGATCCGGGTTGGTTTGTTTCTTGTCTCTTCTTTGGGTCTTTTACTCTGATTGGCATTGGGAAGGTTGTCTTTCTTCGACCGGATGCGCCTCACGCCTATACTGTCCATGTCCCTCTCATCTTTCCTCCTTCCTATCTGCGTCATAGAGTCTCGTGCGTTGTTTTTTTCCGATCCTTGGTGGAATTTGTCCGAGTTTCGCGCGGTCCAGGATGGGCAACCTCATCCCCCTGTCTACGATACTAGACTCCCACCCAATCAGACCAGCCTGACCCAATATATGAATTTGATCCTTTACTGCTGGTGCACCGAGTAGATCATTAAGAATAAGGAAGATGCAAATATCGCTACGGACATTCTAGCACTCAATACACGTCTCCATCAAGGGTTGTCGCCAGGCACGTTCTCACTCGGCAGCGAAGAAGGAAACCAGCCGTACCGCGAGAAATCCACGTACCACTCGCCCATACTGTCCGCGGTGGCCTCGACATTTTCCTGCTGGAGCACGTCTGCGTGGCGCTGAGCGCTACCAGGTCCGCTGCCATCATAATCAGCGTAGTTACTAATAATATGACTGGTAAACTTCTTCGGAGAAAGCGTACCGGTGCGAAATCATGCCTCGGGCATTAATCACCCGCTGCCACGGCACATTCTCTGAGGTGAAGTGACTCCCCGAGTCCGGGGATGGGAGAGATTTCAAAACAACGCCGACCTGGCGGGCTCTCTGGGCTACTCATAGTGTCAGCAATCAATATCTCCCTCCATCGGTCAAAAGAAACGGCATACGTTCACCCAGCAGACGCGCAATGTGGCCGTATGTCGTGACTCGGCCGGGGGGATCTCCTGGATGGCACTATACACGGCGTTGGCCCACCACTCTGCTTCCTCGGAGCGGGACATGTCGGAGTGTCTATGTTTCGGGCATAGCACAATATAGGAATGAATATCGTGACCAAGTGTGTAGCAGATGAGTTCAGATGAGTTTCTCTCGCTCGCCTTGCAGCTCCTTGGATTAGTCATGTATTGGGATCCCCTCTTAACTACTTACAGCCACTATTCCCAGCCTGAACGGGTGGCGGTTGCATGTCGGCTTTGTGTAGAGAATATGATGATGGCGAGGATCGGGATAGTTTACAGTCGGATCTTCACACGCACATGGTGGAAGGAGAAGTTATGAAAAATATTGGAGCAATTTTATATCACTGTCCAAAACTACTGGGCGGAGGAGAGAAAACTCGGGTGCAAAGGCGCCTCCAAACGTGACAATATCAATGCAGTGTGGTAATATGAAAGAGGGCCAGCGGCTGATTTACTAAAGCTGGCGAATGACACTATGATAATAGTTCAGAGTCTTTATCCAGTTGAGAAATATACCTACAAGAGTGTAGCTCTAGCTGCTTGCAGTGACTCTGACAAACAATTATTTTGGCTTTCAGTTATTTCGAAGTTCAATTATTTTATGTTCCACATATCTCTCCATAAAGACTAGAGGTTGAAAGCAAGCTATCTACTACCGTTCTAGGAAAGTCCATATGTAGTACTTGGCTCCCTTTGAGTCTAGCGTCGTCCCTGCTTACCGGCGAAAAGTGGCAGCCCATCTGTTTGGCTATACACACTAGTTATATCTATCATGCCGGAGGCAATTTTTCACTACGGGCAGCGCCGCTTAGAGAATGATCTCGTCGCCCTAGAACCTTTCGATGCATGCCTATCATTTTCACGGAAAAGGACGACCCTAACTCGGACAGCCCAATGTTCATGTAGCGCGCTTCGTCGAAGAGATCAAGACCCATCCGGAGATCTTCACGTACATTGCGTTTCCAGTGGTTGAAACCGAGGCGGACTTTCTAAGAGAGGTCTACGAACCCTGTCAGGCATCGCCTGAGGAATGCCTCTATGCCGTCATCGATAAAGCTACTGGGAACAAGTACGCGGGTGTTATATCCTTGTCACACACGAACGCGGTTAACGCGGTCACCGAGATGGGCGCGATTGTCTTCCCGGAATTTCAGCGTACCCACGTAGGAACGAATGCCATTGGGCTAGCCCTCCTCTATATGCTCGATCCACCTCCTACGGGGGGTCTCGGCCTGCGGCGTGTGGAATGGTTATGCCACGCCGGGAATGCGGTGTCTCGAAAGACGGCCCTGCGGATGGGATTCGAGTTTGAGGGCATCCTACGGTGGCATCGGGCGTTTGCGCGCGGGAGCCCCGTGGAGGCTCTGGAGAAAAGGAATGGCACGACGGGAGAAGTGCCGGGGAGACATACCGCGGTCTATTCCATTGTCTGGGACGATTGGGATGAAACGCGGCCGAAAGTGGTTGCGCAGATGGAGCGGAAGCAATAGTTCAGCTAAGCAGTACAACAACACCATTGCCGCCATGGTTGACGAACCCAGGCTATCTAAGCTAAAGATGCAGGCACTAGCAGATCAAAGTAGTTTCTTGCTTTGTTCTATATACAGAATGGAAGGGCATCGTCTTTCTCAGCCATGCCTGCTATCCAAGCGCCAAGACCTCTATACTGGCCTACAGCATGATCATACTGACACCAGAAATGACGGCGGTGACAATGTAGGCCCCGACCTGCCAGTTGCCGATATAGACAGCCTGGTGCACATTGTATGGGGCAGCAATACCCGAGGTGGTGGTGGCGGCAACACCGCCGCTGGCAACCGGGCCCCCTGAGACGCTGTTGGTGCCCTCGGGGCCAATGGAGCTCATCGATGTAGCGCAGCTGCCGGAAGCGCTGGTGACGGCCTTCGTGGTCCCAATGCCGCTGAAGTCACAAGCTTTGCCATTCTTGCCATGCTGTTCATAGTACTTGTTCATGGCCCAGCCGGCTTGCTGCTGCGGATTGCACATAGCATAGGCACCGTACTGGCCCGTAGTTCCGTTGTGGATAACACCAGCAACGTAATCTATGGCGTTCGTTTGGCCATAGAGATAGTTGAATGCGTTCTTGATCAATTCCGCTTGAGAGGTACCATCTTTGGGCACACAGGTGAGACTGTTAAACATGCACTCGCATAAGTCCGTGTTAGGCGATGGCGGAAGATTAGTGGGCGCAGCGAGCCAGTCAGAGTTGGTGGCAGGGCAGCTACTACCTTGAGTGTCGGTAACAGTGTAGTCAGCGCTATTCACGCCAGTCGGAGTAGCCGACTTGATCTCTTCCGATAGGAATTTATAATCGGGTAGCTCGCTGACTTTGTCGTCCACAATCGACACAAGACCGTAGTTGTTTGGGGTCTGGTAGTACATGTACACGATACCACCGCTCCACACGTTCTCCATCTCAGGTCCGTACAAAATCGGGATATCGTAGAAGTGACGAGGACTCGGGTGGATGCAGCCATATTCTGAAAAAAAGGCTGGTACAGGATAATGTCGAAATTCATCGGTACGCACGTTATAAGTAGACGATGTATAGGTCGCATGTCCACAAAACTCGTAGATATTGTAGCCGAACATGTCAATCCAGTCGGATTCGTCATCGCAAACGAGGTAATCGGCAATATTTTGACGAATGCTCTTGTCGTCATTAGTGGCGTACCCGATAGCGAGGGAGGAACGGTAACCCTTCTCCTTAATGTAGGCCTTCATATCACGAACGGCGGCCTTGACGAAGGGCATCGAGTCTGTATTACTCGGGTTGTTGGCAACTTCATTTCCGATGAAGAAACCAATCACGTTGCTATAGCCGGCGAATGCATCAACGACTTCAGCGTAGCGGCCGAAAAGATCTGTGGTCCACTGGGGGCTATCCTGGTCAATAGACTGAGCGGGCGACGCTAAGTCAGTCATCACGTAGATACCGGCGTCCGCTAGGGCCTTCATGCACGCATCGTGGCTGGAGTTAGGGTTGACGGCGTAGGTCCGGACAACATTGGTGCGTAGTGCGACCAAGTAGGGAATATCACGCGTGCAGGTATTGATATCGGCCAAGGGATCGGTGTAGTCGTCTGTGGTAGAAGTCGCGCCAGCACGAGCATTGTAGTCCGGCTGGTAGGCAACACCACGAATGTAGAACTCAGTGCCGTTGTTCGAATAGAAGAACTTCTTGCCCTTTATCACGACCGGGGGCACTTCGGCAAGGGCCATCCCGGCGAGAGCAGCAATGCCGGCAAGGAGTGGATACTTCATTGCGGAAAGGAACGTTGGAGTGAGTTAAACGAATGTCACACAAACCAAAAGAACATCAAAGAGAAGTATGGGAGAGTGAAGCGAACAAAGAGGAACTAAAGGGCTTCTATCAGTCTAGCCAACCGCACCATCTATATGAACAAGCAATCTTATGTATTCGGGGTCGCTACAGCCTTGTCAATCCAACACCAGTTATTTCTCTTGATTGGAGAGATTTGGGCCAGAGTAGCACCCCTGAAGAGGCGCAGCCCAGGGGAGCGAGCCTTACCATAGGTCAACCAGTTTGATCTGCCCCAAGGCAACAACAAAAATCGCGGGGTGGAATGGGCGGGAGCAGCAGGATTGGGGGAGGTGGTAACTCGTTCTGACTTCCTAGCTACAATTTGTCCCTGTTGATCAATGATGCTTTGTATACTACTTGTCTTTAGGACAACAGCTCGACCTCTCCCACTCACTATTCTCCCCTCTCCCTCCCTCACCACATACCTTCCCTCTTTCCCATCCTCTCTTCTCATTATTCCTCGGCCCTCTCCTCTTTCCTTCACTGTTCAATCACCATGACCCATCCTGCCTGCGAAAACTGACCCACACGACAAGCCCTACGACCCCGAGATCCAGGATATGGACTCCGACCAGAAGACGTCGAAGTAGATAGGAGGTACTTGTGTTTTATGTATGTGTTGGAAATAGATTCGGGGGACTATAGTATAGATGCATGAATTAAAAAAAGTAGAGAGCTTTTTGATTTGCTGTTCCGGTGAAGGAAAAGCTTACTGCAGCGGAGTTGATATTGGTCTGAGGTGTTTCCTTTTCATGATATCTATCATTGCTAGTCATGGTGGTATACTGCTGGGACCGAGGGACAGGATCTTAAGAAAAGAATGCCATCCCGCAAGAATCTCGAGGTTAGAGAAGAGAAGAAGGCTAGGCTGTTGTTGTAGTATTTAACGTCCGGCGGGATGCGGGCAGATGATATGAAGGTAAAACAAAGAAAAGAAGAATAAATACAATTGCGTCAAACACCAACTCAAGTGGCCTGTTCCAAACAGGTCTATAAAAATACTACTAGTGCGAGTATATAAGTACAGAAAATGAGTAGCCACAGGATTACGTATAATCAGCAAGGCCAATGTAATGGCCATCTCAATCTCACCGGCCCACTCATATCAACTGTCCATAATTTCCTAGAGCTGCCCTACCCCATTGTTATATTGAGCGCCCTACACTCACCCAAGTGAGAGACGGCTCCAATGGCTTTGGGCAATAGCTCCCCTAGGATTCTCTTCATTAACAGTAGTCGTTATAGCTGAAAGTGCAGGAAGCCTGGCCGCTAGGGTCTTGGTCGTAACAGGTCATCGGAACCGAAATACCGTAACAGCCACTCGGGTTGCAATAAGTGATGGGCAAGGGGCCCTCTGGATTGTTATCAGAATAGTCGTAGTTCAGTGAGAAGCCGTCAATGCAGTCTTTATACCGAGTTAGCTTATATTAAAGAATAGAAACACAAGTCAAAAGCATACCAACATCGTTGTCTCCGTCACCAATAGATCCAGTACACGTCTGAGATCCGTTATCATCAGTGGCGATATTGCCCGTAACGTCAGACCCCTCCCACTCCGCGCTGCCGGAGATAGTCAGGCATCCCAAAGCAGCAGATGAGAGGCTCATAGTGAGGGCAGCCATGGCCAAAGCCTTCGGACTAAAGACAAGCATATTGATTGGATTGAATAGAGGTGGGTTGAGTAGAGAAAGTTGTAGGCTCTGTAGTCAAGGGCTTTGATGAGATGGTTTCTTTAGGGGTGCGCATGTTCTGCCTCTTATACATGCTAGCTACGATCCTTCGTATAAGGGACGGGACATTCATGTCTATCAACCAACAATAGCTGGCGAGCCCTGCGAGGCTGTAGGGGCTTAATGTCTATCAACCAACAATAGCCCCAAGGACCCTGCAACGCTGCAGGGGCTCAATGTCTATCATTCAACAATAGCCCCCAAAGACCCTGCAACGCTGCAGAGGCTTAATGTCGATCGACAAACAATAGCCCTAAGGACCCCACGAAGCTGCAGAGACTTAATGTTGATCAACTAACAAATAGCCCCAAAACCCGGCGAGGCTGTATACAGGGGATTATGTCTATCAATCAACAATAGCCCCTAGAATCCTACGAGACTTCGTACAAGCGAGATTAATGCCTGTCAATCATACGATAGAGTAGTAATTTTACCAGGTCATTCGAGTTATGGACGTCAAAAACAAGGCGATCACCAACACTAGAAGATATCCCTTAGCCCGTCAGCGTACGTCCTGGTGCGTCACCTTATTAAGTGTAGTGAGGGACAGAATTACGGGGTTCGCAACTATGACAGGGTAATTTTAGCCTTTTTGAGATAGTCTAAATATGCGCGGTTTTCCATTCTCCATTATCATCATTGAGTTCATTCGCTAGTAGAATCATGAGTACATCCTTCTATTGAACAATACATGAATGTCCTGTGGGAATGGACCCTACTCTCCTGTGGTATGCCACATCAGGCCCTCATATCTGAGCCTTGCAAGCTGATCTGCCTGGGGGCTATAGAACTGCTTTTAAGACCTGTAAAGCTCTTTCTGGGGGCAGAAACTCCGCAGGAGTAGCACAGGTAGCAGCAATTGGTGCACAGATAACCAACATTGCTAGGTCCTATCTAGTTCTAGTCCGTGGCAATCCTGAAGGCAACAGTGAAACGACTGTCCTAATAATAATCATGACGAAATGAACTTCATGTCTATCACTTGGTTGGGGCGACAATCTTACCTAACTAGGAATCTAAAACTCCAACCCCCAATCCGTGCTGGAGATGGCGTATAATTCCAGCTGTGGGGGTGACTTGCTTGTCCAAATTTCTCTTCTTTGATTGTAAAATAGGTGACGGTAAGGATCGGCTCCCATTGGGAGTCACTGAGCGGCCTTGAGTTGCTCTCCCCCAACCGGCCCCTATAACAATTCTCATCGTGCTTCTGGGTATACGTCTGCTCAGATGCTAGCCGCCCTCCTGCCTAATTCATTAATTCCCTTTTTTTAAGTTTACCAAAACTGCTTGTGGATGATGGCGAGTCCGAATAATACTGCAGCTAACCCTCAGCTCGGAGGGACGAACCAGGAGTATAGTTCGGATAAACCTTCCGCCGACTATCGATAAGTCCCTGTCTACCGTTCCAGGTCCAAGTGCTTTCCTTCAGTTCTCTCCAACTGGTTAACCATACAAGACACACACCACCATGCCAGGCTCCCTGGCCGAGTACCTTGCCAAGAACTATCTCACTGCCGACCCAGGCACAGAACGACCCAAGAAGAAACGCAAGAAGACCAAAGCCGTTGACACCGCTGACTCGGGACTCATCATCACCGACGACGACCCAACAGACCTGCGATCCTCAGCCGCAAACACAGGGCTCGACGATGAAGACCGCCCATCCGTGGACACAACACACAAGAGCGCCGAGTTCCGACGCGCCAAGAAATCCGGCTGGAAAACCATCGGGACGTCAGGCGCAGGCAGTGAACAAGAGGCCGCAGACGCGATCTTAGCATCTGCTGTTGCGGAGCAGGCGGCACACCGTGCAGAAGGCGGCGATGATGATGCACCGATGATAGAAGGGGAGGAGGATGACCAGGGCCTGCGCATGGAATCCGGGGCGCTCGCAGGACTGCAGACAGCCGAGCAGACAGCGGCCATGGTGAAGGTGCAGGAGCGACGGAAACGAGCCGAGGCAGCACAGTTCCAAGACCCTGGAACATCCGACGTAAGGGCCCAGGAAACAATCTATCGTGATGCGTCCGGACGCATCATCAACGTGGCAATGAAGCGGGCCGAAGCGCGGCGCGCTGAAGAAGAAAAACGCGAGAAAGAAGAGCGCGCCCGCGAGGCACTGATGGGCGATGTACAACGACAACAACGCGAGACACGCAAGCAGGAACTACAAGACGTGCGCAGCATGCCTGTGGCACGGACGATCGAAGACGACACGATGAACGATGAACTCAAGGCGCGGCAGCGGTGGAATGATCCCGCCGCGCAGTTCCTGACAAACCTCCCTGAGCCGGGGGCCAGCGTTACTGGGAAACCGTTGTACAAGGGCGCGTTCCAACCCAATCGCTACGGTATTCGGCCGGGCCACCGATGGGATGGAGTGGATCGGGCCAATGGGTTTGAGAAGGAGTGGTTTGCGTCGAGGAATAAGAAGGAGAGGATGGAGGCGCTGGAGTACCAGTGGCAGATGGATGAGTAGATTGCTTTCTCTGTTAAATACCCATAACTAGCATAGATTATCATTTTGGATATCACTTGTCTACCTCACTCGCTGCCCTCCTGAGCCTCCAGGTTCTTCCATCCCCCAAACGCCGGCTCATCATCCCGATCCCTCCACCCCCAAGCAACGCAGTAATGCCGAGCCAGCAACCGCCACTCCTCCATCTCATCCAACATCTCTAACCCGGCCACACGCTCTTTCTCCTCCTCGCTCACCCATCGCTCCCATATAAAATCAATATCCGCAGCAGCCTGTCCGCTCACGAGTCCCTTCTCACGGAACCGGGCCCGCTGCGCCTCGAGCGAGGCATACCGATGCAGAGTCTGAAGATGGATTCCGCGCGCTGCGAGGTTGGAGACCATTGTGCGGCCGAAGGGATCATTTGGTCGGATTGGTTCGTAGAATATTAGGCCCAGGGGGGTGGTGGGTGGTTGTGAGGCATGAGTGGAAATGTATTTGGTGAAAAATGCAACGACATTGTCGGCTTCATTTGGTGATAGGTAGATCAGACAGCATTCGGAGATCAGGAGGGTCGGTAGCGCGGTTTCCACGCCAGGGAGTAATGTTTCTGGAGAGGGGGTGTCCGGGGACAGGACGCGCAGGTCGAGGGGATGGAGGTGGTACGAGGGCGAGTGAAGTGCATCCGCTGATTCTGAGACCGTCACCTTATTCTCGGAGGCATTGATGCCGAGCACTCGTTGCAGCAGCGGTGATGAGCGAATAGCACGGACCTTAGCCGCATTGTTGACGGAGAAATCGATCTCGTGGTAGACAAAGTCCGGGGTCGAGCGCGACGAGAGGAGGCGAAAGATCCGTGTATCGGACCCAGCACCCAGCGAGATGATCTGTTTCTTCTGGTTGTCTGCGCTGTACGGGCCGAGGAAGCGCGCGACGAGCTGGTCGATCGCGATAGTGCGCACATAGGTTCCTGGGGAGCCCCATCAGCCGTGTATTTGTGCTACAACCAAATCACCAACCTCGATTGATAATTGGAAATCTCCTAGTCGCCGACTCGGACGGTGTCAATGCCTCTACGTACGCGTCGTCCAAGTACCCCAGCTCGACGGCGCTCAGCCGGGAGACGCTGGCGTCATTGTCCGTGCCCTGGACGACACGGTCTTTTCCTTGAGGCCGTGATGGGCCATCATCGGGTCGGGAACGGCGGGGGCCTCGTCGGAGCGTGTTAAGGTTGGGGATCTGAGGGGCGGCCATGAAAGGAGGAAGAAGAGGAAGAAGAGGTGAAAGTGGGAGATCGAGCAGGTGGGGCATCATCGATAAACGGAGCTCTAGTTATCTAATCTCTAATCTACCTATACATACACAAAATTGTTGCGACACAGCGGACAAGTGCTCTGGTTGCTGCTCTTGAACCACCGGAACAGACACACCGAGTGGAAGGTGTTCTTGCATGTCGCGCACCGCTTGTTGGGCGTCTGCATGTCTGTCGAGATGACCGAGTAGCAGATCGCACACTCGCTCTGGCCCTTGAGCGCCCCCTGCACGTTGCGCCGGAAGGCCAGCAGCCCGTCAACGAGATTGCCGTTGGCGAACATGATCACGCCTTGGATCGTGAGCAGCCAGCTCTTCCACTTCTTCTCATCCACCAACACCCGGCTCCGGCCGACAACCACCGCCGGCTGAAGCGGGTACGCTGGAGGGAGCGAGATCGAGATGGCGACATCCGGAGACTCCTCGTCCACGGTGACACTAGCAATGATCTCGGCAGTTTTGGGTGAAATCTTCACGGACAAGGCGCGCTCTTCATCCTGGTCCTGCGTCGAAACCCATTCGGTCACGCTCTGCAGAGCATCCATGACGACAAGAGGGGAGACCTAAAAAGAGGATCGTCAGCCGGGACGAATTGATCCGAAGGCCTTGGTTTACTCACGTATTTCTCAGTCCAGACTTCCACAGGACCCTTGACCCGTTTCTTGGTGTCAATCCACCAGTTTTTTGTCATGTTCGCCAAATGCCGCAGGCACAAGTAGTAAAGGTGCACCAGAAGCCATTGCGTTTCTTTCTCGGCACTCTCGGACTCATCTGGCTCAAAGGACCGCACATCGAACTTGGAAGCATCGACGATCTTGCCATGGGACTTTTGAAGGAAGGCGAACGTAAACTCCAGCAAGGGAATCAGAATCTCGTTCTCTTTGATGTTGGATGCGTAGTACTCTTGGACGGGGAGGGACTTTTATTGAACGTTAGCGAGATGCCAAAAAAAAGATAAACATCAAAGCTTACTGCATTGGTAAAGTGGTCAAAGACCACCTTCCAGCTCAGAAGATATGACCTCATACTGGTCCACATCTTGTCATCACCGTAGGATAAGGACACTGCCTGCATTGTCGGGGGCTCAAGAAGCAACGACAGAAGCTCGTCGGGCAGGGTGACTGCCGTCTTCGACAGAGCTACATCGAAGGAGACCTGCTCCTGCGTCTGCGGGATGTACCGGTGGAGGATCGTGTAGGCTGTTCGCTGGACTGCTCGACTATGCGCAGTCAGAAGCTGGAAGATCTCGCTGACATCCTCTAGCTTCTCAATCGGGATGGTGTTGATCAAACGGCGTAGTCTATCAACAGCCACGTCACGAGGTTGATGGAACGTAGTGGTTGAGTCTTCATGCAATTAGTGACTGATTTACCAATAATCAAGGATTATAGCCTTACCAAACTTGTCAATTGTAGAAGCCAAATCATTGAAAATCCCGGCCTTCCGCTCGGACCAAGCATCCTGAACATCGTCATTACTGTCACTTTCGGCAATGGACTTCAGACGCAAAAAGAGTCCGAATGACGCCACCAGCAACGGCAATGCTTCTTCGCCGCCACTAGTCTGTCTCCAGGTGGCACTGAGAATCTCCATGGTCTCCTCCCAATGAGATCCGTAAATCTCGCCGAGACATGGGAGAACAAATGCCAGTGTCTTGATGATTTCGGCTCGCAGTCCGAGAAATTTAAAATCAGACTGGAGGCATTGCAGGAGATGCTTGGTAAGGAAAACCAATCTCTGGGTTGGAATGGTCGAGGCGACGTTTTCTTCTCCTGCCAACAATGTGTTGAGAAGGACGAGCTTTCGCAGACCTGGAAGCTGTTAGTAAAGTACAGCGATTATTAGATAACGACCTACCATCTGAGCGCTCCTCCTGGGGCTTGAGTCCGGTTGAATCGGCAACCAATTCATTGCATATCCGGTTCCCAACGGGGTTAGACAGAATAGAACTCCGCAAGACGGCAAATCTAGCTGTTGAGCGGATGGCATTGGCTGTCCGCGCCTCCCTGCAGATTTTGGCAGTCTCATCCGATGATTTGGAAGCATGCACTGAATCGACACTGTTCATAATCTTCACAAAAGCCTCTCCAACCCTGTAATCCATGGGAGTGGTGCCATCGAGTGCTTCCAATCTGGACTCCCAGAACAAAGTAAACAAAGAGGAGATAGACATATCTTGTGAAGAGTCCATTGGCTCTTGGGCATGGATCCAGGTAGCAATCACCTTCCGGCCATCAAGAACAATGTCCATATACTCTTCTCGTTGGTCAGCTAGCTCGAGACCTGTAATGCCGTTGCAGTTTTCGATGCTCAGGTCATCATCCATGAGCTGGATGGCCAATGGAAGAAAATAGAACAATGTCTCGAGGGCTTCTTTGTCCAATTGTTTGACAATATCAAATGAAGATAGAGCTCTAATAGTGAATGTGGCTAGGCGGAACGCTGCGGAGCAACGAGCTGAATCTCGGGGAATAGATAGCCATAATGTCCTGAATGAGTCCGATAGCTCACGTTGGATGAGCTGGACAGTGCCCCCGAGCGGGCTTGTGATAGCCGTCGAGGGTCGAGGGGGAATTTGGAGAAACGGACTCAGTGCCTCTTCCCATGAGCTGCGAGGCGGAAGGATATCTTTGATACTGGTTGATGTCTCAGGCTGCGAGCTATGTGCCACCTCTTCTGCGATAGCAATGAGAGAATGAATACTAGAAATTATTAGCTATGTTTCAAGACGGGTTGGGTGGGATCACTCACGATAATGACTCCTCACTGACGTGGCTAAACTCGTGATGAAGGATTTCAATGTTGGACTTGGCGCTAGTACCACCAATGGCAGATTCCTTGAAGGTGCTCATTAAAGATTCTGCAAGGCTAGCCACTTCCTCCGAGGGAGATTCTGTGAGGTACAGAAGCTTGCCTGCCAGCTTTGATCCATGAGGTCCGCTCTGGAACGCCTTTACTGCTGATGGTACAGTCTTTCCGATTTGAGAAAGCCCGTGCAAAGCATCGAATACTCTGTCCTCCGAAGATAAGGAGTCAATGATCGACAGAAAGATGCGATCCAGGAATTCACCACGAGAGGATTGGTTCTGAAGGACAGCAGTGATTATTGGCCAGTGGAGTTGGCTTCCTCTGCAGGCATTATCCAGAGCCCGCATCACGAGCGAGGTGAGCTTGTCTCTGTCTCCGACTTCATTGAAATCGAGGGTCGAGAGCAGGCTCTGAAGAACGCTTGCATTCGACTGCTCCGGCTCCAGCTCCATGGTCCGCTCAACAATGTTCTCAAAGCTAGACGAAAATCCATCCCACTTCCGACATAGCAGAATCGTTGCAATCAAGCGGTCCGCAGATGGCGAGTGCAGAAGCGCCGGCGCATCTGTTTGGACGAAGCTCAGAAGCTCCTGTGAGCGCTGTGCAATTTGGGGCATATGCCGCACGCATTCCTCCACCACAGCCGCGGCTCCATACGGCTTCCCGTTGCGGGATCGAAGAACTTGCAGGCATTCATGAAGTAGAGATGAGCCTGTTTTGTTGAAGACTCCCAGAACAAATTCTTCATCCTTATCTGGAATCAGAGAGACTAGCGCAGCTTCTAAGGAAAACAGGCGCTTTGATTGATCGCAAATCGAATCCTGTGACGTCCGAAAATCTTTTGACTGCTCAGGAGATGATAGCTTCACTGCTTCCAGCAAGTCGTCTGACAATTTTGTCCACAATGAGGTGATCTCTTGATCCTGCCTTTGTGAAGCTGCACTGGTGAGATAAGTGATGCATATATCTTCGGCTGCTTGTGGCGGAAGCAACCAGTGAGCAGTACTAGATTCAGGCCGTACATAATTCTCCACCAAAGGAGACATCCGCTTTTGGACAAATTCAGATCTTTGACCCTGAGGCAATTGACTCGCGAGCCATGTCCCGACGTGGATGTAGGATTTCCACCCAAGAGCAAGATTTTGGCGCGGTTCTTCCCTAGAACAGAGGCCTTCTTGAAAAGCTTCCGTCAGGACAACGGCACTTGAGACATTGATCTTCTCATCGGAAGATGTCTTGTCAGCTTCTGCAAGAACTTGGGATGGCACAATTCGAAGTAATTGATCAAGATTTGACCAAAAGAGCCCGGGACCACCTTGTGACCCCTTTTGAATGTACTGGCGTAGCGTTTTCGAGGAAGATGACTTTCCAGTATAATCCTCAGTCCAGACCTGGGGACGTGATGAGGTCAATAGCAGGAGAGACTCGGAAAGCTCGGAAGCAGATCCAATCTGTGGGGTAGATAATGCTTTCCCAATTACGGACGTGCTGAGGATGTTCCAGTCAAGCCACGCTGGTTCTCGGGAAATCGCAGATCGCAGGAGGATATATATTGATCGACGGACATATGGATCGTCGTTGTGGCACAAAGCCCACAGCGATTTGCTCCCTAGGAGATTCTCAATGGCAGCCATATCTTTCTGCAAGTTGACGTCGGCTGAATTCCCTATTTACCCTCGATGTCAGGATTACGAATTGCCGGAAAGAAACGGGCATCAACATACCCAGGATTCTGTTGAAGAGCAGAGCTGCAGCTCCCACCACGCGTGCGTATTTTGCTTCAGCATCATCACGCTTGACAGTTCTCTCGTCGCTCAAGGTCAAGGAAGTCTGGTGAAGGATGACATCATCCACAAAGTCCAGGATCGAACTTTGGTAGATATTCCATACATTGTTCCTCTTCTCCTCGGTAGAGAAGACTTTGCTGAACGACTCTAGGGCAGACCGATGAACGGGTCGGTCATTGTCGTAGAGTCCGGCGAGCCATGCGCCCACCACCTTGGGGAGGTAAGGCACGATGCGCTTGCCCACTTGGGAAGCAATTGAGCCCTGTAGGAGATGGGCCAACTGCCTAACTCTGCGAGAGAGATCAATTGAAGCTCGCGGGTATATTTTCACCTGATAAATGTGTTAGGCTCCCTGTTCTGCTGTAGATTGGACCAGATATACATACCCACGCGTCCAATAGCCCGTCGTCGAGAGTTCCATTCCGGTCCTCAACAGCGAAAATATAGTCCTTGAGCTCCTCCAGAGCTTTCGTTCGTGTGATCTCATCTTTCTTCTGCAGGTTCTTGAATGCGATCACCAGTTGCTGTTCCGCAATACGCGAGAGATCTGGTGGCTCCGAAATGTATGTGAGAGCTGACGGCTCACGGCCTTGGCTGGAGAAGCCACCAAATCCACCAAAGGCGCTGGCAGCGGCGCGACTGCTGGAGGCCTGGGATTTGAACTTTTTGCTCATGTGGGGTAGTTATGCGGGACCAGAAAGAAGAAGAACAGGCGAGAAGGAGAGAGACGGGGGAGGGATTGAGCTTCACTCTGTCCTTATCGAAGCTGAATAGACGGACGTTCCTTCCTTCTGGAACAGTGTCAAGAACATTGATCGCACCTGCCACAACTTTCACACTTGCGTCGGACACCCGATAAGGAAGTCACGTGGGGTGGTGTCATTGCTGTCCCAAAGGGGAAAGGTCGCGTTACCATCTCTTTCGCTCTGGCCTTCGTTCCTCGTCTTCTTCTGCTGTTCTCCGGGGTCGAGAGGCTGTGGTCCAGTCACGATGAAGTTCTTCATTGAGTATCGCCTCTGCCCTGCGGCCTTTGTCACCATCTGGCTAACTCCTACCTTCTCTGCAGCGACCTCCCCGTACTCTTCCCGTATCCTCGCATCTATCCCGAGCAGTATGCCTACATGTGCGATCTCAAGAAGACCCTCGATGCAGGGGGTCACTGTGTGCTGGAAATGCCTTCGGGTACAGGAAAGACCGTCTCGCTGCTGTCGCTGATTGTCGCCTACCAGCAACACTACCCAGAACACCGCAAGCTCATCTACTGCTCCCGAACCATGTCCGAGATCGAAAAGGCCCTGGCGGAGTTGAAGGCGTTGATGAAGCATCGGGGAAAGGAGCTAGGATATACAGAGGAATTCCGCGCGCTGGGGCTGACGAGTCGCAAAAATCTGTGTCTCCACCCGTCTGTGAAGAGAGAGAAGAGCGGCACCGTGGTTGACGCAAGGTGTCGCAGCTTGACAGCCGGCTTTGTCAAGGAGAAGAAGGAGCGCGGAGAGGATGTCGAGTTGTGTGTGTACCACGAGGTGAGAATCGCACCCTTACGACACCTTAGCAGCCTTCTAACGAGATGAAGAATCTTGACTTGCTCGAGCCGCATAACCTGGTCCCTCCTGGTGTGTTCACCCTCGATGGACTGATCCGATACGGAGAAGAACACAAACAATGTCCCTATTTCTCTGCTCGGCGCATGGTGAGATACCCCCTGTAACGATTCGGGTTCTGATTCTAATACTTTGTTCTAGATGCCCTGGTGCAATATTATCATCTACTCATATCACTACCTCCTCGATCCTAAAATCGCCGAACGAGTATCTCGAGAACTCTCCAAGGACTGCATAGTGGTCTTTGACGAGGCGCACAATATTGACAATGTCTGCATTGAATCGCTCAGCATCGATCTCAGCGAGGACGCCCTTCGCAAAGCTACCAGAGGCGCAACCAATCTGGAGCGCAAGATCGAGGAAATGAAGAGCACGGATGCAGAGAAGCTGCAGAACGAATATTCAAAACTTGTGGAGGGCCTGCAGCAGGCAGAACAAGCACGGGAGGAAGATCAATTCATCTCGAACCCGGTATTGCCAGATGACTTGTTGAAGGAAGCAGTGCCAGGAAACATTCGCCGAGCTGAACACTTCGTTGCCTTCCTAAAACGATTTATCGAATACCTGAAGACTCGAATGAAAGTGACTCACACCATATCTGAGACGCCGCCGTCGTTCCTCACGCATCTGAAAGACTTGACCTACATCGAGCGAAAACCCTTAAGGTTCTGTGCTGAGCGCCTTACCTCGCTGGTCCGCACTCTGGAGCTTGTCAACATTGAAGATTACCAGCCTCTCCAGGAGGTTGCGACGTTTGCGACTCTTGTCGCGACCTACGACAAGGGGTTCGTTCTGATCCTGGAGCCATACGAGTCGGAAGCGGCCACCGTTCCCAACCCGATATTACACTTTACATGCTTGGATGCTGCTATCGCCATTAAGCCAGTGTTCGATCGTTTCAGCTCGGTTATCATTACTTCCGGAACCTTGTCGCCTCTCGAAATGTATCCCAAGATGCTAGGGTTCACTGCCGTCATGCAAGAGTCCTACAGTATGACGCTGGCACGGCGCTCTTTCTTACCCATGATTGTCACTCGCGGCTCAGACCAAGCTCAAGTCTCATCTTCCTTTGGAATTCGCAATGATCCCGGTGTTGTGCGCAATTACGGGACCCTCGTCACAGAATTCGCTCGCATCACACCAGACGGCATCGTGGTTTTCTTCCCGTCGTATCTCTACATGGAATCGATCATCAGCATGTGGCAAGGAATGGGCATCTTGGACCAAATCTGGAACTATAAATTGATTCTTGTCGAAACACCCGATGCGCAGGAATCATCGCTTGCCTTGGAGACGTACCGTACAGCTTGCTGTAACGGCCGCGGTGCGATCCTGCTTTGTGTCGCACGAGGAAAGGTGTCTGAGGGTATCGATTTCGATCATCACTACGGCCGCGCAGTGTTGTGCATCGGTGTCCCCTTCCAGTACACGGAGTCCCGCATCTTGAAAGCACGCCTCGAGTTCCTGCGCGAGAATTACCATATTCGGGAAAACGACTTTCTATCCTTCGACGCAATTAGACATGCCGCCCAGTGTCTGGGTCGCGTGCTACGCGGCAAGGACGATTACGGAGTCATGGTGTTGGCAGATCGTCGATTCGAGCGCAAGCGTGCCCAGCTCCCCAAGTGGATCAACCAAGCAATGTTGGATAGCGAAACAAACCTCAGCACAGATATGGCCGTGGCCAATGCCAAGAACTTCCTTCGCACCATGGCGCAGCCTTTCAAGGCTAAGGATCAGGAAGGCATTTCCACATGGAATCTAGCTGATATCGAGCGCCACGAGGCGAAGCGCAAGTCAGAGGAGGAGCGGATGATGAGAGAAGAACTCGCGAATGGACACACCATGGACGGGGTGATCACCACCACGCAGAGGATTATCGAGGACGACGAGTTCGATGATGATATCGAAGCCGACATGATGATGCTGGATGCTCCGTGAACATGAATTTTCCCTTTCTTTAAAAAAGTTGCTCAGGTACATATGGGCGCATTCGTGGTATGGAAATAAGGGCGTTGGTTTATTGTCCTCAATACGAGACAACAGTAGCATAGATGGCGTTTTCTTGATAATATAGGTCATTTATTCGTGGACCAATTTGGTTTATCGTTTCCATCCACTCTAGACTAAAAATCTAAATCAAACCAGCTCTAGAAGTCCAACATATTTTCAAAGTTCTATTTATTGACTTGTATGATATGCTAGTATGAAGACAGGCACTTTTTCGGTTTCCGCTAGACAAAAACAACAACTCCAAATCATCGACACGTAAGACAATGATAACAAGAGGAATTCAAAGAACAAAATAGTGCAAAATAAAAAGAAATATACACAGAATACAACGCAGACTCCCACCCAGGTAGCGAAATTATGCAACTGGAGCAAGGATGTCGAAAGAGCCGGTTCCAACGGTACCGGAGCGGCCAACAACAATTCTGCTGCTAGGACTCTTGAGGTTATCCATGTCTCTCTCGAGTACGGCATCTCTCAGGGCGCCAACGGTGGTCTCAAAACTGGCTCTCGCAAAGGGTGACGCAGAATCCTTGACCAGGCCATTACGGCTGAAGGCACGGAATCCGCCGGACTGGGTCATCACGTCGCCGATCAGGTTCAGATGGCGGTTATCCACGCTGATACTGTGGCCCTTGAAAACGGCATCCATTTCGCGGACGATGGTGGCGCGTGCGGCTTCGACACCGTACAGGTTGAGCATGTCATGGATGGAGTTGGTGTAGATTGAGTGGGGCTTGATGATGTCCTGGTAGGCGCGCATGGCGAGCAGGTTAACGCCCTCGGTGACAACAGTAGCAGGCTCTTTCTTGATCTCGTCTGCTTCGACGTAGACGCAGTTTCCAAGGCGGGGAATAGACTGGATCACGGCTTCGTGGACGGCCTTTTCGACAATGGGAAGGAGAAGGAGTTTCGGGGTCGAGACGTCGTACTGCAGCTGAACGGTGCACGTCGCGCCTGTCTTGTGGTCGAACTTGAATTTAGTGACCTCTTCAAACTTCTCCTTGACGTCGTTCTCACGCGCCTTGCTGTCCTGGGCGCCCTCGTCATCCGAATCGGAGTCAGAGTCGGAATCGTCGTCCATGTCCACGTCGCCAGTGGTCCGGACGGGATGATCAGCATCGAAGTCATCATCCACCTCGGGGGAGTTCTGACGTCTGATGATGGCCTCCTCGTCCTCGTCAGGCCCTTCGTAGGAAACCTGGTTGTCCCGGTTTTGGGCTCCGCGTGCTCGCTTGGCATCATCTTCATCGTCCTCGTTGTCTTCATCAGCAGGCTCAATCTCACGATCCGGGCCTCTCGGTCCCTCGGAGATCGTGCCAATCGAAACACCAATTTCAGGCTGAGCGGTTGAGTGGCTCTTCATCGTCTTCTCGTCTTTCCGCTTCTTCAGCTCGTTGCGAGTCAACTTGACCAACCGGGGGATAAACTTGGTCTGCAAGGCGTTCTGCACATCTCTGACCTGAATGGCGTATTCCTTGGTGTATTCCTCGCTCGGGAAGAAGTTGACCTCGATATCATAAACCTTGGCTGTCGTGTGACCAATACCGGAAGCGATTCTTTCCCTAACCTGCACCTTGTCGACAACTTCGGCGACGCTGAGCTTGCTGATTGCCTTGGCAAACTTCTCCGAGTCTTCCCGGGAAATTCCATCGTTCAAAAGCAGCGTCATTTGCGGAGTCATGATCGCAGCACTGGCGGTCATAACAATTTCACGGAGTCGAGGAATACCAAGTGTCACGTTCTTTGCCGAGTGACCAGCCAAATGGAAAGTGTTAAGGGTCATCTGCGTCGATGGCTCTCCGACAGACTGACCAGCCATGATTCCAACCGCCTCTCCTGGATCAATAATGGACTTCAGGTACTTCATGTTCATCAACTTATCGAAAGTTTTCTTGGAGATTTTGCCCTCGATGTCGTTTTTCTTGTCCCTAATGAGCTGATCCGGGTTGTCATCGGTATACTATACAGGATGTTTGTTAGTTTGAACAACGCAGCGGAGAGAAAAACAAATCATACCTTCTTGAGTGCTTGAGCAAAATCTTCAGACGTGCTGCCCAAGTTTCCGCCAGGGTGGTACCGAGACAACACAGTGTCCATAGCATTGGGATCGTTAGACCGGCGAACAGCCTTCATTGCGTCCTTGTGCCAGGCCGTAACCTCCTCCTTTGCCAGACTTTGGAAATGGTCTGATTGGACTTGTTGCGAAATTGAGCGGTAGTTTGCGGCAAGGAAATCGAAATCTCTGAGATGAACCTGCTTGGTGATATCAAGACCGTCTTCACCATACAAGAATTGGACAATGGAGCCATCCGAAGCTTCGCGAACGGAGGAGTCGTATTCGGCCTTCAATCCTTCCATACCCTTGATCAAGCAACGCTGCAGGTAGCCCGACCTGGACGTCTTGACTGCAGTATCAATCAGACCCTCACGGCCGGCCATGGCGTGGAAATAGTATTCCTGGGGCTTGATGCCAGTCAAGAAACGACCAGAGACATAGCCACCAGCCATGGGGTGTGTCTCGAAGGCCTTGAATGACGGCAGCGTTTTACCGCTAATCATGGTGGGTACCCGACGACCTTCCAAAACTTGCTGGCCGAGGTTGCAGGAAATCAGGTTGGCGTTGACACCTGAACCCTTAGCTCCAGAAATTGTCATCGACTGCATCTGGTTCCAGGGGAAGGATTTGGCGAGACCGCCTGGCAAGCAGGCTCGGGTGATATCCGAGGACAGTTGGCCGTTTCGAGCGTTCGAGACGCTATCCAAGCCACTTTGCTTGTCATCGTCGCGGAGGACCTCTTCCAAGCGGCGTTTGAGCTCAGCATCCTCGTCCGTCACAGTAGTCTGGTCCAAGGTCACGTATTTCAGAGCAGCCTCACGACCCATCTTCTCAGCCGTGCTCAGCAGCTCCTTGCGAGCCCGATCGCCCTCTTTGGTCAATCGCAGATCATCAATGCCACAAGTGAATGCTCGCATGTTCAAGAACCGGGTTAGAAGGCGTCCCAGGATACTCATCAGCTTTCCAGCAACTGTGTGACCGTAGATCTCATGAATAGCATCAATGAGACCACCAGCGCTCGGACCAAGCTGTTTCTTATCGAGGATACCACACAGGAACTCTCCATCGTCGAAGATGACATTTCCTTCTTCACTGCCCTCGCCCCATCGTTCACCAGGAGTCGAAGACTTGCCCTTCAACGTAAGACCTGCCCGCCCTGGAGGCTTGATGTTTTTGAGAATTGTCGTGATAATCTGCTTGCCAGTCCAGAGATATTTCGGTTTTTGGAACGCAGGCTCCACGAGCTGGATCCGATCAGTGACGATGTGGGAGTTCTCCGGTCTTAAACAATTATACAAAAGCTGATGGTAATCCTCTTCGTCGAAAAAGGAGTCCCGGCACGTTAACCACGTTCCCATCGAAATGTGATCCTGAATCAAACCTCTGAGTGGCTTGCCTGAGGTAGCAACGAGGTACTGATGATCTGCGTCCGCAAGCATCCTTGCTTCTGCCTGAGCAAGCTCGTTCTGAGGGAAGTGCATGTTCATCTCATCACCATCGAAATCCGCATTGTAGGTATTGCAGTTGGCGTAGTGCATGCGAATGGTCCTCTCGTTGGGAAGCACACGAGCTTTGTGACCCATAATGGATGGTTTGTGCAGAGTAGGCTGACGGTTCATCAAGACATAATCGCCAGTCGTAAGATGTCGGTAAACCTTCTTGTTGCGCGAGCCCTTCATCCGCCAGTTTGAGGGCGCGAGAAGTTGGTTGGCAAGTGCTGTCCGTTCGTCTAAGCTCTTGAACTTGAGGTTGATAACCTGTCCATTCTCGTTTTCGATAGCCGCTGCACCAGGGTACCTGTCCGGACCATTGATGACTGCTTCTTTCAACTCGAAGAAATTGTGGTTCGTCACAGGCTCCGGAAAGGTCAGTTTCTTGGCGAAGACAAGAGGAACACCGATCTCATTGGTCTCGATGTTGGGGTCTGGCGAAATGACACTTCGGGCAGCAAAGTTCACACGCTTGCCCATCATGTTCTTTCGGAACAGTCCTTCCTTCTTCTCTAGAAGCTGTTTGATGCCATTGGGGAGCCCAGCGATGGCTGACCCGGTAACCGCGGTTCGCTCGCGATCAATCAGACCGTTGACCGTATCCTGTAGTTGAATCATTGCCTGGAGTAGATCACTGTAATTCCGCACCCTAGTGAGGGCCTTGTCGGCTTCGTTCTGCATTTCCTTGCTGATTTGATTGATGAGGTCGCAGTTCTTCAGGATATTGCTGAACGGAATGTTCTGCTGAGCCTCGGAGATCTCCCCAGGGCCCTGGGGGGCAGCCGGGCGGTACTTGTTTGGCGGAACCAAAATATTTTTGATGAAAAACATGTCCGCCGTTACCGGAGTCGCCCCCTTTGGCGTTGGTCGAGAGCTATACACAAGGTTCATAATCTCGGCTTCCTTCTGGAAAAGAAGCTTGATGGTACTGTAGACTTCCAAGCTGGGCATAAACTCTTGTCCAGCTTGCCCTTCCTTTGAAGTAGACTGTGTCACAACAGCGGCCCCGCGACGGATTTCCTCCTCGGCGCCATGGGTCTCCGAGGTGACGCTAGTAGTATCGGAGACACCATTTACCTGAGTACCATTTTGCTTTGACCCATGCTTCTTTTCTTGCTCGAGAAGGATCATGGCATTTGGTGCCTGGAATCCGCCGGCCGCCATCGCAACCCTCTGTTTCTCGGTCAACTGTTTTCGGAAGATCTTGCTGTAGCGGTCTTTCCGATAGGATGGAGAAATTCTGCAGGATATTATTAGCTGACAAACTCCCCACGGCACAGTAAGGGTTTGAACCATACCCGCTGCAGTTAGCGCATTTACGAGCGCCAACAATGTCCTTGAGGAAGGACTTGACCAGCTCTCGCCTGTGCTCGGCAGCAACCGGATTCTTTGCACCGGCCATGAGCCCGTCCAGGTTGCCCGCCTTTTTAGCTTCCTTAATGCGCCGAGTGACGAAAGCAGTTCGCTTATCCCTGATGTCTTCCTCATCCGGCTCTTCGTCATCATTGGATTCGTCGTTGTCTTTTGATTTGATTCCCTTTGTTCCGATCTTGTCGATTGCGGCCAGATCATCGACGAGACCATATTGCAAAAGGCGAAACTTGCAGGTGTACAAGTTAACCTGAGCGCGGGACATCTGTAAGCGGTGACAATACACACACTGTGCGCGGATAAGCCGGTAGATTTGGTCGAAGAAGGTGACATTGTAGACGGGTACAGGGAGCTCGATGTGTCCGGGATGACCGGTACAAGACCATGAGTTCAGACGGCACGTAGAACATCTAATTGTTGCCAATCCTTCAAGTTAGAAATAGAAAGAAAATGAAGCACAAGACAGCCACTTACACATGGTCTCCCCATGCACCGAGTGCCGGATCATAAAGACCACCGGGAACTGGGTTGTTGAACGAATCCAAGGTTGGGGTATTGTGAATTCTTTTCACCGAAAGAGCTTTGATCTCCTGGTCCGAGAAGACACTGAAGTCAACTCCAGCAATGGTCGAAGCGACCGGGCGAGCGAAATTCGCCATTGTGACCAGCAGCTCCGGGCGCGCGACCCAAGATTCTGTAGAGAAGTCGAAGTCGAACCGGGAAAGAGCGAAACTTTTTTGGAGAACTTTTTTTCTGCCCGCTCTGACCGCCTCATAAGGTCACCCACTCCTTCCCGGCTTTTGTTGCTCAACCCTCATCATAATCATCGACACACGCCATGGCCGACGTGTCGGGCAATGCGCGAAAGCGGGCTCATCCCGAAGAGGATGACAGCAACTCGCAAAAGAGATCGCGGTCCAATCATGGATCTCCCCCCCCAGCCCAAGGAGGCTCTGCCAGCGGCAAGGTAGACATCGAGAAGATGGTCGCCGCGGCGAGAGCAAAGGCTGAAGCCGTTCGCGCTCGTCTTCAGTCCGCCCGTGGCGGCGCGACACCACCCGTTCCCCCGACGGAGGCAAGCCCCAGCCCTACGCCACCAGCTCCCACCCCTGCAATGTCGAGATTGGAACAGATGAAGGCCAGAGTCGCAGCAGCAACGGGGAGAGCCAATGCAGCGCCTCCACAACGACCACCTGCCCCGGCGTCCCCCTACCAACCCCCGGCCTTTGACGATGAGGGTCTCAACAAGGCCCGCGGTGGTCTAGATGTCGGTCTTCATCCAGCACTACTTGCCGATACTACGCCTGAGATCCGTGGCGGCAAGGGACGGCAGCCGGGCAGAGGAAATCGGCATACCGAATTACGCGACAACCGGGCGCGACTCGATCTATCCGGCCCGTCGATAGAAGAAATCAGAAACAATCCTTATTTCGATCCAAGCCTTGGGCCCAAAGCAACGGTAGCCAAGCCCCGACAAGCGAAGCAGCTTGTTTTCAACCAAAAGGGCAAATACATACAGCAAGCTGCGGCTCTGCGCAGACAGGCGCAGTTGGAGGCCATGAAGAAGCGAATTGCAGAGAGAGCACGACAGGCCGGAATCGACGAGGATTTAGACATCGAAAAAGCATTTGTTGTGCCTGCTCCGCCAGCTCTGGAATGGTGGGATGAAGGCCTGGTCAACGGAGACGAGTACGCTGCGATAGACGATGCCCAAAACCTCAAGGTTGATACTGCCGACTCCATCATCACCCGCTACATTCAACACCCTGTTCTTATTGAACCACCGCAAGACAAACATGTGCCCGTTCCGAAACCCATGTACCTCACACCCAAGGAGCAGGCCAAGATTCGTCGCCAGCGACGCATGGCAGACCTAAAAGAACAGCAAGCGAAGATCAGATTGGGGCTTGAACCGGCCCCGCCACCAAAGGTCAAGAAGTCCAACCTCATGCGAGTTCTGGGTGAAGAGGCTGTCAAAGACCCCACCGCCGTAGAGGCTCGTGTGAACAGGGAGATCGCGGAGCGCCGCGAAAAGCACGAGCAGATGAACGAGGAACGCAAATTGAGCAAGGAAGAGCGGCATGAGAAACTCGCGGCTCAGCAGGAGAAGGATGCCGCCCTGGGAATTTATGTGTCGGTGTACCGCATCGATAATCTTGCGAGCGGCCGAAATCGCTTCAAGATTAGCAGGAACGCCGAGCAGAATGCTCTGACGGGGATCTGTGTCATGCATCCCAAGTTCAACCTGCTGATTGTCGAGGGCGGCAGCCACTCAATCAAAAACTACCGCAAGCTGATGCTGAACCGCATCGATTGGACTGAAAACCCAGGTCCCGACGCCGTGAAAGAAGGAAACCGTGAAGCTCAGGCGGCATGGCTATCTACGGAAGATGAGAAAGGCGAGCTAAAGGATTTTAGCCACAACAGCTGCACTCTTCTCTGGGAAGGGCAAGCCAAAGCCCGCGCCTTTAAAAGGTGGCTTGGTGCCAGGGTGTGTGAAACCGACTCGGCCGCGAAAGAAGCCCTATCGCGAGCCAAAATGGAGAACTTCTGGACGTTGGCCAAGAGTGCCAAACCAAGCGAGTCTTGACCTAATGTAACTAGCTAGCTCATATATCCAAATGCAACTATGTACCTATATCTATCCTTGCTCCAGCAAATAAATAGCCTGGAAATCCATAACTTTTCCGTGAAACCCAACACTAAGCCAAAAAGAACACCATTCATGCAAAAAATATCCAGTTAAATGCCCAAATTGAGAAAGATCTTTACGACGGAGGAGGCCCCTGGTTCCCATTGCTGAGATTACGCAGCAGTTCCAATTGCGCTTTGACCTGGTCGAAGTTCATAGGCGGGTTTTGCGCCTGAGTCTGTCCTGGAGCCTGCTGAGGCTGCTGGTATTGCTGAGGTTGCTGATATTGCTGAGGCTGCTGCTGTTGTTGCAGGGCTGCCAAGAACAGAGGATTGATATGAGCCCCGTGAGGAATGGAGGGGAAGGAATTGGACTGCTGCTGCTGTGGGAAGGCTTGCTGGAAGGGGAATTGGAAGGGAAACTGCGTCGGAGCAGCACCAGGGGCAAACGGCTGCGGCTGCTGGGGCTGTTGCCCATAGGCGGCGAAAGGCTGGGGCATGCCGTACGCAGGCTGTTGCTGATACGCTTGGGGCGCGTAGCCAGGAGGCTGAGACTGAGCATCCCCGTATTGAGGTCGGCCCTGGTCTTGATTCCAGGAGCCCCCTCCTCCTCCCCCTCCTCGTCCTCGTCCAGCGCCTCGGCCACGACCGCCTCGGCCACGGTCAGAACCTCGACCACGACCCCGGCCGCCACGGAAAGCAGGGTTGCGATCACTTCCTTCGACGGGTGCCTCGCGCGGTCCCATCATCTCGTGAAGATTCTTCGGGCGAGCAAGAGGAGTGTATCCTTCCTGGCCTCTCTCATCATCGTAATTGAGCTCGGAATGACTCAGTTTCGAGGGACCTGGCCGGTCTCTCTTGCCTCTGGCGGCACCGCCGCCCCGGGCCTCCTTTCTCTCCTGTCGTTTCTGCTTCAGTCTCTTCTTGTATTCGGCCTCTGCCTCGTCATCGGAGAACTCGATTTCGTCTTCGGCGATCTCCTCATCGTGGAAATTGGAGGCGTCACTTCCCTTCATCCCCTTGAGCGGCTGGGTGAAAACAAATGTAGAGTGTTCCTCAACATAGTAGATATCCATGTCTTTCGTCAGGCCCTTCTCTTGCGGCTCCGAGGCCGAGGAAAACATGACCGTGTACAAGGGGTTTTCCACTCTCCCCAAGGTTTCCGATACGACGCCAACAATGGTGTAATCTTTGAGACAAAGCAAAGAACCGGACTCGAGAACCTGATATTCTCCGGAGGTGTTGGCCTCGATGAGAAGCGCATTCTCAACAACGGTCTGGATCTTGCCTAAGTGCACAATTTTCATCTCGGGTGTGATTTTGACGTCTGGAACCGGAAGGACATCTTCGACGATTTCGTTGGTCGACCTGATATAGCCACCCGACTTCCCCTTCCCTTCTCCCTCGTCGTCCGAGCCGCCTTCAGCTAGCATCAGGATCCGCGCTTGTTCTTCCGGGCTAAGGATCGGGTAGTCTTCATCGTCGCTATCGTCGGAATCCGAAGAAGTAGAGCTATCTGAAGACGACTCGTAAGGTGACGAGTCAACCTCCCACTCTGGATGCTCGCCCTCTTGTTCCTCCTCTGGCTGTTCAGTCACCTGAGTGTTGTCCGGTGCTGCTTCCGTTGTCTTGGTGTCGACGTCCATTGCTTCGGCCGGCTCGCTCTTTACCAGATCCTCTCCATTTGGTTCTTGTTTGGCCACTTCCGGTGCCGTCTCTTTTGAGTCTTCGTCGGTCATTTTGACATCTGTAGTCTGAGAGACAGGCTGGCCGTTGACGACTGGCACGTGCGAGCTCGGCTGGACTAGACCCAGTCCCGGGATCATCGCCGGCTGCTTCGAAGGTTCAAGTTCCTCGACATTTACTGGCGCATCCTCCTTGCTCTCCCCCTTCAAGGCGGGGGACCCGGTAGCCACGGGCGTGTTGTAAAAGTCGCTGCCATTGTCCCGGGTCGCGACAGGTAGCGTGCTGTTCGCAGGGGGTGTGTGGGGGTGCTGCTGCGTCAACAGTGCCTGTAGACTGAGTCTGTGCTATCGATTCAGCCATTTTGGGCCAGAAAAAAAATAGTATTCGAGTGTTGCGACAAGCAAAAACAAAAAATGCGACGGCAACTTTTTTTTTGGAAAGTGCACAGGTAGCCGTGCCGCCCACCGTAGTGGCTTTATCGTTGCTTATCGCGCCTCCAAAGCTCCGTGGTCAACTTTCTTCCCCAGACATGGCGAACAACAACGGCCCCGCACAGGCTCCGAGGACGAAGCAACGGTATGTGATGCTGCAAAATACCTACCTTCTTACTGTTAACTAACTCCTGTCCAGTCCTCCTCCTCCTCCCTTCTACCTCCCCCTGGACATCACGCTCTATCTATGTCTCCTCTGCAACGGTCTCGCCGCACTCTTCTCCCCTATTCAGGATTGCGACGAAGTGTTCAATTTCTGGGAACCCGCCCACTACCTCGAGCACGGGTACGGATTACAAACATGGGAATATTCGCCGGTTTACTCCATCCGGAGCTGGCTCTACGTGTCCCTTCACGCGGCTGTGGGGAAGCTGGCATCCCTGTTCGGCACCAGCAAGATAATTGAGTTCTACATCATCCGGTCATTGCTTGCCTTTGTGTGCTCTGCCTGCCAGGTCCGGTTGTACTCCTCCATTTGCCGGACTGTCAGCCCCCGAATTGGACTGCTCTTCGTGATGGTCCTCATATTCAGTCCTGGCATGTTCCATGCGTCAACCGCCTTTCTCCCGTCCACTTTCACCATGTACACATCAATGCTTGGTATGGCTGCATTTTTGGATTGGAAGGGAGGTCGGAAAATCGCGCAGGGGATCATGTGGTTTGGTCTGGGGTCCATTGTCGGGTGGCCATTCGCGGGAGCTTTGATTGTCCCGCCTCTGACGGAGGAATTGGCCCTTGCGCATCTGTCCGGGTCAATTGACTCCTTCACCGGCGCTGTTGTGGATGGCGTCTTGAGATGTCTTTCTATTCTGGTAAGTTTGGAGTTGGGTATTCTCGATATCTTTGCTGAGACGAGTTGTAGGCAGTCGAGGTAGCAGTAGAATATGCTTTCTTCCAGAAGCTCGCTTTGGTGCCCTGGAACATCGTCAAGTACAATGTCTTGGGGGGCAAGGACAAGGGGCCCGATATCTTTGGCACCGAACCATGGACATTTTATTTTAAGAACCTGGCGCTAAATTTCAACCTCTGGTTTGTCCTCGCCATGTTGTCCTTGCCGCTGCTGGTTCTTCAAACCGCCTTCAGGTTCCACACGACCTCACTGCAGACAGTTCTGCGGACTATCACCATGATTGCACCCTTCTACATCTGGTTCGGCATCTTCACGGAGCAGCCTCACAAGGAAGAGCGGTTCATGTATCCGGCATATCCCTTCTTGGCTCTCAATGCCGCTATCGCTTTCCATATGATTCTGTCCTATATTGGATCAAGTAACCGGCAAGAGCTCATCGGTCGCATCCCTGCAAGACTGAAATTCCTCGGTGTCATTTCAGTGGTGCTGGTTGCGCTCAATGCCGGTATGCTGCGCACTCTGGGCATGGTGACCGCATACCGCGCGCCACTGAAAGTGTTTGAGCCGCTCCAGCAGCCCGACATGGCGCATGCAGGACAGAACGTGTGTTTCGGCAAGGAGTGGTACCGCTTCCCTTCATCCTACTTCCTTCCGCATGATAAGCGCGCCAAGTTTATTCGCAGCGAGTTTCGCGGGTTACTGCCGGGTGAATTCCCTGAAGCATCCGACTATCTTGGTCGTCTGGAAGGCGCCTCTCAGATCCCGTCGGGGATGAACGACTTGAATCAAGAAGATCCCAGCAAATATGTAAGCGCGGTATGATATGAGCCATTAAGGCAACGGCTAACCGAGAAATAACAGGTGGATGTCTCTCAGTGCTCGTTCCTGGTCGACTCCTACTTCCCCGGCCGCGAGGCGACCGAGCTGGAACCAGCCTATGTGTTGGATGAAGCAAATTGGGAGACTCTGAAGTGTGAGAACTTTCTGGATACTGCGCAGACAGGCCTACTGGGCCGGTTGATGTGGATTCCCGACCTGCCATTCATCCCGCAACCCCTGCAGCGGAAATGGGGGCAATACTGCCTTCTCCAACGCCGAGGGACTGAACATTCTACCTAAGATCGCCCCTTTCTTTCTCAACCATTTACCTAGAAGGCTATTGCGCGTGAATGCCACCAAAAATCCCAGCTTGTTTAGTAGTGTGGGCGCGCAGCATTACCCGTTATGTTCACTCGCCACAGCCACTTTACCCGATCCGGGAAAGACATCCTGCACCACGGCGGCAATATGATAAGCTCGGTTCTCCGCAGATAAACGTCAAGTCAAGAGGAGACTCTGCAGCCCCGGATCGTTTGGCTAGAAGTAGCCCCGGGTAACAGGGGTGCCTCGCATCGAATTAACGGGAGGGGCAGTTGTGTAGAGTTGAGATCCTCGCTTTGACCAAGACTTGTATCATCGGGGGATTTCTCCCTTCTTACTCCGTTTGTCATATTTCTACCGTCTCCAACGGACTACGTACCATAATGCGATTGAATCCTCTTATCTTTAGTTCATAAAAGTGATAGCGACAGACGAATACATACAAAGCCAATATCCCACAACCCATCCACTCAGCCCTAACCTAGCCATGTCCCCCGGGCTCGAGTTCCTCGGGAACAAAGTATCCAACATCCCCGCAAGAGACCTAGCAAGCTACTTCCTCGTGTTGAATGTCTGCGTCTGGCTCATAGTCGTAATCTCACGCAAAGGGGGTACCATATTCAGCACGACACCCAAACTCTCAACTCCCGCCCAGTCCCGGGGAAGAGAGAAGACAACCAGAAAGCCTGGTGGTAGGCTCACCAGAGGGTCTCTATATCGCCATTGACCATGCTGACGCTGCGCGTATAGAATGGATACCCTCTGATTTCAAGCGGCCGACAGCGCCGCCCTACCCCGACTGGGATGTCCACTCTACCAAGCCGATTCTCTATCGGCCTTTTCGATATGGGCCGTATGCTTTAAAGATAATACCCCGTGCTGGCGGATGCTCATTCGGTTAACTATAGGAAATACTTCGTTACGATGGGATTAAGAAGTATGAAATGGGATGAGTGGATCGGTGAGAAATGACCAAGACCGTGGCGAAGGACAGCCATTAACCCATACATCCATAACACAGAGCTCGATAACCACTACTTGAAATACCACGCCGACAAAGCTCGCCGCATCGCAGAGCGCGGTGATAAATGCTGCAAGACGGCGCCAGAGGCAAGGGATGCAGCGATGGAACTGCTGGAAGAGCTGTGCGTGTCCTTCATACCCTTGTACTTGCTTTCGCAGCAAACTGAACAGAAGTAACTAGATGCGCCTACCTCCCCGAGCGCTACCCAACTATGTTCCAGAAGACATCGACAGGGATTACCAACATGGTCACGAATGAGACATTCGATATCACATCGCGACCACTAGCAGAAGACCCGATGGCGATGAGCGCACGTCTGGTCCAAGACGACCTCGCCATCATGATGGAACGCCCGGACGGCGAGTACTATCTCGTGGCCGGGGCAATCCTGCTAGCTGGATTTTGGCGCCTGAGCGACAAATTCGGGATGCCGTTGTCGGAGATCCACACGTCCGGCGACGTGCCTCAGTTCCGCTCGAAGCTCGAGAAGGGGATGAAGAATTTCTTCCGCCGACTCAGGCCTGAGGAGCCGGTGCTGCGCAATAACTATTTCATCCAGGTGGACGAGAACCTGGCGTGGTCGTACAGTATCGGGGCGGAGGACGCGGCGGATGTGTCGTGGGCAACGGCAGAGAAGAACAGGGCGATTGAGCATCATTTCTTTCGCTCGGAGAGGCAGTCGCTCAGGCGGTTGCCGCGGTCTGGCGGGGTAGTGTTTACGATTCGCACGTACTTTGAGCCCATTACCGAGGTTGTGAAGGAGCCGTATGTGCCGGGGCGGTTGGCCTCTGGGGTGCGCAGTTGGGGCGATGATGTGTCGCGGTATAAGGGGAAGGAGATGTATCAGGATGTCTTGTTGGAGTATCTGGATCGGAAGCATGAGGAGCAGGTTGCGGCTGGGTTGGAGGTGGACAAGGAGGATGAGAAACGCAGCTATCCCTATTGAAGAAGAGTTGCGAGTATCTATTGTTGGTATATTTCGATGCTCTTGGTTGGTACTGCATCAGACTTCGAGAATTTATACATATCGTAGGGCAATCGCCTTCTAGTCCGCTCGATTCCGTCTTGCATAGGCCCACTCTCGCTCTTGACGCCAGGAGCAATCATCGCGAAACTCGCAGATGCGGCATTTCCATGCCTCCATGACGTCGACACCTCGCGGATCACGCTCACCACGCCACCACTCCATCTGATCGGTCAGGTACGACGTCATGGTCGTGGGATCAAACAGGAAGGAGCGGCTTCCAAGGTGTTGTGGCTGCAGGTCGTCCGTAGGAGCAGATGAAAGGTATCGAGCAGTGAGGATCGGGGACAGGAGAGTCGAATATTCTTCGAGCATGGTCGGTTGAGTAAGTGATGGGATGGATGGTGATATTGAGGATGTGGGTGGCGGGAGAAACGTGAGCCGGATTTGGTCTTTCATAAACCCCCAGATGCGAGAGAGGTTGTTGTGAGCCATGAGGATGCTGGTGGAGTCTTGGCTACTGGATGGAGGTGAGCTGTGAAAGACCTTCCGTGCGTCGTCCGGTGTAAAGATATTATCATCAAGGTCAAATCCCTGGGACGTAAGGGTATCGAAGAATTGGTCATTCAGCCCACCCACTTCTCTGAGGAATAATTCAGAGAAGGGACGTCCAAGGTCGAGATCATAGCGTTGTGCAAGCATTTCGATCGTGACATCGTCGCTGGTGATCATGCGGTTGAGCATGTGGTAGTAAAGCTGGAGTTGGAGAAGAGTGGGACGAAACCCGGTGCTTTTGACTGTCGGAATGGACCGACTGGCCTTCGTCTTCACGTCCGTCATGTAAACTCGCGGCAGATCGTACACGGCCGCAGGCACTTCTTCCTTCTCAGGTTGGGGTTCTGGCCGGGCAAGATCTTCGAGTCGTCGACCACCCCCAGCCGGAGACAGGAGATAGTCTGACAAGGACATCTGATATTCCGGCAAGGCCTCCCTCGATGCAGCAGTATCTGCGTAGTAACCGGAAGCCGTGGCCTCGAGCTCGGGATCCGGACATTCGATGGACAATTGGTCGATCACTCCATTGACCACCTCCCCATCCACAACCCCCCAGATCTCCATTTCACGCGTGATGCCAAACTCCCGCAACATGCGCAGGCCCTGGATCACATTCCATATCCGTAGCGCCCAAGCATCTTCCTTCGTGGTGATCTCCACGGGGACAGTGGTATAGATCTCATCCTCCAGCGTCTTATGCACGACACTCCCCATCTTCATAGCCGGCGTTCTCTTCTTCCTCCCATGTTTTGTCAGTGTGTACCAGTACTGCAACTCGCACCAGGCGGGCGACACCAGATCCGTCACGGAAAACGCCTTGTTCGGCGGGCGTCGAAAGCGCTCGACAGGGGTTCGAGGATCAAGCGCCGCAGCCTCTGGGTCTCGCGTCCATTCACGCTCGCGGACCGCGTTGCGCTCTCGCTCTATCTCTCTACCCTCAGTGGAACTGGGGTGCTCGACTAAACGCTTCGGATGGCAGGGCGTCAGCTCATATCAAAGAAACGGAAGCAGGCGAAGGACCAGTCTCACCAAACGGGCTGTTCCTGTCGTTTGCGCCCTGACTTGTCTGAATGGACCGGAAAGGCTGGTTTGACTGCCGCCACGGAGAACGGGGCTTCCTCTCCCGACCCAGCACCTTAGGCAGCCGGACACCCGAGGGGTTCTCCAAGCCATCTTCAATATCTGCGACTGCAGCCGGGTTCAAGGAGTTGAGATCGATTAGATCCGCTGCTGCAGCTGTGTTTGTCGCGTTCTCAGTTACTGGGGGATGTGCGCGCGGCGCGGTGGCGTCGACAGCGGACGCGTGGTCCGCGACGGCTTGGGCGAGCAGTTCGCTCAGGATCTGCTCGTCATCCGGAGTGAAATCGGAGCCGTAGTCGCTAGAGTCGGATTTGTCATGGATTGTGGGTGTTTGTGAGCAGGACATGCCTGCGATGGAAGGAGTTCATGGAGGAGAGAGTTGGAGAAGAGAAGTTGGAAACGCGAGGCCGGCGAATGGACCAGCCCTGGTATTTACTACCAGAAAAGAAACAAGTCTATAGTCTATCGAGCTCTATGGTATCTGAAATGCATCGCTAAACAGAAAAAGGAACAAAATAAGATATCGCCAAAAAAGAGCCATCAAGCGCTCCCTGTCGCAGGAACCAGGCTGCCTCCGGTCAGCGCCTGGGACGGCGGGTTTGCGGCCGCCAGCTCGGCCACCTGGACTTCGCGAGCAGCCTTCTGGTTCAGCCAACTCAAATATGTCTGCCAGCCGACCGCAATGCAGCCCGAAAAGACGTTCCGGAACTGCGGCGGCACATACATGAAGCTGAACGCTGTGACGGCGGGCCAAAGCTTGACGCTGTTGGTGATGCTGACCGGGAGCGCTTTCTTAAGCCGCTCCCAGGTCTCTTCGAGCGTAGCGCCTGCTAAGAGAGAATGCAGGCTGAAGAAGTATGTGTTGAAGACCGGTGTAAAGCACATCTGTTGCACGACAACCTTGGTCAAGATAGACAGGAACTTGGACGGGTAGTTGAAGTGGTTGTGTAGGAACCAGAACCTGAGATCAAATCAGTATTGATAATCTGATCAACGCCATTCCAGAGACTTACCAGTTGTACGAGGGAATGCTCGATCCCGCGCCCACAATCAAGTGTCGCAGCGTCCTCCACGGGTCGTATCCGCCTCCGCTACTGACTTCTTGCTCTCGTACATCCTTTGATCCTGTTGCATCATCCTGCGCGGCCTTCGCGGGCCCCGGAGCCTCTGAAGGGAACAGTATTTGCGCGCTCAGGTCACCGCACAGGTAGATGATGATCGAGCTGCACACCTGTGTTGTGTAGGGCCTCTTCTCCTGCACCCGGCTGTACCATCTCCCCGTCCTGCCGAGCGGGCCTGACTTGATAATCTCACGCAAGCCACGGGATCGCGCAACTGTTTTTGCCGTCGTGTTGGCCGTCGCCGGGGGCGTCGCCGCCCCAGCACTCGCAGCGACTGTATTGGAGGGTGGTGCAGGCGAAGAAGGGGTCGGCGGGGAAGACGGTGCCGGAGAGGATGAGGATGACGGTTGAGAAGATGAGGATGCGTTTGTCTGAGATGTATGCACGGTCTCCTCGGCGGTTTTGGCGGCCTTGCTCTCGACCGCAGGTTCGGGGGCGGACGAAGAGTCGGACTTGAGTCTGCGCTGCCGCAGTCGGGGAGAGACGGTGGTTGTTCGCGGTCGGGTCGCGAAGGGCGACACTCGTCCAGGACGGACGAGTGCACGCTGCATGAGGCTCATCGCAGGGGGCCTGTTGTGCACATCGAATTCTTCAGAGGTAGCCGAGGTCGAGGTCGGAGGTGATGCGGCGAAAATTGGCGGTGTCTCGGGGTCGCGATAAGCACAGCAGAGAAGGAGATGCAGTCGCTGTAGGGAAGGTAGAGAACGACAATAATAATAATAATAATAATGAAGGAAGAGGATCACAATCCAAACCAGAAATCTATGCAAAAGAAAGAAAGAAAAAGGAACCAACAGTCCGTCGGCAATGCACTTCCGAACCGTGATCGCCCGATTAAATCCTTATCCACTCATAGTGTGGGATGGGATGACCCCATTTCTATAGACTGAGAATCAACTACTGGACAGAGATAGATCAATGCAATCAAATTTTGGCAAGCCAGATGCCAACACCAACCAACACCGTCTATATAATAATGCAAAGTCACGACCCCGTACATACAAGCTCGTCTGCGCGACTTGGGGTATAGCAGGCAAAGGAAAACAAAACAACGCAGATAAAACACCACAAGATGCAAAATCGAACTAGATACTATGATTATCACGCCGAGGCCCGTAAATATCGGGGAGTAGGCGTTGCAGTGAATACGAGCCCTATTTGAAGGACTCGCGGGTATTGACTCGGTCAATATCGTAAGGGTTACCGTCGTAAGTGGGCACGCGATGCAATGATCGGGCGGTGCGAGCAGAAGAAACCGAATGGGCGTTGCTGCGAATGCGCTGCGTGGACGGCAGCTCGTCGATATTCGAATCGGACTCGCTCGCACCATCGGACACGGACGCATGCGGAGAGGGTGCCTCGGTGAGATCGTACTCGGGCTCCTTCTCATCCTCCGACTCAGGAACAACCTCCGCCTGTTCCTGGATCTTGCGCATGAAGGCGTCCGACTGGGCAGCGAACTTGCAGCGCTTGCGAATAGAGGTACCGTACTTGTAGAACAGGAAAGGGAAGGGCACGCAGGCGAGCGCCAGGAAGGCGGGGATTGACGAGGCCCAGTGGATCCCCAGGTTGTTGTACATGTAGCTGGTGAAGAGCGGGAATGCGGCACCGAAGCACGAACGCAGGACGGAGTTGGCGGCGAGAACAGAGGCCGCAAAGATGGTGTAGGCATCGATGAGGTAGTTCATGATGCTCAGGAAGACCAACACCATGCCAAAGCCGAAGGGCACGCCGGCTGCAATGCTAACCATGAAATGGATCGAGGGGTAGTTGGTCCATGCGAACCAGAACAACCCGATGGGGATCGCGATGGAGGCGATCAAGCAAGGCGGTAGACGGGCCTCGGGGGGTGCGAAGCCATTATGTTTGTCTTGCACGCGGATGTATCTCTTATTGTCGAAAAGGGTGTAGACCACTGCAATCAGCATGCCGACCATGATTCCCAAAAACGACAACCCGCCTATGCCCTGGTTCCAGCCGCGGTCCACTTGATAGACAATGGGGAAAGCAGCAAACATCATGTACAAAGTCCCATAAACGATAGCCATGTACAAAGACAGCAGGAAAACGATCGGCTCGCGGAAGAGAAGAATCCACGGGCGAGACAGGGCAAGTTTGAAAGCTTCCTTGAGCGAAACCTTGCCCTGCTCGATGTCAGGCTTACTCCGATATACCTTGCCCGAAATCTTGGACAGTCTCTCAGCCCGGCGGCGCAGCAGGACCGGCGCATAGGTCTCTGGGATAAGCAGCGTTCCGATGATCCAGACTGCACCCGAGAAGGCGGCCAGGAAGCCCATGACCCATCTCCAACCGCCGTTCATGCCCAGGAATCCGCCGATGATAGGGCCCAGAACGGGGCCTAGGAAGGGCGCTGCGGCGAAGAGACTCATGGCGATCCCTCGCTGCTTGGCGTGGAACATGTCTGCGATGACACCGCCCGCATTCGTCAGAGGCGAAGAGCCAAAGGAACCGGCGAAGAAACGGAGGATGATCAGCGTCCAAATATTTTGGGCTCCGGCACTGCCCGCGTTGAAGGCAGTCAGGACGGCGTAGGTCAGGATGAAGAGAACTTGACGGCCAAACAGTTCGCTCAGCGGCGCCCACGCCAACGGACCGATCTACACGAAATTGTCAGTTTCGGTACTTGTTGACCGGAGCCAAACCAACTTACCGCGAAACCCAAGACGAAGAGCGACACACCCAGCGTCGCAACCTCTTCGCCAATGTGAAATTGTTCCATGATCTCTTCCACGCCACCAGTGTAAGCCGAGGAAACGAGGGCGACGGCCAGGGTGGCGATAGCCACGAGCATGGTGATGGACCATTTCTTGACGTCGCTGAAGTTCATGGGGTTGCGAGGGTCATTGGGGATCCATGATACGGCGTACGGGTCGTCGTCCGTCCCTGAGCCGGAATATGGGAAGTCGATGATCTCCTGCGTCACGGCGCCCTGGTCCATGACCATGCGCCAGTAGGAGATCTTGGTCGGGTGGGAGGGTTCGATCTTGTCGGACTCATCCTGATTGCCCGCCATGGTGGGCAGAGGGGCAGAAGCACGCTGGACAGTCGGGGTTGTGTTAAGTATATACGCGAGTGAGAAGACCAAGTGATGAAGAACGGTTGTTTGTGTAGTGTATGTGGTTGAGGGGAAACCGGTTGCGGGGATGCGTGAAGCTTGCCGGTTTCAGCAGGAGAGCTAAGCTATGGGTTGAACATAGAGCGCTCAGGCATCGGACACTGCCGTCCTTTTTATTATCTGGTGGCTGGCTTTTTTTTTTTCTTTCCAGTTCCAAGAAATTTAGTCCCGGGTCTACGTCGGTGTTAGGGATTACAAAATCGACACAAAAGGGCGCGTTATGCACAGCGGCCGAGGATAAGAGATGGAGCCCCACGAGGACCGACCCACGGACTGCGATCACATAATCCAAGGATGATATCAATCTCGGAGTGTTGGACCGAGGTTGTGCAAGATTTTACAGCGAAAATTCTATCATGGTTATTGTCTTTTCCCTGATCTGTTCTTCTCATCAAATAAAGGGTGAACAACACGAAGAACAAGTTCGTTTGCGGTTGCCACGCGAGACGCTTGGGCCACTTTCTTGGCTCTCGGGTGTGACGGCATCGTGATCTAAACCCAAGAACATGGGAAAAGGAGGAATTTGCAGGGAGATAAGGCGGCAATAATAATGAAACAATGGGAACAATCCTGCCCCTATGTCTCTAGACCCACCACGACCAGGTGAATGTGGATAGACTCCTAAAATTATCCGCTGGCCAGACTTCTGCATAAAAAAATCATCATACCGCAGGCGCCACAACCGTCGGAACGTGCGCGCCGGCGATTCCATGGCACTAGGTACTATCGGCGCCTCGCCATTATTATTTCCGTGCTTATATACCGTGTTTCAGCAAATAATAAAGGCGATTGGTAAGAAACTTGCTTATGAATCCAGATCTCGCATCTGTTTATGGATTTTTGGAGCCGATCTTATGCATGGACCACTGGCTGCACAGGCACGATGACGGTATGCAGAGCAGCATAAGGTCCAGACATAAGATCCATATACACAGATTGCTGTGCTTTATGCTGCACTACGTGACTCGTTTCTGTCAATATGACCTAGCTAACATGAATGACAGATCAAGACGGCGTCTCTACATATCCGTTATATCTCTGAAGAAAAACGGGCAGTACACTCCTCTAGAAATTCTTCCATCGAGCAGCGCTCAAGCCACATTTTCGGTCCAGAGAGCAACAGCCACCAGGGCGGGTCGTGAACTCGGCCGGCATGACATTCGTAAACTCAAAATCGAGTACGGCAGTAAATCTGGAGTGTTTCCGGGTCTATAAGCATATTCAAAGGCTGCATGTCGTCGCAAAAGGGTATGAATGGCTCGTCGTCTCCAGCATAGTACTTTGAAATCAGCTGTGGGAACCGATGACGGGCAACGAATCGGTCTTGAGCGATTTCCGGATCATCAGCAAGGTTATGTTGAGTCCAAAGGTGGGTCAAATGTTCGTTCACGACTCATCTCATGTAATCCCTTGCACAGTCAAACGGTGTGGTTGGAAATTGACCAACAGGGGAGCCGGCGACAGTACTAACTCATTCATATTATATGTTAGAGGCCGCCTAGCAACATGCCATGCATTTGAAGCACGATTGTTCGAGATGGCCCCAATCCTAGTAAACGTCATTTGAGAAAGCTGAAGCATATAATGGGCGATTTGAGAAAAGTAAAAGCAGCACTAGCAACAGAGCTTCGATCATCTCAGATCACACAGTGAAGGTGGAATATGGAAGATATGAGGAAAATAGGCTAGTTGAGAAAATGGTCTAGATTGAAATAATCCGGCGGGTCGACTCGCAGCCCATGAATAGCGAGATATATATCTGGGCACGAAGCTGGCCAATCCAGACAAAGAATCGAATATTCAAGGCAGACAGGCCCTCAGAGGACTCCTGCGTAATTCCACACATGCCTATTTAACCAGAGTGACAATAGGAAGCCATTAAATGAAGTCTCGGGCTTGCGATCATAGACGGTGTTCTCCTGCATGCGGCTGAAGCCCGACTCGACTGCGCGGTTATCCAAACCACACCCGAGCAACTGCCTCTCAAGGCAAATAACGACAGTCGTGACTCATAAAATACGTCCTTGGAGAGCAGTGAAAATAAATAACCAGACGACTGTGTGGAATTTCGGTCCGTATAGAATCATCAAGGCCGATGATCGCCCGAGGACCGATAGCACCAGTAAGCAGTACTCAGAGCAAAAAGCCCGGTAATAATTCCCTGGCAAGTAAACGAAGCTCTAGTATGACGTGCTCACTTGACACCTGACCCTACGGCCAAGAATGAGTCACAGCCTCTGTGTTTTCATCCATCCCGGAATGTCCATCGGCCGGATCACTCGGCCAGGGCGTAGATGCCATCCCACGCCGCAGACTAAGAAACGAGGAACTAACCATTCCGAAAAGTCAGCACGTCGTTGACTGGGTAGTCCGACTCTCTGAGACCCTCGCCCCTTTTTCAGGCTACAGAGCGCTGGCTTGAGGTCTACGCCCCACTGCGGCAGTTGTTTGCTGCCTCCAGTATAAGTACCACGGTCGGACGATGTGGCCATTCTCTCGTGATCGTGCATATGATTACATTTTAAAATTATACCACTAGATCAATGAAAATTTATAGATTCCTGTACATATTTAAAAAAGTTCTGGCGGGTCGTGTGAGAAGAAAATCAGTGGGCGAAGATTGGGATGGTACTTGGTCTGTACTTGAGATGAGCATACTCAGGCAGGTGCCCGCCCTCCACGCAGACCGAGTCTTTGGAATGTACAGGGGCGATCCGCGCAGACAGACACGAATGGAAGGCCATTTATTGAATTTGTTATAGAATAAATAATGCTTCGTACATTGCCCGAGAAAACGGGTCGTTATAAAATAGTTACGGTCGCTGGAATGGTCGAGCAAGCTGGCCCCCACTGCTGCAGCACGGTCGCAACAGCAGCCTCACCAAGATCGGCTACGGTCGCGTCCACACCCACACGCGTCATAAACCACAACAAACTACGCGAGAGACCAGGAACGTGATCGGAACATGTAGAATCATAGAAGATCGCATTTTCAGCGTCTATGTCATGGAATGATGCTCGCTAAGGCATCATGTTAGGATACTATCCGTAATGTACATAGTCCATGACCTGATCCATGCCCTGCTAAAAGGGCAAGTCGAAGAGAGCAAATTCCAGAAACCCGTGTTCCCATTGTAGTAAAATAGAAGCAAAACCCATCATGTGTCGCCGATTGTCATGATAATAAAAAGAAACAGAACCCCATTATCGCCATCCCGAAAGAATCAAGAACCCGAAAGCAGTCGCTTACGAGCGCTCGCCACGCAGACGGCGGGCCAGCTGGATGTCCTTGGACTGGATGGTGACACGCTTGGCGTGGATGGCGCACAGGTTGGTGTCCTCGAAGAGGGAGACGAGGTAGGCCTCAACGGACTCCTGCAGGGCACCGATGGCGGAGCTCTGGAAGCGCAGGTCGGACTTGAAGTCCTGGGCGATCTCGCGAACCAGACGCTGGAAGGGCAGCTTGCGGATCAGAAGCTCGGTGGACTTCTGGTAGCGACGGATCTCACGCAGAGCGACGGTACCGGGCTTGTAGCGGTGAGGCTTCTTGACACCTCCGGTGGAGGGGGCGGCCTTGCGGGCAGCCTTCGAGGCGAGAGCCTTACGAGGGGCCTTGCCACCAGTGGACTTGCCTGTGGATGATTGTTAGTGATGGGTGTTGTTGGGGAGAGGGAGTGACGCGTCGAGGATCGTGGTCCGACGCGGGGCGGTCATGGGAAAATGACACCACCCGCGGCCAAGACCAGCGACGACGAGAGAGGCGCCAGTGAGGTGGGACTTACGGGCAGTCTGCTTGGTACGAGCCATTGTTTCAGGTTCGGGTTGATAGAATTAGAAAGATTTTCGATGAAAAGTTGATGAAAAAAGGTTGGTCGATGGTTGTCGAGATGGTGGGTTGGGAGGAAGGAGAGAGGGAAGAAGGTGAGTGGGTGGGGGAAGGGTATTTGTAGGGCCAACCGAAGGGGCGTGATCTGGTGGTTGGTGGGAGGGCCAATCAGCGGGGAGAATCACAGCGAGCAGCAAAGCAGGCGGACACAAGCGTGATTTCGGGCGGATCAGTTTAGCGGGCAATCAGAAAGGTCACGTGCGGGGGTCCCTCGTAAGCGAGAAGCAGTCGGATGGACCAATCAGCGCCGAGGATCAGAACTGTAGAATGCCACCCCATTCATTCCTGATCTCAGCCCCCCCAACCACTGGAAGGCGGATCTGGTTCATCCATACCATTCAAGCGAGAATTCAGAATGCTGCCTCCTTTTTTCGGTTCCTGATGAGCATTGCCAGGGGTGGTGGTGCGAGGATCAGTCCCGGTGGTCGAGATCAACCCGGTCCGTGGATCCTGGCCCGTGATTGGTCGATCCACCCACCCGCGCGTGATCCAGCAAACCCGCCCATCCCGCCCTACAAATATCGTCCTTCCCTTCACCTCTTCCTCCCTTCCCTCAATCCAACCGTCATCGACCAATCTCGACTTCCACCACCAACAACCTTTCTTTAATCCACAACCTTCTTCTCTAACCTTAATTCATCATGTCTGGACGTGAGTATCTCCTGTTCCCATCATCATTCGACGCGTTCTAACGCGTCTCAACAGGCGGCAAAGGTGGCAAGGGTCTCGGCAAGGGCGGCGCCAAGCGTCACCGCAAGATCTTGCGCGACAACATCCAGGGTATCACCAAGCCCGCTATCCGCCGTCTCGCCCGTCGTGGTGGTGTCAAGCGTATCTCCGCCATGATCTACGAGGAGACTCGCGGTGTCCTCAAGACCTTCCTCGAGGGTGTCATCCGTGACGCGGTCACCTACACTGAGCACGCCAAGCGCAAGACTGTCACCTCCCTCGACGTTGTCTACGCCCTCAAGCGCCAGGGCCGTACCCTGTACGGTTTCGGTGGCTAAGCATCTTCTCCTTTTTGCTTTTTCCGGGCTGGTTCACGGTATGACTGGGACGTTGTGGTGTTTTTTCATTTATCTACACAAGTGTGTCATGGGTCTCTGGGTCTGTTTTATTTTTTAGTTATGGTCTTGCGCGTCCACTATGGGTCTGCTAGTGTTCGCTTCTGAAGTTTCATGTATCATAGCGGCCTTACTTTCATAACGGCTGGCACCATGGTCATGGTGGGATTCACCTTGTGTGATCCGGTACGAATACAATTCATCAAAACTTCATCTGGCTGTCTGTTCCTGGTAGACTTTGTACGTGTTGAGGCGCGTTTGGCTTGGCCGTGCGCGCTCGATGTAAACAACAATGCGCGTCAACAACGCGTCTCCATCCAAGTAGTCGTCTCAATCCCTGTAAACTTGTCCTCGGTCAGCTGCTCTCTGTTTAACATGCAACTATGGGTTTCGGTTGGGCGGTATCGACCGATCAGGTTTTTGCTCCGAGTCATATTATTGTAAAGGTGAAATTTATGATGCTGTTTCAAAAAAAAATTCGTTGGATATGGCACAATCGTTGTTCATACCAGTAAGTGCGATTTTATAGAGAGAATAATATTGGATGTCATACTTGATGCTGAAAGTGTAAATGTTGTGTGAGTTGTATGTGGTGGATATATATCTCTGCATTGGCGTATCTGACCAAATCACTCATAAACCACCCAACTACTAAAAAGAACGTAAAAAATAGAGCAAGTAGATAATCAATCACTCAAACACACATAAAACACTCAAGAATACCGCCAAAAGCACCATTTGCTGCCCGAGGATGGCCGAGTAGATGCTGCGCGATCGACATGATTGAACACCAAAATAGGAAGTTGAACCCCCATTTTAGGAAAATGCCCTACCAGCACCGAAGAAAACATTGACAGACGGAGCTCGATAATTCAACACAAGACACTAGCCGAAGAAAGAGACAGATCAGCCGAATTTACCTGGCGCTTCTCACCTTCACATATTGGACAACTCCCACTCAATCCTGTGCCTCATCGCCCGCCCCCAGCAGCCCGGACAGACCTCCCGTTTTCCCACAGCCACATCCTCCGAATTCACATCAATAATACTAGTTGAACTCTCCCTGGATCTCAAACGACCGTTGCGCCACTAACGTAGCTTGACAGGTTCCCGTGCCACCCCACCGTGACAAACTTCAAGAGAACTGCCGATCAACCCCTGGCACAGCCAATGCAGACCGATACTAGCCCGCCATGGCTGGTCGAATCATAAACACGGGTGGAGTGGCTCAATTCTACAGTACGATGGAAAGGAAGAAAGACAGATAGCAAAGCAGGTTCAATTCCAAAAGTTCACCACATCAAAGCAAAGCCATTCACTAGAACTCCAGCTTCTCGGAGGATCCCACACACGACGGGGCATCAGCATCGCCTCGACCCCAGACATAAGCCCGCATTAGATAGAGACTGAACGTCTCGCGAGGGAGACCACTCAAGTCAAAGGAAGGACCGCATAATTTCCGCATCTCCGCATCCAAATCAAATCCACGAGCCTTGCGACCGCAGCCACACTCCCTCTTGGTCTGAGCGTGTGCCCTCTCACCACACTCACAGATAAGACCACAATCCCCTCCTCTCCCCGCACAGTCCTCGCAAAGCCAGGGAAACAGATACCGCTCGGGATTCTCCCGAAAAGCGACAAAAGCGCGCCGAATAGCCGGAGCGGGACACACTGCTTCCTGGTCATAGATATCATACTCCAGAGACCAGTACTGCTGATGCAGGGACTTTAACTCGGCCCTCCATTCGCTCAGCTGCTTCTCCCATCCCCGCACCTCCTCTTGACCATTGGCAATCCAGTTGATCTCCACTTTCATATTCTCATACTGCTCCTCTACAACCGCCTGGCGCTCGGTGATCTCCCGCAGACGGGCATCCAGCGCAAGAAGGGTACCGAACCAAGGTCCCAGGACAGGAGAGACAGTTCTCTTGTGACGACTCAGTTCCCAGCGACGCATATCATGGGCGAATTTCCATTTGCCGAACACTTCGAAGGTGCCTTCGATGAAAGTGAGGACTCGGGAGGATTTCTTATTAGTTCGAGGAGCCATGATTCAACAAGTAGTATCCAATTGTGCCCGAGAAGTGAGATTAGTTGCGTAAGAATACTCACAGAGTGAAAAAAGGGAATGGAGAAAAAATGTAGTTGTGTCATTATTTCTCGTTGACTGGAACAGTCACCCCAGATGGATGAAGAAGTACACCAACCATGGATTAACAGCGTTAGCCCCCACTCTACCGAGAACTTCATCTATAATTCCTGAATACCGTCTTATCTCTAGTGTCTGAGCGGGCCGCTCACATGAAGTCAAGGCGGCGCTAGTACCGGGCGATCCGTAGTGCCGAGTAGAATTGCAGCTGGTGGCGTTCAGCTGGGGGGCCATTCGGGTGCCATGGCGGGGGGTTTCGTCAGATAATAAGCTCAAAGCCCCTTGATTTTCTTCTTCCTCAATATGCGCTTGCCAACCTGCCACAATGCTCGCGCCAGTGGTCGCGACACTGTTGCTTTGGGTCTTGAGCGCAGCGAGCGATTCGAATTTGGACCCGATTAAGAACTACTGCAAGCGACTGTATCATCAATGTGGGCAATTTTCACACCGATGAAAGCTAGAAGCTGACAATGACAGCTGCGGTGAAGAATGGCAAACTGTATATCGACGGCGGGCTCGAGATATTTACGCCCAAAAATGACTATGGGACGGCTGAGGGGGGCGAGATCCTGGGGTATAGTATGTTTTTCTTTACACCCACTCTACCTTCTTCACTAACGGACACAGACGAATGGTTGATCACACTGGACATGCAATATTCCTGGGACTGGGAGACCAGCAACTTTTCAATGAACGCCCTCAACATCACCGCCGACCCAACCACGGGAACAAAACCAGCAAATCTCATCAGCGGAGCGCTCTACGCCGGAGCGCCCGATGATTCCAAAATATATCTATACGGCGGGACGACCTCCTTTCTGAACGAGAGTTTCCCCGGATTCGAGTGGCCCGACTCGTCACAGTATGCGCTGTGGTCGTATGACACGGACGATCAAACCTGGAGCCAGTACGACGTGTCGCTGAATGTGCCCTACAAGCCGGCTGGAGGGGCGTATGCCGAGGCAGCAGACCAGGGTCTTGCATTTTATCTGAATGGGTGGCTTGATAACGGAACGTCCAATGAATTCGAGAATGAATATAACTTCCTGAAGTATATGGATGGAATGGTCGTTGTTAACACCAACACCCAGCAGGCGCGGAACTTGTCCACATCTTCGCTGAACAACTCCCCTCGTGTTAAAGGTGGCCTGGCCTATCTTCCAGGACTCAGCACTAAGGGGATCTTGGTGGCCATGGGAGGAGTGACGAAGCCGACGAGTGATAGCAGCTTGGATAATAGAGGGACATATGTATGGACTCCCCCAACACCCCCGGCGGAATGAGTCTAACAGATCAATAGGTCTCCTTCGACAGCGTCGATATATTCGACATCGCATCCATGGGCGGCACATGGTACAACCAACCAGCATCGGGCGACATCCCCGGACCGCGAACAGATTTCTGCGTGGTTACGGTCTCAGCACCAGATAACTCAAGCCACAATATCTACCTGTATGGCGGGCAGGGCGCCAACAATCTCTACGACGACATCTACGTCCTCTCCCTCCCCTCGTTCCGATGGATCAAGATGTATCAGGGCGAGTCGCCTCGCTATGGACATACCTGCCACCTCGTCGGCAATAAGCAGATGCTGACTGTTGGCGGCGATGCATCGGAAGATCTGATGAGTGGGTGTGACTGGGAAGAATATGGCGTGGCCATTTTGGACATGAGTAGTATGGTCTGGGGCCATATCTACCATGCGCTCGATGGGGAGTATCAGGTGCCGACGAAGGTCTATAATGCGATTGGGGGAGAGTAAGTCTTTTTTTGGTGATGTGTCAACACAACAATAGCTAACACCGCCACAGCGGACAGGGTAATGCCAATCTGATGAAGCCCACTGGCGGGTTCAGCAATAACCAAGTTGCGCGGTTCTTCAACGAGACTGCTAGCACCGAATCTGGGAAATCTACTACCTCTTCATCATCCACCACCAGCAGCAAGATAAGCGGAGGGGCCATCGCCGGCGCAGTCATCGGATCCGTCATAGCCGCAGCATTGATCGCAGCACTGATCATCTACCTGATCCGCCGACAGCGAAAGCAGCACAAGAACACCAACATACCTTCACCAGCAACAACCGAAACTGCCGAGGCACCCCCGGACTACAAGCCTGCCCGACTAGACGGCGCCTTCTTCCGCAACCGAGGACAAGCTGCCGAGCTGACCAGCCAGCAGGTGTCTGCGCTGACGGAGCTGGGGAGCTCAAACCCGGTAACGCTGCATGAGATGGACGGGCATCCGCGGGGACCAGCTGAGTTGCCGGGCACGAGACCGGGCGATGGGCTCACGACCAAGTCGAGGAAGAAGTAGTACTGTCTGTTTTGTTGATACGAATGGAATATGTCTCATCGTGTTTGGAGCTATTCATTTGGCGGTATTTTTTGAACACACTCTACCATCGTTTCCTCTCAGCCTCAATTCTTGCCTGGTAGACATGTCTCGAGGGATTGTTGTTTGCACCAATCAATCCACCTATTCCCCTCGCTTGCTCTCAACAAAATCAGGATAGTGCAAACCAACAACCGCGTGAATACGCATGTGACACTCCCCGGCATTCCTTGGATCTGGGCTGCCTCGTGGATGCTGTCTTGTCGCCAACGCTTCCCTCTCCCTGCGGCACGGTAGACGCGCGGCGCAGGAGCGGAACAGGCAGCCGAGAATCACCTTGCGTATTCGTTGCGAGGGGAGGCAGGGGAGTGTTGAGGGTGTTATTTTTAGGATTCGTTCGATTGGTGTCTCACTCGTATCATGCCGTTGTCACTGAATTGGATCATTCCAGTTTTTCGAAGCAAGTATAGTCACCACTAGTCCTGTCTTGGCGCAAATCACCGACCACACGTGACCCCATTCGGCGTTGACTAGGATTTCCAATCATGCCTCGGCCACTTCTGTCAGCTCAGCTGAACGAATTTTTTTCTTCTCCTCGGGGATAACCAAAAAAGATTGAGACGAAAATACCAGCCTTCTCGAACGCCCGTAAATACCGATACCTGCAGACCACGCACCCACTCCAGCTGCCATGGACCTCCCCGGCCGGTGTCTTCCGGCGTTGTGGCTGTGTTAGTGCCGCCCACTCAGCCAATAAGAGCCAAAGAAAAATTCGTTCGGGTGCATTAGCCTCCCTTCTAGGGTGTTCTAAATCGGCATCGACAACGATGGATTTGTCTTAAGGTGCTGACAGCGCATGTTGGTCGGGTTGACATGCCGGTGAAAAATTTTTTTATCAAATTTTTTTCCCTTGCATGTGCCGTGAACTCCCTCGAGTTCCCTCGGGGGATGAGATAGGGACAACCCAATTAAGAAGGTGAATTGTTCGTTCCAGACCATATGCTTCTGCCTGAATCGATAAGCCCTTCCAGACCCTGTACATCGTAAGGTAGACAGTGGGCCTGGCCCATCGCGCCATTACCCCAGACCCGAGCCCGGGTCCCACGAGCGGTTCGGCCGGGAGAGAAAGAGTCACATCCTCGCTTAGGACGGACCCTGGCTAGGCCGGCATTCCGGACTGGTCTCGGTTCCAGCGCCTACCATCGTCGGGTCAGCTGGTCCGCGACATCGGCACTATCGACTACTATAATTTTTTTTTTGGCTAAGCGACCCCATGTCTTGCCACCCGATTGTTGACTTCCCACGTGGGTACCAAGGTCACCGAATACGACAGCGAGAACGAATACCACGAAAGCCCTGCTGAGAGATCTGTCTCAACAATTAGTCACATTCCTTCGCAAGACTGTACTCTCACACTGTGTGTACCTCGGTGCCTTCTGCAGGCATTTTCTGCAGGCATTGCATTCGGCAGGTCCGATCGTGGCGCAGCAGTGGCTCGTGGTTAGCCTGAGGAATGCAGGAGAAGAACCTGGCCGCTGCTGACTCATCGATCGAAGTGTGGCTCAGTGGACTCGGCCGGCTAAATTTTGTTGTCTTCTTGTCCGAGCGCCTTTCGATCGAGATGTATGTCCGCAGAGATTTCCGCGCTAGACAATGATTATCGTCTTGGGTTGATTGTCGCCGTATTTCTGATGATGATGATTATTTTTGGGTCATGACCCCAATGGCCCCGGGGCCATTGGAGATTGTTGACGACCGTGACGACAATCATCAAGCCAAAGCATTTGGATGATTGATTGTCTGAAAGAAGCTGATCAGTGGATCCGCGACCGAGTCAAACAGCGACCCCCGGACCCAGCAGATCAGCGGGTCCGGTAATCACGGTTTCGGTATCGTACGAAGATGGCCCAAAAGGGGTTAGCGTCATGGTCACACACGGTATCAGCCGTAAAGCCCGAGCTCTGACATCACCCTGGCCCATTTTGTATTAATATCCCAGTGTCTCCCGCGATGTTCGCCTTCTTCTACCTTCCATCTTTTGGACTCAACGCTGCTCACTTTGCTTATTGATCGATAGAGGCAGAAGATTCTATTGACAATCTGAGTCACCTGCACCTGCAACCAAAGACCAGCCAACCACACTCTCACCCCATCCTCTTCCGGGTGCTTCCAGACTCTTCGAACCACAGAACCACAGGACACACACGCCCAGGAAGTTTCTTCGGATCTCGGATCCAACTATATAAGGACTCGCCGATTCCCAGGTGGCGAACTTTCCACATCTGCTGACGTCCCCGACGTGAGTGATAACATAATGCTTATGCACCCACGTAAGGGTCTCATCACCGATCCGGCATACTTCTCCAACCCACAAGACATCATCATACAAGACGACCAGTTCCCACCCGACTTTCTACCTGACTACCAAACCCACTGCTTCCAGAAGCAGTCTTTCCAGAGCCAGCCGGACGTCCAGGTTGCGTCTCCGCCGTCTTCCGCCGCATCGTCACCGTCTTTCTCCCCGACTTTCTCGATTCCTTATCAAGCGACGGCGGAGGGGGCCCCATCTATGACCCCCGCTCCCTCATACAACCCGTCTCTCGACATTCAGTCCTCGTCGCCCGCCTCGCAGCAGTATTACCCCCAGTACTACTCATCAACGCCCATGTTAGCTCAGCAACCCATCGCCAGCAACCAGGGTTGGGACAGCAACTTGCAACTGCTGAGCCCTGCGCGCATCTACGCCGGCGTGCAGAAGAAGACCTCTCCCAGCTCCAACTCATCCCGCTCGGCACCGTCGTCGGTCCACTCACACTCTCCTGCCAACGGTCACGCCCATCGGCGCTCTCTCAGCTCCTCGAAGCCGCTGCCGACACCGGACCAGACTCCCGTGCAGAATAACTTCCTTGCCGCGCCCTTCCAGAACTACGACCTCTCCTACCAAGATGGCAACAATGCAGAGGCTGAGTTTGCTATGAGAAAGGCTATTCTGGAGCAGCAACAGAAGCAACAGCAACAACAGCAGCAGCAACAACCACAGCAGCAGCGGTCTTCGCCGCAGCAGCAGCAGAACAGCGACTACTCACTGGCCCCGTCAGTATCAACCCTGAGCCGTAACTCCCCAGTGACGCCACAGACCAGCTTGGATGAGATTGACGACCTTTCCAAGTCGATGACCAATGGTATGAATTCTGACGTTGACCGGTGGATGGACGATTACTTACAATTTGAAGATTACAACGTCAATGGTAACATGCCAGTTGGAATCCCCAAGCTGAACCGAACCATCTCCGATATCTACCAAGACGAGCTCTACAACCCGACCGCCCTCATGGCTACCTCTCAGATGTCCAAGCCGGCGGGCCAGCAGAACCTCCTCAACCCGTACCGCAATGTCTTCGCCGACCGACTCCAGGCGGCAAATCAGGGCCACATGTCCGCCCAAGCGCAACCGCGCGAGCGCTCACCCTTCCGCGCGAGTTCGCCATTTGCCGGTGACATGAGTCTCCAGCAGTCTCAGATGGCCACCAGCAACCCCATGACGCAGAGTGTGAGCATGGGTCCAACGCCCTCGGCCACGACCGAGCCCAAGACCATGTCCCCCAAGGATGCGCTCTTGGATCTGCACCAGGAGGATGACACGACCATGCCGCCTCTCTTCCCTCCGACCCAGTCTGATTTCAACCTGGGTGACACGCTCGGCCTGCGTCGCGAAAGCTCGTCTTCGATGCGCCCGCAGCAGAACTTCACGTCCATGGAGGCCTTCCCCAGCCAGTACACGACCATGGCGCCGACAATGCAGCAGCCCGCGTTCAACTTTGTCCAACCGCAGGTTCAACGCCCGCATCGCAACAGTCTGCTGCAAGACTTCCCCTCCTCGATTACGCGCTTCGAGTCTTCTGGCAGCAGCGATTTGCACCCTACAAACGAACTCTCGCCTGTCAAGATGATGCCCGAGGGGCTTACCCGTCCGGAGAACACCTCGTCCGATGCGGGAACCTACACCTGCACCTACCACGGCTGTTCGCTGCGCTTCGAGACCCCCGCCAAGCTTCAGCGACACAAGCGCGATGCGCACCGGCAAACTACGCCCGGCGGCCACCTGATCAGCCGGGATACGGCGTCGCTCCGCAACTCGCAGGCGGGACCTCACAAATGCGAGCGGATGAATCCGTCTACGGGCAAGCCGTGCAACTCGGTCTTTTCACGACCCTACGATCTTACGCGCCACGAGGACACCATCCACAACGCCCGCAAGCTCAAGGTGCGCTGCCATCTGTGCACGGAAGAGAAGACCTTCTCGCGGAACGATGCTCTGACGCGGCACATGCGGGTGGTGCACCCGGAAATCGATTGGCCGGGCAAGCAGCGAAGGAGTCGCCGAGACTGAATGATTGCGTCGAATGGAGGGTTATGACGACCCACTCAGCCATAGCGCCAGCCAAAGCGCACAAACAATGATCGATCATTGTCCTGTCGGTCATCATGACGAACCTTATACTTCATCATGACGTAATGGCACTTTCCCCGTTCGGGCGGGATCGGCGCCGATCGCCCTTGCCGATTTGATGGTGATGCCTTACTGACGCGGTGTGGGCTATATTCATTCCTCTGAAGCTCCGATCCCCCTGCTGGCCTGACGTGTGAGATGAATATCCCTTTCGGAACTAAAAAAAGAGCATGTGTATTCGTGCGTATGGGGCTGTCTTTTTGATCTTGGTGTTTTCATGTCTGTTACGATCATCATACTTGTACTATTATCCTCTACGATCTGACGCGTTTTACGATTTTTCATTTTTGGGGCTTTTGCATTTTTGGGATTGGGTCGTTGGTGTTGTGTACCTACGGAAGTTGTACATTATGGGCGAAATTGTATAATAGCGGCTGACTTGGGATCTGGATACGGAGGATGCAAGTAGACTGTATACTATTGTCTATGGAAAACCATTTCTTGATCACTATCGTCTTTCGTAGGAAAACCAAAAAAAAAAATTCAATCTATAGCTTATCTTACAGCTTGGAGCCACGCTGTCCTTTCAGTCAGCCTTGTGATGTTTCATCGACGCTTCTCATCCTTCGACCCGACCCAACCGACCCCATGTCCATCTGTCTATCTCGTCTCCAGCGGGGATGACCGAAGATCAAGTCGCATCAGACGGACAAGCGGAAGACTGAGTTCGACGTCCCTCGTTTATTGGGGCCGCCCTGGGTTGTTTCAAGAAGGGGGATCCACAGTTCCTTAAGCAGTCATAAGCTTAGGAGCTGCATAGGATCGAAATGCTTGCACTGTTAGAATTTGGCCCCCCCAGGGGGATGGATCTGACCTGATGGACCCTCTACTCAGCCTACTAGCACGTTGGATTGGCTTCTCATACCCCTGTGGATTTTCTTCTCCGCGTGGGGGCTGGTTATACCTTCCCTTCATCATTAATATTATTGTCGGCCCCTCAAATCTGCCTCGTGTTGCGCGAATTGGTTCTCATTCTCATATCCCTGCGGATTGTCTTCTTGCCCTGGGGGCTGTTTGCGGTTACCTTGGTTCGATTGTTGATGATTTGATCTAGCGAGTTGGGGTCGGGGATAGATACTACCTTCCGGGATTATGGATGGTACCTAGCATTTGTTTGAGATCGGAGATAACCGAGTGGGGGATTCGGGGATTCAATTAGTTGGCGCTAAACTGACAGGACGAGATGATCATAATACTACAAAGGATACTGTAGAGTAGTGGTAGGAATATGTGCTATTATTAGTTACCATGTGTAGCCATTGAAGGGAGATAGATAGGCTTGCAAAATGTACCTTTCAAGGTATAAACAAAAGCAGATCGCTTCTCAAGTGCCGGTCACAGCACTTACTCTTTAAAGAGCTCTCTAGAAGCACCATGTAACGGAAAGAAGCAGTCAGCGCCCGAACAGGCAGGTGGAAAGAAGCGCGATGGATCATCCTTCTTCGTCTGACTGCCGATCAAATGTAAAGAAAAAAAAAGATACAGACTGTCATCTCGTATCCAAGTGGGACCGACCGGTGAAGTTTACAGAAAGTTTAGTTCGTACTCCGAGCGTATGTGCAATTCCTTAGACCCCAAGCCAGTATTGCATCTGACGAACGGAATGGCAATTGGTGATGCTCTGTGGGTCGATGATGCTGTGGTGGGGCTGGTTACGATGTGGCTGGTGCTGAATCAGGGCTGAGCGCAGCGTGGAGGTCGTTGAGTTAGGGCTCTGGGGGGCGGAACTAACGAGAGCTTAACCTGACTGACCGCAATAATAGTGCATGTAGAATAGACATATTTTACTAAGATTGGCCATAATCCTCAGAAACAAATCACTTTTGCCGAAATGAGAGAACTACATACATGTGTGTAAATAACTACCGTCTCCCATAGTTACTGTTAACCTCAACATTGGTCTCAATCTCCGTCTGGGTAAAGATCTTGCCATCCGGGACAATAATGCGCTCCTCACTCGAGTTACTGCCCATCCCGGCCCCGATCCGGGTCCCCATGGCGGCATCATCCTGTCCATTGATAGTCCCCATAGTGATACCATTGGGGTCAGTGACTTTAGTGAACCCAGACCCGTAGCGACGCGCATCGGTATTGCCAGACCAAGGACCGTACTTGCGGCCGCTGCTGTATTCGCCAATGAAGCGGGGCAGGAAGCGCGAGGCAATGGCCTTGAAGGATGGGATGGACGCCGCGAAGATGCCTACGTTCGTTTCAATCACGGACCAGTACATGGCTCCCGCGATGGCGTAGGTGGGATCGCTGGATTCAAGCATGGCGGGGATATAAGTAATGCGAATGATGGATGAGACGCATGCACTATTGACGAGTCAGATGACATGTCCTGACTAGAAGAGAAGGAAGGACTCACAAAAGCCCGAGACACAGGATAAATCCCAGCGCAATCTTCTGCTTCTGCGGCATTTGGAGCCGCAGAATAACGCGAATGGGCAAAGTGTACGTCAAGAGGTCCGTGAAGATGTTCAGCGCTGCGTTGCAGAGATAGAACACGTTGATGTTGACGCACTTGCCCGGTCCGGTGCCCGTCCAGGCCATACTGATTGGGTTGCACTGGAAGGCAGCCACGAGCACAAAGGACGTAGCTTGGGCGGTGATGACGCCCATCATCACGTAGGACATCCGCATGAGGAACCGGTCACCGAGTCGGGTGTAGAAACATAGCACCGACGTCTTCACGAACCCGAGGCAGGCCAGGTAGAACATTGAACTCAGCCAGACTGCGAAGGAGTAGTTGACGAGTTTGCTCTTATCCACGTATTTGTAGTGTTGTCCGAGTCCATCCTGGACGGCTGCAGAGAATGGGGTCAGCAATCGAAAGCGTTTGGCGCACGAGTACCCTAAAACATACCAACGATGACAACAGCAATAAATGCCCAAGAGAGGAGCTGTTTTTGTCAGTGACTTTGATGAGCTGGGATGTTGTCTCTGCTTACACATGCTCCAATGATCAAATCTGTTCGAGTTGGCATTAGCTTGCTTGTTATGAATGACCAAAGAAACCACTTACAGTCATCAAGGCCCATTTTCCCAAGCACGACAATGCGTGAGAAGAGCCGCAGAGACAAAACAAGGAATGTCAACACGGCGAAAGCGACGCAGACGCCTGTGACCGTCGGGCCTTGAGAGCCGTGGTCGCCAGCCATGGTTGTGAATGAAATAAGAAAAGAATTGAGGAAAGAAAAGAAAAACGAGTGAACTTGACGAGCTTCACCTCCCTCTCATCAGGAGAATTTGACAAGACGGGAAGAAGGCGAGAGAGCGCGGTGGTACCCCAGCTCGCATTTATCCAACCAAGGACATGGTCTCCGACTCGAGCAACCCCGAGGTCCACTTTTGCTGTTCTCGCAACCATTGCAGGAAGGAAAAAGTAATGATTAACTCAGAGCTATCCTGATCGAGAAACACCGGACGGAAACCAGTGTTGATGATCTTCTAGATCGGAGTCTTCCACCTGCCACTACTCCCTGGCTAGTCTCCTCATGGACTAGCCTCGCTAGACCTAGCAGCGGAGAATTTTTCTTCTTCCTTGTCTGATCTGCTCCTCTGCCGCGAGACCGTTAACCGAGACCGTTGACCCTCTCCCCGTGCGGAGCACTTGTGTGTATCCACTGTGACAGACCCATCCACATCCTTGTTGACAGGGGCTTTTGTTCCGGGATGTGTTTTGGCAGGCTCTCCACCACCAAGAACTGGGATTGGATTGGTTTGGAGGCACCGTTTAGATCAACCCTCCAAATTCAAAGATTTTATGCATCACATCCAGACAAAAGCACTATGCATACCCCCTAAAGATGCCAATGGACTGACTGCGTAAAGAGATACTACAGAAGTGGGTCTCTGGATATTTCCACCAAAGGGAAAAACCGGCTCGCTCTCGATCTTCGAGCAATCTCCTAGGTTATTTTTATTCTCCGTGGGTGAGATGGAACCAAGGGACGGTGACTGCCAATCACCAGCTATGGAGACGCTATGTCACGGAAGAGCGTTAAACTTTTATGGTGTGACTCTGCAGGGCGGATCTTCATCGATGGCCGTTTCAAGAGGCGGAAGCGATCTCTGAGCGCCGTTGACGATGTGCCGAACAAGAGAACGGAGTCCGAATAACGCCACGATCTACGCTCGACCCGCTCGCACACGGCTCGGATGGCTTGAACTGTCACTGAGCCGCGCACTCAGCAGTGAAATAGGCAATTGAATGAGGTTTCATTGATCGCTTGTAGCCAAGCATACACTCGAGTCTAGGCTGTGACCGCCTCGGACTCGTGAGCCGGACGGTGCGCAGATCGATATCTCTTGCCCAGCTCCACCACCAAGTCCCACCGGGTTCTAGGCGCCTGCAGGAATGAGGATCGATAACCTCCGGCTTCAGACACATGTCCGCCCGGCGTAGTTGTTGCGATCTGCATGCTGTCAAACGGCGCAGTCGCGCAACCATCCCTGTCTGGTTTCGCCAACTCCTGCCGAAGCGAGAAGCACTAACTAGACCGGGCAGGTCACCTTGGAAGGGAACAAGGTTAACATACCAAACAACGATCGTGTTTTGAGTGTCGGTATCTCGGCAAGGATGGTCGGTGGAGACACCTATTCTCTCCTGGCAGAACTTTCTCTCCACAGAGACGACAGTTGTGTGTGTTTCAAATGACGCACAGGGATTATGATCAAGAACACTTATAACTGCCATGGAGTATATATTAATCGTTCGTTGGGATAATTTGATCATGTTCGCTTCTCCACGTTCGCCTATGAATAAAGAAACACGTTCCCCTGCCATGTTTTGGACATCCGTTTGGGATTGAAGAGATCAGCCCCGTTAAGCCACCGAGATGTCAAGGCCCACCATAATTATCCAGTCAGACTCGATCAATGCCATCAAGTGGGGAACCTACTAGGGCGACATCCGGCTCCACCCTGGCCCTGACTGACACACGCGCCATTCCGGATTCTCCTCGAAGACGGGAACGTACTATTGTCGTTGGGTGAGGCAACGAATGGGCCCCTCCCGCGGACCCATATTTTGCAGTGCTGATCGCTGTCGCAGAGTCTTGTCAACGGCGTTCTAGCCTACCTGTCGTCGCGGCTATGGCCCCTCTTCCCTTTTTCATTTTGCGATGATCAATATCCACTGGAGCTCGGCAAGGCCAGACAGAATGCCTCCATTGCGAATAGGAAGCACCCAGATGGAAAATGAGTGGGCAAGTAGCTCCGCTGATGGGCGGCAGAGGCCCATTCTTACATCCGAGCCGACTTGACTGGTTAAAATTAGGACATACGAGGTCCGCAGTGAGTGGGAGTATAGGAGATGCTACTATAGTACAGTAACTAGTAGTAGCTCCGCATGGATGATGGACATGCTGGCTTAACTGTTTTTGGTCCCTTACGACAGACTGAGCGGGTTGTGTACCCTGCTTAATATTATTTACTTCGGGGGAATTCTTCGTTTCCATCCTCTCCCTATCCTCGTCCTCGGTGACTGTGCCCCCAAACTGGCATCATGGGTCTGGCAGGCAATCTACTGTCCCTGTTGACAGTGACCAATGCTCTTTTAGGTCTTCTGGGCTATATCGCCCTGCGATTTGTCTACCAGATTATCTACTATCGCTTCTTTCACCCACTCGCCGTCTTCCCCGGTCCTTTCTGGGGCTCTGTGACTCGACTCTGGATTGCATGGCATAACATGCGAGAGACAGAACTCCCCACTGTCTATGCGCTTCATAAGAAATATGGTAATTATGAACGGGATTAGAGAGAACACTAAAGCTGACATCCTACTCATTTGCCCAGGCCCTGTCATTCGAATTACCCCAACGTTGCTGGTAGTTAGCGACTACACCAAGCTGCCAGAGGTATACCACCGCAATGCAGACAAGACCGCACATTACATCACGGGCAGCTTTGGCGAGACGGAGAGTCTGTTCAATATGAGGTCGCATAAGACTCATGCTGTGTTTCGGAAGCATATCGCTGGACCGGTATGTAAACCCCTAGTCTGTGCATGTCACAAATCCTGACAGTCGTATGCAGTATAGCTTTAGCAACATCAAGAAGATGGAACCCATGGTGGACGCACGGATCCAACAATGGAGCAACAAGCTGGATGAGAACTTTGCTCAGTCTGGAAAGGCATTTGATTTTGCCTGGTGGGCAGTGTAGGTATCCTAGATTTGTGATGGAAACAAGGTGTTGACAACTGAGTTAGGTACATGGCGTACGACATCATCAGTGAAATCGGATTCGGGGCTCCTTTCGGCTTCATCGACAAAGGAGAGGATATTGGCGGACTGATCCAGGGATTTCACGACGGACTCCCAGCATTCGGGCTGCTGTCGCGCCTGCACCCATTCACGTCGTGGATGAAGACGACTTTCATGAAGAAGTACCTAGTCGCAAAACCAGAAGACGACTCGGGCATCGGCGTGTTGATGCGCTTCCGTGACCGGTTGATCGGCGAACGTCTCGAAGCCCTGGAAAAAAAGAAGGAGATCGGGCGTATCGACTTGCTGCAGACGTTCCTGGAAGCGCGCACCGACGACGGCAAGCCGCTGGACCTGGAGTATATCCGCGCGGAGGTGTTGCTGGTGCTGCTGGCCGGCGCCGACACCACGGGAACGGCATTCCAGGCCCTGATCCAGTTCCTGATGGCCAATCCCAGTGCCTACGAGCGCATGATGACCGAGATTGATGCCGCCGTTGCGGCTGGACATCTCTCCGACATGCCCCAGTACGACGAAGTGCAGCAGCATCTGCCTTATTATGTCGGTTGCGTCAAAGAGACCATGCGTCTGTGCCCGTCTGCCCCGAACATCTTCCCGCGCGTCGTCCCTGAGCCTGGGTTGGAGTTGTACGGCAAGTTCGCTCCGCCTGGTACTGAGATTTCTTGCAATCCGTATATTGTGCACCGCGATCCGGCGCTGTATGGTGCCGACGCGGAAGAGTTCAAGCCCGAGCGCTGGCTCGATCCCGAGAACGCGAAGCTGTACAACAAGTATAACTTTGCTTTCGGGTATGGGTCTCGCGTGTGTTTGGGCCGTGATATTGCGATGATGGAGCTGTTCAAGGGTCCACTGCAGGTGAGTTTCTTTGAATTGTCGGAGTCAGATCGTATCTCATATTCTTTAGTTCTTCCGCCGGTATAAACCAGAGGTGAAGGATAAGCCCAAGGCACAGTTCATGATTAAGGGGGGCGTTGGATACTGGCGGGATGTCTGGTTGACCATCTCTGAGCGGCAGGGGGAGAAGGCTAAATAGTCAACCAAAGCAGTTGTTTGAGTAAGCAGGGAGGAAAAGGTCAATGCTATTTATCAAGAATATATGGAAACGAGAATATCAGGATATTGAGCAAAGCCGAAACAGACCAAAAGAAATCCATCACTTTTCTTGTATATCAGGTTAAACTACACATGTGCTCTAGTATTCCACTAACGGGAGGCAGTTTATATCAATTGCAGCAGAAAGAACGTAGATCAAGTTATGTGGACGCGGTGGTAGTGCCCATGACAGCATCCTAATAGAAAATGGTTAGTGATATGAATAGCCAGACCGTGAAAAAGAAAAGTAAGGTAAAGATACGCACCCTGGCTACATTGTACAGAGGGGTGATGCCGGTCCAGTGGATGGACTGGTAAAAGCCCTGCCCGACCAGAACCTCCAGACCAGGAATGGTGTACCAGCCCGCATCGGAAGCCAGCTGCATCAGAGCCGTGACTGAGGGCTTGTAGGCCATCTCCAATAGGACACGGGGCGACTTGGAGTCGACTGACTTGCCGATTGTGGTCCCATCGACCTCCTGGGCACGCTCGAACATATGGCACAGCGTCTCGCGCATTGAGGGGTCGATCGGCCGATCCGCGGGGATAGTGCCAATGGCGACGTGAGGAACGAGTTCGATCTGGGAGTGGTGGTCGACGACGCGGATGTTGTAGTTTGTCGGGAAGGTGGAGACCATTCCTTCGAGTTTGCTGGCGGTGCGGCCGACCACGTAGATGGGCGAGAAGCCCATGTGGTGCAGGGAGTAGATGGCGGCGCGGGCTGTGCCGCCGCCGCCGACGACCACGGCACTTTCCTTGCCCGCTGAGCCGTAGATACCTGCGTTGCGCAGACATTGGATCATGCCTTGCCAGTCAGTGTTGTAGCCGACCAGACGCTGGGGCTTGTCGCCGTTCGCGACAGGGACGATGGTGTTGACGGCACCGATGATCTCGGCTTCCTGGGCTACTTCGTCCAGCAGAGGCATGATGTCCAGCTTCAGGGGGATGGTCACCGAGGCACCACCGAAGTCGGCGGCGTGAATGAAGTCTTTCACGTCTTCGACATTCGTGGTCTCCAAACGAGAGTACTCATGAGGAAGACCCATCTCGCGGAAGAGGGTGTTGTGAAGGGGCGGTGATCGCGACTCTGAAACGGGGGAGCCGAAGATGGCGAACTTCTTGGCCTTGATTTCACCCATCAGCGACAGACCCTTGCGAATCTCCGTTGCTGACAGTTGACCGGGCGCTGCCTTGAATGGAAGGCTCGGGTGGGAGACGGGAGTCATGAATCCGTTCAGGATCCGGCTAAGCTGACCCTTGTCGCCCATGTTGATGGCGATCAGCGGCACGTCGTGTGCACCTTCTGCCCAGGTCTTGAAATTCCGCAAAGCATTGTTGTCGTCCAGGCACTTGGCAACGCCGACCAGCTTGATAATGTCGCCATACTCGAGGGCGCGGTTGTAAAACTGCATCCACGACATGTTGGCCCATGAGAGGGTTGCCTCGGGGTCGTGGTGGGATGCAATGATCTTTGAGTAGCCCTTCATCTCCGTAACAGTACGGAGCAACTCGTCGGGGAATGCAATCTCGAGATCCACGAACTCGCAGCCTGACCGGAAAGCCAGCTTGTAGAGCTGCATCGCGGCCTCGTGGGCGTCATCAGGGAAACGACCACCTTGGCTCTTTGTTCGGATAGTGAAGATCAGGGGAAGCGAGACACGTCGGCGGAGGAACGACATTTGCTCGGCGACATAGTCCACAGAGGGGATATCACCGTCGGACTTGGGGTCCTTCAACAGGTCAACCCGCAGCTCCACAGCATCAGAACCGACACAAGCCTGGCTTAGAATTTCACTGCATGGACGCAGGTCAGGAAGAGTCAGGGAGACGAAGAACGAGTGCTTCTTCTTCTTGATGAGGCTGAGATTGTCCACCTGGCCAGTCACCACCTTCAAGAAGCGCGCAAAGTCTTCAGAAGCGAGTTGAAGCTCCGTAGAGCTGGAGTGCTGGCTATAATACTGAATATTGCTGCACTCCTGGAACCACGGCTTCCGGCGCAGCCACACTCCCATCATATCTTCCACGTAGGCCGGACGGGTCTTGTCTACTTGTAGGAAATCCATCACCTGCTCGATGTCGCGCATGATGAGCAGAACATTGCCCTTGTTCTTGTGGTAGTCGCGGAGTAGCTTCCGCGCTTCGGGACTCTCGACAATACCGCCACCGCAAGCGAAGACGTAGCCGGTCGGACGGTCTTTCATCGTTCGCTGAAGTATGGCCAGTTCTGTATCTCTGAAACTCTGCCATCCGCGATGCTTGATAATGTCCGGAATGCTGATTCCTTCGGAATTCTCAAGCTCCATGTCTAAGTCGACAAACGGGCGGTTCAGAGCCTTGGAGACCCAGTGTCCAGTGGTCGTCTTTCCTGCGCCACGCATTCCGATAATAAAGACCGAGGCGCTAGCCCTCTCCGCTTCAGTAGAGACAGCCAATTCACCTTCCTTCAGTTCCTTGCCATCAAGCTTCACACCAAAGAGTTGCTTCAAGGTATCCCACCAGCCGGGCCATGTCTTACCCACGCATTCCTTCTCAAGAATGAGCGTAGAGCGAGGTGCCACAAGAGACAGCACGCTGAAGCTGAAGGCAACCCGGTGATCATCGTAGCAGAAAACACCACCGGCAGGCTGGCGCAGCGTAGAGCGATCAATTCCATCAATCTCCAAGCCGTCATCGAACTCCCGACAGACCACACCATACTTGGCCAGCTCATCCTTCATGGCTTGGATACGGTTGCACTCCTTGACGCGCTGATTGGCGATTCCATAAATGCGTGTTGTGTGCTTCGAGCCCTCGCCTTGAGCTACGGCAGCGAGAACAGACGCCGTAAGGAAGGCATCCGTCATTGGCTCCATGTCCACGTTGGGAAGCGGCTTCAGGACTCCATTGGCGGGTCCAATGACCGTGGTGGAGGTATCTGTCTGCTTGACGTCGCAGCCCATGGGCTTCAGGACTTCCACTGCAAAACGAGCATCACCTTGCAGCGACTTGGAGCCAATATTCGGGACGGTGCAGGCAGTGCCGGTGACAGCCGCAATAGCCAATGGGTAAGTAGCAGAGCTTGCATCACTCTCAACGACATACTCAGCAGGGTTCACGTAGTTACCCCGGGGGATGTGATAAGTGTGCTCCTCGGTCGTGGACTTTTGCACGTCAATACCGAAGGACCTCATCATTGCCGTGGTCATATCGATGTAAGGCTGGGAGATCGGCTTGCCACCGACCAACTTCAGAGTCACCGGCTCTTTGGCATACGGAGCACACATGAGCAGAGACGACACGTATTGAGAAGAGACCTTCGCGGCCAGGTTGATCTTGCCACCGGCGAAACCACCAGAGGCAGCAATCTTGAGAGGGAGGCTGCCCTGGCTCTCCATGTATTCAACGCTGGCACCGTTGACAGTCAGAGCGTCGACGAGATCACCAATCGGCCGTTGCTTCATCCGGTTATTGCCGGTGAGAATGCTGAAATCGACACTGCTCGGGCTGGCGAGGGTTGCCACAGTAGTCAGGAAGCGAGAGGCAGTTCCGGCATTGCCCAGGTATAGGGATGATGGGCTAGCGGTGATTTTCCCTCCCTTGCCGTTCACCACGAGCACCTCACCTTCCTCCTCCCAGGAGAAAGTCGCAGCTCCCAGCTTCTCTAGGGCATTCAACATCACTTCGGTGTCATCGGAGTGGAGCAGATTCTTGACGCGGCAAGTACCAGAGCCAAGCGCAGCAAGTACAAGAGCTCGGTTCGAAATACTCTTCGATCCGGGCGGTGCGCAAGTCACATTAAGAGTCTGAGGGACGCCAGGGTGAACCTCAACGCTCGGAGCGAGGACCACTCCGATGTCTTCGTTGGACACCACACTAGCCTTGGGCTCGTAGGTGCGCCCGATGGCCGCCAATAGAACAACCTTCTTCTTGGGTCCCTCGTTCTTCTTGTCCAGCGCCATGTTGAACAGCTGCTGATCCACAGAACAATGTTTGCCTGCCGTCAATCTCCGGACGCGAGCATCTTTCAATGAAGTGGGAAGTCCGTAGGCCGAAATGCACTTGACTACGCGAGCCACGGCAACACCCTTCAATATACCTAGGTGCCGTGCGAGCTCGGCTTCCTTGACCATACCGATGGCAACGCACTCTCCGTGGAGGATTTGAGGTGTCAGAATAGCCTCAATGGCATGACCAATGGAGTGACCCCAGTTCAGCAAATTGCGGAGACCACCCTCCCGCTCGTCTGCTGACACGACATAGGCCTTATGGCGGGCAGAAGCCAAAATTCTTGCTTTCAGGATATCCCGGATTCCGTCGAATCGGCCTTGACCCGGCGTGACTTCCTTGCGCACGGCACCGAGAATGGTATCCGCATTGTCTTCCAAGGCTGTGAATTCTTCTTCGCTGGAGATGGCTGCCGTCTTAATCACCTCGGCCATACCGTTAATGAATTCGCGCACGGGGAGAGTCTCGAGGAACTCGAGGTCAATGTAGATCCGCGAGGGTTGCCAGATGGCACCGATGAGGTTTTTGCCCAACGGTGTGTCAATGGCTGTCTTTCCCCCAATGGACGAGTCAACCATGGCAAGCAAAGTTGTAGGGACCTGTACGACGCGGACGCCGCGCATGTAAGTCGCCGCAACGAATCCTGTCAGGTCACCAATCACCCCGCCGCCCAATGCAATGACCACTGTGTCTCTGCCGCATGGTGGCGACTGACTCAGCATCCAGTCTTCGATATCGCCTTTGGTCTGGCGGGACTTGGAGCTTTCGCCTGGCGGGGCATTGTAGACTAGGAGCCGCGGGGCAGGAGAGATGGAGGCGGCGGCGGTGTCGAAGGCCTTCAGGAAACCGGGCGTATAGATTGACCCGAGATTGGTGTCGGTGATGAGGACGTAGGTAGTCGAAGGTAAGTTGCTGACCAGATCCTTGGCGACATAGTTGCGCCACAGGCCGAAGTCAGCGACAATGCTCTCCCGACCCAAGATGCTGATCTTGGTAGGTTCGGACATGATGGCGGGGGAGAGGATGCGAGAATCGGAGCGAGGAAAGAGAGAGCGCGAGAGTGAGTGGATGATCGTCAGCGGTCGGGTCTTGCTCAATTCATTCTGCTATAATTGTCTCAGTATAACTCTTGCATATATTGGAGGTGTTTTCTTTGCCCTGGAGTGACTCAACAGGGCCGTTTCCTCCCCACAGCAACGCCGGCGACGCAAGGATCGCCGACTATTGCAAATAGTGACAGTGGGAGAGGTTGATTAGGAACGGAATTGCACCCACCTGCAAGTTGATCGCACTTCAGCAGTCCCGTGCCTCTCCGTTGCAGCTGACGAGAAGCAGTGTATGAGTCTGACTCTCGCTCGATTTTCCCCTCCGATCTCGCGGCAGTTGGGACTCACCGCCTGGCAGGCCACCCCACCGATGACCAGATCGGGTATGGTAGATTTCTGAAGAGAGTGACTATTAGGGTATAATGAGAGATGCAGCGGAGATATCTTTTGACATTCCAACAATTTTAGCCTAGATTGAACAGCTGACTAGAGATAAACGCCGGTCCCATCCTGGGTCCCTCCCCATACATGCCAAGATATACTAATAGCAGCGGTCGTAGAAGAAGTAGTCACACAATGAATGGTTTAATACCGCCCATAGCCTCCTCGGGAAGAGTGGTTGCCACGTCCCTGGCCGCGGTAATTGCCCCCACGATAACCTCCTCCGCCTCCGCCCCGATGCCCTTGGGAGCCGTACCCGTTGTTATACGGGGGAGGTGGGCCGTATCCCGGCTGACCGTGAGGCGGGTAGCCCTGCTGCATCCCTCCGCGTGGAGGTCCAGGCGGGCCACGAGAGTAGCCACCGCTACCGGGGACGGGAGGAACCCATCCCGGAGGACCACCAGGTGGTGCGCCGGGGACGAAATTGGGGTCTAAATGGGCGGCAAATGGATTTGGGCGATCCGAGCGGTCCGGAGCATAGTTGAATTGGCCGCCCCGGCCTCGTCCTCCTCCCAGCGGAGCACCGCCATGAGATCGGCCGGTGTGCTGAGCCCGGCCTTTCGTAGCCCGAATGTCGACAGAATTCAGCATCGGGGTTGCGAACTTCACGCCACGGAGAAGCATGGATTTGTGGACGTGAGTGGACTTGGGAATCGCGTAGTGAACACTGGGAGTAAGGTTAGCATTGATCGATTGTTTAATTAAAAAAAAAAAAAAAACAATGGGCTAACTCACGTTAGGGAGCGATCTTCGTCCACACCAGGCATACCGTAATCCTCCAATGGAGACGTTAACGAACTATGAGGAATGTAGGTATCACTGCGCTCAACGATACCACCCAGACCATCGCTCACGCGCATATTCAGCTTGTACTTCGCGGGGCCGGGCTTCTTGGAATAGAAGTTGGCAACAAGATCCTGGTAGAGCGGATGCCGATCAGAGATGAGAAGCACTTCTTGCCCGTGGGTGTTGCGGCTCGTCTCGTCTTCCGTAAGAAGAGGGTACACCTTCTCCATGGCAGTCAACAGACGCTTCTCGTCGATAAAAGGCAGCAAAACCACACCCTGCCAGGCGAACTTTTTGCCATTCAGATCCACAGGGAAATCTTCCGGATAGAAATCGATGATCTCACTCTTGGGATCACTCATCAGGGGATGGAAAACGGGAGGCAGTGCGTGGTTGGATGACGCTGGCAGGACTCCCATCAACTGCTCAAAGGGCCGGAACGGTTTGCCCTTGTCGAAGTTGAGGTCCATGTCCGCAATATCCACAAAGTCTGCAGCAAACGGCGCGTAGTGGTACGGATAGTACCACGTCCACGAGGGACACCCCTGGAAATAATACAGCAGGACCCAAGCAAGACCTTCGGCATAGGCTCGTGCAACTTTGTGGCGGAATTCATGGTCCTCGGGGTCCACACCAAACTTTTGCTCATAGTATCGATCGGCATATCCGGGCTCCCAGAGCTTGACAGTATCCTCTGGAAGGTCATCTCCTGGAGGCTTGTTGTTGTTGTTGTTATCGTTTGTCACAATAGGGGTGTCTCTGCCCGGAGTTCCAGCCTCAGCTTCCTGATCCTCAGGCTCATCGGCCTTTCTCTTGCCAAGTACCGATGGTGAAGTCGGCTCTTCGCCGTTGTTTGAGGGTTCTTCAGTTGGTGCAGCGGACGGGGTGGTTTCGGCAGCCGTCCCGTTCGCCGAGCCCTTCAGAAGCTTGTCCTTCAACACAGCGGCTGCGCTCTTGTTCTCCATGTTGGCACGGTACACAGCTCCGCGGTTGACAACCATGCTGTGCGTTAGTTCTCTGGTTTCTCGTGCGAGGTTTCCACGACCGGGGGTGATCAACTCGAGCCCAGCCGGAGGCGCGGGGTTATCACCGCCACGAGGTCGGTTATGTGTAGGCGAGTCGTAGGCCGGGGAACTGCGTCTTCGCTTTCTGGCGCGTTCCTCATTCCGGTCTTGATCTTGTTGCTTCCGTCTCTTTTCATTGGCTGCTCTTCTCTCCTCCGCCTGCCTACGACGCCGGAAGATCGCGTCCTCTTGTTTGGCCAACCCCTGCAGGATTAACTGAGCCCTTTTCAGGTCGACATGCCCATCCTGGGTCAGATAACCTCCCATGACGGGGATGTTATCGCGCCACAGGGCAATCAGGGTATCAATACCATTCTCACGAATATCTAAGGAAGGCAAGTGAGGAAGAAAATCGTTACCAACGAAGAAACACATGAAGACCCAGTCATCCAACGCTCTTTCGAGGTCAAACGGGAATGGCTGGTTGGGAACATGCAGTTCGACGGCCAGGTATTCTCTCAATACCGAGACATGAAGCCAAATGAACGGCTTAAGAGGAGCCGCATGTTGCTTCTCATCAAATTCCCCACTCTTTTCTTTTGCACGACCTGTACACTCCTCGGCTTTGTGACCCGGTTGCCCGCACAGTTTACACGCCCGAGGTTTTGATTCCTGGAAGAACACATCCTCGCGCAGGACTCGGAAGTGAGGCTCATGGGTCCCCAGGCCCAGCATGATCAAATCGGCATCCTAATAGATTTCGTGTTAGCACTTTCCACAAATATACATTTACGGGAGACGTACCAAACCGTAGATGACATGGCGCGTGTTCGGGTCATGCTCGGGCGACGCCCGTTGAGATCGGATGAATTCCATGATCTTGTGCTCTCCTTCTCCAGGGACAGTCGCGTCGGAGATGATGATTTTCATTTTCTCCCACCCGGGGTCCGTGTTGAGCTTGTAGGCAATCCAGTACCGCAGCGATGCAGCGAGGATATCCATGAAGGGGGTTCCGGGGGTGATGACGTTGCTGTCCCAGGTCTTCTGGACAACTTCTTCCTGGATGCCGGTATCAACGCCCTTTTTCGCGTTCTGCTTCGCGATCATCTTCTGCAGCTCCTCCTTCTTGTCGTCGTTTTCTTGCGCCTCTTGCGCGGAGCGGAATCGACGAGCACGCTGCTGGTTCATCTTGGCTCTCGGAGCGACACCATCTGCACGTAGAATCCAAGGTCAGCGACAGTCATTAGTAAGTCAAAAAGGAAACATACCAATCGCGATCATGAGCAGCTTCCGGGGACGGACCATGTTCACGACCCGATCCGTGTACTTGAAGATCTCGAGCATCATCTCCTGCTCGTTGGATGGTGGCGGCTTGCCCTCCGGGTGAGTACATGGGTGGACGATGCCGTTCATGTCCAGATACAGGTTGTCCATCTCCTCGCCATTGGGGTTGGGGCCCGTGATATCGATGGGGATCTCCTCCCCATCGACTTGTTGGGCCTGCTCCTCGATCACTGGAGAGATAATCTTGGGATACTTGTTGGAGAGCCATCTAAAGAGCGCGGGGACACCCATGATGGCGATGCGACACTCAGCGGAGTGTCAAAGTTGGTGGATTATTCGGCGATGGGTGCAGCCTGTCGCATGCTGAGTTGGAGCAAAAGTCAGTTTCCTTCTGTTTCCGGGCGGTCGCGATCGGCAGGTCGGGCTCCGGCCAAGAACGGTTTAGCCCCCCTGTGGGCAACAAACAGCTGTTCTACCCTCCGAGTACTACTCTACCAAGTATCAACACTCTCCTCGGTGCCCCCAACGGGCGGTGACCATGACAATTGAGCTTCCGACATGTTTCGAATCCTCGAGTCGCAAGCTCCGGCCAAGCAGACGGCCACCGATACCATCGATGTCCTGAGCAGTCGCCTGCAGAGTGCCACCCTCCTGGAGGACCGTCGCGCGGCCATCCAGGGCCTGCGGAGCTTTGCTAAAATCTACCCAGCTTCGGTCGCATCGGGGGGCCTGCGCTCGCTGATCAGCAGCTTGCGCAACGACCAGGAGGATGTGGACACCATCAAGGTGGTCCTGGAGACCCTATTGATGCTGTTCTCCCCCGACGAGACCAGCGTGGGTGCTTGCCTCTTCGTCCTGCCATGCTGAAATGCTGACTTGAACTGGCTCCAGCCCGAAGCATCGGACGAGATCGCCCTCTGGTTGGCCGATGAATTCACCCAGGTACGCACCCTCGGCCATGGCCATTCAAACACTCCATGCTCACGATAGGAAAGCGACAAGACAATATTACCACTCTGCTCGACCTTCTTGAAGCCCGCGAATTCTACTCCCGGCTCTATTCCTTGCAATTGATGTCCCACATCTCTAGCGCACGACCCGAACGAACACAGGAGTGCATTTTCACTGCGCCATTGGGGATTTCCAGACTCGTCAACGTGCTGACGGATGCTCGAGAGCCGGTTCGCAATGGTACGTAATGCTGAGTATCCTAGGAAGAAATGAAGCTCACAATGCTGTTTGATTTGCAGAGGCTCTGGTGTTGCTCATAGCCCTGACACCCGCTTCCCAAGAGCTACAGAAACTGGTGGCCTTTGAGAATGCTTTCGAAATCATATTCGCCCTTATTGAAGCAGAGGGCTCCCTGACCAACGGAACTGAGGTGGTCGAGGACTGCCTAACCCTGTGGGCCAACCTGCTTCGGTTCAATGTCTCCAACCAGTCATTCTTCCGTGAGACAGGCTGCGTGAAGAAAGTGACCGCCCTCCTGGCCGAATGTCAGCAAGAACCAGCGGGAGAGGAGCCCCCGCCCCCGCAATGGACGCTTGTCCATCGAGACAAGAATGTCTGGGGTCTCCTGGCGATCATCCAGCTGTTCTTGATTCGTGGCGGTATGAGCACACCCATCAACCAGACGGCATTTTGGCAAAACGGTGTGACGGAGCAGGTTCTCAGCATCGCTTTTGGGCAGAAGTTCAGCGTTGGCGTGACATCCAAGGCCTTGGAAACTTGCGCTGATCTCATCCGTGGAAACTCACCCTTGCAAGAAAAGTTTGGAGACATCGAAATTCTCTGGGGGTCCGCTTCAACGACCGAGAAGACGGTAAATGGAAGTCCGAAAGAACCACAACGAATCAATGTCATCGAGGCCTTCTTAAAGTTGAGCCTTCAACCGGCCCCAAATTCTCTTTTGGATGCGCGCCTCGCGGCTTGTGAATGCATGAAGGCTTTCTTTGCAAACCACCCTGGGATCCGCATGCATGTGCTCCGGAGAGCGATCGAAGGCCATGTCAGCGGACAGGACCAGATTCCGAATATCCTGTCAGTTCTGCTTACTGCGCCGGAATCCCGAGGAAATGCAGATCCGTATCAAGTATGGATGGCTTGTGTGTTGATGTTCCATTTGCTTTTTGACAACACCGAGGCAAAGGCAACAGCCATGAAAGTCACCGAAGGCAATGCTGAGAAAGGTGAAGAGGTGGTTACCAGCGTTCAACTCGTGGTGGGGAATTTGATCACGGGTATGCAGCGTGGCGATGATGAACGGATATCTCTCGGTTACTTAATGTTGCTCTCCGGATGGCTTTTCGAAGACCCGGATGTGGTGAATGATCTTCTCGGAGAGGGCAGCACCATTCAGACGCTCTTGCAGGAGATTAAACACCAACGGACCCCCAGCAAGTTGGTGCCGGGTCTTTGCACGGTTCTGTTGGGTGTTATCTATGAATTTTCTACCAAAGACTCCCCCATTCCCCGAGCGACGCTGCACAAGCTGCTGGTTGAACAACTGGGACGAGAGCAATATATTGACAAGATCACCAAGTTACGGGAGAACCCCTTGGTCCGCGACTTTGAGGTCTTGCCACAAACGGCAGCTGCGCCCCCTGAGGGCGGCCTGCCGGAGGTGTTCTTTGACCGTTCCTTCGTGGAATTCCTCAAAGACAACTTTAGTCGGCTAATTCGAGCCATTGATCGAGAACCTGGCTTCGAGATCTCGATTGTCGCAAACGGCGTTGAGAAGGGCGTCTCACGCGAGCTCGTTGATTCTCTACGCGCGGAACTCGAAGATCGCAACCAAACCATCCAGAAATTAGAGTCTGATTTTGTGACTATCCAGCGGAAGCTCGACCAAGAACAGTTGGATCACCGAAGGACAAAAGAATCCGGCTCTGTCGAGTTGTCTAAGATCCAACAGATCAACGGATCACTCCAACAGAACCATGAGCAGGAGCTACGGAAGCTAGACGACCAGCACAAAGTTGCAAAAAATGAACTGCTCAAGCAACACGGCGAACAGCTTCGTGCCATTGATAACCAGCTCAAAGAGGCATCGGCTGAATACGAGATGAAGAGCAACCGAGTGAGAGAACATCACGAGCATGAAGTTGCTGGCTTGCAAAAAGCCATCCGGGGGCTAGAGGAAAAACTCTCGACAATTCGGGAACAACATGCTAGTGAAGTTGCTAGTTTGCAACGTACCATCCAGGAACTGGAGTCTGGTGCGAGCCAATCCAAGGAGGCCTACGGCGGTCAAATTGCGGATCTCAAGCAGAAGGTCCAAAGCTTGGAATCGACCCTTGCCTCGACCAAGGAGCAGCATAAGGCGGATATTGAGTCGAACCTTGCCGCAGCCAAGATAGAGAATGATGCCGAGGTTACTGAGCTCAAGACCACTATTGAAAATCTGCGGTCAGATCTTGACAAAGCCCGGGACAAATCGAGCAAGGCCCTCGAATCCGCCAACGATGATTTTTCGAGCAAGATTTCTGCCCTGGAAACACGAGCCAAGGAAGCTGAAGCGAAGGCGAAGGAGGCCGAGTCACGAGGCCGGACCGCGTCCGAGTCTCTTAAAGCCATGCAGACCCAGCTTGAAAAAGCCCAGACCGAGGCGAAGGAGAAGGAAGAGGCACGGCAGACCGCTCAGACGGAATTGGAGGACCTCTTGATTGTATTTGGCGACTTGGAGACCAAGAGGAACGAGGAGAAGGTGCGTTTTTCATTCTTTCCCTCTTTCGAAACTACATACTAACTTGTCGCTAGAAACGCCTCAAGGAACTTGGCGAAGAAGTGTCCGAGGATGAGGATGAGGAGGATGATGAGAACGAAGAGGAGGATGAGGAATAGTGTGAATAGTATATACCTCACTTGTCCAATGACCATCTCTTGCAACTTCGTCGTATAGTTCTGTATATAACCCGGAATGGCAGGCGGTGGCCATAGGGCGCTCGCACAAAATCATGGATGATGAGTCACCCGGGCACATTTTATTGAAGAGCCCCGCGACCCCTCGGACTCCTGCACACCCGCACTCTCACCATGTCCATCGATTTGCCTGCTGAGGAGGAGCTCGTCCTCAAGCGGTGGAAGGAGATCAATGCCTTTCAACGCCAGGTCGAGCTGTCCCACGGCCGCGAACCCTACACTTTCTACGATGGCCCGCCTTTCGCAACCGGTCTGCCGCACTACGGCCACCTGTTGGCCTCCACGATCAAGGATATTATTCCTCGGTATTGGGCCATGAAGGGCCACTATGTTGAACGGCGCTTCGGCTGGGATACCCATGGTGTGCCCATCGAGTATGAGATCGATAAGAAGCTCGGTATGTCCGGTCTGGACGCCGTCCAGAAAATCGGCATTGAGAAGTACAATGAGGAGTGCAGGGCGATTGTCATGCGGTTTGCCACGGAATGGCGCCAGACCATTGAGCGATTGGGTCGTTGGATTGATTTCGACAATGACTACAAGGTGAGTTCTCTCTCAGTCGTTTGGGTTATACCGGGCTAATTGGGGGATTCATGAACAGACTATGAACTTTTCGTTCATGGAATCCGTGTGGTGGGTGTTCAAGCAGTTGTTCGACAAGGGTCTCGTTTATCGGGGCCACCGGGTCATGCCGTACTCGACGGCACTCAACACTCCGCTGAGTAACTTCGAATCCCAGCAGAACTACAAGGACGTGCAGGACCCTGCGGTAGTGGTGACATTCCCGCTGCTGGATGACCCGGACACCTGCTTCTTGGCCTGGACTACTACCCCATGGACGCTCCCCTCCCATACCGGTCTTTGCGCCCATCCCAACTTCGAGTATGTGAAGATCTACGACGAGGCGACGAAGAAACACTACATTCTGCTCGAGACTCTACTTCGAACCATCTATAAGGACCCGAAGAAGGCCAAATTCAAGATCGTCGACCGCCTCAAGGGTTCCGACATGCTGGGTTGGAAGTACGAACCTCTCTTCGATTATTTCTACGAGGAGTTCAAAGACACTGGCTTCCGTTTGCTGAACGGTGAATATGTCACCGCGGAAGATGGTGTGGGTATTGTCCACCAGGCGCCTGCATTCGGTGAGGACGACTACCAGGTCGCTATGGACCACGGTGTTATCAATGAGACTCGTCATCCGCCCAACCCCGTCGACGAGCAGGGCCGCTTCACGGCCGAAGTCCCGGACTTTGTTGGACAGCACGTCAAGGCTGCTGACAAGGCCATTATCAAGCACCTCAAGGCTGCCGGCCGCGTTCTCGTAGATAGCCAGATTACTCACAGTTACCCCTTCTGTTGGCGATCGGATACACCTCTGATCTACCGCGCTGTGCCCTCATGGTTTGTGAAGATTCGCCCCATCATTCCGACCATGCTTCAAGGTATTGAGGAGTCCCACTGGGTTCCCTCTTTCGTCAAGGACCGGAGATTCTCCAGCTGGATTCGCAATGCCCATGACTGGAACATTTCCCGGAACCGTTTCTGGGGTACGCCACTTCCCTTGTGGGTCAGTGATGACTTCCAAGAGGTTGTCGCTATTGGAAGTGCCGCAGAGCTGAAGGAACTGAGTGGTTATGAAGGCGAGCTGACGGATCTCCACCGTGACAAGGTGGACAATATCACCATCCCAAGCAAACAGGGCAAGGGTGTTCTCCGTCGTGTGAGCGAGGTGTTCGATTGCTGGTTCGAGTCGGGGAGCATGCCCTATGCTTCTCAGCATTACCCTTTCGAGAACAAGGAGCATTTCGAGAAGAGCTTCCCCGGTGACTTTATTGCAGAGGGCTTGGATCAGACTCGTGGCTGGTTCTACACTATGACCGTTCTCGGCACCCATCTGTTTGGTAAGCTGCCATTTAAGAACTGTGTGGTGAACGGAATTGTTCTGGCAGAGGACGGCAAGAAGATGTCGAAGCGTTTGAAGAACTACCCGGACCCCGGCCTGGTCATGGAACGATATGGTTCGGATGCTCTTCGTCTTTACCTGATCAACTCGCCCGTGGTTCGAGCCGAGCCCCTGCGCTTCAAGGAGTCGGGTGTCAAGGAAATTGTCGGCAAGGTTCTTCTGCCATTGTGGAACAGCTTCAAGTTCTTCGAGGGCCAGGTTGCACTTCTGAAAAAGTCCTCCAACATCGAATACGTCTTCGACCCGAAAGCCGAGGAAACCAACACCAATGTTATGGACCGCTGGATCCTGGCCAGCTGCCAGAGCCTGCTCATTTTTGTCAACCAGGAGATGGCTGGCTACCGTCTGTATACCGTCGTGCCTCGGTTGTTGGAGCTGATTGAAAACACCACGAATTGGTACATCCGTTTCAACCGCAAGCGCCTCAAGGGCGAGAATGGTGTGGATGACACTCTGCATGCGCTGAACACCCTATTCGAGGTCCTCTATACCCTGGTCCGAGGTCTCGCCCCCTTCACGCCCTTCCTGACCGACAACATCTACCTGCGCCTCCTCCCGCACATCCCAGAGTCGCTTCGCGGCGAGGATAGCCGCAGCGTCCACTTCCTTGCATTCCCTGAAGTGCGGCAGGAGCTCTTCGATGAGGTTGTCGAGCGCCGTGTGGCACGGATGCAGAAGGTCATCGATCTGGGCCGCGTCTCTCGTGAGCGCCGGTCGATTGGCCTGAAGACACCTCTCAAGACACTGGTTGTGATCCACAAGGACCAACAGTACCTGGATGATGTGAAGTCCCTTGAGGGTTACATTTTGGAAGAGCTCAACGTCCTCGACCTGGTCCTGTCTTCTGACGAGGCCAAATACCATGTCCAGTACAGCGTCAACGCTGACTGGCCGACTCTGGGCAAGAAGCTGAAGAAGGAGGTCCAGAAGGTCAAGAAGGCTCTGCCGTCCCTGTCCAGCGATGACGTGAAGCGCTACGTTACGGAAAAGAAGATCCTGGTCGACGGAATCGAACTGGTCGAGGGTGATCTCGTCGTGAAGCGTGGTATCAAGGAGGACGCAAGCTCCGGAGGCATGGAGACCAACACCGATGCGGATGTCCTGACCATCCTGGATGCAAACCTGCATCCCGAGCTGGCGCACCAGGGTCTAGGCCGTGAGATCATCAACCGCGTCCAGCGCCTGCGCAAGAAGGCCGGCCTGGCCACCACGGATGACGTGAAGATGGAGTACTCCGTTCTGTCCGACCCGGACAACATCGGGCTCAGCGAGGCGTTCAAGTCTCAGTCCCCGGCTATCGAGAAGGCGGTGCGTCGCCGGCTGGATGAGCGTGTCGTCACGGATGGCAAGCTCCCCGGCGCTGATGAGGCGGGCACTATCTCGCAGGAAGAGCAGGAGGTGCAGAACGCGACGTTCTTGCTGCGGCTGGTGAAGTTGTAGAGTGAGCGGGTTATAAAAAGACGCATCCAAGTACCTCGGTAGATAGCAAGTCTACATTTTCACTTTTTTCAGTTGTTTTGATAAATGAATGGGTCATGCTTATTATGAGTCTATAACAATGAAACCCTAGATATTATACAATGCCAGTTCCTGGCGCCTATACTGCCTCTTGATCTCCCAAGCCCAAAGAGATCATTCTGGGAGCTAGTCCTCTAGCCCTTCTTGGATGCGGCCAAATAGCAGTCCTTCAGCCGCAGGAATTCCTTAGCGCACATGTCCTTGTGGACGGAGTTGTAGTCCGCGACCACGCACTTGCCGTATGCCGCCGCCTAGAAATATCATCAGTCTGAGTGGTCTTGCACAGTAGACCATCGTATACACACCTCCGTGGCACACTTGGCCGTGGCCTTGGCAAATTTCTCGACCGGGCGAGTTTTGACGGGCATCTGGAGATTCCCTCGCAGGCGAAGAAGAGAGATAATTCGGGGATCACTTCACCTAGGTAGGTAAAGAGGAGTCGGAGAGGTGTGCAGTGGATCTCACTGACCTAAGCACAAGATGCCCCCACGTGACCGCTCCATGCCTTCGCGACACCCAGGAACTAACCAAACAAAACACTGCGGTCGCGGGTACCAGGGCCTTGATTTCGTCCCTTTTGATCTTCAAATCCCGGAATGCAGAGATATTGTATCAGCGCATGACTGTCTTTCATGACTGGTTCGCGATGATTTCTTGGGCCCGTGTCCATGATCCCGATGCGACAGACGCGCCATAGAGTCGCGAATTTTCGATGCCTCCGATATCCTCCCAGCGCCGGGTCCTGACCGAGGAGAACTCATCGCTCTCGGATGATGGTATGAGCTACTCTCTCTTCGTGTCTTGTCTCTCTCTAATCCATTTTCCGAACTCTAGATGTCGGCTTTCTCTACCAAGTCGTCATTCGCGCCGAAGGCAAGCCCGAGGTTGAGCGGCTCCCGTTTCGCGCCCTCTTTGAGGCATACGACGAGGTCATTAGCGAACATGGTGTCAACGCAGATCCAGGCCATGCGTGCCTGCGGTTCCTGTTCAAGATGGGCAACAAAGGCGTACGGGGAGAGACGCTTTACGACAAGTTCGAGAGTGCGCTGCAGCAGATGGGGATTGTCCTGGAGCTAGGCGACGATGGATCGATCGATCTCAATGAGACCCATGCTGAGGACGTGTCTTACTCGGTGACTGCTGCGGAGAGCCACGTCGACCAGGGCGACGACTACGTGCCTGCTGTTAATGGGATATTGCCGACGCCGCAACGACGCGCATCATTCAATACCACCCTTGATATCGGCGAGGATGTTACGCAGAGGAGCTTTGTGAATCGGCCGAGTTCTCGATCGTCCATGTCGCGACTTGAGATCGGAAAACCTGAGATTTCCAAACTCAGACTATCTCCGAAACAGACACGCGATTCCAAGCCGCCCACTTCGCCGGATCGAACACAATTGATTGCACAGTTTTTGGAAGTTGGTCGTCGCTTGATTAGCAGATTCGACTCTGCGGAAAAGAAAGATTCGAACAAAGGGCTAACTAACGGGTTGGAGGCGAGATCGGCTGTGGATCATGATCGTTTCAAGAGAATGACAGCAGCTTCACAGCATCGTCGGTCCCCTTCGTTTGGCTCGTTGGACAGCTCCGCATCTGATGAAACAGAGTCGCTCATGTCACATCCTGTGGAGCATGATGACTTTGAGATGGAGGAGGCACCGCCTGAATTTTTATATCGACCACAGCTCTCGGATCTCCTCCGGGACGCTTCAACATTTAACATGTACCGCCAACGAGCAATCTGTCGCCGGATTCTAACGCAATGGCTGAAGAGAGCGTTCCAGGCTCGGCAGGTCCGCCAGAATATGGAGTCTGTTGCTGTTCACCGTGACCGCGGCACCCTTCTTCGACAAGCGTTTGATCCATGGCGAGCCATCATCCAGCATAAGCGTCACACGGCCCGGACTGAACGGTTTTTCAGGCACCTGGAGGAACGCGCTGGACGCGCTCGAGATCTCTATCTGATGACCAAGGCTTTCACTCACTGGGCGCAACTGACGTCAGAGGAGGTCGCTCGCACATCTGCTGCACGACGGCATGTCCTTGGCGTCAAGTATTTCAATGCATGGCGCGAGATCACCGCTGTCAACGAGTTGAAGGCGCAGCGATTCGCATTGCAGAGACCGTTCAATGCTTGGCGAAAGAAAATCCAAGATCTCAAAACTGCCGAGTCGAAGGCGGTCGCTCTTCGTGACAAGAATTTGCGAAACAATTCCTACTGGCAGTGGTTTTGGTGTTTTTATGAAACCCGTGCTCCGGTATGGCATGACCATCGACTCAAACGGCGCGCTCTTCTGTATTGGCTTCGCAACTTCCGAATGAACAGAGAGCGCGAGCACGAGATTATCGTCCAAAACCGTAAGTTGGCACAAGGATGGGCGCTTCAGATTTGGTCTCAAAAATCAAAACGGATTGCTTCTGCCCAGCAGGAAGCAGAAATCTCACAGCGGCATCGGGCTCTGCGAGTCACATTTGACGAATGGAAAATCCAGTCGCGGTTGGCCCCCGCTGCTTCTCGTGTGTCTGATATGGTGAGCACGAGGATTCTTCGTGGTGCCCTGTCACATTGGGTGTTCAAGGCTCGGATGGCGAATCAGGCAGAAGAAATAGACAGATTCAGAGTCCAGCGCAATGCATGGACATCTTGGAATGACACGCTCCGCTCCTTGGCTCTTCGCGCGCGAATTGACGAGCGGCTCAAAATGGAGGCTATGTACAAGTGGATTCTGTTGGAGAGATTCCAGCTGATGCAAAGAATACGCGAGCAGCGCATCAAACGCGAGATATTCTCTCGGTTCGTGGCAAACACACGAGACACCTACACTCGACTGCTTTTTCACGCGGAGATTCACGAAGATCACCATGCGGAGGACCTGATGCGATCCAAATTTGCAATCTGGCGGGATCAACTGTTGCTTCAGCACGAAAGAGAGTATGTCGCGTTTGAGTTCTATGCTCCACGACTAGCCGAAGAGTCTCTTGCAGTTTGGCGAGCGAAGCACGCACATGTGGTGAAGATGGAGGGTTGGGCGAAAGACGCTCGATTTTACTTTTTGATGAACCGTTCGATGAAACAATGGCACCAGGCAACGCGAGACTCGGCCAAACGACGGCGGCAGGAGGCGTATGCTAAGATTCGGCGAAAGATCAAAATCAATCTTGCTTCCAAGGCAATGGATGTTTGGAAATCGCGAACTCGACTCGTCATGAACATGGACCAACAAGCGGGAGAAGTGGATCGCGAGAAACTATTTCATCTTGGATCCGACCTCTTTGCTCTTTGGCATGAAAAGTCCGTCAAAAGAGTGCAGGAATGTCGCGATGCTGATATCTACTATTTCCGCCAGGTCGCCTTCGACCAGCTGATGCAATTGTCCGAGACCTTCGTGATCCATCGAGAGTTGGAAGACCAGGCAGATCACTTCTACCGTTCGCGTGCCCTCCGCCATGCGGGTTCCTCTCTTCGCAAGCTCAGTCTGCGTGTGTTCCAAATTAAGAGCACCGCTGAGACCGCCGAAGCAATGAGAGAACGAAACCTGCGCAAACACTCCCGAGGCATGTTCCGCCACTGGGTGGAAAATACGCGGCTGAAGCTCGAGGCTCGAGACTCCCCTGGTCCCACCTTGACACCGGCCCAGTTCTCCAACTTTGGAGACAATGACGGCGCTGGATCGGCTCTGTTTGACCCCTGGTACCAGGACCCGGCGGAAACGCCCTTCAAGCTCAGCGATTTCACAACCGCCTCCCAGGGGCCAGTCTCCGCGTCTGCAAGCCCTCTGGCCACTCCCAGCTACACGAACTCCCCGTCTAAACGAGCAGCGCGCGCACGAGCTCTCGCGCAAATGTCCACGACACCTGCCACACCACTACGCACACCATTCGCCAGCCGCCTGCTTCGCGTAAATTCAGCAGCAGCGTACACAACATCTTCGCGGCGACCACGCACTGGCCGGAGGAACTCGATAGGAACCAGTGTTCGGTTCGTGGACGAAGAGCTCCCCGAATCTCCCACCGAAGGGCGCAAATCCGCCAACCGACGACCTTGATCTTTCCTCTCTCCCAACTTTTGTACATCATCGATCACTATACATGCCCATCTCTCTCCTCCTCTCTCTCCGCATTTGTCTGCAATCTTCGTGTCTCCTGGTTTCGTCTTGCATCCTCAGGCGCAGCATATATCCAGCGGGTTGGATGGGGTTTCTGGTTCTTTTAATAATTTGTCGGGGTGTTGGGTATACAACTTGTCGTTTTGGACATGAATGAATGAATGAGTCAACTTGTGGCTTTTAATTAATTCGTAGTCGTCCAACTATTCACCTGATGTTGTTGGAGTATAGTCGCACGGAGTGGATCCCCAAGTAGCCAGCTCTCCCGCCTTCGACTCTCCGGCTACAACAACTAACTCACTAACCCCCACCCCCTCGAGTACTCCGACCAGGACTCGACGACACCTCGTCAGCTGTCGTCGCACCTCCCATCTGCATAATTCTCCCTCTGACCATGGTGTAACACACCCTTCCATCAAGCGCCCGACCTTGAAACCCAACCGCCTCCATGCGAGCGGTCCTGCCGGGGCGGCCCCCAGCCAAGCTCCGGTCGTTCAGCACGGCGCTGTGGGATGGCCTGCGCGTTGTTGTAAGTGTCCCCAAGACACCCTGACTGTGTGCTGCAGCTTTGATTCCCTTGATTTCCGTTCTGTCGCTGACCGCTGCCCCTGCGCGTTGCTCGACAGGCGTACATCTCCGGCCACGCGCTGGTCATTCTCGGCGGCCCGCAGACGCTCCTTCAAACGATCTACGTCGATGATACGGACTCCCTCGAAGCGGTAGCTTTTGATCAGGCTACGGGTAATATTGCTGTGTGTGGGGGACCGGATGTCTTTGTGTATCAGCCATATGGCCTTAAAGGCGAGACCTTGAAAGTGTGTATACCGCAGTCTCATGAAGGACAGACAGCGTCGGGATATGGGAGCAGGATTGTGTTAACATGTCGCTTTATGCAGTGGTCTCTCGTTCATACCTTCCGCGCCCACGATGACGACGAACCGATCTCCACTCTGTCATGGGGTTCCCCGAACGAGCTCCTCTTGGGCAATTCAAGCCTCACGCTTTGGATTTTGGATGAAAATGAAGACCCGCGCCTACTTTGGAAACGGAAGCTTGCAACCCCGGTCAAATTCGCGCAGTTCTCCCCCGATGCGTCGCTGGTGGTGACTGTCGGGCCGTATGATCGTTTGGCGAAGGTATGGAGACGGCTTAGCTTTAGTGCAGACGAAATCCGATTCGAGATCTCGTACCTGCCCCATCCAAATGTCGTGACGGGGTTGCACTGGCGCTTGCCCTACCATCGGGAACAATCTGTCGATAATGTCTTGTACACCATGTGCGCCGATAACAAGATTCGAGTGTGGGCAGTTATGGATCATCATGCGCTTTCTCCCCTGCAGTTTTGGGCGGATATTGATATGAATGCCTCGGTTCAGCCTAGAGACGCGTCCGAGGAGGGTTCAGGCTCCCAACGACGGTACGGGTTCATCTTGGACAGTCGCGATTTCTGCTCTGCTACGGAACGCGCGGTGGAAAGAAACACAGGGAATAAGGAAAACCATGCCCTGGAGCATCTCATTGAAGTGGCGAACAAGAGCCCGGAGATTTGTGTGGTGATTGACGGCCAGGGTCATATGGCCGCTTGGGCTCTGGAGGATGTTGGCTCCAGAGTCAAAACCAATATGAGTGTCTTCAACATCCTGCATGTGGAGGGCTTGAAGTTTGGATTCTTGCCTGGCCTCACTAAGGGGGAAGATTACGCCCAAATCCATGCGTTCCAAAGCACCACTTCGGATGACACGCTCAGCATACTCGTCCATCATTTTGACGGCCGTATTGAATGGTACGACTCACATGTGGACGTCCTCTTTGACCCAGCACCACGCAAGAAACGAATCATCCCGAAATCATCTTGGACTGGACATACCGCCCCCGTCAAGAAGATCGTTCGAAACGCCACAGGTGACACGCTCGTTTCGCGAACCAGTGAGAATAAAGGAATGATTTGGAAGCAAAAGCGTCGGGACAGCGGGTCTTTCCTGAACCATAAGAGTGTGCTGCTCTCAGATGAGCACATCCATCGGACCTGCGTGATTGAGGGTTGCAATCTTTTGGTCAACCTCCACCACAATGGGGTTTCGCTATGGGACACCAGCTCCTATCATGCAAAAAGAATCGCCTCCCTTCCGTTTACACTATCAGCCAAGCCACTATGTGTGCTTCCAATTCCGACAGAAGCAAGTACGGGTGTGGCATATATTGCAACCATTGATGCGAACATGGATGGTATCGCGTGGGAAATTCGATGGCCTGCCCAAAATGGTGACCTAGACAAAAGCGAAGAAGATCAGTGCCAATTGCGGAAGTTTTGTGACTTCAATATGGGCTTGAAGGAAGATCTGGCTTACATCCTTCCTGTGGATCCCGCGGGCCCGAAGACCAAGACATCTGGGTTCTTTGACACGTTTTCTGCAGACATTGCTCTCTCTTACACGCATAGCGGAATCCTTCGCACTTGGACCGCCAAAGTCGACCAGGAAAATGCCCAGGTTGAGTGGCTACTCAAATCGACAGTCGGGACAGGCATTGACAACCCATCTTTGGCCAGTGCAAGCTCTATCCGAAAAGCTGCATTGGTGGACGAGGGCCGGACTCACCTCACGATCTGGGACACAAACAACGCCCAGCTGGAATTTGAAGAGCACTTTGCCCAGAATGATATCATTCGAGATCTGGATTGGACCTCCACCCCCGATAAACAGTCTATCCTCGCCGTGGGGTTCCCCCATAAGGTAGTTCTCCTATCCCAGCTTCGGTATGACTATCTCGACTCTCGACCGTCGTGGACACAAGTTCGAGAGATCTGGATCAGAGACCTCACACCGCACCCCATTGGAGATTCTTGCTGGTTGTCAAATGGTCATCTGGTCATTGGCGCCGGCAACCAGCTGTTTGTATATGGCAAGGACATTGATGTCGGAGACCGGCTTGTCTCCGAGCTTCGCATGCAGTCTCGTGGCTTGCCATCAGTTGACCTGTTCGACCTTGCCAGTCGTATCAACGGACCTTTACCCGTCTTTCACCCACAGTTCCTGGCACAATGCATTCTGTCTGGGAAGACGAATTTAGTGCACGCTATACTGAGAAATCTTCATCGGAAGCTTAAATTCTACACGGAAGGTGATGATCTGGATGGCATCCTGGAGATGCCGCTCGAAGATTTTTACGAGGAGCAAGATGTAAGGATTTACCTACGTGTATTTTAGAATATGATGCTGACAAGTGCAGGCCCCTCAACAAGCAGCATTGAAAGAGATGCGCTCTTCCTATGTCGATGCTGTCGAGGACGACATGTCGTCTGTAATGGACGAAGCTTCTGCGACAGCACTCAATGAGAACCTAGCACACATAGCATTGCCGCAATTATCAAGTCACGAACAATTTCGCCTAGCGGATATCATCGAGTGCGTTGCAACAGTGGAGAAGCATCGACGATCGATGGATGACAATGCAGCTCGTTATCTCCTTTTCTTTCGACAGCATATGCTTCGACGAAGTCAAGGGGTAGCAAACAAAGACACCGTCTCCTGGCGAGAGATTGTTTGGGCTTTTCACAGCGGCAGCCAGGATATTTTGACCGATCTCGTTTCGCGGCAGTTCAATGGCAAGATGACATGGAAGGCTGCTCGGGAGAGCGGCATCTTTATGTGGCTCTCAGACCCGACGGCTTTGGTAAGCATTTTCCGTCCTGTATAGATCTGATCTAACCGTGTCATTACAGAATGCGCAGCTTGAAGTCGTCGCACGAAACGAGTATACCAAGACCGAGGAACGCAACCCCCTCGACTGCTCTCTGTACTATCTCGCGCTCGGAAAGAAGAATATCCTGCAAGGCCTGTGGCGTATCGCACATTGGCACCGCGAACAAGCAGCTACCCAGCGCTTGCTAGCCAATGACTTTAAAGAAGCTCGGTGGAAGACATCCGCCCTCAAAAATGCCTATGCATTGCTAGGCAAACGGCGATTCGGTGAGTGCTACCAGTTAATTTTGCTTAAAGGTCTAAGCTAATGTGCAAAGAATACGCCGCGGCGTTTTTCCTGCTTGCTGACCACCTTCGCGATGCGACCAATGTCCTCATGAACCAGGTCGGGGATCTTCAGCTCGCTATTGCTATTGCACGGGCTTTTGAGGGAGACAGCGGACCTGTCTTCAAGGAAATATTAGAAGAGAGGGTTCTCCCCGAAGCCGCCACAGGAGGAAATCGGTGGATGGCCTCGTGGGCCTTCTGGATGCTTGGGCGACGGGATATGGCTGTCCGGTCTCTGATATCTCCCGTCGAAACTCTTCTCTCGCCAGCAACCCCAGCATCTCCTGGTAGCCCGGGCCGAGTTCCTCTCCAATCCAAATCCTACCTCTCCAACGACCCGGCTTTGGTCGTTCTCTACCAACAGCTCCGCGAGAAGACCCTGCAAACCATCAAGGGTGCATCTCAAGTTCATCCGCGAGAAGAATGGGATTTTGTCTTGCGCAACGCTAGACTCTACGACCGGATGGGCTGCGACCTTCTCGCCCTCGACCTGGTTCGCCGCTGGGAATTCCTGCACCCGCTGCCACCTCGCACTCCAGCGCATGTACACGAGGACGGGGTGGATTACCGGAAACTGCTGCGCCGGCGGAGCAGCCTGGTCGTTGCCGATATGCCAGTGCGACGACCTGTAGTTACTACTACCCCGCAGGTCCCGAAAGCTGCTGAGACCGAGGAAGATGATCAGGCCAAGCAGCAACCGCAGAAACCCAAGCCGCCCCCCACCATGTTCCATGAGCCGGATGCCAATTCCCTGCTTGATAGTTTTGGATTCTAGTTTAAGGCCTCTCACGTCCCGCTGTACTATCTATGGATATATTATATCAACACAAATTATCTAAAGACGTTGAAGTCGAGGTCAAGCCCATCAGCGTATTCACCTGCTCTGCATGGTTAGTTGATTTGGGGGAAGAGACTGCAACCGCCTTCATAAATGGAGGTTTCAATTGACGTAAATCCTAGTGTGACGGGTCTTATAGATGTCGCTGTGTTTTTCTACTGGGTGTGTTGTGATGGGGTCTGGAAAGGGAAGGTGCAAGAGTTGAGGTCGGCCCTAGTCTAGGCCTCATCATGACATCTACCTCCTCGGTTCCTCTGCTCGCGTCTTTTCACCAAGATAATTCTGCTCTCGGACAAAAAACAAAACAACAAAACAGAACACAATGCAACATGTCAAATGCACCTTATGCGGGGGCTTCATCGGAGCCGGCGGGGTCGGACGCCAACATGTTTGGGATCCAGTCTTCTTAGAGTCAACCAAGTGGTTTAGAACTTACAAACGGGATAAGAGTGTACTCGGCAGGTCGGCCGATCTAAACGATGTCTACTTTCAATTCCCGTGGGCATGGGACCGTTTCTGGAGAGCCAGTGAGATTTCTTCCTGTCCTTTATTGCATATTGCTAACCACCCAAAGTCAAGGTAACTACCGTCGACTACAAAAATCGTAAAATGAAATGCCATTTGACTGGAGTCGGGTTTGAAAGCTGGTGCCATAACACTTTACGGTACTCAGCGCCGGTGCAAGCTCCGAAAGACCCATCCCAAATGATCATCGGTCATATCGGATCCCAACGTATGCTTATAGTAGGATGCTGGCCAATTTATTATGGCCCTCCGAGCCAAGGAGACATGTATGTGATGCATGAGCGGTGCTGGGTGCTAGCAGCTCAGGCTATCGACGCAGAGTCACTTGTCAAGAACCTTGATGCCTTTGTCGAGATCATTCATAAACTCTAACAACAGAGTCCCACACTTTGGGACCTGGGGCTAGCGAAGCATGACTCAATCGAATGGGGCCATTTCGAATACCGCTTGAGAGATCCCGATCTGTACAAGGGGTTGAAAATTGCTGTTACCAGGTACAACAGGTATATCAGGAGACAGCAACTTCCTCCGGAAACGCTCTTTCTAAGAGATCCCCTCAAGATCGCAGAGGTTGCAGGGCTCATCAAGAAGACGAAAGCGCAGAGCTCGGAGCCAGCAAAGAAAATTCTAGCTGTCAAGGAACAAGCAGTTTCAACCCATACAATGACCCTGCGCTCCCAAAAGCCCAAGAATCGACGAATTTATATTCCTTGCGACATTTTATGGAGCATAATCGACTTCCTACCAGATCTTGCAGATACCTCACGCCTGCTACAAGTCTTGCCACACTGGCAAGAGGTCATTCCAAACGAACTCTGGAAGCGCCTCGTGGTGCGATATCTAGTTTTACAAGACGAGGAGCTCTCAGACGCCGAGGGATTGGACTGGCGATATCTTTTCCTGCATGCCGATGAATGGCTAAGCGGCTCGCACGGATGGCGGAATCGAAAGCGGATCCTGGGCATTCTCCAACACATTAAGGCGCAGTTTCTGGATCTGGTCCAAAAAGAAGTTGAGGAGGAACTTACAATGGAAGCAAAATATTGAAGCAAAGGAGAAGCTCAGAGGAAGGGGGCGAGCAAGCTGACGCGAAAGAAAGGGAAGGATACTACGATGAGGCAAGTAGGAAGCGGACTCGAAGCGGGTTACGAAAGGTGTACGGAAGAAGCGTAAGCGGTCTTGATGAAAATGAGGTGGTCTGAAAGGTGGTCGTGAGGTAGACATCTTGCGAAATCGCTATTGTGCATTAGCTGACAAAGGAAGCACATTGATTATAACTAGTTCACTTTCTTCGAAACCCAGTGGATAGCGCAGCTGTAGGTCGAGGAACTGGGGCTTGGGGGAGTGAGAGTGCGTAGTGCCGAAATATGGAAAAGGATGAGCTCTTGACTATCCAAGAACATTTCTGCTGAGATATGACCTGAACAATTCTGGCCCTTCATACATGCATGGTGGCTAGAGTCTCTGTATTGAGAAGTATGGTGGGTCATTCGAATTCGGTAATTGTAAGCACAATTGGACAGGGAGCTCGGTCTAGTGGATGACAAGGGATCATTCCTTTCCTCGGATATTTCTAAGGACTCTATCTAGACTCTGAACTCATAGACTGGAAAATCTCGCCTCAGATCATCACCATTTTACTCCTAGACTGGAGTGCACTTACTCTCTCATTCGTCTCTCTCGAAAATCCGCATATGTCGATCCGTAGGCGCTTACCGTCCAGAGCGCGGTAAATATTACCGGTCCCGCACAATCAACAAGGCAGGTTTACCTAAGAAGCCTTTGTAACATAACCCTCTAGTGACGTTTATTATCCAGGTGAAATTTGAGAGGATGTGGACCATGTTGAGTCAGTGTCGCGTAAAATGAACTGCGTTTTTGGTTGGAATTTGCTACCCGTAAACCATCAATGTTTGTCGATTGTTTCATTTTGTGAGCAGTGGAAGCTAGCAGCACAAAAGAACCTTGCCTCGCCTCCTGATTATTCCCAGCATGTAGCGGATCGCCAGGAATGTACTGCTGCTGTTCCCAGCGTCCAACCATTTAAGAATACACTACATGCTATGACTAGGCTAATTCTACCAAATATCAAAGTAGGGGCCACGTAGGATTCCCAGTCCATTGGATTATGTGATTTGGATGAAAAGTCGGTCGTAGCGAGTTAAGGGGAACTGCCCATCGTCCGTCCCTTGCAGGATGATCGAGATAGTTTGGCCGGACTTCGCGTCAGTCGGGATCGTCACCGTTGCCATATTGTGATCATGCTGGGCTATTCTCACCATCCCCGGGTAGGTGCCTTCTTCGAAATACTGCCACCAGGACGTAGTTACCTTGTCGCCATCCGGATCGCGAACCGAGCTGGTCAGCTTCACGGTCCCCCCAGGACGACCTTTTACTGTACTGCTATTCAGGATCTCAACCGAGGGCGCATGATTTCCGTCTTGGTACTCCGGCGTCACTGTCCACTGCATGCGAGCTGCAAAGTCGTTCTGGGCGGCCGCCATCCAGCGGTCTGTTGTGTAGTTCCCGACCTCGGTGCCAGTCTGGTTCTTCTCGCTGTCAACCATCACCCACAGATTCGGCAACGTGCTGTTCTGCGTGGCCCGGCCGCCCCAGCTCCCGAGGTTCGGGTTCGCTGGGTCCTGGATGCCGGTGGTCAACAGGGGCATGTAAGCCACGTCGTCGCCCTCAGAGAGGAAGTCGTACGAGCCAAGCGGCTTGCACCAGCCAGAGGCCGCTTTGGTTAGATTGCCGAAGATGTCGAGCGGGTCCCCTGGCATGTGTTGACCGTCGAGCCAGGAACGATAGAGCCTACCGTACGGTCCCATTTCAATGAACGGCTTAATCCAGTAACCACTGAAATATTTGAGGTCGTCAGGCAGCCCACGGACGTTGCCTTGACCCAGATTGCAGTTGTAGCCCCACGTCGCATAGCCGGTCGACAGCTGCTCGACGCGTATCTGAGGCCACTGCAGAGCGACGTAATCCGTGTAAGTGTCGTCCTGAAAGCCGCTGGCCATGATGACAGCTTTACGAGAGATGGTATCCTTGGTCCGCGCCCACTGCTGCGAGCCGGAATATCGCTCCTCGATTGACTTTAGAGCACGGGCGATAGTATTGGTGCCGCCCCAGGCCTGCAAGTATAGCGGCCGCGGGTCCTCATCCAGCAGCAGTGATCGGATAAGATCAGAACCCTCCGTGTCATGATCCATCTCGCCCTCGAAGTCGATGTTGCCGATTTTGACTATGGGTAATAGCTCCTCCGCCGTCGGGTAGAATGGGTCATGGCGGCATAGATTCGGGTGCACCTGAGCGTATGCCTTGAGGACAATATCCTGGATGGTCCGCGTGCCGGTCCACCGCAACTCCGTGCCATTGCCATTGCCAGCCCAGTGATAGCGGCTAGAGGTATAGATGATGCCCTCCGTATCGACTTCATTGGTGTAGAGTAGAAATCGGATCAGCGAGGCTAAGTCGTCCTGCTCCATGTCAGTCGTGACGACTGTGCGCACCTTTGCCGATTCCTTGGTAAAGTGTCCCGAGGTGACTGGGAGCACGGTGGCCAGCAGACCAATAGCGAACAGACGGGAGACAGGAAACCGCATGTCGGATGGCTTGATTTATCTGAGCGGATTGCAAAGGGGAGAGACTCTCGTCTTCAACTGTACAGTTCTACATCTCGGGTCTTCAGCAAGTTAGGCTTTACTTTATAGTTGTAGAAATACCACAGTTGGGGTCCAGGGATTGTCATATTGGGCAATAAACCGCGGAGAAGTCCCCACTTTAATCCGTATTAGGATAGTTTAGGCACTGCATGCTTCACAAGTGCTATTCATAACTCCACTGCCATTTGTGGGGAACCTGCGGAGTACTCGTCCCCAAGCCGGGCCCCCAACAGCTAGTATCTCGGGTTCTTTTGCAACCCTTACTGTGTCTGCGCAGAGTACTTGAATCGGCGCGTTAGAATGCGGTGTGGTGACGGTGAAAGGAAGTTCCTCATCCGCTTGATGGCATATCACAGCTCGATTTGTAGAAAACTTGCAGACCTTTGGAAAAGAAACCAGGACAGACCGATCTCAGGACCTATCGCGTAAGTAATGCAACTGAGATGGTCGCAACATTATTGAATGGCCTGATCTGTTTGAAACAACCATCCACACGGCAGTCATCGCATCGATTTGCAATTGATGGTACTCCACTACCCCGGAAATTTGTCTCCATTGTGGTGGTAAATATTCTGCCAGTATTGGGAATCTGATGTAATGTCTACAAACCCTCAGGGGCATCAAAATTCCTTACTCATCCCAAATCCGAGGTCGCCACGCCGCGGCCTGATGATGTCAACACTGCTCGCTAGCTTCAAAGCCTCACGTTAAGTGGTCTGAGGATTTCAAACTTATGATCCTTGTACAAGGAAATGAAAAGCCCATCTATGAGCATTATGCTACCATGTTCTTCGAATGGCTGAATCCGACTATTGGAGAGTGGTTTTGGTGGCAGTCCCTGCCGTCGGTGCGGCTGTAGCCACTATATTCTTTATTCTACGTATCTACAGTCGAGCTTTCTTGATTAAGCATCTCGATATTGGGGACTTGCTTATGACTCTTGGACTGGTGTTCTGCTATGGAGTGACTATAAGCACAATAATTGGTGAGTTACAAACAGTCGGTCCTCAGGTTGCGTCTGATGAGATATTCTAGCTGCATTCAACGGAGTCGGCCAAGACATCTGGAGCCTAGAGCAGAAGACTCGTGGCCGTGTCGCACTGGTAATGTTGATTATTGATATGGTTGGAGTATGTTTCTCACTCATAACATCAGTTATTTTGGCTCGCTCAGCTATTCTGGGCACTGTCTCAAGTTTGCATCAAATTATCACTCATTGTGCTTCTCCGACAACTACTAGGCTCTATACAACAGTGGAAAATTGCAACGACGTGTCTCATAATATTCAGTGTTGCGTGGGGAACAGCTTTCGTTTTGGTCAACCTCTTCCAATGCTGGCCACCTCAGCACTTTTGGCTACGAGTCAGCGTCAAGGGTACATGTTTGAGCGGACAAGAAGTGTTTTTTGTTTCGATGAGTGCAATATCGCTCGCTGAGGATGTTTTTCTTCTCTTCCTTCCCGTCGGTATTGTCTGGCGATTAAAGCTCGCCACCCAACAGAAGATCCTGCTAACCGGGCTTTTCTCCATCGGTGGTTTGTAAGTATATTCAACACGGTGAAAGGTTCTTGATCGACTCATCCTTTCTTGACCAGGGTCTGCATTTGCAGTCTACTCCGGTTAGTGGAGCTCAAACACTACACCATAGACAATGTCACTTGTGAGTTCCGTTTCCAGTCATATGTCAACGACACTGATTGTAAATGCAGCTAGTGGCTCCAAGCAAGCGCTGTGGACGCTTCTTGAACTTGACCTCGCTATTGTGTGCACTTCACTAGTGCTTATGAGGCCCCTCTTCAGGCAGTGTAGATCCGCCTTTTCTGATTCTCATTCCAAGCGGCTTATTCCGGGAGCAAGGCGTGTTTTCAAAACTGTCACTGGCACAGATGATAGCTGTTGAATCAACATTGGCCTGACCAATGTCGTACTGCCATTGCACACTATTTCTTGCTAATCATGACCCGGCCACATACGCGTGGAATCGATATGCGCTAACTGCGCTGTTCGTGTCGTACCTTTTTGACTACTTGGGTCTGGGACACGGCAAACTGCCGGAAGAACTCGTTTCGAATGATGGAGCGTGACACTCTCGTAAAGAGCAGGACGTTCCCGCAGCTTCCATGGCAAGAGGTTCACAATCCAAAAACCACTGTGGCTGAGAATGGCGACACTATCCTGGCGGATAGATGGTACGGACTGGCCTGCAAGGTCCATTACACCTGCGACATGTTCTTTGCTCTTTCATGGAGTCTGGTGACCGGGTTTCACAGTCCGTTCTCTTGGTTCTATCCGGTATTCTTCAATGTCACGATCACCCCACCGGGCCATAAGGGATATCACCAAATGCCGACAAAAGTACGGCGATGCATGGAAGGAGTATGAGAGGCAGCTGCCGTACCTTTTTATCCCGGTATGTTTGAACGGTACGATACAATTGGAGAGAGCCTGGCTAACTGATTGCAGTACGTGATCTAATTGTAAATTCCTGTACATCATTCTGATATAGATCTGGAGCAAAACCAAACCAAATATTTAAGCTTAGCGGCTGGACCTTTCGGAAGGCGCCATTACCCGCCCTAACCAAACCAAACCCAGTAGGCCGACGCGAGCTCGATCCTAGTGACTCACTGATCAAGAATACGTAATGACGGGGCGGATGGATTCCGCTCTTGTTAAGCTGTTCAAATATAATCACCTCCCCACCAAACTGTCAATTGACAACGACGCACAATGACCGGACCAGCCTTCCACACAGCACTATTCACGTCCTCTGAGCTACTCACTCAACCATGGTTGTCCGATCTCACACACATGGTCAACGCTAGCTATATGGTCAACCACACCAATGTAATCAAATTCTCTACCACCAAGAAAAGACTCCAGACCGACTCAACATTGGCCGAAGAACTCGGGGAGGGCGGGTTCACCGTGGTGGCCTTTGTTTCAAACGACCCAGACCAGCCAGACGAGGTGATCGGCACCGCGAGCATGAAGAAATGGAAGGATGACGGACAGTGGAGGCCCCACGACGAGCTGACTAGTACAGCCGAAGGGGTGGACCAAGATCTCAGCCAGATCCTGCAAAAACATGCCTGTCTCGGCGACTACGAGCTGTCTACTGTGGCTCTCCCGCCGGATCCTCGAATCCGAGGGAAAGGAATCGCAGGTCATCTGGTCCATTTGTGCGAAGAGGAAATTCTGCGGCGACAAATGGCTAGCGAGAAGACCTCCCGGTTCCCTGTGCGTATTATGATTCGCACCGTTAAAGAGAATAATAGCACCTACTGGACGAAGCAGGGTTTCACCGTGGTGGGGGCTCGGACATGCCCAAAGGGATTCTGGGACGCAGCGGAACCGTTCACAATGTGGGCGATGATCCGGGAATTGTCGCCCAAATCTGAGTCGGAGAGTATATAAAAGATATTTTGGAGATCTAAACTGCTAGAACGGACTGCATAAGTAGTTCATTCCATGATTCTCTCGCAATTAGCATTCAAAGCGGCTCAACAGTGAAGATGATCTAGAATAATTGATGTCGATATAGAGCAAGCCGATGCTACCCCTTCGCACACATCGGGATGTTGCAGAGTATGTCCGATGGGACCTAAGCAGTGCGGGCTATCCTTGCATGAGCCTGATCGTCTCATCCTTCATGGCACTGATGCTCTCCAGATCGTCGCATTCCGGCCCTTGCCCGTCTTTCCATGCATGATCTTCAGATGATCTTCAGAGCCGTCAGATCAATCCCTCGTTCAGAACAACTGCATTCCACGGACAAAGGGAAACCGATGGATGTTTACCAGACCCTGGTGATCTTCGCGTGTGGCTAGAAGCAATGCTACTTAAAAGCCAGGGACGCAATTAGGAGCTGAACAAACTCAATTGAATCATCTCCCAAACCCTCTTGAAAGACCCAGACACGAGAATCCTCCCAATTTCCAAGCCACGATGCACTTCTCCCAGGTAATAAATATCACCCATCATCTCTGTTGATGATATACTTACTCTGTTACCCAAACAGACCTTTGCCGCCGCGGCCGTCCTGGCCCTGGGCCCTATGACCGTCCTGGCCGGCTTCCCCGTTGCCACCGTCGAGTTCCAGACATGGGAGTCGTGCGATGTTGGCGCGCCCGCGATAGGCGAGCCTAAGTCCACCAGGCAAGTGAGCGTGACGTCGCTGACTTGCGGCCATACCTCGGTCGACCGCGACTGGAGCGTCAACAACTACTCCTTCAGCGCACACCTGATCGGCGATGATTCGGGCTGTTGCTCCAGTGTGAGTGTCTGGAACAACGACGACTGCTCTGACGAGCCCGTGTACGAGCTGCCGTTCGAGCATGGCCCATTCGCCGAGCCCCAGTGCCTGCCTGAATTCCTGGAGCCAGGTTTTGTGTCGTTCAAGCTGAACTGCTTTGAGTTCCCCGGGGAAGAGTAGTTAGATCATAGTGTTTGTGTGCGATAATAATGTACTTCCTACTGTTGCAAGGGAGAGCTGTGATTTTCCCGCCCCACGTTTTTCTCCGCTTCCACCTCACCTCGTTCCGTATTGTTTATTATGGCGGGCAACTCGGTCTCCCGTCGTATGATCCCATGGCTGTACGATCTGGTACTGTGGCTCTTCACCTGGAGTCTGAACCTGTTCTTCCGGGAGGTCTACCCTCGTGGAGCCTGGAGGATCCCTGAAAAGAGCCCAGTGCTGATCGTGGCCGCGCCCCATGCCAACCAGTTCGTCGACTCGGGCATTCTGATGCACCTGCTCAAGTCGCAAGCTAGGCGACGAGTCTCCTTTTTAATCGCCCAAAAGTCTATGAATGAGCCGTATATCGGAACGCTCGCATCATGCATGGGCGCGCTCCCTGTCGTCCGATCCATGGATTTGACCAAGCCGGGACAAGGCAGCATCTACCAACCTCACCCACACAGTGACCCCGCTCTGATTCATGGGGTGGACACTGATTTCACTCAGCCGCCGTTCATGTCGGGGGGTTCGCTGACCGTCAGAGGCCCCGATGGACCGATGGCGGCCTCGATTGAAGAGATCGAGGGGCCCACGGTCCTTCGACTCAAGAAAGCATTTGCCTCTCCTGTTCCGAATGACCCCGGTCGCAAAGGGACATCTTTTAAGATTGCTCCCCATGTCGATCAAAGCCAGATGTTTGATGCGGTCTACAAGGAGCTCTCCAACGGCGGGTGCATCGGGATTTTCCCCGAGGGAGGCAGTCATGATCGCTCGAATCTGCTGCCCCTAAAAGCTGGTGCAGCGCTGATGTCGCTCGGCGCGCTGGCCCGCGATCCGGGTTGTGGGCTGTCAATCGTTCCATGCGGAATGAACTATTTCCATGCGCATAAATTCCGCTCGAGGGCGGTCATCGAATTCGGCCGGCCGATTCACGTCCATCCCGATCAAGTGGAAGCTTTCAAAATGGGAGGGAATAGTAAGCGAAATGCGGTGGGATCTCTGCTTGAAACCATCTATGACGGCCTGGAAGCTGTCACGCAGATTAGTCCCGACCACGAGACACTCATTCTCGTTCAATCCACACGAAAACTTTACAATCCCATCAGCAAGAAACTCCCGCTTCCGTTGGTCATTGAATTCAACCGTCGCTTGTTGAAGGGCTATACTCGACACCGCCATGACCCACGCATCCAAGGCTTGAAGAAAGCCGTCAAGGAGTACAACCGGCGACTAGAATCCCTTGGAATCAAAGACCACCAAGTAGAGTGGGGGAATCTGGAGGAGAAACCGTGGTGGTTGACGCTCATCACCTTACTCTATCGCCTATGCAAGCTGTCTGTTCTGAGTATCGGCACCTTGCCGGGCGTTCTACTTTTCTGGCCTGTGTTTGTAACAACCAAAGTGATCTCGGAGAAGAAAAGACGGCTTGCACTGGCGGCATCGGTCGTCAAACTTCAAGGCCACGATGTCGTCAGCACCTGGAAAATCCTCGTCGCGATGGGACTCGCACCGACACTCTACGCCTACTACACCATCATTGTAACGGCATGGCTTCGGTACAATCGATATGACGGTTACTACACTCAATCCGTGCCTTGGTGGTTGGTGGCACGAACCTATGTCCCAGATGGCGTTTCACTCGGGGCATTTGCCGTGATCTTCTTTGGTCTGATGATTTCAGTCAGCTTCGCCGCTTTACGATTCGGTGAAATCGGAATGGATATCATCAAATCTCTGCCCCCGCTTCTGGTGGCTTTGAATCCGCTGTCTTCGTCATCTCTGGCCGATCTCCGTGACAGTCGCGAAGCACTTGCAGAGCGGGTCACTGACACCATCAACGAACTTGGCTTTGGCATCCTTCCCGATGATGTCGATGCTGATATCCCCACCGATCCGTACAAGGCGGATGCATACCAGTCTCATCTGAAGAGTATCCCGCCAAGCGAGCCCTCAAGTAGGGAGCGTAGCAGCAGCAGATCTAGTGGATTTGCTGATCAGACACGCTTGAAGGGACTCACTTCGCTTCCCACCGAGGACGACTTGGAAGAAGTGGATGACAAGATTCGGGCCTTTAAGAGCAGAGGAAGGCGGCAGACGTTCAGTGGCTTTGAGCCGGGTGAATCAATTTTGAAAATTTTGAACCACAAGCCTCCAAGTGGCAAAGCAGAGGGGAAGAAAGAGCGCTGATTTCAGTTTGGATTATTGATTCTACGGTTATCACGCCATGCATGACTTTGCTCTCTGTCCAGCAACCACCTTGTGACCGGACTAGCGGATATTCTCCGATCAGTATTGATCACCTATGAGCCAATGAAATGATTCACATCTTTACACTCACTCCTAGAACCAGAAAAAGTCTATACCATGAAGATCAATCCTTTCTCAAGCACTCTGATAGACGCGCCGCCGCCCCCTGGAATGCACGGACAGGACTCACATACCAAGTAGAGCAGAACGCGATCCACAGCAGTCCTGGATCAACATCTGACAGCCCCTTAACGGCTGGAATGCGCCTCTTCTGTCATTACTGGTGCTAATTGCTCCAGTGACAACCTGACCATTACCAAGTATGATGCGGAGATCATTTCACTGAGCCAGGGACGTGTCTGGCGCGTTTCATTGCCCAATATCTTGGACCGTTTCTCATTCTTGCCCGCCATCCAATATTCCTCGGGCAGCTGGGGTGGAATGATGGACAAGATATAAGGAAGGGGACTTCAGCTCCATTTGACCCTGATCTATCCTCGAGTACATCTCTTGTTCATATACCCGGTTCGTGATATCAAGTTGAACTTCGTCGCAGCCATGCATACCAAGGTTCGTATAATATAGTACTGCCACACAGATATAGTAACTAACAATCACACAGACCGCTATCTCCATTCTCTCCCTCCTTGCCCCAATCCATGCGACCACCACGGTCCGCGTCTGGACACACTTCTACCCCAGCTGCCCGGGTGATCCGTCGGCCGACCTGGGCGCATACGAACACTACGAGCAGGCCGGCGCGCCGCGCGACATCACCATCGGCGGCTGCGAGAACATTGCCGTGCCGTCGTACATGTACGAGCGCAACCTCGTCAACCACGTCTCGCTGGATGCAGAGCTAGTCTCGCATCACCATTACGGCGACTACAGGGACGTGGAGATCAACCCAGACTGCGGCTGCAGGGTCACTCTCCACGAAGTACCGGGATGCATTGACCCGCCTCTTGTGTCGACGCCGCTCGAGCACCGCGCCGCCGTGAGCACCTGTGCCGCGCGCCAGCTGTCTTACAGTGAGGTGTGGGTGAAACTCGTCTGCGACGAGACGCACGACGTGGTGATCCACGAGCATGACGGTAACAATGAGGCTGACGTTGCGCTGCGCACGGCCAAGCTCTCCGAGACTGAGAAGGCGGCTCATGCTCAGACACCCGGTTCAGACTCTGAGTCCTGGCACCGAGCCCAGGTGGCGCAGTCGTCTGAGCGTACGCCCGAGGATCAGGCGCGTGTTGACAGCGCCGGCCATGTCGAGGCAGAGTCTGTCTTCAATGCGCTGCTGGAGTACCTCAAGCATAAGAATGCTACTTCTATCCTGCACGGCAATGCTACGCAACATCTGAATCTTACGCAGCACCTCAACGGCACTGCCAACAACACCATCTCGCGCCGACATCTGTCTGTTCTGCGGAATCGGCTGCGTCTGTATTAGGTGCGGTGAGTTGGGGTTGGAATTGGGGGAAGTTGGATCTCATGTATTCGAACTTTTTGTACTTAAATAGGATAGTCCATAGAATGACAACCAGCTGGCTTGGGATCTGAGTTTATTGTTTTGTAGCGATCTATACTAGGTCACGCTGGAATTACTGGCCGGCATAGTTCAACCCAGCAGTTCTGATATACCATAACCTTTGGACGGTCAAATGTAAGCCTCAGCTCTCGCCTGGAGACCCGTAGATTCTGCCGGATCAATATTCAGACCCGATTTGTATCCCCCAATATAGTCCAGTCTCTCATCAGAGGTTCTATCCATGCTGATTCCATACGTCCCAAGGTCAGATATAACTACCAGCAATTAACAGGCTCTTTGTAATATATATTCACAATCCCATTTATCTCTGTCAATTGAAGTCACTAATATCATTTTTACTATTATTATCATTTCTTCCTCGTATTGAATATCCATGTTGTACTATCGCAGAACGTAGTTATCTTTACCTTAACTAGTTAACTTAGTTATCGGGCACCATTTGTCAGCCACTCCGCCGTCATCGCCGCCCGCCACTTTTTCGGCTCGTTCCTTCTCCAGGCCGACATGACTGCTCTGCCTGGATGAACTACCAGTCCGTCAGCATGGCAGGCAGCTCTGCCCCGAAACCTCGTGACCATGCAACAGATAGGTCACCAACACAAGGCTTGTTGGCCCCGGACGACGAACGAGACTCCATCGAGGACCCTGCGCCGACATATCCCCGGAACCCAGCGTCGAAGACGTCCCCCCAGAGCTTCACTCCGCGGTCACTGTTGGTTGGTCTCATTATCGGGGCCCTCATAACCTTCTCCAACACCTACTTCGGCCTGCAGACGGGATGGATCAGCACGATGGCCATGCCCTCGGCCCTGATCGGCTTCTCGGTCTTCAAGGTGCTCTCGAAGTACCTGTCCTTTCCATTCACGCCAATCGAGAACGTTTTGATCCAGACTGTTGCCGGCGCGGTGGGTACGATGCCCCTCGGCTGCGGGTTTGTGGGTGTGATCCCTGCATTGGAGTTCCTGCTCAAGGACGGTGAAGACGGGCCTTTAGGCGATGGCGGGGAAGGCGAAGGGGGCCCGTTGAAACTAGGGTTTTGGAAACTGGTTCTCTGGAGCTTGGGCGTGTGTCTATTCGGTGTGGTCTTTGCTGTACCGCTGCGGAAGGAAGTGATCGTGCGGGAGAAATTACGGTTCCCGAGTGGCACCGCCTCTGCGCTGATGCTCAAGGTCCTCCATGGGGCTGGGAAAGATGATGAGAAGCTTGAAGCGCCTGAAATCCCGTTGATGAGGGACCAGGAAGACTTGGATGGTGCTGCTCATCGACCACTAGAGGCACAGGAGACGGGGTGCCTCGTGCAAGATGCCGATACCGAAGCTCAAACCGCCGCTCAAAGGAAGGACTGGCAGTCAAAGATGCGTCTTCTCATCGGGGCATTTGCATTTTCCGGTGTTTATGTGAGATTTATTTTCCGTTACTGATATGCACAAGACCCTTGCTAATGGATGTCTCAGACACTTTTCTCATACTTTGTGCCGTTGGTTCGCGACATTCCGCTATTCGGCGTGTCAATTGCCCACAACTGGCTGTGGACTCTCAATCCTTCCCCCGCTTACGTTGGCCAAGGAATCATCATGGGCCCGTCGACATGTATGCATATGCTCTTCGGGGCCGTCTTGGGATGGGGCATTCTGTCTCCGCTGGCCAAGGCCCGCGGCTGGGCCCCAGGGCCCGTGCAGAGCTGGGAAGATGGGAGCAAAGCATGGATTGTGTGGATTTCACTGGCCATCATGCTTGCCGACTCCCTTGTCAGTCTTGGGTGGCTGGTTATCAAACCTCTAGTAAACCGCGCGCCCAGATGGACTGCCCAGCTCGGATCCACGCGCTTCGGTCGATGGGTTGCGCTGAGACTGCAACCATCAGGGGCACATGATCACTCATACATCAGTTACTCTTCCCTCGACTCTGGCCATGCGCGTCTCGATGACCGTGTCGCCATTGGCGAAGAAGAGGACGAAGACGCCCCGCCGTCCCAACTCATCTCCACCCGCACCGTCGTACTACTGCTCCCATTAACGCTCATACTGAACGTTGTATGCATGCACATTGTCTTCGGCGACATCATATCCCCTCTTCTTTCAAGCCTGGCCACTCTTCTGGCCGTTCTTCTATCCATCATGGGCGTGCGAGCTTTGGGAGAAACAGACCTAAACCCAGTTTCCGGGATCAGCAAACTCACCCAACTGCTCTTCTCACTGGCGACGCCATCATCCCATTTTTCACGCCGCACAGCACTAGTCACGAACTTGATGGCTGGTGCAGTTTCCGAGTCCGGCGCCCTACAAGCCGGCGACATGATGCAGGACTTGAAAACGGGCCACCTGCTTGGAGCAAGCCCTAAGGCCCAGTTCTACGGCCAGGTAATCGGTAGCCTTGTCGGTGCAGTACTTTCCACCGCTGTCTACAAGATGTATGTCAGTGTATATGAGATCCCGGGGGAGTTGTTTCAGACACCTACCGCGTACGTTTGGATCTTCACCGCACGCCTGGTCACAGGCCAAGGCTTGCCGGAGATGGCCTGGCAGTCATCCATGATAGCCGGCATCATCTTTGTGGGCATCACCAGTCTCCGGATTGCCGCCGCATCCCCGTCCTTTGCGCGCGCCGGCCAGCCACCTGCCTGGAGAGCGTGGATCCCGGGCGGCATCGCCGTCGCGGTGGGAATTTTCAACGTCCCCTCGTTCACACTGGCGCGTGCTATTGGCGGCATCATCGCCTGGTGGTGGTCGCGCGAGCACTCCAAGCCTCCTCACCACGCACCAAGCGCCCATGGTGATGGCGCCGTTTCGACAGAGGCTCATGCAGAGGCATATTCACAGCGCGTGGAACTATCGCCCGCTGAGCAGGCCGCAGAGAAAGCCGACGCTGCCTCATCGACTGTTGTTGTTTTGGCATCGGGTCTCATCCTCGGCGAGGGTACCCTAAGTATTGTCAATCTCCTACTAGCCAGTGGGCGTGTCCCACATTTCTAAACTTAGAGCTTAGAGTGTTTTCTCTATCATATATCGTTATCAAATATTAGCGTCGTGTGTACATAGGCAAAAACAAGGCACGTTACTATTAACCATTTCACTTGTGATACAAAGGAAGGTCGTTGATCCCTAAAGAACACAAAAAGGAGGCTCACAAGAGACATAAGTGAATAAAGTCAGATAAGAATATCTAGATACGGGCTAAAAAGCCGCCACAAGGCCTAATGCACAAGATCTTACAGGGGGAAGGAAGGCCCCGGGTATTTCCATTCCAACTCAATTCACACTGTCCGATGTATCCACGAGAAAAAAAAAAAAACCAATCCGAACCAATCCATAAGTCCAACCAGGGAGATGTATGTATGCATCTTCCAAAGAATACAAGAAAAAGGAAAAAGGCAAAAAAAAGGTGGGGTTTTTTCAAAATGATTTCCTGGATTAAAACCCAAGCCAAGCACAGGAAGACCTGTGGGTATAGAAAGAAAGAAGAGTAAGTAGAACAAAACAAAAACCCGTCTATACGGGACCACAATCAAGAAGATGGTAGGTGTGGGAGGATTCGATCGTCACGGACGTAGAGAGAGGTTGGAACAAGATCAAGTTGTAGTACCGGGCAGGCCGTCCAGCGGGGATTACACTGACAAGGCCACCTGGGCACTCATTCACTCCAGCGAATGCGCCAGCCATTGCTATAAGGAAATTTGCATGAACAGTCAGTCTCCAAACCCTGTCAAAAGGTAGTGCTATCGTGTATTTATTCCCGCCACTAGAAATTTGGGGGAGACGTCGGGTTCCCTGGAATGGCGGGCAGGCCGCCTGTAGGAGCGGGAGCTGGGGACGGAGGCATGGGCCCGTCTGCCAGCGGGCTTGATCGGGGCTGAGGAGGGTTGGACGGTGACATGTTGCCGGCGGCGCTGTTGCTTCGTGACCGCTGGTCGAAGGGCATCACGGGTCTCTGCATTCCCGGCGGACCATAGGGGCCGGGGCTCTGGGAGCGAGGACCGCGTCCAGGTCCTGGGGGCGGCGGGCCACCTGGGTACCCAGCCGGGGACATGGGCCGGCTACCAGGGTAGGGACGCGGAGGCGGCGGACCATAGCCAGGGCCGGCAGGGGACCGTGGACGGCCTTCCTGGGGGTAGAAGCGTCCGGACGGAGGGCCACGTCCACCCGGTCCTGGTGACATCGGGCCACCGGGGCCCATTGGCGGGGGACCTCGAGGACCACCTCCAGGAGGCCCGCGGGGGCGAGGCTTCACAGGGCGCGCCGACAGGCAGCTCCGTGGGACCACACCTTGCTGAGACCGATCGAGACGGATGCAAAGAGCCTAAGAGATGATTAGGACATGTGAACGCATGAAGTGACATCGAAAAAAACAAAGCTTACCCATCCATCGTCGTATTCATGAAGCATCCGAGCCAGAGTACCAGCACGAAGACCCAATTCATCTTCCATGGAAGGATTGAAGTCCATCTGGACGCGGTAAACATTCGAAGGACCACCGCCGGGACCCATCATGCCGGATGAGATGGATACCGCATCCGCACTGCCAGCAGGGCTGGGAGGCGAGGGGCCAGGCCGTTCTCCGGTTGGCGAACGGCGAAGGTCTCTCTCAGAACCGATGGCGGCACCTGCAACCATACCCGCAGCACCTGCAGCGGTAGCAGTTCCATAAATGGCAGCTGACTGCTCGGAGACCGGTGTGGTAGAAGTACTGAACGGGTTGACTGGATCCTGGAACGGGTCTTGCGGTGAGGTTGGCGAGGAATTGCCTGTGAGGTTGCGTGGAGAGGCGGCAGCGCCACCGGCACTGGCGTTGAACCCCGCGCTGGCGCTCATATCGGGGGAGAACTTGGGGACAGTGCGGATCTGGGGAGCGGCCGAGGGACCGTTGGGGCCAGACATCGGTGGAGCCGATGAGGGCGGCGGCGGCGCGGGAAGACTTGAGCCACCAAATGGCTTCTCGTCCTCTTCTTCACGGGCCTTCCTCTTCTTGCGGATCAGGAAGAAGGCGAGGAGTGCAATAAGGGCAACACCGGCGACACCACCGACAGCCACACCGATGATCACACCGGTGGACAGGCCACTGCTCGAACTTGAGCTGGGCGCGGACGTGGCTGAGGCTGAGACGGAAGGCGACGACGTTGCATCGAGATAGTTGTTGACACCACCGACATTGTTCGATGTGGTTGTCACCATGGTGTTCCCGGCGGGCACCTTCGGGTCATTGTTGGAGAGATGTGTGATAGCGGCAGCAGCAGCATCATCGGTCTTGGGAGCCGCCTTTGGCTTATTGTTCTCATTATCCGTTTCAGTCGGCTTGGCCTTTGCGGTGTCGGTGTTTTCTGTCTCGGTGTTTTCTGTTTCGGTGGGTTTCGCAGGCGCCTGCTTCTCGGTCTCGGTTGGCTTGGGGGCCTTTTCGGTGTCGGTGTCCTTCGCCGTCTCTTTCGCCGGCTTGTTCTTCTCCGTTTCCGTGTCTGTCTCGGCCGGCTGGTTCTTCACCGTCTCCTTGGGCTGCTTTTCGGTCGGAGCTGCCTGCACTGCTGGCCCAACACCCATTTGGGGGTTGCTGTTCTCCGTGGGTTTGGGGTCATTGTTGTTGTCATTGTTGTTGCCCTCGACCGTAAAGAATTGGAATTGGGGGTCGCGCTCCTCCAGCTCTTCGGGGCTGCGAGCGTGGAGGTGATGACCGTGCCCGTGTGCCATGTTGACGGTTAAACGATGGAATCCAGAGTCAGAAAGCGACTGACTCGGTCCTGAGCGAGAGGCAGAGGTGCGCGGTGCTAAATTCCAGAGCACTCGCGTCTGTATTGTGGGTGATTGGAATGTGGAAGGAATGGATGACTACCGGCAGAAGAGCCCAAGAGTCCAAAAGAACGACAAAGACCAAAAAGGAAAGGAAAGGACGACTTCCAGAAGTCCGGGTGAATGAATGGGCAAGAAAGGAAAGCACGAGGCAGGAAGTCAGGCTCAGGAGACCCTTGACGGAGTAGTTGCTGGGCCGTTGAGGCGGTACGGCCGATACAGCCGTAACTAAAAGCGGGAAGGATCAGGGTCGGACCAGGGTCCTTATTGGCTCATGACGTATGGTCCCTGGTTCGGGGATACCGTCTATTACGGGCGTTTGTTGTTCTGCCGTGCTTCGGCCATTGCTGCTCTGATTTCGTCGGTTCTTCATTTCTTACGCAATACAGATCATCGTCCGTCCCTCCGTCCATGCAGGATTCCCAATGATGCCACTGGCAAGGCATTCAGAAGCCACCGGTCGGCCCCCGTGGCATCAACCCCCTAAGTCGTGCTAGCGTCGCCCGGGGCCCATTTCGCTAAGCAAAACCCTGCAACGCGGGGCTCGAGCCCCATCCACCCGTCCAATGCCCATCCACGTTGGCTGGAGAGGATGGTCGTCTAATTTCCGGGCCAGCCGTCCGGCATAGACAGAATGCCTCCCATCGTACCAAGGTTCCGAGCGAGCGGGGGTTTTTTATAGAACAGGGCAGAGATAGCTTAGGACGCCAAGTCAAATCGCTCTTGCACGAGAGCACTCGAGGTCGTAGCCCAAGGCGCAAGACGCAGATGGGAGTTCCCTGTGATCGCCGAGGTGCGTGAGTATGGCGGATTATAACGATCTTCACCCACGGCCAATTCCGCAATTCATGGAGGATTGCCGTATTATGATGGGCTGGAGAAAAACGGATGTCCAAGAGCCTGGAAAGATGGTGAGATCATCGTGGAATGATACTGGCCCGTTGGATCTCGCCACATACCTCGGCGGCGGAGAGCCGCTCGCTGCTCTCGTAGCATAGCAAGCTCCGCACCAAATCGCGGCCCTTGGATGAGGCTCCTTTCAGGACATTTTCCCAAGGCTGCGCCGGGAATGGGTGGAATTCCACCTTGCCCCAATCAGGCAGAAGACCGATTTCCTGTTCCTGTCATTAGTGTCTGACCTGAAATGCCCGGAAGAATAATCAATCGCACCGGCCAACGTTGTTCATCGGGGGTCCCCAGTGTCTTGAAGATGGAGAAGATAAGTGATAGATCGCTGCCGACAGGACCCGAGTCAAAGAGCGCCGGATGCCCTACCACGATGGCTTCGGCCACCACACATCCTGCGGCCCACACATCCAGTGCAGCTCCATATCCTTTGAAACCGAAGAGAACCTCTGGAGCCCGGTAACAGGTCGTGCCCACATCCGTGATCTTGAGGTTGGCGGGCTCACAGCCCGGATCGCCTTCCTTCCACGAAATCCCAAAGTCGGCGAGATATGCTGGTCCGTCCGGGGAGTCCATCAGAATGTTCGAGGGCTTGAGATCCCGATGGATGATCCCCATGTCGTGGATATGCGCCAGCGCAAGAAACATATCTCGCAAGATTGAGCGTGTTTGTGCAGCAGTCACCATATCACGCCGGAGCAGGTGGTCAAAGTCATACCGCAAGAAGGGGAAGACCAAGACCAGCCTGCCGCCGTCGAGGGTGAACGTCTCTACCAGGGGAATGACATGCGTGCCACTGGCTTGCCGTAGCAATCGGGCTTCTCGATGCGCATCGTGAGGAGCGGTCATGAGATGCGGGATCGTGACCTTGACCGCGCGGACGGTGCCATCGTCGGCCTTGGATTTATAGATGGTCGAATGGAGCCCATCGAAGTGATGAAAACAGGATGTATACTGTCCGAGCTTCTCGCCCGTGGCCGGTGCATCCGATGGATTCGGGTCTTGAAAGCTTTCTTGCACCTGCTGAGGACTGCTGATGACGGGTGCTACGGAGCCCGTGGCCTCGGCGACATCAATGGCTTGCTGACACATGCGGTCATACTCCTCTCTGGAGGTGGCCTGGTCGTAGGCTTCATTTTCATACCGTTTGGCTTGTGCCTGAGCCTCTGCGAATGCGGCAGAGGAGGCGGCCTGCTGGTAGACAGTGGTGCTGGAGAAGTTATGTATTAGCCGGCATTCTCGGCGCTCGACATGGACCAACTGACAGAGACTGGATGGTCGTCAGCCGCTCCGTAAACCCTAGCTCGGCTCTCCAGCTTGCCATCGTAACAATAGTGCTGTATCTATAAAGGTGTCTGTTTGGTTGTACTTGCTTGGCATCGATAAAGTGATGGTCAGGTGACGGCCGTTTCCGCTGCAAGGGCCGGGAACCCAACGAAGACCAAAATACCCGGCGGTGATTGGCGGATGCTGATAAGTACGGTAATACACTGTTCCCCGCCTCCGTCACTGTCACTGCCAACCCCAAAGCCGTCCTCGGCGCAATCCAACCACGCTTCCCTTGATCTGATCAGGCTCACTTCATATACTCGCTCCCTTCCCCGCCCAGTTTTGGGCTGTGTCCTCGTGTTTATCTTCCTGCGAGCTCCTCTCTTCTTGTTATGCGCTTCGTGCGCCTGGACCTGATCGACGTGTGACACACCCTGCCCCAGCCATGGAGCTCTCACGACAGGAGTATCCGGCATTGCTGGTAAGATTGACTATTCCGAGCTTCAGTAGCACCCCGTGAGACCAGACTCAGACTGACTCCGAATAATTGTGCTCCCAACCAGGCCACCTTGCACCCCAGCGAAGCTACAACCGTCCTTGGCGATCGCATCCGGCTCATCAATAAGATCAATACCGATATCGCGGACTGGCTTCAGGTGCGAGCTCTCTCAGCGCTTCCAAGGAATTGGTACTGACGAGCTTGATTAGGAACGACGTCGTGTGGAGGAAGCCTATGCCTTGAGCTTGCGGAAACTGGCGAATCGTCCACAGATAGATGGAGCGTCACTGGGGTAGGTTCAACTTTGTCTCCGCGAGCTTCGCCTTCAACTCACGCAACCAGAATCTTCCAAATCCCCTGGCAGCGCATCATCAATTCCACCGAAAAGCTCGCCGTGTCGCACGAGACCCTCGCAAGCAAGATCGAGGAGGATGTAGAGCGACCGCTCAGAGAGTACGGCACCAAGAATCGAGATATGCAACAGATGCCCAACATCCAGAGCAACCTCACGGGGCTGGCCAAGAATGTGGAGGCTGCTCAGAAGAAAGTTGAGAAGTCCAAGGAGAAAGGCCCCAAGGGCGCAGATAAGCTAGCCTCCGCAGTCGCCGCGGTGGAGGAAGTCAGCCAACAGTGGGATTCGAGGGCCCCGTTTGTGTTCGAGCAGCTCCAGGCGGCAGACGAGGGCCGACTCAATCACCTTCGAGACGTTCTCACCCAGTACGAGACGCACGAAGTGGACCAGGTCGAGCGCGGCCGTCAGGCTGCCGAGAGCTGCCTGAACGTTCTTCTGAATGTTGAGACGGCGGATGAGATCAAGACTTTTGCTGCCAAAATGGCCGGTAACCGGGCTGTAACCTCTTCCGTCCCACCGAGAGACCAGCAACCCCAGCAGCCGGAAGAACCGCCTACCGTCACAACACCAGAGCCAGCACCAGTACCGGCAGCAACGCCTCGAACTGCAACCGCACCCGCCGCCGCTGCTGCAACAACCCCGGCTGCTGCACCGCTTGTGCCCCCTCCTCGCATGCAGAGTGATTCAGCCAGCCAGCGGTCCGAGAGATCGGAACCCTCAATGGCTACGCGAACGCCTCCAGCACCAGAGCCGGTGGCGCGACACACTCCGTTAGGAGGGTTGCGACGACTGGGCACGGTCATGAACCGGCGAAAGAGCGTTATTGGACCGTCAGCCGGAAGCTATGAGAGGAAGCCCGAAAAGAAGCACCGGAGTCCGTTTTCCGCCTTCAAGAGATCCGACTCTTCGCGAGATGCGCAGATCCAGCTACCCGAATCTCCCCCTCTCTCCACTATAGACCGTCCCGCAACTTCCTTGACCGAAGAGGAATCGTTCCGGAACCCAAGTGTGTCGCAGGATCGTGATGCATCAGAGACAATTACGACAATCCCAGCAGCCCAGCCAGCACAAACTACGACAAACGGTACGACTTCACCAGAAGAGCAGGCTGGACTGGTCCACGGTGATGCGGCTAAGCCGCGGATTGATTCCGAAGGGTACACGGAGCGACCTTCGACAATTGATGAAGTCACTCGTGCACAGAGAGAAGCAGCAGGGTATGTATTCTATAAAATGAAAGGAACGACAATTGCTGACAGATATGGTGAATTATAGTTTGGATGAAGCCGCCATGAATTTGACGATTCGAGATCAGCCAATTTTCGAAGACGAAAGCCAGGCGAAACAAGCGATGGATGAAATGGCGAATACCCTTCGAATGGTTCGTGTCAAACTCGTTATCGAAAGCCAATACCATACTGATTGATTGGGCTCTATAGGGCATCAGACGAAATGCAGGCACCATTCGCGGACGCCGCGATGTTCGCAACACGATATTTGTTTCTAACCCCAGCAACGAAGCTCTTGCAACCCAATCCAAATCGGAGACTCAGGCGCCAACGTCGCCGATCAAACACACCGCGACCCCGAGCACTGCGACGGATGATCACACCATCTCAGACACCACCTCTGTTCGTTCTGGACACACGGTCCATGCAGCTGCCCTTCACCCTGATCTCCACGAGCCCGGTCTGAATGCATCCATCATTGAAACTATTAATGCATGGTTCTCGGAGGGCGTTGTCACCAAGTCCTTTGTGGTTGGGGAGCTCGCCTTGGCACACAACGCCACCGCCGGTGTCCCAGCAGACAAGATGCGGGTTCGTCTGGACAACTTCCAGGTGCTGGAAAAAGTTGCGGCGAACCCACACTTTGTCCATGAAACCGCCAAGGATGCTTCTGACGATAAGCGAGGCGAGTACGATATCCAACTAAGCAGCATCGGGCGCCCCATGCCAACTGTGGCGTTCAAGTACCAGGTGCATCTGGACGGACTCGATTCCTCAACTTACTGCCCTGTCATTTTCAAGCCCGTTTGGAATCTGGAAGAATACCAGGCCAGCGCCATCATCTTTTATTCCCTGAACCCAACCTTCGTCTCCTCCCCCAACGAGTCCATAATCCTCAAGAACCTCGTTCTAACCGTCGGCCTTGACGTCGCTCCCGAAGACGAATCTACCAAACAACTGCGCGACTCCGTCGCCCACGCCACCACTGCCATGATGTACCCTAACACTGGCGCAACGTTCCGCCGCAAATACTCGACCGTCTCCTGGAGGCTCCCTGAACTGGAAGTCAAGCCCCCCAGCGCCGCTGATGCAGACGGCAAGTTCCTCGTCCGCTTCTCGACCAGTACGAGCGGGCCGCGCAAGGGCAACGTTGAGGCCAAGTTCGAGCTTCGCTCTTCTGATGCCAGCACCTCCCATCTGGGCATCAGCCGTGCTGTGTCGGACTCTACAGAGGTGGATCCCTTCGCTGATGCTGGATCCAAAGACCCGCAACAGTCTTCTTCTACTGCGGTGGTTTCGTGGCAGGATGTTCCGACCACTCGCAAATTGGTCGCTGGGAAGTACGTCTCTTCTTGAAACGGTGGCATGGCCTGACTTGACCCACAACGTCCGCGCGCTCTCGTTTGTATATACCCTTGTGTGGAGTATTTTTTGCCTTTCTGTGTTCGCCAGTCTTCTTTTGTTGCAAGAGACATAAACGGTGAGATGGGAGAAGGAAACTGAAGAGTATGTGCTTTGAATTCTTTTTCTTGCAAATAGCGATTTCCCTGTGTGTTTTGGCAATGTAGCTAAACATTTGAATATGCGTCTGTCTTATCTTTCTTCTCATCTTGCGTGGGTTACCTATCTTTTCTAACTGGAGATATTGTTTCCTTCTCTCTCAATACGATAATATCACTACCTTATCAACCCATCCAACTAATAAGACATAGATAGACATAGCACTGCATTTCCATGTGTCGGAAAATCATACAAAGAAGGAAAGAACGAGGAATAGAATCATGGATAGTAATGCAAGGTATTAGGTACACTTGGACAAACTCACATCCTCGCAGCACGGGTGGTTTTATCATAGAAATCCAACGTCATCGCAGCCAGGAAACAGGGTATATCCTTCCTCTCCTCCACCCAGAACTTGATGAGGGGTTTAATTTCCATGGCGAAGAGACTACTGGGTCCCCCAGAGATCTTCATGGTCCCATTCTCGCCGTCGAATACGATCGAATTCTCTTCGCCATTCCCCATGCTTCCCGGCCCACGCGAGTCGGATACATCACCCTCGCCGTGGCGGTAGGCGGGTGAGAGATGGAACATGGATGTGACCCGCACGCGTCCGTTGGGGAGGAAGTCCAACTTGTACCCTAGTAGGGAGGCAACGGCCTCCCGAAATTCGGAGGATTTGGCTGTCCAGATCTCTTTGAGACGCCGCATGCGCTTCTCTTTGTCTGCGACCACGCGCTCCATTTCTTGCATCTCTAGCTTGAGGCTGTCGATCGTGCTCGCGGGGACAGATTTGACCCCGGCGTTGGCGCCCTGTTGTAGCTGGGCGAGAAGATCCCGATTCTCAGATTGGAGAGTTGCGAGGGTCGACATCTTAATTTTCTCTGCCTCAGCCGTTGGATTGTCGCGTAGTTCTAGGACTCGCGTGCGCGATTTGGATTGTAGAGACTTGAGCTGAGACTTGGCAGCATCGAGCTCGCGGCGGGCAAGGGTCGTTGCTTGCTCAGATTTGGAGAGGGACTCTTGGAGCTTGCGGTTTTTGCGAGTCAGCACGGAGAGCCGCTCGCTTTCAGCTTCGCTATCAGCTGGTGAGAGAGGACGTTTAGTACCGCGAGTCTCGTCCTGCGGTGGTGGGACATCGCGCTTGGAGAGTTCCTCGTGAGCCTTCTGGAGGTCAGCGCGGTACTCGTCCACGAGTTTTTGGAGCTGCGCGATTTGCTCGGATTTTTGTTCGTCGAATCGATTCTCTTCTGCGTTCATCGTTGCTTCTTCAGTGTCGAAGGTCTTTAGCTGTGCGCGCAGATACTCGACTTCCTTGACTGCGAGAGTGCGCTGTCGCTCAAGTCGGGCTCGAATTCGAGTCTCTGCGGCCGCGGCGCTTCCGGAAGGAGAGGTTCCTGCAGCACGTAGCTTTTCTAATTCCTCCTTGAGATGTGTTCGCTCCTTCTCGAGGCCCTGAATGATCTCATCTTTCTCTAAGAACTGAGCGTTGGTGTTTCCTAGCCGATCAACAAGCGTAGCTTTTTCGATCTGCTCTTGTACCAATGTCCGAACCAGCGCCTCGGGGGAGTCAATCTCAGCAGATTGACCATTGTCCTGAAGAAGGCTGGTCCAGGACTGTCGCTCGTCCTCCAAGACTTGCTTTTGGATCTGCAACGTCTCGAATTCCGCTTCCAGTCCCTTCATCAGCTGCAGTTGATTCTCCAGCGATCTCTTCTGCTCCTCGACAACTTCTACATTCTTTTGAACCTTCCGCAGGTGCCGCAGTTCAATTGTCTGTTCACGGTTTGTCGTCTCCAAGCTCCGGATGTGGTTGACCTGCTCTGAAAGCTCGCGTTTCAAGACAGTGAGGGTTTCCGAGTCGCTGCCCTCTGCCTTGAGCCGAATATTTTCCGACTCCAACTCTGCGAATTCGGCTTCGCGTTGAGACAAGCGTTCTTGCGTGGCCTGTTGGGTGGTTCGCGCGGTCTGCAGATCATTCTGAAGCTCCTCGATGGTCTTCTGTAGCGAGGCGCGAACGGTCTCCAGCTCGCTGATTTGGTATTTGAACTGCCGTTCCTGGTCGGAAAGCTGGGCTTGTATGTCGTAGGCCTCTTCTTGTAAATTCTGGTTCTGGTCTTGTAGCGTTCTGATCTTTCGTTCGAATCCCGTTCTGTCGTTCAAGGATTGGTCTTGCACTTCCTTAAGCTCTTTGGCCAGCGCATCGCTTTTATGGGTGGCGCGATTGGCCGTCGATTCGGCAGCCTGGAAAACATTAGCGAGGGATGACTGGGGATAATGATTGCGATGACAGACCTGCGCCTTTTTAAAATCGGCATCCGCTTTCAATTGTAAATCTCGGACTTCCTTTTCGTGTCGGAGGGACTGCAGCTCTCTCTCCTGTTTGAAATTCTCCAGCTCGTATTTAAGAGTGCTCACTTGGACCCGCAGCTCATCCTTCTCGGCATCATGGTGTGGTTGTTGAGGCGGTGGTGGAGGAGGCCGAGTGGACTGGCGGAACACGCTCTGTGCAGGCGTAGATGGGGACGCAAAGCCGGCCACCAGCTGCGACGCTGGGCGCGTGTCCTGGCTGGTATCCATGGCAGACCCATCCACGATTGGAGTGTTGGAAACTCACGAAGGCGCGTCCCTGATGGCCCATGGTCCCGTGTTGTGCTGACTAAGCCCCGGAGAGCTTTCGGGCTTGCGGTCCCAAAGGGGTTTAGCGTCCAAATTTTGCAAAAAAGATGGATTTTCTTGTTCCACCGAATTCATTCATTTATTCGCTCCCAACTGCCATTTTCCCCATACCACCACACATCCGACACCATGGGCAAGGACAAGGTCGAGAAGGAGAAGAAGCGCGCTGAGAAGAAGGAGAAGCGCGCCGAGAAGGACGGTGTGCACAAGAGCAAGAAGGACAAGAAAGAGAAGAAGGACAAGACTGCTCTTGCTGATGCAGTAGAGAAGGAGATCACTACCCAGGTCCTGGACGGTCTCGATCAGGCGGCCTCGGCCGCAGTGGTCAAGACAACCGTCGATGTCGCCGAGCCCATGGATGTCGAGACCCTCGTGGGCGCCCTGGTGCCTTTCGCCCAACCGCTGGTGGAGGACAAGACCGCCAAGAAGGTGCTCAAGAGCGTGAAGAAGGGTACGTTCTATTCCCTGCCTCGAATGGAATCAATTGTCTGTTTCTGTGCGAGGCACACAGACGCTGCGGCCATTGTGCGCTGTCCCACCTACGTTTGCTGATCTTTTTTCATTTTCTCAGCCGCTGTCAACAAGTCTCTCAAGCGTGGTGTGAAGGAAGTCGTCAAGGCTCTCCGGAAATCGCCCATTCCTCCCGCCAACACCACCATCACGGAGCCCACCGGCATTGTCATCCTCGCTGCCGATATCTCACCCATGGACGTGATCTCGCATATCCCTGTTCTGTGCGAGGACCACGGTATTCCCTATGTGTTCGTCACCTCTCGCGCCGAGCTCGGTGCCTCGGCTGCCACCAAGCGCCCGACCAGTGTGGTAATGGTGGTTCCCAAGTCCGGCAAGGGCAAGAAGGGCGAGTCAGAAGACGGCGAGGACTTTGGCAAGGTGTTCGAGGAACTGACCAAGTTGACGGAGAAGGAGGGTAAGAAGTTGACGGCATAAAGAGGTGTCTGTCTTGTCTTCACTATTCCCATTTTGCTTGAGTTCTGGATGTACAGGTTTTTGTTTCTTTGATAGGACAGTGCATGTCTTTGGGGGTTTGGCCTACGGATATTTATGATATTTGCTCTGTCTACTGCAGTTCGGCGTTCTTCGATGGTGTATTGAAAAAGGGCAGGAAGAATCCCAATGAGAAATCACCAACCTCCCGCCCTACTTGGTAGTGCCCGAAAAATAGACTGAATAGGTCTCAATTCTTCTACATGACATTTGTAAGTGATTGCCAATTGGCTTCGCGATATCGAAATACAACCTCGACTGGTCACATAGCGACACCAAAGCCACCGCTGCACTCGAGGTATTCTAGAGTATATCAGTCGCACAAGACCGGTGACCGTCCGAAAGCCCCTTTATAGTAGGGCGACCTAACTACTGGGTTGACCTTGCGTCAGCTCGCACACTATCGACTGCGTGGCGTGAGCATTCCTAGTATGTAATCTCTCAACAAGGGATGATCACCCGCATACCATCCAGAAGATATCGAGTCTAGCCAATCAGAATACAATGCCCCAATCTAGTCTGAGCTATCTTACTTGTCGACCGGTAAAATATCCGCCCTTGCGGGCTTTTTTTTCAGGAACTGGCCTACCTCAGAATGATATAAGACCGACTAAGTCCTTCAGGAACGCGCAATGGCTCGACAGGGACCATTTTTGTCTTTCACTCACTTGCTGCCGTTTTATCCTTTCTAAAGGAGCTTTAAGGGTCCCGACATGCCATCGCTATGTCTTCTTCTCGCCGTCTTGGTCCTCATCACCATCCACGAGACCACGGCTCATCCCATCCGGACGGCCCGATGGGCGAAAATAGGACAGTATCCGGATGTAGAGGGTCGGGGCATATGGAAGGTTTTCCAACGAGAAGCGCGTGATGCTCTGTCTGAGTATACACCAGGAGCGAGTAACCAGGTCGGTGTTTTTCTTTGATGTCCGTGGGAACCCGGGTTATTGATCGAAAATCATCTTACAGAACCACTCCTGGACTGGCGATAATCCAGACGAAGCACTCGAGCGAGAACAAGCACACACGCTCGCGGGTAGTCCGGATCGTCCGTATAAGCGGTTGTCGTCGCCTTCTGGGAAGTCAATTGTCTCTGTCTTGGTTCCTATTTCGCCTCGTCTGCTACCCGAGCAAAATCATCGATACCTGTACCACTATCATCATCTGCAAGACGAAGAGCGGAGGCGGAAGCAGCAACAAGAGGAAGAACAGGAACAGCATGAATCGACCCAATTGGCCAACGCCCTTGCACATATACCGATGCATATACCTATGCCCTATGGCGAGACACTAGACAGAGAAAGCACCAGCAGCGGATCCAATCATCACAAAACAAAACCGGAACTAGACAACAGTGAGAATGGTTCATCGGCGTCATACATGATGATATCCAGACACTCGCTCTCACTATTCTCATACCGGATATCTCTCCCCTACTTGCATATCCACATCGAACCACCGAGATTCCCTTTGCTACCCCTTCCAGGTCTCTTCACGACGGTGGTAATTCTCGTGGCTATGGTTTGGATTGCTATCCTGACCATCTCACTGGTAGAGCTGGCCAATTACATATGGCGGAAGCGGCCGGGCGCTGGGGCTGCTGTTGCCATCACTGACTGCAGCGCGATACCGTCCGGTGGTGGGAGGAATGCCTATGACGCTTTGGACGTTCCTGTGCAAATTGTGGTTGCTTCTCGAGCCTCGGAGAAGTATGGAATTCTTGCTTCAGAATCGGACTCGGATTCTGGGTCTGAAAACGATATGGAGTATCGCATTCTGTGATACGACGTGGGAGTACATGTGGGAACCCTGTACAGTACGTATAGTATATAAGCATAATTATTTAATACAAAGCCTTGAAGTGAGGCTTTCTTTTGAATTTGGATCTCGATAGTATATCGTACATTCATTTTGCACAAACCTCGCATATACCGACAGCGACTTCAAACAGCACTCGCTCGCTATAAATAAAGAAACAACAGAAACCTAAGCACGCTGGTCAGGCTCCAAGGGCTGGTACCAGTTCTGGTTGTCGACACCCTTCTGACGAGGACCGCCAACATCATTCCCACTCTCAGCGACGTGGCGCTGGAACTTTTGCTCCGCCGCACGACCAGGATCCTGCTTCGAGCCGATTTCAGAGTTGAAGCTGGCGTTGTTACGGTCCGTAGATTCAAATCCGCCTTCCGTTAGGTTCTTGCCCTTGGGCTTCTGGTTCGGGTTGCTCTGGTGGCCACTACCGCCGGCGGCAGCAGCCTGATGGCGCCCGGACATCTTCTCAGAAGCAGGGTACTCGCCGGCGTGCAGGCCCATTTGCTTCTTGGCCTTTTCGGGACCGCCGGTGTAGCCTGTCTCAGGCACATGGCGGCCTGGGAAGTCGCCCTGGCCACCCAAGCCCTCAGGGTACTTCGTCTGGCGTTCGCGGTCCTCTCGCATGGCGCCTACAGGCGCGGACGGGAGGGTCGAGGCGGATGAGGTGTCGGTGTTTGTCAAGGTAGATTGTTGGCCTGAAACGCCCATGGGCTCGGCACCCCAGTTTTCGCTGAAGGCGCCGCCATGACTGACGGACTCGGCGGCCAGGGAGTCGTTGGCCACTGGGCCTGAGGGCTCTTCAATGGGCTGGCGAGATGCTGCAGGGTCGGTGGTGACCTTGGTGCTGCGGTTACCGGGAGGAATGGGATTTCCTTGGAGATCCATTGTGACGGAGATAGAGAAGTAGTGCTAGAAGATGGTAATATTGCAAGAGACCAGGAGGGTAGATTGGAAAATGAAACTATGCTAGATCGGTAGAGGGAGCAAAGTTATATAGGAAGGAAGGTAGTTATTAAGAAAAGGAATGCCCTCCAAGTATTGTGATATCATAGTTACGCTATATGCCAGCCTTTAAAGAGATTCCAGGATCACCGCCATCGCCAGACTGTGCTCAGGTGGCGGATAACGAGTCGAGACAAGGGAAGTAGTGGAGTCTGCTGTGCTTCATCGAACTGCTTCCGGACAGACGAGCAGGGCAACGAGATCCACTGGTCTCCAGCAAGGTGGATCGGCTGAGTTCATCGACATCCCATCCCCCATACTTCGTTGACGTGAGAACTAGCGCAAAACTGGGCAGCGGCGAGGGGTTTGACGTCAAATAGTGCAAACACTGCAAACAGATCTATACAGTTGAGGGATTTAGACCCTCATAATTATTATGAATTTAAATGTCTATTAACGTTAAATGTCTATCATGACTATCTAAACCCAAATTCAACTAATTAAAATAGTCTGTGGACATGTTGGGATAGCTGTTGCCAACTGTAAGGGTAGACGACCATATATACAGCTACATTCTACGGAAGAAACACGTCTCTTTTAGAACTGAAATTTCATTCACTCGTATGACTCCGTGGAAATGATTTATCGTACACATGCTATTTATCACTAGGTCCGACTCGTCGCATCAGAGGACAAATTGCTAGGTTCCCCAACATCCTTACCGGGAGCAGTAGCCTTGTGCAATTCCTCTCCCGAAATGCGGGCACTGCTTGCCACAGTTGCGGGGTCGCGGAGAGCACTTTCAGAAGAGCCGGAGATAGGACCCTCAAAGCGCCCAGAGCCGACATTGACGGTTCGCTGATCGGACGATGACCAGTCGCTAGCAACAGGGGGTTGCTCGGGCAAAGGCAGGTCAGCCTTGACCTTGTCGATCTCCTGGGACTTGTCGGTTTTTTCGTCGATCAAGGACTGTCACGCAGTTAGTACATGCTAGGCAGTGATTGCTAATTCAGCTCACCTTCATGGCAGAAACGTCCGAGTTCGCCGGGGTCTTGCCGTGATGCTGTTTGGCAATACGGGACTCGGGCTTGCGCACGTCCTGGCGGGTGACGCGGAAAGTATCGTCAGACATGATGATAATTGTATTTAGATGGACAGTAGTGTATGTTCTTTGCTTGCTAGGGAAGTAGGGTATATTTATAAGGAGCGAGCCAAGGCATGGATCGCTGTGACGTTTCCCAGCGTCATGACATTATCATGGCATCCCCGGCCATGGGTGCCAATTGCTCCACTGATTACAGCGCGGTATTTCTTGTCATTCTCAGAAAAACCAGTGGAGATACCCTCACGTAGCGAGACACTTTGTTCCTGCGCAGGTGGGGATGTCGCAAGGCTCTCTGACTGGCCTGGCAAGATTCAAGATAGGCTAAACCTGGATTTGACACGGATGTCATAAACAGCACTTTTCCAGAAGCAATGCATCCAAGCAATAAAAATGTGCTGTCAGGAGGAAATACCGTCACTGGGTGGTCCAATTGTGATGGCGTATGGTTGGGCCAACAAGCAGCCAATGATAATTTGGCACATATGGATCTACCTCTATCTAGGATTGTCAGTATATCTATCGAATATACGAGATGGAGTGAGCTCTACCCAGTGGTAGAGTGTGATTACCGCTGAGCTCGTGAGTTGTCTAAGGAGTAAAAGCGAGCAGAAGGATGAGGCTCAATAGGGAAGGCCGCGCTTACCGCCTTCCCTTGAGCGAGCCCCGGCAGAAATGTTTCTTATCGACGGCCAGGCACTGTTTCTTCTGTACGATCACACAGCAATTCCAGCATGCCTCGAGATCCATTGATTGGGCTGGTGGGAAAGGTTGGTCTGCGCACAATCGATTACCAGGGTCTTGCTGACATCGAGTCTGAAAAAGCCATCAAGCGGCAAGTCCACAACTTTGAACAGCTTGACGGATGCTTCTTCCAAAGTCGGTAAGTTTATTTCGCACAACTCATTCTTTTGCGATAGGCTCTTCTAAAAGTCATTGCGTAACAGGAAACTTTCCGTACGTCTAGCCCCTCCATAACCCGCCTCAACGAGTTGAAGAGCTGCGCTGACCAATTCATTGGCAGCTTCACCACCATTGACCCCCAGCGAGCTATTGGATATCTTCAAATCGAATGCGCATGCCAAAGACACAACGTGTCGGATCGATGCCGGCCCAACTATGGCGGCTGCCATGAAGGGCGCCGCTCTGTCCCCATTGAGTTGCTGGACGTTGCGGGTCTTGTGCCGGGAGCGCATCAAGGACGAGGACTGGGCAACAAGTTTCTGGATGATCTGCGCCACGCGGATGCGCTGATCCACGTCGTGGATGTCAGCGGGACGACTGATGCAGAAGGCAAGGCTACGCGAGGGTACGACCCGTCAGTGGACATTGAATGGCTGCGCTCGGAGATTGTGCGCTGGGTTCAGGGAAACTTGATGGATAAATGGTATGTCGTGATTCGACATGTTGTCTATACAGCTACTGACCGCTTAAAACTAGGGGCTCTATCAAGCGGAGACATACCGCAACGAGTCAGTGTTCCCTGTTGTTTTGATAACCGATCACATGTTGACGTATAAGCAGAGGCAAACCCAGTCGACACATTACAAGGCCAATTCTCCGGTTACGGCAGCACGCCACAAACCGTCGCGCGTGTTTTGGACAAACTCGGTCTGAAGGAGCCACTGGAAGAATGGTCGGATGAGACGATAGAAACAGTCGTCAAAACATTCATCGACGAAAAATTCCCAACGGTATTCGCTTTGAACAAGATCGATCATCCGGATGCAGACAAGGTTGGTTGCCCAGACAGATCCCTCGAGGCTGCTGTGCTAATAAAAGTTGCAGAACATTAGCAAGATTGCCAAGATGCAAGACCCCAACTCTATTGTTCTTTGCTCCGCTATATCAGAAGTATTCCTACGGCGGTTAGCGAAACAGGGTTACATCAAATACGTCGAAGGGAGCGAATTCGTCGACATGCGAGAAGATCTGATCGAGATGGGAGATCCAGATGGAGGTGGCCTCAAAGAGATGGATGAGAAATTGAAAACGTCAGTCTAACTAGGATGAGATTGGATTTCGCTAACAGATTGAGCAGGCGAGTCGAAAACTTAAAAGACATGGTCCTTTATCGCTTCGGCTCTACAGGAGTTGTCCAGTGTCTTTCCAGGGCGGCAGAGCTGTTGGGCCTTGTGCCCGTGTTCCCTGTTCGCAACGTCTCCACCTTCAGCTCCGGAGCTGGAAATGCTGTGTTCCGTGATTGTGTGCTTGTCAAGAAGTAAGCTTTCTATCCCGCATATCCAATCTCTTTCTCTCTAACCCTCTGATAGAAACACTACTGTTGGGGAAGTCGCTCGGAAAGTAATGGGTGACGTGCCCATCTCCTACATTGAGGGAGTGGGAGGAACTCGGGTTTCGGAAGATGAGATTGTTACCGTCGGGAAATATGATGTGAGTACTACTTCTATTAGATTTAGACGCGTGTCTGACTTTTGCAGATTTTATCATTCAAACCTGGCCGGTAGACAGTACCACTTCGTTAATGTACAGTTTCCATGTGAAATAACGTTGATAATGAACATTCATGGCAAAAGGCGAAACTCCCCCTTTTTTGTGCTCAATTTCCCTTCTAGAAACAACGGTCAGCTCCGAGTCCCAGATGTTGCCAGTGCCTAATCTCACCTCCGCCCGCTCATCATTCATTCCGATGATTGGCTCAGGGGCCTTGGGATGCTCTGCCTTGGCCTTTCTCCCCTGCTTTCTCCCCCCTCGCTGTGTTCTCCCTTGAGACTTGGTGTCATCTGCAATACCCTCATTCGCCTCTCTTTCTTTCAAACCCGAGGCTGCCGCCTCTGACTCCGGATCATGCCTGTCTCCCTTCTCGGCTCGTGAGACTGCGTTCTCATCTGTGGAGCTCCCTTTCCAACCTTTGAAGACAGAGGAGTTGCGGGGGCTGGCTTTCGCGTAGAGTTTCACGGGGTGTAGTCGAGGTAGGATCGACAGTCTAGGTGGTCGTGCGAGGAGCATGTTGAATAGCTTCACCGAGAATAAGATGAGATTCTGTAATCAGACTCCGTACTCTAAGAAGACCGAGTTTTAATCCTTCAAGCCGTCTACATGACGTCTCCATGCGGTAATCCCAAGCAGCCCTTTCGGGATCCGATGTAGGGCATAGGGCCCTTATCGATAAGGCCCCATGACGATCGCGGTAATAAGCTTCTTGCAACTTCCACCCATCTCATTGTCCCAGAATGAAACGCGACTCTCTCCCGATCGAGTCCTTGCCAGCCTGGGTGCGATTCAACGGAATCAAAGCCAATGGAGTCGCATTCCAGAAACTCGTGTCCCCCAGGGGCACTGGCATTGTCGCATCGCGGGATCAGATGAGCAGCGATGAGACAGAACCCCCGATTCTACTGGAGATCCCGTCCGATCTTATTCTGTCCCTGGAGACGGTGCATAATTATGCCAAGTCCGATCGGTATCTGCGCGAGGTGCTGGAGGCGGTAGGCAATTTTGGGAGGGTATGAATCACAGTTGTGCTAGTTCGGGGATCAGACGAACTGACCTGGACAGACCGCGAGAGGCGCCATAATGATATTCCTGCTGGTGCAAATGACACACTCCAGTCCGGATTACCAGGACAAAATTGGGGTCTCCAGTCCCTGGACCGAATATCTCAAGTTCCTGCCGTCGTCGTTCCCGCTTCCTACATTCTACACCCCCGAAGAACAGATGCTGTTGAGGGGGACATCGCTGGAATCTGCGGTGGAGGCCAAGATTGACTCTCTGGAGCGGGAATTCGAGCATATCCTCCAATCCACGGACGGTATTGCCTGGTGCCAGCAGAGGTGGTGGGCCGTCGACACGGGCAAGTTGACAATAGATGATTGGAAATATGTTGATGCGGCGTATCGCTCGCGCATGGTGGATCTTCCAGGTAGCGGGCTTGCGATGGTGCCGTGCATTGACATGGCCAACCATGTGTCTGGTGACGCGGTCAATGCGAGATATGATCAAGACGCGGATGGAACCGCTATTCTTCAGCTACGGTCGGGGAAGAATCTACATATTGGCGACGAGCTGGCTATCTCGTAAGTGGGGTTGAGGGCTACAAAAAGAGATATGGTTGACCAGATCCCTAGATACGGCGATGAGAAGCCTGCATCGGAGATGGTCTTCTCGTACGGATTCTTGGAGGATGATCGAACGGAGGCGAAAGAGGTCTTTTTGGGCATTGAAATTCCCGACGACGACCCTCTCGGTGCCGCCAAGAAGATGTTCTGCCGTGAAGCACCAGGGGTTCGGATCTCTACCGGATCCGAGGCTCGAAGCCATACTACTTGGGACAGTGCCTTTGTATGGTGGGCGTGTGTGAATGAGGAAGATGGACTGGACATTGGTGTTGCGCAGACCACAGACGGACAGCGAGAACTGGAAACCGGTTGGAAAGGCGTAAAAATTCAAGAACCTACCCAGCTCCGCGAGCTCTTGGCGGCTGAGCCCTCGTGGGATATTTTCCAGCTTCGGGCCGTTGTCTTGCTTCTCCAGCGGCTGGAAACCCAGCTTGCTGTTATGCAGGAAACTGAGGAGATCATATCTGCTCTTCGCGATAAACAGCCAGCTTTCGAAACAATATTTCGGCCGGAAGTTCTGGGTCTTGTTTCACGGCTCCGGGGTCTGGAGGCTAGTTTGCTTCAGAAGGGAGTTGAGGACCTTATGAATCAGGTTAGTACTTAGTCTCTTCCCCTGAGATTTCACATGCCAACTCTGTTCTAGAAAAACACGCTGCTGCAATCTGACACGGTGCTGGCCTATCTGAACCAACAGTCCCACGACGCAGACGAGCCAGAAGACTTCTCATGATGTGGAACATTAAGCACAGATATGTAATTAGGATCGTCACCGGTCGAAGCTGGGGATCCTCCATCCCGGCTCAAGCAGTATTACGCTAAATGTATTCACATCGACCCACAGATCTCCAAAGGCCGAAAACCGGGGGGAGAGAAGGTTTCTCGCCACCCCCAGATACCCCTGGGTCAGAGCTATTAGCCGCAAAATCCAGACAGCTCCTGGACTAGAGCGAAACTGAAGTCATCGATGACGTTTTCCATGGGCGCGAGGGCCAACTCACCAAGTCAGCATAGGGGATAGAGGATGAGGGGATCTACGGGGAATTGCAGCACCGTATGCCCTCGTGAACATGAGACAGTTTACTGTGAGGAAGATCTTTGCATCATCGAACAATTCTTTTGGTTATTCCCTGTATTCTCTTCTTGCAATGCATTATTAACTTTGTGGAGTCCCCAAAGCGGATCCGCATGGAGAAAGTCCCGTGGTTCCAACCCGCGATTTTCTCGGCCCAAACTCGCACGTTGGTGGAATGTCGGGGTTGATCGGAGGGAGGGCAGGCCGTGGTACATGGGTTTGCGTGGCTCATCTCACGAATACCCTCCGCGCTACTTGCTGGTACAGCGGGATACCCCAATAAGGGGTCGGATCGGCCTGTCGAGCAGTGGGGCCGAAGATCGGGGATCCGAGCGAGAGGCATATTGGCCATTCCAAGGTTGCCCGATGACATATGATTATTATTAGTATTATGATGCTGTGTAACTAGTGGTTCTAGGAGTTTAGTTCTCGCCACGCATGGGCAGTTCGGGTCTTGTCCAGGCCACTTGATTGTCATTGCTGGAGAGGACCAGAAAAATAAGTTTGACAATACAGTGACGATACCCCGCGGAACGGACTGAATGCTGATTGGCCACCCGCTCGGTCAGCACGATTGGGGACCCCGTGATTATTTGGGACTGAGGGCCAGTGACTCTTTTCCCTCATTCACATCTCTCGGAGAGAGAGGAGAGAGAGTTAACCGCCATCATGCCTGGAATCCTGCCCATGAAAGTGATCAAGGTCGGGGGCATCGGCACCCAGAGCCGGATCGCCCAGGCCTGCGACCGCTGCCGCAGCAAAAAGATCCGTTGCGACGGTGTCAGACCATGCTGTACCCAGTGTGCCAACGTCGGCTTCGAGTGCCGCACAAGCGACAAACTGAGTCGCCGCGCCTTTCCACGGGGATATACCGAGTCGTTGGAGGAACGCGTGCGAGCGCTGGAGTCGGAAGTCAAAGACCTGAAGAACCTATTGGACGAGAAGGACGAGAAGATCGATGTCTTGTCCCGCATTCACTCCTTCTCGCCCTCGCAGCGAACGAATTCAAATGCCAACTCGGTGCGGTCACCGTCAATAACCAAGTCTACCACCAGCTCGGATTCGTCAGAGGGGGTGATTCATGTGGCTCGGTCGTCGATTCCGCCGGCGGAGGGAAATCCGTTTACGGGCCTTTCCACCACCCAGGGCTTTGCCGGGGTTTTTACAGACAAACTGGTTCACCAAGGCAAGACGGCCTCCCAAGCCTCGACCAAGTCTTTAACGGCCTTGTCTGCACCTGTCGTTCGTGGTTCTCGTGACCAGACAGTGAAAACGCCGCCCCGCCTCGTGTCCGACCAACTCATCAACATTTTCTTCCAAGAATGGGCGCCGCTGTACCCTGTCGTACACCGTCCAACTATACTGAAGGCCTACGAACAATACCTAGGAAATACGGAGTCTCTGCAGAGTGATGCCCATACAATGGCACAGCTAAATTTGATCTTTGGCATTGCCGCTCTGTCGTCAACGGTAAGCGATGACTACCATGCAATTGATTTAAGGCCATATACTGAGTGTGTCCACAGTCGAGAACCAACCAAGACCCCGCTTTTTTTGAAGAAAATTGGTCGTCACAGCTCGATTCGTTTGCTGGTGATACCTCGATTTTGTCCCTGCAATGCTTCGTTCTAGCTCAGATGTATTGCATCACTAGGAGTGACTATCGCAGTCTACTTCGCTACCGTGCTCTCGCCGTGGATATCTGTCATCAGATGGGTCTCCACGAACCACAGGAAAGCTTAGCGCTTAGCCCCCTAGAGGGTGAGACCCGCAAAAAAGTGTTTTGGTGTCAATATGTGTTAGACCGGTATGCCTCCTAGATCCTTTAGGAGTTTGGTTTTGCTGACTTTTGCCGTAGTTTCTGTTCCGCTTTGACTGGCATCCCTGTCCTCTTTCGCGAAGAAGATATCCAGACTGAATATCCCGTTGATGTGGATGACGAAAATGTGACCGAGACTGGTTTTTTGCCAACCCTCCCAGGAGAATCCACCCGCATCTCTAGTGCTATTGCTCTTTTTGGAGCCTCGAGGATTTTGACTAAAGCTCTAGACCAACTGTTCCCTTCGAAATCCGCCTACGAAGTTCCTATCGCAAAGATACGCGCTATGGCAGGGGAGTTGGATGATTGGCTTCACAATCTGCCTCCCCACCTCCGTCTCGAGTTTACACAGGACAAGCCCAGCACGAATGTCACGAGTAGCCGGTCACCGCTTTTGGTGAGTGCGAAGATAATGCTTCATCGTGGGCTTTGGTACTAACTCTCCTTAGTCTCTTGTATATTACTTCATCCGTTCCTTGATTCATCGACCTGCTGTTTGTTTTGCCGATGAACACCTACGCTCTCCGTCCGTTCTGGCGCTATCCGATTCATCGAAGCACATGATTCAGATCTTACAACTGCTGGATGAACGTCGACTATGTCTTTCCGTTACCATCAGCCGAAGAGAGCTAGTATTTGTTTCGGGACTCGGACTCTTGTGGCAGATCTTGGGTCTGAAGCGCGACAGCAAACTAGCAAAGGAAAGCCAGAAGCTACTCTCCAACGTTCTAGAGCAGCTTGAGCCCGAATCTACTACAGCTACAGCGGAGTTCTGTACGCTGGCCAATACACTCGTCTCTTTGGACGGCGGAAAATCAAGGAAGCCGTCACAGGAGATGGGAGCTCCGACATACAAACCTAGCAGGTCTGCCAAGAAACAGTTACAGTCCTTGAAGTCTCGCCTCACTCCTAGCGCCAGAAGTGACCAGCCCAAAGAGAATACAGCTTCTCGTCGGAATACCATCTCTGGCGCTACTCCTCCGCTCGCTCCGCAGAACCTCCGATCTCCTAGCTGGGCCAGCCTACCTCCCGCGCAACCTGACCAACTAGCAACTCCTCAATATCTTCCCCACAAGACCCATTCACCTCTGGACCTTGCTTCTGATCCCGGGCTTGTGTCCGCAGGATACGACGATCCAAGGACACTCTCTTGCACCACCTCTTCAGACTTAGCGAACGGTGCGCTTACAATGGCCGATTGGGAGTACGTCCTCAGCGACATGGATCGTGGCTACTCCAACATCTTCACTGGAATATACGGCGGCAAAGAATGTGGCGAAGACCCCGGGCCATTCGCATCCATCACAGCCGAGTGCAACCCAAAAACACAAGAGGAAACGCTCGGCCTCCCTCCTACGATGGGTAATATGCATGGCCTATCACCGGAGGCTTGGTCTGCGAGTAGTGGTGACATCCCCCCGAACCAGGAAAATGCCCCACAGAGCGTGCTCAGCTACTCCGGCGAAAGCCTGGGAAGTACGGATGACCACCATGCCTCGTTTGCGGACGTCCAGGTGCATCCTGATGACCTGAATTTGATGGATCCGTTCCGTAGCCTGGCGATACCCGCCGAGGAGGAGATGGATGAATATTCCCTGGTCAACGGCTGGGGTCAGCGGCAGGCCGTCTGATGAATCTTTGTGTCCCTTTTTCTTTTTTTTTACGATGATACCTATGAGGCGCTGGAATGAGGTTGTCTCTCATTCTTTGGAGATATGTGTTTGGAAATACTATTACGACCCTCGCTTATTGCGACTGTGTATATAATTTATTCCTAGGCGTGAATTTTGTAGTTTTTGGTTTCCTTTTCTGCTCTGGCCTTGAGTTTTGAGTTTGAAATCCTCTACTTTCTTCGCTGTGTTTGGTCATGTGATACTATCAGCAATAGGCAGAAATCGGGCCTGTTCAGCCTTGTTTATTGCAACTACCACTCGTTCATATATGCGAAGCATTGGTTCATCTGCAAAATACATGCTGCTGCAGCTACTAGATACTCCACTTCTCCCAAAGCCATTACTTTCAATGTCTTCTAAGCCACAACCACCCTCATCAGATCTCCCGACATACTCCTTCCGCACAGCCAAAGACTTAGAATCATTTCTTGAGCGCAAGCATACAACCACACCAGGATTTCACCTCAAAATTGCCAAAAAGGCCTCCGGCATCCAATCTGTATCTGCCGCCGAAGCAGTGGAAACGGCACTCTGCTTCGGCTGGATCGACGGCCGCGCTAACGGCTACGACGCGGACTGGTGGCTGGTGCGGTATACACCGCGACGAGCGAAGAGTATCTGGTCCCAGAAGAATGTGAATACGGTCTCGCAGCTACTCAAAAATGGCCGCATGAGACCCGCGGGCCTGGCAGCCGTCGAAGCTGCGAAGGCTGATGGTCGCTGGGACCGCGCGTACGCCGGTCCTGCGACTATGACCGTTCCTGAGGATTTCACGACTGCTCTTGCGGCGGAGCCGGCTGCTCAGGAGATTTTTGAGACGTTGAATAAAAGTGAGCGGTATTCTGTGCTACATCGTGTGCAGACGGCTTCTCCGTCGGCGCGAGCGAAGCGGATTGGGGTGTTGGTGCTGATGCTTGCTGAGAAGAAATCTGCTGCTTCGTCTGGGAAGCGAAAACCTGCTGATGGTGATAAGGTCGGTGGTCAAGGTAAAGTTGTTAAACAGAGCAAGAAGAAAAGGTGATGAGAGGCATGCGGTGATTTATCTCCCTATCGATAGGAATAGTGTACATTGACTGAAACACACAACTCACTCATAAAGGGTTCTTGAATAATATCTTTCCAAATAATATACATTCAATAATGTCATAATTCATCCATTCTAACAAGCGCCGCCACCAGCACCACCACATGCTGCTCCCGTAGTATAAACATTCTCATGCCCAACACGAGCCGACCTCGTAGTCTGCCGCCTTGATCGTTCTCGTACAGCCAGCGCAGTCAGAAGCGCCATCCGATCAAACGATTCGCCATAGTCACCATACATATCCAAACGTCCCGTTACCAGCGAATCGCCATCGGACGAAAACACCGCCAGAACATGGCTCTGCTCATCGACAAGCTTGAGATTCCCATAAGGCCCATAGAAACTCCCCATCGAACGGGTCTTTTTCCAGGTGAGATGCGTCATCTGCCCATGGAGGGGAATCTGGAATGTATAATTCGGCGTCACCACGCCTTTCTTTGCCAGAGACAGCCATTCACCTGCCTCATCTAATCTGATGTCGCAGTTTGATGTGAAGCGTCGAAATTTGGAGAGCCCGACGATTGGGCCATCGATCTCGGTGCCATCGTGGATGGTCAAATCTGTTTGCTTGGACGCGTACTGCGAGTTCTCGACAAAATAATGTCGTTTTCCGCCCTCACCGTCGGATGCAACTACCTTGTAGTGGTGGCCCCAGGGCTCTTCGGTAACGTGAAATTGACTAGACATTTTAGAGGTGTTATCTAAGAGAAGTTCTGGATGAGTGGCTACTATTAGGTATATGTAAGATGTGTTTCTGGTGGCAATGCGGGCCCGTAGCATCGCCCATGGTTCGGGTTTGTTCTTCTCACATACCAAACTGATTCAAGCAACTTCGAATTCCACGATCCTATCCCGCGCGTTGGCGCAGACACGAATCATACAGTCAACCCTGATGTTCCTATGCTCGCATCCCTCGATATCTGCACCTGAACGCTCTGGTCGCTATAGTCGCCGATTAGGGCAATCAGGGTCTGGTGGGTGCGATGACGTTGATCAGTTTGGGGGCCAGTTTCACCCGCACTCATGCCTGTGTCTTAATCGCATTCGGTCGGCCTCGGAACCTACACCCCCGGATCTCGGGGGTGCACAGCACTACCTAACGAGGGAAGAGGGGAACGAGACTATCCTTCTAGGGTGTGACCCCTGCAGCTTTGCCACTTGCCGATGATCTTCAGGACCTGGTGGCGTGTATAGTCGATCTAGACGAGATATACCACCCTACGCAAGACACTCGCTCATTTTCAGTATGTAGTTTGCGTTGTAGTAATTGTGTATGGGTCCAAAGACCTACGCTCTTCGGACTGTTTCTTTGTTTATCACAATCCTTACTGACGCAGGCAGTGGTTGAGATAGATGAGACCTAGAGAATTGATCTGCAGCGTAATGTAATGACTAGGCCAGCCATTCCAACTTTCTTTTCTTCCCGGGTCCCGATCCTGAAACAGGCGATGTGCAAGACGTGCAAAATGTGCAGGCTGTTATACATTAATTGGCCATATCCAGACCTTTGAAGTAGTATGCAAGTTAATCACATCCTTCCCACATGGGAAGATCGTTCAAGTATCAAACTTTATACATCGTCGCTATGGGTGCGAGCCACTGCGGATTGGACGACCCACCTTCTCTTCAGACTATCAATGCAACACAATGATGTTATCAACCAGATTTTAAGATGAAGATCAAGCGATATCACAGCATTCGAAAACAACCAGAAACGCTAGACATGAGCTAGCGGCGCAACTATCGTCTCCACGTGGCTTGGATTGGCAAAGATTCCCAGACTCCGTAGCTTGTCTCAACTAAATGGTTGTTTACTTTGAGTAATGAAAACCAGCACAATCTCCAATATCGATGGGGGCCAAGCATAATGAGCGGGACTATCAATTTAGCACGTTTTAGAATCAAATCATTGTTCGTCTGTCTATAGAAATAAAGGCAAGTGAAACCCCAAGGTTGAATCAATATCCATATCATCGTCTTCAAATTATCCTAGCCATCCAATACCAAGTCTACTTTCACTTTGCTCATTTGCTTACCACTATGAAGCTCTCCACTGTCTTTTCAACCCTCGCCAGTCTTACCGCGGTGACTGCCATCCCTCTCTCATCACTCACCAAACCCATCAAACGTGACCCGAGCGACACATCCGGCAACTCCCAATTCGTGCTGCAGTGCGAAGGAGATACAATCCCCCAACCCGGTGGAGACGGTGGAGCCGGCGAAGGTGGCTCCAGCTATTTCTATAGCAATCTGCTCTTCAACGCCCAGGGCACTCAGATCAGCCCTGACGCCTGCACATCGGAGTCATATGGCATTTGCTCTAACTGTATCTTCTCCGGTGGAGGGCTCAGCTCCGCAACCAATGTCACCGGATGCTGGAACCCTCCCGGGGGCGAATCGGGCTGCAGCATCCAATTTATGTACAACGGTTATGACTACAACAGCCAAAATAGCGAGCCTTACTGCGGTCATGTCTCGGGCTTTGAGCCTTTCCAGTTCGACCTGAGTGCTATCTGTTACTTTGATGTTGGCACGCCTACCAACATGACGAGACGCGAGGCTCTAGGACACAAGTAGGGGTTTGCGATAGTCGATCATTGTGCTTGAGGAAGCAGGCCTTTCTCTTAGTTCGCTTTGGATATGATCTTCGCCATTCGTTTATCTTTGGAAAGGCAAGCCTTCGCCGCCATTGGTTGTGGTTAAGTTCCTTTCCATTTGTTTATGCTTGAGGAAACAGGCCTTCCTCGACATTCTTTGTGGGTATGCGTTTCACTTAGATGATAGATGTTTTGATGAATGTACGGAACATATACGTTGTGTGAGTCTGAATGAAACGGCCCATCGAACGGCCATATGAACAATGACCGTAACTGAGTGAACAATAAATAATGACTCAAAAAGCACATTCGGTGATTTGAGTCTGGGTACCTTTAATATGAGTTGGATACTCATGTAGACATCTTTTTGGGTACATTACATCCCGTAAGTGGTGTCACCACCTACACTCTTCGATTGTTTCTCGAGCCCTAATTCTAAGATCCACTAAACTGTATTTAGAGTAGCACAGAATATCAATATTCCTGTATCAGTGCCAATACAATATCATACCAGAATATGGCAGTTATGTCATGTCTCGTAACTGTATGGGGATCCATGGCAGCGAGAACTTTCCACGGAAATGCAAACACGTCAAATAAGAGGGCCAGGTAGACCTTGAGAAGCTAGCGAGCGCGTCACTTCCTAATGCCACTTCCGTGTCCAAGTGACAGTTTGGGGGCTTACTCGGTTCCAGACAGCGCAAGCAGTGACTTGCATTCCCTTGCTTACTTGCAGACTGCTCATGAACCTGCTTATCACTATCCTTAATGTGTCAGCCACAGCTTTCTTTACTTGACGCTTCGTGTCCCCCTCGGTATATTCTTAACTATCAATATCTGACAAAGCTAGCCCTACTAAGTCCGGCTTTGGTAAACTATATCATGGTCCACGGGATGCTTGATGTGGCCGTAGAGGAATATACCGAATGGCAGCTATCACGAGCAAGCAACGAGATGTTTAGGGATAACGTCAACAAAGCTCGCGAGTGACTCTCGAAAATTGTCTCAATCTCATGCAGATTCATGAAATCAAGACCCGGCTTTCTTCGTTAAGCCTGGCGTGAAAGTAGGTGCTGCCCGTCGGTTCGTCCGCGACATTGGCCTTTGGGTGAAACGACGCGACAGAAATTACTTGCCATGAAAATGATAGTAATTTAGTCTAGATACGATACAGTGAGTAGAGAACAGCCCCCAGTGGCACACTACATTTATCTCTCTGGATAGCCTCACATTGTACCGTAATACCACCGGTTCACCTGCCCAACCTGAATCTGCCAACTGAGACACCTTCGGGGTGATGAGATACTGCGCAGCGAACTACGTATCCTTGGCCAAGTTTTCATTCAAAAAGGCTAACCGCCATGAGATAGGGGTTACGTACTTGTGCACCCTTTAATGTATAAGAAGCCAGACTACTCAGCTTCCAGGTTATCCTTTATTACTTATTACAAGACCGTTCCGTCTTCGATCCCCCAGATAGACACCCAAAATATCTGTTCAGCATGAAGGTGGTCATCAGCACGTCAAGGGGGGTCGCTACAACAGTATCGCGAAATTGTCGACGGTGTCAGCAATCGAGGAGCATCGTGCAAGGCATATGTACAGTAGTAACTGGAACGGTCCATGGGAAAGGCAGACACGTAGAGAAAGTCATCAACACTTGCTACGTATGAAATTCTATGAACGTGATCCGACGTGATGCGTGTCCTAGGGCCAGTATACTTCCATTAATCGCATAACAGTCAGGCCGGAATTCGGTAGGAAGCCAGAGAACTTTTTCGCCGTTCAATTTTATCCACTGCCGGTGATCGATGGAGATCTCCAGATTCACATGATGTGAATTAGACGTTGGACTATCACACCTGGACTGAATATCAAGGGCTCCGAATTTAGTGCTTAGGAATGGATCGTCCTGAGGAATTTCGAGGTTCGTGACTATTGCTTCAACAGTCCAAGTCTGCTGCAGAGTACCCGTCAGAGTGTCCCAGAGCCGTACTGTCTTGTCAGTGGAGCTAGAAAACAATAGCCGGTTGTCGGGTGAGAAGGTGACCGCTAGAACCGTGCCTGAATGACCCTCAAGCTTCTGGTGCAGCGAGCCCGTCGCCGTGTCCCAAAGCAGGATAGCCTTTTCACCAGAGCCATCGTAGCCAGACGCTAGTATTCGGCCATCAGGCGAGAAGACCATCTCTACAACCGAACCGGAACAAGACTGGCTGTCGAGAGTCTCCCGTAGTGTGCCTTTCGCCAGGTCCCAAAGTCGCACAGTCCCATCACCGGAGCCAGACGCCAGTAGCTGGCCATCGGGCGAGAAGTCCACGGACCGAACCCAACTTGAATGACCTTTGAGTGTCTGCTGCAGCTTGCCCGTCGCTGTGTCCCAAAGCCGGATTGACTTATCATCAGAACCGGGCGCATGATCACCGGAAATGGACGCTAGTAGCTGGCCATTGGGCGAGAAGACCACAGATAGAACCCAACCTGAATGGCCTTCGAGAATATGCTGCAGCACGCCCGTCGCCAAATCCCAGAGCCGGACTGTTTTGTCATTGGAGCTAGACGCTAGTATCCGGCCGTCAGGTGAGAAGGCCACTGACGACTGAACCCAAATTGAATGGTCTTCGAGTGTTTGTTGCGGTGTGCCCGTCGCCGTGTTCCAGAGCCGGACTGTTCGATCACCGGAGCCGGAAGCCAGTAGCCGACCTTTGGGCGAGAAGGCTACCGACTTGACCCCACCTGAATGGCCTTCAAGAGTCTGCTGCAGTGTGCCCGTCGCCGTGTTCCAGAGCCGGACAGTCCGATCATCGGAGCCGGACGCTAGCTGGCCATCGGCTGAGAAAGCTACTGACTGCACCGGACCAGAATGGCCTTCAAGTGTCTGCTGTAGCGCACCTGTCGCCAGTTCCCAAAGCCGGATCATCTTATCATTGGAGCCGGACGCCAGTAGCTGGCCGTCTGGTGAGAAGGCGACCGATAGAACCGCATCTGAATGACCCTCGAGTGTCTGCTGCAGCGTGCCCGTTGCTGTGTCCCAAAGCCGGACCGTCTTATCACTGGAGCTAGACGCTAAAAGCTGGCCGTCAGGTGAGAACGCTACCGACCAAACCCATTTTAAATGGCCCTCGAGTGCCTGTAATTCTGCGCTCCATGTTTCGTCAACATGTGGTAACCGGTATATCCAAGTAGGAAGCTCCGCTTTAAACTCTCTACGGATTATTGACTTTCGGGGAGCGAATATAAGTCCTGAGCAATAAAGTTGAAGGGGCGCCTCATCGGCTATTTGGAGGTTTTTAAGCATAAAGCGCCTTGTGTCACGTAGGAAATCAGACAACACAGGATGTTGGTCGGCCTATATATATCAGCGTGAATTATATGTACCTGTCTTTGGGACTTACAAGAATAACTGTCTGGAGGAGATCGAGAATCCTTACTACTTCTGATGCGAGGCTTAGTAGGCTCATTGCTTCTACCCAATGCAGGAAATGTCTCCGGAGAAACAAGAGAGCATCATCTGTCACATCATTCAAGTCTGTGCATTGTACTAAATGATGTGCCCAATATCGACAGGCGTATTGCAATTCTGGAGAAAGACAGTGATCGATAGTCTGGCGATTAATCTCTACACGTCGGGTTCCGTCGCTTGGTAGACCACATATATTTTTCCGTAGATTTTGGCACACAAGAAGACATTTTATGGTCAACTTATAGTGCATCTCTTTCTTATCCACCCCAAAGGGAGTTCTCTCGCGGGTTTCCGGATCTAGAAGAAAGTCTCGAAATGATAGGTGTAAGAGTCGTATTGGCAAAGTCTCGTCATCTGGCACACTCAGAACTGAGTGTAGAGAATCCAACCTGAGATGAATAAGCCTCTCGGAGACTCCTAGAAGCCTCGAAAGTGAGATAACTGTGAGCGGGCTCTCTAGTGTCACGATTGCACCAATCACTTGGTGAAATTCTTGAACTAGTTGCTTTTTCCGTTTCTCAATTTGTCCGCTGAGGAGCCGATTGAGCACGGGAAGATACGTTCCATCCAATTTAGATTCGTCATTTCGACGTGCAAGGATCTCAGTGAGACTATCCTCTGGGTCCCAAAATGGGTCTTCAAAAACACGGCAAATAGTAGCGGCAAAAATGAATAATGGAAGAGACATTGCCACTAGAGTTTGAAGATTTATGTCTCCGGGCCAATCGTTAGGCAAGAGACGTTCTCTCCTAATCTCTGAAAGTCGATGATTCAAGAATAGAGATATGTCGTGCTTAATGGCCTCCCTAGAAATTTTATGGAGAATTAAGTCTCTATGATCATAGTGTGCAAGCTTTGAGAAACCCAGGCGGATTTGCAATTCAGGCCTGCTAGTTAGGAAAAATCGCAGCCGTAGAGCATTTGACTTCTGTAGCTGTGGCAGAAGTTGGAGTATGAGCCGCACATCATTATCTCCTTCACATTCGTCTAATGCGTCAATCACTATCAATACTGTCTGGGTTGGGAGATCAGATCGTTTTAAGCTTAGGAGTGGCTGAAGGAGCAATTTATCAAACTGCTCCTTCATCGCCTTCGCCGCAATATCTGGGTAATCATGGACTGCTTTCTGGATAGAAGGGATCAGCTGGGGAACGGTAGTTGCTAGCTTCTTTGCGACTGTTGGAAACAGTTTCATAGCATTCCCTCGATCACCTTCACCCCTCTTGAAGAAAAAGCTTGCCCCGAGTGACTTAGCTTCGCTAAAAGATTTTGCCACTGTTCGAGAGATGGTCGATTTTCCTGTCCCAGCCATGCCGTTCAACCAGAAGAGACATCTTCCCTGTGGAGAGAAAGCCCACTGTCTAATCTCATGGAGGATATCCGTCCTCGTGCCTGGGAGACATTCGTCCTCATGCTGATCCACGTATGAGTCGAGGGCAGCCCCGTGCACGATTGGCAACCTGTCGTCTAGGTCTATCATAAGGGTCAGTACGATCTACCCTGAATGAAAATTCCCGTGCCGTACTTGGTGGCAGATGAAACGCCGCTGTGATCGGGCCGTGATTGATCCCCACCTGTAATCCAGAATTCAAGTCACCAAATGATATCAGGGCATCCATGATCACAGCACAGAAGGTTCGTTCGCATTCAGGAGAAACATGCGGGGTATGCGTCACTTAAGTGAGAACATGTCAACTTAGCCCGTCATCAGGTGACGTATTTGGGCGAAAAGACCTATTCTCACCCCGCGTGTCGGCCAATCTCGCTGTTTTGTTTCAGCTGTAAATAATCTATCTCCCGCAGTAACTAATATATATAGCATCATAATGTACCTTGGAGCCGCAGCTCCGGTCTTGCACGAAATACAAGTCTAAAGAAATTTGTGGAATTCCAAATCCGCCTTGCAGTAAGTCCGGACTCTACCATCGCTTAGTCGGGCCGAGCCGAACGGTAAGCCACTTTACCAAATTTTTAGTTCTTTGTGAAGGAGCTAATACATAATGCGCCCTAACTGCCACCACCTCCCAACTTGTGATGATCGGCGATATGATCGGCAGCAAAATTGTCCAATTGGTCCAAGCAGTCGGCTAGGAGAAGAACAGGACAAAGAACGCGTTGCAAAAGGACCCAAGAAAGAATCGGAGAGTCAGGTGGTGAATTGGGCTGAACTTTGCTCTAGTAGCTGTGGTACACCTCCTCTACAATAAACCAGTGTGCCGGAAGTGTCCCTCTGAGCTTTCCTCCCTCGCGCCAACCACATCAATACTCCATTCGGGGAAGTTATCGAATCCTTGAACCGGACTGTCTTCGTTGGACTGCCAATTTCGCCGAATAGAGGCTTTTAGCTCAGCGAAGAACTCCTCAATAGGATCTAGGTCTAGAGAATACGGAGGCAAGTACACTAGCTTTACACCGGCCTCTAAACACATCCGTTCTATTCGGTCGGAGTGATGGAAGGATGGGTTGTCTATGACTAGCACAGACTTCGGCTTGGGCCATTTACTATAATGCTAGAGAAGCTACTCGATCAAATCCTCAAAGAAGCACGCATCGGTCGGTCCTCGGAACACATTGAATTCGTCCTAGAAAAATCGTCATCTCATCAAGATAAAGGTTGGGATTTTCGAGTAGGTGATCGCAAAGAGCTTCTAGCATAACTAGAATGATGCTTCTTGGTCGACCATCTTTATTAGGGCGGTGCTTTGACACTGCCAAACATCCGTATATTAGAACAGATTCTCAGAATGATACGTCTGTTGCAGCTAGCAGCCTCTGCCATATTTGATACAGATAATTGGCCACTGTGGAGCATGTCATAGACTTAGCTCCTGCTTTGAAGGGGCAAGGTTCGGCGCCATTCTGGTGTAACCACCTGTGATTTATCGTTAAGAAGTCTCGTATAAAGATAGATGTTTTCGAGGGCGGGTAGCGAGAGTCTCGCGTATTAAACTTACAAGCCAATACACCCCACTATCGCCTCAGGTACTCTCTGGAAGAAACAATACAAGCCCCACTGACAGGGGTGATTCGGAAAATTCCCAGTAAGTACTAGTGTGGTTTAAATGATTAGGGTTCAGAAAACAGTCGAAGAGTTTACGTGGTGACACCACTTACGGGAGGGAGGTACTGTACGTCTACACTTGCTTTGGGTGACTAACATTAAATGCTTGATCTCGGCCTTGTTGCCTGAGGCACCAACACCGAGTGTTAGTTCCACCACTTAACTACCGTTCCTTCAGTCCTCCAATCCATCCCAGCAATATGCACCGGTCTTACCGTAGATTTCGTCCCTGCAGCTACCGTCACTCATACATGCACTTCTTCCCTCACCGGCCGAATGTTCGGTAGCGACTCGGGGATCCACACGCAATTTTGCCACCTATCTCATCACTCCCGCTGACAGTTTTCAAGGGTTTGTCAGTTGCCTCAATCTCGGCGATATGATTCGCTGCCCAATAATGAGCTCGTGAAGGGCAGGGCTGATTCATGTGGCCATGGAGTCTGGGTCCTCGGGATCCATGGATGTGTCGACAGAATAGGACAGCAGAGTCCCCACTTCCCCGGATCCTGTCATGCTCACGGAGATGGCCGCCGATTGCGCCTATTGGGTGCTTTTAGTCAACGGGTCATCAATTCCCTATCAGGCCAAAGGTCCCAAGTCTGCGCGACCACGCGCAGTATCCCCGGCTCTAGGCTCCGTGGCCGTAGGGCTTATAAAGACACTCTCAGCTTTCGCATGACCATCCGACGAGAGCAATATCCAATATATTCTGTAGCATCTCTACTACAGGTGTACTCCGAGCAGCCATTATGTTTAAAAGATTTAACCGGGTCAAGGAACCGCCATACCAAAACGGCAATGACGAACTACCTCGGGAGTCTGTTTCCACCAACGATCATGAGAAACTAGCCGGGGATGTCGTTGACACGAGAATCCCTCTTTTCACCTGGCGCTCTCTCGTCATGGGACTCTTTGTCTCAATGGGCGGCTTCCTTTTCGGCTACGATACCGGTCAGATCTCCGGCTTCCTGGAGATGAACAACTTTCTGTTACGCTATGGCGAGCCAGGTCCGGGTACTACTCCGGGTACTACCCACCATTTTACCAATGTACGAGCTGGTCTAATCGTTGCACTGGTGAGTTTTAATTCCCTACGCACTGCACCATATTTCTGACATGACCCAGCTATCTATTGGTACCTTGATTGGCGCCCTACTTGGTGCACCCATTGCGGACCGTATCGGACGCAAATGGTCCATCAGTGCCTGGTGTTTGATGGTTTGCATTGGTGTCACGATCCAAATCTCGTCGCCTTTCGGAAAGTGGTATCAGATTGCCGTGGGCCGTTTGATCGCCGGTCTTGGTGTTGGGGCAGTATCCTTGCTAGTCCCGATGTATCAAGCAGAGGCTGGACCGAGACACATTCGAGGAACTTTGATCAGGTATGCAGAGCCTTGTATATATCTGGTGGATCAAAACTCACATCTACCAGCACCTACCAGCTCTTCATCACGCTAGGGATTTTCGTTGCCAACTGTATCAACTTTGGAACTGAAAAACGGACAAATCCCTCGTCGTGGCGGATTCCAATGGGAATCACCTACGTCTGGGCCGTCACTCTTGGTGTCGGCATGGCTTTGTTCCCCGAAAGCCCTCGATACGATTACCGCCACGGAAAGGTCGACAAAGCTATAGATACACTGTCCAAGATCTACGGTATCCCTCCGAATCATCGTATGCTCAGGCTTGAGTTTGAGGAGATTAAGGAGAAGTATGAAGTGGAAGTTCGTAATGGTCAGGTTACGTGGGTCCAGCTCTTCCGTGCTCCCCGCATGGCATACCGCGTAGGCGTTGGTGTTGCTCTGCAGGCTCTGCAGCAACTTACAGGCGCCAATTACTTCTTCTACTATGTATGTGCCCGACGATCCTGAAAATTTGAAGCAACCCACTGATCTCTTGCAGGGAACCACGGTCTTTCAAGGCGCCGGCATCCACAATAGCTACGTAACCCAGATGATTCTCGGCGGGGTGAACTTCGGCACGACCTTCCTCGGTCTATATCTGATTGAAAACTACGGTCGACGCCGATCCCTGATTACCGGAGCGCTATGGATGTTCGTTTGCTTCATGGTCTTCGCTTCGGTAGGCCACTTCTCGCTCGACCGCCAGCACCCAGAAAACACCAAGTCCGCCGGCATTGCCATGGTGGTATTCGCATGTCTGTTTATTCTCGGGTTTGCCAGTACCTGGGGTCCGATGGTATGGACAATCATTGCGGAGCTGTACCCATCGCAGTACCGTGCTCGCGCGATGTCTCTCGCCACGGCATCGAACTGGCTCTGGAACTTTCTGCTCGCCTTTTTCACCCCGTTCATTGTCAGTGCCATTGATTTCCGGTTTGGTTACGTCTTCGCTGGATGCCTCTTCCTCGCGGCGGGATTGGTCTACTTCGCTGTCATCGAAGGCCAGGGTCGGACACTTGAGGAGATTGATACTATGTATCTCATGAAAGTGAAGCCGTGGAAGAGCTCCAAGTTTGTGTTCCCGGCTGATCCGGGCGTGATCCGTGGTTCGTTCGATAAGGGAAATGAGGCGCAAGCTCCGACGTCCGCACATGTTTTGGACCCAGCGAATGAGGTGCCAGATACTGTGCCTGAGGCTACTGGAACGCGTGCCGAGGAGTAATGGTCAGTTGTGGGCTTGACTATGGCCGGCATACGATTTGGCCTGGGTTGTTGTATAACAGACGCGTTTCTATATCTGTGTTTATATCTGTGCGTATACCTGTGTTTACATCTGTGTTATATCTATGTTTATAGTCGTGTTTATATTTGTATTTATATCCTTATTGAATACCACGCATTTCAACCTTTGATTATTGAAAAATGTCTATATTTGATACTGCTTGTACACGGCCCCAAGCACGGATAGAGAACAGTTGGAGTGAGCCTTGACTAAGTGATCTCCCAAAAGGGAAGGTACTGTAACGCCTCGCGCACATTTCTGCCATATGAGAGAGTGGGAGGGAGAAAAAGAAGCAAATAAAAAGAAAGAAAGCATCCTGGATTTGAACCCCTGGCGTGAACAAAAAAGAAACCAGTCGATCTGTCCTGGGGGGCTGGCAAGCCTTGTGGTCCCCCTGTGTGCGCTTACTTGGCATGAGCTACCTTTTCGGAAAGGAGAGGGGTTGAACCACTGCACCATCAGAAGGCTGGTTCTCGAATTTGCCCTTTTTGGGATGGTTTATATAGGAACCACGGTTGTCCGGAAGGGGAAACGGACTCCCAGACCTGTTTGATGTCTATCTTCTGACTTGCCTCCCATGAATGTTTAGATCACTATAAAGAAGAAAGGCCCACTAATGGGTTCCAAGAGGAAATGGAAGTCGATAGGCAAATTAAAAAAGAACAACGAAGGACCTGAACTCCTGGCATGAGCAAGAAAGAAGATGCATATACGCCCTCAATGCGACGCCAGGGTAAGAGGAACGTCTCCACTCCTATCACTTGTCTCTTGCTTGAGGAACAAGGTTTAAGCTGATATAGAAGGTACACTGGAATCAAATTGCATAATCAATCCAGGCAGGTAAAACATGGATTTACATCGTGGTCTTTATATACACTTCAAGTAATATATAAGGGGGAAAGTTGTCCGGAATAAATAGACTAGAATGTTAAGCACTATAAACAACATAAGTTGATACCAGGATACTGTGCAATATCACCAACGTGAGTAAGTTGCATTGGCCGTGATTTCCCAAAATGGAAGGTGCGGAGACACTCATTATACTGGCCAACAATATGAGAGGGTGGATAAAAAGGAAAAAAGAAGGAAATAAAAACAGAGAACCTCCTAGATTTGAACCCCCGGCCTGCAAAAAGAAACCAGTCACACCTGTCCCAAGGCGCTGGCAAGGCCTTGTTGCTGCCCCGCATGGATAAGCAAATTATTCTCAGCATGTACAGATGACAACCGCTACACCACCAAGCTTGCTGGTTCTTGTGCGTCTCACCATTGAATGGTTTATATACTCAGGTAGGAGAAGACTTATCCCGACTAGACAGTTGGCCTGGACCAACCACGAGGCCAATATCAACAACGGCAAGGACTCTGTTTCGCTATGGCTTCTCGCAAGTTTATCAAGCTAGCTTACTCATTAACTCTACTTTGGTAAACTTCTGCCCATTTATTTGAAAAACTGGTCGATTCTTTTCTGACGCGAATCATGCGCAGAGCTTCCGATTCCACCACGCGTTCGGTGCAGACCGCTAAGATGCGTCTTGCTGTCCACAGCTACGACAGTCATTCCCCAGCCTTGCAAGAGAGCCCCTTCTGAGACAGAGCTTCCTGGAACTGCATTCTCGAGAGTTGCTGGTAGAGTCACATCTTCAACACTGTTGTTTCCAGACCTCCGTGGCTGGTGTAAGTCGAACGATGATAGTGCTGGCGTCGCGACCCCCGGCGTCATCATACTGCGCTGAATATGAACCGTCATGAACCCCGTATTTGACCAGACAGGTTTCACAGCCATCTCGCCACCATGGCGCAAGGCTGTACCCGGTGCGATATGGACTTCCCTGGGATCGAATAGTCCAGCGAGACGGTTCCACAACACGCGCAGGATGAGTCCATGTGCTACGATGGCCACGTTCTGTTCATGATTCGGGTTTTGCTCGTCAAGAAGAAGTGGAAGGAGATGATCGCCGAGAAAGGAATTGGCTCTCTGTGTCATTGAGATGTGAGACTCGAATTCGGTATGGGTTGCTGCTGCTGCTGCTGATGATGATGCAGAGCCGCTCAAAGCATGAGAAGAGTTCCAGGACATTCCCTCCAACGACCCGAAGTCTCTTTCTCGCAGATCCCGAGTCAGGACGGGCGTCACCGACGATTGTGCGGCTTGCAGACGACAGATGCCTTCTGCTGTCAGACGTGCTCTGCACAGATCGGATGCAAACACCGCGCTGAAATTAACCGACTGAGCGACGAAATGCCGGGCCAGGGATTCTATCTGCAGTACTCCGTGGTTCGTCAGTGCTGAGTTGGTCGTTCCAGCCCTACATCTCTCTTGAATCAGCGCTTGAAGCTGTAGTTAACTACGTGCCGGTGGGTCTTACCATGCTTGTCCTACATTATGGATTGTTTCGGCGTGGCGAATGAGATATAGTCTCATCGTGAGGCGGTGCGTGTATGCATTGTGCCGATTGTGGGAGTGTTGTATCGAAGATGAGCTTGAACATGGATTGTCGGGCATCAGTCACGTGTTGTCATTCGAAATGAGCGGAAGATCATGTCCAGGCTAGTGAATACTACGACCTCATGTCTACAGGAAGAGGATGCAAGCGCGTGAGGGAATGAAATTGATGGACATTCAGCGGAGCAGATAGAAGTGGGAAACGGAATTGCCTTGAGAAACTAATTGCTCCGAGAAAAAGAGAAAGAAAAAAAGAACAAGAGGTATTCATGATCCATCAATCTACATCAGAAAGAAACGCCGACAAGGCCAAGCCTTGATCCCCCCAACACACACAGAGTTATTTTGAGAAAAAGCTTTTGGTGCGATCCGCTTATGCAGCGAGCTCGCGGATCTTCTCCTGGACGCGGGCCTTGCGCTGGGCGTGGGTGAGCTTGTTGACCTTGTACTTCTTGGACTCGGCCTTCCACTCAGCCTTGGACTTCTTGGGCTCCTCGTCCTCATCCTTCTTGAAGGGGTCCTCGCGGATGGCCTTGTGGGCCTCCTGGTAGATCTCCTCGAGGTCACCGGCGTCAATCTCCTCCTCGACGTACTTGGTGAACTGGGACTTGAAGCGCTCCTCATCCTCGTCGGCGAGGGTCTCCATGTACTCAGAGACGTGGCCACCGAAGATGTAGTTGCGGAGGGTGTCGGCATCCAGCTCCTCGGTCTCGATGTCGAAGCCGGGGAAACGCTTCTCGGAGTGGGGGATGAAGATACCACCGTCCGAGGCACCCTTCATGGCACCGAAGACACGGGCACCGGAGGAGGTGCGGACCAGACCGACATCAAGGAAAGCCTTGAAGGGGCGGCGCTCGCCCTCGTCGGTCTCGGCGGCCTCGGTGAGAGTGTACTCGCCATCGGCCTCCTCGACACCCTTGAAGTCCTCGTCCAGACCCAGCTTCTTGAGGGTGCGGCGGGCCAGCAGCAGACCGGTGGCGTAGGCAGCGGACCAGTTGGTCAGACCCTGGGTGATGCCGTAGCGCTTCAGCTCGTGGGCGTAGGCCGAAGCGAAGACCTTGTCACCGGAGATCTCGGAGTAGACGATCTGGGTGATGATGTCGCGGTTGGTGAAGCGGACGACCATGCGGTACTTGGGCGCATTGTACTTGTTCTTGGCCTGGGTGATCAGGCGCTTGCGGGCATAGTAGTCGGTCTTGCCCTCGCGGCGGCGGCGGTACTTAGTCTGGTAGCGACTGGATGGGAGTTAGCCAAAAAGTGGTTGATGAACATGGCAGATTTTCTTACCTGAAGTAGGCGTCGTTCTTGACGGTCTTGGTGAAAGGCTACATGGAGGGAAATCGAGTCAGCAATTTGCGCTTCAGAACCACCGAAGCATCTTGCATAACCCGGGACGGGAGGGAAGGAAAAAAAAAAATTTTGCTTCCAGGAAAAGCAGAATGGAATTATTCATCCATCTGCTGGAGCAGTTGGACTCACCATTGTGACGGTTGTCGACGGAGTGCTTGGTTAAGACAGAGGGTGGACAGAGAAGAGGAAGAAAAAAGTGTGAGTCCGTCTCGTCTTTGTGGGGGATTCGCTTAGCCTGGCTGCATCCCGCGCTCACCAGTGCGGTTGGCCACGACATGTCTTATCGATAAGATAAGCCCTTATCAACGTTCCCATACTAGAACAGAATGGTTCGCTATATGCCATATTTAAGGATGCTTTCTATCTCCCGGTATTCTATAGCCTCGCCTTGTCCTCCTCCAGCAGCTGCAGACCCGTGATCTTCTCCAACTCCCGCACGGCACCGTCCGTCTTGCCCAGTGTCACCTTGATGGTGCGGATCCCAGCCTTCTTGGCTGCCTTGAGATTCTCTCCAATATCATCTAAGAAGACAATATCCGCCGGGTTAACCCCCGAAAACCCCCGTTTCTTAGCCTCGGCGTCCATCTCCTGGATCGCGACCTGGTAGATCTTCGGGTCGGGCTTGCGCAGACCGGTATGCGCCGACGAGATGAAAAAGTCGAATTGCGACTTGACTCCGGAGACGTCCTTATTGTACGGATGGCCCTCGGGGAACTTGGTCGTATTCGATAAAGCCCCCATCACGAACTGACCCGATGCTCGCAGCTTCTTCAGCGCGGGGTACATGTACGGGTCGGGGGTGCGTGAGATCCTCATCATCTCCCAGAAGAGCCATTCGGCGTCGACTTCAGGCAATGGGGGTGTCTGAGCCGGGGGTGATTGGCCTTTCTTATTCGCGAGCCACTCATGAAATTGCTTCCACAGGTCGGGGTTCCGGAGGTCTTTGTTGAATGCGGCGAAGAAGTTGGCGTCCATGGGGATCTCGCCTCGTTCCAGCTGGTGCCAGCTACCGTGCGGCGAGGTTCGGGAAATACTGAAATTGACCCATCCGGGAGGAATGTTTTTGGACAGCTCGTAGTCGAGGATAGCCTGGAATGGGGAGACGACCTGCCAATCTATCAGCATGATTCCTCATGGAGGCCACGGGGCCAACGTACACAAACTCCGCCGATGTCGAAGAGAAGGCCCACCGGCCGCTTGGTCTCGGCCATTGTGTTCGTGGGGAAGGGATGTGAATTAACGATGGTTGGGGTCTGCGGAGAAGGATGACTTTAAGCCGCCAGATTGCCGAGGTACTGTCCCAGCGAACAGCCAAACACCGAGGAAGCCGCCATAATGAAATCGGACTTGATAGCATCAAAGGTAATGGCTGTGGTATTATCTATTCCATTTTTTGAACGATATGCCTCCGAATTGTTTCCAAGAAAGAGTCCTCGACTGCATGCCCTTCCTCCAGTATGAACACATCACGTGCTGATAAGAGCGCGACTCAGATGAGCGGCGCGCGAGACTCGGATTGTTCCATTACATGACAACCGATGGACTCGACACGAACAATATCCGAGCTGAAATCAGCATTCATATGGGGCCAGGTTCGCATCCTCTCCGAGAGCCTTGATCTGCCAGAAGACTGGAGGAACTATGCTGTGGACACCGACGAGGGCGACCTGAGCGACAAGGTGGTGGAAGACGTCTTGCACAAAGGTGAGCTGATTCCTGATGTTCTGTTGCTTTTGATGCTGTATCACCACGCAAAGTCTACATGACTAACTAGGCTCCAGTCAACGCCGCTGCAAAACAACACAACCGCGTTGTTTACTCCTCCCAAGCCATACACCATGTCGCGCAGCAGATTGCCAGTCTGTACTGGTCATCCGTGAGTCAAGAGGCGCGCAGCCGGAGTGCCTTTGCGAACGGCATCGAAAAGACAGTGGACCTGTCCAGCCACATGTGAGACACCGGTCCCGTGTCTGCGTGGATACATCCTAACTCTAACTGCCTAGAAACATCACCAACTTGCCGATGGAACTAGAAACGCCGGGGGCAAGCTACGAAGAGAAGACACGGTCAGACTGCAACCCATCCCGCATACGCTCCGATTGAAGTGCCACCTGTCTGACCATGGTGTGTAACAGATTCCAGCAGCTCCGGGAGCGCCTCCTTGCGCTCGACGACCAACGACAGCAGCGGCGACGGCGCTTAGACCAACTGCAGCATCTGCAGCAATTACTGGAACCGTTCCAGGACCCTCAGAAGAATATCCAGCCGAACCTTGTCACCCGGGACGGGGAACTGGTGCAGGAACTGGAGAAGATGCGCATGCTGGTGGCCCGCGTGGGTGGGCGAATTGCACAGCAAAAGAAAAGCGGCCGAGGAGTTGAAAGTACACACGACTACTCGCTTCCGGGATCAGATCAGAGACTGGACGCGTTGCTGGATACGTGGGATAGATCATGACTGAACGAATAACAAGGAAATAGTAACTTTGCATACTACTAGAAGTAGTAGTAAATACTAGGCAGTGGGATAGTACACTATAGTAGTGGATGGCACCTGCCAGGCAGCCGCCAGTCGATTGCGCTTGCAGAAGTATACCAGCAAAAAGACAACCCATTGCGACATGGCCTGATTCCCTTTTTTCTTTTCCGTCAAGTCGATTACGCCTACACCCTTCCCCGTTGCGCACAGCGGTCGGAAAACACCTCGTTCACCTCCGGACCACTGGCCACGATGAGCGGCGTGTCTTCTGGATTTTAAACCACCATCACCTCTGTGGTGCTCGTTCATGGACTTGGAGCAGCGCAAGGAGCAACGGAGCGTGGGCGCCGAGGCTCCGGGGGCTAACCCGAAGTGGGCTGGCTCGACCCCGTCCTCCAGCTCGGTCGCACTCTCGCATCATCTCCACGACACCGCGCACGCTGCCTGCCCCGAGTGCGCATCCGCCATCATCGAGGGCAGTTCTACTTCCGCGTCCAAGGCATCCTACGCCCGTGGGCACCGCCGTCGTTCCACCCACGTGACTCGCCGCGACCTGGAGAAGTTCCAGAAGGAGGTCTTGGGCGTCGAGAACCACACCTCCTGGTACGACGAGGATAGCGGCCCCTCGCGGATTAATCCTTTGGACCCTCAGCTCGAAGAATTGAATCGTGCCTTTGCCCTCGCCGACATGTCGATGAGCAGCGGGCCCGGAATGACTGGCAGCAGCCCTGGCTCCAACATGTTCGCCAGTTACGACAGCTCCCCGGGTGCCAACATGGCCAATATGCCTCGCCAGGGCATGTCACCTGCCATCCCACACCCGTCTGCTCAGGTCAACGGCGGTGGCTTGGCTGCGATTACGACGGGGATGCCCATGAACGCCGGTCACCAGATGGATCTTCATCACTTGTACGAGATGGTGCTGGAATTGAGCGAGGTCTTGAAGAACAATCGGGAGGTCACCAAGAACATTGTTTCGAGCGCCGAGGATATCATGGTAGGTGATATGCTGTCCCCACAAAACCACGATGCCACTAACTCGAATCCAGAAACACGGCACCTCGGAGAATGCGAGTGCCGCTGTGCAGCAGATGAACGGGGAAATCTCCGCCGCCCGGATCTCAGAGCTCGAACGCGCTCTCACCAAGGAGAAGCGTCTCGTCGAAGAGCTGCGCCGCGAACAGATCGAGAACACCAAATTAATTGGCGACTACGAAGCCGGCCTGGGCACGATGGTGGAGCAGATCCGCAACTACTGCCAAAACAACAACATGCATTTCCTATACCAGAAGGGCCACTATAACAGCCTGCTCCAGGCCGAGCGGGATGCCCACCTGGAGAGCCGACTAGATCGGGACTACTGGCATGCGCAGACCATGAAATGCTCCGAGATGATCCGCCAGGCGCATCGCCTGCGGTCGGAGGAAGAGGAGCTACCCGTCCGCATCGTGGCGGGCCTGCAGAACGAGGTCCGCGCGTACCGTAGCGCCCTGGGCATGGACCCGGAGAAGCCGGAAGAAGAGTACGGCTGGGAAGTCCTCAAGGATGTTCCGTCGAGCTCGGAGTAGTGGGAATGATTGTTTTAGGCGTGGCTCTTTGTCTCTTTCCCCCTTTTATCTTTGCATTTTGTACGGCGTTCTATCTTACACTTGGAGGCGTTGGGGCTTTTTTTTCGTTTAAAAGGAATACCCTTTTTTTTTCGTGTCTTGTGAGTTTTGACCCTGGCTTTTTTCTTAGCCCCAGCAAGGCCGATCCTCAACTCCCGTACGGCTCGGCCCCCCCACCTTCTCCGGTCCACCGGAGAGAGTCGTTACAGGCGACTGGCTTAGGAGGGCCTATCCCCCGCCACCCAAGAAGCAACTATTAGTTAGGGCAAAAGTCCTGCTCCAATAGTTATGTAACCTCACCAGAATAATGCCCGTGGATCCCATCCCTCACGTGCCTCCCCGATTATGTCACCACCACTCAGCTGCTTGGTCTTCCCGATCTAGCGTCGACAAGTTGACTTTCTCCCACCCTTTCTCGCACCCCCTCATCATCATGTCTGTTCTGCTTCGCCCAGTCATTATGAGACTCTCACATCACGATCATCTGTAGCGGTCTGCGACAAACCTGCCCACCATCTTCGTGCCCTGCTGTGACGTCGCGGGACCCCGCGGCGATCCTCCTCGTCTGGTGCAATTTTACCCGACTGAAACGGGACGATAGTCTCGGGTTTCTGTGGAGGCTAAACGATCAGCCGACTATGCGTCCATCGATCTAGACGTACCCAGACAGTCCCCGATCTCAGCGCGCAGCTGGCCATCACCCCCACTATATACACAGTCGACTGGTGCTATTATTGCTAGGAGGTCCAAAATGGAGGGTGTTCAAACAGTGGATGTGAGCTGGCTGCATCATTCGCAAAAAGGCAAGTCCATTGCATTTCCTGGGATTGTCCTGCTGGGATATGCACCAGCTACGCTTCTTCCCCCGGATACGCCGGATCACATCTAACACGCCGGTTCAGATAATCTCTCTCGCACCAAGTCAGTCTCCTCGACGGTCAGCGACAAGCCTGACACGGATGGAAACGCTGCGGCCACAACCAAGTCGGGCAAATCGCACCGGAGATCCCGATCGAACAGTAGCCCGGCGCGCTCAGCGTACGCCCAGCAGTCAGCGTCCTCGGAGCAGCAGGCGAAAGGAACTCCACAGAATGATCCGATTCCAGAAGAAAAGGTGGTAGAGCCGGAGGAGAAACCTACAGACCAAAAACCCGCTACTCCGTCGCCGAGTACGCAGCGGAGCTCCCCCAAACCCATCGGAAGAAGAAATTCGTGGATCTCAAGTTTGAGCTCGAAGTTTTCGTCTGGCTCAACCCCGCCATCGCAGTCCAGTCTCAAAGGGAACTCTACCAGTCCGAAGACGGCTTCGCCCCTCGACTCTTCCAACTCGTTCGGGGCAGCGTACGGTCCAAAGGACAAGGAGGAGGAACAACAACAGAAGAAAGAAGACCCCGGTGTCCCTGTGGTCTCCTCCTCGCCGAAGGGTCCGTCATTCTTGCACAATGCTTTGCGCAAATTCTCCTCCAACTCGGGCGGGCTTCCTAAGTTACCACCAGGCGGAGGAGTATGCCAGCGGCGCGTGTTGAACCTGGACCCGTATCGAGACCGATGCAAAATTGCGGATCTGAACCAGGCGAAATTACATCGCGTGGCCTTTTGTGTCGATGTGGAAATCGCAGGGGTGTCTCATCGCGACTCGGATGAGGAGGCTCCTCCAACGAATCAGCTACGACAAGGACCTTTACCGGAATCCAATGCACAGAAATCTAAAAAGGCAGATGTCAAGACTAAGGAGAAGGGAGAAGCTGATGCTCTGAAGCATCCTGAGACTGCTGTGCTCGAAAAGGAAACCTCTCCCTCGGCCACTGCTCCTGCTAGGGACGGTGGTGATGCAGCTGTCCAACCTTCGGCCGCGCAGCCTTCAAACCCTGTTCCCACCGCTGAAAAGAACCCCCCGTCCACCACGGAAAACGCGAGCCCTTCAAGCGATCCAAAGCCCGATGCAAAGCCGAACGGCGAGGGCAAGGAACCAACAAGAAAGCAAGAGAAGAAGAAGCGATCGGAAGAGGAAAGACGAGAGCGAAGGGAAAAGAAGCGGAGACAAGCTGTAGCCAATGGCTCGGTGCCGCTGCAGCTAGATGCGGAGATGGATGAGGATGATTCACGAACACCAACACCTGATGTTTCACGCAAAACGCAAAGCCACCCGACCACAGACCCTGTCCGCATCTACCGCCGGTGCTGCCAGCTACGTGAGACTCCTGTCCTTAAAAGAGTGGTTGATGAGATCTCTTCGCCGTCGTCGACGCTGGCCGAGTCTCCTGGAACGGTGGGGGCTCTGGACCTCAGCAATTTCCCCATGACCTCGCAAGATATCGCGACCTTCAGCGACTGGCTTGCAGTAGTTCCCGTTCGCAAACTCATTCTCGAGAACTGCGCTTTGAATGATGAGTCTACGCGGGCTATTCTCGCAGGGTTGTTGGCAACCAAGACCGTTGAACAGATGCGGTATCGGCGGAGACGAGCTCGACGGCCAGAGTCTGTCGTTGCTAATGACGAACGATATGGGGTAGTGGAGAAGCTGTCGTTGAAGAATAACCCAAAGATTGGCCGCGAGGGTTGGCGCCACATTGGTCTTTTCATCCACCTTTCCAAATCTTTGAAGGCTATCGATCTGTCGGGCATTCCTTTTCCCAAGATACGTCCGGCCATGGAGGGCCAGGCTTCCAATCCAGCCCTATGTGTCAGCACTATCTTTGCCAATGCCCTGGCCGCACGGTTCAGTGGTGACCATCTTGAAGAACTGTTGCTCAGTGAATGCAAACCTTCTGCCGATGACGTCAAGAATATTTGCGAAGCGGCGACTAGTATGGGTTTGCGACGACTAGGATTTGCCAATAACAACCTTACGAGAGAAGGCCTGCAACATGTGGTCGAGTATCTCAAGGCTGGGCAGTGTGAGGGTCTGGATTTGGGAGGCAACCCCATTAAGGATGATTTCGATCTCCTAACAGACGCTATTGAGGCCGAGCAATCTCTGTATGCCTTGAGTTTGGCAGACTGCTCTTTGACACCCACGACTCTATACCCCCTGCTTCAAGCCCTTACGCGGCTCCACAACCTCCGCTTCATTGATTTCTCGCATAACCCTGAGCTCTTCTCAACGCAGACCCACGCTCTTGGACTGTTCCGTCGTTTCCTGCCGAAGATGCCTTCGCTAAAGCGCATTCATCTTGCCGATGTCAACCTTTCCCCCGACCATGCCATCAGCCTGGCTGAGATTCTGCCTGAATGCCCCAGTCTCTGCCACTTGAACATCTTGGAGAACCCCCAGATTGGTGCTTTGGCTTCTGCTACCGACCCGACCACTCAGGAAGAAGCCTGCGCCGTCTACGCTTCGATGATGGCGGCTGTCCGTGTCTCGCGGACAATCATTGCAGTGGACATCGACATTCCCAGCGCAGAGAACAACGAGGTCGTGAAAGCCTTGGCATCGCAGATTATGGCATATTGTTTAAGGAATCTTGAGGGCGGGGCTATCGCTGAGGAACTGTCTGACGTGATCGGCCCTACCGCAGACAAGGATGTCCCCGTACCGGATATCCTACAGCATATTGTTGGCAACGCACCTATTTCCGAAGAACCATTGGAAGCGGAGGGCGAGCCCGCTCCGGACGAGGACTATGTCATTGGCGGCACAGGTGTCGTGAAGGCGCTGGGCGTCTGCCTTAGCAATCTAGACCAACATGGTGGTATTAATGCCCTGGGAGGTCACTCTCCTTTGGCCAGTGGCACTACGACCCCTCGACGATTGAAGTCTCGGGACGTTGTCACCAAGAGACCTCGTGACATGTCGAAGAATCTCCTGGAATCGGCGCGCAACATTCGGGCCCGAATCCAAACTGCCTTGATTCGTGAGGATCGTGCTGGCAATGATGCGAACTATAGTAAGTGCCACCAATATTTTGAGTTGGATTTGAGATCTAACCGCTCTGATTACAGGACGTCTGCAATTCCTCGACTTCACACTCCACCGGATGATCCAGCGATTCGAAGATGAATATCCCGAAACGCGTATTGCAGGACAAGGTCCGCCCGCAATTATCGCCCCAGACACCAGCTCGCAGCATTCCGGTGACCAGCTCTCCGGCGACGGTGAAGACGGAACCAGCGCCGCCGCCAACACGAACAACGTTCTCCTTGACAACGAAAATGCCATTGACGATGAAGAAACCGACCAATACGCTATCCGTCTCTCGCGCGCCAGTTCGATCACCTCTCTGCACTCGCGCGCCATGACCTCCGAGGAAGGCCACGTGCACCGTCTCGGCCAGAACCTGCGTCGCGACTTGCTCATGAATCAAGACGGTGAGGACAATGAGTCTCGCGTTGCGGCTCTCCGGGAGAAGCTCGACCGTCTGCATGACGAGCAGCCTGGGTTCGAGGGTGACAAAGCGGATAAGGCGTTTGAGAAGCTCGGGTCTACCGTTGATGAGCTTTGGGCTGCGCAGCAGCAGGATGCGGAATCTTTTGAGCGCTTCCGGCAGTCACAGCTCGCGGCGCAGTGGAATGCTGGTGTGCGGCAGTCGCCTGGTGAGCCCTCGTCCTAGGTGTCTGTCTCTATAATACCTTTTATTTTCTTTTGTTATGTATGTTATTTTCTAGCGCAAATATTGTTGTACATACCCTCCCCCACGCAACGCATCTTTCTGTTTTGAATTATGACAGCTCCTGTGAATGTATATCAGACGGCAAGGCAACTCAGCTTAATTTTCCTCGGGCGGTGATATCCAACTGTATCTGTCTCCTGCAGTTTTCATGCTATATTATCTGTCCTCTAATGCTGTTTCAACTGTATGCAGTTCTATTTTACGTTGTAACATGTATCTGGGGCGTATTATGAGGAGCGAGATGGAGCTTCTGCTCAGTTATCCAAACAGGAAGGAGGGTATGCCTCTCGCAGTAGACAGGGAAAGGAAGAAGAAAAAAGGGAAACAACAGAGACCGTCGACAGGGCTCGAAGCCCCAGCCAGACAGACCAAACGAAGGACCTCCATCATTCCCAGGTACCTCATCCCAAACTGCCCATCAAAAAAAAAAGGTATGGTTTCAGTGGGGCGAGCCAACTCGTCCGAGTATACGACCCCCGAAGCCCAGCCTCACAGCCAGAACTACAACGGAGCCCAGAGGGACAGCTCAAGAAGGCCAAGGAACTCGTTTGATGTGGTTTGAGAGAAAGAAGGGATCAACGAGAGGATCCGATGCGGTCATCGTTGTTGATATTCTGATATGTTTTCCCTCGTCAAGGCAATCTCAGAGAAGATAGGCTCCAAGGCGCCAGTGAGATCAGTTTTGTTTGGTATACCTGGCTATTTTGACATTGTGTTTGTGCTGGGCATTTACCAACTGAGTCACTGCTTTACCTGGGATGGCAAAGGGCGCACTCTATACTGGATAATACGCTTAGTTCTTCGTTTCAATCTTTCCCGTCTAGCTATCTCTTGAGGTTATATTCCATCAAAACTCCGAGTCTGTCCAGGAATAGTACTCTCATTACGGGCCTGTACTCTGTAGTATCTGATATCAATGCAGTTGTCACTGTCTCTTGCTAAAACACACTCCAAACCACACCTTCACTCCAATCCACTTCTTCGCTCTGACACCCAATAGATCTCCTAACCGCTCATGGACATTCCTAACCAAGACGCCTCCATCACCACCCTGCCCAACCAAATCCTCAACCTGGAATCCCGCCTCATCAGCTGCAGCCAGCACTTCTGGAATAGAATGACAATAACTCGTCGGCCGGATCTTTACCCCAGTAGCCGGATCCGTGAAGCCGGCCTGGCTGCGCATGCCCATCTCGGCATGCATGTTCGTGACGAGTAGATACGCCCCCGACTTCATGATCGAGGATGCCGCTTCGAAGAATATCTTCGCGGGAATATGCTCCAACACCAGCGTGGATATCACCCCCACCGCTCCTCCGTCACGGAGAGAGGAAGGTAGCTGCGGCCTGCTTGAGGCAGAGTCCAATAAATCAAAGATCGCCAATGAGATCTCTGTGGATTGGGTCTGTTGACCTGTTTTTGCGGCAATCGATGCATCAATCGCACTCCGCGCAACGTCCAACATCTTCGGCGACGCATCCACACCAAAAACCGCCGGGGCAAACCCATTATTATTATCCTGCACGGACAGTGCATCCAGCAGCTGGATTGTGTTCCTCCCCGTCCCACACCCCAAATCCACCAGTGGCGACGCGTCCGTTTCGAACCGTGCCCGCACGCGCGCCAGGAAACGGGGGAGCAGCAAGCGCATCTCGATGCTGTCTAGCCGTAGAAGGAAGTTTCCATCTGTGTCGTAGACCTGGTTTTACTGTCAGTTAACTAGGACAAGTAGTACTTTGGCAAGAAAGGAAATCATGGTGCTCCTGGAACATACGGGGGCCCACTTATCATACGCCTCCACCGTGTCCAGATACTCGATTTTCTGGGAAGGATCCTGGGTCTCTGGTGGGGGAGGATGGTCGGCGAGATGCTGTTGGATAGTCGCTGTCATTTTGGGTTTCTAGTTGGTCCAGTCGAGGTGTAGTATTTGTTTGTTCGTGAAGAGGGAGAGGAGAGAAGGCGGAGATATATAGTTTGAACGAGTTGAGTCAGTATCGACCCTAAGTGCATTGAGCTTGGCGCTCAGACCTCAAATGATGCATCAATTCCGCACGAAGAACACTGATGTGAGTTTCCAATTTTGGTTCTTGTCTGCGATGACCTACCGATGATGTTGCTTGTTATTTACGCTTGATCGACTTGCAAACTATACGGCAACACCGATCCACTCCATGTTACACCCACGCAAACCTTTCGACGAGATGACCATTGTGAAATTAGACACTATAGGGAATCCAAAGCCGCATATCCGAGCCCTTTGAAAGATATTCGTCAACAATGTCAGCGTGATTCAGATCAGAAGACCAGATAACTCCACTGAAGGAAGTTATGAGTTGCACATTCGACCTTTGGAGAGTACCCCGGACTCGAATCAGAATAGATCGAGAGGGCGTGAGCCGGATTTAGTCGTGGGCTCGATGTAGAAGATTTAGTGGGCAATGCGCGGGCTCGTCTCGTGTGAGTGTCAGGGGAAATTAATTTACTAGTTTTAAATAGAAGCTCACATGGCATTCTCATCTGTCTCTCAAGGCTATTTCACTTCCACGGCCATCGAAACCATCGTGCCAAACCTCGATCGATCTACCGATTTTCTAGAATGCGGCGTCGGGACACTTCCGCCAATAAGCGGATCTTAGGCTTTTGTCTGCTGGACATACCCATTATTACCAGCGCTAGTTCCGATAAATCGTGTATTGAAAGCTTCAGGTGTTCGTCCTGAGCTGAAAAGGAGACTCCACTTGTAATTGCCGGCCGCAAAAGTTTCGATTGCCAAATAACACCTCAACCAATTGGACAAACGAAGTACTCCAAAGATCGGACTATGACCAACAGATAGCATTTGATCGTGGATCTGACTCGGCAAAGGATCGAAATATCGGCGGGGCACTTGCCGCTTCTAGGGCTGAGAGCCAGATAGGGTTTGCCGCAGACGATCCCAATTAAGATACCAGCAACACATGTTTCCGGACCTGCTCGGCCTGGAGTCCACGCTAGATTTAGCTTCTCCAGGACTTGAACTCCTGTGGATACTGGAGCAATGGGAAAATTTCCAGGGACCCGAGACCCATTCAAATCCCCACATGGGCTCTCAATAATGAGAGCTTAGCCCCAACTCAATCAACAGAAATCAAATACCTATTGTAGCAGTATGTTTTGGAGGGATCTTCAAAAGTTCAGCCGTAATGACGTGTGTGGTCTATGCAAATTATTTCCTGTAATTTCAGCCTGAAGTTCAATGTTTTAGGCATCACTCGGCAAGCCGCTTCTTGGTAAAATCCACCACATCCTGGTCGTATTTCTCAATATACTGGTGGTGTGCCAGGTTGCCGTCCATGGGTAGGATGAAGCAGCATTGATCGTCACCGTAGTCGCAGTAGCTGTGCAACGAGGCCGCGAAGGGTTCACACGACAACGGATCCAGGCGAGGGAAAAGCTACAGTGGATTATATCTGATTAGCATTCTGTCATCTCTGTTTGTCTCTGGCATTAAATCTGTACTTACCCCCAATCCAACTGTGCAGTTGCCTGTGTTCCATGGCATCAGAGGAACATAAGTCTCATCGCCGTATGCAGCCGCCGTGATGACTGCAGTCCTTTAGCCAATCGCTCTTTCTAGATAGTATACTGCGTCTACTCACTGCTCGTGTTGTATTTCGGATCGATGGCAGCTACCTCTTCGAGAAGAAGAGAGCTGGTGCCACAGAGCGCATCCATCATGGTAACCGCACCCTGTATTCGTTTGTTAATGTGTGTGATGGATCAATTCCTGATGGATACGTACCAAAGAGTATCCAAGAAGAGCAATCTTGGTGTCTGGGCAGCTGGCAACGTAATCCTCGATATACCTCTGGAGGAGTAGGGCTCCGTTATAAACGGCCTTGAACCTATCCGGGTCGCCATGGCCATAAGGAAGTCCCAAGACAGTCGACCCTGGAATCTGCTCGAGGATCGCCTCCTTGAGCTTTACCAGGACATTCAAATCGTTTCCCTGGCCTGAGCCTCGAAGAAGGATGGCGTGGACACCGGTCGCGCAATCCTTCTTCGCCACAGTCTGGGCATGAGTCTGCGTGAATAGCAGTAATGACACCAAGGCAATCACCGTAAGAGGCAACGTTTTGAAAATTCCTCCACGCATCGTGCTTTTGGGTGGTGTAGAAGGGCTCAAATCCAAGATTTGTTCACTAAAAGGAACCAACGATTGTTTACAACAGAGACATTTTTCCATAACAACGTGCATTTAACTTTCTGTACTAAATCTTTTAGAGCTAATCCGAACTGGTGCAACACGGCTCAAGTATTTCAAAGCAGAGCCAAGCACATGCGAGAGAGATCCGCTGATATTGGGATCGGCAAGGCGAACTAGGCCGGATTGACCGGATTGGGCCGAATTAGGTTTGGGCAAGAGCTTTGGGCGATGGGTTCGATCCGTACGGGTACGGGATCAGATTGGACGTGCGGTTCCACTAATTTCTAGAGAAGGGAAATAGTAATACCTGCGTACGTGAGGAATAGGAACCTGGATATCTCGTGTAGATCTCGTGTGGGTTTCGGAGGGGTTTGAAGTTGAATCTAGGTAGACCTCGGCAGAGGATTTACACGATCTATACGCCAGGCACATGTGTTGAGGTAAACTTATCTACGCATCTGTGCCTTGAAAACTATGCCATATTCTTCTTGGGCTCCACATCACTTTCTACTTTGGCCCCTATCGCCACGCCGCGGAGCTTCTCACTCGTCGACTCGTGCTCTCTCAATTAGCTCTCGGACCTCATTTCCCAGCTCGGTTATCACCAAGCCCGAGCGCGGAATCGTGTGTCCTTTCCCTGTATCAAACATGGCTACGGTGTCGGGATCACAGACATTGTACAAAGCTTCTGCGCCGTACCGGTAAGGGTCTGTTCATAAGGGTTAGTACACAGATTACAGAATGAAATGCTTGAGGACGTACCATTTGCACCGACCACATGAAGAGTCGGAATGTCGATCATACGCTCGTCCTCGTCGGCAAGAATCAACTTATCATCCGGTGAGATAGGAGGCCAGCCAGTGAAGAAGAGCGCACATTTGATGCGGCGAGCTCGGCCAGTATCCTGGTGCCTCTTCTCCTCATCCATGATGAAGCTAGCTGCCACGGCGGCCCCCTCACTGTAGCCCACAATGCCCTCAATGTCTGGGTTCTTCTCCAGTTGATCATAGAGATAGTCCATGACGTCCTGTTTGTTGTCCCAGCTATGATTCTCGCGATCCTCGCCAGCCAATGCTCTCATCACATCTTCTGGATTTTGGCCCTCCGGGATCTTTCTGATACGGGTGAGCATGGAGAGCTCGGCCACTCCCCCATCCTTGACCCATCGGTAGTGCGGACCGACCCCAAAATACTCCCCGAAGCCTATTATTTGACGCGCGGTCAGATTATCCGTCTAGAACCTGACAGGATCAGCAGCACACGTACCTTCTGGGGGGGTAACCTCAACAGGGGCAGTGATACAGTGGAAGGAGGCAGCCTGGTCTTTCTCCAATTCCTTTTGCAGGGGCGATAACTGGATGGTAATATTCTGTGATAGTAGTTAGGGATAGTCCCAATCGCCACATCACATAGGCGATCGCCAACGTACATCAATGTTGCCAATGGCACCGTGAAGGCATAAAAAGCGCATTCTTGATAGGCCCCGGCCGCAGCCTCGTTTGCTAAACTGTTTGACTCAAAGCTGGCGAAGCAGAAAGAAAAACGAAGGAAACCCTCCGAGACCACCACATGGGTTTAATACGGATCTAGGCTGGCCCCTCAATAGATTACCGATGCCCTGTAATAAGGAATAGAACTACCGAATGGAGAGACAATAGGTACCCACCTGCCAGGAACCAGTTTTGGGGTTTAGCATGGCTCCACATCATCATATCGTGATAAGGTTCCCTAGAACATCTCGCACCCATAGCTGAAGGCGGCCCGCCAGGGTGTCAGCCACTGCTGATCAGGTTGAGTGGCCTAGCGACCAACAATAGTGGAACTTGACGGTCACCCAATCATGCCTGCTATGAGTATCATCGGCGTATCCGGTGCGCGATACAGTGGATAATGTGGATGTCCTTGCACGGGCTTGACCCTGTTGCCCCAATTGCGTATGATTACAAGGAATAAGTTTTGGGGCGGACTCAATTCGGTTGGAGGGTCATAGCTGCTAGCTATAAATGTACCTTGGCCTCTCCAGCGCGCGTCGCATTTTGTCCATTGCGTTTTGGTTGCAGCCCTCCACCCGTCAGTTCATAGTTAGCAACGATGAACGGTGCTGCACAAACCAACGGATGCAACCGGGGCCACGATGCACCACAACCCATTGCCATCATAGGGTATGCCTGTCGTCTGCCCGGCCAAGTTAGCTCCCCCAGCGACCTCTGGGAGCTATGCACGCGGCGGCGTAGCGGGTGGAAACCCATCCCTAAAGACCGGTTCTCGTTCGATGCATTCCACCATCCCAATCCTTCCAAATTGGGTACCACGAATCCTGCGGGAGGATACTTTCTAGATGACGATATTGGACGGTTTGACGCCCCCTTTTTCAATGTGACTGTCCAAGAAGCTATATCCATGGACCCGCAGCAGCGTATGCTGCTTGAATGCTCATACGAGGCCTTGGAAAGTGCTGGAATACCAAAGGAGTCCCTCTCAAGAAGAAGCGTGGGGGTTTTTGTGGGCGGGAATTTCGCCGACTATGAGCTCAACAATGTCCGTGACGTCGAGACCATTCCCTTATACCAGGCTACCGGCTGTGCGAATGCCCTCCAATCCAATCGGATCTCATATTTCTTTGACCTGGCGGGGCCCAGTCTCACGGTCGACACCGCGTGCTCGTCATCTCTCGTTGCTTTGCATTATGCCGTCCAGAGCTTGCGCAGTGGAGAGTCGAAAGAAGCCCTAGTCGCGGGTTGTCATTTGAATGTGGTCCCAGACCTATTTGTTTCCATGTCTATGTCACAGTGAGTAAAAGCCGCGTCAGTGTACAGCTGTTCATTTTTCTGACGCAAGTTGCAGGCTGTTCAATGATGACGGTAAAACATTCGCCTTTGAAGAACGAGCCAGATCCGGTTTTGCGCGTGGGGAAGGTGCTGGAGTCGTGATTGTAAAAACTCTTGATGCGGCTTTGCGCGATGGTGACCCCGTTCGAGCGGTTATTCTCAATTCAGGTGTCAACCAAGATGGCCGAACAAAGGGAATTACGTTGCCCAACGGCCTTGCTCAGGAAGAATTGATCCGCCGGGTATACCAAGAGGCCCACCTCAACCCGGATGATTGTGCCTTTGCAGAGATGCATGGGACTGGCACCAAAGCTGGAGATCCGATCGAAGCAGCAGGAGTCCATGCTGCACTCGGACAGAATCGTTCACCGAAGGATCCGCTCTATATCGGCTCTGTCAAATCCAATGTCGGCCACTTGGAGGGCGCGAGTGGCGTTATCTCAATCATCAAGGCGGCCATGATGCTCGACAATGGCTTATTACTGCCGAATGCAGACTATAAGAAGCCAAACCCCAATATTCCATTGAAAGAATACAACATGAAGGTCGTCACGTCCACACGGCCCTGGCCTCGGGGAAAGAAATATGTTAGCGTCTCCAACTACGGCTTTGGAGGAACCAACGCCCATGTCGTCCTCGAGAAGCCACCTCTAAACCCCAAGCCTTCGAATGATGATGAAGATAATACGGACCCAAAGACCAAGCTGTTCCTCATTTCTGCCAACGACAAGGAGTCATTGAAGCAAAGAATAGATGACTTCACAGTCTACTTTGAACAACGACCGGAAGTGTTTGAAAAAGACCTCTTCGGGAACTTTGCCTACACAATCGGGAACAAATCCTCCCAACTTGCTTACCGGGTCGGCCTGCCTGCCACCTCACTCGATGATCTTGGAGTTCGCCTTGCGCAGCTAAAAGTCAACCCAGTGAGAGTTCACGGGGCCCCAACGATATCTTTTGTCTTCACCGGACAAGGAGCTCAATGGGCTCAGATGGGCGTTCCGCTTATGGACGAGTACCCGGTCTTTGCATCAGCAGTGAAACGAGCCGACATGTGTCTCAAGAATCTTGGGGCAGAGTTCTCGCTCGTCGAAGAGCTGCGAAAAGACGGTGCCGCTTCTAAGATCAACTCGCCGCACCTCAGCCAGCCGGCTTGTACAGCACTTCAGATCGGTCTGGTCCTTCTTCTTGAGTCATGGGGGATCCGCCCTGCTTCCGTTGTGGGACACAGCTCAGGTGAGATTAGTGCAGCTTTTGCAGCTGGTGTATATGACCTGGAGTCCGCTATGGCGCTTGCGTACCGTCGTGGTCAAATGACCCAAGTGCTGAAGGCATCATTCCCATCCCTCCAAGGCACCATGATTGCAGTTGGTGCTGGCCGTGGTGCAGTCGAACCGATGTTGAAGACCCTCGATGGGTATGCTACCGTGGCTTGTGTGAATAGTCCTTCGAGCGTTACTGTATCTGGAGACGTGTCTGCAATTGCGCAACTTGAGACCATTCTACAGGACAAACAGCTCTTCAACAGGCGTCTAAAGATTGACATTGCTTACCACTCTGACCACATGAAGAACGTCGCCGATGAGTATTTGGCCGCAATTGCATCAATCCAACCATCCGATTCGGCTACAGCTGTGTTTTATTCTTCAGTCTTCGGCCGAATCGCCAATGCCTCCGAGCTGGGACCGTCCTACTGGGTTCAGAATCTCACCTCGCCCGTGTTGTTCCCCGATGCACTTGGCAAGATGTGTGCCGGTGACAATAGACCAAATCTACTCGTCGAGGTTGGCCCGCACTCTGCCCTTAAAGGGCCTATCATGGATACCCTGAAGAGCCTCGGGCCAGTAGCCACGAAGATCGGGTATGTACCCACGGTTCTCCGCAATGCAGATGCCGCGGAGTCGGTCCTCGGTACAGCCGCAGCAGCGTACACGAGAGGGGCCATCCTCAACATGACGGAGGTGAACTTCCCCTGCACTGGCGCGAAGAACCGCTCCTTCTTGACCGACTTGCCTCGATACCCCTGGCAGCATAGAACACGGTACTGGCACGAGTCACGCATTTCCAAGAAGCATACACAAAGGGACGGCGCGAGAAATGACATCCTCGGCGTAATGGCCAATTACTCAAATGATCTGGAGCCAACATGGCGCAACATCGTCCGCCTGGATGACATCCCCTGGCTTCGAGACCACAAAATGCAAGGCATGACCGTGTACCCATTGGCTGGGTATCTGTCCATGGCCATCGAAGCCGCTCAAAGGCGCGCAACGCAGCATGATATGACAGTCTCTCAATTCGAATTGCGAGAGGTGAAAGTAGGCTCAGCCCTCGTACTAAGCGATGATGTTGACGTCGAGACTACCATCACCCTTCGACCCTACGCTGAAGGCACGCGCGGCACTTCAGACGTATGGGACGAGTTCCGTATCTGTTCATGGAACACCAAACGAGGATGGACGGAGCACTGCTCAGGTCTCATCCGTATTCGTGCGCAAAAGAGCCAGGCAGTCGCCGTCTCGAGTCACGCCAGGACTGAAAATCTTCATGTGCAAACACAAATTGCCAGAATGAAGTCTGCTGCCACATACAAAATTGACTCGCAGCACATGTACAAGGTCCTAACAGATGTTGGAGCCGGGTACGGTGCAACTTTCCAGGGTATCGAGAACTGCTTTGCCGACCCGTATACATCGCGTGCCGATTTAGTCATTCGAGACACCAAGGCGACGATGCCGAAGGAATTCGAACCCAAGTTGACTGTCCACCCGGCTTTCCTTGACGGATTGCTGCATCTCGTCTGGCCCATACTCGGTCAAGGACGAATGGAGCTGGATACCCTTTACATGCCGACCATGATTAAGCACCTGACCATCAACCGTGAGCAGCTCCCAACTTTGCCTGGTGAATTTCTCAAGATCTATGGGAATGGAAGTCCGAGTCTCCCAACCCCTGAACCCACTCGATTTGATCTTTTCGCCACTCCGGAGAACTCCACTGAGGTGTTGATGAACATGGAAGGCCTCATTATGACTCCGCTTAGAGAAGCGGGTGCCAGCCGTGGTGAAGAGGTTCGCAACCTGTGTTATAAGTTTGAATGGCAGCCACTGGCCAACGACGAGCAAGTCAACGGAGTCGATGAAGATGCTCAAATTAACAACGGTGACGCAATAAATGGACATGCAGAGACCAACGGCCATGCCACGGACGGAGATTCGCATATCAACGGCATCAACGGTTCCAATGGTGCCAATGGACATGCAGTGCCTAATTCCCATGCGAACGGCAATGGTGTCATCCACATCGAGCCTGAGAACAAAAACAACTCAGCGGTTCAGCAGCGTGAGCTGACAATCACGCATTTTGGCAAACTTGACGGTGTCGCCGATCAGCTGTGCAATGCCCTCGGCTCTGACTGGCGTTCGTTAATTTGCTCGCTGGACGAAATCGACTCCTCCAAGAAACACGTTGTCGTCCTCCAAACCGGCGGCGCTAGCTCTCTGCGAACACTCACCACTGAGTCCTTTGCCAGCGTCCAGAAAGCCCTCTTGGCTGCCGACAACGTCCTCTGGGTATATAGGAATGATATGCCCGATGCGCAGATGATCGTTGGTCTAGCTCGTACGCTGAGGTCCGAGGCTCTGCTGAAGGTTGCCACTCTGGGTCTTGATGGACAAGATCTTTTGAGGCCCGCAGAGCCGCTTCTGGCTGCAATTCACGCCCTCTGGCCCTGTGATGGTGCGCAGCCTTGTGAAGATTTCGAGTTCAGGGCCAAGGGCTCTGAGCTTCTTGTTCCTCGCGTTATGAACGACGATGCGATCAATTCCTTCGTGCATAACGAGACCCATGACCTGACGATCTCATCGCAGCCCTTCAGTCAACCTGGTCGGCACTTCAAACTTCAGATCGGCAGCCCGGGAGCTCTCGACACGCTTTACTTTGTCGACGACGAGCCCGGCCCATTGGGTGCAGATGACGTTGAGATCGAAGTTCGCGCTACAGGAACGAATTTCAAAGATATCGTGGTCAGTATGGGGCAATTGTCTCAGCCATACATTGGTATTGAGTGCAGTGGTGTCATTTCATCTGTGGGCTCCAATGTGAAGGACCTCCAGATTGGTCAAAGAGTTATGGCCATGCCATTGGGCGGTTATTCGACGTACGCACGGTGCAAAGGAACCAGCGTCGCCCCGATTCCTGACAGTATGTCCTTCGAGGTTGCAGCGACGGTGCCAGTCGTGTTCTGTACTGCGTACTACGCCCTCTTTGATCTGGGCCAGTTGCAAGCCGGTGAACGAGTTCTCATCCACGCCGGTGCCGGTGGCGTGGGCCAAGCTGCCATCATGCTGGCGAAGATGGCTGGTGCCGATATCTTTGTGACTGTCGGTAGCCTCGAGAAGAAGCAATTCTTGATGACGAAGTATTCCATCCCCGAAGACCGGATCTTCTACAGCCGTGACGTTTCCTTTGGTCGTGGCATAAAGAGAGCTACCAACAACCAGGGTGTGGATGTCGTGTTGAACTCCCTGGCGGGTGACCTCCTTCGTGAGACGTGGGAGTGTCTGGCGCCATTTGGGCGGTTTGTGGAGATTGGCAAGGCGGATATCACCAAGAACACTCGCCTTGATATGCTGCCATTCGAGTACAATGTCACCTTCTCCTCGGTCGATCTGACCAAGGTTGCCCAATATCGGCCCAAGCTGATGAAACGTCTTCTGCATGATGTTTGCCGGTTGATGGATCAGGATCAGGCATCTATCAAGCCCATCTCCCCCATAACCACATACCGGATCTCCGAGCTTGAAGCTGCATTTCGAACACTGCAAACAGGCAAGAACATGGGCAAGCTTGTTGTTGTCCCCCATGAAGATGACTACGTCAAGGTAAGCAAGTAACTGCTCTGTTAGCGAGAAAATCAAATTGATTCGTTTTCTTCAGGCTGTGGCACCTAAGACCAGCCCCAATCTCCTGCGTGCTGATGCTTCGTATATCCTAATTGGTGGTACTGGAGGTCTGGGAAGAAGCATGGCAAAGTGGATGTCAACAAAGGGGGCCAAGAACATCGTTCTCGTGTCGCGGAGAGCATCAGTCAACAATAACGTCCAAGCCCTGATCGACGACTTGGCTCTCAATGGAACGCGAGTTGTGGTGAAAGCGTGCGACGTGAGCAGCAAGCTGTCAGTTGATGCCCTTATCAAGGACGACATGAAAGACCTGCCTCCCGTGCGCGGTGTAGTGCACGGTACGATGGTTCTTCGAGTAAGTGAAACGTCTCCCAGTGCATCCACAAAATTTACTGACAGCGACATCTCTAGGACATGCTATTTGAACAGATGTCGCTGGATGACTTCCAAGCTGTGGTCATGGGCAAAGTAGATGGTGCTTGGAATCTGCACCATGGGCTCGCCGACTCGCCCCTGGACTTCTTCATCGCGTTGTCGTCCGTTGCCGGCGTAGTCGGCAACCGAGGACAAGCTGCATATTCAGCAGCCAACGTGTTCCTGGACGGGTTCATGGAGTACCGTCGGTCTCTCGGTCTCCCCGGGACGTCCATTGATCTGGCTGCCGTAAGCGATGTAGGCTACTTGGCGGACACGGACGCCGAGCGCCAAGCAGAGGTACTGAAGAACATTGGCAGCCAGACTGTTGACGAGTCAGAGGTACTGGCCCTTCTTGCCGCAGCCATCACGGGCGACCTGGATCGGTCCAGCGGAGGCCAGTGCATTACTGGTCTAGGACTCGACGGCGGCGTGGACAACTTCTGGGCGCAGGATACCAAGTTCAGCGCGCTGTATGAGGCAGCCAAAGCTAAGCTAGGCCATGGTCCTCAGTTAAGTGAGCCAACGGTGCCGCTACGCGTGAAGTTGCAGACTGTTGCGGACAAGGAGACTGCGCTGCAGGTCTGCTACTCAGCCCTAGCAGCCAAACTATCGCAAGTACTTGTCATCTCACCAGAGGATATGGATCCCTCTGTGACGGTGTCATCGCTGGGTCTGGATTCTCTGGTGGCCATTGAAATCCGCAACTGGATCGCCCGCGAAACCTCGGCCAATGTTCAAGTCTTAGAGTTATTGTCCAGTGGGTCTCTCATGGCGCTGGCGGAGATCATCGTCAACAAATCTCAGGCATAGACAAGAGCAGGGTGGTACACGACGATATATAGAGCTGCAATAATGTTTTGTTGATATTTAATTCGAGTTAATTATAAATGCTTTTTATCAAATGTTGTATGGAAAGAGAGAGATGAGTTGAGGCCTGAGGTTCTTCATGATGGGTCACCTGATCCTCTCACCTCTACAACTGTACACCTTGACTTAGCCTGCTTCCTCCCCAACAGCCATGGCCGCATACGCTTCCCCAGCAGGGGACCCCCTCCAACTCAGCCTCCTCAATTTATCTCGCCTTTTCACCCGACTAGAGCACAACCTGCTTTCCCCGGCGACAGACCACAACACCCTCCGCCGATCCGAGTACCAGCGCATGCGCGTGAGCAAGGTACGAGCAGGGAGCTCACTATATTAAGGGGAAATCTAACAAAGGAAACTTAGAATGTCGATTATGCCCGCACCCTCCTCACGCAGCTCGAGCGCTCGCTGCCTCAACTAAAACCGCCGGCCCGGAGACACGACGCTCAGTTGGAGATAGCGCGGGATCGGGCACTGCTGAAGCGCATGCAGAGTGTATTGGACGAGGCGGAGGATCGCGCAGAAGATGAAGACGAGGATGAGGAAGAATGGGGAACTTTATTTTCTAAGCCTGTCGCGGAGAAGGTTGTTTCTTCGATACCATCGACAGGTCACCCAGAGCGGGTGCGGATACACGATCAAAGGGGAGGCGAGGATGACGAAGACATTGAAGAGGAGGTGGAATCAGAAGGGGATATACCGGTTCCCGACACCACTGTCCTCCCAACAACTACATCTACAACGGCTGCCCCTCCAACAGCAACACCCCCAACCTCCACCCTCCGCCACCGACATAACACCTACGAGCCACCATCAACAACAACAGCCGCAAAAGCAAAAGCAACAGGAGCGAGCATCTCGTCCTCACGACCACCACCACCCGACAACCTCGCCACAGCAGAGCAAGATCTTTCCTCAGCGCGCCTGGAACAAGAGGACCTAACGAGCTCGCTGCTCTCGCTGGCCGGCCAGCTCAAGGCATCGTCAAAGTCCTTCCAGACAACGCTGGAAAGCGAAAAGTCGGTACTAGATCGGGCAGTGCAGGGGATTGACAAGACAAGTACGACGATGGAGGCGGCGGGGAAGCGAATGGGGATGCTGCGGCGCATGACGGAGGGAAAGGGGTGGTGGGGACGGATGATGCTGTATGCGTGGATCTTTGGGCTGTGGCTGGTGGCCGTGTTGATTGTCTTTGTTGGACCGAAGTTGCGCTTTTAGTTTTTGCCGTCACATATACCCTGAGCAATTCAATAAAAATCGAAGCATGAACTACATAATGAATACAAAGACAAGTCTATCAGAAGCCCTGATTCAAATTCCTGAATTCAGACGATAACCCAACGACCGACCTGGCATGACACATGAGAAGAGACATGAAAATCCCGCGGATCCTGCCCTTTCTTCCCCGTGCCCAATGCCCAGATGGTCGCGCGAGGCTTCCAACGGACGCGAGACCAAGGAAATGATGGGGAGGGTTGACGGTATGGTTACATACAAGCAGCGACAAACAGAAACGAATTGGGAGAGGCAAAAGGGAAACCAAAAAAAGAGATGATAGGATATCCAGCATTCAAATCAAAAAAAAAATAAAATAAAGGACAGATAAAATGAAACTCAAGGGCCTGAGGGGGCAGCAGACGAAGAAAGGTTTTCCGGCTCGACGTCGTAGAGGATATCGGCAAGGTGGTGACTGAGAAGTAAATTGAGCCGATGTTGCTTAATCGTGGCGAAGGGAATGATGATTAAATGAAGAAGACACAAAAAAAAAAAAAAAAAAACGCCGGAATCTGGAAGAATGAGGATTTTGACCGCGCCATGGGGTCGGCCTGATTAGATATGCGATCTAGATTCGACACTTCGACACGGGAAAGAGCAATTAGATCAGACCACACAGTCGGAGGTTCTCCTGGATGATGATATCTGCAGCATTTATTAGCGAGTGTATTTCAGTGAAGGATCGAGACAAAGCTTACCGTTCACAGCGGCCATGACGAACCGGATCTGGGTGGTATCGGTGGCGCAGGTGAAGTGGGTGTAGATCTGCTTCTGCTCTGCCTGGTTCAACGACACGAAGCGGTTAAGGATGTAGTCGCAGGCCGCGGCGTAGTCAGCACCGCCCTCGTAGTCGGGGAAGTAGTGCTTCATTGGGCTGGCGGGCAGCTTCTCCTTGAAACGATCGATCTTGTTGAGGAAGAGAATGATCGAGGTCTTGACAAACCAGCGGGAGTTGCAGATCGAGTCAAACAGGGTGAGCGCCTCTTGCATACGGTTGACCGTCTCATCCTCGAACAGCAGCTGGTCGTACTCGGAGATGGCAACCAGGAACAGAATGGTGGTGACATTCTCGAAGCAGTGGATCCACTTCTTTCGCTCGGACCGTTGACCACCCACATCGAACATCCGGTAGGTCAAGTCGCCAATAATGAAGGTCGTCTCGGTGATACCGGTGGTCTTGACACGAGAGCGGAGCACATCTTGGTCGGTGGGGAGGTAGTCGGCCTGGCCAATACGGTCGATGGCATCGAAGTAGCTAAAAAGTTGTCAGGAATGAAAAAGACTGTCACACACGCACGCTACTCACTATTTGGCGGAGTCGTTCAACTGGTATTCACGGGACCGCTTGAAGCACTCCTGGACACCCTTGTCGCGCCACAGGGCACCAATGGCGGTGCCAACCTCTGGCGGGATGCTGTCGCCCTCGATCTGGGCCGGCTGCATGAAGACGGTCTGCACATGATACTCATTGCGCTGGTCCTCCAGCGGCAGCTCGAGAGACTCCATCGCCTCGAGGATCACCCGCATCGACTGAACCGTGTTGCTGTAAATGATCTCCTTGAACGATTCCCGTTCGTCGGGCGAGTATCCGCCCTCGTGGATCAACTTCATCTGCTTGAGAATCGTCGACTTGCCTGACTCTCCGGCTCCTACACTGTTATCAGCACAGTCCGTCCATTATGGAGGGTGTCAATCCATCCTACCGAGCAGCAGCATCTTGATCTCATTTCGTTGCAGCATCTTGTCACGCTTGAGCTGGTTTTCAATCTCCTCGTTCCGGGCCTTCCCCTCCTTATCCTCAGTGCTCATTCCACAACCCATTTTGCCGGTGGTGGATGGGTCGAATCAACGAAAGTAATGGTCAAAAACCAGAGGGAATATCACAGTAGCGAGAGGCTTGAACTAGCTGATCGGGGCTGGAAAACGGCCAATGTCAGCAATCAAGTTTCTTTTTTCCCTTTCCCCGACGAAACCATGTCAAGGAGAGGTGCGTCGGTGGTACAAGCTCCCCGCTGACGATTCGACGGCAGGCCTCGACAGTGCGCTGCAAGGAGGGGATTCGGAGGAGGCTGTCACGGCAACGCATGCGGTTTCAAGACCACACCAGCACGAGGGAAAGAGGAGATCCTCACACACCTGAATGTAAAGCCTAGACTGGGCAGTGCTATACCGGGGGTGGCGATAGGGGCCCGAAAAGGAGAGAAGCGTCGGATAGCCGGAAGAAAAGAAGGAGAGTAGTGAAGAAAAGCAACAATTCCAATTCCGAAAAGGTAAAGGAGAAAAGGAAGAGTTCAGACCAGGCGAGGCGGGCAGGTTTGGAGGAGGGAAGGATAGGATACCAGGCAAGAGGCAAGGGGGAAGGTGAAGAGGGGGCAAGGGAAATTAGCAACTTTTCAGCAGGGAACCGTATTTTCCCACCTTAACCCGGGTTAAGCTGGGAAAGGTGGTATTTTACGCCCCCGATACACGGTCCGTTTGGCCATCCGGCCTGAGCGGTGTGATTGGCTGGGGGCCAGGAGTGGGGGCAGTAACAGAGCTGGGCCAATGACATGTCCCTCGTACTGTATTTCGGTCTTCATTATTCTTCACAACTCGGGTCAGTCTTCTTTATTTCCAGTCCATCATCATCATCATCACCATACGCAATCCGTCAGCGGCACGAGCAGTCTCCAATGCACTATGATGCTGATGAAAGTGCAACCCCCTGACCACGCCCGAATCAGGGGAATTTTTAATGGATCCTGCAGATCGCCGCCTGGGTGGGGAACGGTCACTACAATACTTGTGCCCGAGACACTCTAACTATAGCTACTCCTCAGGCACATTGGGCGTGGGGAAGAGAAAAGGGCTGGAGGGCTGGAGGATCATCAGTCTTCCAGAAGGAAATATGTTTGACTCTTTCCGAGTGCGACACAGGCGTGGCAGACTGGAACCTGCAGCGGGCTTGGTCCACAACCACCACCACCCCGACACTGGATGACGGCAAGGGCCCCTGTCACATCCACTAGTCCGTCATCTTCGGTTCGGCCAGGATGCTTTCCCCTGAGTGTGACGATGTTCTGCACAGTCGGCATCCCCGACCCACCAGCTAGTGACTTCTAGCCGTTTTCTTTTGCCGCGCGCTTTTCCTGTTTGCATGGCCGACCGATGGCCCCATTTGACCGTCACTTCCTCGCGCTATTGAATTTTTTTATCTCCGCAGGATGAAGGATTGGCGGGCCTGACAGAGGGGACCTCCATGCTGAACAAGCAAGTACTAGTGGCCCGAAGCACTGTGTGTCGCCTGGTCGATCGAGATCGAGAACCCAACCCTGCTAGTGCAATATACTCCATGAACTATCACCATACATACAATGCGCCATGCGGAGTACTACGGAGTACATACTGCGGACCATGATGTTCTGCCGTATTGTTCTACCGTGTGTTCTACCATGGTTCTCCCCCAATTGCAGAACCCTGGTCGCTCCGATCTGATCTGATTTTTCGGCTCCACCCGAAGCTTCTCCCCCTCCGCGTCTTTATTGATTGTCTTTTCCCACACCTACTACCCCTTGAACTCTCAAGCAAGCGCAACCATGTCACACGAAATGGCCTACATGGGCCCGCGGGGTACGTTGATCATTGCATTGTTATTGTCCGTTTGAGTCTGACTGTAAAAAAAAGCCTTCAACCACGATCAAAGCAGTGACGCCGAGGCGGAGTACGACCGGCTCCGCGATCTCGCGCGTCAGGAGGCCTCGAAGCGCAACTCGTGTTTCCAGCGTGTACGTTGATACCCTTTGACCGCGACCTGTCGAAAATGTCACTGATGTTGATCGGAACCAGTCGCAAGAGGCATACTCGAGCGGCGATGGCGCCGGCGCCAAACACCTGTCGGAGGAAGGCAAGGCGCACGGGCGCAAGATGGACGAGTACAACAAGCAAGCCTCCGAGTTCATTTTCCGGGAGAACAACGCGCCGGGGCGCGTCGAGGCCGATACCATCGATCTGCATGGCCAGTTCGTCGAGGAGGCCGAGGATATCCTGGAGGAGCGCATCAAGTACGCCAAGGCGCATGGGCAGAACCACCTTCACGTTATCGTTGGCAAAGGTAACCACAGTGCCAATCACGTCCAAAAAATAAAGCCGCGCGTCGAGCAGGTCTGCCGTGAGCTGGGCCTGCAGTATTCCACTGAGGAGAACGCCGGTCGCATGTACATCAACCTCACTGGCGGCGCGGCGGTCATGCCGCCTTCGTCGTCGCACCAGCACCAGCCCTCCCACCAGCAATACCCCGGTCAACAGCACCATCCTCAGCAGCAGCCTCAACAGCAGGACCAGGTGGAGCAAGTGGTTAATGCGGTGCTGCCCAGGGTCATGCGCAAGCTCGAGAAGGCTTGCTGCGTGGTTATGTAAACTGGAGGATTTCAAGGTGTTTGGGGTTTACATAGAGATTTAGTCTGGCTATTTTAGCAACAAACATATTTCCATTAATTCCAATGCGCATGGGCAAACCAAAAATTCAAACATTCAACATATTGAGGGTATATCATCAAACGATTCATCCGAAACATCATAACTCCATGGCCCATTCTGATGACAACAACAACAACACTTACTCCTGCTCCTCCGAGTCCACCAGCGTCGTCGACACAATCTTTTCCACCATCCCACGCACCAACTGCCCATCCCCCGCGCCATTAATCCTTGGAGTCGAATCAATCACCTCAATCAGCGACAGCGCACGATCGCGCAGCTCCCGCACCACCTCGCGCGTATGCCGGAAACTCCCCGTGCTCTGCATATATTGCAGCGCATAGCGCTTCACCTCCTCGTCGCGCGGCTTCTGCTTGAGGATACTGATGAGCTGCAGGTTATTGGGGTTGGAGCGGATGCTGTGGATAATCGGGAATGAGAATTTGCCCTCGGTCAGATCCTCGCAGAGACCCTTGTTCTGGGTGTAGGTCGTGTTGGACAGATTCAAGTAGTCATCGCAGATCTGGAAGATCAGGCCCATGACGTTCACGAGCGGCACACAATCCTTGCCCGTGGTGCTCTCGGCTTGCATCAGCTTGACTGCGAGGCGGAAGAGTCCGCCCGTCTTGTTGCCCACCATTTCGAGGTACTCGTCTTCCGTTGGGCAGGTGAGCGTGTCCCGCCAGAAGAGGTCCATGCCCTGACCGCGGTGCAGGTTCAGGAGCTCCTTGACGTATATATCGAGTGCGACGGGGTTGTTCAGGCGTTGGACTTCCTGCAGGGCGAGGAAGTAGACGTAGTTGGCGGAGTTGATGGTTTGCGCGGTGCCGAAGATGTTGTGCGCGACGGGGATGCCGCGTCGGAGAACGGAGTTGTCCTCGACGTCGTCGATTCTGCAGGTCATCCGATGGGTCAGTGAGGGAAACGAGACAAAACACAAAAAAGACTTACAGCAGCGATGCCGTGTGCAGCATCGTGACCACCTTGGTGATGATTGCCAGGCTCTCTGGCGGAACCTGAAGCCACGAGTCGAACGCGGCGATGAGCTGGCGACGCACATCCTTGCCCGGGTGTTCATGCATGTAGTCGTAGGGACCCAGCACGATCTTCTCGTTTTTCGGCGACCACGTCCCATGCTTGTGCTTTGTGCCGTCGACGCTGGACTTGTTGCGCCGGTGCTTGGACTTCGCCGGCACCCCGGGACGAGTCGACGGCGATTCTCCTTCGGTGGTGGACATTGTTCGTCGGTGGACAGGGCCGTTTGTAGCGCTAACGGAACTGGTTCGTGGGGGGACAGGGCCGGGAGGTTGGAAGGAAGAGCTCATGCTGGATGCCTGGGCTCTCGCTTGTAGGGATGAAACAGCTCTTTTCGGAGGGGGAAGAGCGAGGTAGGTGACGCCGGGCAGGCACCAGCATACGAACTAGAACGATACTAGCTCGAGCGCCACGAGCAGCAAATGATCTAGACGAGGTCACACTTGCACATGTTGTTGCGTGGGGATCATGAGGCAGGCCATGACGCAGCGGGCGGGTGACTAAGCACGGGTAAGGAACCAAGCCCTAACGATGTACCGACGGGGGCAAAGGTGGCTGGACGGGTGTTGCTGGGTGTGTCTGACTGAGCGAGCTGAAACACATGCAAAGGATGATGAGGGTCCATCGGCAGTTCCGAGATCAGAAATGCCCCACTGTTTACGAGATCCAGCGGAGGCGCATCGGAGATGAAATAAATTCAGCCATCCTTCGCATAGCAACTGGTAACAAGCCAGACAGGTTCAAAGCCAGGATCTAGCCAGCTAGTTATAATTAACAACATTAGACTCCAGTCTCTGACGCCATCGCGGACGATCGTGCAAGGGACAATCAAGGCAGAGACAAAGAAGGAAGTAAGTGGCCCGGCGTCGTCCCGGCAACCATCTTTATTTACCTCCGTGGCGGAGCTGAACCCGATCCATCTCATCTCATCGTCAGACACGGACCACCCTTCGTATGATTTGATAAGGGATATGCGCCCGCCAGCCTTGCTCTCTCTTTCGTTTTGATTGCGCCGGTGTTCCCCTGCGCAGCTTTAGCCCTCTCCCTCTGCACATCTCTACCCATGGAGACGCTGCTGGCGCATTCGTTTGACTATCTCTCGTCTTACGAGCCCAGCAAGATCCGCAAAGGATTGCGCCAGGTGGAGGGCCTGCTGGCGCAGATATGTCTGTCCAAGTCCCGGGCTTCCGCCGCAGCTGCGGACCGGCGGCGCTCACTGCTCTCCTTTGACGCGCCGCAGCCGGTGCCCAAGTCCCTCTCTGAGCTGCGCGATGATCCGGCATTTCGGGAATTCTTCAAGTTACAGGAAAGCTTCCAATGGAACGGTATGTTGATTGTTCCAAGTTTTGTGCGCGCGACCTTCTGATCTTTTCTTTCTAGTGGCCATGCGCTTGGTGGCCTGTCTTGAACACCTCCTCGGACGAGGCAGCAATGGCACGAACGATATGCTCATCGTCTGCACGCTGGACCTCATCCAAGGCGCGCTCCTCCTGCACCCGCCGTCGCGCACTCTCTTCTGCCGAGAAATCTACATGAACCTTCTCCTCGATCTCCTGGACCCAATCAACTGCCCAGCCATCCAGTCCGCCACGCTCCTCACCCTCGTCACCGCACTGCTCGACTGTCCCGCCAATACGCGCACCTTTGAGAACCTCGATGGTCTTCTGACCGTGACCTCTCTGTTCAAGCAGCGCGCCACCTCCCGCGAGGTGAAGCTCAAGCTCGTCGAGTTCCTGTACTTCTATCTCATGCCTGAGACGCCCGTGCTTGCCAACGGCGCCAGTTCTCCCGGCCTCCAGCGCAGCCCCAGCAAACTCTCGAGAAACCCGCACGGCTCGAGGCCCGGCAGTGAGGGCGGCAAGCAAATGCCCCGTGACACGCGCACAACGGACGAGAAACAGGCTCTGCTGGGCCGATACCTGAATAACGTGGAGGACCTCGTTGAGGACCTCAAGGAGACTGCCCCGTTCGGGGCAACGGTGTACTAAACGACCTTTTTGTTTCATGGCGATGACCCATTCCAAGCCGTGATGATTGCTATTGTGTGCGATGACCGCTTCCGTTAATTTCGGTGACTTGACTCTTTTTTCCCTTCTTATTCCCCCTTTTGTTCTTTTCTTCACGAGCTTTCGAGTGATGCTTTTGTCCGCCCGAATGGCGTGATATGTGATTCAAGATTGATGCTTTCTGCCTTCTTGCCATTCCCTTTCCTGTCTTCCTTTCTTTTGCCTCCTCATTCTCTCCGATTCTGCTTTTCTTCCATTCTGGAATTGTGTCGACCTCTCGATTAGGCCCCTTGCCTGGCCTTGGATATTTTCCTTCTGTCTCTTTATGGCGACATGATTGTGTATGATTCTTCATTGTGATATTTTTAGTTCACTACAATATGATCTTGTACGATAACACTACTAGTCCGACACTTCATGGTATTGCTGCCGTATATAGTTAGTGCGCCCGAGCTACTGGGATTTATTCCCCGAACCATTCATCCTTATCTAGCAACTACAATGGTTTCCATTAAATGAGCTAAAGTTATTCGGATCACTAAGAATGATGATTCTCATCCAGTTCTAGGATTATCATGCCTAGCGCATCTTGTTGACCGATGAAGGGATGAAGGGCCTATACCACAACCATTTCACGCACATAACCTAGACTTAGCTCCTAGATATATCTTTCGTCCGATACCAGAAAAACAGCTATATTAGAGAAGAGATGAAGCCTAAAATAATAACTACCAGTATCGTCTGTATCAAATGCGAGTAGGAGACATACTTTTCATTTCGGATAGTATAGTAACAGAAAGAATCGCCTAGGTACTGATCCTTGCTAATTAGGTTACTCTTCGTGCTAATTTTGAATTGGGTTTTAGGCCGACAGCCGTTTTCTTAGTGTATAGAAGGCTTTTGTAGCTGTGTCAGGACTTGTGCTTATTCTCGAGGCTACATTGTGGCTCTATATTGTGCGGCTGCCCCTACCGCTACAATCTCGACCTCCTCCGTCATTAGCTGTACCAGCCGAGAAGAAATTTGTGTCTGTGAATCCATGGAAAACAATTTTGTCACGCAATTCAAGGTAGAAAAGCATAGGGAGGCTGTCGCGAAGGCGAAAGGCTCAGAAAACACGAGCCAGCACGTTATGCAGCAATTGATTTCTTAGGACGGACTGGTTCTGAGCCATATACTAGGGTATTAAGGGATTCTGTAGCAGGGGAAGACTTGGGTTGCGTAGAAACAGGCAGTTGTCTTGCCAAAGAGTGAACGTCTCGTGATAGTTCGTAGAGGAAAACAGGCTAAGAGGAAAAGAGCAACTGGATTCTGGATTTTTACTGAAGGAAGCGAATGAGAATATCGCTAAAGAAAACAAGAGCTGGGGCTACGCAATAGCGAAGCAAGCATAAATGATGGATATCAACAAACAATGTAGAATGAATGCAGACGACATATAACTCTAGCTCGACCAGCGATGGCATCAGGGACTAAGCTACCTGGAAAGCGAGGACCGAGAAGAGATCTTGTAGCATGAAATTGGCGCGCATACATGTTGGAAGTTGAAAAAGTCACGACAGGCGTTGTCTTGTTCCCAAACGCTTGCTTCACGCTATCCATATCTTGTTCAAAAGGTAGAACGTATCCCTTGAGTGGAAGAAAGAGACTTGAGTGCTTTTGCTCCTTGAAAGAGATCATATTGCTATGGAACATTGTAGAACAGAGGTGCTCATTAGAGGACATAAGTAGCGTCGGCTGCTACTCTTCCTACGCGTGTAGGTATGTATGAGAAGGTAGCGGTTGTCTTAATAACATAGAAGTTAGTAGTGGTTCTTAGAGGTAGGAGAGAGATAGGGAATTGATGACAACAGATAAGTAGGCAAAGTGAATGGCATTTAGATAGGATCTTAAAGCAGAATAATCAGCTACGCGGCCTCAATAGCTGCAAGTAGTAGGATAACACGGATTTATAGATGAAATCTAAGGGGCGTGGAGCCCGAATGTTTTAATCTAAACCTTTGGGCAGAGGTCAAACGAAACAATTGACGGATTCGAGAAAAGAAAGAGTGCGGATACCACTAGCTTAAGGACGCGCCTCCACTTGAGCTTCTGATGCCCGTATCTAGAAAAGTTCGAATGAAATTCTGAAAAAGCTGGGATATCCGCCTCAGGGTGTGGGTTGGGACTTCGATGTTTAACAAAGACATAAATTAAGGGGCACATAAAAAATCAGAGAAGATGTGAGGCATCTCACCTATTTCATCTGGTCCCTAGGGGAAAGGTTTGTAAATACCGGTAGTTCCATCGCGAGTCCCACTTTATGCATCTGATCCACGCGTCTATAATAGCTCGAATGCAATTCTCAAAAAAAAAATAAAAATAAAAAAAAATATAGAGTACTAGGCCCATGCGGCTAAGCACATCGATCTGTTACAGAGACGTAATCTAAACTACGCATGAAAGATCAACGAATGTGTGAAGAAGCTCGAGTCTCTAGTCTGGTCGTTGTAGAACGTTGACCAGAACCTCGGCTGATTGGTCAATCCACTTATCTTGTCACCTGATAGCGGGATCTACATGTGGAGTGATCTGCAAGCCTGATAGTGAATGCCAGGCAGTATAAATACAATGGTAGTGACTCGTTCGAATCTTTGTGCGTTCGCTTCCTTCTTCTTTCCTCCCACAACAGCAACATCAACATCACCACCACCACCACCAGTCTCTCCCTCCCTCCCACCACTCGTAAGTCTTCATCTACATCTCCATCTCCATCATCATCACCATCTCCCTCTGTCTCTGCAACTTTGCCCGTCCCTCTGCAAGACCCTCTGCAATACCCTCTGCAATACCCTCTGCAATACCCTCTGCAATACCCTCTGCAATACCCTCTGCAAATTTCTATCCCACTCTCTATGATACACACACATATGCATACGCATCTACACATACTAACATCTGCTGTTAGATTAAATGACTGACACCATGTCCGCCACCCCCCGGTGGCACCGGCCCGCCCGGTGGGCCCCCCACTGGGAAGAACCCGCCGTCCGATTGCCAGGGGTGGGGTCCCCCCTCCGGCCAAGAAGGTCGGCAAGGTGGTGAGTACTACACATCCTGCTATCTGTTTTTGTTCGATATGTTAATATGTACAATTAGCAGCGCATGCTGTGCTATGGTACATGCCCATGTATCGAATATCTTTATACGGGAAGTTGACATGAAGAAGTCTGCAATAACTGGGGACACAAGTCGCACGCCTGCCCAGTTTGGGCTAGGTGGTTGAAGTTTGAAGAAAATCACTCCGTGAACGAGGAGACAGAGCCTTCTGGCGCGATGTCTTGATTCGCACTGGGCAGATTGCCCGTCCCGCCCTCCCCAATGCTGGCCCCCCGCTCCGCTCACCCCATCCGCGAGTCCGCTCCCGCCCATGCCCCCAACCCCCCCCCACCTCCTCGGGACGCCCCCGTCCTGCTCCCCGCGAGGAGCAGGACCGGGTTCGTTGCTGGGCCCGGGGGCTCTCCCAGGAGGGGCGCGCGGCTCAAGACAACCCCCGCCGCCAGCGCCGAGGCCAAGGGTATGTGCACACATGACGATCGAACGATTGAATCTTAATACTGACAGTTGGATCTAGCAAGGAGAAGAAGTGATCTGGTACGGACAAGGGGAATGTACATAGCATTGGGATAGCCAGAAAGTGGCGTTGACGCGAAGAGAAGAACTCGATCCGACACAAGTTTGCTTCAATTGTAGAGAGGACTATAGATGTGGTGTAGCAACTCCCTTATTATGCATGTGGGTACGTTAGTACAGCTACCTGCCGGTCTCATGCGCTCATGGAGTGGAAATTGAAGAATTGGGGGACATGCATAGAGGCAAAAAAGAGTATCAATGTGAATTCGCTATGTACTTTCGAATCAGAAGGTCAGGAATGTCCAAGATTATCCCTCTAGCTCCGTAGGTATTCTGGCCCCTGGAAGCTCTGAAGGCGCAGAAGAAGCCCCCTCAGTCGCTTGTGACATAGCTGGCGGTGGTGGTGTGGATGTGTATGAATTAGGAACCGGAAGTTCTGGTATGGGGCTGTTCTTTTCCTTTCGGTGACGATTGTAAAAGAACCAAATCAAGAAGGCTATCAAGGCGATACCTCCAACTCCAACTCCTACTCCGATACCCGCTTTGGCGCCAGTGCTAAGACCACTACTCCCGGATGCAGAGCCAGTTGTACTCGTACCCGTACCCGTATCGGCATTCAGAGATGCGTTGACATGTGTGCTCGTACTCGCAGTAGCGTCGGCGTTGGTAATAGAAGTAGTAGTAGTCGTACTAGCAGTTGTGCTGTGAGGCGCTGGCGTTGAGGTGACTGCTCTGGGGCCATTGATGTTCCATCCTTCAATAGCAATCGCGCCGACGGTTGAATGGCTGGCCAAAGTGGTTGTGACAATGTGCCACGAACTTGGATCGTCATACGACGTCGAACCGTAGGTTAGAGTCATGCCAGAAGAAACGTCAGACAGACAGTCTCCCTGAATCTGGCCCGGGATTCCACCTTCAAGATAGTACCCGCTACAGCGATCTTCCGGTCAGCGAAAACTGGTTGCCCCGGGACTATAGGTCAAAAGTAAGACTCACCCAGGGCAGCACATAGCCAGTGTACTAGACACATCTTTGACCGAAGATGCGACGGTTGAATAGCCATCGGGACATGTGAGCGGCCCGATGCTAACTTCCGTTTTATAAGCCCCGCCGCCGCCTAGTAGTCCTTGCTCCCACCACGTTGTCATCGCTGGAGGGTCGCAGATCACGTCTGTGTTGATATCAAGTCCATAGCCAGGGTCGAATGCCATCAAACTCGGCCCATCGAGACGAAATGAGCCTGAACATCCTGCCGGGGCTGTCCAGATTGTGGTCAGGGGGATAAACGAAGTGACAGTGCCACTGTGCGTCTCTGCGGGATAGAGTGTGTTTGACATCACATGCCGGAACGGGTTCAATCTGGGGTAGTGACGGTTTGGAGACCCAAGGCTGGTCAAGATGAAGGTCTCGGTATTTGATGATAATCTGATAGAAGAAAGTTCATGTCAACAAGCACAATGGCACGTAGTGAGCATTATTTAACGCCAGTCTCCACCACCCCTGATTGAGCCCCAATCTATTCGGGAATTGGCCTCTAAGCACTAAGATCAATGCGCCACGTGCCTCACGCTAGCGCAGAATAGTCGTCTTGGCTACGCTTGATGGGGTAGGATGTGGCCAATGATCATTCTTACTCCAGGCCGCGAGGAGGGCCAAGAGAAACTACCGAGTCGGCGCGAGTCAGGTCAAGTTTCAATACGCCGTCGCGAGATTAGGACAGCAGATAGGACATCAAGGGCAGGTTGCTTCTTGATTTATTTGACAAAAGTCTGAAACTCTCTACATAGCGCCTAAGCGCGTAACGGGTTTCAGACTTATGGACCACCACTGTAGTTCTGTTGTTTTTTTCGCCGGTCTTTCACCGCTCGCGACCCCTTATATCGTGGGGGCCATATTTTAGCCCAATTCTCGGTGGAATCTGATTTGACGCTCCGTAATATGTCAGAACCCCCACTTGTGCACGAGAGAGCCTTGGGGAATTCTTTGTTGGGACAGTGTCATCCTCTGCACCCTCCTTAATTCCCAATAGCCTACCATGCCACCAGGAGGCGCACAGCGGCAACAGAAGCGCCCGCGGCGCCCGCAGAATTCTAAGAATTCCCAATGGCGCGTCTCGCTTGGCCCCAATTGGGCATGGAAGTCGGTCCTCACTGGCTTACTGGCCCTGGCGGTTGGGTGCTTCGTTGGGACGCCGAGTGCGGAAACAGCTTTGGACTATTTTCGGCCCATCGATAAAGACCACTATTGGGACAGCCATCGGGCGGAGGTGAAGGAGGCTTTCGTCACAAGCTGGGATGCTTACGCTAAGTATGCCTGGGGTAAGTTTATTCAGTTCTGCTTCTATCAACCCATAGCCCGCTATTTTGAATTGTTTTATTTGAAGTAAATACACAGAACAGCCATGTTAACGTCTACATGTAGGAAAGGATCGTTTCCATCCAATCTCAAAGACCGGCTCACAAATGAGTCCCAGTGGTCTAGGATGGATCATAGTCGACAGCTTGGATACTTTGATGATCATGAATTTGACTTCCGAGCTTAGTGATGCCCGCAAATGGCTTCACAGGGGTTTGACATACAACCAAGACCAGGATGTGAACACCTTCGAGACGACCATCCGCATGCTCGGGGGGCTTCTCTCCGCCCATTACTTGTCTACTCAGCTTCCGGGTGTTTCATCCCGCCGGGATCATGTTTACATGTCCAAGGCCGTTGACCTGGCAGACCGACTACTAAATGCGTACGAGACCAATTCGGGGATTCCATACGCAAGTGTCAACATTGGGAAAGGACAAGGGCTTCCATCTCACGCTGACGGTGGAGCTTCGTCGACTGCCGAAGCCACTACTCTCCAGTTGGAAATGAAATATTTGGCGCATCTTACGGGCAAAGAGCTCTACTGGCGCAAAGCCGAGCACGTCATGAAGGTCATTGATGATCATCGCATGCCGGACGGCCTTTTGCCTATCTTCGTACATCCGGATACAGGAGCCTTTAGGTACAATGAGATTCGTCTCGGAAGCCGCGGTGATTCATACTACGGTGCGCTTTCATTACTCCCAGATGGTTTCTCCAAACAAATGCTTATGCGACTACAGAATATTTGGTGAAGCAATACCTGCAAACCGCCGGACAAGAACCCATCTACCGTGAGATGTGGGAAGAGGCTTTGGCCGGCATCCAGAAACACTTGGTTACCTCTACCAAGCATTCCAAGCTCCAATTTATCGCCGAGCTTCCGCAGGGCATTGGCGGGCCATTGTCTCCAAAAATGGATCACCTCGTCTGCTTTTTGCCTGGCTCGATTGCGATCGGCGCTACTGAGGGACTGACAGAGCGCCAAGCACGCAAGTTGCCCAGCTGGAATTCGCAAAAGGAACAGCAAATGACCCTGGCGCGGGAACTCATGAAGACCTGTTGGGCAATGTATGCGGTTACTGATTCTGGTCTTTCTCCAGAGATTGCCTGGTTTGAAGCTGACGAAGCCGATCTACGACCGGTGCCTGGGTCGTCTCCCCGACCTCGAAGCAAGAATGACAAAGCCTCGTGGAAGAAGGACTTCATTATCAAGCCCTTGGACGCTCACAACTTGCAACGCCCTGAGACGGTCGAAAGTCTCTTCTTAATGTTTCGGGTAACCGAAGACCCTATCTACCGAAAATGGGGCTGGGAGATCTTCAAGGCGTTCCAGAAACACACAATCGTGGCTGACGGGGAAGGATACACATCCTTGAACGACGTTACTAAGGTCCCGCCAACGCAACGGGACAACATGGAAAGTTTCTGGCTGGTAAGGAAGCAGACCCTTTATAAGTAGCCAACCTACATACTAATTCCATGCAGGCCGAGACTTTGAAGTATCTATACCTACTGTTTTCTCCCAGGGAATATCTCCCACTCACCGAAGTTGTCTTCAACACGGAGGCCCATGTGCTACCTCGCTTCAATCAAACCAAGTTTCAGACGGGTTGGAAACGCAGGCAACATTCTTGAGGCCCTTACAAGGCCAATCTGACAATATTCTGTTAACATTGGAAATCTACCGACGAGCTAGAGATAAATAGAGGAAACCGGTCCAAGTGAAACTGTGAAACAGTCGAAAATATCTATAAATTTCTTGCAGGCAAGAGTACGCTTGTAAAGGTCAACTCAACTATGTGCGCTACTATGTATTGTTTTTTGGCATGTCAAAGTGATCTTTCTGGCTTAACGGTACTACGTGGCTCTAGCAAGGTGATTGTGGATTGGATTAGATTCTTTTCCTAGAAGATATGCTCGGTGAATATCGGGAAATTCACTTCTTCACTTTCCAGACACAGAAAACCGCCAGTCCTCGGGGAACTGGCTATACTGCACGTCGCTCCTATTGCGGAAGATATCATCGTAATGCGCAACACGAGTCTCCGGGTCCTTAGCTTGCTGATAGTACCTCTCCCCCAACGCCTGGAACACCGGATCATTCCACATTTTTGCCATCCAGGCCAGAGCATCTTGGCTCGCAGTCTCAAGGGGGATGTTGTACGTTCGGAATCGCTAGAGATCATCAGTAATCACCATCAAACAAAATTCTGAATCATAGAAAACAATACCCAGAGTATCGGCCAGAAAAACGCATCGGCGATGCTAAACCCACCAAACAGGAACCCTTCGTCGACCTCTCCCAGCGTCGCAAGCCGTTCCTGGGTACATTTCCGGGTCTCATCCCAGATGGTCAAGATACGCTCGACATCTTTTTGCGCCTCCTCGGGAATTGGGATATTACCCGAATACCGGGCGAGGAAGTTTGCGGGGAACGAGCTTCGCAGCGCGGGGAAGCCAGAATGCATCTGTGCGGCGGCGCTACGGGCCAAGGCTCTAAGCTGACGGTCTCGAGGCCAAAGGTCCAGCTCAGGATGAGATTCAGCGAGAAATTCGCAAATCGCCAGCGAGTCACCGATTGTAGTAGAGCCGAGGGAACGGCATTCTAACAGGGGGACAAATCCGGTTGGAGAGACAATTTTCACCTAATAATCCATCAGTACATGTGAATATACACATAGCAGGCGACAGCTTTACATGGGAAAGTTTCACGAATTGGCTGGTGTGCGGAATATGGAAGTATTCCAGGACAGCTTCAACCCGCGCAGTCCAGCCTAGGGCATATTAGTGATAGGTATCCGACAGTGCGGGTGTACCTTACTAGAATAGCGGGTGTAGGTGCCAATGAAATGATAATCGGGTTCCTGGTCGGCCATGATGATGTCTCTGGAGACTTTAATTTTTGACAGGGACGTCGAGGATGGAGAACGGGTTCTTTACGTACTTATCCATCCGGTGGATGACTCACCATATCAGTGTGCCGTAACTTAAACCTCAGCTTGATAAACTTCTCTATGCTTTCACTTTCATTGGAGAATAAAGTTCGCGCATAGTTCTACGATATTCTGCACGTCTGCCATGAATGGCTGACAGGGAAAGCTCCGACATATGTCAAGTAAGACGGTCTTCCTCCTTTCTGGACGGTGGTTCAGCTAACTAATGCTTGGCACTGTCAGCTTACAAATGGAGAAGGCGTAGAGAGTCACTAAGGCTACTCCGAGAATAGGCGAGATTGTCTCTAAGTTAAGATGTTTATCTTCAGCGACATAAAAGCACGCCATCTTAAACAGTGGATAGATTGCGATTAATGGCATGACAATATAAGGAGGCAATTGCGTGCACAGCATCTCCATACTTGCCTTGCGTATACACAACCTCGACAAAAGAAAGCATCAAAAGTAAAAAAGAAAACTTGCAAAAAAGAAAGAAAGGAAGAATAAGAAGAACAAGAAAATAAAGACAATCTGCCTCCCAGACCACCCGCTAATTCAAGGACTCCTAGTAGACGATGCTTGCTTGCTTGCTTCGTGGATATCATGAAAACATCATCGAGCTGAACTAAAAGCCAAAAACCCAAGAAAAATGACAAAGGATAAAGCTAACCCAGAAAGCAATCCGCCCAGCCAAGCAGGAAAAACTTAACTATACTCAACAATAAGCCTCCGCCAAGTGCGTCCTCCCTTCTCGTCGATGTCGTACATCTGCGCAACGGTCTCGGTTCTTCTCTGCACCGAGGTCGTCGGTGTTGACATGGAAAACCCGGTGTCAGCGCGGGTCTTGGCGGTCGAAGCATCAGACTTCTTTTGGGCAGGATCCTTCACGGTGCTTGTGGTACCCGCTGTCAATTTGCTGTCTGCGATCTGCTTCTGCTCGCGAACCTTCGCGGCGATAGCTCCACTGCTTGGGAACGAGCCATTCTCCGATAGTGGCCGCAGCACATTCAGTGCAGAGGGCGGCGGGGGTGTGGTCTTCAAACGTCTAGGCTTGTCCATGTTGATGTCTGGAACCACGAGGTTGAATAGCTGACTGCTCGTCTGGTTCGCCGGTTGGCTAGTCTCGATAGCGTGTGGATGAGAAGCTATAGGATGACTATAGCAGAGGGAGGCAGTGAGATCGCGTGGCGTGTTAAGGGTTCATGGCGTTTCCGATCGAGCCAGCCCAGCCCTAATGGTTTGCCCGCTCCGGTCCTTTCGTGAGTGACTCGGTTCTCAGTCGGAGAGACCGTGGACGGGTCACGGCTGGTTGGTCAGAATGGCCTGAGACTTAGGGTTTGCAAAGCAGGAAGAAATATCGGAGAGGGCTACACAAGTGGATGGTGGATGGGACTATAAAGAAGTCCAGTCAGATCGATCAAATACTACCAGTCCATTCTGACGATGGCGTGGTTCGCAACATACATCAAACCAAAAAAGAAATGGCGGGGTGACACGATCGTTCGCCAGGCAAAAGTAAACTAAAGAATCAATGGGCGATCCGAGGATCATACTCCATCGGGCGTTATTCGCCCACTCGCTCTGGAACGTATAGTCGTCACATAGTCAACGCGTAACAGACTGAACATTGCCCGTGGCTGCCTGCGCATGGCAACAAAGCGGGAAATGGCCTTCCATTCCAGTCAGCCACGAGCCGGGCCATCTTTGGATCGCCTGCGAGGTTCAGCTGAGGCCGCCCACGCCACCAGGAATAAAAATAAAATAAAATTCAATGGAGGGAGGGGGGTCAGGATCTGCGGTCTGGAAAATCTCCAGCCGGGCACAACCCTGGACGTGTAAGACCGCTGAGACCCTGTTCAAGTGCTCCCGCGGCCGTGGGGGTGGGAAAAGTACACGCTGTGCAGTCGATCCTCCATGACAAATGTGCAGTCGATCCGCAATGCATCAGCCTCTTACAACGCTGCATCTCCGATCTGATCGGCTGCCTTCCTAGCTGCCTACAGCTGGCGGTGGACCCGGAGCTCGCGCTAAGTCAAATCCTCTCGGCTAATGCAATGATTTGGTCTCCCGGTGGGACGGTCCCCGCGAGGGATCGCCAAAGCATTTGTATGTATGTATTTCTTTAAGGCAAATCAGGCAAGGCAAAAATGCGTCATGTCCAGCTCTAATTACAGTTTGGATGCCGGTTTCTCCTTCAGCTCCTCTTTGGCCTGTTCTCGCAGCGTCTTGCGCAAAACCTTACCAGATGGGTTTTTTGGGATCGACTCGACGAAGCGTACCCCGCCGGTGATCCGCTTGAAGGCTGAGACTTTGCCATCCATAAAACGCACGATGTCCTCCGCTGTGGCGACCTGACCCGGCTTGAGCACAATGTAGGCCCGGGGCGACTCGTCGTTGTTGCTATATTCCACAGTTAGCCATGCATCAAGCGGTGAAAGGGCGGTCTTCTTACATGGCAACTCCGATCACTGCGGCGTCAGCCACCTTCGGGTGTTCCAGAAGTATCCCCTCTAACTCCGCGGGGGCAACCTGGTTCCCCTTCACTTTGATAAGCTCCTGGTTTTTATTAGTTCTGTGAATTCAAAAGAGACGAGAATGCTCGCTCACCTTCATCCGATCGACAACATGAAATTTGCCCTGGTCGTCGACAAAGGCAATATCGCCCGTCTTGAGCCACCCATCCTCTGTCTTGGTTGATTTGGTTGCCTCGGGATTACGCCAATATCCTTTCATGATATTCTGGCCACGCACCCATAGCTCACCACGTTTATTCCTGTCCATAATCTCCGTCACTCCGTCTTCGGCCATAATCTTGGCTTCACAGTTGGCGTTCAGCTCTCCGACAGAAGCCGAGAAACTCTTCTCCGTGGGATCCCATCCCAAGATAGAACAGGTCGTTCTGTTATCGTTAGTCTAGCGGCGGTAATTACATGAAAAGACTTACTCAGTCATGCCCCAACCTTGCTTGATATTGATCTTGCCCGGCGGCCACAGAGCTTCCACCTCCTCACAAACCTCCCTCGCCAATGGCGCAGCGCCACTCCCCATACCCTCGACACTGCTAAGATCATAATCTTTCACAGCAGGGTGTTTGGCTAGAGCAACGACCACCGGGGGCACGAGTATGAGGTCCGAGATGCGATACTTCTGCGTATACTCTAGCATCTTGATGAAATCGAACTTGGGCATGATATAAACCGGGGTGTTCCGGTATAAGGCCGCACCGATATTCACGTTCTGAGAGTACGCGTGATATAATGGAAGGAAGCATAGCCAGCGGGCGCGGGCTAGCTTCGCCTCGTAGTCCGGGTTGAGCCTGGCCAAGTGTGTGTACTGTAGCAAGTTTGCGACGTAGTTCTTGTGCGTGATCTCAACACCTTTCGGCCTCCCGGTCGTGCCGCTGGAGTAATTGAGTGCGAGAACGGTATCTGCTAGCTCGGGCGTGGACAGCTCCTCCCATGCGAAACCCTGTGCTTCCTCTGGGGACGCTACAAGCTCGCCCCAGTGCTGACAGCCCTTCTCGCCGACGCCGCGGCCATCGTAGAGGGTGTCGTCGAACACAAACACCCGGTCCCGGCCCATGCCTGTCAACTGCGCAGCCTCAAGCCCAGTGTCTAGGCTAGCTCGTGCGCAGATCAGGTAGGTTGCCCCGCTGTCCTGGAGCTGGTAGGCCAACTCGCGGGCGACGTAGGTCGGATTAGCGCCTGAGAAGATGCCACCGGCCATGATGATGCCCATGAACACGACGGGGAAGAACAGGTCATTGCCCGAGAACATCAGGACGCGGTCGCCTCGGCGGAGACCGGACTTTTGCAGTCCTAAGGCAAATCTCTGGCTCCATAGCCGGAAGGAATGCGTGGTAAAGTAATGCGTGTCCGGGCGGGCCGCTTCCAGGAAGCATCGGTGGGTCTTGGAGAGCTCAGCCGTTGGAGACGTTAGTAGCAGCGTCGCAAGGTGCGCGTTCGGCACGTCGAGGCGCCACCGGGACTTGTAAGGCATGTTGAGGGATAAGATAGGTGATGAAAACGTGTCAGACGGAAGAGTGAGATTGAACTTGGGTACTTTTGCCTTTAATAATAATGCATAACTCCGTTGTTCATATTTCCCCGCATTGTCGGTTAATCAATCCCGTGGGTAAACACCGAGGTAGGCTTGTTGATTTGGTTGCCTCGGGATTAAGCCAATCTCACCATCAAATTCGAAACATCACTTCACTCTAGACTAATTTCTGAACTTGCAACGTGACAGAGGCGAAGGGTGACCCGATCAGCTCAAGGACGGATCGGCATTATTTCACCTTCGTTTGACTCTTACGGCGGTTCACATAGCTGTACCCTGTACTAGACAATCATTATTGAATTGGATCTGATCCCAGCTCGCTCTATACTATCTACTCCTCGCCTCCCAGACAAGCCATCGTGGCTTTTAGCTCGCTCACGATCTTCTCTTCCAGCCGGTTTTCGGCCCCCGAGTTGGCATCAAGGGGCTTCTGTCGAGACCATTCTACCTCCTTGTCACTCGTAGCGGCGATACGCGCGCGCAAGGCCGGTCGGCGTCCGAGCAGCTCTTCAATATCGTCCTTGACATGCGCTTTGTCCCACTTGAGATCCTGGATCGACTGCGCATCCACCCCCGCACTCGCTCCGGCTTCGCGGAACCGATCGAGAATGAACGAAATGAGGGCCAGGGAGTATGCCTCGGAGGCCATGCTCAAACAGATCCACCGCGTTGCGGAAGCTTTGGAGGCAGAGCCGTGTCCCGTGGAGAATGCCTCAGCCGAACGGGTCAATTGGCCTTCAAACTGGTTGAGGAAAGCGGCCACTTCTGGCGCGGTGCGAATGACATTGTACAACAGGTTGAGGCACAGGGGCAGGAACCCTCCAGTCCAGATGGCGTAGAGTCGTGGCACTGGGTCAAAGGGGCCGAATCCCTTGGGCTGGCGGAGGCCGTTCGCGAGGCGACAAGTTGACAATTTCATCAACACTGCTTCAACGGCAAGGTGCTCGGCGAGCATGGGGAGTGTGGATAGTTTGACAAGAACCGAAACGCTGAGTTCTCCGTAGATGGGATCTCCCGCAACGGCCAGTTGGTCGGCCCATGAGAATAATGTCGTAGCATGTCGCGCGGTGTCGTTGTCCTCGATGTGGAATACGATGTGCTCGTAAAGCCGGTCAGCATTCTTAACCTGCAAGCAGGTTTGAAGGATGGCGGTGATGATAGCAAAGTCTTTCGGCAAGCATTTCTCCGGTTGTTCATGCAAATACGTGGTCAGGGTCCTGAAGCCCTGTGCCACGGCAACCTTGACGACTTCAATGATCAAAGTCAAATCGGATGAAATCTCGGCCTTCTTGCTAAGGGTCTCCGGTGCCGAACGGCCGGGTCCATCAAGGTGGAACTGGAGGGCGAGGAATAGTACGTTCAAGAGAGATCGGTGGAACTCGGTGTCATCATTGACCAAGGCATCTTCAAATGTTGGGTGCCGGCTGCGCAGTGCTTTCCACACGGCTTCAAGCAACCTGAAAACCTCCGCGCCTCGGGCTTCCACTTCAACCAAGCGTTGGAGCAAAGCCTGGGCAAAGTCAACCCGCACCTGCTGGATCCTCTCGAAGATTGCTTCCGGTGGCACGCTTCGTGTATTGGCCTCGAGACAATTTTGCGCAACCACCGCCATCGACTTCTGTATTTCGCGATCCGGCATAAAGTCCGCACAATGCTCAATGGCGAAGAACTTCCAGCTGTTTAGAAGGCTCTGTTTGGGGTGTTAGATATATACTAAAGAGACCGAAAAAAAGACTTACCACCTGTGCCTCAACGAGAGACAGATTGATGTTGGCCCGCTCAAACTCCTCGGAAAAGCCTCGGTTCCGGCTTCCGGCCCAGGCAAAGTCGTAGGACAGTAGCTTCTCTCCCAGATCAAGGTCGTAATAGTAATCTCGCCCCAGAGCTTGAGGTGCCAGTGGCGTTCTCTTAAAGTCAAAAATCTTGCACCCGGAGTATCGCATCTCGAAATTCTTCTTCAGGTTGGCGTGCAACGAGGCGTTGTAAGCAGAAACTTCGACGGCGTCCTTCGCATACCATGACACCAGCGGGATCAAAGTCTTAACAAAGCTGCGATCATTCGCTTCCTTGGCAGCGTGGAGGTAGACGGCGCAAAGGTCAGCAACAACAGCAGCAATCCGTGTCGCGAAGATTTGGTCCATAACGGGCAAGGAGGAGATCTTCAGTTTCGAGACGTAGCTCACGATACCAGTGAAGAAATGAGGGTGGTTTCTCAACTGCGGAGTGGCCCAGGGCCAGTTTTCTTGGGCGCGAGAGACAAACTCAAGTAGAGCCAACGCTGCTTGTGGCTCGAGCTGGTCAATGTTTGAGAGCTTATCCAGCGCCATCCGCAGGAAGGGAGCGCTGCGCATACTCGGAGTGCCCGGTGTGTCCGATTTCTTCAGAGATTGACGGGGAGATGCTCCCGTGAGAATAAATACAGCCAACCACTGCTGGCGCTTGCTGACAAAGGTAGACAGTAAATGCCAAACTGAAAGCAGAAGAGCCTGGTCACTAAGTGGCTTGTCGAGTTGAGCGAGTACATCGAGAAACAGACAGGAGGATTCGGCGCCGAGATGGCCCACAAGAGATGGGGGCTCATTGTCCGAATTAGCCGCCGCACTGGTGATCAAAATCTCGAGCAATGACACCACCGGTAGTCTGTAGGCATCATGCAGGGCATAAAGTTTGGTGAGAACTGGTGCTGCTTTAAAAAGCTGTTCTTCTAGGAGTGAGCCGGCCTGCTCTGCAAGCTGTGCTGCCTGCACAAGTTTGATGCACAGCTGCAGGGTTGACGTGACCTGGTCTTCAACCAGAGTGAGATATCTGAGGTGGAGGGTAGGTGGTGTTTGGAGGCCATCCGAGACCAGTCGAAGGATTGGGTTGAAAGGAAGGTCGGCAGTCGACCTGGGTCGCAGCATATCCAAAATGTACTCGGCAGAGGCAGAGAATACACCAGTCACCTTTGCATCCAACTTCGCGGCATCATTGGTGCCATAGGCGTAGTACAGGATCCGTTCAAAAGTCGTGGCGAGCGTTGAGTTGATCTTGAATCGCTGCTCGGAAAAATTGAACCTCCAGTTCCCATTGCTGTTGAAGATCTCGACCATTGTCCGAAGAAGGTTCAATAAAATGGTCCTCATGACGTGCGAAGGGATGCCGGCGCTCCAGTCGGAGGCAATTGTTGACTTGCTGGAAACACTGTTGGGGCTTCTTCGCAATACTGCACGAGATGCCGCATCATCGACAATAGCCTGGAATAGACCGACGCAGCTCAAAAGGAACGGATACTCGCCTGCGGGTATTTCGATCGCAGAGATGATGGCTGTCATCACACCACCTTTCCCGTCGGTTCCAACGAAACTGCTGCGGCCAAGGAAAGGCCACACTCGATTGGGCAGGATCTTCAACACTTCCTTGATAAACCGGAGGCACGCCATGAGCGGGTCAAGAGCCTTGCCTAGTTCTCCGCGGGCTCCGATATTCTGGATATTGCGTTCAAAAATGTCAAAGACCACGGAGATGATGTCGCCCTGTTGGGAAAGCCCGTCACTGGCCATTTCGAGGATCCTCTTGGCGCTTGATCCAGGGGAGTTTGGTGTCGTCTGGTCGTTGGCATTGGCCACCAACTCCGCCAGAAGCCCAATAATCTCGGTGCCAGATTCATCAATCCATTCAGAGGAGCCCCCACCGCTCTCGCTCCATCCTTCTAGCCAGCTGCCCAGAAAGCTCAAGCACGAATACCGGTGTTGCCACATGATGACCGCTGGTTTCGACTCAGAGATCACCTGGCCAATTGTGGCCGTCGGAATCTCGGACGAGCCGCTCACAATCAGGGCGTTACTGGTTCCATTTTCGAGAAGACGGTTTCGAGAGGCAGACTCAAACATCGGCAGAGGTTGCATCAGGGATACGAGGTTGGCGTTCTCGTCTTCGCGGATTGTCTTGTAGCTTGAGAAGGTTGGCGCGACGATCTGCGTGAAAGTGTCCATGTTCTCCAGTTCCTCAAGGACCTCGGGCAGTCCGTCCCTGTTGAGCGAGTGTTCGCTGATGAGCGCTCGGCAGAGTTTCAAGAATGGAAGAGTCTCGTATGGGAATCGAGACCGGGCAACGCGGAAAATGCTGTCCATCAGAAGATCATCCTTGAAAAAGACAACTCTGGGGTCGCTGGCAGGTCCTAGGTCACATGGTAGGTTCCATGACAATTGTTCAGGAGTACCCGTCAGGATCGCCAGTACAGACTCCACGATCTCCGGGGAATAGTCCAAATACACGATTCCCACGCGAATAAGATCAAGAAGGGCTAAACGGACCCACCGATCGGACAGACAGTCATCAATCGCAGACATAGAGCCAGCCTTGGTGGCCAGTGTGCCGATGGCATTGAAGGCCGACTCTTTCACCGCATCAGATGTCAAGATTGGAATGGCGTCATCAACAGTGTGATTCGGTGTGCGAGCACAGTCAAGCAAATCTTCGTAGAGCGATTGCTCCGATCCTCGAGAGAGACCCGAATTTTGTGTCTTGGACTGAAAGGAGTCCACGGCGCTCCGGAACTGCTCCATTTCTCGAGTCTCCTTGTCATTGAGCGCCAGTTCTCTCATCGTGTGTAGGATCAGGCCCCATGCAAAGGCCGCAGGGCTTGCAGTGCTTGAATCCTCGCACGCACCTAGCAGGATCTCATTTATTTGAGAAATTTTCTCTTTACAAAGAAAGTAAGGTGTCTTGGCTGAGGATGCCTGCGGCGAATGCGTCCTGTTGATAATCGAAGGAATAGCAAGAGGAAGCTTGAGGAAACTCAAGGTTGTGAGCGACGCAAAAGCCTGAAGTGGCAGCAGCACTTCCACTGGTTGTTGACACGGCTATAAGATGTTAGTTAGCCTGAGTAGATTTCATACAATGTTCAAACTTACCACCTGTAACGGCTCCAAAAAGCTGTAATCAGCCATGAGGCGAAGCCACGATAGGACAAGGTCCGCGCTGGGAATCTCGATCGAAGCCTGAAGCTTGTGAAAGATGATCTGAAGGATGTGGACAATCTCCTCCACCAGGGTCGTCCTCCATATATCCTCCGTCTCTTCGCTACTCTCAGCCGCCCCGAGCCAACCACCATCTCCTTCCAAATCCGAAAGTCGAGAGCGTACGGAATTGATGCATTCTTGGAGGAATTGACCCAAACCGTCGCCGGTGGATTTGTCGTTAAAAATGGTAGAGCCCAAGTTGCACAAGGCAATTCTGCGATCATCTCCGCGGCTGGCTAGCTCGTCTGAAATGTCATCTTGCAAGGACTGGACGAGTAGTTTGCGGAAGGTTTTCACCACATGGCTTCTTTCCAAGAGATAAAGGCTCCGCAGGCGCAGACGCCGGTTTTCCTCCGTATTGAATGATGAATCGCTATCTCCGCGCACTGTTCGCTTCAAGATCTCGGCCAGATTCGGGCCAGCCAGCGAGACCCTGAAGTTGTCGGTCCCCGCTGCGCTTTGCAAACTCGTCGCCTCTTCGGTGGAGAAGCTGGTGGTGAGGCGCGTCGATGGCCGGTTTTGCCATTCGAGGACTGCGATCCGGAGAGCGGTGATTTCATCAATGCCAGCTTTCTGGCTCAGCCAGAGCGCGTCCGCCTTGATCTCTTGCAGGTTAAAAGCACCTGGATTGTTGGTCTCGACATGGATCGCGGCGGTCTTGGAATCGAATTCGGATTTGGTTTTCGCGGAGGGAGGGGAGAAAGGATTGAGGCTTTGCGAAAGAAGGTGGATGCTCTCGGGGTGTGACAGAAAGGCGTAGAGATTACCGCCATCGTCGGTGTGCGCCTCGGGATCAATCGTATAGAGGAAGGCTCTTCGCCAGGACCTGTCTAGAGTTAGCATCTCCTTCATTGCAAGAGACCAATAGACTGCGCGCGTACAAGAGCTGGTCGTCCCCGGCGAAGCACTTGTCCAGGGACGGGAAATAGGCCTCCGGGACGGGAGCCATTTGGCCAGACGATCAGAGCATCATAGACAGGACAGGGAAGGAAGCGACTGCAACGATAATGAACGGGGCAGGAGTGCTGGAGTGACTGCGCGGGCGATGGGGGCAGAAGGAAGGAGCTCTCGACAGAAATTCATTCACCGCGTCAACAAGGCAGGAACGAGCGGCAGGCGGTGAGTGGGAATTTATGGAGTGGAGCCAAAAGACAAAGACAGCAAGAGCGTTGCATTGAGTCACCCAGTCAGGTGAAGAAGAAGAGAACCATCAGAGGGACAGGACTACCTGCTCTCCTTCCCTACCTATTCACCTCACCTCTTTTCTCACCATGGCGGACCTCGTCGACCACTCCCCCCACCAGCCCACCAGGGCCGCCAAGCGGGACAGCGCCTCCAATGTCGTCCTCATTGACAACTACGACTCCTTCACCTGGAATGTCTACCAATATCTCGTACTCGAGGGCGCCACCGTGACCGTCTACCGCAATGACGAGGTCACCGTCGAGGATCTGGTCGCAAAGAAGCCCACCCAGCTGGTCATCAGTCCCGGTCCCGGCCATCCCGCCACCGACGCCGGCATCAGTAACGCCGCAATTCAACATTTCAAGGGCAAGATCCCCATCTTCGGGGTGTGTATGGGCCAACAATGTATCATTGAGTCGTTTGGTGGCAAGGTTGATGTGACGGGTGAGATCCTGCACGGCAAGACCTCGGTTCTGAAGCATGACTCCAAGGGTGTCTACGAGGGATTGCCGACCTCCCTCTCGGTGACGCGGTACCACTCCTTGGCCGGAACCCATTCCACAATTCCCGACTGCATTGAAGTCTCCTCGTGGGCAGATCTGGAAAATGGTAGTGGCAACAGCGTGATCATGGGTGTCCGGCACAAAGAACTGGCCGTGGAGGGCGTTCAGTTCCACCCGGAAAGTATCCTAACGGAATACGGGCGAAAGATGTTCAGAAACTTCCTCGAGCTGACTGCCGGCACTTGGAAAGAGAACAAGGGAGGAAAGACAACCGCTGCGACTCCGGTCCCGGCACCGGTGGACAAGAAGATGTCGATCTTGGAGAAAATCTACGCCCATCGCAAGGTTGCAGTGGCCGAGCAGAAGAAAGTCCCAGCACTACGGCCGGAAGCATTGCAGGCCGCATACGACCTCAACATCGCCCCCCCGCAAGTCTCATTCCCTGCTCGCTTGAGACAGTCGGACTACCCTCTCTCCCTCATGGCCGAGATCAAGCGAGCCTCGCCTTCAAAGGGTATTATTGCGGCCGATGTGTGTGCTCCCGCCCAGGCACGAGAGTATGCCAAAGCCGGCGCTAGCGTCATCTCCGTCCTCACAGAGCCCGAATGGTTCAAGGGCACCATCGATGATCTGCGCGCCGTTCGCCAAAGCTTGGAGGGACTGACCAACAGGCCTGCGATCTTGCGGAAGGAGTTCGTTTTTGATGAGTATCAAATCTTGGAGGCGCGGTTGGCTGGAGCCGACACCGTCCTGCTGATCGTCAAGATGCTCAGCGTTGAACTTCTTACGAGGTTATACCGCTACTCGCAGAGTCTCGGAATGGAGCCTCTTGTTGAGGTCAACACTCCCGAGGAGATGAAGATTGCGGTCGAGTTGGGATCCGAAGTGATCGGCGTCAACAACCGAGATTTGACGAGCTTTGAGGTCGATCTGGGCACCACAAGTCGTCTGATGGATCAAGTCCCCGAGAGCACTATTGTGTGCGCTCTCAGCGGCATTTCGGGCCCTAAGGATGTGGAAGCCTACCAGAAGGAGGGGGTCAAGGCTATTCTGGTCGGAGAGGCACTGATGCGCGCACCCGACACCTCTGCCTTTGTGGCGGAGCTCCTGGGAGGGTCGAAGCAAAAGTCTACGCCAGCATCCTCTGTCGTGCCTTTGGTCAAGATCTGCGGCACTCGGTCTGCAGAAGCCGCCAAAGCCGCCATCCAGGCTGGTGCTGATCTGATTGGCATTATCCAAGTTCAAGGCCGGTCACGGTGTGTCCCCGATGATGTGGCACTACAAATTGCTCAGGCGGTCAAGTCCACTTCTCGTCCCAACGTCCAAGCGAGCGAGCTGTCCCAGCAAGTTTCGAAAGCAACCCCGTCGGAATGGTTCGATCATTCTACGGAGGTCTTGCGCCATCCTTCCCGCGCGCTTCTTGTGGGCGTGTTCATGAATCAGCCACTCTCCTACGTCCTTGCTCAGCAGCAGAAACTGGGTCTCGATGTAGTGCAACTACACGGCTCAGAGCCTCTGGAGTGGGCCAGTTTGATTCCAGTGCCTGTCATCCGCAAGTTCGCGCCAGGGGATATTGGAATTGCTCGCCGAGCATATCACACTCTTCCATTATTGGATTCCGGGGCCGGCGGATCGGGTCAGCTATTGGAAAAATCTGGGGTTCAGCAGGTTCTCGATAGCGATGAAGGGCTGCGGGTGGTTTTGGCGGGTGGGTTGAATCCGGAGAATGTGGTGGATACAGTGAAGAAGCTGGGCCAGTCGGGCCATAAGGTGGTGGGCTTGGATGTCAGCTCAGGCGTGGAATCGACGGACGGTTCCCAGGATCTGGATAAGATCCGGGCTTTTATCAAGGCAGCGAAAAGTGTCCGGCAGTGATTTACCTTCCTCTACTTGTGTTATTTTAGTTGATATTTCCCATGTTCCAAACGCCGTTCTCAAGCTCATCTAGAATTCAATCAAGCTTTGAATACTTCCACACCTCTGATCCCTTCTGATCTAGCCATCTTATTCTTTCCTACAGACAACCACACCGGGCTGCCACATCTCCCCTTGTTCCCTAATCACTGCCTTCTTCTGACTGACTTCTTATCCGTCAATATTTTCCTTCGTTCTCATCTCTGCTCTGCGAGCCAAACTCTTTCCGGACCACCCACCGCCCCCACGCCAACATGGGGAAGTCCTTCGAAGGTATTTATGCCTGCTCAACAGGCCGATTCGAGGATGGGAACGGCGAAAAGATCCCTCAATGGATCCGGAACAACGGCGGACAATACTCGAAAGCGATGCACACCGGCGTGACGCACTTGATCACGACCAAGGAGGCTTTTCTCAAGGACGCGCCAGCCGGTACGTTCGTTTTTGTCTCTTTCAGCTTCCTAGTACTGACATAAAACCAACAGTTCTGGAAGCCAAGAATCTCAACAAGGTCAAAATTGTCACGTTCGACTGGCTAGAAGATTCCCTACTTAGCAAGTCCAAGCGGCCCAGAAATGAGCGTGCATATCTGCTGGCGAATATCTTGAAGGCAGAAAAGATTCCGAAGAAGGGCAAGAGGAAGGCGGATCAGCTTCAAAATCAAAGCAAACGTCCCAAAGGTTGGTTGATGTGTGGCTCTGCTCCGCAAGGAGTCTTTACTCATATATACTTCTCAAAACAGTCGACCCATTCACGGTCAACAAGAACGGTACTTCCAAGAGTAAGTATGTCTGCATTTCTCTCTGTGTGGTTACATCCGAACGCGACATATAGTTACTAACTCGATTATAAAGTCAAGAGTCACCCCTACGTGGATCCAGACACTGGAGAGACCTGGCGGGCAACTCTCCTTCGGCAAGGTCCACCACCGCAGTACACGGAAAAGTATCTCATACAGGTACGTCCCGCTAACTACCTCAGCTATGAATGAAACAAGTACTAAACCAAATATCTACCCAACAGCTCTTCGAGACGGACGCCAAGCCACACACCTACTCGACGTACGTCAAGTACTCCCGAATCGGTATTTCGAGGGTGGAAACCCTGGCTCCTCCGAAAAGCAAGCTGGACATCGCCACGACGACATTCAAGATGTTCTTCAAGACTCAGACGGGCAAAGAATGGGAAGAAAGAGAGAATGGCCTCATGCCACCGCCCAAAACAGACTCCGAGGACAATGTTTTGCCTTCGCATCAGGGCTGGTACCACTTGGAGGTGAAGGGTTCCATGCTCATGAACTGGCTTATGAAGCCGATTGCTCTTCAGGCAGATGCTCAGCCAGGTGGTGACAGGTGGGCTTCGCAGGAGGGCCAGGGCATTGTCTCCGTGGATTCACGGTCAGAGAGCAGCGACGAAGAGCAGGGATCGATCTACGGCTATAGGGATGGGGATTGGGGAATGGAGTTTGATGATGAGAACGGCATGTCTTTGGACGGCGCCATTTACGATGAGTGAGGATACAGACTTTACGTGGTTGACGGTCTGAACCGAGATTCTGGAGATCTTTGGAGAAGTTGATTTTGATTTTGCTTTTGCTTTTGCTTTTGAATTTCACACTTGGAGGCTTTTGTATCCTGAGAATAATTGGATACAGGCCTCCTTCCCACAGGCTATGTATAGAGACAAGGGTTAGGTACAAAAAATCAGAAAAACACCGTCTAAGAGTCCGTAATACCCCAGTACGCCAATCGACATGAATCATGTCCTTCATGCAAAGCCCGCAACTGACACCATGATGCGAATTCAATCAAAGATATTCCTTCTTTCGACTGGTCCTCGTGTACTGGGTGAGCGCCCACTCCACATCACCACTTGATCCCTTCTCCAACGAACCGCCGCGGATTTCAAACAGACGCATGGTCATGCGCGGCCCGACTTCCGCCAGCTCGACATTCCGGTACCCCGTCTTGACAAAGACGTGATGCCGCACCTCAATGCTATCCTCTTTGTTCACAAAGCTCACCACCCGATTGCCAAGCTTGCCCGGTTCCCGTGGTGGGAACAGATGTTTCAAGATCTGAACCACACGAGCACCGAGTTTGGTCTTGAACCCTTCGAAAATCAAATGCGGATAGCTCTCCGAGACAGTCCCGCGCGCGGCGTTGGGGATATCGGCGCGCAGAACCACGTTATGCAATGAAAAGCTGGCAGTGGGACCATGGGGCATGTGGGAGATGGTGAGAGCGGTCGGGGTACCACGGTGCTCATGCAGCAGGAGCATGTCGGTCAGCGCGGCGGAGTTGGCGCTGGAGACCAGGTCCGGAAGAACGAGGTTACCACGGTTGAGACGGATGGAGGTTGGAAGGAGAAGACGGATTTCTTTGGCGAATGCGCCGAGACGAGCAGAGGGAGAACGGGAGGTGGTAACCAGCGGGCGAGGGTCGATGAGGCCGGATGTCAGAGCGTATTCGTCGTCGACGTCTACCATCTCCGAGTCCTTGCTCTCTTTTGATTCATCGTATTTGAAGTCCTCGCGAAGAGCTTTGTCATCCGCGATCGAGGGATCCAAGGGCTTGCCCGAGGCCAGAGCGGCCTTGAGCTGGGCTCGTTTTTCGGCGATAGAGGCATCGCGGAGCAGCAGGGCTCTCCGGTAGAGATAATCACGGCGCTCACGGGTTTGACGGCGCTGTTCAGGAGTTAGTGATTGGATTTGTTATCATCATTATGGTATGCACATACCAGCATTGTGGTGTGTTTGTGTCTTATGTGTTGTTGGGTTGATCGTCGAACAAGGTTAGTTGCAACTTTTTTTTATCGGACTGCGCAGTTGGTACATGTAGTCCACCGTAGTGGGCAGCGATAACCCAAAGATTGGATGCGGAGGCTTTTTGCCATCCCATCCCAGCCAACCTCAACTGAGAGACTGTGCTGTGCTGGTGGTATGTTCCTGATGTTCTCTTGGTCTCTTTCACCCTTCTCAACTGACTTTGTTCTGCACGGTTCCTAGACTCCCCGTTCTTTTACCCCTCAGGCACGCACAACCACAGGCTTTGACGGCGGGTCTTGCGCAACACTTAGGACGGCCGGATTGTCCTACACGCTCTTTTGTTTCGATTTGAACCTGCCCTTTCAGTTCATTCTTGATTACACTTCGCTCTTGCAGCTTGCTCGGTTCTCTTGGTTGCGTCCTCCCACCTTCCAGAAAGCCCGCATCATGGAGGACTTCCGTCCGGGGCTGCGCGATGATGCCTCCACCATGGCCGATCTGGATCATGTCAATGCGAGTGCTCTGGGACGTCCGCGGCCGCGACGACATGACGACGAAGATGAGGGATCAGATATCCTTGAAGACGATGACCTAGAGAGTACACTCGGTGCACCGGTCAATGGACACCAACATGGCGAGGGGAGTGCGGATGAGGAGAAAGAGCTTCCAGTTCACGCCTGCGCGTACGTCTACCTCTTCTACTCCTTTGAGCTGTCATTCATTTCATGTTACTAACACCCCTATTATAGGTACTGTGGTATCCATAACCCTAGCAGCGTCGTCAAATGCTTGTCCTGCAGCAAGTGGTTCTGCAGCGCCCGTGGCAATACATCCTCCTCGCATATTGTGAACCATCTTGTCCGAGCTCGCCACAAGGAGGTGCAGTTGCATCCAGCATCCTCGCTGGGCGACACGATCCTCGAATGCTACAACTGTGGCACCAAAAATGTGTTCCTTCTCGGTTTTATTCCGGCCAAGTCCGATACTGTGGTCGTCCTTTTATGCCGACAGCCGTGTGCGGCTATCACATCGTCTAAAGACATGAACTGGGACACTTCCCGCTGGCAACCGCTGATCGAAGATCGATCATTCCTTCACTGGCTTGTGGCTGCCCCCTCCGACCAAGAACAGCTTCGGGCCCGTCACCTGAGCCCTCAGGTGATCGCGAAGCTGGAGGAAATGTGGAAAGAGAACTCGCAAGCTACCTTGGAAGACCTCGAGAAGGCCACCGCGGTCGATGATGAGCCCGCGCCGGTCCTCTTGCGCTATGATGACGCCTTCCAATACCAAAACATCTTCGGTCCTCTCGTCAAGATCGAGGCTGATTATGACCGGAAGTTGAAGGAATCCCAATCCCAGGATGGGTTGATTGTGCGCTGGGACCTTGGTCTGAACAACAAGCACCTCGCAGGTTTTGTGCTCCCGAAGCTTGAGCTTGGCGACGTTAAACTGGCAGTTGGTGATGAAATGCGCCTCAAGTACACCGGTGAATTGCGCTCCAAGTGGGAAGGAGTGGGCTATGTGATCAAAATCCCGAACAACCAGTCCGACGAGGTCACCATTGAATTGCGTTCCAAGGGCGACCACAAGTCGGTCCCCACAGAGTGCACGCATAACTTCACTGCCGACTACGTCTGGAAGTCCACCTCTTTTGACCGTATGCAACTTGCCATGAAGACCTTTGCGGTGGACGAGATGAGTGTTTCGGGCTACATTTTCCACCGTCTTTTGGGACATGAGGTCGCAGCGGCCCCGATGAAGACCCAGATCCCCAAGAAGTTCAGCGTCCCTGGTCTTCCCGATCTCAATGGCAGTCAAATCAACGCAGTCAAGAGTGTACTGCAACGGCCGTTGAGTCTGATCCAGGGCCCTCCTGGTACCGGCAAAACTGTCACGTCTGCCACGATCATCTACCACCTTGCCAAACTTAACGGGGGCCAAGTGCTTGTGTGCGCGCCGTCCAACGTCGCAGTTGACCAGCTCTGCGAGCGCATTCACAAGACGGGTCTCAAAACGGTGCGAGTGACTGCCAAGTCTCGCGAGGATGTGGAGTCTCCGGTCGGTTTCCTTTCTCTGCACGAGCAGGTTCGCATGAACGATAGCAACATCGAGCTGGTGAAACTCAATCAGCTGAAGTCGGAGTTGGGCGAACTGTCCAGCCAGGATGAAAAGCGCCTGAAGCAGCTCACGCGGGCTGCTGAGCGTGAGATCTTGACCAACGCGGATGTTATCTGTTGCACTTGCGTTGGTGCAGGTGATCCTCGCCTCGCCAAATCCAACTTCCGGACGGTCTTGATTGACGAGTCGACTCAATCTGCGGAGCCCGAGTGTATGATTCCGTTGGTTCTGGGCTGCAAGCAAGTTGTTCTGGTTGGTGATCACCAGCAGCTTGGGCCGGTCATCATGAACAAGAAGGCAGCCAAAGCTGGTCTCAACCAATCTCTCTTCGAGCGACTGGTCATTCTCGGCTGCTCGCCCATCCGCTTGAACGTCCAGTATCGTATGCACCCGTGTCTTTCCGAGTTCCCATCAAACATGTTCTACGAGGGCTCGCTGCAGAACGGGATCACGATCGCCGACCGTGTGCGTCGTGACGTCGACTTCCCCTGGCCTATCATCGATGATCCCATGATGTTCTGGTCGAACCTGGGCAACGAAGAGATCTCGGCCTCCGGAACCTCGTATCTCAACCGCACCGAAGCCACCAATGTCGAGAAGATTGTCACCCGCTTCTTCAAGGCCGGTGTGCAGCCTAGAGACATCGGTATCATCACTCCTTACGAGGGCCAGCGGAGCTACATCGTCAGTTCTATGCAGGCGACCGGCACTTTCAAGAAGGAGCACTACAAGGAAATCGAGGTGGCCTCGGTCGATGCCTTCCAGGGCCGTGAGAAGGACTACATCATTCTATCCTGTGTGCGTTCGAATGACCACCAAGGTATTGGTTTCTTGAGTGACCCGCGTCGTCTCAACGTGGCTCTTACTCGAGCGAGATTCGGTCTGGTTATTCTCGGTAACCCGAAAGTGTTGTCCAAGCACCCCTTGTGGAACTTCCTCTTGCAGCACTTTAAGGAGCGGCACTGCCTTGTGGAGGGGCCCCTGTCCAATCTCCAGGAGTCCCTGATCCAGTTCAGCCGACCGAAGCAAGCCTACCGAGGACCCCAGCGCTTCCAGACGTCCTTCAGCCAGGCCTCCAACCTCAATAGCGGCACCATGAATGGTCGCAATGGCCAGCGCAATGAGTACCATGACTCTGGTTCTGTGGTCGGCTATATCCCCGATGATGTTTCTTCCGTCCATTCTTCCTCCGCCCTGGGCGGCGTCGGCCTTCCCTCTGGATATCCCCCGATGTTCCAGAATTTCTCCGAGCCATGGCCCTCGATCTCTGGAGGTCGCCGTGCCAACGGTAACCGGGCTAAGGGCGCTCCGAGTGTGGCTGGCGAGTCCGTGGCTGCCACCGAGTCCGATATCACCGGCAGCATCGTTGATGGAAGAAGTGTTGATCAGGGTGGTGTCAGCCTCGGTGGCTTGAGCATCAACGACATGAGCAAGCAGACCAGTCTCAGCCAATCCGATCGTCTGAAGCGTTATGTGGAATCCGGTGGTCGCGAGCCCTACCGGCCAGGTGTTCCTGACAGCAACAGCATCTTTGGAGGCAGCTCCGCCAGCATTCGCGTGACTCGGGGCGCTTCCGGCCACAATCCTCACGACGATGACGACGCCCGCAGCGTTTCCACAGCCTTTGCCAGTCAAGTTGGGGGTAATTACGACTGAGTGAATCTACCCACGTCCCACGGATTTCCAGGACGGCCTCCAACAGGCCGACTTGTCTATCATTCGGAGAAGCAAAGGTTCGCTTGTTCGCTTGAGATGCCAGGGCTCTTTCGACGCCCGAGTGTCCCGTCGGTGTCTTCCTCCCTCACCGCAAGTGAGGTTTACGCATCGATGCCGGGCTTTTCGGAGAGCCTTGTGGTTTCCTCGAGTCCTTGAGCAGGACTTTGCTACCTCCGTCCGGAGTGACAGTATCTTTTGGTCCAACACCTCATCATTGTCACCATTACATTCTCACGGGGCCCGGTCGTCAGGCCGGATGAGGATGGTGATTGTCATCCAGTGTTCTGCTCATTGTCTGAATCACCATTACCGATTTCCAGTCCCTGTGAGTCCGGTAGCATCTATCTCTCCTGGGCCGCAGTCCAGAATGTATCCTGTCCCCTTGCCCTCGATTATCCGATAGCCTCCCCATCTATCCACTTAGATGCCTAGCTATATCGGTTATCGCGAGCAAATCAATCGAGAGTCTTTTTTGATGTTGTTTTCTCTCCAGTAAAACCATTCTCCCCGTATTACCTACCCCACCTCAACAACTCCCATATTCTCCCTAACTACTTCTTATAATCACCATGACTCCACCCCCAGACTGGACCACGTACACCGGCTCCTCGCTGATCTCCATCGGCACCCACAGGCTACACATCCACCTCAGCGGCCAGCGACACAACCCCAAAGACCCACTCGTGATCATCCTCACCGGCGCCGGAGACGTGGCATCCTCCCACGTCGCCGTGGAGCCCCCTCGTAGCAACCCACAGCCGCATCCTGCTCTACGACCGGTCCGGCCTAGGCCACAGCGAAAGCGCACCCTACCGCGTAACAGCGGTGAGCGCCGCGCAAGACCTCCACAGCCTACTCCAGCGCATCGGGCTCGCCCCGCCACTGGTCCTGGTGGCGCATTCGTACGGCGGCATCGTGGCCCGCGAGTACCTGCACGCCTATCCCGAGGATGTGGCGGGGATGGTACTGAGCGAGGCCGCGACGGAGCGAACGTGTGATTACTTCCGGGTCCCGGATCCGGATATCACGGCTGTCGTGGGGGAGCTGCGCTGGGCGACGGTGACCGGGTTGCGGGACCAGTCGGTCCTCTCGAGAGAGCAGTGGCGGCAGCGGGCGATTGATATCTCGCGCGGCGCCGGGGGTGCCGCGCTGCAGGAGACGAGTTCGTTGGTGGAGGTTTGTCAGACGCTGGCGGAGAAGAACCAGTTTCAGCGGAGGGCCATGGGGTCCCGGCCGCTGGGTGTGATTCGGTGTAATAGCGCCAGCGAGTACGAACGGGTCTATGCTACGGGTGTGGCAATGGGTAATGGGACTCCCGAGCAGCAGGGCGCGTTTCGGGATCTACTGGATCGGTGGGAGGGCATTGATCAGGAGCTGACGGAGGAACAGCTGCGGCTGTCATCGCGTACGCATCTGGTGCGTATCCCCGACTGTGGACACAATGTCCACCTCGTGCGTCCGGATGTGGTAGCGGCGGAGATCCGGTGGGTGCTGGATCGGTTAGGGACCTGATTTGGGTTTCAAAGGATATAGTTCCAGGATATATTTCTATGAATAGCGTGCACCGCCCTGGAAGGGGCCTCGGGATGACGACTGAATGGCTGTCGATCAATGTAAATGTGGAGTGAAGAAGTCTTTTCACCTGCAGAAACGGGATCGTCCAGCTCCGATTCATGGCAGCCTGAACATTCAATGTATCGAGGGCTGCCCGATTGGGTCGTCAACGATTAATCAGCGGCAAGTCAGGTGACTGTAACTGTGGCGGTGTGGCAAAGGCATGAGTTTGCCATCAGTCATGGGTCTCTGATTACTACTCTACTGACCTGTAAGTAACCAGTAACTACCGGTTACTATGGCCTGTCCGACTAGGATTATTAATGGCTGCCTATCGGACTTTGGCAGAAACATCACCGACAGGTTTGGTCAGCTCACTATGAGTCACTGCGCCTCTGGACTCCCTTATAACGCGTACCTAATCATCATGGGCACTCGGTAGGGCCGAGAGATCCATAGTATAAATCAAGTCTAGTCCAACAAGTCTAGTCCCTGGTAAAAATTTTGCAACGGAGTGCCCGGCAGAACAACGCAGAACACTGCGCCACTTAGTCACGTGCTCGAACGCAAACGATTATAAAAACTCAGGCAGCCCTTAGGCATCTTTTTTTCATTCCTCAGATTTCGGGCACCATCGTCGGTCGATCTACTCACCATCCACCCACGTCGTCCACCACCACCAAACCCGAGTTTGTTAGGTATTAACTTGACCAACGCTCTCTGCCCGCCCTTTCTTTTTATCCTCCACCGTCTGCGTCTGTGTTGTTGGTGAATCCCGACGCGTCGTCGCGGTATCTCATTCATTCCATCACAGTTAGTTGGTGGGGTCGACCATCGCGATATGGGAGACGGCTCTGACTATCCTAGTCCACGAAGTGAGGGTCCCAACGGAGCCACTGCTGCCTCTGTCCTAGCCGCCTTGCCAGACTCCCTTTCCCCCATCGCCAGAATGAACGACCAAGCTCCCCTGAGCTATATGGAAGGGACGCGCCCGCGCCTCTCCGTCCGGCGAGCCAGAGATCCCCCCAAGAACCCCGAGGGCCAGATCTACTGCGACCACCCAGACTGCCAAACCTCGCCTCCGACCTTCCGCCGCCCATGTGAATGGAAGTGAGTTGTGATCCCTCTCCCGTCGCGTCGAAGATGTCCACAGACTAACCATCCATAACAGTAAACACATGGACAAACACGACCGCCCCTACAAATGCTTTGAGCCCGGCTGCGACAAGATCCAGGGCTTCACCTACTCCGGCGGCCTCCTGCGCCACCAGCGCGAGGTGCACAAGAAGAACACGGATGCCAAGAAGCCGCTGATGTGCCCGTACGCCGACTGCAACCGCAGCGCTGGCAATGGATTTACGCGTCAAGAGAACCTGCGCGAGCACCTCCGTCGCCGCCACATGCACCCAGACGATGGGTCCATCGTCGTCGACATGCCGTGGGAGCGCGGCAACGATCTCGAGGGCGTGCGCGCCGCGTCTCTGCCAAACGCCGCCGGCATCAAGCGGAAGCACTCCCCCGACGGACACCCGGGGCTGCCTGAGACGGATGAGAACGGCGTCGATTTGCACAACGAGCTGAAGCGGTTGCGCCGCGAAGTCCAGGAGAAGGATCGTCGCCTGGAGGAGCTGGAGCGCATCGTCTCCGGTCTCCAGCAGGCCATGCCTCAGCCCGAGCCCGTGTCGCAGCCGGTGTCGCAACCTCTGGCCACCTCCGTCGCGCAGGCCGCTGCCTCTCACGTTTAGGTTCTACTGCTATGTGACAATTTGCATCCCGCGGGCGTTTTGTTTTTCCAAGCGAAATTCAGACTTGGCACGATTGCTCTCCAATCTCCAATCTGACACAGCATTGACCAAGGACGGGGACCCGGGCTGACGTAAAGGCGTTTCTTGATCTCTTTTTTTCCAATGTGAACAATATTAATGGATTCGGGCGGTGTTCTGTTTGTTCTCTCTCTCTCTCTCCGACAGGGGTCGTCATACTTGTTCTCGCGCCTCATATACCCCGGTGTTCTTCTTGCGCGTGGCACCCCTTCTCTTCTCTCTGCTGTTGAAACGATTATGTATGTGTCGCTCTCACGGGTTTTTGTTATCAATGGAACTCTCAATTTGTTCGTTAGCTTTTGCTTTCTGTATTGTATGTACTCCAATCAAGCTAGTTACTCGTCTACTCCTGCATTATTCTGTCGTAGGATCGAGTTAGTAGGTAATCAAGGCCCCCAGGCCACCATCAGGCACCATCCAGCCCCATCTCGTGGCCCGGATACTCGCGGAGCTATCTTCGTCCCCGCTGACGGACTCCCGTGTTGCCATGACTCGGGCGCGAGGCTGCCCGAGGTGGACGACTCGTCTTGAGCCTCATTGTCCCAGACGGGACTCCGAGGTATACGAGTCGTGAGTCACTTGGTCCGCTCAGGGTTCCAGGCGCGAAGAGCACGCGATGTCACATGATGCGTATGGCGTGCATTAGCTGCAGTCGGTCCATGGAGTCAAAATCATCGACAAGAATGATCATCGGGGGTCGTCCTCTTGTTGTCACCAACTGGTAGTTAGCTCTCTCCCCGCGTCTTACCTAATCCGGAGCTGCCTCAACATGGGCGCGTCAACTCCACTTGCTTTTCCTCGCCCGGACACTCTGCTGGGTCAATTCGCCTAGTGAGCCCTCCCAGGCAGTCTCCCTGCTCGAGCTGACGCTGTGGGCAATTGCCACGAGCTCCTTTTCTACTGGAGGAGGACATGTCCATCGCGCTCTTCCGCCGCAACCCTTCCGAATCCCCTCACTTTCTTGCTGGCCATGACATGACCAAATCCTCCCACCAGCAAAATGTCTTCATTGCCGTCCCAACAAGAGACGCCGACGTCGCAAGACTTGAGCTCCCTCTATGTGCGGACTCATGAGTACACAGCAGCCCCCAAGTATCCGTCCAACTCAGCAGTGCGCTACTTTGTTCCCCCGGACGACAACAACGACTCCTCCTCGGATACCGTGGTGGTCGACAACAAAGTCTTCAACCCGGCCTCCCACACCTTTGCCGATGACGAATTCATCTGCCCGGGCTTCTTCGAGCGCGCCCAGCTCGACGGCTTCACCCGCCGCTTCAACCACGCGCAATGGAGCTACGAGATGCGCCGCGAGGCCCAGCCCGTGCTTCCGTTCCTCTCGCTAGGCCCGTCGTCCTGTCTGCGCGAGCGCGATACTCTCCGTGCCCAGGGATTTACTCTGCTGCTGGCGATTCGCAATCGACACTCGGCGCAGGCGCGGCTGGTGTCCGGCGACAAGGCCGCCGCCGAGCTCGGTGTCATGGCCGACACGGTCGATGTCCTCGACAACCAAGAACTGATCTCTGCATTTCCGCGTGCGATCCGGCGGATCAATGATCACCTCGCCGGGGTCGACAACGCACCAGCCCCCACTTCACCAGAGCAGAAAAAGAAAGTGCTCGTCTTCTGCGAGTCGGGCAACGAACGCTCTGCCAGCGTCGTGATTGCTTATCTCATGGTCATGCTGAACATGGACGCCGCGCATGCCATACACATGATCCAGCAGCACCGCTTCTGCGTGTCGATTGAAGATACCCTAAAGCGCACGCTCGTTGCGTTCGAGTCCATCCTCGTCGCCAAGCGCGATGTCGAGCACACCCGCCGCACGTCGATTCCCTCTGCCGCCGCGCCTACATATCTCGCGCCCCCGCCCATGCCCATGCCGCTAGCTAAGAAACGGAGTTTCCAGGATAGGATTTATGATGATAATGATGATGACCAGGTAATGGCCGATAGCGAGATGGATCTGGATCGCGAGGAGGAGTTCCTTGCGGAGCGCAGGCCTACCGCGCCGTTTCAAGATCGCGTGGTTTAGATTAGAGATTCGATGAGTTCCCTCTCTTTCTTTCTTTGAATTTGTTCAAAGAACGAGGCGAGATAGGCAGAGCCATTTGCATATATTACCGAATAGCGACAGGCGCTTTGCTTTAGCTGCTACTGACTGAGTGACTGGGATTGCATGTTCAGCACGGCGGGTCGAAGGGGAACGGCGCAGTTGAGCTTTATCACTTTATCACCTTTTGTTTTTGCTGGCAATCAGCCCTTTGACGGAAATACCCAACCCATGCTGCTGTTTTTTTGGATCTTCTTTTTCTTATTGTAGTTGCTTCTGTAATGTTTGTGTAGACGCCGTCTATCCTCTATAGCAGCAAGTGACCGGCTGATCTAGCTTGCGTGGTCGATATTTCGATATTCAATCAATTTACCTCTCTCTCGGTTTCTGCCTTCAACAGCACCCATCTCCTTTCCCGTCTCTCCTGCCTGCCTCTCTACAAATCTACTTGAACCCGAGTCCTTGAGTCTGCCATCCACATCCACATCTTCCCCCTCGTCTTCCCATTTGATATCCCACCGTCAACCCACCACCCTCTCCCTACCTCATACACACACACCTGGACATACTCTCTCTTCAAAAGCATCCATAACTTCACAACTATGCATCCAAACACGTCCCAGACCCTCACCTAAACTCACCCTCCCTTCCACCAACCTCCACACACAACCATAACCCATCCATCTACCTCCTCAAACCCACCACAATGAGCAGCGGCTATAACCTCCGCGCGCATATCCACGCCCCGCAGCGCTTCTGTGAAGCAGACTTCGAGAGCTTCACCGAAACACCAACCGCCGCAGTCCTGCAGTCCATGCGCAGTGCCCGCTCGCAGTCCGAAGATGGAGATGGTGACAAGCTATTCTCCTCGCTGCCAGATGCAGACTCTCGCAGCACGCGAGGACATCACGTCTCGCAGCTTGTGCCACGGATCGCTCCGTTTAACCCAAATCTAGAGCCTGCGGCGTTTCCGAGTCTGAAGGATCCGCGGGTGGCACGAAATGGAAACCATGCGAATGGCCAGGAGAAGCAGCAGGGACAGGCGCAGACGCTACAGCAACAGCAACAGCAGAGCTCCTGCTCGAGCCAGAATGGGGAGAGATGCAATGGCGCTTCCACGGCTGATTGCAACGGTGTCGGCTTGCAGGATGTGCCGATGGATGAGGTGGATAATCGGGCTGCTAGTAACTCGGCATTGAATGCTGTTTATGCGGGGAATATGGCGGTTATGTCTGGTGCCAATGCCAAAAGCCCTGAGACTGTGGGCCAGAATGGTTACCCTCCAGAGCCACTCTTGGACTTTGAAGATAGTGATCTTGAAGAACAAGTTGATGCATCAGAGGTGCTCCTCGCCAAGGTAAGTATGCAATCTACCATGTCAATATGGGATATAGGCTGATCACAGGTTATTGTCAGACCCGCAACCCCAAATGGAGCGACCTGAACCCAGCCGTGCAGGTGGAAATCCTCGAGAACCTCCTCCAAATCGGCTGCTGGCGCACCACATCCCGCAAGCTCGGACTCGGAGCAGAGGACCGCAAGAAACTTACTACGTACCTGGACACACGCAACCAGCAGATCGCTCGCGAGAACAAGCAGTTGGGCGCCATGCGGACCAAGCAGCTGCGTGCATTGCTGCGCGTCGACCATAGCATCCTGGAAAGAACGGGTCCGCCGCCGCATCTGATTATCAACAAGACCTTTCGCCAGACGACGCGCTTCCTGCGCGAAAGTTACCATACAGACCTGTTGATGTGCCGCGCGGCGGATTTCCTGGCCGCCAGGCAGTTCCTGCACCAGCACGGTATCCCGCGCCGGTTCGCAGGGGATTGGGGCAATAGCCTGGTGGTGCTCCGGGAGTCGGGGGATGATAGTCTTGGGCCGGAGACGTTTGAGTGGAAGGAAGATTTGGCTCGGGGTCTGAAGGGCTTGGATGAGGCTGATGGCAATGCAAATGGTGTTCACAATGACCAAATCACCATAGAGCGGAGGGAATTCATCGACACGATCGGTTTGGAGAGCACTATCAACCCCAAAGACCTGATTCGACGCCCCGAGGATGCAGAGGCGTTGCTGGATTGGGGTCGGTACTTTCCACACTGGCGACCATATTCAAGATCCAACCCCAAGCGCCGCCGTGACGGCCTGGTTCGGCTGCAGGTTGGAGTGCAGGGCGCGGCGCAGATCCAGAACATGCAAGAGAGACATGCTAAGATCCGGCCACGGACGCAACGCTCGCAAATGTCGTCTCCGCCTGCACGTCTTGATGCGACACCGTCCAAGGTGTACGATAACAGTCATACATTCGAGGAGCTAAGCCGAGCCATCACCATGTCTCTGCCGCCGCCGACACAGATGCCCTTGACGCGGATTCTCGGCGGTAGATGGTCTCTCAAGGCGGCGAACCCAGCTCTTGGCCAAGCCCGATACAGACAGCAGATCGAGCAGGCCCGGCTCGAATCCCAGCAGCGGAAGGAGGAGAGTGAAAGAATTGCGGCACCGAACTTCGCCAACGTACCTCCAGTCGCCGGATCACAGGCTCCATCACGGGCTCCGTACAGGCCCGCTTCAGAGGATATTCCGTCGAGCGCGATGAGGGCTGCTCATATGGCCAATCGGGAACGCCCCACCCAACGAGATGTGAGAGAGGAGGCCATCTGGAGAGATCTGCAGGAGACCATGAGGGCTGATCTTGCGGGTTGCGAGGAAGCGGACTGGGCATTCATTCACGAGGGGTTCGTGATCCCCGACGAAGACCCGGCGATGATGGACGTGGAGGAGGTGAATGAGGAGATGGACATAAAGGAGATGGCTGCGCAGTACACCAGTGACAGCGAGGCTTCTCTCTCGGATCCTTCGTCGTCGATCTAGTTACCTAGTTTAGATCTAGGAGTCATTTGTATGTAATTGTAGCACTGAACCTGATTCCATTTAACGTTGGCCCGTGCGCCGACGCGCATACCCGCGCCTCGCGTCTTTCTTTTCCTTCTCGTCCATCATGATCTAGTTTCGGATGAAACCAAAGAACATCAACAAACAGGGCTAACGAAATTCCTCCCTGGATGACGTACTTGCTTCTTGTCATAAGCTAGCCCTTCCTCTCGATCTCGATCTCTTGATCCCGATCTATCGATATCCTCTCCCCCTAACTCACCCGCCATGTCGGCCTCAGATTCGCCCATCACCCCCACCGACTCCCGGGCTGGCACTCACCAGCCCGAATCCACCGTCCCATCCTCCCCAATTACGGAAGACCAGGATATGAAGCTGCCCTCCGAGAAGGAAGCTGGCCAAGAACATGAATCGGTGGACAGCAACGACACAGAAGGGATGGACAGTAAGGCCAAGGCGCTCATGCATCTGTTGAAGACGAGCTCTGTATGTCTACTCCTCACCATTGTTAGTGGTCACAGTCTAACCTTTGTTTGTTTGCGCGTAGGTGTTTGTGGCTATCATGTCCGAGAAAATGAAGAAGCAGCAAGAGGAAGCCCACCTGGCAGCGATCAAGCAGCAGCAAGCAGCCTCTGAGCAGAAACAAAAGAAGCCTGTCGTCGTTGAGAGACGGGCGACGCGCAACGCCAAAACAACTGAGCAACCTCCAGCCGACAAATCCACACAACCCTCGGGATCGAAGCGCGGTCGTCCAAAGAAAGCAACGCCGACGGACAGCAAGATTTCCTCATTCTTTAAGAAAGCAGACGTGGAGGTGAAAGAAGATAACCCCACAGTGCAAGAGGCCCTTGAGCACGCTGCGGACGAATATGAGGCAAACCCCACGGCCCTCGGTGGGCAGGATCTGGTTGCTACCCAGCAGCCGGAGCTGATCACGGGTGGGAAGATGCGCAAATATCAGCTGGAAGGACTGGAGTGGCTGAAATCACTCTATTCGAACGGTCTCTGTGGGATTCTGGCCGACGAGATGGGCCTTGGAAAGACCATCCAGGCCATCTCGATTATTGCCTTTTTGAAAGAAAATCAAGCGTCTGGACCTTTCCTCATCGTGGCTCCACTGAGCACGCTGAGCAACTGGATAGATGAATTTGCCCGGTGGACGCCTTCTATCTCGACCGTTCTCTACCATGGGGACAAGGAAGAGCGAGCGGCTATCAGGTCAAAGCGTATGAAGATGCGGGATCAGGCCAAGATGGACTTCCCTGTTGTGTGTACTTCGTACGACATTTGCATGAATGATCGCAAGTTCCTGGCGCAGTATCAATGGCGGTACATCATTGTGGTGAGTTTCATTCTTCCTGGCAAGTATGATTGACAACTGACCCAAACATCAAGGACGAGGGACATCGCCTGAAGAACATGAACTGCCGTCTTATCAAAGAACTGCTCACTTATAACTCAGCAAACCGCTTGCTTATCACAGGCACGCCTTTACAAAACAACATCTCCGAGTTGTGGTCTTTACTACACTTTCTCCTTCCGGAGGTGTTCAATGATCTCAACAGCTTTGAGAGCTGGTTTGATTTTTCGTCTGTGTTGGACAACAGAGGACAGGCTGATCTGATAGAGCGTCGGAAACGCAACCTGGTTACCACGATGCATGCAATCCTCAAGCCGTTCCTTCTGCGGCGTCTCAAGACTGACGTGGAGACTTCTCTGCCCAAGAAGCGAGAGTACATTCTGTACGCCCCGTTGACGGCAGAGCAGAAGGACCTTTATCGTGAGATTCTCAATGGAACCGGCCGACAGTATCTCGAGGGACAGGCATTTGAAAGATTGGCAGCTAAAAGTGAGAGTTTGTCGCGCAAGCGCAGCCGTGAGAGCAGTGATGCCAGCTCTCTTCCTAACAAGAGCGTGAAATCGAGCCGTTCCGCCACACCAGCGAGTACGAGTACGACTAGCTCTCGTCGGCGCCGAAGTGTTCGGCCTTCTTACAAGGAGATGAGTGATCGCGCTTTTGACACCAAGTTGCGCCAATTGGAGAAAGGGATTGAGGATGAGCCCGAGGTTGTCGAGCAAAGCGAGAATGAACTCGAGGAATTGGAAAGGGCCAAGACAATCAAGCTTGCCAGTACGTATCTGCCACGAAGCGTAAGTAACTGCAGCAACTAATTCATCCCTACAGAAAAGGAGATTGGACAGAAGAAAATGCAGAACCCAGTCATGCAAGCACGTCTAGCATGCAACTCCCCTCACAATTTCTACTGGCCCTGGACAGACGAATCATCCCCCGTTGATGAGACTCTCGTGTCAGCATCCGGGAAAATGCTCCTGCTGGACCGCCTGATTCCCTTCCTCCTGAAGAAAGGCCACAAGATTCTGATCTTCTCCCAGTTCAAGACGCAGCTGGACATCTTGGAAGACTGGGCCCGGGACCTTCGGTCCTACAAGTGCTGTCGCATTGACGGAGCAATCGCGCAGGCGGATCGTCAAGCCCAGATCAAGGCCTTCAACACAGACCCGAAGCACAAGATCTTCCTCCTGAGCACGCGCGCCGGCGGTCAGGGCATTAACCTCGTCGCGGCCGATACGGTCATCCTCTTCGACTCCGACTGGAACCCGCAGCAGGACCTGCAAGCCCAAGACCGTGCTCACCGGATTGGTCAAAAGAAGCCTGTGATCGTGTACCGGCTGGCGACGAAAGGGACTGTCGAGCAGACGCTGCTCGAAAAGGCCGACTCCAAGCGCCGTCTCGAGCGCCTGGTAATCCAGAAGGGAAAGTTCCGCTCCCTGCTGGAGACCGGTGTTACCGCCCAGGACGTGGATGAGCTGCGCAAGGTCCTCGGCGAAGATGAGTTCGAGCGCTTCGAGGCGGGCGCGGATCCCGAGTCTATTCTGTCCGATAAAGAGCTTGAGATTCTTACTGACCGCAGTGAGGAGGCGTATATCCGCGCTGAGAAGGGGTTGGATCGGACTGGCCATGCTTTTGTGGCTGTTGAGACGAAGAGGGATGGCGGGGAGACTCTCATGGCGTGAAGCCGACTAAGTCTTGACATCTCTTTCGGTTCGTGGTGTTGTAGCTTGGTGTTGTTCTGAAATTTTCCTGGCTGGCAGTCTTCGACTGTACTCTACTTGCTCGTTTCGGGCGTTTCATTGGCATGGAGGTCAGCGTTGATCTTGGGATGGATTGTCGGCGACGTGGTTTTTGCTCTATTGCATGGCGATGCACAAGAGTAGATCGGATAGATGTCTAATGTACTACTAGATGATCTTCAGATAGGTCACAATGATATCAACGGTGGATTTTATTCAAAAGGTTATGCTGCTATGGCCATGCAAAACAAACCAATCCACGAGAAGCACATGAGAAAACGCCGATAGCTCCACGCCAGGAGTGGCTGTACATAACAGAGCAAACGAATAGGGGGGAAATGTTCATATATGCGGTCGAATGAACGCAACGGATTACACAAGAATCATCGGCGTCTCGCATCTTCGATCTGCCGGCGCAGATCAGCCAGGACCTCACCGCGCTGCGCCAGATGGCTCTTCAAGCCATCGACCTGCTCGCCGACAGTCTTAACATCCTCCCGCAGACGCTCGAGATCCTGACCATCCTTAGTCCTCCCCACGCCCTCGCGCAACTCTCGCAGTTCCCGCTCCTTATACTCGAGCAACTGCAGCGCCTCTTTCTTGATAAGTACCCAATTCGGCCGGCCATCGTTCCGCGGCCGATCGCGGCGCGTATCAGATGCCTGGTTCGCCGAGTTCAGCTTGGTCTCCAGCTCGGCCAGCTCCCGCCGCAGCCGGACCTTCTCCCACTCCTCGTCCTGGATGGTGTCGCTGAAATCCGTGCCTTTGGGTTGGTAGCTGCCCTTGCCACCCACGCCCAGCCGACTGAGATATGTGTCGCCGAATTTGGCCTTGCGCCCTGTGCTTGTCTCGGTGCCGCCGTCTGTGCCGTAACGCTGGGCCGGCAGCGCGTTGTCGAGTTGGTAGTCGATTTGGTTGTTCTCAAAGGAGGCGCGCAGCGACGCGGGGATACTTCGCGGGATGCGGAAGCCTTCATGTCGGTAATTGAGGATGTGGAGGAAGGCAAGCGTGGCGTCTTTGTTGATGGCGCCGCTGGCGGAGGGGTTGACGAGGTTCCAGGCGGAGCGGACGTCAGTGTCGGGGACGTCGAGGGATTCGTAGAGTGGCTGCAGCGATTCAACTGGGTTATGCGTCAGCCAATGCTTCTTTCAAATAAAGCAAGCAAACAACTCACAGGTCGTCTCGCCACGGTGGTTGCGGTTCGCGCTATAGATCTCCTCGTACTTGGCCCTGTCGCCGGGGTTCATGTACCAGTCAAAGCCATCCTTCAGACCCAGCGAGTCGTCCTCGTCCTCAATGCGCTCGAACTGCTCAGGACGACTACTCAGGGCACGCGTCGCATGCACCAGATGCGACTTGGACTCCGGGACCAGCCAGTCCGGCAGCACGGCGGGCACTTCTTGTAATTCCTATTTCCCAAAGCGTCAGCAAGACAGTTTTCAGTAACACGCACACAGTGCATACCCCATTGACCAGATCAAAGACCAGGCGCATGGCCACGCAGAACTCCTCGAAGTCCAGCTCTCCGTCACCGTCAACGTCGGCAATGTCCCACACCTTCTCGAGCTGGTCATCGCGCAGCCGGCTGTTTCTCAGCACGGACGCGGCCTGCGAGCTGTTCAGGCGTGACTGCCCGCCGGCGAGCGAGGAGAAAATCTCCCAGTACCGCTCAATCTCCCATTGCTCGATCTTCTTGGACGACATGGTTGCGGGGTGGATGGGGAGTGTAAGAGGGTGAGAGCAACTGGGGCAATGACGGGGGCGGTCGGACTATGGTACTTCCGCGGGACCTGGCCACAGCGAAGGGAATGAATGGGCAGCAACGACAGTGTGAACTGAAAAGAATTCATTGATGGATGCTGTTTTTGTTTTGTTTCTCCCGGAAAGTTACGTTTGCGATTATTAAAGAACCATTTTCATGCTCAATGGAGTGAGTTTATTTGATTCTATGGCAAAATAATATTGAAGGCATTGGATCTGTCATTATTACTAGCAGTGACATACCCCGGGCTTCTGTATCTCAGGAAGCAGTCAAATCTCAGCTTCGAGCCGAAATTCAGAGACTGAACAGGCGCTCAGCTCTTCAGAAGAGTTCATCCCATTGGTTGGCAATCAACAGTTAACCGACTGCTCCTCGGGTCGACGCTGATACTGGGTAAGCTGGTGCAATACAGGTTTTAGTTGTTGTCTTCGTCTGGATTCAATTGGAACAGAAGTAGCAAAATGAGAGGATAATGAACGATTACTGTCTATCTATGATACATGTGTGAGTGGCATAGATCGATGTCTTCAGCGACTCTTCTTGTCATCTTCAGCTTTCGCCTTCTGCTCTTGCTGTGCTTTGAGCTGCCCGCTGATCTGGACAATGGCCCGCTCCGCTTCCAATGCCAGCTCGGGTGCCTCCAAAATTGACGCCAGCTTCTTCGCATCCGACATCTTCAGTAACACCCGGTCATCGCTCTGCTCCATGTCCTCGACCATCTCAGATGGAGGGGTGTCGATCTGGGTATCGTCGAGCGCAAACGATGCGCGCTTGGCGTATAGCCGTTCCAACTCGGGGAGGGATATAGGGTTGAGAAGGTCGTTTTGGACCAGATATTCCAAGTGTTTCGAGCCGTTCAATGCTGCATATGACAAATCAGCATTATACGGATAAATAAAGAAGGCAGCACCAACCTCGCCAATGGGACCAGCCGCGGTAGACTAGATAAAAGAAGGGAATGTTCGGGACTCTGCATCATCCCCATCAGCACGGCGACCACAAGCTTCCAAACATCACATACACGGGAATCAATGCCAGCGGTGCAGTAATCGGCGCCGCCGCAAAGCTCCACCACATCTTCCTGCGATGCAACTCCTGCCTGTCCGTGGCAATCGCTCGCAGCAGATTGGGAATGCGGCTCAATCGCACCGAGTTGCCCGGGAAGAGCACATCAATCTTGTGTGTGCCATACTGGTCATCCAGACGGCGCTGCGCATTGAGCGAAGGGATGCTCTTCAGTCCCCATTCTTCATATGGGATACGCTGTTGCATTCGGTTCCCCCAGTGGACGAGATGCTTCTTCCATCCTTTCTCGGCTTCCTCCCATTCGGCCCAGGTTTTAGCGGCTTTGCTGGTGACCCGGTCCAGCAGGGACAGCTCCTTGGGCGAATCCCGCCGCAGTGGCCGAGCGTAGATCAGCGCCCGTCTCGTCGAGATCGGGATCAGGAAAAGGCGCATGATAACGAGTATCGGCAGGGAGCAGGGACTAACTGTAGGGAATGAGTCCCATGTCTTTTGGTTGGTAACGAGTTTGGGAAGGAAGTGGCAGAAACAACCTGAGGGTTCGTCCGCCCGCGCCACACGTCATTTTGCGCCTACGTTTCGGCCTAGAGCTGCCGCCTGGCTTGTTTTGTCACCCGTTCGCTTGTTCTTCTTTCGCTCGTGTTTATTTGGTTTCGCTTTGCATATTTGGCCCGCTTATTGGCACTCGCACTCGGTAGGCGGCAGGCTATGCTGCGGCCTGGGGTCAATTAAGCTGCATCCCTCCAGTCTAGCTGTTTTCGCGTCGTTTGCTTCCTCCATCGCCAGCCATGACTGAAATGCAAGGCGTCCAGGGCGAGGATGGCACGGGGCGCGTCTTTGAAGAGAAATTGTCGGAGAAAATGCCCATTCCTTCAGGATCAGGGTCCCCAGCGGCGCCTCTCAACCAGTTGCGCATCGATACCCAGGCGGGTGATCCGGTTCGCAACAGCGCTTCGGAGTACTCGGCGCTACGCAGCCCAGAGGGAATGATGATCCCGGAGGTCGTGGGGCCTCAACAGGTTACACGCACACTGCCCGGTAGGTGATGAGTCCAGTCCGGGGTGAAGACGTTATGACTGACAATGGGTCTACACAGCATGGGTTCGATCAATCGAGATCGAGGTGGACGACGACGACGAAGCAACCGTCACCGATCGCCTGCTTCCTCCCCAACCGAACGACGCGCTTGTCGCTCAACACAATCATTCACCCTCTACGGCCCGGCGCGAATGTTCCGAGTCGCGCGATCAGAGGCTCCTCGGAGAAGATAGGTCGGCCTCGCAAGACCGCGAATCGCGCTGGATAACATTCTCACGCGCGATTCAATACCCCCGGGAGACAGGCAGAGAGGGGAATCAAGTGACACCGGAATGGATGGATAAGAACCATGGCGATTACTCGCAGCCATGGCGCGGCCAGCTCTTGGATGGCGACAGCCCGGAATATCCATTGCACACCGCGAGCCGTCGTCGGGATGCCTGGTTCAAGCGCTTCCACAGTTCCCTGCTCAAGAGCCCCGTTGTGCCTCTGATTCTGCGTCTGACGGTCTGGTGCTTCTCGCTTTCGGCACTGGCGCTGGGCGGGTCCATCCAGAAAATCGCCGACGGATTGCACCGTCCTCAGGGACCGTCGGCCTTGATGGCCATTATTGTTGATGCGGTGGCCTTGGTCTATCTTGTCTACATCACGTTCGACGAGTACACGTCCAAACCCCTGGGTCTACGGTCCCCCACCGCCAAAGCACGTCTGATTTTGCTGGATCTCATCTTCATTGTTTTTGATTCGGCCAATCTGAGTTTGGCATTTGCTTCCCTCTCGGAGGTGACTGGCTCTTGCAAGGTCGCCGAGGTGAACCATAAGTGGGTGCCGAAGAATGATGCCATCTGTAGTCGACAAAAAGCTCTTGCATCTGTCCTGTTGGTAGCGCTGCTAGCTTGGCTTATGACATTTGCCCTCAGTGTTCTCCGGTAAGTCTTGGGCTTCTGGCGTTTTGGGACTACTCCCTTACTGACATCTCCATAGGCTCGTTGAAAGAGTGGCCAAGTGATCGAGTGACATTGCTTTTCTGCTAATTTTGCGAACCTTGCTTCTGCCGACAATACCAACCTTCGGCATAGATAGTTGCACAGCTAGACATGCAGAGCTGGTCCATCGTCTCCGTACAGCGGGTCTCTCTTGAACCAGTCCACATTTTGGATGTCCTTGACCTTGGCCTCCTCCCCGGCTTGCCCATAGCACATATCCCAGTGCTTCCCGCGAGGATACGCACCGACCATTGTGAATGGTTCCGCATTCCGGTCCAGGTCCTCTAAGAGCCGATGGCCGACACCGGCGGGAACAATGATGAGGTCGCCTCGCTGCACCGTCGGCTCAAACCTGTCGGGATTCTCCTCGCCCCCGAAGCACAGCCGGGCGCGGCCCGAGACCACGCCCAGGACCTCGTGTGAGGTGGAGTGGAAATGGGTCTGGCTGTACATGGTGTAGACCCATTGCGGTACTACTTCGCCGACCTCTTCCAGACACGCTGAGAGCTCGGACGACGTTGCATCAAAGGCTCCATGGTAGATCATGAATGGGTGGGACTGGATAGAGGTGTTGGGGATGCGGTGCCATTTGGGGATTTGACGGGTGGTCACTTTAATGTTCGACTGTGGGCTGACAGTCATGGTGCTTGGTCCAGGTAGAGAGTGTTTGGTGGTGGTTGTATAACAGACCGATTCATACCCTAATCCGAGCTTGGGCATGACGTCATGGCGGATAAACATCCACGCAGACATTTACACCCACACAAAGACCGTAATATAGGATCAGGTAGACGAATGGCACATGACTACCAGATCTGCTACGAAATAACGCGAGCTCCGGTCACCTAGATGTCTGACATGACCCACGATAGAAGACGATCGGATGCAACAAGGCCGCCTAGTGACTGATAGGGCAGTGCGCCAACCACGATACTCAACTGTCCAGCCTCATCCTCGCCAGTACCAAGTGGAAATCCCCTGTCTCCCATGACTTAGTTTGCGAGATGTCTTCAGGCATTATCCATACCTAGTAAACCAAACCTACTGGGACCATGCTCTTAGTCAGCACCGACCGCCTGCCCAAAAGTCCCTCCCCACGCGCCCTTCTGTCTCTCTCAGCCTCACCCGCCACATCCTTTTGCCTTCTCTTCCTTCTCTTTTGCTTTGCAGGACCCTCGGGGAGCTTTCATCTGGCTCAGGTCCTTCGTTTCTCGCAGATTCCACCCCTATCTTACCAGCGCGCATGGTCCTTTCAGAACCGGTCTGCAAGGCGTCTATTCTGGCCGCCGCAACCGTCTGAGGTCTCTCCCCCTTGAACTGTGTCCGCGAGGTATCTGCTCCTGATATGGACTCATAGAGATGTTGGTGCATGTTCATTAACTTATACATCGGCTGCTGCAGACTCAACTTTCCCTCTTCCCTTGCCCCCGACCTCTCACCCTACGATAGCATCATGCCGCCAGTGATGCCCCAGACCCCTCATAAGGATGACCTTGAGGAAACGTGAGTGCTTTCTCAGCTGTTTTGGCGATGGCGATGGCATATGGCAAGAGACAAGGACTAAATGAGTGCAGATGGTCATTCTTGGAAGCGGGCATCAACAGCGTCATGCTGAAGCTGGAAGAAGGAGTGGATATGAAGACTGTACGTGGATCCGCAGAGCTATCTCTGTCTACCTACTGGACCGGGGGGCTTCTTTTATGGTGACTCGACTAACATGCGTTTCTCTCACCCAGTACATGGCCTTATACACGTACGAGTTCTCTTCGACCATCCGTCTTACTTGGGGATGTGGCTGACTCAAAACAGGGCGGTGCACAATTTTTGCACTTCACAGAAAGCGGTCACCACTGGCCATACCTTACAAACACATCGGGGAGGTTCGTTCTGACCTTTCCTATTCCTTGAACCGGTACTGACTCGTTGGATAGCACATCTTCTTGGAGAGGAGCTCTATAAATTACTAGGGGAGTATCTTTCGCGCCATCTCGAATCGGTGTACAAGGAATCACAGAGTCATTCCGAGGAAGCTCTTCTAGGCTTCTATATCCGCGAATGGAATCGTTACACAACCGCTGCCAAATACGTCAACCACCTGTTCCGCTATCTTAACCGCCACTGGGTCAAGCGCGAGATCGATGAGGGCAAGAAGAATGTCTACGACGTGTATACACTGCACCTGGTCAAGTGGAAGGATGACTTCTTCGAGCATGTCCATGAGAAGGTCATGGACGCGGTCTTGAACCTGATTGAGAAACAGCGGAATGGCGAGACGATCGAACAATCTCAAATCAAGAGCATCGTGGATTCCTTTGTCTCGCTTGGCCTAGATGAGAATGACAGCACCAAGCCTACGCTCGAGGTCTACCGGAAATACTTCCAGCAGCCGTTCCTCAACGCCACCCGGGTGTACTACGAGAACGAATCCCGGCAGTTTGTTGCGGAGAACAGTGTGGTGGAATACATGAAGAAGGCAGAGGCGCGGCTTGACGAGGAGAAGGCTCGCGTGGGGCTTTACTTGCATCCCGATGTCACCAAGCACCTTACCGAGACCTGTTTGGACGTTCTCGTCACCGCCCACTCAACCTTGCTTCGAGATGAATTCCAGGTTCTATTGGATAACGAGCGCCAGGAGGATCTCGCTCGGATGTACCGACTTCTTTCTCGCATCAAGGAGGGCTTGGATCCTCTGCGCGCCACTTTCGAAAACCACGTCAGGAGAGCCGGCTTGGCTGCGGTCGAAAAGGTTGCCGCAGAGGGCGAGTCGTTCGAACCTAAACTGTACGTCGATGCTCTGCTGCAGGTTCACACGCGGTATCAAAACTTGGTTGATGAGGCATTCAACGGCGAGTCTGAGTTTGTCCGTTCTCTGGACAACGCATGTCGAGAATTCGTCAACCGCAACCGCATTTGCAAATCGAGCTCCACCAAGTCCCCCGAGCTGCTGGCACGCTACACAGACTCGTTGCTTAAGAAGGGATCCAAGGCTGCCGAGGAGTCGGAGCTCGAGGAGATGTTGGTGCAGATCATGACCGTCTTCAAGTACATCGAGGACAAGGATGTTTTCCAAAAATTCTACTCCAAGATGCTGGCCAAGCGCCTGGTGCACGTCAGCTCGGTGACTGATGATGCAGAGACCAGCATGATCAGCAAGTTGAAGGAGGCGTGTGGTTTCGAGTACACCAACAAGCTGCAGCGCATGTTCCAAGACATTCAGATCTCGAAGGATCTCAACGCCAACTACCGGGACTGGCAAGACAAGGTTCTGGATGATGACGATCGGAAGAAAATGGTCGACGCGCACTTCCAGATTTTGGGAACCGGATTCTGGCCCCTTAACCCGCCCACCACTGTCTTCCTGGCACCACAAGAGATTGTGAAGACAGCCGAGCGGTTCCAGAAGTTCTACTTTGACAAGCACAGTGGCCGCAAGCTGACCTGGCTATGGCAGCTGTGCAAAGGTGAAGTCAAGGCCAACTACATCAAAAACACCAAGGTGCCATATACCTTCCAGGTGTCGACCTACCAAATGGGCATCTTGCTGCTCTTCAACGAGACCGACACGCTGTCGTATCCCGAAATCCAAAAGGCCACCACTCTCGGGTCCGAAATCCTCGACCCCAACCTCAGCATTCTCCTGAAGGCCAAGGTGCTCCTGGCTTCCCCCGAGGGTGCCAAGCCCGACCCATCCACCACCTTCTCCCTGAACTACAACTTCAAAAACAAGAAAATTAAAGTCAACCTGAACATCCAGATCAAGTCCGAACAAAAAGTAGAGGCGGACGACACACATAAGACGATAGAGGAGGACCGAAAACTGCTCCTGCAGGTGAGTTTGTCTTTTCTGTCTATTAATTTCCATTATTAACCCCCTTTGCAGTCGGCCATTGTCCGTATCATGAAATCGCGCAAGAAGATGAAGCACGTCCAGCTGGTCCAGGAAGTCATCCAGCAGGTCAAGTCACGCTTCCCGCCCAAGATCCCAGACATCAAAAAGAACATCGAAGCTCTCATGGAAAAAGATTATATCGAGCGTTTGGATGGGGACGAGATCTCCTACATTGCTTAAGCCCAGCTCGCATCTCTTGCTCATCTCCCTCCCCAAACTTGCTAACTTGCATTTGTGTTCACCGTCTTTTTTTTTTTTTTTTTGCTGGTGGATCATCTATCTCAGAGCTTTCTCTTACCATATGTCTGCGGCATTGATGGCAAAATAGGCATGCGTCGGGTCTCCTACGAGGACCAAAGGACTCACCTCGTTGAGCGCGACATGAGTGTCTGGATTGTGTGCAATTTTCTTATTTATCTTCTCATCTTCATAGCGCTGAGACGACAGATCAACGATAACCCGTTTCCTTCCCTTTCTCGTGCAGAGTTCATGCTGTAGACAAGCCCTTTGCCGCTTTATTTATGGTCCACTGAATTCTTCAAATTGCATCCTTGGAAGTCTAGTTTGCAGCCCTCTTCTTTTCCTTCCACTCAGCCGCCAATATCCCCATAATAATGACATCCCAAAAGCGCCCAGCTTTGAATAACGCCTCTCTTTTCCTCCCCTCAACCACCCACCCCATCCCTACATACGCCTTCTGTGCCCGTTCATTCAACTCGTACGTCCCAAGTTCAATGCGATGCAACCCCTGCTCCGTGAACCCCCAATCAAGAATCCACGAAATAGCCTCAGGTCCGTACCCTTTCCCCTGGTGCTCGGGCATGATCATAATCCCCAGCTCCGCGTTCCGACTATGCATAAATTTGTTGTTTCTGAGATTCGTCAATCCAATGGGCTCGGGTTCCTTGTCTGCGGATTCGGGTTGTTTGCAGATCAAGACCATGAGCAAGGAGTCTTTTGCGAATTCTTTTCGCAGCTCTTTGATTGACGCTGCACTCATGGGAACGGTGGGCACTGGTGAGGCCATGAACATCACTTGCGGCTCCAGGCATAGCTTGCAGAAGAAGGCTTCGTCTTTTTCGTTCTCTTCTAGTGCGCGGAAGAAGAGGCGCTGGGAGTGGAAGGGTTTGTAGATTGCACTTTCGGGTATGGTGGCAGCCATTATTGCGGTATATTATTGTAGTGATATAAGGAATGGACGGTTATAGATTCGAGGCGTGAGGACATCTTTATAGTTGGCTGATTAGGCCCCCAAGTAATCAGCTCAGGCGTGCCCCTTTACTACTAAGATGAGTCATGATAGGTCATCAAGAGTAACGTTAACTTAGTTAACCAACTTCACTAATCACTAACTCACCCCCACTAATAACTACTAGAAGGCATACCCTATGAAAAACCTGAAATTCCCAAAAATCCCCAATTCTGGATCTGGAATTTGGATACCTCCAGGAGTGAAACCTAACTCCCCATCTAACAGTATACACAACGGTTTTAGCTAATTCACATGGTGGTAGGGCACCGTCTGGCTTTTCATCAGGCTGTTCGAGTCATATAGGTCCTCGTAGGTGATTCGCCCAGACGGCGTTGCAATCTCCTCGTCCTGCTCACTTTCTGGCCGGGGTGGGTCAGTCATATCACTGAGTTGATGAACCGGGGTAAGTGGCCGTGTCTCTCCTTTCAGTAGGCTTATCCAAGCCCGAATCATTGACGAACGAAAGAAGATGGCGACGGCCAATAGGCCACTCAGCTGAAAACCGAAAGTTAGCAAGATTTGGGGCTATCCGGTTGGAGAAGAGGAAAGACTCACCACAAGCATTAACACAACGGCCCATAGTTCCGGTTCAATAGGTCCCAAAGGTATGGCGAGCGGCAGGCACGGATACTTGTCCCCCTTTGATGATGCGAGGCACTCGAACCACGCGAGCCTGTCCGGCCGGGGATAATCTTTAAATTGGCGCAGCTGCATGAAGACAGCGGAGAGGAAACAGACGTAGATCGTGATCAGAACGGTAACCAAAGAGGCCCGCCATTGCAGCTGTATAATCTTCCTGATTTTGGTTGCTATTTGCTGGGCGCCAATGATACGCTCTTCACTGGCAGAAGGGGTGTAACCCGACCATTTTAGCTTCTGGTAATTATACCACGGTCGGAGAACGAGGCAGACACATTGTGCTATTGTGAGAATTTGGAGAAGGAGAGCGGCAGAGGAGAAGGCCAGGAACGGAGCCCAGAAGGTTGCTGTGGCATGGTTTGGGCTCAGATAGGTCGACCTGCCGAAGGTGTATTCAGCACCGGTGATGGCCAAGGTGACGGCGACAAGTGCACCAGATCCTATGTAAATGAGGCCGATCGAGACATACTTGTATGTCGGGCCGGGTTTGATCTGCCAGAAGACGGAAAGATGTAGTGCAATGGACCTGAAGAAGCCTGTGAATTGTCAGCATAGCCCGACATGTTGCTGGAGCGAATGGATATCTCACAGCTGAGAATCACAATCCATGCCCCGAAAAATAAGGTGACTGCCATGAAAGCACATCTTGCATCGTTTGCCATGTCATTTGGAGTGATTTCATTGTAACACTTCTTTGGTTGACCCTTGTTGGGGCTAATAAATGCGATCTAGTACCTGAATTAGTCTCGTCGGGTTCTCCTAGTAACAGAAACTGCGAGTACATACCGAAATGCACGTAAATCCAATCGTCGGACTGACAGCCAGATAATGGCGGTCCGTTACAGTTACAGGGAAGATGGCATAAGTGACCAGTAACCAGACCAGTAGAATGAGAACAAAGATGCTCGGCCATAGCTCAATTCGTGCCTCATCAGTAAGATCTAGATGGCGTTAGTTCGTGATAAGAGCTTCTCCCGGGCTGTGCTTACATTCAACGTCTCTCCATCTCCAATAGCTGGACGGACATGGGAGGCAGCAGGACACATTTCCCAAATTCTCACACCATCGACCTAACACAGCTATTGTGCTGTTAGCATATTGTCATAATAGAGGCGCATATTTACTCACCTCCTCCGGTGGCTGGAAAAAGCGATTCGGCAAGGAACGGGTCTGGGCAGGAAGAAGCCATTGGAGCGTCGCCTGGTGAGCAACCGGGCGCTCACAAGTAAGGCTCCTGTCGTTTTGAGTGTCTAGGCGTCGTGGTGGACAAGGTGAGGAAAGGGAATACCGCACAGGTCGCGGGTGCAACCTGCAGCCCTTGGATGTCAACCAAGATCACGATCTTAGTATCGGGTTAGCTTCTTGATCCTCACCGGCGATGGCTAAGTAGCACATCATCGGGAAAAGATCTCACCTGGATAGGGTCAACATCGCAGCATCGACGAAGAGGAAAGGTTGGGGCCGGATGAGAAGAGCCTCTAGATATTATTCAGATTCTCGGCAAATATTTTTCGATCCACGCCTGGACTTTGACTCCCAAAGGCCTAATAACATCCACCCCCGCAAAAAAAAAAAAAAAAAAAAAAAAAAACCTGTCATCAAACCTATTGTTTCCATCCGGGAGTTCGGTTAAGTGGCCACGGCAAGACGGGATGGCAAAAGGACCCGCTCACTAACTAGCGCCGTAACTGAAGTCCATAGTGACAGTACATAATGTTCAACCGGCCGCTGATTGGGTCCGAAAATCGAGTAGATCGCCCGTTTCTAACCGCTGCGCATCGATCAAGCTCCTGCGTGAGGTTTAAACATGTTTCCCGATGAAGGTTATCGAGAGAAAAGTATCCACGAAGAGAACGTGCACGATTTTGCGAATTGGGTTTCCCCTAAATTACTCGATTTGGTTATTTTAGACACGGGAAAGCCCCCCGACAGGGATCTAGTTAGCGCGTCGCAGCCACAATCCTTCGAGCATCCCTGACACAAACTTGTTCACCCAGACCCTGTTCCCGCGAACCGGCTGTTGTGCAGAGGACGTTCAACAGTAATTGCTCAAGATATTAATTGTCTCCACTACCAGTTCCCTGCACCACCTCTTCCCTGACGCGAATCTTGAGGTGAGTTATTGCACATTATTGAAGATCACCCGGTTTATTATTACATTACGGAGCAGTAGAAGGAAGCCCTAACTAGCCTGTAGGGCGTCGATTGGCGCACGGCACAACGTAACAGGCCCCGTTCTAGACGCCTCACCCTGATTTTTTCCGACTCCCTTCAAAAGCCGGTTACAACATTCTTCCAGTCGATCACTCCATTGCCATTGTCCCGGTGTCCTTAGTCGTTTTACTCAAGTGCAAAGTATTAACCAGGATTTTAATCCGGATCGCCCTATGGGAACGAAAAATGGTCCGTTGTGCCCGACCTGAATAAGAATTCTTAATGTGGCCTCGGGTTTTCGATGCTCATCAGCAGTAGGGGTGATAAAGCAGCAGCAAATGACTGTGTTTCTTTGTTTCTTTATTTCCCTACAGCCGACTGGTTCTCGTATCTTTAGGTTTGCTACTTTGTCCTAATCCCAGAAACGTCCCGCTGTCCCAGCTCGTGGGAATTAGAGACGCACGCCCTGGCGCCCTAGTTGGCGCCTCCCCATTGGTTGCTATTCGTCCCTCTCAGATAGCGACTTGAAATTGTTGTCCTTCTAATCGGAGGTACCCACCGGGCTGTGGAGCATTATTATCGTATCCATGGTTCCATTATTGTTAGTATCTCGAAATCCGCAGATCCATCCATAAGGGACAAGCCCTGTTTCCCAGGGTGGAGCAGCTCGACTGAAGGAATTATGGGGCCATTTCGAGATTGGATGGTCCAACATTGTTGTGCTACGGATGTATGTACAGAAATTGTGCACAGAGAGAGAGAGAGAGAGAGAGAGAGAGACTTCTGGTGCGAGTTTGACCAAAAAGACAAAGAAAGTAGCGGCAGAGCAATTGTTAACTTGTTGATAAGACGTCTGCTATAGGAAGTTCAAGAAACAAGGGACTCGGCATTGTTTTGAATCATGGACCCGCTTCGCTTATATGCCGAAAAAAAGCGTCTGACAGGTTGATTGTTTTGACACGCTTCCCAGGACTGTGAACGAATTTTATGCACACCTCAAGTAGTAGGGAGGGGGAGAACGCCGCTCTCGAGGAGTCCAGAGACGGCTTTTCAAAAAGCGTCGCCGGTTGCAACTCTTTCTAAAAGAAGTACTATCACATCCTGATGGCCGCTTTCCTCGGCTGCTTGGATGGCTCCTTCGCATGAAGATTGAACATCTGCTCTCCGGTCCAAAAGCAACCTTACCATCTCAAGATGTCCCGCCCCTGCTGCAAACTGGAGAGTCGTTTTCCCATCTTTGCTAGGTCTATCATTAACATCAGCTCCCCTGTCTAGAAGAAGGTTTGCAACGTCGATATGGCCGCTTTCGGCTGCAGCCTGGATTGCTGTCCTTCCTCCATAAGATGCCGCTTCGGCATTGGTATCAGCATTGTGGTCTAAGAGAAATCGTACTACTTGTAAATGACCGCCTTCTGCCGCCGCCTGGAGAGCCGTTCTTCCATATTCGCTAGGTTGAGCATTGATATCGGCTCCTCTGGCTAGGAGAACCTCTACCAGTCCGAGGTGGCCACTCCCAGCTGCAGCCTGGATTGCTGTTCTTCCTCCATGATGAGCTGGCTCGGCATTGATATCGGCATTGTAACAAAGAAGAAGCTCTACCATCTCAAAATGTCCAGCTGCCGCAGCGAACTGAAGAGCTGTTTTCCCTCCATCGCGTATGGGCTCGGCATTGACGTTAGCACCACAATCTAATAAGAGCATTGCAACCTCAAGATGACCTTCGTCTGCTGCGGCCTGGAGTACTGTGACTCCAAAATCTCCGGGTTTAGCATTGACATCAGCCCCCTTTTCAAGCAGAAGTTTTACCACCTCAATATGGCCGGCTTTCGCTGCGGCCTGGATTGCTGTTGGGTGACCATGTTTTGACTTAGCATTGACGTCGGCTCCCTGGTTCAGGATAAGGTTTACCCTCTCCAACGAGCCAGATTTTGCTGCGTCCGAGAGCTGTGTTTCATCCTCGTGAAAGTATGAGCCAGTGCGACCGTATGCTTTATCTATGCATATTTCCAACCCTGTTTCGAGCCCAATTTTGTATTCTGACGTGAAAAGCGATCGTTGGTTCCAGATAGTCGGCCACCCATCCGTAATATTTTCAATTGTCAATTCAAGCGTAGAGCCTTGCCTTTTCAGGCTCTCCACAAAAGCCAAACAAAGCAATTTTGCCGTTTCTTCCTGCTCCTTGTCAAATGCCACAGCCCAAGCTTCGTCGCCGTATAAATCCTTTGCATTGATGTTTGCGTTTTCTCCAATCAACAATTCTACTGCTTCCTTATGCCCCATTTGAGCTGCCAGGTGTAGAGCCGCGCGTCCTTCCGAATTTGGAAAGTTGATCCTGGCTCCATGTCTGACCAACATCTCAATTCCTGCGACATGACCGGTCTCGGCTGCTAGATGCAGGGCAGTGCGTCCTTTCTGATCTATGTTATCAACTCCGGTCTCTTTCTCGAGCAATAGCTTCATTATGTCGTCCCGTCCCCTCCACGCTGCTCTAGACAATGCTGTTTGCTTGAATTTGTCAATCGAGGTTGCCTTGGCCCCTTTTTCGAGCAAAATATCGACGACTTCTTTGTGACCATTCTCAGCAGCCCAATGTAGCGCCGTTCTTTGGAATTTGTCGCCAAAGTCCAGTTGGGAGTCAGTATTGTCGATCAACAGCTGAACGACCTCAATGTGGCCGTTCTCCGCTGCGCAGTGCATTGGCGTCCTTCCATACGAATCTTGGCTGGAGGTAAGATTGGGTTGATTTTGCAATAAGAGGGCCACAATTTGCGTATGCCCGTTTAAGGCTGCCCAGTGCAGCGCTGACATACTGCGCTCATCTGTAATTGACACATCGCACCCGCTGTCGATATTTTGCTGCATCTTCTGTTTATCACCGCTTGCGGCTAAATGTATTATCTCTGTGCCATGCTTTGTTGTTCCTTGGCCCGGCTTCTCTGACACCTTTGCTTCGGCAAATGGTTTTGAGCTGGTGAAAATGGTGAGTACGGTCCAGTCTAATGAGACGTATTATCAAGCCTGGGCAAAAAATCTCCTTACTGTAATGAACCCATGTCTACCAATCCGATCTGCATGAGAACCCGAGCGGGGTTGAATAACGGAAGGTAGACGGAGGATACTGGAAGTGTTCAAGCTGATATATGGTCTGGTGTCAACGAGATTGGAGAGCCCTGCCGCAAATTTCATCTTTACCAAACATTCAGTTGGCTGTTTCGTCGCCTCGTTGTGTTGGGTAGTTTGCATGATGCATTTCTTGTATGCACCTTCCATTGGATAGTTATCAGCTTGAGTTGGGCAAGCCACGTCACTGCAGACTAGGCGTTCTTTGCCGATGGAACAGTTGGTACAGGATCATATCCTTCACTCCCTCACTTAACAACCCTGAATGAGAGTCCTGGATGGAAGCTATTAGGTATATTTACTGCATTGAAAATATCAAGTAATCAAGGCTTTTTCTTTGATTTTTCCAGTACTCTTCTCACTCCATTCCCGTCATCTGAAATGTTCGATTCGTCTACGGGGTCCAGATCTGCACCAAAAAGACCCGGAAGCCAAGTGGGTAATAGCTGTCTGTCAGATTCAGGACACGTCAGTTCGGGCAAGCCGGTGGCTTTTGAAGTTTCCCAAAAACAACGTACCCCGCCGCTACCGCAGATATAAAGGACCAAAACTATTGGGTAATTATTAAAATGCAGGATGCAGCCTGGGAAAGGCGCCGCCTGGGCAAATCATCCAACATGGATTGGCGTTGACTTGCGAATCTCAAAATAACCTTGTCTTATTTAGCCCCGAGTCTGGCTTGCTGGAGAATCGAGGATCTTCAGCTCCCAAGCTTGAACTTTTTGAACATTAGCCATGTTTCTAGTATTACTTTTCTTGATTTCGACTGCTTATGGACCAGTTCTTGCGGCAAGTGAGAATCCAGAAAATGTGCACGCAGTCGGGTGGCAGAGCAGTCCTGGACGCCGGGGAACTTGGAACATCGTCTCGAGTTGCGCAACCACCATTTTTGCCTGTACCTGGAGCATCCAGCACCTAAATGTCCCAGGTCCACCGCCATACTCTGTGGCAGCATTAATGGTCAGCAATAATGGGCGAGTCCGGCGGCTACTGCGCAGTTGCAAATGGATGGCGATCACAATCCTTTTTCCCGAGTTCATCATGGTGCATGCTTTTTTTGAGCTCATCATGGCTGTTCAAGCAACTGAAATGATCAAAGACCGCACGGACAACCAAGTAGCCAAATATCCATGGCTGATTAGAATGTTTGTTCTTTCGCGCGGCGCTCGCAAGGGCCAGCAAGAGATGGACGACCAGAATATCGAGGCACAGCACGTGGGCCAAGATGGACCGATATGGACACTCACTCATTCTTATTTTGCTAATATGGGTGGTTTATTCTACGAGGAGAATGAGAATTCTTTCCCCTTGACAGCGTCTCAATATGCCGAAGAATCCACGTGCTACTCCTTGCCCGAAATCAGAGAAGAAGATATCATGGACAAAGGCAAACACGATTTATTCGCAAAGGGACTCGCTGTGTTGCAGATAGCACAACTCGTCCTTTCCCTGATAGTCAGAGCCACTCGAAACCTCCGTTTCACGCAGTTGGAGACGCTCACCTTCGGCCTCGCTGTTTGTGGTCTGTGCACCTACGCCCTCTATCTGTACAAGCCTCAGAAGGTGGACGTACCCATCACTGTCAAAAAACACAAAGACTTTCCCCATGCGGTTTCCTTCAAGAAAACATACGACAGCTTTTGGAAGATGGTCTCAAACTTGGAAGGCTACACGAGCCCCAATGTTTACCGCATCAGGAACGACAACTTCCCATTGGGAACATCGCAGACAGCACGCACAGCAATCCCAATTTTAGCTGTCCTGTCCGCAGCATTTGGATGTCTACACATTATAGCATGGAACTTTGAATTCCCCACGGTGGTCGAAAAGCTTCTATGGAGGATTGCAACCGTGGTTTCGATAACAATCCCCGTAGTCGGCCTCATCACAATTCCTCTCGCGCAGATCCCTATCCAAGCAGGCGATCCACGCGAGTTCATGCGCAAGCTTCTCGAGATATTACGAGAAATGTCATGGGACCGTTCTGACAACGCCCAGCTTCTGCAAGCTACCAGGGAATTGGAAGAAATCTACAACAACCCTGACACAGAAAGTGGCAAGGCGCAGAAACTTTACAGTGACATATTTGCATCCTGCGCTTATATTTGGGATGACATTATCAACCTCTTGAGAGCCGGCATCATTAAAAATGGACAATTCGATCATTCCGCCAGTGACCGTACTCTGCCATCTGACGGTGCCCGGCACTTTTTTAACCATCCAGACGAATTTTGGGACCACTTTATGCAACTCTGCATCCGACAGCTAGGGCTCGGCCCAAAGAGGCTCATCGATAATGCAAGGACGAACATCTTCCCACAGAAAAGCCTCCTCCCGAATGCAGTCAACTTGCTTGTTCTTTATACTACCAGTCTGGTCTACTGTTTGTCACGACTTACGATTATGGGACTTGCGCTCTCCAGTCTCCGGTCTATGCCTGACGAGGTCTATTTGACGACATGGACAACCAATATTCCAGCCGTGCAGTGATCTACTTCTGGACTGATGTGTAAAGTCTCCATTAATGGATATGAACGGTCTGACAGGCGCACATTGCTATATATATTGCTGATGCGCATGCCGAAGCGTTAGTTACTCCATCAGAATGTACGTATTTGGCCCGGAGTTAGAATCGTGAGACAAGATTACGGTCAACAGAATTATCAATCAATTTTCCTAGTTCTACTTCTCGAATCCGCTTATGGAAAATAAAACACCTGATATATGTACTATCAATGAGCACTCCTCGGGACGTCCATCCACAGGCTGGCGTTAATAGGAAGGGGATATATAAGCGACGAATGCAGGATATCATTATAGACAGAAAAGAAGACAAGAGTTCAGAACCAAAGGGAAAAAAAAAGGATAAGCCGTGCAACAAAGATATAATGCAATGCAATGTCTACATGTTCCGTATATGTGCATATAACCAAGTGAAATGAATGCACTCCACAGTGGGCAAAAACAAAAATTACTTGGGATTCGGGGATCCGTTCTCCGTAAAGTTCTCAGGAGTAGACTCGGCGATGTGTAGTGTGCCCGGCTCCTCCTGGGTCACACCCTCATCTTTCTTCAAGTCAACTCCTAGGCCTTCATTGGAAGAGAGAGGGACAGCCGAGAAGCCATCTTCGTCCACGGGCTGTGATTCTGGCTCCACATCTTTCGTTCTGTCTTCGCTCTCAGTCTCGTACGCCGGGAAGCCCCTCGAAAGAGGCGATTTCGGATACGGCTGATCAAGGCCCGACGGATCCGGCCCGAGACTCTCGTCACGTTTCTGCGTCGCGAACTCGCCGCTGTCACGACGGAGGAGGATATTGCTCCATCGCTTGCGACGACTGAGACTGCGGTTCAGACCGTCGGAGTCCTCGCTTTGTCGGTGCATGGAGCGCCGGCGGCCGCGGTCCGACTCGACGGCCTCGGTCACCACGGCCAAAGTCGGTGCGGATGGGGATGTGGTCATGCCCCCGCCACTGCCGCTAGGCGAGGCGCTGCGTTTGTCTTGCCATTCGCGGCGTTTCTCGCTAGCCCAGGAACCCCAGGAACTGAGATATGAGCCTGCTCTCTGGCCGGCTGCGTTTACGGAGGCTTGGGCTTGAGAGACGTCGATGGAGCCTGCTCGCCGGCCGGCGAACCATCCTGCAGAGGTGTCGGTATTGGAATCGGATGATGGGGACCCTGGGCCACCTTTGTCAGTGGAGGAGCGCTGCGATGGTGAGGATTTTTCCTCGTTCCGTTTCTTCTGGGCTTCGCGCATAGATTCGATATCCGACCAGAAACTGTTGAACGCGGCGCTCACTCTCTTCTGTCCCGTTGAAAGGTGGCGATTGAGCGCCTCCCGGCCCTCGCGCACCCGCTCATCCAGATGAAGATCGGCTACTTGCTGTGATAATCGGCGCTGGATGTCGTCCACCGTCAGCCCGCCCGCACTAGGGTGCTTCGGCTCGGTGATGGAGAATAAGAGCGCGTCAGAGGTGAGGCGCGTGAATAGGGCGTAGTTGGCGGTTTTCTGCCACTGGGCCAGGAAATCCGGATTGAAGTCGAGCGCGGGATCTCCTTCGATGTTGAAGTTCTGTAGCTGCGCTCGGCCTCGGTTGGCAGAATCCCCTGACGTGGATGAGAGCTCTTCGTGATATTTCATGGAAGAGAGCAATGCCAAAAGGTACTCTTCAAACTGAAGTCGAATGAACTCTTCCGACCCCATGAATCCATGGGTTTTGGGTTGATTCGGGTGAGCCTCATCCCAGGTTTCATTGACGATTTGGGTCAAAAGGTCGATCCAGCGCCGGTCAGCTACAGACAGAGCCAGAGCGGTTCGAAGCGGAATTGACGGAATGGTGATGGTGTCCTCATCGAGCTAAAACACAACGATGAGCATCGCCAGAAAACACACCCAAAGAATGCCTTACGTTGATCAAGATGTCGCTGTATCGGTCCTTTTGTTGTAGAAGAAGCGAGTTTGTCGATCCCACCACGTACGACTTTGTTCCGTCATCCGCCAGCAGATCTAGCTGCTGAAGAGGTGTATACGGTCCAAACATGCTCCCCTAGAGAAAGAATTAGACATCAGACCTTCAAACGCATGGAGAGAATGGTCTATACCTTTCCGAATATCTGTAATGGTAGGCCCATGTAGGCCAACACTGAGACAGTTAGCACACGATCCACAGGTACAATTCGATTGACCCACGAGAAGCTCGGTCACTTGTTTTGAGCGATGTTGGCTTCTCCACAGTCTGCGCATAGTTGTCGAATGCCGGGTCTGCGCAGTCCTGGAGGCTGTGTATGAGGCCTGGTATTAGAGAGATTAATGAGAACTGGATCATGCACAGGCGCTCGCAGCGAGAGCCGAAGAAGAGCATTTTGGGCTGCAGTAATAGTCCCTTGAAGAGAACGAGGGTCTGGTGTTTGAATTCACGAATCATCTCCCGGAGAGATAGACCTGGGTTGTCGATCAGCTTAACCCGCGTAATTCCTTCGGGCATCTTACCCAAGGTCTGATCTTTCGCGCCATCATCATTCAGCAAACTCAATCGGAGACCCTCCCGGAATTTCTACGTGCCAGTTTAGTAAACGATCCTTCAACAACAGGATTCATCGTAGGGCCTACCTTCAAGATTTCAATATCCGAGAAATCCCTATTACTCACGGGTCAGTATAACTCATTCCAATTCATAGCTTGCATCTTGACAAGAACAGCGACTGTGGCCGTACCGTTGTGCAAACCAAGCCGAGGTCACCACCGAGAGCTTCTCCCGCAGCTGTCCCACGCTTTGCGGACTATCTGTCACTACCACCACAGCTTTCTGCACCGTTGACCTCGTCACATCCGGCGAGCGATTGATCAGGCGATTGGAGTCTATCTGGCGGGAGCAGGCGATACCGAACAGGGACGTGGCGGGGGCTGTGGAGGATTCCTTTCGGCAGAGGGTGAAATAGGAGAATTCCTCGGTCGACCTTGAAAGTACATGTGAGTTGAGTCTTCGAGGAGCACGCTGACCGCAAGGCAGTCTGCTTACAGGTGTGCTCCATCCGACAAGGCCATGAATGGCAGCAGAGACCAGTCGTTCTCTGCCGCGGGGTCTGTCCCCTCGTCGCCGACGGTGAATTCGATTTCCGGACCCCTGCACCCGGAAAGGTCCTGTTAGTAATTTTCTGGGATCCAAGTGTCTGCAAAGACACCCACCTCGCATGGTGAAAGTCAATCACCAGGACAATCGGGTCCTGTCGGTGCGGGGCGCCCATCTCGACGAGCGACACGAGGTCGAGAGGGAGATGACGTGGGACGAGACCAGGTCGGGGTCGATAAGGTAAACGGGGTTCGGGGTATGCGAGGAAGAGTACAGGGAGGGAAGGGTAGGTAGTGGTAGTTAGGAGATGATCTGATGCCCCAGAGTGTAACAAATTCGCACTCTCGATCGACACCAACACACCCGATATGGTTGATCGGGGCTAGGCGGTGTATGTTTACAGAAATAGAGCAAGACGAGTGAATTTTATTATTTCTCCGATCACCAACCGACCAGCTCTGACGACGCCATACTATGGACATAAATAAATGGCCTCCAATCAAACACAGGTGCTCTCACGCCAGATTTGCAAAAAAGAAGAAACCAAACAAACAAATATATGACGGGAGGTTCCCAAAAAGCCTCGGACCAAAAACGAACTCGCCCAATGCCGTGAGCCACTATGCGAAGGAGTTTTGAAGGTTGCCATGTACGCCACTCTCTACCAGGATTTGGCCTGCCTCCGAGTTTTGATCGATGTTGTGGAAGTCGAGGATCTCCGAGTACATCATGATCTTCCAGGTGTCAACAGGCAGATCCGCGTCATTGAACGACCAGTCGAACTTCTCCTGGGCGACCGGCTCGTCTGTCGGATCGTGGTACGGTGCCAGGTAGGCGTGGGCTAGTGCGTCCTCGGCCCGGATGCGCTTCTTCGGGTCGAAAACCAGCATACGCTCGAGCATGTCCACGGCTGCAGCATGTCAGTACAAGGCCAACTGGAGAATTTTCCACCCATCACATACCATCGGAATCCGCGTTCTTGAACTTCATTGCGAGGGGCTGGCGTTCACGCTTTGGTAACGACTTGACAAATCGGAGAGTCTAGATTCCACGAGATTAGCATCATGAAGAATGGCTGCGCACTGGCGTTCCTCACGTTTTCGCTGCAGATGGTTCCGATCACATCATCCGGAGGAGTACCCAGAAGCTCCGTGATGATCGAGAACTGATTCACGTGGTCCTTGCCGGGGAACAGCGGCTTTCCTTCCAACATTTCCGCAAAAATGCAGCCCGCACTCCAGATGTCCACCTCCACGTCGTACTTCTGCCAGGTGAGCATGATCTCGGGAGCCCGATAGTACCGGGTTGAGACGTAACCGGTCATCTGTGGGTCCTGGATGCGGGCAAGGCCAAAATCGCAAATTTTGAGATCGCAGTTTTCATTAATAAGGATGTTGCTGGGTTTCAGGTCTCGGTGGACCACACCGGCCGAATGAACGTATTTCAACCCACGCTGCCACCCGTCAGTGGGTGGGCCTGGATGCCATAGTGACTCCAACTTACCAGGATTTGGTACAGGAAGTACTGAATGAACTGTTTCTCCAGCGGCCTGGAAGTCAGTAGGCGGTGGAGATCGGTCCCCAGAAGTTCGGTCACGAAATAGCTGCGGCCATTCATTAGTCCATGATTCAGTGGGACTCAAAAATCGGGGAGTCGTACAGGTCCTCTAGGGGGGAGATGAAGATATCACTGAGGCTAATGATCTGTGTGGATGGTCAGTGGAATTGGTGCATGTGACCCCGCGATGGGGAGACGGACGTTTTCATGTCGCAGATGCTTGAGCAGCTTCAGCTCGCGGTAGGTTCTCTTGGAGAGCACCGGGGTGCTAAAGGGCTTCATGATCTTCTTGACGGCGACCGGCTGCCCTGTCAATTGGTCTCTCGCCGAGCTATCAGGATCGCATTCCGGTTAGCCTGCGCCGTGGCAATTGCGACGCGCTCGCGGGTGGCGAAACCTACCAGACCAGGCCAAATGCACCCATTCCAACCGGCTGGAGATCCGTATACCTAGAAGAGCCGAGGTCAGTGATTCTGTCGGGATAGACGTCAGGTGGGGGGCCATTGCGCACCGGCTGGTGATCTCGAAGGTGGTGCCAAAGATCTGGGCGCGCACGAATTCGGCCATCTTGAATGAGGATTAAAGAGAGACTGAAAGGGGGAAAGGAAGGGAAAAAGGGGAATTCACGTCGTGATGTGGGGGAAGAAACGAGGCGCAACGACGAAGAGAAAACAAGGACGATGACGTCCGCGACCGAGCAGGTTTCTGCGTGGCTGACTCAGCATCCAGTTGGTTAAGAACGACCGGTTTGGGGCAGTATTTCACGACCAGTGACTGGCATAGAAACTCATAAGGTGTAGTCTATTTCCCTACTGACGAATAATCGCCCTCGACGGCCCCTACGGTGTTCAATCGGGATGGTGGTTCTTCGCAATCATGCACCTCCCCGGAAGAGACTTCCACGGAGCTCACCCTCCGACGCCGTGGTTGACCGCCTCGCCTCTGGTGTATTCTCGTTGCGCAAGATCGCCGTGAGACACCTGAACCCACTGAACCAAGACCTTTCTTGGTGAGTGCACTCCTCGTCGCGTCCACCCACTTTATATCCAGCGGCACGTTGTCGAGGCCCACGTTCCTGGGGTGCCTGAGGCCACCAGGCTCCAAGCGTCACCACTTCCTTTGCATCCAACAGGAATAATAACCATGCACCCCCCTAATTATCATTTACCGTATCCTCTCTGAGTGTAGTTAGCGGAGAGCTAGTGTATCCTGTCTCGACTAGCGCCCACCTTAATAGGGCAAAAGAGGAATCACCATCACCCTTTCAAATGAATTGCGTGGCGCCCGGGTCCAACCAATTCAGCCGTGTAGTTCTCCGGGTTCACCCAGGCCCCCGAGTCTGACCGCGTTGGGGGTGATTACATACTTACTTACATACTGTATTATTCCCCGTGAGCCTCTCTCCCCAGCATGACGCTCGTCGCACCAACCACCACTGCCTCTTTCTTTCTTTCTTCCATTCTCACTCTCCAGCTCGGACGGACTGACTAGCTCCCTCCCAACCCCCCCTCAACTCCCTCCCTCTCAGCCACGCTCTGTCTCGACCGCTCTCGCCCCTTTCTGACTCCTCTCTCCACGATCCTCCCTCCGCCCCCCTCCGTTCCTGTCTTACCGGCGACCCGTTTGATTTCGCCCCCCCGCAACTCCCTCGACCTCCCCCAGTACCAACCACCACCCAGCCTCTCCACCGCCCACGTTCATTCCAGACACCACGATTCCCATCGCGCCGATCTTATCTCTCACCACTCCCCAACCATCGGGGGTTTCACCAGTCACGTCAATTCCGTGGTGGTGGGCGGTTGTCTTCCAGTCTTATCCTGGGCGCCCACAACCCCCCGGCAGCCTTTCGGACGGGCTGTTCCCGATAACCTTCTGCGCGCAGTGTATGGGTCGTTGTGTCGGTTGTTGACGGAAAATTATCTCTCACCATGGGGCTGTGTTTCAGCTCGGAGTCCACCGAAGATGCGGAACAGAAGAAGAGAAGCCAGATGATCGACCGGAAGCTGGAGGAAGATTCCCGGCGGCTACGAAGAGAATGCAAGATCTTACTCTTGGGTGAGTGTCGCAAATCGCGGGGAAAGCTAGCTCCCCTGACCGTGGGCTAACCCTGTTCCACAGGCTCCGGGGAAAGTGGCAAGTCGACCATTGTGAAGCAGATGAAGATCATTCACCAAAATGGCTACACCGTCGAAGAGCTGGCGCTGTACCGCTTGACCGTCTACAAGAACCTCCTGGACTGCGCGAAATCGCTGATCGAGGCCTACCACCGCTTCGAGCTCGAGCCCACCAGCCAAAAGGTCCAAGACTACATTACCTTCCTGGAAGATTACAATGTGGACCCCGATCCCAATACGCCGCTCGACGGAAAAGTCGGCGATGCGATCACGTATCTGTGGAATGACCCCTGTACAGCAATGGCGCTGGAACACCAAAACGAGTTTTACCTGATGGACTCCGCACCATAGTAAGTTCTCTTGTTGTGTCCTCCAATGCGCGCGCTTGCTTATTGTCGTTCAGTTTCTTCGAGGAAGCAAAGCGAATAACTGCCCCGGATTATATCCCGAATGTCATGGATGTGCTTCGCGCACGTACCAAGACCACCGGTATCTACGAGACCCGATTCACGATGGGTCAATTGAGCATCCAGTATGTCGGCCCAGTTGCCTAGTCAGCTTGGACATGTCACTAACGACCTCACAGCATGTTTGATGTTGGGGGTCAACGCAGTGAACGCAAAAAGTGGATCCACTGCTTCGAGAATGTGACATCGATTATTTTCTGCGTGGCATTAAGCGAGTATGACCAGATGTTGCTGGAGGAGAGCAACCAGGTAAGGGACCAGTGGAATGCCCCTTAAATCGAAGGCAGCGAGGCTGACAGATTCCCAGAATCGCATGATGGAGAGTCTGGTACTCTTTGATTCCGTGGTCAACTCCCGATGGTTTATGCGCACGAGTATCATTCTCTTCCTGAACAAAGTCGATCTCTTCCGACAGAAGCTTCCACGCTCCCCCCTCAGCAATTATTTCCCCGACTATTCAGGCGGCAACGATGTCAATCGCGCCGCAAAGTACCTTCTGTGGCGGTTCAACCAGGTGAACCGAGCACATCTGAATCTATACCCACAGTAGGTCCCCACTTTTTCTCCCGGCATCTCGTCTCTAACGTTTGTCCTCCAGCCTCACCCAAGCCACCGATACCACCAACATTCGATTGGTCTTTGCCGCGGTTAAAGAGACCATCTTGCAGAATGCCTTGATAGATTCGGGTATTTTGTAAGGTGGTGCACGCCTTTTCACGCGGAACTCGGGCTCGTCGTTCGGAAGAGGAGACCGATCGATACCCTTACTTCTTGACTGCTCCAGATTATCCTCCTACCACACATATCTATCTTCGGCTTCTTTTTTGCTCCTCTTGTTCCCGGATTCACTTGCAGGCGTTGACGGCGCTGCTGCTCTTTTGGTCTGTGTCCCCGGCGTGGGCGTGACTTATATATTCCCCTCCGGGTTTCTGTTTCTCAGCAACAGGGCTGTTGGATATCCACGCCCTACCTCCTTTGACTGCGATCCCTTTTGGAAGAGAAAGTCCTCTGAGGCTTCCCATCCTGATTGGGAGATCTGATTTCTCTATTTTCTTTCGAATACCCTGCGGGGGCTATTCCACCCACCATCGATTTATGACATACTTATTTTCTCTATTTTGTTTCTATTTCTGGCCGTCCTTTTCTGTTGCATATTATGGGTTTCGCTTGCTTCCCTGCGCTGCTTCCCTGCCCCACCCTTTTTTTCTCTCCAATGATTTGAAGCGCTTCGATGCATGTGGTACTTTTCCAGCCTCTTCTCTTTTTCCTTTTCTTTTTCCCCTGTGAACTTTACCAGCGTCGAATTGTTGGGATTTATTCCTCGGTCCTTGGTTTCATACACTTGGGACTTAGCGGTTCTTTAGGTTTAGTGGCTCCGCCCGAATTATCAACTTACCCTTTGTGCTCAACCCTCGTCGCTTCGTCAGTACTAGTCTCTTCTCCTCAAGTAGCCTTCTCTGGTTAGATTGCGGACAGGAAGAAGCGGGGATTCGCTTGCTTGCCGAACTTGCCGATGCCGAAGCTGCCGAAGCGATCCATGCGCTGCCCCTGGAGATGGAAATTGCGGACCTATCCAGTGAGATTGGACGAATAATGGGAGATCCCGCATGAGTGTTGCATCAATTTAAAGTTGACCGCAGCCGATAGCCACCGGCAGCCATTCCTCGGTCGTTTAGCTTGTCTGAGCGTCTGGAGTATTTATTGCGTGAATACCCAGGGCAGTGCTCTCACGAATCCAACCTCCAACTAACTTAATTTCCGAGCATTATGAAGCTGCAGCAATTGCTCGCTGCCACTGTCTGTGGGGTATCCACCTGTGCCTCGGCAGGTGTGGACGAAGCCACGCAGTTTACTCTGACCGTATGTTGTTTCACCAGCCTTGATGCTTTTGCGAAATATATATTGACTGTCAATCCAGTATGGATACCCGCTCCTCCCACTCGTCCACTTCGCCGTCCCCATTCTCGAAGAGGTAAAGGGCACCAATCGCTTCAAACATATGAGAGAACTAGCCACATCAGCCTTCCACGACGTTGTGCGCCCCAATGTGGACACTTTATACTCGACTGCTGTTATTGATCTATCGCACCATGACGTGCTTGTTGACGTCCCCGTCGTCGAGGATCGGTACTGGGTGTTTCCTTTCTACGATGCGTGAGCACCTATAAAGGCCTTGGGTACGTGGCTTTGTTGATTGCTGAGGATTTACCAGGTATGCCAACAACTACGCCAATATCGGCAGCGTGACGAACAGCACAGCTGGCACGTATATCTTGCGGTATAACGCAGACCATGACCACAAGCCCGGTGTCCAGCTCTGCGGCGAGAAAGAGAAAGGTTCTCGGGTGAAGTGCGACAGGCACATCCAGGGCTATGTCAACGCCCCAACACCATACGGCATCATCGTCACCCGGTACGCCGTCAAAGAAGGCACCCCGGCAGACCTGGCGCAGCTCCATGCTCTGCAGAACCAGTCCCATCTCCACGCTGTCGAGAAGAAGATCAAACAACCCACCGCACCACCTCTAACGATCTCCATGCTCAACTCCTCCCTATCCTCCGACCCAGCAACCAAGCTCATGCAACTAACAGCCCGCATCGCACCGCACAATCCTCCGCGCGACATCTCAGACCGAGCCCGGGTAAACCGCATGCTGAAAGAAGCCGGCGTCCACCCAGACGGAAGCTATCAGCCACCTCACGGCGTCAACCTGACAGCCGCGTACACCGCCTCTCAGAAGGAGATACTCACTGCAGTAACTCTACCCCAGAACCACATCACCATCAACCACGGCTGGAACAGTCTGGCACCCTCGGCGCAGGGTGACTATGGCACGAACTATGCAATGCGCGCATTTGTAGCTTACAGCGGGTACCTTGGCCTCGACGCATCGCAAGCTCTATACCCATCCTACAACGCAGGCACAAATAGCACGACCCTACATCTAGCCCCGAAACAGGCGTACATCTTCACCTTTGCTAGCAAGCCGCCGCTGGACAAGACCGGGTTCTGGAGTCTGACGGCCTACGACGCGGAACAGTATCTCGTTCCCAATCCGCTGGGTCGGTATGCCCTGAACAAGCAGGGGAATATCACTTACGCCGATGGATCGCGCGTTTATGGTGACGCAAGTGCCTCATCCCGTGAAGATGGCAGTTTCCAGCTGCTCGTCCAGCCGGCGGATGTGACGCCTCCGAAGAATTGGACGGCGAAGTATGGGGCCACTCCTTTTAGCGCGAGAGGATAACCTTTGACTGACGTTTGTTATAGTTGGCTCCCGGCTCCGAAGGGCGGAGGGGACTTGTATCTCATGCGTAAGTGAAGCGTTTTTGCTTGGCAGTGTCTATGCTAACCCGGTGCTTTTTAGTCCGGTTCTATGCTCCGACAGAAGGCCTGCGCAATGGTTCGTGGAGTTATCCGGTGGTGCAGAAGGGGAATGCGATAGAGGCATGATAGAGGACTTTGGTATTCGGTTTCTTGCCATCAAGTAGCTCTGTGCGATCGGCTGCAATATCGGAACAGATGCATACTCATCCGAGGAGAGCCAGTAGTTTAGACCAGAAGGACACTTCATACCCTTGAAAATGGCTCGAGCAAAGTACACCTGTATCGTTGGAAGATCACATTGCGGGGAATTTGACGAAAGACGCACCCCGCTGGAGTGGCGCGGAAGATCGCCAACCTTAGCGGGATGAATTCCTCCATGTTGGCTCTGGTGCTGTTCCTTGTCATCCGTTTCATGCAGCCAGTGACTGCCTAGACGGGGGTTGTCCCTCTGTCTCACTCCGTAGTTGAGGTGAGGACGAAATGGCGCGGTCGCAGTTCCCCACCCGCACGGACAGCTCGGGCCATGTTGCTGCATCGTCGAGCAGAGATCTCTCCCGCTCAGGCCTGGACCGTGCCGGAGATCTGGGCTCGGCGCGGAGGTGTAGTCTAGACCTTTGCGGATGAGGGTGGTCAAGATGAAGATGTTGAGGATGTAGACCAGAGTTACGAAGAAAGAGTATACACAGAGAAATCTAAACTACGTCGATCGGATCCACTCGCTCCACCCAGCATCATCGATCACGAAGTCTAGAGTAGGACCGCGTGTGTCACCACTTTCAAGGATGTAATCCTATGTGGCTTCCCTGTTTCTGTCTTCCCCTCTTTCATTGCCCCTCCATCTTTCTCTCGCTCCCTCTCTCTTTCTCTTCTCCATCTTCCCATTCCCCTCCAGCACATCCCCATCTGATTCCATCCCTCAACCATGGCTACCCCCACCGAGCAGCGTCGCGAGCGACGACCTTCCGTCGGCGTGCCCATTGCTGATCTCCACGGCCCTGTCGGTCCGGGCTTCAGTCGCCCCAAGCACAAGCGCACCTTCACCGGATTTGGTCCCTCGGAGATCAAGCACGTGGAAGCGAGCATTCCAGAGCCCCTGCGCGAGGCGTGAGTAGTATACCGACCTAATGGTGGATTCGTTCGAGCTGACTGGTGCCTGCGTTGGGTGGTGTAGCTGGCGGAAATATGTATGGCCTTCCCTCCTCGAGTGCTTACCTGCATGATGGAAGGAATTGGCACTAATCGGATCTAGTCTGCGGCGGGATTTAACAACAGAGAAGAGTTCGAGGCAGGTCCCTACATTTGGATGGAGCGTTGAATTTTCCGACTGACTCTCGCCCGCAGAAGGAGCTTGTGCGTCACATTGAGACGACGCTGGCTCGGTCGCTGTACAACTGCGACGAAGGGTATGTATTTCTCCGATGCGGCCAGCCAATGTTCCTGACTCCTGCAGTGCCGCGTACTCCGGAACTGCACTTGCTTTTCGAGACCGATTGATCATCGATTGGAATAAGACGCAACAGCGCCAGACCTTTAATGACCAGAAAAGAGTCTACTGTGGGTTTCAGCACGCTGGGCACGTGGAGATCGTGTGTCTGACTGGTTCTTTCTAGACCTGTCACTCGAGTTCCTGATGGGACGGGCGCTGGATAATGCGATGTTGAATGTGGGCTTGAAGGATGCAGCTCGAGGTGGGATTGCGCGATGATCCGTGGGACGAACCTGGCTAACAGTTCGAAAGACGGCTTGAAGGATCTGGGTTTCCGCATCGAGGATGTCATCGGGCAAGAACATGACGCTGCACTGGGCAACGGTGGTCTGGGACGCCTGGCGGCCTGTTTTCTGGACAGCATGGCGACCCTCAACTACCCTGCCTGGGGGTACGGATTGCGATATCGGTATGGCATTTTCAAACAGGAGATAGTAAATGGCTACCAGATGGAGGTCCCGGACTACTGGCTCGACAACAATCCCTGGGAATTCCCGCGCCATGAGATCACCGTTGATATCCAGTTCTATGGTTGTGTTCGCAAATACCAAGATGAAAATGGTAAGATCATGCACTCATGGGAGGACGCAGAGATTGTTCAAGCCGTGGCATACGACGTTCCCATCCCGGGATACGGCACGAAGACTACCAACAATCTCCGCTTATGGTCCAGCAAGGCCAGCAGTGGCGAGTTTGACTTCCAAAAGTTCAACGCCGGAGATTACGAAAGTGCTGTGGCCGATCAGCAGAGGGCGGAGAGCATTTCCGCCGTCCTCTACCCGAATGATAACTTAGAGCGTGGCAAAGAGCTTCGGCTGAAGCAGCAGTACTTTTGGTGTGCCGCGTCGCTGTACGATATTGTTCGGCGGTTCAAGAAGACCAAGAGGGCCTGGAGCGAGTTCCCGGACCAGGTGGCAATCCAGCTCAATGACACACACCCAACGCTTGCCATTGTTGAGCTGCAGCGCATTCTGATTGATAAAGAAGGTCTCGAATGGGATGAAGCATGGAACATCGTGACCAAAAGTTTTGGATACACCAACCACACCGTGCTGCCCGAGGCGCTGGAGAAATGGTCTGTCCCGTTACTGCAGAATCTGCTACCTCGCCATCTGCAAATTATCTACGATGTGAACCTGTTCTTCTTGCAAATGGTTGAGCAGCGGTTCCCCAAGGACCGAGAAATGCTATCACGAGTGTCTATCATCGAAGAGTCGCATCCGAAGATGGTCCGCATGGCGCATCTGGCCATTATCGGGTCCCACAAGGTCAACGGGGTTGCAGAGCTGCACTCGGATCTGATCAAGACTACGATCTTCAAAGATTTTGTGGAGATCTATGGACCAGACCGGTTCACCAACGTGACGAACGGCATCACGCCCAGACGCTGGCTGCACCAAGCCAACCCGCGACTGTCCGCTTTGATTGCAGAAAAATTAGGCGGATACGAATTTTTGACCGACCTGACCCTTCTGGACAGGCTCGAGTCTTTTGTGGATGACAAGAATTTCCGGGCAGAGTGGGCAGAGATCAAGTCAGCAAACAAACTGCGTCTGGCCCGGTATATCAAGGAAACGACCGGGTTCAGCGTGAACCCCGACGCTCTGTTTGATGTGCAGGTGAAACGTATTCATGAATACAAGCGGCAGCAGCTGAATATCTTCGGAGTGATTCATCGGTACCTCACCATCAAGGCCATGTCGCCCGAGGAGCGAAAGAAAGTTGTGCCTAGGGTCTCGATCTTCGGGGGCAAGGCGGCGCCAGGCTACTGGATGGCAAAGACAATTATCCATCTGATCAACAAGGTTTCGTTTGTGGTCAACAATGACGCGGAGGTTGGTGATCTACTGAAGGTCATCTTTATTGAGGACTACAATGTCAGCAAAGCCGAGATGATCTGTCCAGCCTCGGATATCAGCGAGCACATTTCCACAGCGGGAACGGAGGCGAGCGGCACAAGCAACATGAAGTTCGTACTGAGCGGGGGACTGATTATCGGAACGTGTGATGGTGCCAACGTAAATATTTCTCTACTGCATATTTTCTCCTGCCGCGTACTAACCCAGCTAGATCGAAATCACTCGCGAAATCGGCGAACAAAACATCTTCCTCTTCGGCACCCTCGCCGAAGACGTCGAGGACCTGCGCCACCGACACGTCTATGGCAAGACGTTCCAGATAGATCCCCATCTCGCCAAAGTCTTCGAGGCCATCAAGGGCAACATGTTCGGCGACGCGGGCGACTTCTCTGCACTTACAGCATCCATCGAGGAACACGGCGACTTTTATCTCGTATCTGACGATTTCAACTCCTACATTACCACGCACGAGATGGTGGATGAGGCCTTCCAGAACCAGGAGGAGTGGCTGGCTAAGTCGATTACGAGTGTTGCGCGCATGGGCTTCTTTTCTACGGACCGTGTGATTAATGAGTATGCGGATAGTATTTGGAATGTGGAGCCGCTGGAGGTCGACAAGGATTAGAAGTTGTGTTTGTTTTGTGTTTCTGTTGGTGACTTTGTTTCTTTCCATTCATGCCTACCTCATTATAACTACAGAACTAATATTGCTTTTTATCCATCTGCTTATTTTACTCTATATGCACCTGTACGTTGCGGATTTCCTCTGCCAGGTGGGGCTTGCTAATCCGGGCGGCCGCCCTTTCCGTAACGGTGCTCACCCCCTAGCTCACTAAGTAGAAATATAGGCTTAGATCTAATAGCTTAAATAGAGCCATAATAAAGGATCTCTCAACTATAAGAGGTTGGAATATAGGAAGGTGCTAGTTTGGTAACAACTCCTCGAACTTGGGTAATATTAAAACCGCTAGGTACAGGAGAAAAGAGATTAGAAAATCCTTAATCTTAGAAAGGAAGAGCTAGTATAGTTAAGAAAAGGCGTTTAAACTCACGCTCTAAGTTTGATTATACTACAGGTTGTACGAATTGCAATAACTATGTCCTATATTAAGGAGCTCACCTTTAACGAAAAGCTTCTTTTCGTGTAAGACCTATAAGATTAATGCACCTATGATTTTAATGTGGTTTACCTTCTAAATGAAAGCCCGATCTAAGGGGTTTATCCTACAAAAGGTTGCTAACTGAGTATTACGTCCCTACTTTCAAAATCATATAGCCTATACTAAATCTACTAGCCTAAGGAAATTTAATAGAAGTGCCTACATTCACAAATGTATTCGGCGTGAGAAGGCTTTCGACCTTTGAACATTAGAATCGAGGGTGCATTTTTGTTACGAGTGTATGGAGTGGTTTGAATCAAACTAATGGCGAGATCATTCCAATTTTCATCTGTAGACATAGCAAACTAAGCACTACGAAATGATCACACCGTCATTCGCCCCAGATACTACCCTCGCACACACAAGAAGATTTAGCAGCAACCCCCGATTCAGGTAGCCTCTAAGCCTTCTATAGCAGAGTGCTCCCATCTGGATCAAGGACTTTCGCTAGCTCCGAGACTTCAGTATGACCACGCGTCGTTTTCATTCGGTGACACCAGGTCAACTGCTTTCCTTCTCCCTTGTCGCTTGGTTCGAAGAGGAACTCGCCGCCAACCTGCCGAGAATCACCTCCTTTGGTTCCTAGCCCACTAGGAATGTGCTTTAAGGCTTGTCCGATTGACTCGACGATATTTCGTACTAGACTCTTGCGAATATAATCTGGGCGGGTTCCCATAGAAAAAGAATTTACCATTCCAAGGTCATCATATAGTTTGCGAGTTGGATCTGCGAAGATTGGGAATAGACAGCCTGTTTTGGTAGCATAAAAATCGATCAGACTAGGGTCGCCACAGCCGACAATAGAGATTGATGTGCTGGCTGGCAGGCGTTTTAGATCCTCTAGTCGAATTGAATTTGAGAGGGTAGTAAGGAATTCCTGGCAGCTCTGCGGTAGTAGAAGAATATTAGTAAAAAGGTAACTCATAACTATAACTTAAGCAAGCTAGGCCTAATAGGATAGATATAGGTAGCTTACCACACAGAAAAAGTGCCGGACAAAGATCACTAGTACGCGGGAGGCGGAATCGGGCCCATCGTAGAGACTCTTGAACGGATGAGCGTTGCCCTTGCGATCCAGTACGGTATAATTCTCGACTTTCTGACAAGCATCTGGGGATGGCAGATCATCACTAATCACTCGCGCATTGGTTCTAGAACCAAACGGTTTGCTGTTCTCACTCGCGGATGGTATCGTCGCTGTGGTATCTGCTCCGCCATTTGGCACCTCCGACGGCTTCGAGTCGATTTCACTTGTCATGATGTTGATATGTCCCTTTATGCGTGGGAATGACGTGGCGTAGCGCTAGCAAAGATGATGAGGGGGGGGCCAAATCGGTAGTCACGTGTAGATCACCATGGCAGATCTGCACCTATACGTACCGGATTTTCCCTGGGAGGTGAGGCTTTCCTCTCTAGGCTGCCGTTGCTTCAATAAGGGCGCTCATGGTCTGGCTCACTGAGTAGATTTCAGCACGCACACAGACTCAGGATATTACCATAAATTCGTATAATTATTTATCTTCCTTCCTAGCTCTAATTGGTCATTACGTTGTTGCGAATTTGCTCTATTAAACCACGTCCCTTTGTGCCGAGATCCATTTTCTTAGTTACCTTGACGTACGTTTTAAAGAAGGATAATATGGTGTCTCGTGATATCCTATGTGTATGACCACCATGGCTTGTTGCTAGAGCATATTGCGTTATTAATCAATTGCTGGGTAGCTAGCCGCCTCCATTATATGGGATATTTGTGGACCAGTCAACTTCCACCAGTATTCTAAATCCGTGTCGGTAAGCGCAAGCTATTGTGAAACAGCCTCTCACACGGGGGACGAGATTGTTTTTGCCACTGCCTGGTCAGTCATGTCCTTGACAGTTGGTAGTGAATTCCACTAGGACTCCATCTAGAGCCTGCTGCTCGAAGCGACCCGGCATGTATAAAATAGGACAGAGTTTCGGGGACACGGGTATCATTATGTGGGACCGGGAACGCCCGGTCGGGGACTCTTTATGCACCTTTCTTGAGACAAAGAAACAACATAACGTTGGTGGAGACCTCAGGAGGCACAGCAAGGACCTTATTTGATGATAAGGTTACAGATAGGTAACCAGGGAATAATTCAGCTTTCGGTGCGGACGGTTGCGAGCTGTGTACGTTGTTAAATGATCTGTATATTACTTATATCTAAGCTAGTCAAGAAAGGAAAAGAGGATAAGTCCAAAAGAGTCGGGAATGGCGCCACTGGCCTGATCTTCAAAGGTGGAATTTCGCCCGAGGGGTGGGCTGCCTTGCCTCTTATTGCACACATTCTCTGGCGATCTAATGTGGAGGTCCAAGGGACAGGGCACAACAACCTTCGGTAATCATCGACGTTACCAGTTTCAGCTAGAGTCCGGGCATAGGCGAAAGTCCACTTAAAGTCCGGCGACTTAAGCCCGACTCGCACCGGAGGCATGCCAGTATCAAATCACGGCAGCTACTCTATAGGTACCACCATAACACCTAACAAACGAAAAGCTTCACTGTTTATACTCAATCATGGCTTCTAGGCCCGTTATCCTCGTCACTGGCGCCAACCAGGGCCTTGGCCACGAAGCCCTCAAAGCACTGGCCCAAGCGAACAAATACCACCTTGTCGCTGCCGCCCGCTCGCAGTCAAAGGCCGACGAGGCTGTCAAGGTCATCGCATCTGAAACTGGCTCGGACTCTGCAAACTTAACCCCCGTTGTTATCGATTTGGACAATGATGAGTCCATCTTCGCCGCTGCTGCAATCGTCAAGGACAAATTCGGCCATCTCGACGTTCTAGTGAACAACGCCGGCATTAATCGCTCTCCTAACGACAATGCCACTCTCCGCGAGAACCTCCGCGCCGTGTTCGAAACGAATGTTTTCGGCGTCGCGGTCATGAACGAGACCTTCCTGCCGCTGATCCGAGCGTCTATATATCCGAAACGCCGCATTGTCACTGTCACCAGCGGCCTGGGCATGTTCGGTGTCGCCCTTACGGAAAGCTCTCCGTATAACATCTGGAAGTACAAAGTTCCGGTTTACCGCAGCAGCAAGTCAGCCATCAATATGCTCGCAGCCGTCGACACTATCACGCTTCAAGACGAAAATATCCCGACTGTTCTCGTCGAGCCTGGATACTGCCGGACGGCGTTTGGAGGATTCCAAGGCCATAAGGACGCCGATCAGGGTGGCAAAGTTATCGCGCGTGCTGCTGTTGAAGGGGATAACAAAGATCTGTTTCTGAAAGTTGTCGATGATGAGGGCAAGCATGCCGAGTTCGGCTGGTAATGCATTCGTGCACTGTCTCTTTGCTCGTAGTTGCCGTCCATGCCCTCCACTACAGAACGAGCTTAGATATAAGATGTATGGTAGAAGTACATGAATCGTGAATGGATATGATCTACTATTGTTAAGCTGTCCTTTAAGTGAAAGATCCAAAGTAGTACTACACGTATTGGTTTAAGGGCCTATAGCCCAGACCACCATTAAATATAAAAAATGGGTATCGTACTAACTGACTATGCTCCTTTATATAGAAATGAAGAACTCCTTTCCTGCCAGGAACTCCGGTCGAAGGGAGGAAACACAGAACAAGCCAGCAGTGTGTGGGTTAGGCAGGGCCACCGCAAAACAGTCTTCACCAATTCTGAGACTTACCTAGATGCTTGGACTTGAAGGCAATGAAGCAGCGGGCAAAGTAGCAAATCCGGCATAGGATTCACTTGAAATGACCATCCCCGACCAAAGCCGGTGCCCGGGTTCCCGAATCAGCGCCTAAAGGTTGGCTGGCCACCAAGGCTATCATGGATCCATTCTTTTGGGTAGAGCGAGCTCTCACTTGTAAAGTATTGTTTGTGTCTAGCAACACACATTCTGTAGTGCTGCAACCTTCTCTTTCATCATGACCAGTCGTCTCACATCACGTATCGCCATAGACACAGGCTCATCGTCCGGCCTCGGCCGATGTATCTCGCTCACGCTTGCGGCTGAAGGCGCTTCTGTGGTTTGTGCAGATCTGAAATCTATCGCGCGGCCTGAGATCCCCGAAGAAGGCGCCATCAAAACCCACGAACTCATTAGGCAGAGTGGCGGGAAGGCCATCTTCGTGGATAGGGCGATCAGTGAGTGGATTAGGTTACTCAGGTGAGCAGTCAGTGAGTGCTCAGTGAGCAGACCATTCTAATTATGTGATGCTCCGTGAGCAGACCTGGCCGCTCAGCGCCGTGCTCAGTTCTACTCAGGGAGCAAGCAGTGAGCACTAAAACGGAAAGAGCAAGTCAAGACGTGCCAGGCATTATCCGGTGTATATGCATTATGTACTGGGCCATGCAATCTATCCATCTATCTACCAAATCTCAAGCCCAAAGCATACAAGCGAAGAAAGTAACAAAGCACAAGGCGAGAGCCAAAAAGCTCAAGCAGCAATAGATGTTTCATCGCCCTCCTGAATAGTCTGCGGTTTATAATCCGAGAATGTCTCGGGCCAGAGGAACATCTTCTCCTCCCTAGAAGGCGTCGCAGCAGCCATAAGCGTAGGAACCTAATCGATCATTAGCGAATCCACAACATGCACTGCAAACGAAAATGACCAAAAACATACCGCTTCCTTACTGGAAATCCGTCTCCACAGATTAGCCCGTGGGTTAAACCTAACCGGCAGCCCGCTTCCACCTGTCTTACTCTGATCCTCGGCACTAATCGCCTGAATCTCGGACTTGATATCAGAGAAGGTATCGAACGGCGTATACTCAATGTCGTGCTCGCGACAGTACTCCTCAAGCCGCAGACCACGGCGTGCAAAGAGGACATCTGCTTCGCGCGCGGCGGCGAGATCGGACACGCCGTCGCCGATGAATACGATCAGTGGGATTTCGCCGGCAGAACAGGCTGCTTCAGCCTCGGCCCGGGCTTCGTTTACGCTGAGCGCCTTGTCGTGGCCTAGCTCGGTGTCGTGTCGCCAGATGGGTTTCCATTGTGAGCCGTCGGGGTTGATGACTGCATCGTTGGCGACGATGTCGATTGCGGCGGACTATACAAATCGGGTTTTGTGAGCAAGTGGTTCATGCACCATCCACACGGAATCAAAACACTAAAGAAAAGAGAGAAAAGAAGGAAAGACGAGAAGAACATACACTATCTGCACCCAAAAAGGTATCCAATACCCGTCTCAGCACAGGCTTCAAGCCAGCACTGATAACATGGAATGGAAAGCCGTTTTCCACGCAATACTGATGGAACTCCCGGAAGCCAGGATCAATCTCGAGCGTCTTCTCCATCACCTTGAACCCGTCATCGAAGGGGATATGCAGCGACCCCCACATCTCCTCGGAGACCTCCCTGAAGGACCGCTCGCCGGACTTGATCTGCGCATCGAGTTTGTTGCGCGCCTCGGCGCCGCAGCCGTGTGTATCGAAGAGGATGTGGCCCGTGTCTTGTTTGAAGATTGTGCCATCGAAGTCTGGGGTTTTCTCTGTTAGTACCTTTTTTTCTAAAAATAAAATAGAATAGAATAAAAAACAAGTTTTGGGGCTGAATTTATATTGCTGTAGGTAGGAGAGGGAGGTGGCAAGGTGAATGATCTGCTGATAGGCGCATACATACCGGAGAAAATGATGATATTTCGCTTTGAGTTAGCGGTATTGGTGTTGGAGATAGCCATTTTTTCTTTTGTTTTATGAGTGAGAGAGAGAGCAGATTAAGGACTTAAGAGAGTTGAATGTACAATGATGAGATTCAATTGAGAGAGAAAATGGATCCAATGTGCTTTGTAAACCGGATTTCATCCACAACTATAAGGGAAAACCCCTTCGTGGCAAACAAGATAAAGCCCCCGGTATGACGTCGAGAGGAAAGCCACAGTATGGAGTGGGTCGGGGTGGAACAATTGTTACAATGTCGTGCAAAACTCGGCCCGGGCGTGTGCGCGGTGAGTGGTCGGTGAGTGGCGAAGACTCAAGCTGCGGGCCCGAGCCAGCCCGAATTGAGATGCCGATGATGAGTAAGACGATCAAAAAGTGAAAAGGGCTCATCATACATTTCTACAGACGACTGATTGACGGATGGACGGTATATACATGATTGTTCAGGACGTCAGCTCGGCTACGCGGCGCTGCAGTTCTGGGACAGCCCGGAGCTGGAGCTCGAGTTCGTCTTTCTCGCTGTTGGATGCATTAGCCCGCAGGTCAAAGATGGTGGCGAAATGTAATAGTGCACTTACTCTTCCAGTTTCAACCGTCGCTCCCAGTCCAGCCCCGTGAAGATGTATCCTCCCTGGCCGTCAAACTGGAGAATCTTCTTGTGGTACTTCCACAAACTGCGTCGGTGCGAGACAGTCATAAGCGTAATCCCGAGCTTCTTCGCCGTCTCGTACATGACTTTCTCAATCTCCAGCGTCACAGAAGATGTGCATTCGTCCAGGATAGCAAATTGCGGGCGGTGGTAGAAGAGCCGGGCCATGGCGATGCGCTGCTGTAGACCGCCCGATAGCACGTCGCGCCACTCCTCTTCGGCGTCCCAGCCATCAGGCCGGTCTACAACAGAGGCGATCTCGACAACGGACAGAATCTCATACAGATCCGCGTCAGTGACACCCTTGGCGCGCATCTCGCGCACACCATCGGGATAAATCACCTGCTGGCGCAGCGTGCCGCGGGACAAGTACGGCCGCTGCGGGATGTAGAAGATGCTCTCGAACCGCGGTTTCTTGACCGTGCCTCCGTAGACAGGCCAGAGTCCGCCCAGAATTCGAAATAGAGAAGATTTGCCGCACCCGTTGGGTCCGACAATGAGCAGATGCTCGCCTGGGTGGACCGTGAACGATAGCTTGCGCACCAGAACGTCTCCGTTCGGGGAGACGATGGGTACGTCAGTGAACTCGATCGAGTCGCTTTCCTTGACCTCGCCCCGACCCGACAGCACGGCCGCATTTTCTTCGGTGGATGCCGACGAGACGAGCTTCTTCTCGAATCGTCCAGCCACCAAGTCATCCATGACTTCCAGTAGGGACGAGACGCGGGACGTGTACCCAGCCAGCTCGGAAATCTCCTTGTACGAGAACATCAAGCGACCAAAGGCGTCTGAGGATGATAGTAGCATCCTCCGGTTTGTGACGAAACCTATTTATAGTCAGTTTGGGATTCTCCTTAGCAGGAATTGAACTTACTTTCTGTGCGATCTCCCATACTCTGGGTGATTTGTCCGGGAATCTTGAAGAAGACCGGCAAACTGCACAGAACCAGACCCAACGCACCCCAGAAGTACTTAATGACAAAGTCTTCCATGAAACCGTGGTAAAGACGTCGGCGTAGGATTCGGTTCACATGCTTGATCAGGGTGAAATAGCCCTTGTCCAGAGTATCTTTCTCGGCCTCGTGGCCATGATACAGAGCCACCTCCTCGCTATAGTCGATTAGTCTCGAATGGAGGAAACGGAACTCGCCTTCCAGGCGAGCCTCATCCGCGACATATTTGCCGAACGGGGGTGTCAGCATGCGCATCACATTGGCCGACAGCTGCACCAGCAGACTCATAATGAATAGCCCCTCACCACCAACATTCTTGGACAGAGAGTAGTTGTAAATGCACATGTCAAGGATTGGCTTGGCCAGGTTGGAATACAGCTCTGCTAGGCTGTCAGAGAAGCGCGACACATCAACCGTCACAAGCTGGTCGGGGTTCTTGATCCGATCATCGAGGGCGGAGATCGCATAAAAGGTCATATTAGACAGGTATTTATCGTGTATATAATCGGTCAGGCGTTTCCGATAGCTGAGGGAGAGTTTGCATTGATGGTATGAGAGCTGGCATGGTCGCATTAGCAGGGGTAGCGCACCCAAGGTCAGGCGAACTTACCATGGAATTCGTGAAAGTAGCAGGAACCGCAACAATCATCCACCATACAAGCCCCAGCAAGAAGTCCTTACCCTTGCCGCGCACGAGGTTACTGACGAGCCTGCCGTCCAACTCGGCGACATACAGACTCAGGAGCGTGCGGAGGACTAGGAAAACGCTGTGGCTAACCAGCAGCCGTAGCTCCTTGCTGCGCCATCCGGGGATAACAATGCGGAGCAAGCGCAGCAAATGCTTGAAGAATTCACGGTTGATCTCTACCCGCTTTTTGCGCGGCTGCTCCTCGTCGAGACCGGTGGTTCCGGGTTGGCGGCGCAGCTCGACCTGCCGCTGCGACGCGGCTTTTTGTTCAGAGATGGCATTGTGGATACGTTTGGCAAGAGCGGCAAAGAGGGCGAGGTAGACGGCGCGCGAGATGCGGGTGCGGTGTTGGAGATAGAGGGAGGTAAGGCTGGAGAAGATCCGCTTGACGGAGCGCTCAGGCGGGAGGAGTTTGGACTGGGCGGCCATGGCGAAGCGAAGGAAAGCAAGCAGGTCAGCCCGAGTTGATATGAGCCTGCATTCCGAAATAATAACGATAATAATGAATGAGTTGGGTGTGGGTGTAAGAAAGACGAACAAGGAGGTGACCGTGAGAAGGAGGAATGACGGAGCTGACATGTGATGCCCCAGAGTGTGGGGAAGGACAGCCGAGGTGACCAACTACAGATAGTCACTACACTGCCCAGTGATTTATTATTACTTTATTGTACACAGAAAGTACCTGTTTCTAGAAAAACTGCAGCACCCGCGCCCGGTGTTGTACAAGATTATCGTGCTCGCGGAGCAACTGCGCCAGTCGGTTGTGTTTCCACCCCAAACCCTCATCCAAAATCAGATGCGTATAGGCGAAGACACTGGCATCAAACAGCCCTGGCTTCGGCCGCCCAAAGAAATGCTCATCCTTCCCCAGAAGGGTTGATAGCGCCTCAAACGCACCCGCGGCATCCGCCTCCAGATCCACAGCATCAATATACCGCGACGTGCGGAGGAGTTCATCGCGGGCCGCCTGTTGGAGCTGGACACCGAGAGCAGTCCGAACAACCGAGCTCGTAGTTGCAGGGTCCACGTAGAGCCGCCGTGCCACGGCCTCGAAGTTGGCAGGGTCAAGATACAGCATGTATAACTAGAGCCCACCAGTCAGTATGTTTCATTTCGAGGTGTAAATCAGATCACACATACCCAGGCACTCCGTATCCGCTGGTCCAGCAGAGAAGCATATACCTCGAACCGGAGGTTCAATTGTTGCTCCTCCTCACAGTGGACCTGTTCAATGGCCCATTTTTGGAGCTTGTGTGAAGGGATCGGGACAAGAGTGTCCTCGGGGGATGACGGAAGGAGGAAAGGCAGAGCACCAGTCGGCGATGCGTGATTGTTGGAAGGGGTAGTTTTGAAGTCAATCCCGACAAATTTCAGGTAGGCCTATGGCGACGCTGGTCAGCGCGAATGGATGCATGAAAATCGACTAGTAAGCCAACCAACCTGCCACTTGAGACATTGTGGATTGAAAGACGGCCGACCACGTCGAGCACCCGCTGCATCGGTGAAGACAAACAGCTGGTTGCCGGTAGCTTGGGACAGGGCGTGTTGCGGAAGGGCGTCCGCTGGGTATGTGGTCAGAGGGAATTTGTCGAAAAGCTGCTTGATGGGTGTTGGAACGGTAAAGAAGGAGCGAGGGTTGTCCGGTGGTGGACTGGCCTCGGAGCCTTTGGGAGGCATGGCTGTGAATCCCTTGGAAGTAGAAGAAGAACAACATTTAGTAATGACAGGACAATCCCGGAACTGCCTCAGGCCGATTACGTAATTGACCAGGCACCGCATCCATGGGTCCCCGCACTCTTTTTCTCGTTCTTCTTTGCTGCGTTTGGCATGAAAGAACAAAAGAACAAGAGTGGTCACGGTCTCTTCTGATTTCGTATGATCCAACGACCCTCCTTCCTTCCCACCCTGTTTTGTCTCGCTGCCTGCTCGATCATCACAGGCTCCGCCCCGCGTCTGCTGCCGGGACGATGGTTTTTTGCCGCCCTGTCGTTTCCCGATCACACTGGCCGTGAAGCTGTTCTGTGACGCCGAGTCACTCTCGCGAAAGCCAAATACCGATCAGTCCTGCATTGCAAACCGTGAGGACGTTGTGATATCGCCTGGTCCTCGCGCAAACCATTTGAGATCAGCATTTGCGACGGACGGAACCGCTCCGCCGTACTTTTGCGGTACTTGAAACACCCGACCCGAGACAAATATTCTTCCGTGACAATGCCTCTCGACGAAGAAGGAGCCAAATGGTCTTGGTAGGTTTCCATGCACATACTTCCGGATATGCCCGGACTATGCTAACAGCCGCTCTTGCATGCAGTGAACCATGCATCCGCGGCCACCGATCCTCCAAATGCCAGCACTTCGACCGGCTCATGATGAAAGTTCCCAAAGCAGGGCGGCCACTGGCAAAGTGCCCTCACCCCAAGGGAACCTGCAGCTGCCAGAAGACCTATGCCGTCATGGTCCGGATTCCGAAAGGTAAAGCTTTCCAATCCTTGAAAGTTGTTGAAGTATCCCTAACTCCGGCAGGCTCAGGATGTCTTTGTCGACCACTGTACAACGTCCCCTTGGATGCCAACGGCGAGCCACAATCGACCCCGTCTACTATGGCTCCAATCGCGTCGCCCACGCCGGGCAAAATCCAAAAGTCGGGAAGAAGGCAAAGCAGCCTCCAGGCAGCACCCGAGAACATCGCCAAGGCCTTTGATGCTATGCCTGGTCCGGTCAATCTGAAATTCGAAAACGATGCGACAAACCAGTTATTCAACTTCGCATCTCAGTCTGACTTGGATAGCGCGCACACCTCCACCAACCACGATATCAGCGACCAAGCATCATCTGATGCCACACAAATCGCCAACGGCGCTCCGCAGCCGACACAACAGGGATCCGCGTGCTGCTCCCGGAAATCTCAGACACCTGCACCAGCCCCAAATGGATCCTGCTGTGGAAAATCCGCAACTTCCTCGGCAGACGACTTCGCGCTCTCAGGCTTGCCGGAGCACAATAATGTCCAGCATTCATCATGGGACAACATGTCTTATGAACATTTTTCAGCCCCGCAGATGTCTTCCTGGCAGACGTCTCCGCGTGGGCAATTTATGGAGTTCGGGATGAATGAAGCTCAACCTCAACCAACGTCTTACATGAACGGACACAAACAAAATATGTCTACGCCACAGTCGATGATGTACCCAGACCAACTCTCTGGACTTGGGATTAGTCAAACTGCCTTTCCAATGCAGCCCCAAAACGCCTCCAACAAAACAGTTGGTGGTGAATCCTGCACCGAGTGTAACTGTGGAGACGATTGCCAATGCCTAGGATGTTCCGTGCACCCCTTCAACAATACAACTCGACAGCACGTACAAGAAATGGGTGTCATTATGACTTTCGACAGTGGTGATCAGACCCCGGACGGCGTTGCCAGCGCCTATCAGTCCTCGCAATTCCCAGGAGGCACAACCCCGTTAAACCTCTCCTTCATGCAGCACACACCCTCAATGGATCCTAGTGCTCAGCAGGACTACGCCTTTGAGCCTTACTCAGACCCCAGCTCTAATCTTTCAACCGGCTATTCTTCTCCTCTGCCGGCAAATTACCCATTCAGCCAGCAGTTGATGCACCCTTCCGAGTACTACACCCTCGAATACCCCGTTGGACTCCCAGGCGCCTGTTCCGACATCACGGGAAGCTGTCAATGCGGCAGCGACTGCAGCTGCGTCGGCTGTCTTACGCACAGCGGCCACAACGGCGTTCCACTGGAATCGCCTGTCCCGGACAGATCCGTCGCCGGAACATCAGAGCAGCACCCTTCGTGTCATTCGGCCCCCGCAAGCCCCTCTCAACATCAAACGTCACGGATCCCAGTGCTGGATAGCAACATTTCAGTCCCGTGTCTGAGTCCGCGCACATTGGAGACATCTATGATTTAATCCGATTCGACCAGTGATCGGAGTCTCGATAACTTCACTTTTCTATCACCTATTTCTGTCATGATTGACGATACCCCCACTATGATACCCTCCCCTCTTAGACTATCTTCTCTTCACATCTTAGATAGCCGTTGTTACTTTATGATCAGCCCTTTCGGACAAAAAGGAGGCTATAATATGACACATCGGCACGTTGCATCGTTGACCTTCTTCTCAGTTTTTTTCTCAAACTCAGATAATCATCAGCCACTGAGTACTAAAATGGAACGGGAAGCTAAAGTGGCAGAGAAAATCGCCTAGGTAGCACTACCGTAGTTTACTTTGCGGTGATAGAAGGCAAATCCGTTCCACATCAATGCATTATTCATTGAGATAAGAAGAAGATATCGTACACACCACAACCCGCCGCACTACACCTTATCCCATTTTCCGAACTTCACGTAATCCTCATACAAAGACCTGAAGACAGCCCTGCCGGAGACATCGAGTCCGGCGTTCAGCGCGCGCATCGATTCGCGCGACATGACGTCCAGAGTGGCATAAAGACCGGGCATAATAGCAGTCTTCACCTCTGGAGTGAGTGATCCGCGCAGCGAGCACTGCGCGTATTCCATGATAACATACTGCAGGTACTGGCCGGCGATGCGCTTAGCTTTCTTGGTTTGATCGGTGAGGGCATCGCGCGAAGCACCTGCCTGAGCAGGACGCAGTACGGCCGACATAGTGGGGTCACAGAGGGAGGTGAGGAGACGGGTGTAGTGGGAGGCGTGGGAGGGCTGCAGCGGAGCGAGCCAGAAGGGCTGGAGGAGGGAATTTGGAGGGCTGGCGCGGTTGGCGCGGGTGCGTTTGCGCGAGCGGGCGAAGAGACAGGCTAGCAGGCGTTGCATAGCGTGTACGACGAGGTGGAAGCGGCCGCCCACCTTCAGGCGCTGCAGGCCGAGCACCACGCCCATCAGCCGGCACAGACGGGTGTAGATGGTTGGGGCATAGGTAGGGGCGATATGGGGACCGTCGTGGGAGGCTGCGTTGGCGATGGCGCTGAGGATGCTGTCGATGTTTTGCTGGACGAGACAGCGCGTGTGAGTGCGTAGGAGGAGGTCCAGGGCCTCGACCGCGTAGGTCAGGTGGTCCGCGGATGGGCTGTGGGGGATGGCTTCGGCGAGCGCGCTGCAGAGGAGAGAGAGTTCTCGAGCGGTGACGCTATCTTTATCTTCGACCGAGGGGACCGAGGCCAGTGCCAGGCAGACGACCAGGAGGCGGTGCCCGGCGTGGTCGCCCGTCAGACCAAGCTCGCGAACCTCGCGGATGGCTTGGGTGATCTGCTCAGGGCTCATGGAATGGAAGCGTTCCGTGGTGACCCGGATGAAAAGCTGTTGATCCTCGCCATATGGAGACTGGAGCGAGAGGGTCTCCGCACACCGGAGCACAGGCTCAGTGATATTCGCATCGGGCTCTTTGCTGGCAAGCAGACGGCGTCTGATCAACCGTGTTGGGCCGGAGTCAACCGACATCTCGACATAAGACTCAATCTTCGATAAGAACTTCTCCACCTCGAGGTTGTTCATGGCCAGATCCTCAAAGTCCTCCAGAGAATCAATGGTCTTGATAAGTGTAACTGTCTCCTCAAGCTTCTGCTTTCTGCATTGGCTCTTGACCGCTTTCACGTCGGCCAACACCAGATCAAACACTCGCTGGCGGCAAGCAGCGAGATCCTTCTCCGAGAAAGCCGAGCGGAGCTGCTTGCGATAAAACCAGAGTTGAGACAGCGTAACCCGCAAGTGGAAACAAGCCATGGAGTCTCGCTCGATCTGTCTCATTTTCGAAGCTTGCGTCGAGATCTGGGAGAACAGTTCTTTGAACAGCTTGGTTTTCTGGCCGTCGGGAAGATTCAATAGCTTGGAAATGACGGCACGGTGCAGGCTTCGGAATGCCTTCATGATCTGTAGATCGATGTCGGTGCCGTTAAGGACAATGGCTCGGGCAGCGGCACAGATCGGCTCGATGTGACTGGTCAACACGGCATCAGATTTGGGCTCCTCTGCCAACTTGGCCAACATCGTAATGAGCCCGACAGTCAGTTCGGATGAACGGTCCTGCAGGATAAGGACATCATGCAGTTTGTCCAGAAGAGTCCCTCTCATTCCGCGGGTGATCAAGGAAGCTGGAATTCTCTGAAGGCTGTCGATGTAAAGTTGGTGGTTGGCAGAATTACGATGAATGCTGTCCTTCAAAAGAGTCACAAGATCGGGAACAAGGAAAGTGGCGCGGAGAAGATATTCATGGGAGACAATACTTGCCCATCCTTGAAGGAACCTCGCATCATCTGTCACAGTTTCAAGGGGCAGAGGCGAAGAAGTGTATTGTTCCGCAGCCAGGGACAGAAGTTGTTTGAGCAGCTGAGAACGAGCATCAGCAGAAATCCGTTTCCATACCTGGGGAATCTTTGAGATTGCCGAGAAGTAAGCCAGGGCAAGATTAATTGGAGAATCCATAGAGTCTGCTTGGCCGTTCCATGGAGAACCCATTGATTTCTTAGCGTCGGCTGGGAGAACAGAATTGATGAGTTCCGTGACATGCTGTGTGGCTGTGTTGAATGCACTGTGTTGATCAGGGCCTCTAGTGGCAATCAGAACAAACCGGTACGCCTCCCAAGCTTCGAGGACGGACGCCCTCCTTGTCAACTCTCTGTGGTTGCGTTTGATCGTCTTTGCAGCAATATCCACTAAAGCCAGAACGGATCGACGTTGAGCAGTATTCATAGACTGCTCGTCATTTTTCTCAAGGTTTCGGACGAACCGCCACAGACGCCATCGCCAGGGCAGGGCCTGTTTCGATGACAGGGTAGAAGTGACAGTTTGGAGAAGGTAGGTCAATGATGCCTCGGAGTCGGGAAACGAGAATGGACGACGCCGGAAGCTAGCCTCCAAGACAATGAATTTTGCGTATGATGCTGGAGCGTCAGACAGTTTGCCATCCGACGCCCTGGTGTCCTTCGAAGCGGCCTGCATGTGCGCCACGAGGCGTGGATCGGTGGGTGCGGTTCGCACAAGTTCGCTGTAAAGCTCGGAGAGATCGTCATCTTCCCAGACTGAAAAATGGGTCAGGCTGCTGTCCTTGGCGCGAGCCGTTTCCACAAGGATGGTTTGGTGATGCCAGAAGGATGTGAATGTGTACAAATCTCGAGCTTCGACGAATGCGCGCAGCAAAGGAAAGACTATATCGTTCTTGATGATGAGATAATCTGCTAGGCCTTTGGAGGCACCACTGCGCCAGTGAAGCAGGATTTTATCCAGCAAATTGACCAAGATGTCGGACGAGTCATAAAGCCCCGAACTGGGCAAGAAGATGTCCACACCCAGGCGCACAATGAGAGCAGTGACATTCCACTGCACATGCTGTAGACCTGGCTGAAGAATACCAGTGTACCAGGAATGGTTCAGAGTGGTATTCAACGACAAACCGATGTTTCGATCGACAGCCACCTGCATGATTTGCTGCAGACTGACAACGAATTTGTGAGAAAACCCAGAAAAGGTAGCTTTGTCTTTCTCCCCCTTGGAGGTGGAGTATGCGATTTCCGCAACGGCAACAAACAAGGTCTCCAGCCATGGCGCCTCATGGGTCTGGCTTCGGAAGGAATCTCTGGGAACGGCCCGCGAAGCAATATCAAGCAGCTCGGGAAGGAGCTCGAGTGATTTTGAAGCACGCTTAGAATCCTTCTGGTTTGCTTTCTCCGAGGCAAAATCGGTCAGAGGCGTTTCGCGGATGATGGATTTGAAGGAATCAGTGACCGGCTGGACAACCTCCCAGTTGGGTTTGTCTTGGGTGGAATAATCAATGCCAGAACCACCTCGCTCGAAGAAGGCCCTTCGAGCTGGAAGCAGCACATGAAGGACGACTGTGCGCTCAACCGCATGAAGCAAATGGGCCCGCTCGTCGGTATCAAGTTTGAGCGAACGCACGCAGAGTCGGAGTCGGAGGGCGTGCGCGAAACAGTATTTAGCGAAGCAGTCATTGCTGGACTTGTTCTCGGTATCATCCTGGCGGTAGGATCGAAAATCCCACAATTCCAGAGCCGCAGGCAACACATACAACATGTGCTGAAGGTCGGTCGTCCTCCCGGTCTGCGAGAAATGCTTGGCGGTCCAGGAAGCCACCCAGAACGATCGGCCCAGGAACAAGGCGGCCACTTCCGGCTCACCCCTGAGAGCAAGCTTGAGATGGGAGTGGGCAACCTCGTCAGTGCGCAAGGTTTGGTGTGCAAGCATCACCACGCCGAAGAGACAATCTAGAGCGCGAATGAAAGCCAGAAAGCACTGGGCAGAGTCCTGCGGCCGCTCACCCGCACTGTTCGCAAAAGAAACTCTCTTTCTCTTTTTGCTTTTGGTGCTCTTGGTCTCGGTGCCAGGCGGAGAGCCGACCAGGATGTGGCTGGCCTCGGAATCAGAACCCTGTTCCACATTGGCGAAGATATCGGCCTCCAGATCTGCAACCGTGTCGCCCAGAATGGATAGGAACTTGTGATCTTTCAGGATCGCAGCCAGGTTCTTCGGGGAGATCAGGTCGACCAGTTGCCTCAACAGAAGGAAGGAAGCCGGCTCCACCCTATAGTTCTTGCCGCTCTTCAAGCGTTTCAGCAACCACCGGAGCACCCATTCTTCCTTGGGCGTAGAGTTATTGGCGGTGGGAGGGCTGCAATGCGTCTCCGGGTGACTCTCACAAAGGGCCAAGTCCAAGCCGAGGATCTTCGCCGCATCGTGGAGTTGAGTGCTCGGCGGCGCGGTATTGGCTTTCTCAAGGCGGAGGAGCGCCTCTTGCGACGAGCACGAATGCTGGATGAGCGCAGTGTTAGCAAAGACTGTTTCCTGGAATTATTCGTAAGAGAATAAACTCACCTCCGCAATCGACGGCATCTCGAACCCGAGTCGTAAGTGTTGAGTGAGTAGTGACTGAAGTAAGTAGAACCGGAAAAAAAAAGAAGCTGGGTCGCTCCGACCGCCTTTCGTCTTGGCGAAGTTCCCGACTGCCGACTGTTTTCTCCCTGCTTTTATCTTGTCACATCTGTCCAGCTGTCCAAACGGTGAGTGAAGTGGTCCTATTGCCCAATTATTGAGAGCCATTGTGGTTAGGACCCATTGTGACTCTCAATAGCCATTGATCCCCCATTGACGGTTGATTCAACAGTTCCACAATGGCCGATTCCACCGAGTCCCGGCCGGTCGCCCGGTCCACCAAACCTGTCAGTGAAGCTCTTCTCAATGAGAAGGTAAGTTATTGTCCCTTTTGAGACGATTCCCATTGCTATCTTGCATGGGAGACCGTTGATCCGTTGAGGCTGAGGGTTCGGATTGGCTGGCTGACACTTGCCCAACTGCTGGCTTAGTGGGACCGCGCCATCTCCTCGATGATCATCAAATCCTCGCTGGGCCTTTCGTTCGGTGTCGTCTTCTCGGTGCTTTTGTTCAAGCGGAGGGCCTGGCCCGCGTGGGTTGGCCTAGGGTTCGGCGCTGGCCGCGCTTGGGAGGAGGCAGATAGTACGTTGGACACCTCTTTCCGCCCGCGGGCAGTCTTGGAAGCTGTCTGGCTTTCTCTGGGACCAACTGCCTCCTGACAAAACCCACTTGAGCTAACTGTGCCCATCTAGCTTCCTTCCGTCGAGGTGACTCGCCCGTCCGCGACGCGCTGCGCAGGTAGAGAGAGCCACGGCTTCCACACGTGTACGATACAAGTGTACAGGGACGTTGGCATGGAGGTGTCGAGACTAGAGAAAATGCTAGATCATTCTGTTGACTACTCGTTAACCATTCCTTGACTATTTCGTCTCACTATTACATAGTCCACAGGCCGTAGGTTCTCTCCCCGCTCTCTACTACATGTAGGCACTTCTATATTGTAATGAAGACCTATCAGTGGTGTGCAAGTAATGCTCACGTATGGTGCAACAATAATTGAACCAGCAAGTCCCGGTAGGCAGTTGTTGTTTGCTCTTTCCATAGAAGCGAGACTCGTGACTATGAATGCCTGACCTGCTCACAATTGGCTAGACACCTTAGCGGGTATCACTGACCGCTGAATTCCAACAGGGCCACATCGAATGCCCGCTAGACTGTTTCCTCGTGTCGGAGGTCACTTTGGTAACCGCGATCTCGATAGGGTCTCGGTCTTTTCGTTCGCGAGTTTGCTTGTTACCGTGCTGGGTTGATACTCCACCCAAACAACGATATATTTCATTCGACCTCATAGCCACATGATTCTAAGGAATGAAAATGTTCTTCCTCCCGCGAATTATTATTCCACCAGATAGGCTTGAAGACAACCTCCACGATGGCGATCGCTTCTTTTTGCGGAGAAATACCGAGGAATAGCCGGCACTAGAGAGCCATTCCGGTTCTAGGATGCAAAGCGATGACTGAATTGGGCCAATGCCTACCTTTTCCCCGCAATTTAGTTTAATCACAAAGACATAAAAGAGCGCCAGACACTTCGTCAATGAATCCTCTATTTCCGAGTTTCAGTAGCGATCGCATCATGACCTTCTTTCTCCGAGCCGGTGTAGTCTTTGCCGCTGCGGTCCAAGTGGCCGCAGACCCGTCCCTAACAGTACGTACGGAGACTGGGATTTTCACTGGTCTGCAGAATACCGACTTCACTGGAGTACGTGAATTCCGCAATATCCCTTTCGCTCAGCCTCCGGTAGGCTCGCTTCGCTTCCAACCACCCCAGCGACTACCCCCATCGAAGCAGCATCGCTACTCGACACGCTTCCCCCCCCTCATGCCCCCAGTTTTCCTCCAGCGGAGAAAGCTTCTGGAATCTCTTCGTGCCATATCTATTACCCGTGAATGGAAACCAAAACCACTCTAGCGGCTTGAGTCTCCAAACAGCGTCGGAAGATTGCTTAAGCCTCGCTATCTGGACCCCATATGATGTTCCGTCCGACGCTAAGCTCCCTGTTGCGTTTTTCATGACCGGCGGTGGTTTCCAGACCAATGGAGTGGATGTTCCTGGCCAGATCCCAGCTCCCTGGGTGAATCGTTCGCAGGAACATATCGTCGTGACTATCAATTACCGCCTCAATATCTTTGGCTTTCCAAATGCGAGGGCGCTTGATAGCCCTAATCTTGCTATCCTGGATCAACGTCTAGCTCTCGAATGGGTACATGAAAATATCGCTGCCTTTGGCGGTGATCCTGAGTCGATCATGATGTGGGGACAGTCGGCTGGTGCGATGAGCACTGATATTCACAACTACGCCTTCTGGGACAACCCGATTGTACACGGAAGCTTCTCACAATCTGGCACAGCTCTTGCCCCGATCTTTTCGTCCGACTACTCGCACTCGAGTTTTACCACCGTGGCCAAGAATCTGGGCTGCGACTTTCCGGACAATCCGACTGCAGAGCTCGAGTGTATGCAGCAGGTTCCAGTGGACCTGATCGAGAATTTCATCGGCCAGTACGACGGCCCTGCAAGCCTGAGTTTCGAACCCATTCCGGACGACAGAGTGGTGTTCTCCGACTACCCAGCTCGCGCGGTGGCTGGCAAGATCTCACCCCGCCCGGCTATTTTCTCGGACGCCGCGAATGAATTCGCTACTCTATACACTTGGCCGTCCGGCAACGCCAGCGCAGGGCCATACCAGCCCTTTGTCGATGCTGGAACTCTCGGGGCTTTTGTCTGCCCTAATGCGAGGACCAGCATTCTCCGCGATAAGGCCAATGTGACGACCTATCGCTACCAGTACGCGGGAGTGTGGCCCAACCAGAACCCGTACTCGTGGCTGGGGGCATATCATTCCTCGGATCTGATGATGAACTTTGGGACCTACTTCTATGACCGGACCAACTCTACTACGGGGCCGACTGCGTTGGAAATCAGGACTAGTGAGGCCATGCAGGATCATATTTTGGCGTTCATGAAGGACCCGAAGGATGGTCCTCCCGCTATCGGGTGGAATCCTTATACGTATGGCGGTAACGTGGTTCGCTTTGGGGCCAATGGGGTCCCCGTACAGAATGCCAGCGGGTATGCCATCGATGGGCCATGCTATGGCGAGGGCACATATGATCCTTTTCCTTAATCATGGCAACATGGAAATACATCTCTACATTCTATACTTCTACCCTTCGCACGTGACCCGGATTACTCGATCGCATTGGGTCATCGTTTTATCTCCCCAGATTAGATAATTCACCCGGCCCAATCCGGCCCCTGATCCCGCCCTCTTCCTGCTTGCGGAGCTGTGGAACCGGTTCAGGAGACCCGCTTATCGCTGATAACGGGCGCCTCCTCCAGCGTCATTGCAGGCAATGGGCAATGATAGGCACGCTCAGCCCGCCCTGAGAGGACCGACCGGGGAATGAGATCGCAGATGGCGGATCCTGGCGCTCATGGATCGTCACCCGGGGGCCACTGTCATTGTCTTCTTATCGCGCCATGGAGCTAATCCACAGGGATCCCACGCAACAGGATGTTTCGATGATGATATGCCACATGGGCTCTAGACTGCCATTATATCATCCTCTCCGACCCTCCGGCTGGTTTTTGGTTGCTCTTCATCCTCCGCTTTCCTTCCTCCGGTGCATTCTGGGTGCTCATCTCCAATCCTCCCCCGGGGCACCACCATGACGTCCTCCGTTCGATGGATTCTCGAGAAGGCGACCGTCGCCCACGAGCCGGGCCTGTCCAACGCCGAGTTGATGTTGACGAACTATGATTTGCGGCCAGGTGAGAGGACCGCTTGCTGAGAATCCAACCGGCCGATATACTCGCGTCGCTGCATTCTTTTCCCCCACGATCAGGTTCATTCCTGATCTACATCCCTCTCCTCATCTCAGTCACTCGCGATGTGCCTCGAGGCAAGTAAGGCTGACCGGTGGACATATGTGACTTCGGCTTGTTGCAGTTGAACCAAAACGTCGCCAATGGAAATGGCTCAACTACATCGCCTTCTGGATTGCGGACTCGTTGAATATCGTGAGTGTTGGAGCCGGTGGAATTGGAGGAGAAAGAATCATATCTAATATATATATTTTCAGAACACTTGGATGATCTCGTCTTCCATGATTGTTGACGGTTTGTCGTGGTGGCAATCTTGGATCTGCGTCTGGGTGGGATACTTCATCGCAGCAGCTTTTGTCTGTCTAACCGGTCGCATTGGCGCCGTCTACCATATCTCCTTCCCTGTCACGGTGCGAGCATCGTTTGGAATCTGGGGATCTTTCTGGCCCGTGATCAACCGAGTCGTAATGGCTATTATTTGGTACGGAGTGCAAGGATATATTGGAGGTATGAATCTTTTTCCGACCTAACATGGCCGACGTTGACGCTCTCCTCTCCCCAGGCGAGTGCGTGAGCTTGATGATTGAGGCAATTTGGCCCAGTTATCGAACCCTGCCCAACACCATCTCCCCGAGCGCAGGTGTCACCACCAAAGGTTTCGTTAGCTTTTTCCTCTTCTGGCTCTTTTCGCTGCCAGCTCTCTGGTTCCCCGTCCACAAAGTCCGCCACCTGTTCACAGTCAAGGCAATCTACTCGCCCATCGCGGCCATTGCTTTCTTTGCATGGGCCATCTCGCGCGCTAACGGCATCGGACCGATCGTTCACCAACCCAACACCGTCCACGGAAGCGTGCTCGGATGGGCCGTGGTCAAGGCCATCATGACATGCATCGGGAACTTTGCCGCTCTTATCATGAATGATCCCGACTTTTCTCGATTTGCGAGAAAACCCAAGGATGCGTTGTGGTCGCAACTGTTCACTATTCCTATTGGATTCGGGATCACCTCGTTTATCGGCATCATCGTGTCTTCATCGTCCGAGGTCATCTATGGCAAAACCGTTTGGAACCCGCTCACCCTGCTCGGCAAGTTCCTGGACGGAGCTAGCTCAGGGCAACGCTTCGGTATCTTCGTCATTTCGTTGGGATTCGCACTGGCTCAGCTGGGAACCAACATTTCGGCCAACTCGGTGTCTGCTGGCACAGACTTGACTGCACTATTGCCTCGCTGGCTCAATATCCGCCGTGGCAGCTATGTATGTGCAGCAATCGGCCTCGCCATGTGTCCAGTAAGTTTATTCCATATCACTTTAAATGCTTGTACAAGAATGCTAACTATATGCAGTGGAACCTTGTTTCCTCATCCAACAACTTCACAACCTACCTCTCCGCATACTCGCTCTTCCTATCTGCCATTGCAGGCGTCATGATCACCGATTACTACATCATCCGCAGGGGCTATCTAGACGTGAGAGCACTGTACAGCGCCCGCAAATCCGACCCATACTACTACACCTTCGGCTTCTCATGGCGCGCGTACACGGCATACATCTGCGGAATCCTGATCAATATAGTCGGTTTCGCCGGTGCCGTCGGCCGGAAAGTTCCCGCTGGTGCACAGTACATCTACAACCTGAATTACTTCACGGGCTTCATCGTCTCCACAGTTGTGTACTACCTCCTCGTGCGCTTCTTCCCAATCCCGGGGGTGGGCACCTACTGGAACGAAGTCGACATCGATGCCGACGAACAGTTTTCGGTTGCATACGGACAGCCCGTTGTCGATGAGGAGCATGGACCGAATGGAGACCGCTCGAGTACGATTTCCGATCCGTTGCCGGAGGATGATCAGAAAGGTCCGAAGAATTCGTCAAAGGATGCCCCGGATATCCCACACTTTTGAGCCTTTTCTCTTGCTTGTAATTTGTTTGATTCCCCCTTCAGTTCTCGGAAGAATGTATATTCGATGGCTCCTCGACGGGGTTCGGCGTGGCTTTTGTGTGTAAATTACGGAATTTTGAGCCTGGACATAATCAATCGGCTGTGCCGCAATAACGTCGCGGAATCTAGTTTTATGCGGAAGCATGATTCTCTTTAAGGAGACGTGAAGATGTGGATATGGTAGACACAATAGGCACAGACATGCTAGTTAGTGCGCAGAGTAGCTAGTTCGTTTGGTGATACAAGATCTTCCAAAGTGAATCTCTACACAGTAAAAACATGTGGATATCATGAAGATAAATTCTGATAATAGTTGATCTATAACTAGTCGAACGAATGTACAAGACATTCCGAAGAGAAAGCTGACTCAAGATCCATGCGACCCAGCATGGCTCATCCATTTAATAAAACAGGAAGTATAAGAAGAAGCAGAGAGTGCCTGACAACGAGTGGACCTTCTCACAGAGAAGCCGAGATGAAAGCAACACGACAGGAGGGCTATGCAAAGTGAAAAGCGAGAGAGGTTGGACAAAAGCCGAAACAAAACGAAAGGATGAACCCCAGATTATCCAGCCTGTGTACGAATGGAATGCTCCCGAGAACCCGATGTCCCATTCTTTCATGCGTATGATGATAACCATTGTTGCTCCGTGGTGAACCAGCCTCGATGGCCTTTCCCTCCTGGGTAACTCCAGTAAATGCAATGGGTGGGTGGATGTGAATGACGAGGGCTGGCTCGCCAAATCCGAATATCCCAGATCAAATAAGATCAAACAAGTAAGACAGGAATCATGAAAAGTGAAAACGGTCGAATACATGACGACGAAGTCAGAAAAACAATGTAGGGGGTATCGGTGATGGGTATAGCAATGATAACGACTGAGCTTCAAGAGGCAATGTAAGCAACACAGATGAGGAAAGAGAATGGTATTAATGCAAAAGAGCGCCGGATACGTGCATGGGCTTGCCAATGCAGGCGGAAATGGAAATCGGGGCAAGATAGTGGGAATGAGGTAGATGGGTGTGGAGATGTGACAGAGATTTGTGATCTCATTGTACGGAAGATGTCGACGCTGCAGAAACCGTCGGAGTCAAGTTTGGCGAGCTATCCTTCTCCTCGGGACTTGTAAGACCACTGGCGCGCTCAAGGCCCTGGTCCTTCTCGCGGTCCGTAGAAGAGGAACGCTTGAAGACGGTCTGGCCAATCTGCCGCAATATACCCATGCGTTCAGCTCGGAGTTCCTCAAGATCCAGTCGCTGGACGGAGATAGGTTCCTCTTTGGAGATCCGGCAGAACAGCGTGGAGAACAGGAACTGGTCCCCGCTACCATCGTATAAGGGCAGATAACGGTAGCCCTGAGATAGGCTGGTGAGCTTGGCAGTGAAGGTCGCAAGCTGGACGCTATTGTTGTTGCCCGTACTGCGGCCATCCACGGAACTCCAGACCGTCCACCGCACAAAGACCAGGTCCGGGTACTTGGTCTCCAAGGACAGCTTAAAGCGATCATTGAACACGGGGCTGTAGCCATTGCTTTGTTCGATCTTCGTACGCCGGCGGTGGGGATAACCGATGCCAGACATGCCGTTGCGCGCAGAGGCATCCATGCCGCCCTCGCCGAAAACTCGACTCTGGCCGCGGTCGTCTGCGCTGAACATCTCGATCTCGACATAGGGGTTGATGTTGTCTTCAGGCCCGATGGTGCGCGGCCGCGGAAGTTGCTGTGCGGAGATGACATCGACAGAGAAGCGAATCAACTTCCTTTCTGTCTTGCGTCGCTGGATCCCATCACCGAGGGCCGGCGGCAGCCGAAGACTGGCGGGTTTGAGGACATATCCGGTACGGTCTGATCCAGCCGCGAACATGGCGTGGTTCATCTGCATGCCGATGTCGTATGTCTGCCAGTTCAGCGCCGCCATCTGCACGCCACGCCGCCAGAACTTGTTCGGATCGAAGTTGGATGAACGCAGTCGGAATCCCGAAGGATAGACTCGAGTAAGGAATCTCCGGTTGTGTATTTCCAGCGCGACTTTATTGTCATGGTTCTGACAGATGCTTTCAAACGAGCGTTCCGCGAATGAGTAGACATGGTTGTACCGCCTGCTTTCAGGAGACGTGAAGCTGTGCCACTTGTACCCACGGGTGTAAACACCCAGGTCGGAAAGAGGTTTGGTGATCTTGCTTTTTTGGCGGCGGGGCTTGTTCTTCTCATTGCGAGCGGACACCAGGGCGCTGTCGCTGTCCTCGGTAGCGCTGCTCATGCTTGTCGCAGTGAGCGAGCGTCGGTCATGAGAGATCAACGGCCCGATACAGTCCTGTGGTCCGATGGTGGGGGGACTGGACAGAGAGGGAAGCCCTGTAC